TACTTATTGTCGATGACGTGGGAAGTCGTCGCCCAATCTTCCGAGCAATGAGGCTCATGTATGAAAAGCTCGACAACAAAACAGGAAAAAAGTAAGGAAAATAGGCAAAAATAATTTTGAAAATCTCATTGACAAAAGCTTTGAAAGTGAGTTTATCATTTAGGGTAACACTTAAAATTTTTAGTGTGGTTTGAGACTAGATCTTGCTATTACTTAAACCAAGGTCGTATTTGCATTGGGATCTACCCAAAGTCATTGCTTGTGTTTCTGACGCATTAACTTAGAGAAGATTGCTAGAAAACAATGGAGCCATGACTTCAGTGTCATAGTTCAGTAGAAATTGGAGAACAAAGGGAATTCATCAGAGCCATATTAGGTCGTGTTGAGACAAAATGAAAAAACCGCGCAGGGAAACCAAAGAGAGCAATTCATTTTCAATGAAGATGAGATAGCTTAAAAATTAAGATTTTTTATTTCCGATCATTATCCATGGCAGATGAGACTTAAATGAATTGACAAAATGTTGCCATATGTCAAGCGCAGTGTCAACAACGGAAAAGGAAAGCATTTGAAATGAATGCCTTCATTGCAATACCATTCTACACCCGACTAGCAATTAGTACAGACATAAAAGTGATCAAATATTGGAAGTATCCCTTTGATTAAAACTAAGACTATACCTCCCTGGCATAAGTTTTGGACAAATTTCCGGCTGCTCTTATTCTCTGGTAAATTTGATGACAGTATGAGAGAAAATAAAAATTCGGAGGTCAAACGACTAAGACACTAATCACTAAATCAATAGCAATAATCATTATATCTGATGACTATATAGAAAATTCCAATTTCGTTCTCTTGCTCTCTTTCACCTAAAGATAGCGTGGATCTCCTCTCTCTGTTTTTTTTTTTCTATGAATCATGATGTAATGTACGTACTTGAGAATCAATATTCAATTTGAATCAAGTTTAAAAAGATAGTTAGGCTTGAGACTCAATTCTGTTACTCTTTTAAGATGCTGCTGGTAATAACATCCCAGGAGAACTTGGCTATTGCCACATCCCTCAGCTTAGCGGACACCTCACATCGCTTACTGTGATCACGGAAACCACTAGGATACATGAACTTAAGAGCTTTCTCTACTTTGTTTGGCAACTGCTCCACCAGAAACGCGCCGTCTGCTACGCCATGAGCGCCACCTGGACGTAACTCCAAGCGCATCAGATCTCCTAACTCAGGATCCACCTCTTTGACAGCACCAATGACATCTGAGATTCCCGTGTGATCATGACAGAGGGGAAGGACCCCGGCAGCCATAGCTTCTACTGAGACCATTCCAAAGGCTTCCAAGGCTTTGGATGCCATTACACTGAGACTGCAGAGAGGAAGGATTTCCTTTAATTGGCCGTGTTCCAAGAGACCTGTCATTGTAACCCTTCCCGAAGGAATCTGGCGGAAGAATTTCTCAGGTTCCAGAGGGAGATCCACGAAGTTTCCTGCTTCAGCGTAGGCCTTGAAGGCTGCTAAACTTCCTTGAACCATCGCCTCCAGCATTCCCTCCAAATTCTCGCGGTTACCGCCATATCCGATCAACAACAGTCTGGCCCGCGGAATCCGCTCAACAATAGCCGCAAAAGCCAGTAATAATTCCCCGACTCCTTTGGTTTCTTGAAACTTGCCAAAGAAGCAGATAAGTGGCTCATCTTCTTCCAGAGGAATCCAGCGTTCACAAAGGTCTGCATCAGCCGCTCGCAGGTCATAAGACTCTGAAACGCTCTCTAATGCCTTCTGTAACTCGAAAGTTGCGTGACCCGGAAGTTTGACTTTATTTGCTCTTCTCCCTCCAGGCTTTCGCTTGATAAAATCCTTTGCACTCGCCAAAAACGCCTCTTGCCTCTCGCCTATAGACCCACCGAGCTGAAAAACGTCAGGGTCCATGCCTGGAGGAATTATGACGATCTTTCCGGGCAGACCCATCTCCTCTTTCTCCACCTCGAATATTTCTTGCACAAAGCTCGCCATGTACTTCGCCCCGACGATCAGTTTGCGACAACTCTTTATTCCTTCCAAAGCGTAGGATCTTAGCTCTTGACGGTTTTTCACGGAAAATATCAGAGAGCTTCCATGTATTTTGACATCGTATGGAATCCCCGTGCCTTCCGTGGCTCGTTTCGTTATCACCGGACTCAAGATCGCATGATTCGCCAGTATTCTATCGACGCCTTGAGCGATCACCTTCTTCAAGCCGTCCGCTGTTCCTTCGATGTTCGCTTCAATTTCCTCCAAAGAACAGTTCACCATCGTCTTCACCTCGTACCCCTCGTAGAGATCGTACCAATAGACAAGAAGCAGCCCATGAATGTCTGGTACTACGACTCGAATACTGCCTGCCGAGGGGGCGGAGGACGGAATACTGTCGTTGCCGACAATAAATTCGTCGACAAAATCCAAACGATCAGCATGAGGATCTTGGCAGAGTATCGTCACCGCATGACCCTGTCGCTTCCACGATTTGGCAATGTTAGCAGTGTAGACATTGGAGCCTGAACCACCGAGCAAATATCCGTGTACCAGTACTAAATGCATTTTTCGTTGTTCGGGTTCTAAAGCGGAAAAAGTGACTGAGCGAATACGTTTGCTATTGCGTTACTTTATCAAATGTTACCTTTTAAATGAGACGCCGACAAATTTGATACTTCGGCTTATTTTTCTGAGAAAAGGTATAAAATTGCACAGTGTTTCCTAGAAGTAGTGTAGAGTGATTTAGCAATAATTCGGATTTTAATCCCAAAGAAATTTTGTGGACTTGTCAAATCAGCATAAATTTATAGTGAGCCACGTCATTTGTTTCTCTGTATTGTTCTTGGGTCGTCGAGTGCTAATTTTTACACTTGAACGAACCAAAGAATAAATTTGAAAATAGATAAATAAATGGCAGAATAGGATAAAACATATATGGTAAAAGATGGAGAAGTTTATCACCCATTTTAGAAGTAAAACCTCGATATAGGTTGAAATTTCATTTTATCATATAAGTGCCTTTCCGCGCTAACAGACAAAGCTAGAATTGTCCCGAAAAAGTCAAGGACAAATTTTGTCACCACAAATATTTGTTTCTTCTGTTGCATCCGCATTAAAAATTTCAAAGCCGTCAACCTACTTCAGCGCCTAATCTGTTCATAAGACGGCCAGCATACTTTCCCAAAGGATTCTACCTCTAATTTCCAGGATTTATCCTTAGCCTGTTTTTTAAAAATTTTAGAATTCCCGAGTTTTGCAACTTAAGACAATTTTTACCCATCTGGTAAACTGATTTCAGTCTAATTACATGCTGGTTGTAACTTTGCCACGAATGATCGACAAGTTTCTCAAGGTTTTGTTTTTGTAGGCCCGGTTAGCATTAGCTTCAAAACGTGATGACAAATCTATTTCAATACATTTGAATTACCGTGTGTATATTATCTCTTTCGGACTAAGAAAAACAAAGCTCAGGTAATTAAGGAAACAAATGTGTGAGGTACAGACTGCATTTTATTCACTATCGTCAATTTACACAAACAAAGCCCTTCGTTAAGTTGATTGAATGTGTTAAGTTAAGCCTAATAACGCGGACGGCGGAGCTAAAGCAACTGTTACACTTTTTGCGACGACATTTTGCTTTGTTTTACCGTGAGGCACGTATGAAGACAAAAGAGAAAGAAGATGCAAATAAAAAAGGTCAGCTTCACCACAGATTATTCCCCGAGTTGGCGATTTCAAAATTCTCTGGGGGAGGATGGAGAAGACCCCCTACAAACTCGCACCCTACACTAGTTCCAAGCCCCCTTCTCCCCCCTCCAATTGAAAGCAGGCTCCGCCGTCCCTTTAAAGCATTGAAAAGTTAATTCGATAGAATTTTCAAATAAATATCTAGCTATATAAAGAGATGATAATCAAAAAGAAGTAATTAACTTACTGCTCCGCAAAAAATTTTCAAATTTTCTCTTTGAAGAGTTCCAATTTCTCAAAGACAAAGACTCTTATGGGGGGCTTAAATCCAGGGGGCTTATCGGATAATTTTTTAAATATCTTATTTCTTCCTTTTAATTTTTCGCATTTTTGTTTCAGTTGAGTCGCTATATCTTAATTTGCTCTTTTTCAAAGCAGCGGAGGCCAGCGAAGACACACGCGAGATAAGGAGGGCGCAAAAGATTACCTTTCTCGCGCGTGACTCGCGTTTCGCGTTGAGCTCCCCCTCAAGTCTGCTCGCGCTAATAATGCGAAAAGAAAACAAATGTATTCGACAAATTATCACAGTTCTCGATGCTACATACGCGATCATTCTGTCTTACAAAAGAAATGGTTTGACACCAATCGTCAATTATTTTGTCGTTAAAAATGAATACAAAGCCACCTTTCAACCTTAGTTTTCTAGACCTTTGAGAACGTCAAATTACGAGAGTTGCTCTGTCTTAACGGAAAAGAGACAAAATTAGAATGTTTGACAATCAAAGACCCGCAGGATCAAAAACGTATCCGAACAACCAGCCAAAACGAGAACACTTCGTCCCCAAAATTATTTTGTCTCTTTTTGGATCAAAGTATTCAAGTTCACTGGACAAACTGAAATGAAACTTGGTCGAAAGATCGAAAAATGAATACAAGAAGTGGTTGAGCAAAAATCAAGGATATTCTAAATACCGGCTGATCGATGAACTCAAATGTTGCGAAGAACACGAAATTCTATGGGTCCATCCGAGGCCAAAGCGACTCCCCCGAGGGTACTCCTGCTTAGCTATGGCAATCGTTTACCATCCTGATCCATCAGCTGAGAACGATAGCAGCACTCGGAACCATCTCTCTAGTTCTCTGGCCCTGGCAGAGTCTATATATCCGAACTGTGCATTAATGGTCTGTGGGGATTTCATTCGCCTGACTTACAGCTCGTGAAGAGCAAATTGTGAAAGTTCCATCTTGCAGTCTGCTTCCTCACTTGGATGTCAACGAGCTGGAGAGTTTACCCATGCATGAGGTGGCGGATCATATCAACCATGCCTTGCTGGAACCTCTTGAGGAATACCGGTTAACTGATGAAATTCCAAAGATCCCTCTAGAAGAAGACCACGCCCCAGAATTTCTAGTACAAGAGACTCTCTCATCTCAATCCTGCAAAGGCCGGCGGCCCCGATGGGATTCCTAATTGGATACTGAGAGAGTATGCAGAATTCCTTGCATACCCAGTATCTGTTATACTGACTGCCTCCTTTAAGGAACAGCGCCTACCGAGCATCTAGAAGTTGGCGGATGTCACCCCTCATCCAAAACAGAAGCCAGTAAAGGAGATCAAGAAAGGCCTGCGGCCTATATCGCTCACCCCTAGTATCTCCAAGCTCGCAGAGGACTTTGTCGTCACCGTACACGTGAAGCCAGCAGTTCTGGGTATGCTGGATCCTAGTCAGTTTGAAGCGATACCAAAGTCGTCTACAACCCTCACCCTCCTTGAAATGTTCCACGTTTGGTTGCAAGGGACTGATAGAAACGGATCAACTATAAGAACCCTCTTGTTAGATTACAAGAAAGCTTTTGACTTAATAGATCATAACATTTTAGTGAGAAAATTACGCGCGCTTACTATTCCACCTAGCGTTACTAATTGGATCATAGATTTCCTTTCAGGCCGCTCGCAGAGAATCAAACTCTCTGAAAGCTGTGTATCAGAATGAGGCACAGTTCCTTCAGGCGTGCCTCAAGGGACCAAACTTGGTCCATGGTTGTTTTTAATCATGATTAATGACCTAGCAATTAGTAATGCATCACTTTGGAAATAAGTAGACGACACGACGACATCTGAAGTAATTAGTAAAGGATAAGTGAGCAATGCGCAAACTATAACAGATGAGGTAGCGAACTGGTCCAACAGAAATAGAGTTAAACCAAATACTGACAAATGTAAGGAACTTCGCATTTCTTCTGTTTCAGTTAGTCATGATTTCCCTCCTGTAGTTATCGGAGGAGAGTGCATAAAGGTTGTTACTGATGCTAAACTCTTAGGCGTAACTATTTCAAGTGACCTATCTTGGAACACGCATATCACAGAAGTGATAAAAAAAGGCAGCTAAAAGGCTCTATTTTCTCATCCAGCTTAAAAGAGCCCGCGTTTTTCAGAAAGATTTTTGTCTTTTCTACATCACATGTGTGCGCTCCGTTATCGATTATGCTGTACCAGTGTTTCATTATGTTCTACCTGCCTACTTTATGCCAGAACTAGAGCGTGTTCAAAAAAGGGCAATGCGAATCATCTGAATATCAGCACGCGTTAGTACTAACGAACCTACCGTCCGTAGCGGAGCATCACAGTGATATTTGCAAGCGTACGTTTGAAAGTATTTTCAATGACAGCGGCCATAAACTCAGGAAATTACTGCCGCCCCTACATCAGAGCAAGTACAACCTTAGGCACGCGCCATCTTTCAGCATACCGCGCTGTAAAACAAACAGATTTAACAATAGTTTTACTATGGCAACATACGCCCTAGTGAATACTGTTTAAATTATTAGACCTTTAACAATATGATTTCAGCAAGATGGTTATAGTTTTTAACTGCTTTAGATATTACTTTCATTAGCTCTCAGGTATTATTCAATTTGTAAGTTTGTACATTCAACTAGAATTTTAATGAAAATACGTAATTCAGCTCTACGAGCTGCGATGTATTTCGAAAAAGAACCTATCTATCTATCCAATCTATCTATCTGACTTGTACTCCACTTGAAATTTTTAAACACCGTTACTCGACTATTTGAATAAAACAACCATGTAACTGAAATATCAGTTTAAAGTAATTTGCAACAAACAAGTTCACAATAGTAAGAAACTAAAAGGGAAAATGTCCTGCATTTAAAGAACGCCTAACTGAAAACATCTAATTCCAAATAAAGCGAAAAAAAAAATAACGACGATATACGCCCTGTACATTGGGGTTTCACTGAACTTAGAGTTTGAATCACAAGATCATCACTGTATAACAAACTAGCCAACAATGACGGGAACTGTAAACTCTATGGAGTTCTTTGGTGAAAAATCGACTCAATAAGAAAATTGTGCATATTTATCAAGGATCATATTCATCGAAGACCACAATTTAACCAGTAATGTTAAAAATCTAGGGTTTAGGAACTCACCAAGATGTCTGGTCATGTTGGAGTGCCATCCGTCCAACTAAAGGGCGTCTCACAGATGTTTCGCTTTATTTCCAGGGTGTTACACTCTCGACGCTTTATTGCTATTTTTCGGAGGTCCTGCTGCTTCGATTTTATAATCATTGCAAAACTTTTCCAAGAATCTATGGAATAGCTGTCTCTATTAAAATCTTGTGAGCTGATTGCAAGCGTTTAATCAACACAAAATCACTAATAAACCACCGGTTCTGGAACAGCTGATACCAACAGAGAGCCAAAAATAACCACCTTCGGAGACATTAGTATTACCCAAGGCATGTGAATACCAAAAGAGCTGGTCATCGAAGCCGTGAAAATTACTTTTTGAATCTGTCTTGCAGGAGTCATGAAAGCACGTCGACATATTACTACACAACAAATCTTCGAAGTCTCTGCCTCCTCTTTTCCTTTTGGGTAGGAAAGAATCTCACTTTCTTGCATGTTTTGCGTGCGCCATATGCCACCCGTATTAAGAGGTGTTGGGATTTTTCTGATAAGTAGATCAAACTTCCATGTTTAACTTACTTTGTTTGACTTAACAAAGCACAAGGATTTTCTTCCATCAAAATCCTTTATCCTTTATTTTAAATTTAAGAGACAAAGCGTGTATGGACATGTCTCGGTTGCACTCAAGTCTAATCACACTGTCAAGCATGTACATCGGAACTTACCATTGCTTAGCTAAAATAAAACGACTTCAGCTTTATTTAACATATTTAACATACTTGGTAGTCAGTTCTTGAGTTTTTAAAATCCCTCTTTGTAGGCCCAGTGTCAACAATCAGCCAGCCTGAATAAGGGTCTCGGTGAATGCGTGTTGACAAACAAAAACCTGATAACAGCTGCAAGCTTTGCTTTGCTTGTCTTTTTTTCTCCTTTCTTTCTTAAGCAAGCACTTGGCGGGAACAGGAAAAAAACTTCTCGTTCCGAATTTTCACAAGATGAGACACAGTCAAGGTTCTCTTTGCCACAAACGACAGCAACCCTAAAACCGTGTAATAAATGTGTGATTAGTTCTATGTTGTTTTAGTCATGTGTATCTCTCAAGATCCGATCATCACCATTGAGTAGCAATCAATAGTGATCGAGGTTTAAAGCCTTATTCCTTTTGAACCGCATATCCTACCTTAAAAAAAGTAAGAACCCCTTTAATATCTTCGATCTAATCTAAGTTTTTTTAAACCAGATATTACATGCTTGATATCGGGAAAAATTCTTGCTCAAGTAGGTTTCAATCTTCCCGTGTTAGTCTTCACTATTCAACCAATCCTAACTATCCGCATCACTTTAATTTGTAGTTTTGTGTTTCCTATTCACCGTTTTTCTTCCTGGCAAATCATATTACGATTTTCCTTCATTTCACTAGTCCAAGCTAACTTCATGTCGCATGAAACGACCTCCCTACGAATCGACAATTCGGTGTTTTCTGGCCTCGCATTTTTTTAATCAGACAACTTTAATGACCACACAGCAGTTTCGTCAGTGACCTTCTTTTATAGCTCAGCTTTTGAAAACCTGACGCTCTCTGTCGATATAATGTGGAAATCAATAAAAAAAAAACCAGGTTCTTCGATTCTGTCTTTCGCTGATGGTGATAAATCATTCAGGACTCTAAAGATTACAGGTAGTTTATTTTCGTTGTACCAGCTGTACCAGCAACACTTTTGAGAAAACACTACTTGCCCCTGTTAGGCAGTATCACATTAGTGCAGAAAAAAACTATTGACAAATTCTGCTCGGCCTTGAGCGTGAGCGGATTCGACAATGGGTGATATTTGGACTTTGCACTCTCCTAGAAATGAATTACATAACCGAATAAGTACCTTGAACTGGGACTATAGCCAGTCCAAAACGACCGCCTCGATGGGTAAAAAATATGATGGACAGTTTTATTCTCTAATAATTTAACATAAACAAGAAATTATATTTCAAAAATTTCTTTTTTTTCTCGTGGCTGATTCATCACAATGATCTGTATGGATGAAATTCTGGGTGTGTGCTACTATGGCAGAGACATTAAATATTCTTTTGTCAATTTTTATCTAACAGTCTAAACAAAACGAGTTTATTAACTTTTCAATTAATATTTGCAAGTGTTTTTCTTCGTTCGTTTTTGAACTAGCACCGAATAGCAAAGAAAAAAGTCCCCTCCCAGCCTATGAACGAGCAAAGCAAACCTTAAATGCGCGAATTTTCTGAATTTGCTTCGAAATATGAAAGATTGCTCTCCCAAAACTAAAATTGATAATAAACTCACATGTATGATCACTGCTCCGTTGGACTAAAGTTAAAGTTTCCGGTGTCCATAGATTTCATCTTTATACTGAAAACTTCCAAATATTAGCGTCTTGTGATTTTAGCACCTCAGACTGTGATTTTTTTCCTTCTCTGATGAGCAGGATAGACCTAGGGTACAACTTCTTTCAAAAGCCTTTGACATGTGTACTTTGATAAAATGTGCATTTACCTCAAAGCTTTTTCTAGGAATTTTAAAACAATAGCCATTGACGTGCGCGTTGTTTTCTGGTGAAAACCAGCTTCTCCGTAAAAGGTTTTCTAGGAAAAAAGTCTTCAATTTTTAAGATTAAATACCTCCAACAAACACACCCTCAATACCCCCTCTAGGCTTCACGCCTCGCCAGCTTTGCAAAAGCTAACCTTGGACTTTAGCACGCCATGAAGGGGTAATTCTTGGAAAGCAGACTAATTGGATGATTCGTGGTCATAGCATTTTAATATTTCTCCGAAAGCTCGACTTTTATTTATGCGGCTAAAGGTAATTTGGCGACTAAAAAAGTCCATCCTGCCTCCCCCTTGAAGCCATACCATTTCGAGATTTGCTCTCAATTTTAGGCAGATTTCTCGACTAAGGTACAAAACGACCTAAAGAGATTAAAAGTGATTTGCTCTCATTGACGCCCAGCCAATGAAATATTCGATAATTTGAGGCTGAAGTAGAAATTTAAGGGTCCCAGTCATGGGACTGTCATCAGTTTTACTCCATAAACAATTCCTGATCCTCCCCTCCCTCCCAATTCCTGAGACAAATCAATAAGACGAAATTTGATTGGTTCGCTTCAGTTTTAGCTCGGTCAAAGCGAACATCCCGAGGGACGCCTGGCACTTAGAATGGGGTTTTCTCGGAAACGGAATAGCTTGTGGCAGTTCCCGGAATGAAAAATGTAGTTTTAAACATGTATTTGTGCTTCGAACGACAATTGCTAGTTTTCCCACAACGTTAAGACATGAAATGTTGACGAAATCTAAGAATGGGTGTTAATGGCGGTCCAGAAGTTTGGAGAAGAGTCAGGGAAGCTTGTACACGAAGAACTTGGCCATGGTCTCGTTCAACTTCCCTTAGGGAAGGAAAAGGAACTGTAATTTTCGCGTCGAGTCACGAAGATTTGACTTTCTTATACCGTCCAAACTTGAGCGTTAGGGTGAGTTGAGCTTTGCTTCACGTTGGTTGATCGAAGGAGTTTCTTTGTTTCGGTCTAAAGTTCATGTAAACACTGCCTTCGTTCTAGAGTCCTCGTGACACGATCGATAGAAATGCAACAGTAACTTTCGATCACGTACGGTGTTGCTCCAAGTTGAGTTATAAATGCTTCGTTTCGAGGTTTTTCTGAGAACTGAATAACGTGTTACCCACGAAATACCATAGTCGTTTTTCTGTTTTGAGAGCCTTCAGCAAATATAGTCCCCAATTTCATAGTGAACTCCTATGTTTTAGATTTTCCTCCTAGTGGTGACTCGACTTTGCGGTTTTTAGGTATATTTGGGCGCGTTTTAAACGATCTTTGCAAGTTTTGCGAACATTTGCATTTAAATTGTTTGATTGATTTTTTAATTTATGAATGGCCGTCTCTTTTGATGAGCTCTCGATCTTTTACGTTCCAAAACGTTTTGACAGCTAAGAAGTGACCGACAGTATTTATATCGTTAAATGCAGACTGTTTAGCCTATCGATCAATCATGGAATCAGTGCATAAACTTAATTAGATCATTCGTGTTTCCAAGGGATAGTAACAGCCATCGGCATTCTACCACGAAAGTCAAACATAACTTAGTGCAACACCTGTTACTTAAAAAACAATATGGTTTAGAAACTCATCGCAATTAAATGTTTTTGTGTCTTCATTACCTGTTATGGCAAACGTAATGGTGTGTGTTTTTTTGTTAGTTTCATAATCTAATACATACTTTGAGCATCAAATATCAAAGGAATTACTTCTGAGATCAACAATTCTCGGAAAATCTTTTGTTTGTGCAATAAAAGTGGCGGTGACATCTGTTCCATTATTTAACACCTAAGTTAAAAGATGTCACTATTGTCCTTTTGATTAGAATCCTATACTCTGATGTGTTTTTTTGTGCACATATATCTGCAGCAAACTGAAAAGACTGTTAGCCTTCCAAACCTACTATTCTGCTAGACTATATACTGCTTGTTATCACAATCCTAAATCTGTTAACAATCAATTGCTTGAGGAAATAGCACTTAATGAATTAATGGCTTTGATAGCAAATATGCATGGTAATTAGTTCTTAGAAAGATAAATGTTTACAAAGGTGGCTTTATTTCAATTCCTAGAAATGTATTGCTATTTAAAGAGACCTCTAACCAATGGTTTTCCTCTGAGACCAATCAAACTCCTCCTCTGAAAACATACTAATCCTCAAAGGTGACACCTGGGTTTTCATGCGTGGCATAACATTCCTAAACCCTGATATCAAAACACAACTTCTCCTCTTTTCACACTCTACTTTTCTTGAAGAAGAATTAGGAGAACTTGGTCAATATCAAAAGAACTTATCTTGTGGTCTGTGTGTTTGAGTAATAAGTTAAATTTTAAGGAGAAATCTGCTGTCAATCACATATAGGATTGAAGAGGTTAGAGGGGATACTTATTAAATGAGCATTGTGGGTGGTCACATGTTCTTCCGAGAAAAACTCTTAGAACTGTGTATTAGGCCAAACAAAAGGCTTCTTAATAACTGATTTTTTTTAATGGTTTCCGAGAATTTTTTACATACTAACTTCAGACTGGAGGGTACCGGGTGACTGATATTCAATTTCATCATGGGATTTCAGTTGTATTTATCTCTCCTGCTATTTGTCTGCCTACCAAACAATTTTTTTTTAATCTGAGTTTTGAAAATCTCGCATTGGATCAACCAGTAATCACCTAATTGTTATTTTCTTTTATTCTCATCACTTGTCTGCTTGATATTGTATCAATATTGTAAGGAGAAAGTCTGTCTTGGTCATTCACTTAAGATACTGGTAAAGGGAAAGTTACAGAGCTTCAGAGCAGTGCTCATTTGACAGGTCCTAAACAGGAATAAACAATTTTATCCATGCTTATTAGACAAGCAGAGCCTAAGTGCAGTGGGTTGACTGTTGTAATATGTTTGTTTTCTTTTTCGCACAGGATGTCTGCACAGAAGCAGCCCAGATACTCAAAATCTCCCCAGTTGCATTGGATTTTTTCACCTTGGTTTCTGTAGACAGCAGACATTTTCTTAATCCAAACAAGGTGCTTAATGAGGCCGAGTGTACCAGTCAGGTTTACTCATTCAGACTGTGTATCAAAGCCTGCCATGGCCTAGAGCTGAGGGACATTGATAAGAAAGCATTTGAATATTACTTTCATCAGGTGTTTGTTACAATTTTTGCTCATTTTTCCCACATGTAATAACTGATACATTAATCTTTTTTTTTTATTTTTTATTTACTGAATAACTGTAAATTGCTATGAAACAGGGTTATTAATTGTCATTTTTATACATGCCTTATTATAAAAAATGTAATTGGTCAAGAGCATTCAATCGATATACAATAGCACAAGAACTTGACCTGATAAACCAATGTATGCTGTGGACATTGAGTTATCATGTCAAGTTCAAAGTCTGCCTAGTTTCCAATCCCCTCTTCTGTGTAGTATTCTTTTGATAATTAATGATATCATGCAATTGATGTATGAGCTGAACTGAGAGGGTGGCTGAATAGTCCATTTTACAGTGGTGTGCTTGGTTGCCAAGCCTTCAAACAGGAATGAGGCTAAGGGTGACCTTGTTATGATACAAACCTTGCTGCTTTTCAAATGCGAATTACTTTGTTATCATGCTAACTAGATACTGATCTCTATCACAACAAGGTCACCTTCAGCCTCACTCCAAATCAAAGGCTTGGACTGTGAAATGACCTATTGAATTATGCTTTTGTATCAAGCATTTATGGCATGTTGCAAAGCAGTGCTCCCTTTCCAGAGGTGCCCTGGGCATTCTCCAGTAGAAAAATTAGATATTTGAAATTCCCTTAGAGGTACAATCAGTCAAAAATTAGAAATTTGAAACTCCCTGAGAGGAAAAATCAGTCTAAAAATACTTCTTTTCTGTCTTAGATTACAATTTACAAAGTAGCCAGTGTGAAATGATCTAACAGCTAGCAGGTATCTGCCATTGAAAGCAGCTAAAGCAGCTCTTGATCATTGAACAAATTCTCCTTGTCAGCACCTTAAGAAATGAAGGACAATGTGGAGAATATATATACTGATGTAAGGGTGTTAGTGGTAAAACCTATATATACCATCCACAATTTCAATGAGAGTGGATTTGCTCTTAAACAGCAAAATTGTTACTTGTGGATAGACTTTTTAAACTGTTATTTAACCTACTACATTTACCAAATGTGCTTTGCAGTGTCGTAGAGACTTCTTGTCAGGTGCAATAGGAAGATTTGATAATCCTAAAGATTTTGCAGTGTTGGTGATTTATGAAATCATCTATCGAGCAAGACAACCAAAATCACCAGTGCACCCAAAAGTTGTGATTGAGCATCCGTAAGTAATTTTTTTTTACAATTCATGCATGCATTACTTGACGTGTATCGATGATTAGACTCTATCTTACCTATAATTGTAAAATTCCAAATTGAAATGAATGTACTCCAAATCAGCAGGTTAACCCTTAAATTCCAGATCAATTTTTTAATTGATCTTACTGTTAACCATACAATTCTTATGTTAGTTCAGAGAATTTAGTATTGGATCAACTAATTATCCCCAAATTGATATTTTTCTTTATTCTCATCTCATTTATCTGCTTGATATTGTATTGATATTGTAAGGAGAAATTCTGTCTTGGTTACTTGTGGGAGCTAAAGGGTTAAGGAACTCAGGCTTCTTTTACCAACTTCATAAAATAATGGCCAACCCTGGTGAAAATCTTTCAAGGATCTTTAAGGATCTTACAAGATCTTCATGAGGACCTTTGAGGATCCTCTTGAGGATCTTCACCAGGATCTTCAAAATTCTTGTTAAGATCTTCAAGGATCCTTCATTTTCTTGCCAAGATCTTCAAGGATCTTTGATTTTCTTGCCAAGATCTTCAAGGATCTTTGATTTTCTTGCCAAGATCTTTGAGGATCTTTGACTTTCTTGCCATAATTTACTCTTGAATTTTTGAGAAATTTAGTACCTTTAATAAAAGTTGATAGTTAGATCTCACAAAATAACCTTTAATCCTTTGACCTCTAACTGTGACCAGCATCTAATTTCTCCTTACAATACCACCCCTGATTCACACTGTAAGGTCACAAGAATAAAGGAAATGATCACCAACTTATAAAGTTCTTGATCTTCAAACAAATTCTCCTTGTTAACATCACATGGAACTTATGGAGAATATGTATACTGATGTAAGGGTGTAAAGGGCTAAGTTAAGTAATTTTTTCATGCAGTTAGGTGACCTCCAAAAATACTAACCATACATTTTTCAGGGCATTAAGATTTCTTTTATTCATTTTTAATTTTAAATTTTGTTTAATTTTGTCAAAAATATTGTTTTGCTAATTGAATTTATTAATAATTGATAGGGTTCGTTATCGAATTAAATCATTACTTCGGAGAGGGATATTTGAGGAATACTCCCTGAATGAAACACAGTCATTTCTTAAGGAGAATCTGGACAACTATGAGTCTCTCAGAGAAACCCAACTCAAGATTCAGTATATCAGCACTCTGGAAAAGGCTGAAGACTTTTTTGTGCACAAGTTATCTTTTGAAAAGGTTTGTTCTCAACAAAAAGTGGAACTAAACTGTATGGGACCTGAAATTTAAGACAGAAGTGGCCACTGTTGAGGATGTGTTCAAAAGTGATAGAAGTTTGTCATGCAGTGAACCATTCTTTGATACAAGACCTTCCCTGATCTTTCCCCATTAAAAGTTTTATGATCACAAGAAGCAGAGCACAACTTTTTTTAGAAGGAGACTGGGTCCTATGTTGGGATAGTATTGATCTGCTCTTCTTAAAGTATCTAAAATTCGCAGTCTAAGGGAATATTGTGTCAGCTGTTTAGTTCTTTGTGCCCCTAAGAGTGACTTACAATATCACCCCTGAATTGAACAATAATGTCGTGGTATTAAAGGAAATGATCACCAACTAAAGAAGCTCTTGATTATTAAACAAATTCTCCTTGTTAGAACCTAAGGAAACTTGTGGAGAATAGCATGGAGAAAATGCCTACTGATCTTAGAGTGTAAAGGGTTACTGTACTTAGTCAAGTACGGATATATAACTGTCTATCTTCATTTTAAATTGTTTCTTTGCACTCTTAACTCATATCAGGTCAATTCTTATGATGTAATGGCCTTTGTGACCATAAAACTGGCTTGAATAATTTCCTTCCCAATCTGTATAGCCAGAAAATTGAATTTATTTTTGGTCGCATATTCATTCACTTCACAGATTTACCAGAATGAAAATGGGAGCAGTCATAGAAAGTTTGAAGTTCACATCAGTGCATTTGGAATTAAGAAAAAAAGAAAAGACATTGAAAACAGTGTAAGTTTCATTTGGAAAGTTCATATGAAAACTACAATTCAAACCTGTATTAAGTGGTCACCCACAAGGGGTGGTGGGGTGAGTGCTTAATACATGTTGATGGGTTTATACAGGTTTTATAGAAAAGGGGTAGGGTAATAAATGATAAAAACAACCTTTTCTGCCATAATTGACCACTTGATGTACAAAAACTCACTCACAAATGCTTCTAACACTGATTTTGGGAGATTATTCTCAGTTTTACTTGGTGGTCCCACTTTGAGTGACTGTTGAATGCAGGTGGAGGACAAGATAAACAGGCTGTTGGGACTCAGTATTTAAAGGGTGACCGTGACTATTCAACAGAGGTGACCCCTTAATAGAGGAGAAATTTACCATGATGAAGGGGAAAAAAATTCAGGACTTTTAAAACTGACCACTTAATACAAGGTGACTTCTTGATACAGTGCCACTTAATAAAGGTTTGGCTGTATATCAAACAATGATGGCAAGTTATTCTCGGTAAACAATTTTTCTGGTTACAAATCTGTGCTCTTGTAAGGGTCAATAAGTATCTGAAGGATTTGGTCTTAGAAATATGTGGTGCCCTGTTTTAAACTCCTAGAACTGATCAACATGTAACTTCTCCTTGCTCTTCCTGTAATTCATCCAGCAGACAGGTTAGGAGAACAGACAAGCTTATCAGCTTTAGGGTACTGTCTTGATATGACACCAAATTCTCCTGTCTGATTTACAAGGAAATGTAAGGGAGTAAGAGGGGAGAATTGCCCACAGGATCTTAATAGGTCAAAAACTTCTGATGAAAGGGAGTTTTACTACTTGCTTCAAGACAGGAGTGGGCAGCCTGTAGCACATTGAGTCTGTTAGAGCACACCCCTAAACTGAGGTTTTTCCCCAACTTGGAATGTTTCTTTTTCAACATTCAATTAAACAGTGTTCTCCTATTCAAGCGGTAACTGGAAAAATTTACTACCAGTAACACCTCTTGTTACTGCTTAAAATTGCTGGGAATTCTTGAAAATTCAATAGTTAAAAGGATTGCTGTAGCAGATTGAAAATTTCTTTTGCCTGTCATCCATTAAAACAAGGGAGAACACTGTTTATTAGATCATATTTGAAGGAAACTGTGTTTCTGTGTTTGTGGGCTGGTGAAACACCTCTAATAGATGATTCTTAACTGTTCATTGATTTTATTCAATTTCAGAATCCTGAGCCTATAGTGGAAAAGTTTTATGATGTAACAGAAATACAATTCGACCACATGACAAACCTCTTTAAAATATTTCGAAGGGATGATCATCCAGAGGTAATTAGGACAATATTTAACAATGTAAACATGGCATATTAACCCTTAAACTCCCACAAGTGATTAACATATAACTTCTCCCAATAATATCCAAGGCATTCATTATTCAACAAACAGGTAATAAGAATAAGTCACTCAAACTTATCAAGTAGAATTTGTTATCTTGATCTAACACCAAATACTCATAATTAATATATGAGGAAATGTGTAGCAGCTAGAGAGGAGAATTAACAATCAGATCTTGGAAGTTAAAGGGTTGAGATGTAGTCTTTCTGAAAGCAGTCCAGTGCGTTTCTGTTCGAAAAATTAATTTCTTTCAATTTTTCCCAGTGAGTCCATTTTAGTCTAGAAGTATTTGAAACCAATGTCATTTTTTGGTTGGCTCTAGTCAGGGAACGGGGACTTGCTGCCACTTCTTAGTCCCTCAACCTGGGGCAGGAAAACTCTCTTCTCTAATCTCTCACCCTCATTGCCACATCCTTCAAATAAGTGCAGATTTTATTTCAATGGCAAGTTTCAAGCAGCCTTAGGATTGATAACCAGGTGTTGTTCCGGAAAGGAGCTCTTTGAGGACTACACAAATGAACTTGGGAAAGCTTTATAGATCAAGCTAACTTTCACTCTGTAGTATCTGTAGTATCTGTATCTGTAGGTATGTTCTTTGTGAATGGTAATTCAAGGCTGTAGCTGACAGAGGGGCAATGGACTCAATGGTCCCCTCTCTCTTAAAAAAATTTCAAGCAATTTTTTTTTTATGCCATCTGTCCATGGAGTTCTGGGTAAAAAGTTTGAACCTAATTAAATATTTCCTTTGAAAGGTGGTTTTTGCAAGTCACTAGTTTTGGAAAATTGGCTTCTACAGAGCTCTTTACCTCAAACCTTTGCTTTGTTGCCCCCTCTTGGCCAAAAAAAAATTTTCAATTATGGCCTAGTTTGTAATTGGCTTGAATGGGTCTTTAAAATTTTCAGATATTGAAAGCAAGTTCCACAAATGATGCATATTCCCTGATCACTCTCATCGAGGGATATTACAGACTGATGGTTAACCAGTACAAGCTGCTTCTACAAGGTTAGTAATTTGCTGACTGGAGGAATGAGATCTTCTGGGTTTTGCTCCAAATCCGTACATCTTGACCGAATTATTCTGTTGTAGCTAAGGATTGAATTCTTGGAAATAAACAAAAAAAGAACCATTCATCTGTAATGACACATTTTATGTTTATTTCTGTTTGTTTGTTTGTTTTCTAGGCTCCAAGAACTTAAGTGCTGCTATACTTCATGGGCCTATCACGTAAGTGAATGTCTTAATTCAACCCTTTGACCCCTAAGAGTGACCAGCATCTAATTTCTCCTTACAATATCACCGTTAGATCACATGTTAAGGTCACAAGATTAAAAGACATGATCATCAAATGAAGGAGCTTTTGATTGTTAAACAAATTCTCCTTGTCAGCACCATACCTAAGGAAATGCATACTGATTTTAAGGTGTAAAGGGTTTAAACTACCCAGTAGATTAAGACCGGGTTCTTGAGTTTTGTTTTGTCCTAGCTATAGGGCCATGCTATTCGTGCTCTTTCTGTCATAATAATTTCTTAATCATCCTTTCAGGCGTGACAGAGCCTCAAACCTGCTACTTAGAGGAACAGCAGAAGGAGGAACCAAAGATGGCTTTTTCCTGCTACGAAAAAGTCGAGAGGCCTATGACAGCTATATACTCTCAGTCTGCGTTGCAGAGAAAGTCAGGCATTTTGTTATCAAATTCATTGCTGAAACTGGAATGTATTGCTATGAAAGTGACTCAAGCAAAGGATTTTCTGATTTAATGGGGCTGGTGGAACATTACAAACTTTCAGCAGTGAGTTCATTATTTTACCAGCCAAATAAATCATTAACCCCTAAACCCCCAAGAGTGATTAGCATCTAATTTCTCCTTGCAGTATTACCCTTGAATCACACATTAAGGTCACAAGAATAAAGGAAATGATCACCAACTAAAGAAGCTCTTGATTGTTAAACAAATTCTCCTTATCAGCACCTTAGGAAATGTGTAAAGTTTAGTATGAAGAATGTGCATACTGATGTTAGGATGTAAAAGGTTAGCAGAGGAATCAGCAGAAGGACTTATCTGTTTATGAAAAAATTTAAAATGAAATTTAAACTGCTGCATTTAAAACGAATTAACTAGCTAGTTATTTATGACCAAACTTGAAATGATTAAAGAATACTTATGTTTAACTTGCATTCCACTCCAGGATGGACTTCCTGTTTGTTTGGAGCAGATGCTTCCACCAAATTGTGAAGGTGATAATTTTAATTAATGCTGACAGCAACAAAGGATTTTGTTGGACGTATTAAATTGTTATCCAATGCCTTAAGGAGCATGTACTTCGCAAACTTACTTTTAGTCTGTAGAACAAGGAACAAAGATATATATATTTAAGTAATGTGTTGTTGATTCTGAAAGTTTGTTTTAGACCTAGAATTGAATTGTTGCAATTCCACAGATGGTTCTGTGACCTGTGACAATGGATTCTCACTTATCTTAAGTTGAAGTAACAGCCCCTTGATTTTCTAAAGCATTGGATTACTTTTGATATAAAATCTGTGAGAACATCTCATGGTAACCTAAAATATTCAATTTATGGCATTTCCATTGCATCTTTCAGTGTTGGGTAGCAATTGCATATCAGTGTTTGGTGTACATTACACAATATACAGGGATGTAAAGGGATGTAAAAGGAATAAAATGCCCAGAGAATAAACATTTTTCAGCCCTTGTAGGCAAGGTATTATTTCTTACCTCAAGGGGGTATATACCAAATTTAAATGGTTCCCCTTAAAGTTGAAATATACCATGTTGAAATTGTTGACTCCAATTGCACACACAGCTGTTAGGTATTGAATTTTTATAGCCAGTAGCTTCAATTGTTTATTTTTCTATTAGGTTTTGCAGCATTGCTTGATAGACAGGTTTTTACACCTGCTGTACCAGAAGTTCGTCTCCTTGATTCTTCTTACCAACTACAAGACTTGAATCTGGATGAAGAGACATATTTGCTATCGGTAAAACACTACAACTTAAAGTCATTTAATAATTTTACAATACTATATACATTTCTTGATCAGTAGATAGAAACCTTGAACATTCTAAATCTTGTTTGATTTATTCTCCCACTGACACAGCACCACAGTTTCCTTAGTAACTTACTTCCTTGTTATCCATGTGAATGGCAGATGAAAATTGTAAGATTTCTTGCACATACTTCTCTGTCAAACTTCATCATCATTGTCATCATCATCACTGTTGTTGTCATCCTCATTATCATTGCCATGAAAATCATTTATAATAACACCTGTGCAGGATAACTTTTTATGAAAATAGGTGATTCACTTATGCAGTACTCTCCATGTGGGATGGACAAAGTAATCAACATGATTTCTTGTCTCAACATTTCATATCACAGTGCTAATATGCTGGCTTTAAACCTTTTGTATATGTAACAGGGTGAATTTGGTGAAGTAAAGAAGGGTTACTGGGAAAGAGGAGATGAACATTTTCAGGTGGTCTCAAGGGCACTGATCAAACCTCTGGGAAAGAATGTAAGCTACTGTTGAGAATTCTATCATGTAGCAAGACTTATTCATTGTATAACATTCAATTACTACACCACTTCCTCTTTTGACAAACTTCAAAGAGCTGGAAAGCAGATTTGCTAACTTAGAGCAGTCTTTGGTTTGAACCTATGGATAACATGTGGTAGTTAAGTTTGATCACCCACATGAATGAAGTCCTGAGAAGGAATGTTGTCGGTGATGGTGACTGACATTTTAGCAAGTGACTCTGATGATGACTTCCATTTAGGTTGTTGAAATGTCAGTCACCATTAATTACTGCCAACAGTCTTTCTGAGTACACTCACTGGGACAATCTACACTGTCACGTAGAACAGACTTGCCTACAAAATTATCACAACTAGGAACTAACCAAGCCTAGTAAATGAATAATTTGTAACATCAATGATAAAAGTATCATTGGATGATGAGTTTATTATTTCATGTCCCTAGAAAATCTTTAGCTTCAAAGAGTTTATGACCAAGTTCACAGAGCTGAAGAACACGTACCTGACTATGTTTTATGGCATACAAGAAACTGAAAGAGCCTTGATCTTTGTATTTGAATGGGTACCAGAAGGTCCTCTTGATCAATATGTTAAGAATGAAAGGTAAATTGCTCTTTCAATTGATAAGTAATGGGACACATGACCTTAATCACCAGAATTTGCCACCCCAGTTGTCATTCCTCTAAATGTGACCATTTATAAACTGTAACACAGTGGCCCGATCCTCTCATGGATGGAAGAATGTCACCCTCTCTATCTCCATCCCATTAATTTCATATCCCCTTCCTCTCTTTTACCCCCCTGCCCCCCCCCCCCCTTCACTCACCTTCAGCAGGGGAGTGTTGGAAAATCAGGCTCTTAAGAGAAGAGACATAGTGGGGCACTTCCTACATGAATATAAGCTACTTCATATGAAGTTGTAAGACCAAGCATTCAATTCCTCCTTTCTAAGGCTCATCACTGTGCGGTAATACACAGGGTAAAGAAGCCATGCACATTCCCTACTGGCACTTCTTCCCCTGGACGTGATGCAAGCTGTTGAGATGATATAACTGAGACTTCTGGCTTCTTTGCCTTAAATTTGCCTGAATTTCATAATTGGCTGAGTGTAATCACTCTGCCTGATAGGGTCAGAGCTACACTATGCCATAGAGCATGTGATCCTATAGCTAGTTCCAAATAGCAACATGAAAGAAGAAAAAGGCATGTGAAGCTTCTGTGGGCAGAAAAAGGGGAATTGATGTGATTCAGCTGTTGTGTTTTGCAAGGGTCTGATAAGAAATTTACAAATTGCAATTTTAAAATACACATTTAATGAGGGACCTTGAGGTTTTAATTTTGACATAAACCCACCCATAAAAGCATTGTCCTATTATTCCAGATGGCTGTCTTCTACAGAGTGATATAGGCCATTTGATTTTCATCATACTCCAATTAAAAAATGATAACAAAAGATAAATTTTTGCAATAATATTAGAATAGTTGACAAATTAATTTTATTTTGCAATTTTTTTTCTGCAGCAGTAAAGAAGAAAATGGAATGACAATTTCCAGGCTCGTTTCATATTTAATGCAGATTGCAGAGGGGATGATGTTCTTGCACAGCAAGGTAACCAGACAAGCTCAGCCTATGATGGTAGCTTCATATTAGATAATTCCAAATTTAAAGTTGTTTTAGCCAAATTATCAGTCACAAGAGTGTAGTATTTGTGGCCATCTGCAATGAAAACCACATTAGAGCAATTGGATTTTTTTAAATTTTATTTCATTCAAAGAGTATTAATTTTTACCTCATTCTCATCCACTCTATCACGATGTTGTTTTTTCTCATATATTTTATTATTATTAACTTATTTCTTAATTCCAGGATTGTGTTCATGGTAGATTGTGTGCACACAATGTACTAGTCGTTGACTCAGAATGTGTCAAGCTCAGTGATTTCTACCTGATACAACTTCAAAAGAATGGTCACAGCTTCTATCATGGGTCCCAAAGTGGACGCAGGTGAGAGGCTTTGTGATGTGTTTCAACACTCTTGTCTAGTGCCTTCATTAGGGGTGATGATGAAGGTACATGACAGGAGTATCAAAACATTGGGTCTTTGAATTTTAAGTTCTCAGTTACTTTCATGAAATCTGTAAACCAGAGTAGCATTAAACTATATCCAAACACTCTCCTTTCTAGTACCAGAGGATCATGCCATGGATTGGCAAAGCAGTAGTTTAAGGCCTCATTTGAACTTTTGTCAGTTTTATCTAAAATGCTACTGAAGGACAACATTCAACAATTATCAAAATAAAGCTGTCTGAGGTCCTGTCCCAGCCTGTTTCCGAAACAATTAGAAACTGGAAAAGGCTAAGGAAACATTGTAGAACTTGGAGGATAATACTTAATACTGTCTAAAATGTTTTAAAAAAACCATACCACATGTTTGAGGAATACCACAGTGCTGCAAGTTGGTGTTAAAATTATGGAAATACTACAAGAAAAATTGTCCAATACCGCAATACGGCAAACCCCAATGTTCTGCCTGTTACGTCATACTGAAACAGTTACTGTAACAGTTGTGCTTTACCTTTAACTTTACCTCTAACATGTCTTCAATAGTTACTGTTGGTGGTCACCTCAGGCTTTGCTTGACAAGAAATTCACCAAGGAAAGTGACATCTGGTCATTTGGAGTCACAGTCTGGGAATTGTTTACAATGAAGAAGCCTTATCATTGTTCTTTCACAGACCATGTGTTGCCTTATGAAGAGGTATTTAAAATGTTTGTTGTTGAAAATACTTTTAAGCCACTGGTGACATTGTAAAGTGCAGTACATCGCTGCAAGTAAAAATATCAATGCAACAATTAAGTTAAAGGCTTGTGCAATACAATGTCTTAAAAGGCAAGAGAGGTTCATAAATAAAACTTTTATCCTGTTCTCCATGACATGGCTATTCAAGAAGAAATGCTGCTGTATGAGCTTCTCTTTTCCTTCAAGCAGTGGTTAACAATTTATAATTCAGCAGAGGCAGCAGAACACTTTGAAGTGTGAGGGACCAAGGGTATACTCGGTTTCTCAAACACAGGCGACACCACAGTCATACCACATCTAATTTTGCCGAGCACAATCCTGATGAAACAATTTGGAGAGATTTTGAGACTAAATGTTTTGTCAAACTAATTTAAGCTGTTTTAGCAATATTGTCGGCACTGAAGTGTTGGAAGGGGGGGGAGGTGGACTGACTTAGGTTGAGCTCCTTAAGTTTTGGATGGGAGTGATGAAGCCCCCCACCCCCTTGTTCCACCGCCCATTTTTTGAAGGAATTGTCTTGTATTTAAAGCAATGATGTTTTTGAGTGAAGGAAAACACGATATGGAACTTCTTGTACATGTATTAGTCACTTAGTGCTTCACATTGTCCAACCAATATCCCTTGACAGGTGAGGAGTCGATATATGGCAGCACGTTATCTTGTTCCCAAAAGGTGAGGAAAAGTCTTTGTTGGGCCCTTTATGCAAGAAATTCTTTCACTAATAAATATCCATGAAATGAGATAATTATACTTAGTATTTTGAATCATAAGTTTAAGATTCCAATGACTCTAAAAATTATGTTTCAGCCCAAACTGTCCAGCAAGTGTGGCAAATCTAATTGAGAGATGCTTTGCTCCCAAACCAGAGGTTAGCATAATTATGTTTTTTTTTTTTCAAATTTTATTTATTAATAAATGTTTGTGTGGAAAAGAAAGTAAAGTTCTTGCTCATGTCTTGTAAGGAAGGGCTCAGATGCTCTAAGGATCCGCTTTAGAAACTCTCTATGGTGGCCTTCTTAAATTTCTTCAGCAACTCAGTGGATTGTGATAAAACTAGGTTATTTTTATAAGACATGCTCTCTATGGTGTACAAGGGCATCTACATATATTGAATTTCATTGAAACCCCTTTAATTAATCATTACTATATTACTGTCTTACACCCCACAGGACAGAATGTGTTTCAGGGATTTGGTGACAGAGCTTCGATCACCACAATTAAGTGAGTCAATCATGTTATCTGACTTTCACTGCTGATTTTGGTGCAGTCTGCTTTTCTAGTGTCTAAGAGTACTGAGTTTGACTTTGATTGGAGATGGCTGACTACAAAAATTAACAGAAAAGAAGTTTTTACCAGTCAAAGGTTATAAGAGGGATGTTCTTTTTAGGAATGTTTGACACTTGGACATGTAAGATGTCTAAGTAACGACAATGGGGCTAACTTTAGAGGGTTTGCCTAGATTTGCAATGGATTTAAAATGGATGATATGTTGTTATTCCCAGTATAGTTGCTACAGGTATCATTTTGTTGTCAGTATAATTTCATAGATTTTGTTTTTTTCCCTTTTTCTGTTTCCTTTTGAATGGTGACGAATTTCTGAGATTGTTCAATTAAATTTATGCCCTTACAAATGAGGTAGCAAAGGTTTCAGTGCTGTAGTTGAATACAGAAACAGTTTTTATATGTTGAGGGACACACCAACTCCAAGAAAAGTGACCTAAATATTTAACAGAAATTTATTTTGTTTCTAGTTTCTGATGATGACGCTTCCCAGATCCTCCTCCTCCCCCTTGATTTCACAGAGGTGGAAGATTGGGAAATTCTGCCATCTTCTGAGAATGAATTGGAATTACAGGCCATGCAGACAGACTCTCAGGTAATCTTAACCAGCAAAGATCTTTTCTCTGCCATAGCATACCTTCCACAAGTTAAGAAACTATTTATCTCATTTAATTCAATGTGATCAGATCCCTGCATGCCCTGATCAACACATGGCTTCATAGTTCATTGAGTCTAGGTAAGATAAAGTCTGCAACTCATTCCGCTTTTGGTAGCATGAAGCCACTAGGAGTCTTAATTGCCCCCACCGGATGGGATGCTAGTCCATCATTTCATCTGGCATCCCTGACAACTTGCCAGTACCCTTTTGTACTCCTGGGTGGAGAGTGGCACTCTGAAAGTAGATTAATTTGCCTAAGAATGCAGCTCAATTACCCTGCCTGGTCTCAGAGCTATCTAGACCTTTTTACCCAGAGTCCAGTGCACTGACCATTTAGGCAACACATCTCCTAGTTCATTATATAGTAGCATCAAAGTAGTATCTGGGAGGCATTGGTTTGAATTATATCAAGGCCAGAATTAGCTTACTCTGTGATACTAATTTCCCACACTGTGCACAGAAAGGGTGTAGCATGGACGTATACCTTTTAACAGAAAGAACTTGTGACCTTTGAGATTCTTGTGGTACAAAACTGATTTGGAAGGCTTTGTCATCTTTTTTCTTATTCAAAGCAAATTTGATAGGGTGGATCTAATCTATATATTGCCTTTCTTTGGTTAGTAAGTATTTGTATTTTTTATGTTTTATTCCTACTATCAGCTGCATCCATTTGATCATGCCAGTTTATCTAAATTGCAAGTTGACAGACAATTGGAAAATGCCCCTTTTCAGCCAAAAATCAGGAAAGTCCAGAATGTATCAATCAGCTGCCAAAAATCTGTACAAGGTCCCAATTTGCTAATTTGGTGTCATCTCTCTTCTTTTAGGTCTCCAATGTGGACTATTCTTGCCTCCCTGGTACTGACGATGGTGAAGACTACAACACTACACTTCCTGGCATTTCACTAATCAGCAGCATATCCCTCTTTGACAATGCAATTTCAAGGAAGAAGAGCCTCTCAAAGACCTTTTCCTTTCCTTGTTTGACATCTGAAAATGATTATGAAAGTTCTTTACCATCCAGGGGGCTAGAGAATTTAGATGTTATGAGACAAAGAAGTGGCACTGGCATCAGTTCTTGTCCTCCATCTCTCCAGACTAGTAATGAAGGATCACTTGAAAGAACAGGACAGCAGATGGAGCCCACTGAGACACAAGAAGAAGCAAGATATGTTCCAGCTCCCTTGGCTGCATTGCCAAGAACAAACCAACAGACAGTTCTTGTGTTCAGGAATGGTACAGAAGACCTTACTGAAGCACAGTCAGAAGAGACAAGCAGCAGTGACAACTGCAGTAACGATGATGACACAGCTGGAGCTGAGGCTTTAGCAATGCAGTCCTTAGGGAAGCACCTCATTATGTCAGACCTTGATGAGCACCTCCATTCATCAGCAGTGGATACAGAATTTGAAATGTTCTCAGTTATTCCTGATGGTGATGTTGATCAAGGTGATGAAGAAGATGTTGAGCAGTTATCCGAGTTTGGTTCATCTATGTACATCAGTCTTGAAAAGGCTACAAAGGATAGCTCAGTTACTAAGGTTGTCCAGCCTACATGTCATACAGAAGAGCAACATGGGAAATCTAGAGCTGGGTCATATGTTACTCTTACCAATGGAACAAGAGGATCAGAACCACAAGATAAACCCAAAGGTTCAGCCTTCTTGCAACTTGCATCAACAGGCCATGGAGAAAATGGAGTCAGTTCTTCTCTTGTTCAAGCCACACCTCTACCATCTCCTATAGTCAACATAGCTGCAACAAGTGGAATGACCCAGACTACTGAACATCAAAATGTAAAGGAGATGGTTGATTCCCCATATCAGAGCCACTCAACAGCAAAACAGAGTCAGCAGCAAAAGTTTACAAATGAACTTGTGGCACAATTTTCCAGCAGCAATGATCTTCCAGAAGGAATTGAGCATTCGGATGATGAAGATAGTGGACTTATCACAACTTCTTGCACGTCACCAGATGAGTTTTTAGCCTCTTTTACTAGTAATTGTGTTACAAAAGAGACTGAATCATTTTCTCTTGAGCTGTTGTCAGAAATTGATAATTATTCACTTGAGGAAGGGTTTTCCCCCTTAATTACTGACCTGCAAGAGGAAAGTGGCATCAACAGTGCAGATTTTTGTGGTAATGCAGAACTAAGCCTGGGTAAATGTTTTCGGGATGATACTCTGGGATTATATGCAAATAACATACCAGATCAGTCATGTGAAGACAAGGACAATATCCCTTTAGATTCCCAGTTCTATGAAGATACAGAGCTTGAGGGTCGTGAAAGCTTTTCGTGTGTGATGGCTTACAATCAAGAAGAGGATGAAAACAAGCAAGAAGATAGAACTAGAACTTTAACAAAGAGAGGGATTAGTGGGCATGGTCTAGAATTCCCAGCATTAGCCGATCCATTGGCCCCAGTAACTGAGTCAGCTTGCTTTCATCTGCCAGAGATGATGGAAACAAACTCTGAAGAGGAGAGTGAAGATGAAGATGCTGAAAACACAGAAAATGAAGACACTTCATTGCATCCAGGTCTATTTGAAAACACCATCTTGATGTTTGACCGGGCACAAGAACATCTGGAAATGAAAGAATTTACCCTGAACAACCTCTCAAAAGAACAGGATAAACCATCTGAGCACCTTGATTTCAAAGAAGACCACTTTGTGGGCCAGATTGATGAGACAGGAATAGAAGACACTTGTTCACTTAGTGATGATCAGGAAGCCAGAGGTGGTTTTGAAGAAAATGTTTCAGAAAGTCATGATTACAAGAAAGAGAGTGACCTGAAAGGTATACCAAACTTTTATACATTTACAAAAATCAATTTTCAAGCTTCTTAAGCCCTTTGATACCCACCACAACACCACCTAGCTCAATATTATATCAACCTTTAAATTGATTGGTAAATAAGATCATGAGAATAAAGGAAATTATCACCAAATAAAGAAGCTCTTGATTGTGAAACAAATTCTCCTTGTCAATTCTCCTTAGGAATGTGTGAAGAACAGTATGGAGAAAGTGCATAGTGACATTAGGGTGTATAGGGTTAAAGTCTGGTCATCTCTTTCTTTTTGCATTAAAGTTTTTAGGTATACTCTCCTGACCATTATTTCTTGTCATATAGTTTAATGCCAGGAAAGTTCTTTTCCTTTTGTGTTTATTTTACATGCCACCTCTTATTTCTTTACTATGCAATTAATGCTTCAACAGGTGGAATCTCAAGACATCATGACAGGAAGGTAGAGGGACAACAAGGAAGACCTGTAAATCCAAGTTACAAATTTTTCGCAGATGAATTGCAAGAGCCATTGGATTCCTTCAGCCACTCTTCGTCATCTGACGGAATCTGGCCCTCCCGAAGTAACATGGGATTTAGGAGATCAACAATCGGTATGCAGTCTTGCTGTCAAGTCCATATTCATTTTTAGATATAATTATATAGAATTTAAACCCCTCTTAAATACCCTTGCATGTATTTGATGCAGGAGAGGTGGTGGCCTAATGAGGTAGGGGTGCAAGACCTGGCCTGGTCAGTGGGTTGTGTTCTTTGGGGAAGTGCTTTTTTTGTGCATTGCCTCTCTCCACTCAGGAATATAAATAGGTACTGGCAAATTGTGTAGGAATCTTGATGAAATGCTAGGGGAGAAAACTTACTGTGGAGTGGCCTCTCATCCAGGGGGAGTAGTGATACTCTTAGTTGCTTCATGCTATGGAACTGGGACAGGCTTTTGCTGGGTGAGCCACTGGGCTCAAGTGCAGACTGTATATTTGTTTTCAAAAGATTGTGTCATTATAATTGTTACAAACATTTACAAACAGTTAGTGAAAAGCACCATCATGATGATAAAATAGTCAGCAGAATTCATACTTGCTGAAAGTTCAAGAGAATAAAAGTGTTTTCTTTTTACCTTTAATCAAGGTTCAACCTCTTCCTGTACAGAGGAACCTCCAACTTTGGATTTGAGCAAGATTCCTGATCAGCTTCTCATACCATCTGAAGACTTGAATTTGCAAGATATTCTTGGTCGGGTAAATTGCCCTAATTTCTCTTTCCTCTCAATGTTTTTGTTGCTTCAATTTGTTCCTCTGTTCTTCTCAAGGGTGGAAGAGAAAGTTGATCTTGTCTTTCAAAAATCCCTGACAATCACTTGTTAGAATTGTCAATGGCTGATATCTCTTTCTTTGTTGCCAACAAACACAGGGTCAATTTGGTGAAGTCAGGAAAGCAAGCATTGTATCCTCGAATCAGATGGGAACTCCCAAGGTAATTTCAACAACAACCATAACAGTGATTTAGTCAAAGCATTGTTAAAATGGCTATAAAACTTGTGACAAGTCAAAACCCTTGTCACTCTGTTAATTTGCTAGTCATGCAGTATTGTAAGATTGTGAAAAAATGCTCTTTTTCAATGTAACTGAAACATAGCTGAGTAACACTTAAATTAATGAATATGTACCTTTTCTTATCCACCCTAACATTAGCATTCATATTCTCCACACTTTTCTTGTTAAGTTTTCTATGATACCAAAAAGGAGAATTTGTTTGACAATCAGGAGCTTCTTAAAATGGTGATCATTTTCTTTATTCTCATGACCTTTATACATGATTTAAGGGTAGTACAGTAAAGAGAAATTAGATGCCAGACCCTCATAGGGGTTTAAGGGTAAGCAGTAACTTATTGATTAATACTGAGAGTATGTCATTAGTCATGATCCATTACTCATGAACTTTTCTCCCTTAGAGAGATGAAGTTGCTGTCAAGGTACTGAAAGACAAGGCATCACTTAAGGACTCTACTGACTTTATCAAGGAAGTAGAAACAATGGTTCTGTTAGCATCAAAACAGGATTGTAAATACATCATCAAACTTCGTGGAGTCTCCAAAGGTAAATTAAAAAGATCTTTTATCAACAATTTTTCCCTACTTGAAGATTATTTTGCATCACACACATGCATTATTTGATTTCAACAGGTGCCAGCCTAAAACTTTAACCCTTTAACTCCCAGATCAAATTTGTAATTCTTCTCACTGTTAACCATACAATTCTTAGAATGTTAGTTAAGAGAATTGGATTAATATCAGTATCTGGGCAACTGCCCACCTACCCCTCCCCTAAGTCAACAACAGTCATTAGTTATTCTCATTAGTTATCTGGTTGATTTTGTATTGATATTGTAAGGAGAAATTCTGTCTTGGTCACTCGTGGGAGTTAAAGGGTTAACAGACCAGTATCCATGTTTACTCCTGGAAGTCACTGTGCCCAACAACAAGCCTTCCATTGCATTTTTAAGCACATGAGCATCCATTATGAGACTAACTGTGCAAAAAATTAAAACTAGAATTATATGTCCCACCTGACTGTAGGTGGGTACTGACACCTGTGTCAGTGCCAATATCTGCATTGCTCAGATTTGATTCCTAATATTTCCTGCAAAAATTTGACTCATAGATAGTCTAAAGTTGGAAATGTTATCTCTTATTTCAGATGAGAAAGGAAAACTTATGCTGGTGACAGAGCTTGCTCCACTGGGAGCTTTGGTGCAGTACTTACCCAAAAACAAGGTGGGATACAGATTTACATTAAAATTTTCCCTTTTAGAACAGAGAAACTACGTAACAATTTCAATATGGTTTAGCCTGCTGAAGCAGATTGGTACTCACTGATAAAGTTGATTTTCTGACCTAGAGGAAAACTACTAGGCAAAGCCTATTACTAGTTTGTTTAATATGTGGGGGCGATGAGTTACTTAAAATTATTCTACTAGTGTTTATTGATGAACAAATTCCTTCTCAATTATAAATATCCACAAAAGCCTTTGGACTTCTGAATAAATTATGATCTGCAGGCAAACGTCTTCTTCTGGTCATGGCCAAATGTAGTAAATTTTTGTAGTAGGTAATTAAAATAGAGCAGAAATTTTATTCTACCGAATATTATATTAATTTGTCTATCAATTACATCTATATGCACATAATTCAACCATAGTCCATAAATACTATATTTATTTAACCCTTTAACTTGTTATTTTTGATCTGACTAAAAATTCTCATAACTAATCTATAAGGAAATGTGTAGCAGCTGGAGGAAAGAAGTAACAGTCAGATCTTGGGAGTTAAAGAGTTAACAGTGAAACAAAATGAGAAGAGGTTGATTTTGAGAAAATGACTGTACTATTTTTTTCTCAAAAGGAAATTCTTCAAACACCACAGCTCCTTGAATTCTGTTTGCAAATTTGCAAAGGAATGAATTACCTGGTATGCCTGAATGATTTTCTGCTGATGTTACCTAGAGACCTTTAGACATTTAAAAACAATAGACTTTTCACTCAAAAGTAAGATTACAAACTTCAAGGTTCCTTTGCATGCTCATTAAGGAATATTAACCTTGTCTACGATTTTGAGAGAAGTCTGTCCTTAGATGGTAGAAAGCCTAATTGATCAGGGCATGGTCTGTCATCTAGAATCTTCATAGTATGAAAGATCCGATAGCCCTCCCTTACCGATATGTGCCCTACCCTTTCCCTTTCTTCAGATAAAAACTCTAGCATTGTCATGTCACCTTTGGGCTTTAATTTGTAGCTTTCAATTTGAAAAGAAATTTCTATTTCAAAATTTGTATCAGTTTCTGGTATCAGCATTAAAAACCATTGGTTTTCCAACATAAAAAAATGCCTACTTTACCCAGAAATCATTTAACCTGGGCAACAATCATGTTCCCATAAATGTGTTTTAAAATAGTCCCTCACCACCACTGATAAGAAAGCTATTGTACCCCTCCCCCCTGAAGAGGCACATTAGTCAATTTTTTGGCCAGTTATTTGCAGTGCTTCTTGGAGTGGAGTATTTCTAGGAACAGTTATGCTTTTCAAAATGTGAGATTGCTACAGGTCCAAATGAGGACTTTCCTAAGCCTATTTAGGATACATTAATTGGAGAGGAAGATGTGAATTAAAACATTTACTGCTTTTAGGAAACTCAAAAACTACTTCACAGAGACCTTGCTGCAAGGAATATCCTGGTTATGCGGGAGGACCTGGTGAAGATCAGTGATTTTGGACTCTCCAGGTTGGAAGAATACTACAAACTTCAGGAATCCAGCAAAGTGCCTATCAAGTGGTAAGAGAGAAATTTTTTTAGTAAATTCATTTCTTTTGTAAGGAAATGTGATGGTAGCTTTAATTTGAAAGTTTGATCATCTGAGTGAGTGTAGTCCTGAGAAGAACTGTTGTGCTCAGTAGTGACTGACATTCACCAACCTAAGCAGTATTTTTTTTCTTTTTCTTTTTTGGACTCTGATGATGACTTCCACTAAGGTTGTTGAAACATCAGTCACTACTACCAACAACAGCCTTTCTCTAGACTACTCTTGACCAGACACACATTACCTCCAGGTTCAAACTATTTACTGTTAGGTATAAAGGTTGTCTTATAATAGCTGACAGAGGGAGCAAAAATTGGAGAAACAACTGCTCTTATTTTAACACTTCTGTCATTCAATTGTTGATCCTTTAACTCCTAAGATCTGATTGTTAATTCTCGCCTCTTGCTGCTACACAACTCCTTATAAATAAGTAATTTAGTGTTAACAACTGAGTTGAAAATGTAAATTGATCACTGTGAGGAGTTGAAGGCTGATGTTTCAAGCATTAGCCCTAATCGTTGATCTCTCTGACCATAAAAACTTCTTCCTGATAAGTTTGAGTATTCTCATTAAGCGTTCACTAGAAAAACTATGGATACCATAGGGAGAAGTTACATGTTAGTCACTTCTGGGAGATAAAGGGTTAAAAGAAATCTGGGATTGTGTTACATTGGTCTCTCTTTGCTCCACTTCTTCAGACTGACCCAGAAATTTTGAGCCTTCCTCTCACCCCTTCAGATGCAAAACCAAAATCTTTAAAACTTTGCATCTTTGTCCTTCACTATGGGAAAATAGTAGGAATCAGACTTTTTTGGTCAAAGAAATTGTCTCAGCTGGTTATTGAAACTTAATTTGTTTATTCTCTAATTGACATGCACCTAAAAGTTACTTTTCAGGACCTCTGACTGAAAACCTTGGATAACTGCCTCACAGTTTTGCTTTTCACTTTGGGTTCCAATTTTTTTGCTTGGTAAATTTAAATTCTCTATTGTACTCTTCATTCCAGGTATGCACTGGAAAGTTTGCTAGAAAAACGATTCACAACAAAAAGTGATGTCTGGAGTTTTGGAGTGACTATGTGGGAAATTTTTTCCTTTGGGGAGAAACCATACAAAGATGTTGAAAACCACAAGGTGAGAGATGAGAAATGTCTTTTACTCCTTTCACTCCCGGATCTTGTTAGTAAATTTATGCTCCTTGCTGTCTGCCATACAATTGTTATGATGCTAAGACTAAGAGCATTCCCTTTTTTTTCGCAGAAGTAAACTCACTGCAAGTTAAAAAGAATCAACAAAAAAATTGATATTTGTGTGACGCCTGAAACTTTGGGAGTTAAAGCCACACAAAAAGTAGAAATGACAGTAGTTGCACCTTATTGAAATTAATATTTTATGTAATTGAAAATCACTCAGCCTAGCTTGCAAGGTCAAACTCTGTGGCTTAGCCAGCTCTGTAGTCCTTACTTTTTGTTTGCCTCAATCCCTGAGTTCCGTACAGCATGCTAAAATGAATCAACCCTTTTTTGTTCTTTCTAAAATAAACTTAATTCTTCTTTTTTGACCCACAGCTCTCTGACTTTCTAGAAAGTGGAAATCGACTACCTTGTCCACCTAAGTGCCCACCAAAGGTCTACAAAGTCATGCTCAATTGCTGGATAAAACATACTGGAAAAAGACCAAGCTTTTTCCTCCTGGAAACAACATTTTTTGAAGAATTACAAAAGGATTACCCTCTCAGTGGTTAATTTTGACATTAGAGGGCCAGGATTTTGGCTCCCTCCTTCTTAAACATCACGCTATCTATTGAAATAGGAGAAATGCCAGATTTGTGGGTAATTGCCATTTTATCCATGCCTCAGAGGATGGTTTCGAGTCCAATTTAGTGTTTATTAGATCATGAAACATTACTATAAAACCGTTATTTACAACCATGACTGTTACTCAACTGTCGAAGCCACTCATTACTTAAAGACACAGGCTGCATCTAGTAGATAGCACAGTATGTCTTGCTATCACTTATCCCCTGGATAGCCATTTATCTATTGGGTAGCATCATCCACCCTTTGATTACTTGGTACCAGGTCTACCTTGTACAGAGGTAATGTGGTATCATCATCTGAGTTGATAACATAAATTGGCCACCGTGCTCTGATAAGGGGCTAACACTTGAAATTTCAGCTTTGAAACTCTTATGGGTGGCCAATTTCTGTTTACTTATCAACTCAGTTGATGATAGCAAGTTACCCTGTTATACTCTCCCACATACACAGCACCACAGTTTCTTTAGAAACTTACCCCCCTTAACTTGTTATGGTCTGGTGTAACAACACCTCTAGCAGCTCTTACCTTTAAGACAATACTGTGTTCAAATTAGAAACCAAGGTAAATCAGATCTCTCAGTCCATATACAGATCTAAAATATCTTAGGTGAAGATTTTATTCACAAAAAGGTCCTGTGCTAGAAAATAACACACAACTTCTCTGTCCTACCTCTTGACCATTAGAAAAAGACCAATGTTGCAAATATTGGTACCAGTTTTCAGCACCCATGTTTCAATTATACTACTGGCTTTAAGTATGTTCATTTTACTGGATCCTAAATTGTGATTGACTACCCAGATAAGTCACACGGTCAAAACTTCACTCCACTCATTTCAATTAGCATCATACATCATCAATGAAAATACAAGTATCTAAAGTTGGTGGCTACAATTCAAGCTATCAGAATGTTTTGAAACTTGCAACATGGTTACAAAAATGAACAGAACTTGCAACATTCAAATTACAGAGGAGTGCTATAACAAAAAATTTAAAGAGAGAAAATTAGCAATTTTTTTTTTGTCCATTTACTTGTTCTCAATTTTCCCATTGAGGTTGAATCCCATTAAATTCACCGTGTTTAAATTTAATTGCATTGATTAATATGCTTATTAAGTAGCTTGAAAATTACAATGTTCCTGCTTAATTATAGTATCAGTTTGAGTTTTTTAATAATTAATATTTTAGTTGGTGGAACCATCACCAAGTGTCAAGTGCAATGTATCCATTTTCGATTGTATTGAGTGTGTAATATGTATTAGAACACAGTCTTGTTAATTTTGACTGGAGTGTAAATGTAAGTTTTCATACAAAGCACAATGCATAGAAGAGCTGGAATGCTTTTGTGATTATTAAACTGTTATCTCACAGCCATATCGTCAGTCTGTTGTTTATTAAATTTCATTGTTTGTATCCCATTGAAGTTATTCATGTAATTTTTACTGCAAATGTTTTTTCCTGAGTTACTTATTAATCTTACAAGAAAAATTAATCCATACATTATTTTTGTTTGACTCTTTAATCCCAATAGTGACTTCAGCATATAATTTCCTTCCACAATATCAACCCTGAGACAAATTTGAAAGTCATAAAGGAAATGATTACCAAATAAAGCAGCTCTTGGTTGTTGAACAAATTCTCCTTATCAGCACCTTAGAAAAATGTTTAGCAAACAGTATGAAGAAAATACATACAGATATTAAGGTGGAAAGGGTTAATAAAATATAATATTTGAATAATATTTTAAAACAGAAAACTTTTTGTAAGGGAATGGAAATTTTGAAGTCAAAGTCTTATCCATTAAAGAATTACATTTTTGCTTTACGTAGGATGTCTGACATTGATGCTTCTGTTTACTTAATGCTACTTTACTGGAACTGTAACAATGTAAGGACCACATTTATCTGAAGAAAGCTATAGAGCAGATTTGTACTAAAAATATCAGTTTTATTTCAGAGTTCAGAGGTCTAAAAATTGTATTACAACTCAATAAGTTACTACTTTTAACCTGCTGATTTAATCATTGTCAAGTCATGCAAACTTGACTGCAATAATTTAATGTATCACATTAAGCAATATTGGCCTAATGTTGGGCATAATGTTTTACTCTGTGACCTTGGTCTTTGGCATGGACAAGAGGAAAACATAACTTGGTCATCGCTTCCTGATATAGGCTAACACACCCACATGCCAAATACCATAATGTCATGCAATGTTGGCACAAAATTATTTACCTTTATGACTGTCTTCATAATAGCTGGAATGGTACTCCTTGTTCAAACAGACATACGTCATTGCCAATGACATGTTGGCCAAGATTGGCATACAAAAATAAATTTTGGTCTCAATATATACCATGACAGTTCAGTAACAAATGGTATTGACAAAATCGTTATGAGAATGTTCAGATAGTTTACTGAATTCCATTATTCTATGTGGTTGGCAGGTTTGTGTGTCCTTTGAAGCTTGAAAGAGACAGAAAATAGTACAAACGCCAATCTAAACTTTCCTGCTCACCACTTTTCAAAGAACAGACAACAGCGTACCAAAACATCAAGCCAGCTACACAGGCTAAATTGCATTTACTGGAAGGTTCATCATCTTTCTGCCGTGAACACCGACTGACACCACTGCACAAACCATTCACACATATCTGATATAAGCTCATGATTCACTCTGCCATGTAGCTTTATATGGTCTAATGATAGTTCAGTATCAAATGGCATTGACAAAATCGTTATGAGACATGTTCAGGCAGCGTTTGCACTCAAGCCTGATTGATTGAGCCACTATTGCAGATCATTAGAAGACGAGTATCCCTGGTAACGAATGCCTCAAGAGCAGTAAACATGGCTTTCTAAATGTCTTTTGTGTCACCAACGTAAAAGAAAGAAAGAAATTGTTGGGAAAGGTTCTACAAAGTCCAGAATTTGACGCAGAAGATGATTTGAGGTCCGGGATACTCCCTGATATTCATTATCACATGTTGGCTTTTACTGTAAACAATGGATATTCATGGCGAGAAGTGACTCTGCTGTGGGAGGTATTTCAAGATTTATTAAACAAATTTCAAGGTGAGCTATTACCAGGATTGGATGCAGATCAACATAAATACAAATGTCTTGAAAAAGCCATTAAAAAGACACATATACCCATGTAATCAATACAAGTTCCATGTAGCATTTATGCTTACTTTCAATTCGTCGATTGATGAATGCTGTCGCTGCCGGTGTTATGTGCCACTTAACTATGGATACAAGTCTGGTTAAGGTATGAAACACCATTACCTTAGCCACATATCAGCCTTTTTTTATTGTGATTGACTTTGTGCTCAATTATCCCAAACTATCTAAACTCATTCACTGTCTTGTGTCTTTGACATGTACAGAATTTAATGTAAAAATTCAGGACTTGTCGTATACAGAACAAATGATTTGGTCCTATGCAAGAATATGTCATCAAAATCTTAGGGCTGAAAAAATTACGTAGGTGACTGCTGTGGAAAACAGAATCCAAAGTTCTTTTCTGACATAAGATCTTGTTGAAACGCTAACGGCTTTGCTTGTGAAAGATCTGAATCAGCAAATTTGAAGATTCAATCAAAAGATTTGGACTTGAAGATGGGTAGTTACTAAAACAAGGAATGACCTAAAATGACCTAAAACGACCTAAAACGACCTAAAATGACTTGAGTTTGCAGATTGGATCACAGACCGGATTACGGATGGGATCACGGATTGGATCACGGATCGGATCACGGATCGGATCACAGATCATGGATCGGATCATGAAAAATAAAATTAGAAATTTTGTGCGACAAGCCAAAATAAAGTCTGCATGACAAAATAGAGTGTAGGCCCCTTTGGGAGTCTTTTTTTTGCCCAAAAATCCCATGTAGTCAATTTCACGGCTGTAGTGAGGAGTGTTGTGTAGTGCCACCATTGACGAAGGCAAACTGGAGGCATGTATCATTTCATCAGTCATGTTGAGAAAAATGCAAGACAATTCACAGTTGCTTCTTAAGGTCCTTGAGCTTCTTCCGTTGCTGATGCAAGGACTCAAGTGCTCCACATTGCAAACTCAAAGTCTCAGGTACTATTCAAGGCACATGACCTGCAACAGATCCCTATGATATTCAACCAACAACCAAAAATTATTTCAGCAACATGTGGTTAGTCATGCATTCCTCTCAATAACATTTGTGTTTGGCGGCTGTTTGAGATTAGTGGAAGCATTTAATTGCCACTCAGATTGAAGACAAACCAGAAGAAATTTGGAAATCCCGTTTGAATTTTTGACAAAAACCGAAAACCAAATGCTACATCACGTAATAGCCACAAACCGAAATGAACAATCTGATCGGATCCGATCCAGTCAAGTCCAGTCCGATCCATATTTTGTTGATGCCACATTGTCACGTCACTTAAGGTCATATTAGGTATTTTTGGTAATTTAAGAATTCACTCAAAGTCATTTTGGGTCATTTTAGGTCATTTTAGGTCGTTTTAGGTCATTTTAGGTCATTCCTTGTTTTAGTAACTACCCTTGAAGATGGTACATGTTTTAAATTTTTCTGCCAACCTAAATTTAGTCTTTGCTGCATCATTTATGTGTTTCATTTGGAGCAATATAACACAAGAATCTACCTTTTTATTCCAAGACTTAAAGCTAAAGTTATACTGATTGGCTGTAAACCTTCCTGTATACTTTTCTGGGAAGTGAAATCTAATGACTTATGTTGCAGTGCAGTTTGTCTGTTTGCTGTTGAATGGTAATTAGGTGCTTTCCCTTTTGATGAGATGTTATTTGAAGAGACATAAGTTGTAAAAAATGATTACAATTGGTCAACCAGAGCTCTCATGTCCATTTACTGGCAAAGGGTGAGATGTCACGGGCATCACCTCTTAAGGGTGGCAAGGGAAAGAGGGTATGGGGGCATGTTTCCCCAGAAAATTGTAAAAAAAAAAAAATGAAATAGATAAGATGTGCGTTTCTTTAATCTGAGAGAGAATTTCTGCTGTTGAAAAGTGTGCCAAGTGAGTGCACATGGAAATTATATTTGGAAGGATAACTAATGTTATAGGTACTTAATGAAAGCAGCAATTTCCTTTTGCAAAATCAACAGAATAAATTTGAAACCTTAAAGGAGTGAGAATTCATGGCTTTAGCATGAGAGTGTAAGATTGAATTTGTTTGCATGAGTCTCCTACTCAATGCATGAGACTCGAGAGCTCTAAGTCAACTCAACACATTAAGCTGCTACAGCATATTTTGCTTTTGTTTCTTTTATTTACCCAGTAATTTAGAAGGGATTCTTCAATTCATGCCATTTATTTATTAATGGTGCTGTAGATTTTTAGTGGGAAGGGAGGTTCAATGTAAAAGGAAATGATAGCATTAGGGCTGGAAGACTAAAATAACATTGCAACGTTCCAAAAAGAAAAAAAATTTCCAAAGTTAAATATTTTTGTTCTATCTTAGAATAATGTTCACTTACCAAGTGTCAAGCACAAAAGCAAAATCAAATAGTGGAATTTAATACAATTAAAATTGAGCAACTGTATTTTCAAATGGTTTAAGAACAAAGAGGCAATTGTAATACTGTAATTAATGCTGTCTTTACTGCCTCAGGTTTAAACTTCACTAGTAACTTCTAAATTTTATCAGGCATTAACCCCTTGAGGACACTATGACACTGTTTAAACAATAGCTCAACCAAATTGCCAATTACTCCTGCAAAACAACCTTAAATCTATGATAGATTTTGTTTTCGTGACATTTTTTCAACACCGCAAGCTGTATCAATTTGTTCTACACAAGAAAGAGCTGATGACATCACCAAGTGTGAGCTGGTTATTGAGTCTCCCTTGGTTTTAGAACCTGTAAGGGATGGTGTAGGAGTGTTTGGGATGAAGAACAGAGAATAAAACAAATTAAACAGATGGAGCGAAAGTACCTCCAGGTAGCAAGTCAAATTAAGACATAATGTTCATTCTAAGAAGTTGTGCTACCTAATTCACCTCAGAACCTTTCCTACTTGAATCAGTCTATTTCAATGTGTATTATGCTCTTTGTCAAGAATGACATTTTATGGGAACAAAAGTGTAACAATATGCTACAAAAGAAAAAATAGTTAAGCACATCTATTTAACAAATAGATTCCAAGTTGCCATGCATCTGTTCAGTAATAGATCACAGATGAGGTCAAAATGTGGTAAGAACAAAAAAGTGGCACACGAGGTGCAGCCGAGCCGGTGTGTCACTGATGTTCTTACCACATTTTGATGTCCTCTGTAATCTAACTGAACAGACGCACGGCAACTTGGAATCTATTTGTTTTATGTAATAAAGAATTAAAAAAAAGTTTTAATAATGACTTCATCTACACGTCTGTCCCTCGATAGATCATAAGTGAGAGCTAATCAGAATGCGTGTATAACTGAGCCTATTATATAATTCATTATGAAACAGGTGATCATTATAGTGTTGAATCTGGCACTGTATTAAACAGTCACCCTGTAATAAAATGGTCAGTTGTCACTGTTTTTCTCCCCTTAATTACTATTAATTTACAGTAATTTTCACCTCTATTAAGTGGTCATGGTCATCCTTGACTGAGTCCCAGCTTCTGGTTTGTATTGTCTTCTACTTGCAAGTGTTGAACAGTCACTTAAGAAGAACCTCTCAAATAAAACTAGGGATAGTACTTTGAGTTCAAATGTGCTCAACGTATGGCAAATTATCTAATTCTTCTCAGAACTGTGGGGACAAATATTATGCACAAGCATTGTGCAAGTCAATTGGCCTGTAGTTATGACCCAGAAGTCCAACTTATAGACAATAGTCTACAGTAATCCTGCTCTAGTCTTCTTGTTTGGTACTATGTCACCATTTTGTTGATTTTGTTTACTGATATTAACTTATAGTCAATACATTTTTAGGGAGCTTTTGAGTAAACTTTAAATTAAGTGTTCAATTATGGCATAAAATGATGATTTTTACTGTATTTTACTCATATTCAGTGGAAACTGTGTGAGGGGTCTCCTTGCAATTCCCTGTGGGTGGCTGCTCTATACAAGTTGAACTGTATGTTGTTAGCTTTTTCTTCATCAATCACTGTTATTTGACACTGATACTGTTCTCTTTTCTATTTAGGAAAGAGCAAAATATCACAAAAATGAAATCCAACAAGCTGTCCAGCAACTGGAGCAGCAGTTTTTGGAGTTTGACCCATCACCAGAAAACTTATCCGCAGAAAATGTAGCCACAATTGCAGCTAATGTTACTGCTAAAAAGGCTGTTGTGACAAGTGCCACTATCAGTTATAAAATTGAAGAAATGCACGATTTGTTCAAATTCAAGTATACAAGGTTAGTCAGGAGAATGATCTCACTGCACAAGTATACTTTTCAGTTGTAAAATGTACTTTGGTATTATCTTGTAACTTTCAGAGAAGTTATTTTAGGGAAAATTTCGCATCATTATTTCTCACTGAATTAATCAACATTGCGTGCTAATTATATGTAGCTTTACAGACTCAGAGTTAATTTTTCTTCTTTTCAAACTTATGATTGCTAATGCTTTAAATTTCCAATGAACCTCTATCACAACATCCACTTAATTTTTCTTTCCTTTTGCTTAACAGTGAATTGCTAGGTTGCTGATTCTTAGAAGAAACTGTGTGTATGCAAAGGCTTGCAAAATTTGTCCACTACAAAACAAATATAATTTTTGGCATCACTTGGCATTTCTAAACAAATAGAGATATTTCTCAAACAGCTTTGAATAAAGTTTTCTGTAGAATTGAGTGGAAACTGGGAGAAGCCCTGCTCTGCATAAGTGTCTCTGTTCATGTAAAATTTTCACCCCCAAGATCTCACTAGTAATTCTCCTTACTGTCTGTCATACAATTCTTATGATGCTAGCTCAAAGAATTTGGTATTGGATCAACTAATATTGCCCTAATGGACATTTCATTTATTCTCGTTACTTGTCAGCTTGACATTGTATTGACATTGTAATGAGAAATTATGTCTCTATCAGTCATGAGAATTAAAGCGTTTTAAAAGAGATTGAAAGATATGTTCAAAAGTGTTTGGACACAGAAATTCTAATCACCCACTTTTTCAAAAAAGTTTGTAGAGATCAAAAGCATTCTTAAAAAAGTGTGGAAAGTTACATTTTGATTCTAAAGTCAAGCAAAAATCATTAAAACTGAGAATGAAAGTGCTAAGAAAAGTGTTATGTTTTCTTTTAGCTGCAACAAGTAGAAATCTTTGTGAGGTTTCCTTGCCTCCTCTTCCTATTCTCTTTGCCTGTGGGATTCATTTTTTTGCTCTCATTTCTTTTCTGTTATTTAATTTTTGCGTGCTGTTTTTTTTTTGCTCTCATCTCTTTTCTGTTATTTAATTTTTGTGTGCTGAGATCCACTGATTTCATAAATCTTGCCTTTAAAAAGGTTGATAGGTGTCCTTAAAGTGTCCAGGAACATACCCAAGGAAATATGCTACATTGATTTCATGTCACTTGATATTCTACTGTTGGTTCAAGACATGGTGTTGAATTTTTGTTCAGGGTTAAAAGGAGGAGAAAATCGTTTAATTTGAGATAGGGTAAGGATTTTCTTTAGGGATGCTTCACACCCTCACCTTGAGGGCTAAATATATCACCACAAAAAGTTGAAATCGGTTAACAAAGTTTATTCTACAATGATAAATTTGAGAGGTTTCGCTCTATTAACAATACCTGGTTAATTAAAATATTAAATGTTCAAGTCTGATGCCTCATCTCCAGATTTTGAACATCAATTCTACAATAATTTATGATATCAAACGAATAACAGCCCATAAGTATGTACAAAAATTATATTGATATTCAAAAGAAGTGCAGAAACCTCTCTAAACCAAATTGTTTGAATGTGATATAATCTTACAGAAATAACCTACAAAAAGGCCTTCTGTCTTTGAAAGCGCGACGATTTGATTTACAATTTCGTTATAACTCTTTTTTCGATATTTTGCCAGAAGTGTGAAACTACTTGAACCGGTTTGCTTCAACTAAAAAAAAAAACTATTGAAAACACGACCAATGAAAAAAAAAACTGTAATCCATCAAGCAATCTGTAGTAGATACACTCATCTGCTCCGCTTAAGATCTCCAGTGACACTTCATGCAATCAAAACATTCATAAGCATGGAGAGAATTTAGGATCAAAACTCACCAATCATAAATTGACGAGGTTTCCTGAGAGGTCCGAGGTTTGATTGTTCTCTCTGCAGTAAGCTTTGTGTTTTTACTTCAATGTTATTGGTTCGTTTATACAAGAAAAATAGTTTGACATCCTTTGTTCTCAATAAACATCTTCATTGGTTCATTTTTCTTCATTTCGATCCGATTCAAATAATCTCGCTGCTTTGTGCAGAGTTAGTTTTCTCTCATTCACGTTTTTGTTTTGAGTCATTGGGTTTAGTTGTCACTGAGCTGGTTACCTCGCGGATATTTTGAATAGTAAGTGGTTCAAAAAATTTAGTTTTAGTTTTAAATTGGAATTGGTGAACCCTAGAAAATAGCTTACACTTCGACTGGTTATTGCGAAGTAAATTGAGTGTATGTTGCTTAACATACTGTGATTTGATAATTCTGTGCAAGGTATAATGTTCGTTGCTGACAGTTGTTGTTGTTGATGGCTTTAGCCAAGTACTTTGCTCCAATGTCTGAAATGTTATTTCTTGTGAGGTCTAACGTGTGTAGCTGACAGTTGTTGTTGTTGATGGCTTCAGCCAGGTGCTTTGCTCCAATGTCTGAAATGTTATTGTCTGAGAGGTTTAACGTGTGTAGCTGACAGTTGTTGTTGTTGATGGCTTCAGCCAAGTGCTTTGCTCCAGTGTGTGAGATGTTATTGTTTGTGAGGTTTAACGTGTGTAGCTGACAGTTGTTGTTTTTGATGGCGTCAGCCAAGTGCTGTGCTCCAATGTCTGAGATGTTATTTTCTGAGAGGTTTAACGTGCGTAGCTGACAGTTGTTGTTGTTGATGGCGTCAGCCAAGTGCTGTGCTCCAATGTGTGAGATGTTATTGTATGAGAGGTATAACGTGCGTAGCTGATAGTTGTTGTTTTTGATGGCGTCAGCCAAGTGCTGTGCTCCAATGTGTGAGATGTTATTGTGTGAGAGGTTTAACGTGTGTAGCTAGAGGTTTAATGTGTGTAGCTGACAGTTGTTGTTGATGGCTTCAGTCAAGTGCTGTGCTCCAATGTCTGAGATGTTATTGTTTGTGAGGTTTAACGTGTGTAGCTGACAGTTGTTGTTTTTGATGGCTTCAGCCAAGTGCTGTGCTCCAATGTCTGAGATGTTATTGTTTGAGAGGTTTAACGTGTGTAGCTGACAGTTGTTGTTTTTGATGGCTTCAGCCAAGTGCTGTGCTCCAATGTGTGAGATGTTATTGAATGAGAGGTGTAACGTGTGTAGCTGACAGTTGTTGTTTTTGATGGCTTCAGCCAAGTGCTGTGCTCCATAGTTTGAAATGTTATTTTCTGAGAGGTTTAACGTGTGTAGCTGACAGTTGTTGTTGTTGATGGCTTCAGCCAAGTGTTGTGCTCCAGTGTCTGAGATTTTATTGTGTGAGAGGTCTAACGTGTGTAGCTGACAGTTGTTGTTGTTGATGGCGTCAGCCAAGTGCTGTGCTCCAATGTCTGAGATTTTATTGTGTGAGAGGTTTAACGTGCGTAGCTGACAGTTGTTGTTGTTGATGGCTTCAGCCAAGTGCTGTGCTCCAATGTCTGAGATGTTATTTCCGTAGAGGTTTAACGTGTGTAGCTGACAGTTGTTGTTGTTGATGGCGTCAGCCAAGTGCTGTGCTCCAATGTCTGAGATGTTATTGTATGCGAGGTTTAACGTGCGTAGCTGACAGTTGTTGTTGTTGATGGCTTCAGCTAGATGCTTTACTGCTTTTTCTGTCAATTGATTTCCTGCGAGGTTTAACCAGCTCAGTTGAGATTCCCTATATTTTAACAATTTACAAATTTCAAAGCAACCTAAGGAATCAATGTTATTGTTACTCAAATCTAAATGTGAAATTTGTAGAACATTAATTACATTTACTAACGAAGAGCAATCAACAGCTGTGAGGTGACAAAAATTAAAATTTACAAAATTAAAGTTCAATTGTTGAATTTTTTCCTGTGCTTCTAACTTCATTCTACTATTTTCGTTTAAACATTTTATTAATGTCATTGCTAAATCTTTTTCGCCGCTAGTTGGCCAGCAGGTCACTGTACTTTTTTCTTCTTTATCTGTCCACTGTTCGGTGACGCTTCCTTCTTCAGTTTTTACAGGAAGAAGGTTAGTAATAATTTCGTTTGATAGATGAATATTATCCTCCATTAATCCTGCTAGAAACTGAAAAACCAGCTGCCATTTGCCGTTCTTGATGTTCTCGGAAACAAAGCTTTTTAATTCTGTGTCACTCATGTTGTTTGCTAGGTGCCTCGCAGCGAAAAACTCTTGCATTGTCAAATGAATGAAACAGAATTGTGGTTCAGGATTAAGTGGGTCCGTTTTACGGTCGGGTAAGCGGTGGAAAAGAGCGCTGTCTTCCATTCCGCTTACTTCGCTTCCTCCAAGGATCAGCTCTCCGTTTTTGATTCCTTCAAACGCTACTCTTCCTAGTTTTCTGAATATCAGCAGTTGGGTGGGCAAATTATGTCCGACTGGAAACGGATTATGGCACAATTCTCTTGTATGTTTAAAATAAAACACCTGTACTGCAATCTTGTATATCGATGTTAATTTGGCAGGAAGGGTAACGTCATCGGAACTTTCGGACTCCATTATTTGTAACAGACTTGTGCAGATGATGAAGCTGTTGACCGGCACATAACATAGCGTGAGCAAATTAATGTTGCTGCTGATGTGTCGCAATAGTTTTTCGCCAACTGTCTTTTTATCTCCGGCCAATTTGTAGACATATTCTTTAACTTGTTCCGATGAAAATCCTAGAATTTCGAACGTTTTGTCAAACTTAAGGTGTTTGATGCTCGACAAAGCCGAAGGTCTCGTGGTTGTCAAAATTGAGGCATCTTTTAGGAGTTTCCCGGTCACAAGCCACTGGTAAAGGATTTGGAGCGGCTTTTTCTCTTCAATGCACTTGGGATGAGGAGGTTCTCGGTCCATGTTTGCGTTAAGTTTAAATTCGTCGAATCCGTCAAAAAGTATGAGTACACCTTCAGGGTTCTCAATCAAGTGATTCCAGACCTCGTCATCTAGGTGATTTGTTGGGAAATGCTCGGACTGAATCAACAGTTCCCTGAGGCTAAGGTTGTTCTCCGATTTGAATCTTCTGAATTTCACGAAGAAAGCGGCATCAAAAGGGATTTTGGCTTCAGGTGACGCCCAGTCTCTGAGAAGTTTGGTACAACATAATGTCTTGCCGATTCCGGCTCGACCGACGATTAACACTTTCTTATTTTCAACATTTAGGAGGTCTTCCAGGCTTTTCGGTTGTGAGTTTTCCCCGCGCGACATTGGATAAATCTTGAGTTGTTCCTCTCTGTTTTCAGTAAAGACATACGTAGCTCTGTTCGGAATCACAACAAGATTTGTGTAAATTTGATCCAAAGTCCAATGTTTTACCATTGTGTTTTCGCCTGGATTACCTGTAAAAGGCGATTGGAGTGCTAATAGTTCTTGGGTGTCTTGAAAAATTATTTTCTTTGTGCGTTTGATGAATTTTTTAAACTTTCGTTTTTGGTGTTGGTTGAGTCTTAGATGGGTTTTTAGAAACTTTGAGTCTTGCATGAAACCCCTTTCAATGCATGCCCGCGAAATAAGGTAGACGGTTTCAACCAGTATGCCAGCGACATGAATTCCATTCATCACAAGGACAGCGTACATCCAGAAGGTTTTCTTTTCCGCTCGTTGATTGTGACAGTCGTGTAAAGTAGAGTTTTGGGCGTTGTCAGCTAAATTCCTTGGCTGAGTGGTTCCATCGGTTAAATAACAGTTAAACTTCGAGTTAAACTTTAAAGGATAAAGCAACTGAGTTTGTAGGATGATGAAAATTACTCCTAAAACAATTCTGAACAATAGTTGACAGCAGTAAGCAAAAAAGAGCCTGTTTCCAGTTGATGACGCAGTCTCCTGGTCAAGCAGCTGTCTCTCTTGATCATCGTTACGGATGCCTCGCGACAGTTGTTTGACTTTGGCGCTCCCTATTTTAGAGTAAATAGCACATACAAATACAATAAGGACTAGATTGAAGATTACGAAGCCAAAGATAGGAAAACCGTATTTGTTGTACTGATTCATATATATCTCGTAACATTTTCCACGGACGACGTCGACGTTTTCAATCTTCGCTCCGCCACAGCGAAAATCAGACCTGGACTCGTTAATTTCCATGTCGACGAATATGCCGAGGAAGATGCCACTGATCAGAATCCAAAAAACCATAGCCACATAGTGAACTTGGTTGAAAGCTTTTGGATTCAAATATTCAAAAATCTTTTCCACTGATGGGGTTGACATTGTTACTCACTGTTAGAATGCTGATCAATTGTGGAGCTTAAATAACCAGCTTATGCCACCTTGGTCTAATTATAGAGCGTGATAGTACTTTTATTTGATTGGATTTGAAACTTGCAACTGTCAAAACAACGATTGATTATTTATGCATTTTATTGTTTGACGTAAGAAACAGTTGTCAGAAACTGAGACGGATATAGATATTAGCATATGTGGCAATATACGGGACCTCGTTTCCTCCCACACCCTCCCCCGTGCTTATTTTAATCCCCTTCCTCTTCTCCTTTTCTATTAATGTTGCTGCTGAGGTCCTGAAGAGAAACTCTTTATACCGATGTAGCTTTGAAGGTTGAAGACTACACTCTAAGTCGTTAGGTGTGGATATTTCATCTGGGTTGTAATTGTTTGGAAATAAAATTGTAACACTTGGCTGATTCAAGTCACGAGTGGTCGAGGTTTTGCATCTGATTAAATTTGAGGGTAGTGTGAGCTTTCCTAACTAATCCCAAAGAGGCTTAGTGAAGCAAGACTGATGCAAATCAAATTATTATCGACTGCGTCGTAAAAATACGGCCCTGTTTCGATCAATGTTCTCATCTTATCACGATCATGATAGGTGTCAGGGTCTAGAACTACGTTGGCACGTTCTTTGTTCTTTAGTGGATGCTCCATGCATTTTTGAGCCGAAAACTCACCGATTAATTGCTTAACTTAAAACGAAGAGGTCATATATCCGAAAATAAACACAATAAGATCAGACAAACAGCTTCCAAGAATCTACCATCACCCTTGTCGAAAATGAGACTGAAGAGATTGCTAAGTTCCGAAACTTCGCGTTTTATTTTATAAATCCACTTGATCTCCCTCTCTCTCACACCGTTCAAGTCTCACGCTCTAGTCTCTCTAACTTTAAATATATTATATGATTCTATCGTTAAATCATCTGTCACTTATCGCCAAAAAAATCAACCGGAAATCAATTAACGCTGAATAATCTCTCACACCGTGAAAACCAAGTGATCCTTCCAAAATCCTCCACCCATACCCCTCCCCCCTTTACAGGTGATATTGATGACTTCTCCTCCCTTACTTGGCTCTTTCCGATTTTCTTTGCTGCTTTTTTAAGTTTTCAATGATAACATTTTTGCAGCTAACTGTATAACAGAATAGTCTGAAAGACTAGGGCAAGGAGTCTTTGGATGGGCAAACAAATTCTCCTTGTCAGCACCCTAGGACATGTATAAAGAATAGTGTGGAGAATATGCATACTGATGTTAGGGTGTAAAGGGTCAAGAAAATGAAAAACGTCTTCCTTTGCAAGTCTTTTATGAGAGGTTATTGACAGACCTGCTAATTCTTTTACAGCAGTTTCACTAATTAAATTTATAATTTTAGTTTTCAAGGAAATTGTCTTTAAGTTGGGTGCTGACTTATACAATTTTTTAAGGTGTCAGGGAAACGATAGCGAAATTTATATCATAGAGTTAGGGAAAGGTTTAGGGGCTTAGTACCCGACGCAAATCTATCCAGATCTAGCTGACTCAACGAGATAAAAAATGTAATTATACGGCCAAGTTCCGTTCGAGTGTATCAGTCAACCTTTTGTCTGGTTAGCAGGTAATTTAGTGTTAAAAAACTGAGTTGAAAATGTAAATTGGCCACCGTAATTGTTAAAAGGCTGACATTTCGAGTGTCAGCCCTTCGTCAGAGCGATAGACGATTGAATAATTTGCAAAGAGCGAATTTAACATTTAAAAAATCCTAAACATCGATCGGCCAACGTGACAAATGTCCCACGCTTTTATCACGTGATAGTTTGATGGTTTTGTTGCCACTTGACTGGTCTCCTTCGCAGCCGCTTTGCTTCAATGACATCCCCCCTTCCCTTCCTCAAAAAAAAACACTGCCGTGAATAAGACCACTTGATTGGCTCATAGAAAGCAACACTAAAACTTTAACCTCTGCAGGTATATGATTTCAGACCAAATTACAGTCCACTCATTTCAATTAGCATTATACATCATCAATGAAAATACAAGTGATGAGTAGCACAGTCACATAGCCATTTGATGTAACATAGTTCAAAAATAACTATTTTTTTATTTTTTCACTTTTTATCACTTTTTGACTTTAATTTTGATCAAAATGTACATTGTAATCAATATCTGTAAATATTTTTATTATTTTGCATTAATAACACTAATTTTGGTATTACCCACAATCCCTTGTGGGCGTGGCACATTTTTGGGTTTTCATAAAATCTTAAGAAAATCAATGTAAAAATGGAAAAAAAGAGGTTTTTTAATTATTAGTTCACATTGAAGCAATGATTTCCTCATTTTCTTTTAAAGGGAGTTTGTAAATAGACTTTCGTCCTCTCTTTCTGACTGGTAGGTCACCGCAAATGTGACGGACAGTAGCAGCATGTACAAACGCTTTACATTTCATTGTTATGCAATAATCTGCCCCTGCAAACTCTTTATGGACTCCCCTGTTATTGTCTGTGTAAACGAACCATGTGCTTTTAAAGAGAAGCTGCGTAGGAGCGGATTTCGTGGAAGTTTTGGTGGTGTTCGTTACAGTTCACGAACACGGCAGCAATGGCGGAAAGTGTTTCCGCGTCGACTAAATGTAAATTTCTAGCGTTAGATGTAACGAAATGGGTTGAAACGTTCTGTAAATTTAGCTTAATACAAGCCCATTTCAGGAGAGGTGAGCTTGTTTACTCAACTTAACAAGAATCGCGTCTGACAACGGATCTACTGGTGGATATGTGATGGAATTAAGCTCAATATGGCCGTTACGAAATGTGTTTCCGCGCGTTTTATTTTGATCTGGAAAACATTCTACTTGACGATTCAACTTCAGCGTTGGTTTGCAAATATTATGATGTATGCCCATTACATTTTTGTTATTAGTTTGTTGCTTACACAGTCGAAATTATCATTATTGCTAGTTTTGCACACTATGGTTGTTTTAATAGTTGCGAGCGTTACATTGTTCAGTGATAAAAACAGACGTTTATAACTTGCGTTAGAATAAACTATTCTTGTTACAAATCATACTGCCTGTTGCTTTTGTCATAAACTACTTACGGCCAAAAAAGTGGCCCCATGTGCGTTCTATATTGAGATATTTCATTTTTTTTCTTCCGTCTGATACATTTCATGTTACGCGTTACACCCAGAAATTCACGCATTTTCAGGAAATATTTATTTTTTACAATTTTCACTTTGTCGCAAACCTTGTTTTCTTTACACCAAAATGAAGTAGGATAACTAAGTTTATATTGTGGAAAGTGTGAGATTTAGAGGTTAAACCTTCCCGAAGATATTCGTTAGCAAAGGCACTTGAGTCCAAAATGGCGGCGTGACTGTGCTACTCATCAAGCATCTAAAGTTGGTGGCTATAATACAAGCCATCAGAATGTTTTAAAACTTGCAACATGGTTGCAAAAATGTGCAGAACTTGCAACAGGAGTACTGCAACAAAAAATTTAAAGAGAGAAAACTAGTAATCTTATCCATTTATTTGTTTAATACACTTATTAAGTAGCTTAAAAATTACAATGCTCCTGCTTAATTATAGCATCCGTCTGAGTGTTTTTAATAATAAATATTTTAGTAGGTAAAACCATCACCAAGAGTCAAGTTTGGGGGGTACAATGTATCTGATTTCAATTGTATTGAGAGTGTAATATGTATTAGAACACAGACTTGTTAATCTTGACTGGAGTGTAAGTTTCATACAAAGCACAGTGCATAAAAGAGTTGGAATGCTTTTGTGATTAATAAACTGTTATCAAACAGCCATATTATCAGTTTTGTTGTTTATTAAATTTCATTGTTTGTATCCCTTTGAAGTTATTTGTGTGTAATTTTTGCTGCAAATTTTTTTTTCCTGAGTTACTTATTAATCTTACATGAAGAATTAATCCAAATATTATTTTTGTTTGACTCTTTAATCCCAATAGTGACTTCAGCATATAATTTCCCCTACAATATCAAACCTGAGACAAATTTTACAGTCATGAGAATAAAGGAAATGATCACCAAATAAAGCAGCTCTTAGTTGTTAAACAAATTCTCCTTGTCAGCACCTTAAAAAAATGTTTATCAAACAGTATGAAGAAAATTCATACAGATATTAGGGTGGAAAGGGTTAATTAAAATATAATATTTGAATAATATATTGAAACAGAATCTTTCTGAAAAAGGATGGAAATTTTGAAGTCAAAGTCTTATCCATGTAAGAATTACATTTTTGCTTTACATAGGATGTCTGACATTGATGCTTCTATTTTCTTAATGCAACTTTACTGGAACTGCAACAGTGTAAGGACACATTAAGCTGGAGAAAGCTATAGAGCAGATTTGTAGTAAAAATATCAGTTTTATTTCAGAGTTCAGGAGTCTAAAAATTATATTACAACTCAATAAATTATTACTATTAACCTGCTGATTTCATCATTGTCAAGCTGTGCCAACTTGATTGTGATAATCTGATGTATTACATTGAGCAATATTGGCCCATGGTGGGTATGTTTTACTCTGTGACCTTTGTCTATGGCATGGACAAGAGGAAAACATAATTTAGTCATCACTTCCTGATATAGGCCAACACATGCACATGCCAAATACCATAATATCATGCAATGTTGGGACAATATTATTTACTATAGACTGTCTCCATAATAGCTCGAATGGTACTTGTTGAACAGACATAGGTCATTTCCAATTACATGTTGGCCAAGATGTGATGCAGGAATTTATGGCAGTGCTCCTTAAACAACCAATGTTGGCACACCACCAAATATTGTTGCAAGATTGGCATACAAAAATAAATTTTGGTCTTACCATATACCATGATAGTTCAGTAACAAATGGCATTGACAAAATCGTTTTAAGACATGTTCAGGTAGTTTGCTGAATTCCATCAGTCTGTGTAGTTGGCAGGTTTGTGTGTCCTTCGAAGCTTGAAAGAGACATAAAATAGTACAAATGCCAATCCAAACTTTGCTACTCACCACTACAGCTACACAGGCTAAATTGCATTTATTGGAAGGTTCATCATCTTTCTGCCATGAACACCGACTGACACCATTGCACAAACCATTCACACATATCTGATATTAGCTCATGATTCACTCTGCCACGCAGCTTTAGTTCATGGTCTGCACCTTCCACCCAGTGCATTTTCCAGTCATTTGCCATTCTGTTCAGAGCTGTATCCATTAAATCGGGCCTGCAGTATGGATCTTTTCTGCCACTTATAAACAATGCAGGCAATCCAAGATGGAGAAGTGAAGATACTCGAATCTCCGAGGTCTTACGTGGAGGATGTAAAGGGTATGACAAACAAGCAACGCCAAATACAAAGTTTGTGGTCAAACTACTGTTTGAAGCTACCTCAGCAGCAACACGTGCACCCATTGAACGGCCTATAAATAAACGCAACTTCAAAATCATCATTTTGCAAGGGGCATGGCAGAGTTTATTCCTGCATGATGTGGTGACAGGAGAATATTGTAAAATTGTCAGTGAGGAGAAAATAAATTATCAACATCTGAAGAAAAAATCGCTCAGATCATCAAAATAAGCTGGTGAATATTAAGTAGTTGCCCATGTCAACAACCTGCATTGGATTTCATGTCAGTTTGATGTTTCCTTTTTTACTATGATCCAATCCATGATCTAATACACTGCATGATCCCAGCTGTGATCACATCCATGATGTGATCTGTGATTAGATCTGTGTTTTGTCGACACTGGTGTCATAGCTAAAGAATTCACAAGCCTCCCATCTCTAATTCCTAATAAACAACCTGCATAGACCATCTGGTTTCCTTACCAAAGAGCTATTATGTATGAGAACATTATGTACCTGCTATGATGCACATGTTGATTGGAAACTCTTCAAAATTCCTCAGAAACTCCTACAAATACAACATTCAATTATAATTTAACTCTTAAATATGACTGTGAAAATATGAAAATCATATATCTGCACTGCAGTAAAAGAAACGAATAGAAGTAATCCTCACATTTATGAATACTGCTGAACTAGTAGTTGAAATAAGACCAGGATCACTCATATTCGTTTCTTCAATCGCAGTGCATACATATGATTTTCATATATTCAAAGTCATTATTCACCACTTGGATGGTTTATTTGGATTCAACATAATGACCAGCTCCCAGTTGGCTTGTTAGATCAGTTGGTAGAGTGCTACACCAGTATCACAGAGGTCATGGGTTCAAATCCCATACGGGCCTGAATTTTTGTCAGGCCTTATTTCAACTTCTAGTTCAATAGTGTTCATAACTGCGAGGACTGGTTATATTCGTTTCTTAAGTATGAGTTTTTGCTGAGATTATAAATAGTAGGAAGAAAGTAGCTCTAATTATTGAGTTTAGAGCAGCAGTCAGAGAAAAAAATCGTGCAGTTTGTAGGTGTTAAACTAAACCAATCCGTAAATTAAGTAAACAAAAGCGACATTCTTGACTCTGTGTCGTAAATTACATTACAACGCTCGTACCACGTTACAATTAATTAATCGCCAACCACGAACAAGAAAGTTACTCTCACCACAACTGCTGTGAAACACTGTATCCTATACTTGAAGTTTCTTGTCCTGCAGGTGAATCTCAAACACAGTATTCCCGTGCTTGCGAGATGAGCAGCTAGTTTCTCCAGATGGAGGTAATTCATATCCCCTCCGGCCCCGTGTGTCAGAATCACAGCACAACCGTTCCACGACGCCTCGCATGGAAAATTAAACACGCCATCCAGTTCACGATCTTCAACTGGAATTTTAACTATAACCTGTTTAATACAAATAGAGAAGGCAATGAACGAACAGAATCAGCTACAGGGGAATTTTTTCTATGCAGATCGGTACATACCTTCCGCAAATTGCGCGCCATGTTTCTTGTTGCTATGCACACAGGAAAGACTGGTCCCTAGTGCAATGGAAGAAACCCTTAATTAATGGGAAAAATATTCATCCCCTTTCACCTGGCACTGCGCTCGTCTTAAGACGTTCGCCAGAAAACGCAAAAAAGTCGCGCCGGTTCCGCAGGCAAGGATGCACTTAAAATTAGACACCCAAAAGTCCTCTTCCTGGCCATTAAGTGGCCTGCGTTCGTTTGTCCAGTAACGACAGGACTTTATAAATAGGAACGAGTTTTAAGAATTAAAATATTGTACGTCTTTTAGAAACATTGCAAGGGCACCTCATTGTGCGAAATGTTTTGAACGCAGTTTAGACAAAGATCGCAGTAAATTATGCACCCCACTTTGTTGAACGAAAGATTGTACCGTTCAAGATACCCCACAGGCATAGCCACGGATGATCGAGTATCCTCTGAGAGAGTAATTAGGTGATCTCTATAGATGAATTGCAAATAGATGAACATGATGCAGAAGTAACTATCACAAGGAAGTATAAAAAACTTTTTTTTAATAAATTCAACATAAACCAGGAAATGAGCTCTACAAATCCATTAACTTTAATTTCTTAAATATATTGGAGGTCACAGTACGGTTTATTACAATACATTACAAAATTGAGGCGAGGTAAACTAATTAAGGACCTCTCTCCTTTTTGTGTTTTACTCATTCATAAATGCTAATGACTTTATAGTCTAGGAAAAATACTGAATATAAATTTAGTATATTTGCTTTTAATTTCTTATAACATTACTGTTACACTGTGCATATATGTGACAGTTAAACATTTGTGGTTGTGATGTTTAGCGACCACTCTAGTCATATGAATATTCCTGACATGATTTTACCTTTGAAAATCGGAATTACGTATCAGTATGATCCGTGCCGTTTCTTGAGATGTTATTATTATTTTCAGGTGATGTTAGAAGATTACTAATGCGCAATCGCCACAGTTTGCTTTACTGTGATTGGCTTGATGGAGAACTACACCACCTAATCAACCAATCCGATGTAAGCCTTGCTTTGGTTGAGCGTCAATGTTCCACATTTTCAAGTGACATGATGCAACCGCAACCTTGACCACCACTTAGTCACTGGTGTTTTCCCGCGCCTGACGCCCGTTACGGAGAGGGAAAAAAATGTTTGGTTCTCTCAGTACTTGGCAAGTTCTTTATCTAACTCATCCAGATCCGCCAGAGCTTGATCGCTCAATCTTTTGTCCTCTTCAATCTTCTGCTTACGTTCATACTCTCTCTGCAGGGCCTGTCTGTACTCCTCGTGCCTCATCACAACCTGTTCCACTTCTTTTTTGTACAATCGTTTCAGCATCGTCTGCCAACAATCAAGCTCCGCGTAACGGAACAAATCCCACTGAAAAAGAGCACGTGGGGAAAAAAATTTTAAGATGTGAATAATAGGAACGTTAATCGTGCAAAATTTTACGACGTGAAAGATAGGCACGCACAGCATGCAAAGCAAAATTGAAAGGTGTCTTGAAGAAATCACGTAACACACAGCTGCTGAAGAAACGCGAATAATAAAAAAAATTGATTATAAATCTTACCTTTAGAAAACAGTCATAATCTGGGCTAGCCTTTGCATAAATTTGCAGCCATTCAGGTATTTCTGGTTAAAACAAAACAAAGCAAACCAATGTTATGAAATAAATAATAATTAGACTCGCAGATGATATACATGTGAAGAAACAATCTTAGAACCCATGCCTCCCAGGTACTGGTCGGGAAGAGGAGGATGGCATGGGTTAGAGTTCTGTCAAAGCCTGAAATTTTTGTCTTATAAAAAGTAATCCTATTTGTCAAGCTTTCAATCAGTATACCTTCACTAATATATGGATTTGCTGGCACTAAGGGATTCTGTGCAGGAATGGCTTGTGATTCTGGACGTCCTCCATCTGACACTCTCCTCTCCTGCTGCTGTTGGTGTTGGATGAACTGCGTTTTCACTGGATGTTCATACTGTGTTATCTTTGTGTTATGGCTAGGTAAAAGGATAGACATGTTGAATGAGACAAACCCTTTGACCCCTCATAGAGACTAGCATCTAATTTCTCCTTACAACATCAACCCTCAATCACATATTAAGGTTACAAGAATAAAGGAAATGATCACCAACAAACAGAACTTCTTGATTGTTAAACAAATTCTCCTTGCCAGCACCTTCGGAAATGTATAGAAAAGAGTATGGAGAACATGCATACTGATGTCAGGGTGTAAAGGGTTAATCTTCTGTGGGATAGTGAGCCATAAAGCATGTTTCCAGTTTGCTATAACTTTTAAGTCTGTTTCAGGCTCTCAATCAAAAATATAATGAGGGACCACTGTAGTGGTTGCTGAGTTTGCTAAATACTGTCAGCACTGAATTTGCAATCAATCAAACATCATTCAATTCATTCATAATTAATATCCTTTTACATACTTGACGTAATAGACTCCAAAGTTAGGAGATTCAATTTTTTCCCAACCATCTGGTAAACCTGAAAATAAATTTTCAAATTACTCTTTTTTTTTCAGTTATACATTAACTGCTATGCTTACAGATCAAATACTATCAAAGTTGAGCAATTTATGTATGTTCTATTAGGTTAACTGAAAAAGAAATGAAGGGGATAAGTTCATAGAGAAACTGTGGTGCTGTGTCTGTGTGTGTGTGTCTGTGTCAGTGTGTGGGAGGGGGGGTGGATATTACAAGATAATATGGTTTTAACAACTGGGTTGATAATGTGAATTGACGACTGTAAAGAGATTCCAAAGCTGATGTTTAGTCCATATACACATGTAATTTAAGAACTCAGCTGATAACATTAACTTATCTTCAAAAAAATTCTGTACCTGCTTTCTCAAGTGGGTGACACCAATCTGTTGTTTCTGTGTTGTGACTAAAACGAAATGGAGATTTGATAACATTGAAGTATGAATTGTTACAACTGTTTCTTCAGTTGCTCTAAGACACATGAACATTCATATTACAAAAAAAAACTGAAATACAGCTTGATGAATTCAAGCTAAATGACCTAGACAAACAAGTCTTTGAAAGAAAGAAAACTGTTGAGACTATCAATAAAGTTAGAATGTCACTGCATCAAGAAAAACAAGCTAGAATTACTAAATCATGAGAAACAATTGAAATAATTTTTAACTATGGTCTTGTAGCTAGCTGATATATCCTGTTCTCCAATGTGATTGGTCACACAATAAAAATTCTTTAAATAATGGGAATGAGATGATGGAAATAAAAAAATGGGAATAGTGATGGGAATTTGGCAGTAAGCATGCCACAAAATGGCTCTCCTTGTCCACAGGTACCATTGGAATTTGTAATGTTGGTTTTTGCGGGGGAAGGAAAACTAGAGGAGCTGGAAAAAGACTTCCAGAACAAGGACAAGAACATACAAGTCATATTCAAATGCCAAATGTTGTTGCACCCATCTGGGAATCAAACCCAGGCCAACCAAATGAGAGATGAGCACTCTCACCACTGTACTATCTCCACTCCTGAAATATCCCAATTTTTTTAAGGTGTTACAATTTTCTAAGTTAGTTGGTATTTGTTAACTTACTCTATGTAATATTTTCTCCCATCTGGAGTCCATGACACTTGGAACCCAGGAGGAAGAGACAGATCTAATTCGTTGAGTTGACTGCCATTAAACACTAGAGGAAGAAAAACATTGTTTAAAAAAAATAATAACAACAACAATAAAACAAAAACGACCAAGAGAAAACAAAAAGAGGTAGTCACTTTTTGTAAATTTTCCCTTAACCCTTTGGGCCCCTAAGAGTGACTAGCATAATTTCTCCCTTTGATGTCACCCCTGAATCACACAATTAGGTCACGAGAATAAAGGAAATGATCACCAATTAAAAAAGCTCTTGATTATTGAACAAATTCTCCTTATCAACACCTAAGGAAATGTATAAAGGACAGTATAGAGAATATGCATATTGATGTTAAGGTGTAAAGCGTTCAAGTGAGATTTAATGGGCACAATTTGAATGAACCTCGATCAACTAAAAGCTAATAATCAACTAAAAAGACCAGGTATGTATGACAACAACCTCTTTCAAAATTACCAAATTTCTTTCATATATTTAGAACAAACAATACAGAAGAATCACACTGACTGGAACTCCCAAGGGAATTGAAAAATGGTTTGAATTAGCAGGAATTCAAATTATTTGGATTGGTGTTAAATTTCAATTATCCTAATAGTAATAAATAAGGGAATGTGTTTTTTTTCTATTCTTGCACAATCAACAATCATTTTCAAACATTAAGTCTGTTTTATAAGAGCTTTTTGATAAGAACATTTAGTTTGGGAAGTTAGGCTAAATACATTACGTTTTCAAAACTCTTATCATATTCTAATCAATTAAGCACTGGATAAGGCAAGCACTATTTGCATAGTCAATTAATCAAAGCTGTCATTCAGCTATGTTCTGAGACTTTGACATTTATTGACTGATGTTTTTACTTATAGATCTAGCTATCAAAATGTAAATGTGAGCCAAGGAAAAGTAAAATAGTTAAAGTAAACAGGGAGTTCAAGCAAACCAAGTTTGAGTTAGTTGATAGTAAATAACGAAAAAATGGGGTCAAATCCCAGGGAAATTGCATTTTGTCCAGTGTGCAAGGAGTTTCAGTCAACCAGGTTTAAGTTTGTGGGGTCTTACTGTACCCATAAGAAGGTGGTATGGCTCTGACACTATTAAGCATTTTTAAATGTTGAGCATTTTTAACATGAGTCTCTGGCTCGGAAGATTGTGCAAACACTTTCCACGTCTTCAACATTAAATTAACTTTTACATTCTATTCTATTCTAATGAACTTCTCCAAAATTACAAACCAAAACATTTCTCCTCACCTAAATTCTTTTTGTCACTCATGTTGCCTGAGGGGAAGAACTTCTCACCAAATCTCCCTTGCTGCATGGTGACAGGTCCTTGTGGTTTTGCCACAGATTCAGCCTGTGATGTATAGATTCCCTGGCCTCTGCCAGAAAATGTAGAACCATTTTCTCCATAAGTAAACAACTCACTTCCATTTTCACTAAACCCATTGTTTGTGGATGCAGCACCCTGATTTGTATAGAATCCAAACCTTTGCGATGCAGCTTCTGACATGTAAGGCTCACCATAAGACAGATCATAACTGATTGAATCTTGAGCATTTGAGAATGGCTTTCCACCATATGCATTGTACAGTCCTTTGTTACCATACAAATTTGAAACATTCTTCGGTGCATTCTGTGCATAACTGTAACCACCAGGACTCAAATTTGATTCACTCATGACTTTCTTGTCCACTTTAAGCTTAGGAGGTCCATTAGCTAATCTACTGTCCAGAGAAACACTATCTCCTGAAGGCCCAGGGAGTGCCCTGAAATGGCTGTAAGATGGAGGATGTCTGTAGTTTGATTCCTCAAGATTATAGAATGCACTGTAATCACCAGCCATTTTTCCTGCCCTGTGGGAGTAGAAACTAGCTCCATCAAACTTTGACATGGTGTCCTCAGGCTCTCTATAAGGAGGAGGATGTCGATACTTATCCAAAGGGCTCATAGAGTGTTCCATTTGCTCAGGATATGGAGGTGGGTGTCGGTATCCCGATTTTGTAGCCTCTGGGGGTGTTTTGTTAGTAGTACAAGTCTGACATGACTCTGCAGTCATCTGTAGTCTTTGTACTACTTCTAAAATATCACCCATATTATTGTTTCTACTGTTTTCAAAACTGGATTGTGACAATCTTTCTCCAGCATCTGGTAAATCAGGGTGCAGGTGAGAACTGTGTGTTCTATTTGGATTGCTGTCATGAGCAACCATTACAATGCCAGCATTATCAGTGCTAGCACAGTCCATGATGAAGGATTCTGAAATATCTGTTTCTGAGAGTACTGACTGGAAGCAAGGTGTTGATGCACATCTCTTCAAGCGTTCTTGACAAATAAAATAGAAAGATGGGGCAAATGTGAATATATGAGAAGTTGGATACATAAAAAATACTTGTGCATGTAAGTGAAAAATGCCACATGGTCTTGTCTACATGGGACAAGTTCAAAGAATGAAAAAAATTAACTCAATCCGAAAAAATACAAGTGGATTTCTACATAAAGAATTCTTCCAAATTATGATCTTGGGAAATTTTTCGCCAGACACCACAGCATGAGAAAAACGTCTGAACAACTGCTTCAAGGCCACACATTGATACTATATTGATTAAATTAAGAGGCAATATCATAATATTTCTGGTCATTTTTCCGACCTAGAAATTACACAATGACTATAGTGTAAAAATATTGATTCATCAAACCAATATATATAGCAGTGACTCTGAAACGTGCACTAAAAATTAAACCATTCTTTCGGTACATAACTGTCTATCTTAGTTTTTTGTTTCTATATCGCACCTCTTGCAATGCTGAAAGAAAAGCTATTCAAAGAATTCAATAAGGCATGCCGTGCGATAATCAATTCCTAAACAAAAATGTTACTAGGAAAGAGTGCGTTTGGTTTTACCACATTTTTAGAGAAAACTAATTTCTTCAATTGAAAATATTTGACTTCTATAAAATAACACTGCAGCAAGATCGCTATCTTCTGATATAAACAATAGAATGAAGAGATATTTTCCTGAAACAACAATTTCGAGTATGTGATACACTCGAATCAGAGTTGAATGGTCCAAATTGCCTCGGGCAGTTTTCTTTATACGTACGATCGAAATAAACACATGGTTGGAATAAACAGTTGTCGAACCGAAAATCAGCGACGTATCTTGCAAATGCTACACAACCTAATTTAGCGATCTTTCCCTATAAGAAGGATAAAACTTCTTGATGATACATTCCCATCGGAAAAGCGGATTTGACAACGTACCCTCAAGAATTTCAGTTGTGTTTTCACGCTTCTTGTATTTGCCTTGTAGCCGTTCTTTGCCTCCTTTTCCTTTCTTCTTTACGAAGTACTTTCTTAAGAAGGGCATCTTCATTCTCGTTGACGATCCCAGCAGGTTCGTTCCTTCAAATATTTCGACAACAAAATTCCATCCTTTCCCACCACATAATTTTTGAGTAATGCCTAAAATTGTAAACATGTAATGTATCTTCTCAGGTGATTGTGCAGTGAAGGGACTAGTGATGAAATTCCGATGATTCATCGATTGCAAAATTTCCGGCCGTTCGGTGATCGCCGCCACTCCGAATAATCTCGAATGAGTATTGAATTGTAATGAACAGGGTTGCTATGGTCACACAAACCATAGATGGCGGCTGACTAAGCTAGACCGCAAGAGACCTCGAGAAATATCGGTGATTATTTCTTTTTCAAATATCAAAAGACCATGGATAGTGCAAGCGAATCTGGAAGCAGTGATCTAGACGGTGATTTTCAAAATGCAAAGGCTTTCTTGCTGAAAACAAGTTTACATTCGAATCTAAATGTGTAAGTAATATTACACTTTGAGGTCTCGTTTGAGGAGTTTTTTTCAAACATAAACACCTTAGATGAAATCTTCTTTCTTCTTCTCTTTTACTTAGCTACGACCATCTTGCAACTGTGATTAGAAAGGTCTTGGAAGAGAAACCTGGAAATGTTTCAGGCAAGCACTACTTGTATAGTCTTAGTGGTTCTTGAGCGTAATTTGCTTTACATAGAAAATTGTAAACGCTGTGTTAGTTTTCTGGTAGATCCATTGATGTCTGCTTCACCACGTATTTAAATTTTTTCCCTTTATTTTACATTGATACAGACTTGATAGAAGATCTTGTCAGAGATGAAAAGAGAGCAAAATTTTGTCCCAATTTTGACACTATTCAGGTAATGCAACACTAAATTAGCACTGAATTAAAAAGTGAACTACGTGGTCATAAAGTGTACAAGAAACAAACTTAGGGTACAGGAAGAGACATTTTATTTTTAAAAGAATTAAGCAGTATTCTAGAATCAAGAGTCACACGCTTAACTGACAAAGAGAAGCAGAAAGTTCTCTATAATTACCAAGGGTGTGCATAATGTTTTTAAAATTTAATGACAAGCCGAGTTTTATACACAGTTTAATTGGCTCTTACCAATGATCTATTGGAAGACAGATGCTTAACCCTTTAACTCCCACGAGTGACCAAGACAGAATTTGTCCTTACAACATCAATACAATATCAAGTAGACAAGTGATGAGAATAAAGAAAAATATCAGTTAGGGGATTTCAAGTTGATCCAATACCAAATTCTCCAAACTAACATCACAAGAACTGTATGGCAGACAGTAGAGAGAATTACTAATAAGATCTTGAGAGTTAAAGGGTTAAATGACATCAGCTTTAATAAAACTTTCCTCTTTTATCTTATAACAGATAGATTCCATGTTGCCATGGGTCTGTACTGAAGAAATGTTAAAATGGTTTCCATTTTTACATAGCCTGATGTAAACACGCAGGAGGTTGGGAGAACACAAGATAAGCATAGGAAACCACGACACAAAGCGGAGTGGTTTCCAGCTTATCGAGTGTTCTCCCAACCTCCCAAGTGTTTACATCAGGCTATGTAAACACAGAAACCATTTAACATTTCTTCTATAAAATAACTAATGAAAGAGGAACGAAAACCGTGTTTACATACACTCATGTAAAATGGTTTTATGGCCAATCAGAGTGCGCACATACTATTTGAATTATTTTATAAACTGTAATAGCACATAGAAGATGTTATAATGTGGTAAAAACAACAGTGCCACATAAGGCGCATCATCTATGATCCATTACTGAACAGGAGCATGGTAACATGGAATCCATTTGTTAAATAGTGTACTCTGATTGGTGTTTCTGTGAGCATAATGAGATCCATTGAGATTAAGTTGCAATGTTGATAATTATGCTTTATTTCTTTTTAATATTCTTCAAGAATAAAGAAGATGAATCTACAGAGGTTTTACTTGCAAGGTCTCAGGTGGCATTATTTGAAGTAAGCTGTGCCGAATTTTCTTGTATCCATCTGCTACCTAAAGTCTTAAATACATATTTAGAGCATTTTAGTATGATGAGTGCAAGGCATTGTGGGAGATGTGGTGACCAAATGGTTAGAGTGCTGGACTCTATGTTGGGAGGCCTGAGTTCACAAACTGACCAGGTCATTGTGTTGTGTTTGTGGGCAAAACACTGTACTTTCACAGAGCCCCTCTCTCTACTCCAGAGTATACATGCAAATGGGTTCTTGTAAATTGTCAATAAATGTAGCCTAATGAAATGATAGGGGGGTAGCCTTGCAATGGACTAACATCTCATCCAGGGGAGGGTAGTGATATTCCTAGTTGCTTCATGCTATAGAAACCGGGATAAGCTCCAGCTGCATGGGTGGCTTGGTTTGAGTACGGACTTAACCTGATGCTAGGTATCTTTTGTATCACAATTGTGTTTTCAGAGAAAACCCACTGAGCAAGAACTGGAGCCTTTGATGCGAGATCCAGATATGGAAGAGGAGCAGGAGGAGGCCCCATTACCAGATCTGATGGAACTTGCCAACTACTTTGAACAAGCTGGTATCGGCATTGGCAGAGAAGAAATATTTAGAATATTTTTGTCTCTGAAGATTTTAATTGACACATACCCAATTAGGACATGCAGATTTTGGGGTAAGAGCAATAATCATAACAAAAAGTTTTGGATTATATTTTCTGTAAAGGATCACTGTATTGAAAGATAAGTGATTTGTCTTTAACTGAACTAATTTACATTTTATTCTAACAGGTAAAATATTTGGCATCCATGCTAATTACTTAATCGCTGAAGTGGAGTTCTTTGAAGGAGAAGACCCTGAGGAGCCACTTGATGATGAACAACATCTAGAACAACAAGAGGTTAGAACCTATATTCTTAAGTTATGCATATTTCCTAATCAGCCTGATATCCAATATTTTAAAGATGTTAAACCAAGTTTTGAACCAGAAGGCTGGACTTGACAACAATTGATCCCTGTCTACTTTGGAATTTTTAGTCCGAACACTTCAAATCCTTTTCAGGACGATGGTAATAATGAGATACTTGAGTCAAGATGAAAAGCAGCATAACAGCGCATGCACATGGAGGCATACTATCCAATCACACAAGCACAACATGCACACTGTCCTATCAGCGCTCAAATTGGACAGGCAATTTTTCAAGAACTTTTTGTTTCACTTTTAATTAACATGGGAAAAAAAATTATGAAGTTCAAGTACAACAAGCTTTTGGGAAATGGTTAATATTTTTTTTTTAATTGTTTTCTTTTTACCACAGAATGAAACAAAAACAGACATCATTAAAGAAGGTGAGAGATATTTTGCACTTCAAACCAGGTCGATAATTATTTATCTTTGTGTCTTATATTTATTATCATAATCTGAAAAAAAGAAGGTGACAATAAACAGATGAAAAAAATTCAAGACCAAAGAAAAATTTGATCCCACACACATTCAAAGATGACAACTTTATTCATAATTATTTTAAATGCCCTTGAATTTATTGGCCCCATCCATTTTGATTAATTGTGGTTCATACTTGTGCCTGCAATCAACATATAAACATATTTACATATAAAGTTCTATTCTTTTTTAGGAGATTTTGATGTAGAGGAAGATGATGCTCCACAGGCAGACTTCAAACCACCTCCAGTAATCCCCAAAGAAGAAAACAGAACAGGCTGTAACAAGAAAACATACTTTGTATCCAATGAGCGTGAGTTGCTTCAGACTCATAGATCATAATTTGTTTAACCCCCTAACTCCATGAGTGAACAAGACAGAATTTTTTCTAACAATATCAATACAATATCAAACAGACAAGTGATGAGAATGAAGAAAATATCATTCAGGGGATTATTTGTTGATCCAATACCAAAGTCTCCAAACTAACATGAAAAGAATATTGTATGGCAGACTGTAAGCTAGGGGAATTATTATGTTTCATTTTAATAAAGTGTTTATTGTAATCTTACAACAGCTGGCGGTCAATGGGTCAGACTACCCCCTGTCACTCCAGCACAGATTGTTGTCTCAAGACAAGTCAGAAAATTCTTCACAGGAAATCTTCAGGCACCTGTAAGTTATAAGTTACACAATTTGAATTAAATCTTCAAAAATCCATACTGCCTCAGCTCCACTGGTAAATAATAAACTTTACCGAGTGTATTTAATATACCTCACACTTTGACCCCTACAAAATCACCCCTGAATCACACACCAAAGTCATGAGAATGAATTAAATGATCACCAACTAAAGAAGCTTGTGATTGTCCATAAATTCTCCTGATCAATGCATTAGAAAATATATAGAGAACAGTATGGAGAATATGCTTACTGATGTTAGGGTGTAAAGTGTCACTGTTATTTCCAGCTTATTATCAGTCGGTAATCCGTTAATTTTTCCGCAAACAGTTGTTGGTGCGGGTTATTTGCCAGTGCAGGCAATCTGTTGAAATTTTTTTCTTGTTATTGCAAAAATTGACTGATGTGGATAATCTGCTGTACTGATAAATGGACAGAAAATACGGTAAGCCTTTCAGTTAGTTTAATTTGTAACCTAGCAATTTTAATCAAGAGATTTTTCATCAATAGGTTGTGAGCTATCCACCATTCCCTGGAAATGAAGCCAACTACTTGAGAGCTCAAATTGCCAGAATATCAGCTACAACACACATCAGTCCTTTGGGTTACTATATGTTTGAAGAGGAAGAGGAGGAGGATGATGATATAGGAGGTACAAAGCATATTCATTTGCACTATTTTCCTCTTTCCCTTCTTTCCTCCTTCCTTCCTTTCTCCCTTCCAAGCTTTTCTCTCTTAATACAATAAATTGGCTCTCCTTCCTCTCTGCTCCCCTTTTTCCTCTTTATCACCTTATACACTCCTTGCCTTCTTTCTTTCTTTCCTTTCCTCTTTCTCTCTCTCTCTCTCTCTTTCTTTTTCCCTTCCCCTTTTCTTTTTTTTACCTTTCTTTCTTTCCTTTGTTCTCTCTTTTTTCATCCTTTCTTTTCTTCTTTCTTTCTCTCTTTTTCTTTCTTTCTTTCTCTTCCTTTCTTGTTATCCCCATGCCTTTCTCCCTTGTTCTCTTTAGCTTCCTTTCTTTCATCCATTCATTCCCTTTGTCGCTATCTGAATACTAAATTCAATGCTTTGTGCAATTTTCAGCTCGAGATTCTTTTGTGGTGAATCATGAGTTTGAAGGACTCTCAATTAATGACATGGCTGATCCATCATGTGCAAACTGGGTTCATCATGTCCAGTACGTTCTTCCACAGGTAAGCTGTGCTTAGGTAACTTTGAATGTCTGGCTAGTTAACTATTGGGGTGAGTTTCAAAGTGACAGTAACCTCACAGTAGTCCTGATCTCCAACAATTCTGATTAATTTGAAATTGGTTATAATTACCCAAAATCATTATGAAAACTTTAAATTTTAGTGGTAATAAACATCTCACTGCCAGGTGTTTACTGGGTGTCCCCTTTTCTGTTTTCCTTGGGGATTCCATTTCAAGGCTTGCCTTGTACACTGTCCAGATGTTTCCTTGTGGTGTGGCCAATCCATCTTCACTTCCTCCAGCTGAGTTGTATTTGAATGGGTACCTGACCTGATCTTTCCCATTGTTCTTCCTAACCAAGTACCAATTTGGTTTTGCAGGGTCGTTGTACTTGGTTTAATCCTTCACAGAAGAGAGAAGAAGAAGAACTTGAGGAAGAAGAGGAAGATGAAGAGAGGGAAGAACCAGATGAACCTGAGCCAGAGCAAGGTCCTCCCCTGCTGACACCTCTCTCAGAGGATGTAGGTAAGGAAGAGTGCTTGATGGTTCTGTTTTCACAGTCATGCTGTGGCAACTGATATTCTGCCTTGCCTAGCCTGCTATCATCTTTGTATTGGAGTGTGGATGTGCCCTATATTGGCACCCCCCCTCCCCCCATGAATAACACTTTAAGGCCACAAGAATAAAGGAAATGCTAACCCTAAGCAAAGAAGTTCTAGATTGTACTTAAAAAGTGTTTTGTTTTTTTTTTTACTTCTTGACCCCTAAAATTCACTAGCATCTTATTTCTCCTTACAGTTTTACCCTTGAATGAAACATAAATGTCATGAGAATAACAGAAATGATCCCCAACTAAAGAGGCTCTAGACTGTTAAACAAATTATCCCTGTCAGCACCCTAGGAAAATGAAAATAAAGCAGTATAGTTAATATGCATACTGATGTTACAGTGTAAAAGGGTAATGCATCTACTCCTGAAAAATACCAGAGTGGCCATGATCTGTGAGACTGACAACACAGTGGTGTGTATTTTTAAAAAGATGAATCATAAACGCATGGTCGTAATTTAATATTCTTACTGTTCTCAATTTCTTTTGTTGACAGAGGTTGATGGCATGCCCCCTTGGACAGCACAGAAGTCTTCTACCTTAATTCCACAGTACTCTTTAGCAGTAATGCACTCCAACCTCTGGCCAGGAGCACATGCATTTGCTCTTGAGAGGTTTGTATTCATGGAATAACTGATTCCTTCTGTAACTTCATTAATGGTTAAATATTTCTAGGATGCATCTATGCCAGATTTCTTAAGCCATCCCCTCTCCACACCAATCTTTAACCTACCTGTACTACTATATAGATCAACCCTTTTGCTCCTAAAGGTGACCACCATCTAATTTCTCCTTACAGTATCATCCCTCAATCACACATCAAGGTCAATAGAATAAAGGAAATGATCACCAACTAAAGAAGCTCTTGGTTGTTTAACAAATTCCCCTCATCAGCACCCTAGGAAAGTATAGGAAACAGTATAGAGAGTTGGGGTGTTGAGGGTCAGGCAGTGAAGACATAAAGCTTTGATAATAATGCATGCAGAAGGTTGACAAGTCTGTCAGTGAAAAGGGCACTTGGAGAGCATGGTCACCCTTATTAAGCCGTTTTAGTCAACCAGTTCCAAAACCAGACATAAAATTCTGATTCAATATCTTCAAGTGGAAGAGAAAAGAGAGCTACCAGTTTTATTACCATTGTCACTTTTCTAAGAGAGAGAGAGTACATGAAATTGAATTGGATAACAATATCATTGAATACTGCACTTTGATTTGCAATAATGCAGTGTTATGACATTTTCATACAACAACTGATTAAGTCCAGAAATATATTTTGATAAAATTTCAATCTTCTCGTCCATCCTAGAAAATTTGAGAACCTCTATGTTGGTTGGGGCCAGAAATTCAGTGCAGAAAACTACAGCCCACCACCCCCTCCAGCACCTCAAGAGGAATTCCCCAGTGGACCAGAAATCACTGAGGCTGAAGACCCATCTGTGGAGGAAGAGAAGGCCCTGAAGGCTGCTCAACAGGAAGCAATGGAGGCTGCTGAGATGGAGGATGAGGAAGATGATGATGACGAAGATGACTAGTTTCTGTTTTGGTGTTCAATTAATTTCAGTGAAATTGTGAATCACATTGTTTGCTTTTTTGAATGTATATAACAACCAACATTTAAAATTATGATGTAAACAAACTTGAAAAGAATCAGTATCTTGTGTCAACATACACATTTTTATTTTGTTGCTTCCTTTATAAGCAAGTTATATGTCTCTTACTTAGGTCCAGAAAACAGAAAAACATGTACATATTATTGAAAAGTTTTGCTTTTCCAAACTGTTACTTCTGTTGAGTTTATTGTGTCGTACATGATAAAGCTTTCTTATTAAAATGTGAATTGAGTCATAACAAAAGCGGATTGAAATGTTTCACAAACCATTTTAATTACTCATAAACAAACTACAAGGCTGTTAGTAAAACTTAATGACAAGTGTTTTAAAGAGGTGATCTAATGCATTGTACATTTCACTTGTAAAATACACAACTTTAACAAACATCCATGTAGAAAAAAAGTTATGTATTAAATAACTGGTGATTACCACTGCATTGCCTGCTGTTTCAGTGCTTTGTATTGGCCCTGGTTGTTAGAAGGCTGGATAAATATTGCTATCCAGCAGATAGCATATTTATGTTTTGTTGGCACTTATGTGCTGAACAGCAATTTGTCCAGTGGATAACACTATCTAGCCTTTGAACAACTAAGAACTGGTTGTTAAAATGAACAAAATTAAAGACAGCTACTAAAAACAATCACAAATCTTGCTAGGGAAAAGCATACATGAAACCCTCAAGGAAAACTGCTAATAAATCAGTCTTGTCAACATACAAGGCCAGTAACTTGATAACACTGAGGTTGCTTTTGTCATGTTTACAAAGCAGGTGTAAAGGTTTAAAAAATTATGAAGGAAAAAGGTTTACTTTTGCTGATGTTTTTGTGTTGTGTTAAACTACAGTTAAGATAAGAAGGCCTATTCACAGGATGAAATCAGGTGTCCATCACTTAAGCTATGTACTATTCCTGTCACTGGCTATGTCCTTGTTTCACAGTGTCTTCCCAGGAAGTTTAAATGAGATCAGCCACTGAAATGAAAAAAAAAAATTTGGTGTGAAAAGGAATAGATGAGGAAGCAGACAAGTGATGAGAATAAAGAAAATAAATAAATTCAGGGATTACCAATACCAATTTCTCCAGATTACCATCACAAGAATAGTATGGCAGATAATAAGGAGAATTACTGATTTGATATTGGGAGCAATAGTGGTAACCTGTAAAAGTCTATTAATCAATGGAGATGACTGAAAATGAGCAAGCAAAACATGGCCATGGTGTTATCATATGGAACATTCTCCACAGGCAACTGACATTTTCAACAGAACAACTACAACAGACTACCAAGGTAGCAGCAGTGAGGGTGGTTCCAAAAAAAGGACCGTTGCTAGTTATTGTGAGTAAAGATTCAGTCAAAGCCAGCAATCACACAAGACTAGTGATTACTACTACTTCATCAAAAGCCTTTTACTGCAAACCAATATCAAAGACCTACCATTCATGGGCATTTCATCGATCTGAGTACTGTAGTACTGTTCAATGTCACGCAAAATTCTGATGTCATCAGACTTCACAAAGTTAATGGCAACACCTTTGCGACCAAATCGACCAGAGCGACCAATCCTGAAAGAGGAGAGAAGTTGCATGTGTATCCAACTTTGAGTGAAAGTCTGATGGAAAGTAAATTTAACACTTTGACTGCTAAGAGTGACCAGCATCTCATTTCTCCCCTACCATACCACCCATGAATCACAAACTAAGGTCAAGAGAAGGAGAAGGAATCCCCAACTTAAGAAGCTCTTGATTATCAGAAAAATGCAAAGAGAACAGAATAGAGAGTTCAAATACTGATTTCCTGATGCAAAGGTTTGTGAAGAACTACATCACTTACCTGTGAATGTACAATTCACGATTGTTTGGCAGGTCGTAGTTGATAACCAGAGACACTTGCTGCACATCTATGCCTCGAGCCCACACATCTGTTGAGATCAGCACTCGGCTGCATGAAATGAGCAAAGGGGAGATGTAAGAGTCAAGCACTTTACATCATGAAGAAAAAACATCATGTTTGAGAAAGCAACTCATAATTTCTCTTTACCTCTGTCCAGATCTAAATTCTTTCATGATGGCATCTCTTTCTTTCTGTGGCATGTCACCATGCATGGCTGAAACAGTGAAGTTTGCCTCTCGCATTTTCTCCACAAGCCAGTCCACCTGAAAAGGATAGAAAATAATTTCACAAATGAATATAACTTGCATTGCAAACCAAAAGAAAAATTGCATACAAATCTTTGGGGATACAGCTGTGAACTAACCTTTCTTTTTGTGTTGCAGAAAATGACAGCTTGTGTGATGGTAAGGGTATCATACAAATCACAGAGGGTATCAAACTTCCATTCTTCACGTTCCACAGCCACAAAGAACTGTTTGATGCCTTCCAAAGTCAACTCATCACTATGACAAACAATAGGAGGTCACCATGGAAAAGTTCTTCTGTTTGTAACCTTTTCAAGCAAAAACAACTATTTTTTCTATGCAAACAAAAATGTCACTCACCGCTTGACAAGAATCCTGATTGGGTCAGTCATGAACTTTTGCGTCATCTCCAAGATTTCATGTGGAAGAGTTGCACTTAACAGAACAACCTGAACACATTTGAAAAGGATAAGAATTGTTATATTAGACTCCATAAGTCATGTAAGTCATTTGCCTCAGCTTTTGTTTGCATGAACATTTTTTTCACCCTATGTATACCTGTCACTGATATACAAAAACAACCCTTTTTTCAATTTGTGTGAATTTCAACATTAACAATACACAGAGGATGTATACCACAAAGGGCAAACAGCAACCCTGAAACCACTAGTCTTGGGTAAAGTGGCATGAATAACCTTCCATGAATTTATAACCTACATAAAGCTTTCTCTCAGAGACAGCTGACAATATAATAGCTGGAAGACTTGTTAAGGGACACATTCACAACTTACCTGAGTGGCTGGAGGAAGATATCTGTAAACATCATAGATCTGCTCCTTAAAACCTAAAGGAAGCAGACAAAAACAAATAATAAAACAGTTACATAAGGTAAATGTATCAAGTCACAGTTTATGGACAGTAACTGAACAATCACTTCTCAGTTCCTTACCTTTATTCAGCATTTCATCTGCTTCATCCAGCACCAACATTTTTATAGATCGGGTTCTCAAGCTTCTTCTTCTTATCATGTCTTATGATCACAACAAAGGAGTAAATTACAAAAAAATGCACTACAAATCTTCATACCAAAGCAAAGTCAAGCCAACACTTGCATCAAAAGTTCAACACTGCCTAGGCAGACTTATAATAATCTTGTCCCATACCCACTACAAATGTTTCACATCTTTCTTTAGCAAGTTACAAGTACCCTGGTACATGTACTGGTGAACATGAAGGTAACTTAGCCTTTCGTGTGATGGGAACAATTGAAAGAGCATACATGAATAAATATTTATAAAATAAGCAGGATTCCAAAAAGCATTTTGATTGAATCTCACCTATGCTATATTGGGGGACAGATGCAAACAGATGACAAAAACATCAACATTTTTTTGCTTTTTTATTATATAAAACAAACAAATTCCATGCTAATGAGGGTTTGATCGCTATTTCACAATTACATCACAGAAGATGTCAAAATGTGTTAACCCTTTAACTCCCATTAGTGACCAAGACAGAATTTATCCTTACAATATCAATACAAAATCAAGTAAACAAGTGATGAGAACCAAGAAAAGTATCAATTAGGGGATTATTATCCAATACTAAATTCTCATAAGTGACATCAGAAGAATTGTATTGCAGACAGTAAGGAGAATTACTAATGAGATCTTGGAAGTTAAAGGGTTAAGAACATCAGCTACACATTCACCTGGGCCTTGTGTGTCACTTTTTTGTGTTAACACATTTTGACGTCATCTATGATCTATTACCAAACAGACTCACAGCAACATCAAATCCATTTGCTCAATGGTCATTAGGGACTGAATTACTTTGCAAACCATAGCAGCATTGAATTTATAGCAATCACAGGCCTAAGTAGAATCATATTACTTACCAAAAACTCTGCCAGGTGTACCAGACACAACATGCTGTCCATAATCAAGCTTTCTGATGTCCTCTCCTACATTTGTTCCTCCAATACATGCATGACATTGAATACTCATGTAGTCACCCAGAGCAAGAATGACCTGATGAAAGCCACAATAAGTATCATGAAATCTTACAGGGGAGTTTATAGCAGTTGACAGCCCCTTGAACTTTACTAGCTAGTATAGGTAATAACAAGATTTTGAGAGCAATTTGGTGTTAATAAGTGTAAGAAAATTTTTCAAAGCCAACTGAATTGCATGAGCCTGTAGGGTGAGTGCACTTTGTAGTCTTCAAAAAATTTAGAAGTGCTTATTACAACAAATTGCCAGAGAAATCATGTTATTGCTTGTTAATAATGTAATTTAAAAAGAAATCTCCCAAGAGGCAGGTCAAACAAAATTTTGAGAGTGTGTATGCACTATTTCTAATTTGCACTTGTGTTACGACTTTGCACTTGTATTACATGAGAAATGCACTCATTTTCAGCCAATCAGAGGGTCCTTACTTGCTTCAGTAATGTAATTATCATGAAGATGCAAGTGGATCAGCTCCAAAACTTGGCAAGTTCCAATGTTTATTTTTAAGCTATACAGACTTACAGAACTTCACAACATAAAAAAAAACTCTGCATTTACAACTATATTTCCAGACCATATTTTGAGTCCTCAGCAAACTTTAAAAGTCATTCAAATGACCAAGAGGGTATCAGGTTAAATCACATAAAAATAATACTTAACACAAATTAATCTACCTTCTGAATTTGTTGTGCAAGCTCTCGGGTTGGAGACAAAATCAGAGCCTGTGTTTCTCTTGTCTGTAGAAAACAAAAGCAAATATTTAGTAAACTTACGTGTATAGAACAAGTATATTTACATAGTACAGTATAATTATTTTTTACCATACAATGACCAACTAAATTTTTTTCAATTGTCTTTATTGAAATTGAAAATAGATTTCTGACTCCTTACAGATTATTCTGGAGACATAACAATTGATGGCAAAATAAAATTTTGACTTGACTATGCAATCTGAACATTCAATATCTTGAGTTGAAGATTCAGATTTGATTTTATTTATTCCTGCTTCACATCAGGATCACCACATCACAGTGAATGCAACTTTTTGCCTATTATTTGTTGGAAGTAAGATGAAAAAGATGTGTTTATGGGGATGAAACATATTCTCAAACACTGTTTTGGGTACTATTGACTGACCTCTCAACAGTATGTGTAGAAATCACAATTAGAGTCAAGCTAACAATTGTTTACCAGTCAATTATATATAATCTCTAACTGAATAAAACTGTCTTTCATTTGACTACAGTGATAAATTCCACCAAGTCTACAGAGGAGACAATCACTATCACAGACAATGGTTTATTTCTGAACAGCTCTTATCCAGATCATAACACATCATCATTTACTCATGCAGTTCTCCCTGCTTTAAGCAATTTACTCTGGACTATTATGAGCTTTTCTTATCTGTTCTTGAACCTCACATGTAATTTACAAACCTGAATATCTATTGACTGAAGTACAGAGATGGACAGAGTGGCTGTTTTTCCTGTTCCAGACTGAGCCCTGGAGATGAAAAGAGAAAGACGTCAGTCAGTAACAAGCTGCCTGATTTGAGGTATAAATTCAGAAGTACACATAAGGAATAATATAAATATTCTAAGCATTCATATAATTTAAGGGAATGCTTCTCTACTATGGACCATTCTATAGGATTACTAAATAATTCTTTTTGCAGCATTTGATTCAGTGCTGAGTCTTTCCGCTTTATCTTCAAGAAACTTGAAAACATCAGGGGTACATACATTAAGTAACCAAACAAGTGACTCAAGTAAGTGACTCAACCAAGTGGCATTGAAGGGATCACTACACCAACTTCAAAACAAAATTACTGTATCTTTCAGTTTAAGTAGAACACTACAGATAAAATATGCTAGCTTAACATTTCGATGGCTTGGACGAAATAAAACATTCTGTAAGTTTACCGATTCCAATTTTCAGAAACATGACAAGAAAACGTATAAAAGTTACGTTGGTCAGGACACTCAATTCCTAATGTTAATACGTAAAAACTTACTGTGCAATGACGTCTCTTCCTTTGATAATCGGTTTAATAGCACGCTGTTGAATTGCCGATGGTTTCTCAAAGCCTAGAAATGATCAAAAAAAGCTCAGAGACGAATGAAAAACCCTTGCAAACACATTTCGTGGTTCTGGCGTCTTGCATTGATCGAACTTACCATAAGCGTAAATGCCTCGAACCAAGTCTTCGCGAAGTTTTAACTGGTCGAATGTGGGAACGACTTCAACCTCTTCTGAAGTTGAGAATTCGATCTTGGTTGGATCTTCCTCATCGTCGGCTACAACTTTTCTTTTGCGAGACATCTTACAATCTCCTAACTATCTCGTTTTCTTTAAGCGTGCATGAAGGACGAGCTGAGAGACCGCGCCTGGTTACAAGCAACCAAGCGTTACTAAGCATGATGGGATACGAGCCGATAAGCAGGCTGATGTAAATACCGATAAAGGGGCGGTCATTGATTAAGAGGGGGAGGTCACTAATTTTTAAGCAGGAAAAACAGAAGAAAAATGCGCGCAAATTACAGTGTACGTGATTGATAGAGGGCTTGGGTGGGGTCAGCAATCAGTGTGTTTCATATGAGGCAGGGTTAGAAATATTTACCTAGTCTCTCCCTATTTTAGCATCACTTGCACTTTCTGATCCAGGAATATGATATTAATTTTTGCTGTATAAGAGCATATGTCAGAACTTAGCTTTTTACAGGTATATTTTGATTTTTTTTACTTGACGATGTTAAGCTGACATTGAGAGGTCTCTTCTTTAAATAAATTTTGTTGACAAGGGCATTCCAATTTTTTGCTTTTATACCAGTGTTTTAATGTTAAATTCAAAATAACTGAAAATAACCTTTTAATCATAACATATAATTTACAACTTTATTAAAAAGTTTTCTAATAAGTATTATCACAAGCAGTCAGAAAGATTCAGTCCTTTAGTCCTTTACATCCAAACATCAGTATACATATTCTCCATACTGATCCCATACATTTCCTAAGGTACTGACAAAGAGAATTTGTTTAACAATCAAGAGCTTCTTTAGTTGGTGATCATACGCTTTATTAAGGTGACCTTAACCTTGAGTGACCGAGACAGAATTTCACCTTATAATACCATTACAATATCAACCAGATAAGTAATGAGAATAAAGAGAAATATCAACTTGAGGATAATTAGTTGATCCAATTCTCAATTCTCTGAACTAACATTATAAGAATTGTATGGTTGACAGTAAGGAGAACTGCAAATTTGGTCTGGGAGTTAAAGGGTTAATGTTTGATTCAAGGGTGATGATATTTACAGAGATAAGATGCTTGTCTCTCTTTGGTGATGAAGAATTAAATTAAATTTTTATATGCTCAATGGCACATGGCCAGGATGAATGAGATTTTGAAACAGTTGGTGTGAAATGGTGGCAGATTGAAAGTTCTTTTGCTTCTCAAGCTATAGAAGCCTTGATGACATGGGGATATTAGTGGGGGAGACTGTGATTGTTCAAATTGATGATGCCACTGAATAGCTTAGAGCAGTGATCATTGCATCTTTGGCGTAGAGTACTGAGTCCATAATTTGTACAGAGCACTTAAATTATATAGAGACCCTTTGCAAATAGTCCTAGTTTTAATTGCACTATATTTATATCGTAAATAATTATTCAATTCAGTCTTTGGCTGCAACTTAGTTATTCGTGTTAAACTATCTATCTATAATAAAACTATGAAACTTGATTTTAGAGGACTTGTGCAAGTCTTGTGATGCTCAGGATGAAATACTTAAACATTCTCTTCCATAATGATACATTCTCAAAAAAAGAAAAAGAAAAACCGTTCTCCCATGCCTTGTGGAAACAATCTGTTCATATTTTTTTTGACTCTTTAATAAAAGATGGTAGACTTGGCAACCCCATGAGAGAATCTTTTGAGGGCAATATTGCTTATAAGCAACTAAAAAACCAGTGATAGTCTTCTTGTACTGTTGATAAGTACATAAATGTCATTGAGATGATGGGTAAGGGAATTCTTTTAGGAAAAGTCTCTTGAAAATTGCTGACATTTCACACATTCTTGGCTCCTTTTCTTGTTGTTTACTAAGCTTCATCATTTTTATTTATTACTTAATTCATAATTTAAAAAGAATTTATCCCATACAGCTGCCTTCAGGTACCATTTTCACATACTGATGCCACCTGCCTTCTCTACAGAAAAATGCAAAATGCTTAGAAACAGAAGTTCCCTGCTGTGTTTAAGGGAAAGAAACTGGTAGTTGATGAAAACACCAGCAGGTGGCACCCTTATTACTACAAATATTGACTTTTTATCCTCTCAGGGCTCACTTCCCATTTCTAAACAAGGACATTTTACCACTAAATCACTCTATTGGTAAGAATGCAAAAGCAAAGGTTTATATCAACATCGTCAGAGTAACCAATACAAAGACTTCCAGACCATTTCAAACACAATTTTAAAGAGTTGTACATACAAAGTTAGTTCACCTGAAAGATCAGCCTTTGTTGCAGGGTACAATGGGAAAAATTATCATGTGAAGTATATTTGAGCTGCTGAATCTTTCTTAAACAGCTGTGGACGATGTGATGTTTCTCACAACCTTCTTAAAAGATTGGTACACAGAGATGTCTTTTCTTTGTTCAATTTAATCAATTTGCAAACAAATTTGATAAAAAATTCCTACATAAAGCAGGGGTCAAGGCAGTAAAATTAACATAAGTTTTGTAAGCAAATACAGGTCATAAAATGGGAAAATATTAAACCATATTTATTCTAAGATGATGTTTACGACAATGCTCCACATGGAATCTGGAATCAAAACATTCTTTTGTGCTGCTTCAATTTGCAGTTCACAAGATCCTTGTCTTCAAACAGTTTGCCTTCAGTGTTTCAAATACAACAATGTTTGACTACACTGTTGAATTCCACCTTATTTTGTAAGAGTACTTTTTGTAAACTGCTGGTTCAGTTTACCTAAAGAATATATCTATTGTTGACAGCACAAAAAAAAATATATGTTGCCTTAATACATGCACATCATTGCTGCAGCTATCCAAACATACATCAAAGTTTGAATATTTGAGAAGAAAAGAAATGTGTATGTACCTGCCAAAAAATCTGCATAATAACACACATATATTTACATATGTGATAGAGCTTGTCAAGAAGGGAAGCAGGTGACCAAAATGTATGCAAGACTCAGCCGAAAAACATATTTCTGAGAATTACCTCTAACTTTTACAAACTCAGAGTAAAAGACAAGGGTTTTTTAATCCTCTTCTTTTCAAATTTATAAAGGTCTTTTGGTAAAAGTATGTTGACTTTGAGATTAAAGGCATCTTGTTTAATTAAATAAACTCCTAATATGAAAACAGAAACACACAATGTTCGTTTTACGTGACTTAACATGGTGCGAAACCAAAGCATTTTTCAAGTGTTCAAGTAAAAATTTTACTTTACTCGGTCCAGGTAGTTTTTTCATTTCTCTGTTTGTATCAATACTGACATACTGTCGTTTCATTAAAAAAACATGGCTCAAATCATGGGCAATGATCAAACTTTTGAATTTTGATTTCTATTCAATATGAAATTTCTGTGACAAAGGAAACATTTTATACAGGCAAACTAAATGAATTTGTCAAAAGCAAGCTTAAATATTTTGTTATAGATAAATATATTATCTTAACTATTTGCAAGCGATCAAACGCTATACCCAAAGCACGGAAAACGTAATTTCGACCTTAACAAAGAAATATTTTTGCGATGAGTAATAAAACAGGTAGAAACAAGAAGTTTCAACTTTTTTCCTTCCGGTCGTTTTTGATTCCTACATATTTACCTTACAGTGAGGAAATTTTTCTTTGAAAGCCTTAACGCTTTCTTGTGAAACGCTGAAACAATCCGTAATGTCAAGTGTTTCCAAACATGGTAGAGAATTTCCTATTTCCAACAGCTGTTCGTCTTTGCCCACAATGTCCGTGAAAGAAATATCCAAATTCCACAAGCAATCTAGATAACAAAAGCACGATTTAAGACCTTCATAAGTGAGTTTACTACAACCGTTTATGGACAGAAACGAAAGTTCCACGTTGAAACAAATCGTTTTTAGTCCTTCGTCCGTTATATCCGCGAACCCAAGGCCCAATGATCGAAACTCATCGCTGGCATAATTCGCGATCACGCAAGCAGTGTTGTCGGTAATACCTGTTTCAATACTATCCGAATTATGGACAATAAGCCTTGCTAGTTTTTCGCATCTGTTCATCAGCGCATACACTCCTACGTCGGTAATTTCGCTAAATTCCAGTGACAAATCCTCGAGAAAAGGCAGTTGATCAGCAATTACGATCAAGGACACATCGGTGATGACGCCATTGGAAATGTTCAAGCATTTTAAATTTCGGCATAAGTGAGCTATTGTACAAACTCCAAAGTCAGTTATTCCTCCGTCTTTGTCGCAATAATCGATCACGAAAGACTCCAGTTTTCGGCATTTTTTCGCTAACGCCGCCAAACTCCTGTCGCTGACCAATACTTGGTTATACCTGAGGGTCAACTTTCTTAATTTTCGGCATCCATTTGCCAAAAGCCGCATCATTTGATCGGTCAAAACATCAGCATAACTTTTCTGATCGTCCTCCAGGGAAGCCTCGTAAACGATCATTTTTTCAAGTTCAGGACATCCTGATGAAATTACCTTGATTGTGTTTTCTGTGACCGCAATGGAGTAAGCGTACAGCTTCCGTAAACCTGAGTTATTTTTAACCAAATTAGAGAGAGCCCTCTCAGAAACATTCTTCAAAGGTATCGAAACCGTTTCCAAAGCATCACAATTGCGCGCCAAAGCGAAAATGCCGTAATCTGTAATTAAATTACATCCATTTAGATACAGTTTTTTCAGGTTTGGACAGTTTAAGGAAATATGCTTCAAAGACTCATCTTTTAAACCTGTACAGTTCGTTAGATTGATGCTCGAAATTAGATTGGTCCTTCGAGCGACAACCCTTGCGACTGTATCAGCTGCCACTTTCGTAGCATGTTTCGGCCGAATACGTAAAGTTTTCCACAAGCTGGGGTCGTAACAGAGCCTGTGCCATCGTGAACAAACCCTTGAGCATCGTACCAAACGAGGATAGTCGAGATAAGAGAGAATATGAATAATTACCGCGTCCGGTAAAGACGTTACCGTAGCCATGTCCAAACGTTCTTTGTTTTAATTTCGCCTTTTCAGTTTTTTATTTCATTGATTTTCCCGCGCATTGTTCTCAGCCTCTTTTGCATGTTAGCCTCGTTATCGCTTTGTCACCCAGGCCCTTATGAAATTTTCCACATGGACAATTCGTTGAGGGTAAAGCGACTTTGTGTTGAGTAGAAAGTGTGATCTTTCGATATTCTTCTCCGATATACCAGTGGCAGTTTGAATTGTAAGTCATATCCCTTTCTTTTACACTTAAGAAGAGAAGTTGATGTTTAAACATGATGAAATGCATCCGTCTATACCATCTTTCGGGACAGAATTTTGATGTTGAGATGCAGTTATCTGACTGGAAATTTTTATTTTTGCAATCTTTTAATCGACAAAGCTTTCTTTTCTTATCGTTCACGTCGTATTTTAATATCTTACACAGGTATTATGGTTTCTTCCTTGTAGTAAACGAACTGAGGTAAGTGTGGGGTAATTACAGCGGCAAACATTTTACAATTTTCCGGTTAAAATGGCGAACGGGATCCAGGTAGAAACCGTCGTGCTATGCGGGCGTGCCAAGTTGAGCGAGAACTAGTTTCACGGTATTCTCCGACCATTTAAATTCTCATGGATGGCGATGAAGGTGCAATCTATACGCTTTACGTTCCTAAGCTGCATACAGATTTAAGATAGAGGTTTAACAAATGCATCTCTGCAAACATCTGGTTCTTTTTCAGATGTCTTTAAAAGAAACTTCTTAATGAGACTCATTCTCTCGATGTTTAAATTCTCTGACAGTTCTCAAGCATGATGAATTGCATTAACTTAACCATCTTTCGGGACAGAATAATTTTGTTGAGGTGCATTATCTGACTTGAGAATTACTGAAGGTAGTAGACATCTCCCTGTATGTTCTAAAGCAGTTTGTAACCCTTGCACATAATACTATTCTTCCAGCCTGAAGTACTTCTTGAGAACAACAGACTCCTTCCTCTGTAAGTATGAACTTTGTTAGTAATTACTAATAGTAAGGCTATAGTTTAACTCGACCCTCAGCAATCCTATCTTCAGCAGCACATTTTTAATGATGGTGATAATGATATGGCACATGTTTGGGTCATTTTCATTTTCTAATACTCTTGACAACACTTTGCAACTTAGCATAGGACTTTGATTCAGATCTCAGTGGTTTCAATAAGAAGGGGTACCAGTAGTCTACCAATGCCTACAAGACCTCTTATTGTCAACTCTTTAGCCTACAAGCAGATACCCGTAATGCTGGAAATTACTTCTCAGAAATCTTAGATTTCAAGGTTTTCTTTGGAGAACATGCATCCTGAGGTTGCATGCATGTAAGAAGTAATTGAAACCTGTAAACTCCATGAGGCAGTTTACCAAGAATGGAGGGAATCTTTTATGAAGATGTCTGCTAGTTTGGATATTAGGTCAGATCACAGCTTTAGGAGAGTTTTGCCATATTCTTGAAGATAAACAGGGTTTTTATAAAGAAATTTAGTAGATAGAATAGGGTCTTGACACTTAAACTCCCAGAAGTGATTAACACATAACTTCTCCCTTTGATATCCATACATTTTTCAATAAACAGGTAATGACATTACTAAAACTTACCAGGTAGTTATCTTGTTCTAGCACCAAATTCTCGTAACTAATTTCTAAGGAGATGTGTAGCAGCTAGAGGGGAGAATCATCAATTAGATCTTGGAAGTTAATGGGTTAAGTACCAAGAGAATATTTTAGTATAGTAGCTGAAGAATTCTCTGATATGTGATCACCCTGGTTGAACCAGAGCAGTAGGCTTGGGTAGTACCTAAGTAAACCCAAAGAATCTGGATCGAGGGAAATGAAAAACAGGTCTTTTTCTGCATGAGAAACTAATTCCTAAGGATACTGTTTTGTAAAAAAAGGGTTTGCAGTCACATAATTGTGCTTCTTCAAAAGATGAATAAATTATTCAAGAAAGCATTTGCTAGAAATTTTTAGCCCCAAAAAGCTTAAAAACAGGGACTAGATAGGTCTGTTATCATAAAGGTTGCTTTCACACCAATCCCAAGCCATGATGTTAAGATGTTTACTTACTATGAGTTATGGTTTTGCTGCAGTGCTTCTTGGAAATGTCGGACATGGATGATGATTTCATGTGTGATGATGATGAAGATTATGACCTGGAGTACTCTGAAGACAGTGCCTCCGAGCCTGATGTGGATTTGGAAAACCAGTACTACAATTCAAAAGCCTTGAAAGAAGATGATCCTAATGCCTCATTGCAAAGCTTTCAGAAGGTTTTGGATCTTGAAACAGAAAAAGGTGAATGGGGATTCAAAGCGCTGAAACAAATGATCAAGATCAACTTCAAGCTGGGCCATTATGATGAGATGATGACCCGCTATCAGCAGTTGCTCACATACATAAAGAGTGCTGTCACAAGGAACCACTCTGAAAAGTCTATTAATTCCATCCTGGATTACATTTCAACTTCAAAGCAAATGGAGTTGCTACAGAATTTCTATGAGACCACACTGGAAGCCTTGAAAGATGCAAAGAATGACAGACTGTGGTTTAAGACAAACACAAAGCTAGGAAAGTTGTACTTTGACAGAGGGGAATTCACTAAGCTGGCAAAAATCCTGAAACAACTGCATCAGTCTTGTCAGACGGATGAAGGAGAAGATGATCTGAAGAAGGGAACTCAATTGCTAGAAATTTATGCTCTGGAGATCCAGATGTACACAGCACAAAAAAATAACAAGAAGCTTAAAGCTTTGTATGAACAGTCCCTTCACATCAAATCTGCCATTCCACATCCACTTATTATGGGGGTGATCAGGGAGTGTGGTGGGAAGATGCACTTACGGGAGGGAGACTATGGAGCAGCTCACACTGATTTCTTTGAGGCTTTTAAGAACTATGATGAGTCTGGAAGTGGAAGGCGCACAACTTGCCTGAAATACCTTGTCCTGGCCAACATGCTTATGAAATCTGGTATCAACCCTTTTGACTCTCAGGAAGCAAAACCTTACAAAAATGACCCAGAGATTCTAGCCATGACAAATCTTGTCAGTGCCTACCAGAATGATGATATCAATGAGTTTGAGAAAATTCTCAAAACCAACCGCAAGAACATAATGGATGATCCCTTTATTAGGGAACACATTGAAGATCTCTTAAGAAACATCAGGACACAAGTGCTTATTAAGCTGATTAAGCCATACACACGGATCCACATTCCATTTATATCCAAAGAGTTGAACATCGATACAGAAGAAGTAGAAAGCCTTCTGGTACAATGTATACTTGACAATACCATTCATGGCCGCATTGATCAGGTAAATCAACTTCTTGAACTGAACAGAACAACACAGAGTGTTGATAGGTTCCAGGGACTGGATAGGTGGACCACACAGTTAAATTCGCTGCACACTACAGTCGTAAACAAGATTGCCTAAGCAGCCAGTTACATAATCAACAGTCAAACAGACAAGTAACTGTTAAGCATGTGCATTAATCTTGCTGTAAATGTGAATAACAGAGCCACTTGGACACATGTCTGTTGTTAATAAACGAAGGTTTGTGTGGTGATTCCAAGTTAGAAGGCTCTATTTTTAGGGTTTTTTTTTTTTTTTTTTTTTTTTTTTTTTTTTCAGCATATAACTTTTTTCTTAAAATTAATGTAGCATTGGGAAAAAAAAGAAAATGAATAAAGATTGTTGTGATTTACAAGGGCAAAACCAGTGAAATAGTTGAGACAACAATAATGAATGCCAGTATTGGGAATGTTAAACTTTGGTGTATGGCTGTAGTTGTAGTTTTTTGAGGGATCTTCTAGAAAACATTTCAAACATTTGGAACAAGCTTGTGGAACAGGCTAAGAGACAGTCAGTAATTGTGAATTCATTACTTGCATGTGTAATTTTACTCTGAGATGAAGTCACTCTAGCCTCTTTAAAACATTTTGTATTTTTGTTAGAGGTACTTTATCTGGCAAAATAATCAATACAGTAATACAATAAATGTTGTTTTTTCATGGTATGAGTGGAAATGTGACATGTATGTCTCCAAAATTGTCAATTAGAGTTAAGAGCCGGTCAAAACTACATTAAATTCTGTTTCTTTTGGCTGGCTACTTTCACCTCATTTTACCATAATTGTGGATGAAACTCATTCAGTTATACACCAATCAATTCAAAGCTACAACCTTTCCCTCTTCCTTGGTCAACCCACAGGCTTTTGACTGTTTTCTGTGCCCATGGGGGTAGGAAATTTGAACCAGAACAGTCAAGTTTTAACTGTTCTGGTTCAACAAGTTTTTAAACCATAAAACTTGTTTTATCTTTTAAAATGCAGGTTTTTTAAAGGTAAAGAGTAAATATTTTTTTTTTGGGGAGGGGGGGCAGTGTTGAAGCTTCAAATTGATCTCTGCACTATTGAAACACTGTCAAAGTATTTTGAACAGCAGTCATATCCCAGTTTTGAGTGCAATGCATTTAGCTAAACTTCTGTGGCAGGTTCATATCTATGGATCGATTTTAGTCATTATTTGGAACAAGGTTTGTGCAAATTTTGTGGAATGCTTGAAACATTTTTATGGAATAGTCCTTGGTTGTTGCTGTAATCTAACAAAGCAACATAATGTTACAATTTGTCTTTTCTTATTTGTCTTCTCCTTTTAAATTTTTGAGGGCTCTATGCGTGATCTTCAGAATCGATCATCAAGGAAGCCCAATCTCTTGAGCATCACCTCCTGTTTTTCTGTAGTTACATGAAGTAAGGTGATTTTAATACACCAAAGCACAAATTTTCTATGTAGCTTGCAAAATGTTTGTTGATGTTTTTAAAGAAAACTCACATGAAATGAAAGGACATTAATTAAGTTGCTCTGACTATCCACAGAGTTATTGTACTTAAATAATGATTCTATTTAATACTTTGACCCCTAGAAGTGACTAGCATCTAATTTCTCCTTACAATATCACACTGAATCAAACATTAAGGTCATGAGAATAAAGGAAATGATCACCAACTAAAGAAGCTCTAGTGTGTAAACAAATTATCATTGTCAGCACCTCAGGAAATGTATAGAGAACAGTATGAAGAAGATGCATAATAGTGTTGAAGTGTAAAGGATATATTAACCTTGTACTTCAAGATACGCTTTCAAAGTCTTGCAATTGATATGATTAAGGAAATCATGCCACTAGACTGTCAAATCTGATTCATTCTTGCCTTGGTCCTATGGGCAATGAACTAAAAATTTTTCTTCACCTGTTTAGCAATATGGTCACCTCGGCCAACCGTAATATGATTTTATTAAACTCTGTAATTTATGTACTTGAATTTAAGGTGCCACTTTTATTGTTGTTACTTAAACCTTATACTCCCAGTAGTGATTTACATGTAATTTCTCCCTGAAATATCTCTACATTATCTGGTAGACTAGTAGTGAGAATACCCAAACTTATCAAGTAGAAATTGCTACCTTGATATAACCCCACGTTGTAGAAAATTTAAAAGGAAATGTGTAACAGCGAGATGGGAGAATTAGTTTAACTAGATCTTGGGAGTGAAAAGGCTAAATGAAAGAAAATGTAGTATTGTGTGGAAGCACCAGATTTCGTTTGAAGTTCTCTTTGTCACTTCTATTTTCCTGTATTTAAAAGATTAGAAGGCAGTCAAAGGGCTGCTGGAAGTTCTGTCCTGTGTACCAAACATAATTTAAACAAAAGCAAACATGTCTGAAAACTTTTTGAAAAGACTTTGTAGAAATAGCGCGTGCTAACCAGAGTTAGAAGGGGCAAAAAGAGTGAAGTAAGAATTACCGAAATATCCAGCTAGATACATGTAAGTGCCAAGAAAATTTTAACTTTATAAAGCACTCAACTAGGCAAGGCAGTTTCCCGATATGGTTTAATAAATTATGTTCTCATTCAGTGTAACTCTCGGAAATGCATTGATATTCACTACGCTTCGAAAAGACTCTTGTTCTTGTCGCGTCTCGTAATTGTCAGCCGAGCGATTACATATTTTGGCGTCGGTCCCAAGGAAGATCCTTCAGTGAAGACTTGTTTCTCTCAAATGTCGATGACTTCCGAGTCTGAGGCCATATTTTGGCGTCGGTCCCAAGGAAGATCCTTCAGTGAAGACTTGTTTCTCTCAAATGTCGATGACTTCCGAGTCTGAGGCCATATTTTGGCGTCGGTCCTAAGTAAGATCCTTCAATGAAGACTTGTTTCTCTCAAATCTCTGTGACTTCACAAGTCTGAGGCCATGTTTAGAAATTGAAATATAGGCAATAGCAGTATAGATCCTCGCTATGAAAACAAGTCAGTTCTGTTTCTTTTTTCAATCTTAAAACAGGTAAACCCGCTGAAACAAAAGTAGTCTCTCGGGAGGTATAACTATCGGGATTTTCGAGTGACGGGCTCCAGGAGATAGTACTGGGTATCATTGATTTGTTAAATACTAAGGGTAACACGTAAAGGATAACACAGTGGTCACACGTCTGCGCATGTGTGAACTTTGTAATGACTACGTGCCTGACTAAATGACTTGCTTTCAGTCTGTCAGAACCATGTTGTCTCACACGAGTTACAAACAACCACAAAAACTAGTAAGTCACGGTGTTTAAAAAGCGTATTTTCTTGGGTAAATCTTAGAACAGAATGGTGTTTCTGTACTTGAATAGGCTTTGTGCACGAAAAGTGTCAAAGTCTACTTTTGTTTCCTCTTTTTCTTTCACTTTTTTTGGTTGTTCCTTTGAAATTCTCAGCGGGAAATTATTGCACGGTCGGCCAGATTTGATCCCCTCGCGCATGCCCGACGTTTGCCCGGATGTATGTACTGAGAAAGTGTGATTGTGTCCAGCGGACCGATTTCCAATCCTCACTGGAACCTTCTTTTTGCCTAGAAATGTTATTTATTATACTCGCATTAATGAGGAAAATGAAAGGTTAGAGGAAGCTTTCATTTAATAATTCTTAATGAATCAGACTAAGATTACAATGGTATTTGGATAAGCCTTATCTTTCATCGTCCACGTAATTATGGGTTATCAATTTTCATTTATACTAAGTTTAATTTTTTTCCGTCATACATATTTACAAATTAAATGGATATAAATATATACACACTACATTTATATGCTCTTTTCCATGATGTTTTTTCCTTTTTAGTTTGAACTTATTGCAACTTTTATAACCATCTATAACCGACTCAGTGAGTAAGGTTCTTCAAAACCAAACAGATTTTTGAACTAGCTAGCTTTCTCTGACGTCAGTTTAATTCCCTTTCGGCCTAAATGGCTTTATGACTATACATCACAGTCAAGGAGGCACTGCACAAGGACTTTCTCTCGGCCTATTATTAATATAAGCTTACTAAATCGTAATTGATCTTCAAAAATTTGGCGTTAACTGCTTTCCCGCAGCAATTTCGTGCTTTTTTTCACGCAACCCGATTTTCAAGGTGTCAGTTTCCATAAACTTGTCCTCATTCTAAACCAGTATCACTTGTTTGCTCGCTGCGATATCGATATTGCCTGATCGTTTTCTTCACAGCATGCCTGACTTCTCTGATGCGCCAATAATAAAGCACTGGGTTCAGAGATGAATTGAAGAAGATTAATGTGGCCGTGAATCCCTCGGCGACAGGCCAGACATTACCAGTAACAGCCTTCAACCCTGACACTATACTGTACGGCAGATAACAGATCAGTAGTGTTAAATGAACCCAAAGCGCGCTCGATACGGTTTTCTTGAACCGCGCCATGTTCATTGGAGGGTTTTTATTTTCAAGTCCCTGGTTTAAAACATTCTGGATTTTTGCCTGCTGCGCACAGAGTGTGTGGCAAATTTTTGCATAGCAAAACGTGGAAATAATAACACAAGTAAATATACCTATGAGACAAACAAGATAGAAGAGATATCTATTCCTCAAGAATCGCGCAAAGCCATTTGCGATATTTACCGCCCAGAAAAATATCACAAATCTACGGACCCGCGGAGCAGTCACAGTTTGTCGGTATCGCATTCCGAGCGACAAGGCGAGTAATCTGTCGACACTGATGAAGGTTAGAATAAAGAGAGACACTCCGCTTAGAACTGCACTTGTGATGTAGGTCACTTCCACGGTGAATTGGTAGATAGGCAAACGGTCAGTGAAAATAGAGATCGAATGCAGCGCTGCCAGTGGCTGAGAGATGAGACCGACGCACAAATCTGTGATCACCAAATTGAGTATCAATAGGCGCGAAGGTGGATGAAAGCAGGATTCTCGTCGTAGCGCAATAAATATCAACGTATTTCCAAGAGTGGCAGAGATGGAAAGGATAATATTTAAAACAGACAAAGCGACAAAAGAGTTGAAGACATGCGGAGAACTTTTGACCAGAAGGAACAAGGGCGGTCGAGTTGCCACACTGTTGTTGTCCGCCATATCGAAGACGAATTGTCACTAGCTTAATTTGAGGGTCTTTTTCATTTCATATGGAAAATAAAAGGAAGTAAGATCTCAAAAAATAGGTGGGATGGTTTATTTTAAGAGCGAAAGCTGTCAAGAATTTGTCAAATTGACTTTGAAACATGACGTTTGGTTGACCATAACGATATCTTTTATCTCACTTCTTAATGAAATTAGGGTGATAACCTTCATTTTTAATGAAAAACAAAGCATAAATCACTCGCCATTTAATTGGAATAGACCACTCCGTGAATCTTTGAATCATTTTTCTTTTTCTTTCTTTTTAGGTGTGGCGGAAAGCAACGTTTTTTAGCCAAAATTAGTGATTTCAAAAAGTTGACATACTTGCTTGAGTTTTGCGTCTTCTTTTGTAAACAAAGAGCAAATTACAATAATTCTTAACTGCTTTTGCTTTTAGACGCAGTTAAAAGAGTAACTTTTGAAACTGATGTCTGTATGCCAATTGTTAGCAGCAACATAATTTTTTTTTCTGAATGTGCCTTTGTAACTGGCGGAAAATGTCCTTCGTTTTGGCAAAATACCAGAGTCGCAGCTTCATTTTCGAAGTAATCTTTAAAATTCTTCCTTGATTTTTATTTCACTTTCAGAGGCTTGCATTTATTCATGGAATGGTTAAATTTAGATAGCGCATAGGGACAGTGCTTTGACCAAAAGGTAAACATCTTCACCCAATGTTATTTAACAAGAGTGGGCGTGTCCCTATTTCATCAATGTCTTCCTTTCGGTGAGTCAAATGATCGAACTGGAGTATGACTTCTGTGGTAACAACAAACCTTGATCTTCTGACTTGTGCCTGTCGTCATCTGTTGCCTAAAATGTGGCGAGCTCCCATTTCGGTGTTTTTATTCACATTTAAATTTCCATTGATTAATCGAGGAGTTAACGGAAAAAAGGTTTTACTTGTTGACCGTTTTCCAGAGACGTAATGGCGATCTTACTCCTCAGATTCATTTATATAAGTTATTCAATCGATACTTATAATCTTTTTCAACAATTTGGCTTTTTCTCTTTCCAACGTATGTATCGATGGAATCGTAATTTGAATAACATTCAGGTGCCAGAATTTAATTCCCACGACTAGATATTTTGACAAAAATCCATAATCTGATGACTTGGTTTGGATTATCTGCAATTCACAAAGAAAACCTGATCACACGAGAGGATCAGATTTTCTCTGAAAGCACAAAAAAAAGAAGAAGAAAGCAAACAGTGACAAATGGCGACATGAATAAACTTGCGCGCGTCTGGCCTTACAGTGCAACTTTGAGCAAATAAAGAGAATGAATTTTAATTTAATCTTCTTTACCTCATCATAAAAGCTATTTACTGATGGGCGGAACTAACAACGTTTTTTTTTTTTAAATTAACTTATTTGCTGACAAATATTTATGGCCGCAAAATTGAAAGGGCACAAAAAAGGGAGCCAGCAACCGACATTTAATTTTAGCCACGACATTATTGCAGAATGGCTTCGCGTCAACGAAAGGTTTAATTTTTAAAAAACGCAGATGTTTGGAGTGCGAGCTAATGAGGCCAATGCTGTTATTTTTAAACTGTTGAAACCGTTTTTTTTTTAATCCTTTTGGATATATTGCTAGTGTATTAGCAATTTCTGCATAGTTGAGTGAACCGCAAGTTTAAGGGCTTTTTTCGAAATGGATGCCGGTATTTGAGTCTGTGAAAGGCAATATTAGAATGTTTAGTGAATGAGAAAAACTTAATAGCGTTGAAGAGTTTATGCAATGATTTTAAGGAATATTAACTCTTTGCTAACATTTGTCAATTGGCATGTTCGAAATTATATTGGAACTATGATAAATTGATAATTTTGATCGTAATCAAATTTTCGCGTTAAATGCAATTCGATGTCGTGAAAATTTCCTGATAGCATCTAAGGCGAATTAAAGAACCCTTTTTCCGTCCATAAGATTTCCTTCAAGTCATTTCTTTTTAGACAAACACCACTACAACCTCTTTTTGATCAGCCTTTCCCATTCTTCGGTGCCCAGTCCTGCGATCTCACTGCTGTTGAAATTTCCAAACTTTTGCCAAACGCCAGCTAACTTTGAAATCCAAAATGAAAATCTTAAGGCAACACAAATGGCAAACTTCTCTTTTTATTCAAACCTCCATCGCTTACAAATCTGCTTGTGCTAAAATCATGGCTTTCACTGCCTTTTAAATAATGCTGCCAAAATATTATTCAAACGATACTTTTTTTCACAGAAGTATAGTTAAACATAGAACTCAGAAGAGTTGATGAGATGAAGCCAACAAATGGAGAGTTGGTAAGACATTTCCAAATGCTATTCATTACTTAGCGGAAATTAAAATTTTGGGGAAAGACCACTACGTAGAAAAAGTTGGGAGGCATTTTAAGTTTTTTTTCCTTTTTACCTCAACAGCCTGACTCAGAAAACCCGTTTTAATACCCCTTGTTTTCCATGTGCTCCAAACCTTTCTTCGACGCGTTAAAATTTGGATAATTTCCAATTCGAACTTAGTTCGATCTCCGAGTCGATGACCTCGCGCTTTTTGTGAAAAAGAAAAATAAATTGACTTTATCCTAGATGTCAAAAAATGCCCCCATATGATGAAAAAAAAGCATATTGACTCAAGTGCCATGAAAGATTTTGACCAATTACAGTGCACGTCTGTGTCATGCTGTGAAGTGACGTGATGTGGTAACAAAGTCCAATTTGGTTGCCTCGCAAACGTGCGTTTCTCCGCAGCATGCTGAAAGTTAAATGTTTATCAGAGGTGGGCTATCGGGAAATTTTCAAAAACTGTTCAAATATTTGGGTCGACTAATTTTACTATGAAAACAACAACTACAAAAATCGTCTGCGAATCAGGGCGAACCTGCTTCTAATTTTCAAGATGGTAAATGAAACGGTGGCTTTGTTTATTCGCTCCAAAACTACGCCATACGTTTTCAATTCCTTCATCGTACTGGCTTGTCTAAATATGGTATTGTTCTTTACGGCGAGTTTTGGAAACATCTTGATTGTACTCTCTTTACGAAAGGAATCTCTACTTCATCCACCTTCGAGACTTCTTTTGCGTAATCTGGCCTTGACTGATCTGTTCGTTGGTCTCTTCACTCATCCATTAGCTACCCTGCACTCCATTTCCATTCTCGTTGAAAATGTGCCAATTTTTCAGTTCACTGTGCGGTCGAGTTATGTTAGCAGTGCCATCTTAAGCGGAATGTCTCTCTTTGTACTGACCCTGATCAGTGTGGACAGATTACTCGCTCTCTCTCTCGGGATGAAATACAGGCAAGAGGTGACTGCGAGACGTGTTCGTGGTTTTGTGATATTTTTCTGGGTGTTAAATACCGCGAATGGTCTTGCACTGTTGTCTCGGGAGCGATTTGTCTTTTACATATTCAGTGCATCGAGCATCTTTCTTTGCATGATAATTTCGACTTTTTGCTACGCGAAAATTTACCGCATCCTTCGTTTGCAAGAAATGAAAGTTCGCACCACTTGTTCCCAAAAACAAAAAAACAAAAACTCTCTGCTTAGCGTCAAGCGCTACAAGAAGACTGTGTCAAACGCGCTTTGGGTTCACTTGACATTGCTGGCTTGTTATTTCCCGTACAGTATAGTGTCGGGATTAAAAGCGGTGACTAAAGAAACTTGGGCAGTCGCTGAAGGCTTCACTGGGACTCTGATATTCTTCAATTCATCACTGAATCCTCTTCTTTATTGTTGGCGCATTAAGGAAGTGAGACAGGCTTTATTGGAAATGATCAGGCAATACCGAAGTTTACTTTTGAGGGAAACTTGAATTTGAAAATTGTAAGGTTCTGGTTTGACTACGGTTCTATTTTTTTCATCTCAAACTCTGTTAGCCTCTAGTTACAGGTTGGAAATTACACAAGTCTCTTGGCATGATAGGTTGGCTAACGTTTGGAAAAATTAACGAATTGCTAAAGTCTGCAGCGCATTTTTTGTTCAGCTTGCAACATCAATTGAAAAAAATTTGTAAAGCTTTTTTTCTTATATGATCACATCATGAGGGTTTTATTCACAGAGGCAGACCGCTTAAAAACCACTTTCTATACCATGATAAAGGATCCCACGTGAAGGTAATGCTTAGAAATGGCTTTCATCTAAATAGTAACTCTCTGAGCCTTTCTTCACAAGCTTGAAAATCAGTAAAACTTCCTAGCTGGTACAATTTGTTATGCAGCACCACACGAAGGTATTGCCCAATAGCTTCCATATGAATGATCACATGCACTTTAGGGTATCATTCACGAATTCTTTAGTTGGAACCACTTTGTAAAGCATAAAACTGATTTGAAGAGAACCACACTTGGATACTATTCAAAAGCTTCCATTCAGTAAATGAAATAGGTTTTCATTTATCCCTAGACACAAAAGCTAAAATAACGTTGTAAGCGAAATTGAAATAGTATTGTGTAAATGTGTTGTTTATCGTAAAATTTGCAATGATTAATTACAGGAACAGTCATTTGGTTGCTAAGGAAGTTAATCGTAAATCCATCACTGCACCTTCTATACGCAAGGTGCAGAGATGGATCACACGGCGAGGTTTCATTTACAAATCACACGTAGAAAATGGATAATTAATTGACGTTTCTAAAAAACGTGCCCTTTTATTCAACAATTTTGCTTTGAATTATCTTGAGAAGTTTCTGTTTGATATGTATAGTGGCACTTAATTAGATGATGTACGATTCATCATGTTTGTGATTTTGCTGAATTCAAGTTTTTGATCTTTCTAAAAATAGAGAAGGAATGCTTAAAAGTGTCCTTAAGTGATTTTCACAGTGATGCAACAAAATAAAAGTCTTTAAGGTTCGAAATATGCTATACAACAAAGTGTGAACTTAAACGCAATTTGTGAGCGATGTCTTCCGGCAAAATCATTTCGCGCGACTTTGAAATGAAATTGTCTTCCGCTTCTTCGACATACCGCCAAGAGGGGATTTTCTGGCGTTCTTGTTATAGTGTATCTGGTTAACACGAGCAGGAAGGTTTTCTTAGTTTTGAAGCTTGACACTTGAATTTTCCATTCATTCCATTATGACCTGCACGTAATTAATTTAAAGGAATACCTTATGTTAGCTTCGGCGAGGACTAAACAACGAAACTTCGGTTTTAATCAACGGTGTCTAATGAGCCCGCAATCTTGATCATTTTTCAGTTCAGCCGCACAAATGTTTTACCGTTTTCTACTACGTGTAAAAAGAGCAGCTTTGTTACGTTTGTGCTGTAATAATGTTTCTGAAATCATGATACCTTGTAGGAGCGTGTTTGCTAAGTGTTTCGACCTCCCGCCGGCTAAATTTGGTGCGCGCAGTGTTTTCCTTTAGGAAGACATCATCAGGGGAGAGCTTTCAAACTGATGACATAAATATAAATTGAAGAGCTGACGATGGCCAATCAGAGCAAAAGTAAGCACTAAAAGAAGCTAATGAGAACTCAGAGTCTATTCGTGTTAAACGTTTTCGAGAACCGAAAAAGTGAGAGAAAAACCAATTTACGTTTTTCCTTTTAGTCTTGTATTAGATTGGTTGAGAACTTGACACGAGTTCCGTCCAATTCTCGACTCCCATCCGAAAATTGCTTGATTAAACGTGAACACAACTACAGTTGTGTGAAACACATGCCTTTAAGATACTCCGCTATTTGCATTTTAGTCAGGTCACTCATCGTAAGACTCGCCGGTGTGAACAGTCAGTTTAACATTTGTTCCGTAAAGACTCAACGCAGGATAAAACTCTCCCAATAAACCGACAAATGTCGGCCCATTTGGTCTGGATGGATCCGTTAGTAGTTTGCCTAAGAAGAAAGAAGAATTAACGGAAATTATTATTACTTTTGATTTGAATAACTCTTTCTATTGTGGTATCTTAAGTAAAGTGGCCACAATCGGATTGCGTTAAAGTGACGTCTTTGCTCAGTATGGCACCATGAACGTCATATTCATCTAGCTTTACATCGCGACTTTGTCTACCCGCGGTCATGTTTGTTTACATGACCTTCGACTAAAGCGGTACATTTACCCAGTGCTCCGAGTGCGACGCCATCTTTCTCCGTATTGCGGATTTTGTTTGGTTATTACATGTAAGATGGCCAAGTTACGTGAGAAGAAATCTCCCGATGATACGAAACAGTTATGATTTGTTTTAACAAAGGTTCACTCAGTGGTTTAAGACACTGGCATAGGACACCGACTGTAATGTCAAGCAAGTATGCGGTCGACAAAATAGCTTTATACTTCTGAAGGAAAGAGCCCTAGTTTTTACATAGCTCGAAGCAAAAATAGTCTCACATTCCCAAAAAAAAAAGCATCCACCAAGATGAAAACGACAGAAGGGGAAGGGAGGGGGTGGATGGGGGGGGTGTCTACTCTGTACAAATTAACGCTTCTTCGCAAAAGCCACCTCCAGTTCCCCTTCTCTAAATTCTTTTCTAATGAGTCTGATTTGCACATTGTAAACTACGCAATTATGCACCTACCCCTTCTCTAAACCAACAACAATCAACTGATAACAAATTAGGATTAATGTTAAGTTAGGAGAGGTGAGCAGTTGCTCAGAAACTGGCATTGATCCAATTTTTTTATTACCCTCATTTGGCATAGTCTCTTACCGTTTAGATACAGATTCAAGAAGTGATCATCTAAGTTCAACAGCACGCCGATATTGGCGTGGGTAAGTTCTTTTGAAGATCTCTTGATCTGCACTCGGTTCTTCGTGTTTGAACACGAAGCGTTTGGATGTTCGTTGATTTGAACGGCGTAAGAATCAGAATCTTCGCCCAGGATCGGGTCCTCGATAACCTTTCGAGAGACACCCACACCTGTCAATTGGAAAATGCATCGGTTTAGAAAATAATATAAGTGATAACGTCGAAGGTTTATAAATGTATGAAAATATGGACTGAGGCCGATGGGATCTGATGCAGACCTCTATGGGAACAAGATCCCTGTGCTGTGATGTTGGACTTCAGTGAACTTATACAGAGACGTTTTTAAAAAGCGGACAGCGATCGAAATGAGAATTTAGCTTCTTCTCGCGCTCTTTGACATCTTTGGCAACCAATATACTGCAAAAACCTTGCTTTTGGATTTTAATCTAAACAGCAGAGACTAAAGATCTGCACTAGACCCTAATTTAAAGAAGTTTGTAATTCTTGCTTCTATCCCCGTGTCAAAAATCGTCTCTGCTTAAGTTCTCTATTATGATCTGTAAAGGGGCAGGGAAAAGGGAGGAGGAATCCAAAACTTTCTAATATATATTAAGTCCAGAAAAGACACAAAAGCCTTCTGGTCTGTAGACGTGATATGGCTTAAACCTATGATGGGATAAAGAAGTCTTTTAGTGGGGTCTTATGTTTTTTGTCACGCAAGCCTCTCCTCGAGATTGTGTGACGTACTAGGAAAAGATTCTTTTTTCACTTACCGATGATGGAGAGTTTGTTGTGAGAGTTGAATTCATCCACATGAACTCTCCAATAATGACAAGCAGAGGAAAGCTTTACATTTCCCAGAATGAAAGTGTACACGGGACTTTTCAGACTCACAGTACAATTTTCATTGGTCAGTTCCAAGTCGTGATTCGCTGATGATGGATCCAGTTGGAAGTACAAACCTGGGAGGAATACATTTCGAGTTAGGTAGAGGTTTTCGAGGACAACTCTTGTCAAAGGAGATGTCGCACGAGTTCAGCCTCTTTCAAAAACTCATTTCAGTCCCGCGGAAAAGAAATCAGCGGACCAACCACGAAGACTTTCCGCACTTTCCACGTAGGATGATTTATTTGCGTCCCCCTGGCGATTAAATGGTTCTTGGAGGTTCCATCAGAAACAATTTCCCGATCGACCGGCAGATCTACTGACTGACCGACCGACCGACCGACCGACCGACCGACCGACTGACTAAACGCCTGACTGACTGTCTTACTGTCTGACTGACAAACTGACCGACTGCCGGAGTTTCTGGCCGACTGACAGACTAACGGACCAATTTTGTTACAGTCCAACTTACTGACTAATTTATCGTCTCTAGGTTGCTTCTCAACACCTACCTGTTGGTGTTGAAAGAATGAGTTCCTCACTCGGAGTTCCTTCACCAGTCGGATTCGCGCAAAACACGCGCGCAATGATATTTACACTGTAAGGCACGCTGTACAGCGCATATTCACGTGCGGCACCCTCGTACAGTCGTTTAAACTTGCGATCTTTCTTTCTTCGTGTTGCAAACTCGGAGCTTTTCACCATGTCCACTTCCAGAACATAATAATCAACACAACATTTCGTTTCAGGAGCCAGCCAGCCAAGTAACACGGTTGTGTTGTTTACTTTACATCTGGCCTTGTTGAATGCCGGAGAGTCTAAAGAGAGAGAAAAACCATGGTTGGTGAAAATCAGTGCTCGCTCGGTGGCCCTAGAGGACACAATATTCAGTCAAAAATGAAGAATTGGTCACCCTGCTAATGAGTAAGGCACCCACCAATATCAGCCTTTCTAGGGAGATATGAGTGTGGAGGAGGGGGTGGGGGTGTGGATAGATCCCTGGGGAAATTGCATTCAATTTTACATGTAAGAATAGCGCATTGTTCAGGTTGTGTGCACAGAAGAAACTCTTGAAACTAGTAGTGTAGTATGTGGTTAGAAAACCCTCGACGATTAAGAGATCTTAGCTAGCGAAGAGAATGAGAAGAAGCCTTACGACAGTATGCAAATTGTCGAAGCATAACGTGGAGGTAGTCGAACATTTGATAGATGCAGGAGCCCTTCACTTGATGGGCTCCTGATAGATGACAAAGCGCAAATGGCTTGTCACCCCGGCATGTATTTGTAATGTTCATCTAAATGAGCAGCGTTTCTGAACACATTGTTCCAGACATAAAAATTCTCTAAGTGTTTGTTGGTTTTTCTTTCTCTTAATTTATGTAGATACCCTTTTTCTGAAGGGCGAAAGTCTGCACAGTTATAAGTCAGAGACTCTTTGGGAGACCATCCCTGATTACCTGGAACTGAAGGAGTGGCTATCCCTGTTACCATGGTCACCTCCACTTTGGTCCCATACAGACACAGGGCCGCACAGAATTCTCCGCTCAACCCCTTAAAACTAGGACCCTTTGGACGACCAATGTCTGTCTGAAGTTCCCCGTCAAGGTATATGTTCAGAAACTGATTGTTTAGGTCCATCAAAACACCAAGGCTGCTGTCCTTCAGGTCTTTCGCTTTTCGTTTAATTTGAATCTTGTGCTTGGCGTTTTCAGTTCGAGCTGTTGTGCCTTCGAAAATTTGTAGGGCATAAGATCCGGATGTGTTCCCCAGAATGGAATCTTGGGTAATCCTTTTGGCAACTCCTGCGAATGAAAAACAAAATTTTGAAGTTATGACAGAGAAAATTGTATCTAGACTTTCGTTCGATAACCTTTAGGACTAGAGACACCGGTCCAGACAACCCCTGTAGTCCTTGTAATATGCCTTAACCAATGAGAAGTAAGATATTGATATATCAACCAATCAGGTTAGGCAATCGTTTCCCGTTGTGTCAACTACCTATTACCAAATCCCGAGTAATTTAAGTTTTGCGTTTGATTGTTTCGGAAGATAACACGATTTTCCAGACATATCAGAGAGCGAAGTGAAGTAGAAGCAATCAAATTTCGGATACTTTTGACGCTTAATAGCAATTTGTCCAAGATCCGTAATTGCATCTGCTGATTGAATCTTAATTCTGACTTAATGATAACCATGATAAATTTCTCAAATATTAATGGTGTATTCGCAGCTTCATTTTTCACTAATCGTTCTGTACAGTCGTAATTGGACAGTGTAATCGGACAGTTAGCTGTAGTCGGACACCTGTAATCAGACAGTTGAAGCAACCAATCATACTAAGTCCACTCAGCCAATTCACCAATCACAGAAATGATCAAAATAACCATAGCAACAACCACTTACAAAAGAACCAACCAAACAAAAACTGGGGAATTTCCAAAATGGAGGAATTTTTCATTAAAGACATTGTCTCCACTGGAGATATTTTTTTATAGGTGTATTTGTTTTTGCCCGGAAATTGAAATGGTTATGATTAATTGGTAACAGGACTTCTTGTCGTCCAATTCTGTCTGTAATCATACTCATGATTAACAAATCGGACTCCCGCTTCGCAGTTGTCCGATTTTGTTAATCACGTATATGATTACAGGCAGAATTGGACTCCACTTGGTCCTATTACCATTATGTAGTACTTAACTAACTCTGAGGTTTTCACATAATGTTAATGCTTATCACTAAGTAACTTACCAACAGCGAGGAAAGAATTTTCCCCTTTAAAACTGTCAATATTAATCGTCCAGAAGTGGCAGCCATCGGCCAGGAATGCTGTACCAAACGCGTTTCCGTGAACCATGTTGTTCTGTTTAACTGTCACATTTCCAGCAAACAAGCGAAGTGATTCGTGCAAAGTTTCTTTGTCCAATTTGAAAATAACACCTGAAAATAAGGTAGCTGTGTTCAAAGATACTGAGAAGAAATGACACAATGTTCTAATCACCCCAAATTTGTACACTCTTATTTTCAACGTTTGCAAGGTTTCTCTATTCAACCGCTTAGTTTTTACCATTCTTTTTTCTCGTACTTCACAGAGAATAGTTTCAACATCGCTGACAGATCACTATACGGAAAGCGTCTCCTAAATGTTTTGTATCTACCCATGAAGGAGTTGCTGTTAAAATTATTTCTCTACGACAAGTTTATATTTCCAAACCCAAACTGAAGCTCAAATAGATCACTGAAGAAACACTGAAGTCGTTACACATATTAGAATTTTCTGCCCTATTTACTCACATTCCCTTATTAATTACGGAGTGAAGGAAGATTCATCTCAGATGAAGAGATTTTATGGCCGCATCTAAACACAAATATGAAATTAATTCCAATTACCCTTTTCAGTCGATAGTGACACTTCATCGCTCGGTTCACTTTCGCCAGCGGTATTCAAGGCTTTGACACGCGCAAGGACTGTCACATTATAGTCCAATCCCCTAAGTGTGTGCTTGGTGCGCGGTCCCTGGTACACTTTGGTAAAGCTACGCTCCTGATGGATGTCTCCCTCCCGATCTAGGGTGTCGATCTCTACGATGTAACAATCCACGTTGCAGTTATCTGGGGGAGACCACACAAGGTTGATTCTGGTGTTCTCCACGCTACACTCTTCGAGGTGAATAACGGGAGGTTCTGGAAAAGAATATTCACCGGTATAATTTTAATCGGGTTAAAACAAATTTTCTGAAAAAGCTCAAAAGCACTGTAAGAATATTTTATAGATGTCTATGAAGCCAGAAACATAAACGCTAGATACCCCCATACGGGACTCAATTATTTGTCCACCAGAAAAAGTTCGCAATGAGTAGTTATGTTCCTTACCGCTATCGAAAGGGCACTTTTATCAGGAGGCACCTCAAAGGAGGGCACCATTTTGAAGTCTAAAGAGCGCCCCCTTAATGGGTGGACCACCGCAAGTGATATCTTACCAGGGTATGCAGCTGGTCTTTCCACTCCAGTCTGTAAGCTCAGCTGCACAATACTTCCATATACAGTAAAGGTCGGCCTCACAGGTCCGACCACGCCCATCAGAGAGGGTCCCCCTGGACGGGAATCGTCGGTCTGTAGCTTGCCGTTCCAGTATACATTCATCATTTGATTTTCCAAGTCCAGTAACACTGCCACGTTGCTTCCTTTTATTTCCTTGGCCTTCTGTTTGATTTGAAGTCTGTTGTGAGTATTTTCACACCACAGAGTACTGTTCTCGTAGATTTGTAGAGCGTATGAGTTTGTGTCATTTCCTTATAAAAATAAGTTAAGTATAATCAGTTCAAGAACTATTACCCACAAGTAAAACAGTCAAATAGCCGCACTTGTTCCCGTTTATCCTGAAGTGGAAGAGGATGATATATGCTCTGGTCAGATGATCGGTGACATCAAGAGGAGTTTTACTGAATTATTTTAAATTACGTGTATATCGCAAAGATAAATAGAAGGTGTATAAAAGATCTACTGTAAATCTTTGATGTATTTCTATTTGAAATGAAATAATTTGACTTTCGATATGATTGTCGCATCACTATTGTTAACTTTTTGCAGATAAGAAACCTAACTTAAAGCCTCGATCATTTTCATCGACTGTTTGGTGGGTAAAACGTCATTCATGTACTTCCTTTGCTTAAAACCTACCATTTCATTTGAGTCAATTTTTAACTTAACAGCATTTGCGACACGCAAAACGTTTTTTTATCATCTTACCAATAACACCTCCATCGTCCAACTCCTTAGCCACGCCCACGGCCACAAACCCGTTATTACCGGTTCCAGAAAACTGGTCAATCCTGACTTTCCAGTAGTGACAACCGTTTGCCAGCGTCACGTGGGACATCACATTCGCGATGACTGGACTCGTCAATTTGGCCACGAGTAAATCACGTGAGAAAACAAGTTCGCGTTTTGGACATGAAGCGGGATTCAAAGTGAAATGTAACCCTGTTTAAAGGCAAAGATAACGAAATAAAAACTTTGCCATATCTTTTTAAGCCAGTTTTCACTTAAGTGAGAAAATGTTCTTGGATTGAAGAGGTTTGGCTCGCTTGCTTTGAGATTGGAAAGCAAAGTTTGCGCCTATCTCTGAAATCTCAATCAGTGAGACTCATAACCTAAACTAATCCCTAATTTGCCACTCACGTTTACCTGCGCATGACGCTGGTTACATTAGTTTGACTTCAAATCTTAGGGGTCCATATATCGTTTTTCTTTCTCTAAATGGGTGTTGTGATATTTTGGGTTTGCGTTTACGAAACTCAGTAGAAAATAGCTCTAAAAGGGACAATAAAAAGAAACAAATATTTGTCTAACCTTTCTCGGTGTAGACCGTTACATCCTGGCAGAAAGGTCCTTCTCCAGCGCGGTTCGACGCCCGGACCCTGGCGGTGACCCTTGCATTGTAATAAAGACACTCAAGGTTGTACCTGCAGGCGGTCCCCACAGACACCTTGACAGTTTCATGATGCCCCTTTTCATTTGAATCTTGTGGAGGTGAATAGATATCGGCCTCCAGATGATAAGCGTCTACAGCGCTTGGTGGCGCGTTCCACACCAACTGGACTGTCCGGTTTGTAGCTTTGCATTGAGAGGAAACAAACTTAGGGCTACCTGCAGGTTAAAATTTCACAAATATTAACAACGATAATTATGTTCAGATCATCTTTACTTTCGAAGCAATTTTCAACCGAGTTGCGAAAGTAGACTGGGACTGCTTTGTTTTGGCTTTAATTGGCTCTGTAATTGGTCCGAAAAAACTCGCGCCATCATCTCAACCAACCAAATTCAAATCTAAAGAAAATCGCGGCGCGATGACTCGCGTTTTCACGCGCACCAATCAGCTTGCTTATTTTTACTTTGATTTCTAATTGGCTCTTTGTACCTCGTTCTTTGTTCTGATTGGCCGTTGTGATTACTTTGATTTTGGCTTTACGTCACTCAGTCGACAAGCGCTCTAAGATCTGAGAGCTAATTCTTTTACCAGAAGACCATAGACGTCTTCTCCACCAATTTCCGTGGATTCAAATTTAGCTCATTTTTTACATTTTTTAAAATTTCTGTATCCCATTCGTATTTGTTCAAATTGCAAGGAAACTTATCATTTTGAGCACTAATAAAAGACATCCAGATAACATTAATATATGTACGCGACAGCAGATAATGAACTTTTTCCAAAAATTATATTCAGGTTTCCACCACAGAATTAAGTGCAGTCTTAGTTTAAATAATAACATGCAGATTGTTGCGATAAGCAGCACATCCCCACCCATGAGAGAACACTTGCCTGGTATTTGAAGCCACGTGACTTTCTTGAGCACTTTTCTTTCCCATGAAGTGTCGACGGCCATGTGATCAAAAGTGGGCGTGATGGAGGAAGCAGGTGGAAGTTTTCTGATTGTCTCAAGCATCAGATTCAACCTAAAATTAAGAGGAGAGCTTTGGGTATTTACTTGGGAGGTTATTAAGAGCTTTTAAGAAAACGTTTCAAGATGACTTCTCGAGAGAGTAGTAAAGAACCTGGAAACGAGGTTGGCTCGGCTACGATGGTGTATTGACTTTCTTTTTTACTGATCTTACGCTCAAAGGTGTGGGAGACGAGGCAACCTAAGGCCTGGCCAGGTCACTGTGTAGTGTTCTTGGGAAAAAAACTTTGCTCTAACAGTGCTTCTCTCCACCCAGGAACATATATAGGTGCCACTAAACTGTCAGAGAAATCTGATGGAATGCTGGGGAGGAACTTTGCGATGGACTGGTATTCCATCCTGGTTCGGGGGGGAGGGGGGTGGGGAGTAATGGTACTCCTGGTCACCTCATACTAAGGAAACCGGGATAAGCTCTGGCTGGGTGGGCCACTCGGCTCAAGTACAGACTTAAACTTAAAGCTCAATGGTCGGTTAATTTAACTTTGTACAGAAAATATGCTCAATCAGTTACCTTGTCTTCAGGGCGTCGGCTGTCTGCAAAAACGAAGATCAAATTAAACGAGGAAGCGTTGTAAAATTGCTCCTTTTTTATAGCTCAATGTTTAATGGAGGATAAGTCAATATTTACCTGTAAAGGATGTGACTGTGTTATTTTTCTCCAGAGTTCCTTGTGTAATCCGACTAACTCTTTGCCTGGTAAAAGCTGGAGTTCCTAGTAGCAGAATACACAGTCGCACTTACCTGAAGGAATGTTGCAGGATTATCCTCCTTCAAAGCTTCTTGTGTAAACTCAGCCAAGCCGTCACCTTGCAACAGGACGTGTTCACACAGGTGCATGGCGTCGTTAAGCTCTCCTAGCTTATCTTGATATTCATCACTAACTCTTTTAAGTAGCTCTGCTTTCTTTTTTTCCACGATAGCAATCAAGGAGTCGCATTCCCTCTTCACATGGGCCTCAACGTCACAACCAGACTTCTAAAATTTAAAAGAGTAAAACAAACGTATTTTCGAATTTTTATCACTCTAGTTCCATCGTTACTTGATGATCATCTAAGACTTTACTTTCCAATATCTCTTTCCCACAGTCGTTAGCTCTTCGAGTACCGCCGGCCATCTCTTGGCCTTCCACCGTTTGTCTAGGAATTCTAAGGAGACTTTATACTCTATTGTCATTTTTTTCGCCAATTATTAATCTTCTGTAAATAGATAGATAGACAGATAGATAGATAGACAGACAGACAGACAGATAGACAGATAGACAGAGAGACAGACGGACAGACAGACAGACAGACAGACAGAGAGACAGACGGACAGACAGATAGAAAGATAGATAGATAGATAGATAGATAGATAGATAGATAGATAGAAAGATACACAGATAGATAGATTCCGAAGCTCTTCGGGCACAGTTGAAAAAAAGGGGACATGACTTGGGAGCTGAAGCCTTTCCTTCGCGTCAAACAACAACTTACCTTAGCGATAGTGCACATCCCCTCTAAAGTCTGAAGAGACTTTTGTACATGGTAATTCTTCCTTGTCAGTGTGCCTAATGTTCTTGCCAGTTCCTCCTAAAATAAATTTTTTGCTCAAAAATATTACAAAGTAACTAATAAAGAAGCTATCGTGTCTAAAAGCATCGATTGGCAAAAGAAACTGAAGGTAATGTACTGCTCTCACCTTTGCGTTTCTAAATACTGGCTCAAGCAGCTCCATGTTGTGTCCCTTGTGGGTGCCGTACTCTTTGCACAAATAGCACACTGGCTCCTTGCAAACAAAGCAGTACAGCGCCAGTTTCTCTTCTTTGTGTTGCTGACACTGCATGCTCTTTTCTTGGCGTTTTTGGGGCTTAGCTACAGCGGGCCCGATGGTGTGATCTGCTAAAGGGCCCTTGCTGGGATGGCACGCATCGAAACAGGTCCCACAGTAAAGAAAGGCACATTCGTTGCACATCAAAGTAGCTTTTTGGGGGGAGTAATCCTCGCAAAATTGACACAGGAGAGGTTCTTCCGGCGCTTGACCTAAAATAAACATGAAATATAATGAGACAATTTTCTTGTGTTACCAATGAAAACACACCAAAAGTGGTCATGCGCTTTTTTCAGCACTCAGTGCTGATTACGTCAAATTTCCTTGGCCAATCAGGGGCAAAAACGAAAATTTTCCCGCGCTGGAAGCTGGTTGACTTTATTCGTCGATCCACAATTTATTTACAGATGTCACGTTTGGACACTACGACCGCTTTGCTTTATGTAGGTTTTGAGAAGTTTTTTTGAAAAATCGACTAATTACTCCACATACAGACGCTACAGCTTTGCACTATCACCCTGCCGTAATTAGCTTTGAATGTAACAGACAAATACCCCATTCAGCTTTTCTGTCAATTCTCTCAAAAACCACTTCAATTTATTTTTGTCAGGAACCTGGCAATCGTGCGAACGAACGAGTATCAATTTATTAAAACGCATCACTCACAAAGTATTGAAATATTTATCAATTACCTTATTATAGAGAGCGAAAATGAACCCATACTAAATAATTCCCAATAAAATTAAATTTGGCTTATTTTGAAACAAAGAGATTAAAAAGTGTTTTAAAATCTTATACGACGCTCATTAATTTTTAGGTTTCAACAAAATAAACATAGTTCGGCGCTCCCTTATAAATAGTTAATACAGAAAAGAACTCTCAAGAATCTATTTCGAATATGTTTAATTTAAATTCCGTGTTTTTAGATAATTCAAAATAAGCAAATGTATGGTAAAGTCTGAAGTAAATGAGTATTGCAGACGCTCTTATAAGTATTTAACTGTAGGAAATTTTGAATTGATAGAAAATAATTTAAAGGTAGTCACTAAAGAACATTGCATATGATTTTGATCAGAAGTGTGACGGGTGCAAAATCGAAGACAATTATGTTTATCCTAAAACAAGAGAAAAACTCAGATAAAACCTTAAAACAACTTACAGCTCTTCGTGATAGCTAATGGAATCTTTCAACGAGGAAAAACAGAAAATTCAGCAGAGCATCTACCTGGAGTTTTTCTCTCTTCCTTGAATCGTTCGATTACGTTTTCCAAAATCAAATTTCGAGGCAGACCATCAACACCTTTTGGATCGGAAGGTATTTTACGTCGACATGTTGGACATTTTACATCGGGTTCCAAGTGCGACTTGTAGTCTGCGCTTCTGTTTTCCTTCACCCACTTTGCCCATGCCTTCGGTGCACCATTCGGTTCCAAGATTTTCCGCGCGCATGGTGTACAGAGATTATGCGAGCATGGAAGAACAATCGGTCTTTGAAAAAGATCCAAGCAAACGGGACACGTCAACTCAATCTCCATCGTCACTGGAAAAAAAATGTCGGGTTCATCGTGATGCGGTGGATATTGTTTTATATCTGCTTGTAACCTTGGTTGCAGGTGGTTACAAGTTTGGACAAAAACGTGGAATTCGCGCGCGCACTACCGCGTTTGTTCCCACGCATGCCCAGGCTACGATTCCGAATTTTCTCCTTTTTTCGTCTGTACTTGACTTTGGGTTGGTTTGCAAAGTATTTGGTGTTGTTCCTTTCCTTTCATGGTGTATATCTGGCGTTTCCAAAGAAAAGTTCGCTATGCAACGATTTTACTTACCAGAAGTATTTACATATATTTAAATAGCGTAATTTTTCACTTAGGTCTCAGGGTTTTTGCCACCCATTTCTTTCCTTTTTTTGTTTTGTTTTGTTTCTTTTTTTTCGTTTAACAGCAGTAAGCAAGGGATTAAATGACGCATTCATTTTGGACGGGTACAACAAAAAAAAAACCTGTTTTGTCAAGTTGTATGAGCATTTGCTTTTGCATCGACTTCAAACAAACAAGCTTGGCAGAACACATGTAGACGTGTAACTAATAAATTGAATTGACGAGAGTAGGAGTGATAATGTACTTGTGTAAATTGGCTTTGCATATTAGATTCTACGTGCCTTCCTAAACGGGGAAATATTGATTCAAATGTGGGACACATATAGTCACTACCGTGAGAATTTTAGAGCGACATGTTTGATTTTATAGTCACTGTCGCTCTCTAAGGCAAGCTGTAGCCTTGACACATTCTCTTAGCAGGTCATAAATGAAAAAGCACAATTGATTGCGGTTTCAAAGGGTGTATTTTGCGATTCGTCTTCATTGTTTTAAAAATTTGAACCCTGTTGTGTAGATATGAATGGCGGGCATGCGACAACATTGTCATGCTAATTGCTGGCACGTGTATTTATTGTAATACCTCTCAATCATTTAATTCGATGCTGGCAAAATATGCACCTCTTGCTGTGGTAACTGTTGAAAATAAATTTATTTCTAAACCTGTAAGACTCACACAGAGATAGTAAGTTGTTAAGTTCTTGATTCTTAAAAAATTGTTTCGTTTGTAATCTATTTGAATATGCTTTGAAGATCTGTATCAGAATGTTAAATTAAAAGTTCAAGTATTTACTTTTTTCGTAAAGATCTTATATTTAAAGGATTAGTAAAAGGTGGTTTTTCCTAAGAAAACCATTTGAAATACAGCTGGATTAAGTCAATAACACCAGCAGTGACCAATCACAACGCCTGTCTACAGATATCAACCAATCAGAATCGCTAGATCGACACGTGCTAATTTGGCGCTAATTGTTAGTGTATGAAAAGCTAAACAAAATTTTGCTGTCATCTTTGACCGCACGTTATCGCGGCAAAGAGCTCGTAATTTTGGTTCGGTAAAAAGTTTAGAAAAATGGAGGCAGAATTAAGTTGCCCTGTTTGTAACAAGCCATTTGTCAACCCTATAATCTTGCCATGTTCTCACAACATTTGCTTGGGTTGTTCGCAGTCAGCGTTGACAACTGCCGGTGGAGACAAATCTGCGACTGATCGAAATGGAACACAGGTTGACACTGAGGAAACACCGTACATCACTTTTTACGACATGAATCACTTGTATCAGAGCATAGGAAATCTACCGTGTTTGAAGTGTCCAACATGCAGCAAACTATTTCCCATCGACGGCCAAGGGATCAGTGGATTTCCCCGCAACCGCCTGTTGGAAAATATTGTTAATCGGTATTATGCTAAATCGAATGGAATTGTTTACTGTCAACTTTGCGAGGAAACCCAACCTTGTCAAGCAACGGTTATGTGCGAGCAATGTGAAGTTGCTTATTGCGATCGATGCTGTAAAACTTGTCATCCTAGCCGCGGTCCTCTAGCGAAGCACTCTTTGATTCCTCCCACAAGTTCGAAGTCGCCTAACAAACCGACTGTAGTCAAGTGCGGTAGCCACAGCGAAGAAAACATCAGCATGTACTGCGTATTCTGCCGAGTTCCTGTTTGTTATGTGTGTTTAGAGCGAGGACAGCACAGTGGGCACGAAGTGAAAGCTTTAGGAGCGATGTTTAAAGAGCAAAAGGTAAAAATAAAATCGTATCTAATTCGTATTATTTTATCTTTGACCAGAGGAGATAATCAGCTAACTTCATGAACTCCTCTCCACTGAGAAATCATATAAACTATCCCTGTGACTAAATGTAACACCTGTAATTTGTTTTTTCAGTTTTGTTTTTGTCTTTTTTATGAAGAAATTTTTGACATCACAGAAGTCGAAATTGCCTTTCCAGCATTTTACTAGCCTCTTGTGCGAAGATATATTTTTCTGGGGAAGATCTTGAGCAATATGCAAATTTGAGTAATGTGAATATTTAATGTTACAAGCTAAGTTATCGAAGTCAAAAATGGGAAAGTTTTGGTCAAAAGCTATGAAGAAAACCATTAATTTCTTTTTTTTTAGCTTTTCCATCGAAGCCCCATTTTTAATGATTTATTGATGTATTTTGTGAAAAAACTGAATGTACATAAATGTATTGTACTTCTTAATTACTATGAGACAATTTTTAAAAATTACCCCTATGATAGTTTCATTTTTCAGTTTGTAATTTGTGTATGGTAAACATTTCTAAAATTGTTCACCTAGAATGACATTGTGTCTTATACACCCTAATTATTTTGTTCTTTCTAGAGCTACAGATGTTACAAACATTTTGTATTTACATTGAAACAGTACACCTCTTTTTAAAAGGAACGTAGAAACTGTTGATTTCTCCGATGTAGCCATATTGAATTCTGAAAATTTTGTCATTGATGTTATTTTCCGGCCCCATTTTTAGTGACATGTCCTTTCTCTTGGGTTGAATCAAAATAGTTTAAAAGATATGCCGAAAATATTGTAATTTTGAGGGCCTTTGCTGCCAGATATTAAGGGAAATAATTAGTCAGTGAGTGACATGCTGGCATACCCAGGAAAAGGAAATTTCAAACTCTCCCATTAGGAACATAATCTGAATTTTATGACTACAATATTTCTTCTTCAAAGATTACTCAACACCTGTTTCTTTTTTCAGTTTTGCTTTTTTTCCTTTTTTTGAAACAAATCATTTTGACATCGTTATTGTAAAGATAACAAGTGCAGCAACTTGCTTGATGCAGAAGATTATCTACAAAAGACAAGAGACTCGGCAGGCCATTAGTCGAGGAAAAAGTGATCAACAGACATCTTGTCGATAATGACAATTTCAACTTTGATGCAATTGTTTTTGGACAATGATGAAAATGAAGAGGGTGAATTTTAAAGCTGGCAATAAAAGTGACATATGATGTTCTTTCAGTCTGTGACACAACCATGTTGGGAAAGAGGAATTTTGAGTGCTTACTACAAGATTTGAGTCTTTGATCATCCAATTATCTGTGGTGCTTCAGACACTTTCCCAACAGAGCTATCAAGGTTCTAAGCTCAGCTCTTTTCAATGTTAAAAGGTGCATTGTCACCAGAAATAAAATTATTAGTCACCAAAAATAAAAACACAAACAAAACAGTTTTTTTGCCTAATATCCTGTGATAGATGTGTATTTGTAGGAAATTGAAATGTTTAGTATATTGAGGAAAGTGAAAGATATTTTTAGTCAGTGATGTAGACATACTCAGGAAAAAAGAAAGTCCATGGTTAGGATCATATAACAAATATCTCATGCACAACACCAGTATTGTGGAGCTCATGGGTTCAAATCCCTTACAAACCTGAATTTTTTCAGGCCTTATTTTTATTACTGCTTAAGTCGTGTTCATTACTGTGACGATCACTTTTCAAATTCATTTCTTAAACCGAAGTTCACCCACATGATTTTCATATATTTACAGTCATGTGTTACAGGATCTGAATGTCAGTATGATATCTATGTGCAGTGATGAAAATGAAAAATAGTATGAAAGTGAAATTATTTTCTTTGCACATAGATGCAAGCAAAGTTTGAAAAAATAGATCCTTTTTTTTTTTAGAAAAATTATATTTTACCTTTAAGTTGATTTATCCTTAATTTATTCTGGTTTATTCCTTAGGCTGAACTTTTAGCCAGCATGAAGTTACTGGATGGAAAAAATAACGATTTGAAAAACTTTATTCAGCTTCTTAATGGAAACTGCTCGATAATCCAGGTAATGCACAACTGTGGTTGTTTAAATCAGTGGTTCTTGTCTTAGAGCTGAATCTGAGGTTCCCACATCTTAAAATTAAAAAAAAAAAAAAAACCAGAGAAAAATTACACAGGTTATCCAAAAACAAAACCTGGTGACCTGTGGTGCCTAGGCTGTGGCGCCTAGGCTTTGCAATAGCACTGCCTGGTGACTTGTGGCAGCTAGGCTTTGCAATAGCATTGCCTAGTTACCAATAACTGGTTATGATATTATTATTAACCCTTTAACTCCCAGATCAAATTTGTAATTCTCCTTACTCCCAACCATACAATTCTTATAATGATAGTTCTGAGAATTTAGTATTGGTTCAACTAATTATCCCCAAATTTATATTTTTCTTTACTCTCATCACTTATCTGGTTGATATTGTGTTGATATTGTAAGGAGAAATTCTGTCTTGGTTACTCATGAGAATTAAAGGGTTAATTAATTTATTTTATGAATTGAATTGATTATGGTACTTGATGACAATAAGGGACAATGCAAATTTTTTTATTTTGAGATGTTCAAGTAGCTTATGAAAGAGAAAATTAAAGCTTATTTAATTTGACTTTTCAAAAGATGAGAATTTTTTGAAGGAGGCTAGGGTATAGTTTAATAGTGTTCATCATCTTTTCATTCATTCATTCATTCACTTCTCAAATTTCCTTTTTCCAGGAAAATGGTTTAGAATTTGAAGCTAGTGTGGTAGCTCAATGTGATTCGTTGATAAATTTCATACAGCAACGTAAAGTGGAGCTAATTGAAGCCATCACAACAGAGATGAACTCCAAGACACAGAAGATCAAAGAGCAAATCAAAGCTTGTGAAGAAAAGGGTAAAAAAGTAGCAGGGGTGCTGCAATATGCTCATGAATGTTTAGAAGGAACCGACGCAGCCTCTTTCTTGTTGGTAAGAATTTTTTGAGACAAACTCAATTGATCATTGATATATAATGATTGTGTATGGGAGAAACTCTGGAAAAGTTTACTTGAATGTGGATAAATTGATCTGGATGGGTCTGATGATTTTACTTTTATCTTTCCAGGTTGCTAACTCTCTCAATGGAAGGTGAGTTGATTTTTCAATGTTGGTTGTAAGACGAGGATTACTGCATGAGCATTGAAGTTATGAATAAGGAGGTGTTATCGAAATTAATCTTAATTGCATTCAAGGGTATAAGTTTCTTGTCTGATTAACTGAAATTTGTCATATGATCAAATAATAATTACAGTTTAATGATGGAAAACAGATCTTATAAACTATGCAAAAATGATCATTTTTCGCAGAGTTTGTGATATACAAGCTTGAAATAGTCCTAGAAGGGGTCAAGAAGCTTAATGGTTCATTTTCTTCTTTCTTCTGAACAATCACAGAATTTTGAATGTTGTTAATCACTGGTCGAAAGAAGTAAAACTTGAACCAACTACTGGTGTGGAACTGGAATTGACTTTGGACACATCAGGAGCAATACAAGCCCTCCATGATTTGCACTTCATAGAACTCAAAGGTAAATGATTCAGTGGTATGACTTATACCCCATTCTCACCAAATTGTAAAGATGTTTAAAAGCTGTTTTTTCAAACACAGTTTAAAATTGTTTTCTTCATAAAAGCTTCCTTAAACCTATGTTTGTCAATTCAAATTTAGCACACTGAAAATACAAGTTATTGCCTACTTGAAACCTACAGGAAATTCAGTTGTTCAATTATCTATTTCTGATTATCATTCAGTGAAACCTAGTTTAACAAAACATGTTTTGCTGGTGTGAATGGCATGTTAGGCACCGTTGGTTTACAAAAAGAATTGGGACTATCCTTGGGTCAATGAATGCAGTTGTTAACCCTTTAACTCTCATGAGTGACTAAGAGAGAATTTCTCCTTACAATATCAATACAATATCAACCAGATAAGTGATGAGAATAGAGAAAAATATCAATTTGGGAATAATTAGTTGATCCAATACTAAATTCTCTGAACTAACATTATAAGAATTGTATGGTTGACTGTAAGGAGAATTACAAATTTGATCTGGGAGTTATAGGGTTAAAGAAAGAAACCTGCATTGACTGAATGTGATGTGTTTGACAAAAAACTCAGCTCCTTATAGTTTTCTTTATGTCATTTATTTACTTGTTTACTCTTTTGCAGCTCCAATAGCCCCAGAAATAGTCCCAGATGAATGCACTGTCACAAACAATGCAATTACATTATCATGGAGACCTCGAATCAAACAGAGCTGTGTTGATGGCTATGTGGTTGAGATTGATGATGGTACTTCAAGTGGTAAAGAGGACAATTTTCAAGAGGTGTATCGTGGGAGTTGTCTGGAGTGCACTGTATCTGGCCTGCAATTTAACTCTACATACAGAGCAAGAGTCAAAGGTTTCAATAAGGCCGGGGAGGGTGCTCCAAGTGATGAGGTGTATCTGACGACATCTGATGGTAAGAAAAAGATATTAATTGTTACATATTAGAGTGAAATATTGTCCTCATTTCCTAGAGTCTCTCACACATTTTGTTTTCCAAACTGAAGTTTTTTTGTATACAATATGAATGAAGTAAAAAATAATTCAGTCTATGACTTTAAAAAATTTGGTTACAAGTGCAAAGTAACAGCAATAGCTGAGAGATTACTAGGATGGAACAAATTTCTGAAGACCACAAGAAATAGCCATATCTTCACTGTTATTCAAAGTGAAATAATTTTTTTATGGTTAAGGTATCATAGAAGGAAAATTAGCATTTTCAGTCAAACTGAGATTGCTTGAAAATTATGCACCCTTATATAACCCTGTAAATGACGGGAAAGATATGAAGATCATTTTGAGAGCTGCAGATAAAGAATTGAATATGGAATTGATATGTGCAGTTTGTACATTACTTAAGCAGTAGTGGAAATAAAGCTTATACAGGCATGAATTTTTTTTCAATCCTTATTTTTACTACTACTGAAGCAGTGTTCGAAACTGTGAAGATCGCTTCCATTTTCAACCCTGTTTAAGTATATATTTTCTTAAAGCTTACTAAAAGCTGACTTTGGATGTGTAATTGAAGGGTAATGGGACAGAACGTTTGCAGGGGTTCATTATTTTATGACCTTTGTGAGACAGGTAGGGATACAGCTTTCTAGGGGTCAATCTTTTCAGATACATTTGGAAGAAAATTACACCAGAGTATTCTGACCTGGAAGTGCTTAACAAGATCATACTAATTCTCTTTACTATCTGTTACAATTCTTTAACTAGTAATCTCATATTTTTCCCTTTCTTATCACCTGCCTGCTTGATTTTATTGACATTGCCTTGGTCACTGGTTAACTCTACTGGATTTTAAGCTGCTATTTTTCCCTTGTATTTTAGTTGCCTGGTTCATCCAGACATAGTTCTTATCCAAATGTTCTTACAAATGACAACTCAACAACAACATGCACCAGCTTTGATGACAGAGTTGTGCTGGGTAACATTGGTTTTTCCAGGGGCTGTCATTACTGGGAGGTGACCATTGATCGCTATGATGGAAACCCTGATCCAGCAGTTGGTGTTGCCTTAGCAAGCACCATCAAGGATTCCATTCTGGGAAAAGATGACAAGGCATGGTGCATGTACATTGATAGCAGTCGGAGCTGGTTTCGTCACAACAATGAGCACTCCAATCGACGTGATGGTGGGGTAGATGTTGGTTCAGTAATCGGAGTGTTACTGGACATACCAAATCACAAAGTGACATACTATTTAAATGACCAGAAGAGAGGTCTCATGCGACTGCCTGATACTTCAGAGGCATTTTATGCTGCATTCAGTTTGAGTCGTAATGTACAAATCACATTGCATACTGGGCTTGAGCCTCCAGAAGAAGCGTTAGTTTATTAATAACGACAAGTAGAGAAAAACAATTACAATCTGTAGCATTGAAACAGACAAGACAGAGAGATGTGCTCTGACAATATATAGGGGAAAGTTTTTTTGGACAGTAACTTTTTTTGGTGGTTTGCTTTTTTCTGCTTTGCTGTGAATGGCACAGAAAAATTCTGGACTGTGGTCTTTATTTTAAAAAGTTAGACTAGCCAACCAGATTCATGGATTTAAGATTCCAGCTCACTGAGATGCTTCAGAAAAATGAATAAACTAAAATTATTTAAAGAATGAAGAAAATTGTTTACAATTATGTAATTTAACTCTAAATTATTGCTTATGAAGTAAGATGTGTCATAATTTATTTACAAGTTGAGTTACAAAGGTGAAATGTTATTTTATTAATGGTATTGTTGATTTTGTAATTATAAGAAAATTATTTTATTACTGATATTTAACAAAAAACTGGTGCAATAACTGAATCCCTCTGTAGGCTTGAACTGCAGGGAGAATGTAAGTGAAGAACAAATACTACAAAAATATTTTTCAAATTTGGTTATAAGTCTCAGCTGGCTAACCTGACTAATTAATTTATTAAGAACAGGAAATGGTTTGAACCCAGGGTAAATATGTGATAGTGTAGTCTGATTGTACAGGTGAATGTAGTCCTGACAAAAACTGTTGTTAGTAATGGTGACTGATGTTTCCACAACCTGAGCAGAAGTCATCATCAGAGTCAAGTGAATAGTTGTTGTCAGTAGAATGTTTTTAGTTCAGTTAATTATGTAAAGTGCAGCCAAGGAGTTGAACCCAGGGCAATTACCCAAGACAAATTTAGAGAATGGTTGGGTGGAGACCTTGAATTTGTGATTTCCAGATTGCAAGTCCAGCCATTTGGCTGCACTGCTTCCAAAACAGAAATTCAGGATTAAACAGTGAATTTTAACTTTTAGACTGTGACCTCAAGATTATTCTGACTTTTTATTTATATATTTATTTTTTTATAAACTGAATGAAACCTTATTTCAAGTATTTCATATTCTTTTGATGGATGCCCTTCCTATGATCCGTTGTTCATTTTATTCGTCACAGAATTGATTTTGTGTTTGTTTGCAATCGGGTGTAATCACCCAGGAAAATAACTATTGCAAATATTAATGTAGTTTCTACATTTTTAACGGTTTTACAAGGTTTTATTCATTTTTAAGGGCCTTTTTTTCAGGTTGATGATTCTAATATTGCGAGGTGATAAGTGATATGATATTACTTATATTGTTGTTATTTGTTGCAGTTAAATAACTGTGTGGTATTTATTTAACAAGTTATTTATATACAAAACAATTATGTGAGTCGTTAAGTTAAGTGCAAAGAAAATCGAACAGTCAAAAGTAAACGTAATATATTGTATGTCACACTTTGTCCTCTCTTTGGCAAATGTGTAATTCTGAAAGAAAGACAATGCATTGAAAATGCTGTAATACATTACTTTTTAATGAGTGATTATGTTAAGTAGCGTGAAAAATAAATTATAGAGATGTGTACTTGTTTTGACCTTCTTGCTTTGTTGTGTGACAGTCTATTTTATGGTATTTTTGTGTACTGCTTTTAAGACTTTGTAAATAAGATAAAGGCTTGAAGTTCACCTTAGAATTATGAGTAAAATTACATTTCATATGCAGATGAGTATTTTCTTGTCTCTATCATTACAAAGTCACCCTTAGCCTCTATTCTGTTCAGAGGCGTGGTATCTAAGCACATAGTTGTAAATTGACTATCCACGTGATTTCTTTCGTGATGTTGACGGCAATATGATCTAACTAATAATTAGTACAGTCCCTTAAAGAAATTTAAAGAAAACACTACGGTAAGGACTTGTAGCAAGCAGCTAACAAAAGAGCCTTCCCTATTTCCGGTTGCTGTCGAGTGTTAAGGCCTCCTGGACTGGAAAGAGTTTTGACACCATATTTGAGTCTTCATGAGTATTTTTTTTTTTATTAAAAAACACTTTGATTTCCCAGATTGATAAACCTTCAGCGGTATCAAATTAACAGAAAAAAACTCACACTCCAGTTCACAAGAGATATACCAGTAGATCATGGGTGCTGCATTAATTTATGTCCTTAAGTAACTTTACGTCGTTAAATATCTTTTTTGATTAGGTCGCCACTTAGAACTTTCAGGTTACTTGATCAGATCACCAGGTGATCTTTAGCCATGCAAATGCGACACGGTACATTGAGTTGTTGGTAAGGCTGTGGGTCAGGTATTCCGTTGAGTTGTTGACTCAGCATACTTCGTCTTAAGAGTCGTCAATGCCATGATTAATCGCCATTCAGAAGCCATTTAACATCAGCTTCCACCCCACAATCTTCGATTAAGGTAATTCTATTCTCAAAATTTAGGGTTTATAGTTTAATCAACGGATAACGCAACGAAGTTTCCAAACTGCGATTTTTAAGACTAGAAGATGACTGCGACACTGCCATAATGTTTCAAACAGTTTTGATTAATATGCTACAAAAAGTTCACTTCCTTTGAAATCTCGTCGATTGCTATTGAGCTTCAGTTTGTTTGTTTGTTCTTAAGTACTGTTTCATAGTTCACGTTAAGCTCAATGGCTAAGGAATGAATCTCGGTTGAGCTGATTGAATCATTTTTAGTTTCAAACGTTACATCGCTTGTGTAAGTATTTCCGGCCAAATTTAGGTTTTATATTCAGGAGTGCAGAGCTTAGTTATTAGATTCTCAATACTTGTGAACTTTTCACTTGCAAATGCAGCCGGTTATTTCAATACATGATAACTGATTCAAGTGAACTGAATGCTGAGTAATTTGTGTGGATGCTACGCGGATGTTTCATGCGACTGATTTCATATGCATGTCCAAGGTATGTCAAGCGAAACTTTGTGGCGACGACAAAAAGAACCTTTATCTACTAAGCAAAAGACAACACTTGCTTTAGGTTCAAGAACTGTGGTTTATTGCCTTTAAAAAGTATCTTTTGGTTTATTAGTAAAACAAACGATACGTTTTTGGCATTGGAATTTTAGTTTTAGAATTTCTATGAAATGATCTGGTAAAGGACCAATCTGTTAGAAGGAAAATTACCGATTAAATGAGTAAATAATGCACATGTCAATTACAATGCCAGAGTGTTCTGTTATTCGTAACACAGCTTTTAGATTTATCATCAGTCAAGTTCAGTGGGTCGAAAAGTAATTTTCCTACGCATAGCGTATGGCGATGTAGCGGCAGTAACTGCGACATCGGCCACCCGACTAATTTAGTATCTCTCTCGACAAGAAAACTATGACTCTACATTTCCATTGTTTTAGACAGTTTCATATCATCGTCGTTTTCTTGTTGCTGGGTGATTATCATGGAGTGATTTAACAAATACGCCGCCGGTTCAATCGTTTAAGAGAGAAGATAGTGATGAAATGGACAAAATGGATGAGGAAATGAATTCAAATTTGTGCACTGGGGTTGCGAGGTAGTTATGTACAAAAAACACGTCCAAACTTGCCGAATACACACCAGTTAACGACATCAAATTCAGATGATGAATTCCATGTTGTTTCGCTGACAGCTAGTGTTATTGAGTCTTCAGAAGCAAAGTCAGCTTTTTAAGTAAGATGCCTAATGATTTTAAAATTTTGCGTTTTTAATTTTGAGTTTGCAAGTTCGAGTTGAATGTTTAATCACTATTTTGTATAATTTTTAATGCGTCTAATTTCACATTAGTTGTTAATAAGAGCTCAAGCAAATGATGACAGCGACGACCAAGCGAATTTTGATTTAATGTTGACGGTATTAGTAATAGACCAAGATATTTCATGTAATAAAATACGTTTATTGTTCATCATGGTGTAAGATAGGAGATGAACTTTATTCATTTGTCTCACGATAGAGTCACTTTTGATGTTAAACGCGACTTTTCGACCGCAATACTGCTAGTCTTCATCAGGCGATAAGGTCGGTTGTTTACGTGTCGCCATTTGTCTTTATAAGCAAGCGAGCTTGCATGGGTATCCCTTATGGCGACGAATCAAGTGACTCGTCGTGAGACAAACGAACAAAGTTCATCTCTTATCTTATACCACGATGAACAATAAACACATATTTTATTACATTGAACAGAAATATGGGTGCAAAGCCCGAAGGTTGAATGCAATGGGTTTTCATTCTCTAAAGTTGTTGTAACCTCTGAGCAACTAGATCCCCAAAGTTGGGTTACTTTAATACTATTGCTGCCAATCTGGCGGGGTTGAAAATTAACCATATCACGCAATACTTTTTAAGAGCTAGATCGAAAATTAGGGATTTTAAATTTTAAATACAGTCGTGGCAGCGTATCAAGCAGTCACCGTGTATTTAGCGGTTATTTTTCAAAGTCCCGAATTTTTCTCCGTAGTTTCTACAATTTTAACCTCTATTGAGCGGTCATGGTCACCCTTTACTGATTCCCAATGGCCTGTTGGCGTTTTGTATCGCTTTTTAAAACACCCCTGCATTAAGCGGTCAGCTTCTCTTTAGCAGTCAGCTCGTCATTCCCCGTCGGTGACCGCTTAAGACAGGCTCAACTGTCTCTCCAATGGGCAACATTGTATGCTGACGAGCATTTACTGTCACAGTAGAAACCTATCAAAGTATTATGTTTCTGATCAAAATAGGTTTTGGCCTCTATACCATTTCAATTAAGCATGCCGTTAATAGTCAAATATATGCGTCAGTCAATTACTTTGCGGAAATAGTTTACCATGGCCTGCTGATACGTTATTTTTTATTATTAAATTGTCAATTAATAATTTTCCTCAGATCGCCAAAAAGCACGGTTAACCGCCTTAAAGACCATTTCCAAGGCAAAATGGCACTACAACCATTTCGGGATGAGCAGTTAAACTATTTCAAATTCGCGTCTATTGTACTGGATGAGTTCCCAAAAGCATTACGTCAGACGTTCACGTCCATGTGGGACAACACTTTGACACATCTTCCCGGTCATCAGCCGTGGGATGACTCCGCTGCGGTAAGAAATAAATTCCTTACTTCAGAGGGTGGCCCTGGCAGAACCAAAGTTCCCACAAACCTCTCCTATGAAGAATGGGATTGCACCGCCCTGTTCCAGGCCACCATCTACGCCAAGTCCTTTGCTTTGCCCGACAGTGGAGGTCATCACAAGACACTCTGTGAGCTGTTCGTGAAACCTCGGAAATTGGCTCATGGAGTTTTCCATGCATCGGTGACCAGCCCGAGCGGAAACAATGCTGAAACGGTTGCACTCGCGATTGATCAGGTTCGACTTTTAAGAAATTCACTTTTTCACTCGCACACTTCTGAAATTACTAAAGCCACCTTTGACCAGTACGTGAAGCACGCTAAAGATGCATTTGAAGCTCTTGGTGTCAAGACGGACCCTATTGATATCATCGGTGGCTTAACAGAGTCAGAATTTCCCACAAATAAAGTTCGTAAACTAGAAGAATATATCAAAGAGGAAAATCGAGCGTTTGTAAGTTTTCTGCAACAACAGAATCAACATCTGGAGGGCATTAGTTCAGATGTGAAAGCCTTGAAACACAAAATGGAAGTCATGCCTACCAAAGATGATATCTTCAAGATGCTAGAACAGATAATCAAAGACTTGATTCAGGCGCCAGCCCAGAACAAGCCAGGTAAATGTATGTTCAGTTTCGACAAATGTTTGATCCATGTGACTCGAATACAAAAATCATTTACATGTCCAGACGATGGTTGAAGTTACGGGTCTATATTTTTAAAATGCTTACCCCTGTAGTTTTTAAGTTAAGGACCATCAGAATTTCAAAATTTCTTTCAAACGACTTCGGATCATTCATGCCCTAAAAGGCCCTGAATATCATTGAACATTTTCCTAGACTTCTTTAAAATATATAAAATTCCCGGCAAGCGGTGCGCGCATTTCTCGAAGTGAAATTCTGATATATATATTTTTTAATCAAGTTCTTTAAAGTAACGGTACGTTCACTAAAGCAACTAACTTAGGAAGCAGTAATTAATCATTATGTTTGTTTTTCATTTAAACAGATAAAAATCTGACATCCATTAAACCAACTAAAGATACTTTACTGGATACCCACACTGCTGACCAAGACAGGAAACAGGAGGAGGTCCCTTGTTCATCACATGGCTTGTTGAAGGTTGAATATGAAACCGCGGTTACACATTTGAAATCAGACGATTTCGTCTCGGCTCTTCAGTCTGCAAAACGTGCGCTTGACATTACGCGAACTCTGTTTGGAGAAGAACATCCTAAAATGGCTAACAATCACTTATTGGTCGGGCTCATACAAATTGATTTAGGTAACTACGCATCAGCTTTTCAGTCTTGTCAAAGTGCGCTTGACATTAGACGAAAGCACTTAGGCGAGGAACACCCAGACACAGCAAAAAGCTATTTTTCTCTGGGCGTCACACAAAATTCCTTGGCAGAGTATGCAGCTGCTCTTCAGTCCTTCCAGCGCGCCCTTGACATCAGGAGAAAGCTGTTCAGCGAGCAACACCAGGGCACGGCTCTAAGTTACCATTCTCTGGCGGTCACACAATATTCCTTGGGTGATTATGTATCAGCTCTTCAATCTGACCAGCGTGCCCTCGACATCAGGCGAAAGCTGTTCGGCGAGGAACACTCAGACACAGCCAACAGTTATGATTCTCTGGGAACCACACAACATTCCTTAGGTGATTATGAATCAGCTCAAAAATCAAAACGAAGTGCCCTTGACATCAGAAGAAAGTTGTTCGGCGAGGAACACTCAGACACAGCCAACAGTTATGGTTCTCTGGGAGCCACACAACATTCCTTAGGTGATTATAAATCAGCTCAAAAGTCTAAACAGCGTGCCCTAGACATAAGGCTAAAGTTGTTCGGTGAGGAACACCAAGACACAGCCGAAAGTTACTCTTCAATCGGGAAAACACAAAAGAAACTGGGAGAGTTAACCTTAGCTCTTCAGTCTAAACAACGTTCACTTGATATCAGAAGAAAATGGTTGGGCGAGGAACACTTAGACACAGCAGAAAGTTACTATTCTTTAGGGGTCATACAACATTGCTTACGCGATTATGCATCGGCTCAAGAGTCTAAACAGCGTGCCCTTGACATCATACGAAAGCTGTTTGACGAGGAACACTCCGACACAGCGAAAATTTACGATTCTCTGGGGGCCACACAACATTCCATAGGAGACTGTGCATCAGCTCAAAAGTCTAAACAGCGCGCCTTGGACATCAGACGTAAGTTGTTCGGCGAGGATCACCCAGACACTGCTCGAAGTTACTCTTCAATCAGGAAAACACAAATAAAATTCAGAAAGCAGACTTTAGCCTGTCAGTCTAAACGACGTTCGCTTAAAGTAGGAGATAAAATAAAAAGGAATTCTGAACAATAATTTATCGTATTTAAGCAAAGGATTTCACCCAGGGAACATTGATATGTACCGATGTGGCTCAAATCCCTTTGGTGATTTCGCTATTCCGAGGCGTGGTGCGGAAATTTCTGCATATCAGTGAGCCGATGCGCAGATTGTTTAATGGTGGTGTGTTGTCAAAGATTTTAAATTTACAATATGGTGAACCCGTAGATATACTGTATAGAGTATGTAATCGTTATTCTGTCTAAAGTGAAGGTGAATAGTAACGGCTATTTGCCGAGGCGCGACGGTGAGGCAGATCATTGTGTAGAATATACCTTACAAATACCGAAAAAATTAGTTCGTATCTATCATTATACCGAGAAATGTCAGAGTTTGGACTCTTGGCGCACGATTTTGTTTCTTTAGCTGCTCCGTGGTGAAAAGTACTCACTAATCACATCCGAATTAGTCAGTCAGCGCGCGCGAGAAGCACTATTCCCACTCATGATTCACACAACATCCGTTGGTGATTATGAATCAGCTCTAGAGTCCTGTCAGCGTACCTTTGACATCAGGAGAAGTTGTTTGGCGAGGGAAACTCAGACACAGCTGAAAGTTACAATTCTCTGGCGGTCACACATCATTCCGTAGGTGATTACGAATCAGTTTTAGTAGCTTAGCAGTGTGCCCTGGATACCAAGAGAAAGTTGTTTGGCGAGAAACACTCAGAAACATCTCAAAGTTACCATTCTCTGGCGGTCAGCCACACATCATTCCTTGGGTGATAACGAATCAGTTCTTAAGACTTACCAGTGTGCCCTAGACATCAAGAGGAAGTTGTTTCGCAAGAAACACTTAGAGACAGCTGCAAGTTACTATTCTCTTGTGGTCACACAATATTCCCTCAGTGATTGTGAATCAGCATGTACCAGCGTGCCCTTGTCATCAAGAGAAAGTGTTTTTGCGAAGAAAACTCAGACACATCTACAATTCACCATTTTCTTATGGTCACACAATATACCGTAGGTAATTATGAATCAGATCTAGAGTCTGATCAGCGTACCCTTGACACCAGGAGAAAGTTATTCGGTGTCTCGATGTCCGTCAACTCTGATTACTTGTAAATAAGCTTAAAAAGTTCCTACAACTTATGGGAAGCCTCTCGTGCCAAATATATTAATCGTTAGTGATAAAACTCAATCGTTAGTGCTGGTATCGAAGCCCTCCTTCACTTTCTTTAATAGTAAGGTCACAAGGACAACCTGTTACTGGGGCCAATTCATTTATAACTTGTTAAGCTTCAACTGTAGTAGCAGGATAGTGGTGTAGGTAAAGGAGGATAGTTTCTTTTACGTTAGTCACTTCCGGTTATTCGTATTTCATTGTGCTTGCTGAGTTCCTTTCTAGGCATTATACATTCTCTTAATTTTTGTCCTATTGCTGCGCTCCCTTGATTAAGCGCCCTCTTTCGAAAAAGCCCCCCCCTCCCCATCCCTTTTACCCGAAATTTTTAGAGTAGTAGAGTAGTAGCATGCGATCCTGCCGTCGGAAAAATTTTTGTTCCTGACAAGTAGTGAACATATCCATAGGTCTGAGTATTATGAAGTGATTAAAAATTATATCTCATTAACTGATCAACCCCTAAAATTGCCAGGTATCCTTTTAAGATCACTGTGATGCTTATGATCAACACACAATTCAATTCGTAATGAAAGATCAACCTTTGTTACAATACCAATATTATACTTCCTCAAAAGGCTACAACTAAACACACCATATGATAATGTAAACCATCTCTTGAGGTAGAGACTACATGGCAATTTCCAATTTAGTGTTCAATCTAATCCCAGATTGAAAGTACTTTTACTTTACCACATTAAAAAAAAACTTAAAAACCTAAACCACAAGCACCTTATTCACTTCCACTTCCCACCCTTTGGGACTTCTTTTTTGTTTTTTTCCTTATGGGTCCTTTTGGCTCATTGTGACATTTGCTCCTGTTCTGATTGGACATAGTGATTGTACTTTATTTGCTGGGTTTTGCAACACCCAACTAAAAAAGTGCTCTAAACTTGTGCAACAATATATACTTGATAGAAATAGTTTTGGATCTCATTGATCACATATAATTTATAATTACTTTAGATTTTAAACCACCCATGGCCATGTGACATTCAATAAACATAAATTAAAAGCCATGATTTGATCTTCTGTTGTCAGTGAAAGAATCTTTTACAAAGGTAATTCTGTTTGTCTTCATGCTTGAGACCAAATTGTGTGTAAAAAGTCAACAGGGGATCTTTACACTCCAGACTGATCTTGTAACATCCTAATTTCTTGCCAAGTAAAATCAGTGTCTCAACAATCCTGAAGGAAAAACAGCCAAGCAGATTTAGAAATTCTTGGGATGCTTTTTAAATTATCTCTGGATAGATATACAGTACCAGTAATTTTATCAACTCTTCTCCTTAATGAGTATTCTGAGTTAGTTTACAACACTTCGCAGGAGAGTTTGGCAAGACTGCATTTAACAATTTACAATTTTTGACGAAAATTTTTTTGTAAGTGCCCCCAAGTTCGGAGGCCAGAACCACAACACTGAGAGCTTCCCTTTTTTTCCCTTTCTTGGTAAGACCAGTACAGAGAAGATGCAGGAGATGGGGCCTGCAGTTTTAATGTCTAACCACGTGTATATGTCAAAACAGAGACAGTATAAATTTCTCCTTGGTTATTTTAAGATCCTGAGTGTTGGTTAACCCTTGTGAAACCTTGACCCTAAGAGTGACCAACATCTAATTTCTCCTTACAATATCACCCCTGAGTCACACATCAAGATCACAAGAATAAGGGTCTGATTGTTAAACAAATTCTTCTCACCATTATCATACAAAATGAATAGAGAACAGTGCAGAGAAAATACACATTGATGTTAGATGTTACCTTGTTGCATTATCCCCCTTTTTTCCCTTTACCTGATAGTTTTGTTGTATAATTCTAAAAACATTTGAAATCCCCATCTTGAATGAAAACAAAACAGCAAGGCCCATTAAGTTATCAGGACCTTAGAGAAATGGGTCTCAGGTCCCTAAAAAACCCAATGTTATACTCACAGTTTTCCAATTTTATTCCCTCTACAACTGCCGTCAACAACTATGTCCTCAATTCTACCTCTCTGAAATTTACAACAGAAATGCTTTTAACTGTGGAGAATTGCTATTAACCCCCTGAAGTGATCAACATACAACTTCTCCCAATAATATTCATATATTATCCAGCAAACAGGTAATAAGAATACTCAAACCTATCAAGTAGAAGTTGTCATCTTGATCTAACACCTAGTTATTGTTACTAATTTATAAGGAAATGTTGCAGCAAGAGAAGAGAGTGTACAATCAGATCAGCAACTTCTGGTGGCTGAAGGGTTTTCAGTCCCCAGCAATTAGGAAAATTCAGTCACAAATCCAAGGGTTAAATATTTCATTTGGTCAATTAATGGCCCATTCAATGTCTAAAGCTATTGCCTGGGGGAAATAAATGAGCCTTTTTATAGCATCCCTGGACATCCAGGGCAATTAATCAGATTGAGAAAAAAAATCTGTGTGACAAAAGATTGCACAAAATGTTTTACATCAAGTAAACTATTGTTGTGCTGATTTTCTCTTTTGCTCACCCTGGGTCTCTGAGGGTAGCTTTATGGCAGACTTTGGAGAGCCTTACATTTGGATCCTCACTTGTTACCTTTACCCTTCAGATGGCCTCAAAGAAAGTTAGGACCTCTGACCTTGAGTTTAGCAACCTTGTAGAAGACTTTGTTCTCTTTCTCAATGACTCTTATTTCCCCTTTAAAAAACCTCCTGTAATTATCTCTTATGATATGTCCAAAACAAAAACTTTAAGAGGGACTCAATGAGACCAGCTCTCCTTGGAAATGGGTACATACCACAGCTGTGTCATGGATGAATTTCTGTTCTACAACCAGTGTTCCACATGCAACTAGTTTTGCTAGTTTTACATCCTCTATTACAATAAGATAATATGTGCCAGGACAAGATCGCATAGCATGGAAGCGCTCTGAAGAAAGATTGAAAAAGAGAGCAGTCAATGAATATGAAGGCAATCTATGCAGCAATGAACACTTCTTCAGCAGTAATGAGAAGAGCTCAAACTCAAGGTATTAGGAGATAGTAAGGGTGGTTGGTACAGAGTTAGATGGTAAGTTTCATCATTTAACTTTCTTGGCGATTTTAGCTATAATCTGATCCAAGAAGATGAGATTCTTTCTACTACATGACCTTATCAGGGAAATGGATTCACAATAAAACTTCATCAGTATATAATTACTGCTTTTCTTCCAACAGATTAAGGCCATAAAGTTAATACAGAAAGCTTGGAGAAAGCACCGAACCAAGAGGAGGGTAATAATTTCATTACTGCTTATGTAGTGTTCCTTACTGCAAAGATTGCTTTCAAATTCATATCTTAAAAGCAAAGTTTATTTATGTGATTTTCATATATTTACAGTCATTTATTCATCACTTCATGGGTTTATTATGAACCAACATAATGACCAGCTCCCAATTGGCTTGTTAGCTCAGTTGGTAGAGCACTGCTTTGGTGTTGCAGAGGTCATGGGTTCAAATCCCATAAAAGCCTTTTTTCAGGCCCGATTTTCTCTACTGCTAAAGTAGTGTTCATTACTGCAAAGATCACTTTCAAATTCAAGAATACCCTTATTGCGATCAAAGTCGTTATTGTTAGGTCTTTTAGACAGTTCCATGCTAGTATATCACACTTGCCTAAAAACTTTTCTTTAGCCACTTCTCCAACCTTAGTAAGCTGACCTAAAAGTTGCAAGAAACCTAATGGAAAAATAGTGTAAGGGGGGGTAAGTTTCTAAGGAATCTATGGTGCTGCATTGGTGGGAGAGTATAACAGGGTAATTTCATATTGCCAACTGAGTTGATAACATAACTTGGCCATCATAAAGAGTTTCAAAGCTGATGTTTCATCATTCCCTCAGATGAAGGGCTAACTCTCGAAACGTCAGCTTTGGAACTATTTATGGTGGCCAATTTATGTTATCAATTCAGTTGATAATACTAAATAACCCTAAAAAATAGTGTTCTTTTCTTTAAGTTTTTCTAAAATAAGTCTTAGATATAATCCGTAAGGTTAATTACTAAGTAATCAATGAGTCTTTAACCCCCAGAAGTGATTGCCATTAACTTCTCCCAATGATACCACCATCCAGCAGACAGGTAATGAGATGACTCAAACTTATCAGGTAAAAGTTGTTAACTTGATCTAACACCACATTCTTGACACTCATTTACAAAGAAATGTATAGTAGCTAGAGGGGAGAATTAAGAATCAGATCTTAGGAGTTAAAGGGTTAAAGGAAAAAGTTAGCTGATAAACACTTTTGTTCATTTGTCTGATATTTTGTACAATGGGGAATACAGCTCTGCTCATTTACCAATACTTTTATTATGCAGTATCAACAACAGTCTAAGAAACAATTGCTGATTTCCAGGGCCATTTAGAGGGTGGCAAAGGGTTTATTCATGATACAAAATTGCACAAAAAATTAATATGTGATGCATGAATTTTACAGAAGGGCAAGGTAAGATGAGATTTGAAGTTTCCCCTTTAAAATTCATGACATGTGAAGTAATAATAAAAATGCATGTGGCATGAGTTTTCTAAAATGTTTTTGTCAATTCATTTCATTCATTTGGTTTACCTTTATCATAATCATCAGCGCCTAAAGGTCTCAAAATCAAATTATCACCAGGATTTTCCACTGATAAACCGCTCTCATGCAATCTACACTCTCCTTTACTGAGGTCAATGCCTTTCAACAGTTGTTTGTCAAACATGAGGTTGTCTTCCTCATTCTGAAAAAATAAAAAAATATAAATAAAAAATGAACCATTAAGATGAAGGAGAAAGGACATTAGAGGGAGGTCCAAAGTTCATGGAAAACAATTACACGATAGGAGCCCTTGATTGTTGTGAAATGATTTTATTTGTATGTTCTGTCGCGTACTTAATGTAATAGGAACACAAAATGAAACGTTACTGAAGTTTTAGCACTCAGATGTAAGTTTGAATATTCTCTAATAGGCAAATCTTAAAGATCTTGCCACATCAATGCAAATATTTCCATAAAAACCGAATCACTTTAATTTGCATTGATTTGACTTCCGGAAATTAATTTCAATTCCCCAGCGATAAAGTCAAGGGACATTACATATGCGTCCATTTAGAAGTAGAACCATGGCATCAACAAAGATCAGTTTAATATAAAGTCGGGACAAGATCAATTCCAAATGCCACAGGTACAAAAGAACTTCAATAAAATTCAAACAGATTTTTCGCAGAATTAGAAAACTCGTAAATGTTTATGTCATAATTTCAAGAAATCTTTCCCGTTTGTGAACATAACTACATTGAAACTAGATTTCCTAGGAACAATCCCATTTAGGAACACTCATGATAAGACTACTTCTGGTTGAGAATATAGTGAGTAGCGCTAAATATCATTAAAACCACCATATTTTGTGTACTCACCACCTTCGCCATATTTACCGAGAGGAAGTAAAATCGCCAAGGCATCGGCTACCATATATGGATACAATATTCCGAGCGAAGCCTCTGACCATTGTTATAATGTCACGGTAACGAAAATGGCGGCGTTTTTGTTCTGGAATTATTGACAGATGAGTAACGTAAAACGTCTAAGAAAGTGGAAAAATGAACGGTTAGAAGGCTTTGTTCAAAAGGTTCCGAGCCATTTCCTGTTTTTGATTTTAGATTATTTCCTTGCGGTTTTTTTGTGGAAGAGAACAAGGTGCACAGCCTTGAAATGGACGAAGTTTTGGGCGGTCACGCCGTTGTCTCAGGTAGGCCTCCAAGAATTCCAATGGCGCATTCTAAAAGACATTCTCTACAGTCTGGAGACTCAATAACTAAGTTCAACAAGCTAAAAAAGCATGCAAGCCAACCAAAGCTTCGAAAAGATGTCCTCAGTGGATCACTGGAATGCTTAAACTTGGACAGCTCACGAAGATATTCCAGTTTAGCGCAACTCAATGTACAGTCACTGAAGGCAAGTGCAAAAACTTTGAGTGCCAGTAATCTAGCCGCTATTTCAGACTCCAATCTTTCCTTAAAGGAAGCAATGCCGCTGCGAAGCTATGATCAACCGAACTCGTCCTTTGCCGACGCTAAGAGCCATTTTGAAGAGCTGGTTAAATGTTATTTTCGACAGCTCACGAAAGGTTGTGGAGACGAGAGCTGTCAAAACAAATTTTGTGTCTCCAGCAAGGGGGGAGTCAAGCTCGCCCCAGATGTGGCTGGTATCATGAGTATTGAATTAGCCACAAGAAACAAACAATACATTTGTACTCTCAGCAATCAAAAAACAGGTCCTTTGCCGGCCAAGCTGTTTGAAGGGGAACCAAACAAACCCAGGCCTTTTCTGCACTGTTTATTTTCAACCACTCCATTCCAAACACTATTCCAACCATTTTCGCAGAGGAGACATTCAGAAAAGGGTTCGAACTTTCCGACCAATTTGATTAAATCAAAGAAAATTTATGAAAATCAAATATCAGGATCCTGGAATATAGTTGAAACTGAAGTTAAGGCTGGTGATGTGGACCAAGAAATACTCGTTGCTTCTGGTGATAAATCTGTAGTTGTTGAGGAAATTGGTAAGAAAGGAACTCATTTGCAAACAGATGAAGTCAAAGAGGCTCCAAAAAGACATGTTTTTAATCTTGACACAGAATTTTCCAAAGTGAATCTGTCAGGTAATCTTATGACTGATCATGCCCTTCCTGGAATGCCACCAGAGTTGTTCAGCTCAAATAGCTCGTTAAATGATATTGTAGACTTGGAAGAGTTTGAAAAAGAGTGTGCCCTTGAAATGTCATCTGGTCACATTCAGGAGTTCTCATTAACTCATCTAACACTACCAATGCTGGAATCTTCAGCGGAAAACTATAATCAGTGTAAAGATGCAGCTTTTCTCATTAACACCATCAGGACAGTGTTTACTTCATCTGAAGCTCTGAATGACAGTTTTAGAACAGCTAATGGGGAACATCACAATTCTCTGGATGTTCCTGCTGTAAGAGAAGCATACAAACTCCTTTTGAGTTTAGAACCTCAGAATACATTTGTTCAGCCACTTCTGAATTCCCTCGAGATTCACCTCACAACCTTGAGCTCTTTGGTTTTAAATCCAGACGGAGTGGCACAGCTGGTCATTTTGATAGAGAATCCACTTGTACAAGACTCTCAAGCCCTCTTATGGAAAATGTGCTTGGTGTTAAGTAATCTATCAGTTGATTCAAGGAAGGCCTTGATCAAGATTTTATCCTGTTATGATGTAGATTCCTTCAAGCACCTCCTTCAGGTATGTTGAGCAATGATGTTTTTGTTTTGGCTGTAGCTCTTAGAATTGCAATGATATGCATTAATGTAGGATATACTTGAGATTTTGCATGTCTTTTTTTGCTGGATCATTAATGGGGATATATATTTGTCAAACCTCTCAGATAATTTTTTATTTTGATGATCAGAAGTTCATAACTTACCAATGATGGCTGTGGCAACAGCAAGAAAGACTTGCTCAATGTATCTGCCTTACTCATTTCAGCTCAGTTGTGTGGTCTTTTTTATAGTACTGAATTGGTGATTGATACTCTGAGTTACTATAAATTATTAGCATATTCATTCCCAGGCAAGTGCAAATGCTGATTGTCTTTAATTTTTCTCCCTGATCACCAGGTTTTCCAGACGTATCTGAGCAGCCTGATTTCACCAGGCCAGTGTAGCAAGCCACGCTTGCTAGAAGCATGTAAAACTTTAGCCATACTCTACGACACCTGCTATCAACTCAACAAGAAAAGAAAAGAGGAATTTGTTCCTCTTTCTGACTTTTACAATGAAGATCTCTCATTGAAAATGGATTTCAAGAAAGAATATGAGCACTGGAGAACTTTGCGGGAATCAAACAGGTACTTGTTAGTTGTGACATGATTGCTGCTTCAGCCACAAAATATCTCAATAATTCATACAATGTTAAAATGTTGATGTATTATAACTGAAAGACATAAATTTGATAAATGATGAAAATGGAAAATTATATAATTTTTTTTCTCTTCCAGATCACAAAGTGGTAAAAAATTATCCCTTCTTGATTATCCATTTCTATTCGACCCAACTTCAAAGGTAATGCGAAATCTAGTGACATGATATTTGTGACACAACACATCAGTTTATACATATATGTTGTATTTTTTTTAACCCTTTAACCCCTAAGAGTGATAAGCATCTAATTTCTCCTAGTAGTATCACCCCTGAACCAAATATTAAGGTAAGGAGAGTTAACCCTTTAACTCCCAGAAGTGATTAACATATAACTTCTCCCTATAATATCCATACATTATCCAACAAACAGGTAGTGAGATTATTCAAACTTATCAGGTATGATAGTATCTTGATTGAACACCAAATTCTTGCAACCATTTTACAAGGAAATGTGTAGCATTTAGAGGAGAGAATTAACTATCAGATCTTGGAAGTTAAAGGGTTAAGGAAGTGATAGCAAATTCAAGAAGCTCTTGATTATAACACAAATTCTCTTTGCCAGTACCATAGGAACTGTAAGGAGCTCAGTATGGAGAAAATTAATGCTAATCTTAGAGTGCAAAGGGTTCAGTGAGTTTCAGGTCAAATTGATTGTGGATATCTGTGATGTGAGTAAAATGCCAAAAACCAAAACCAAACCATAAAAAATTATTTTCAACCTGAAGTAATGGTTGGGGTGTATTAATTAAAAAAAAGTGGAGAATATTTGCTGGTAATTTTTAAGAGAAAAAAAAAAGGTTATAAGGAAAACTGGTTATTTTATGTATTGATCAGTTACAACAGCGATTTTGCAGTATTTCATGGAATGTCAAATTTCCAAACTACTTTGGTATAAAAAACTATTTTACCATACAGGTACAATTATATCATTATATGGTACACAGGACTTTCTGTCCTATTTTTGTTGTATGATTTCATGTGTTTCCTTGGGAACAAGCCCAAATTAAGTCCTGTGTTTTCCAAATTCAGGTGAGAGTCCTTAAAATTGATGCTGTATCACAGATGAGAGTGGAATATCAAAATGCAATTGTCCATCAGGCCCGTGTGCAACAAGCACAGAGACTATGGGAAGAGGCACAGAAGAAAACCAATGAATTGGAAGATGCTGTCAAATCTGCCATGTGTCCATTTCTTGTTCTGGAAGTTCGCCGAGATAATTTGATTGAGGATACATTAAATCAGATCAACCTCAAGGTCATTGACTTAATTGTTTTCTTGTGGTTGTATTTTTATGAAATGAACTGAGAAGTGGAACCAAAACATTTGATCACCCCATTTATAAGACCACCTTGTTCTCTCTACCGTCACAAAACCCCTCTCCTTTTCAGGAGTATAAGTGTAAGTATAGACTCAAATGTACTGGTATTAACATGATGATTTGGTTCAGATTCTGAGCGCTGGTTGTTTAAACAAAATTTAGCTGTTGTTAAACAAAACTGCATTCTAAGCCGTCTTCAATTTAGCAGATCCATATATCTGAACATTTATTTTTGTGAACAGTGTCAAGAGGGCCCAAAGCTCATAATAAAAAGAGAGTTATTTAATTAAATTAATTAGAGAATCCCTGAGGCTCACCACTTGCATAAAACCATGGTTTGGGTTTGACCTTGTGTCAATAACCAGCTCTGAGAATTTGATGCAGGATTACTCAATTAATGTTTTCTTTTTTTCCAACTACAGGAATTTGACTTGAAAAAACCACTGAAGATAAAGTATGTTGGTGGAGGAGAACAAGGGCTGGATATGGGAGGACTGCAGAAAGAATTCTTTCACATGATTGTTGAAGCTATCTTTGACCCTGGTAGATATATTTTACAATAATTTTTGGATACATGGTGGTCCCTGAGGGACTTTTCTTGAACACATGTGAAAAGTCAGCTGAGAGAACACATTTGAGAATATTGTCAGGTGGTTCCAGCTGACTGACAGACAGATTGACCAAATGGATCACAGAATAACTGACTGATATGCTTACTCACCGACTCAATGAATGATATGCTGACTAACTGACTGTCACAGTCTTTAACTGACTGACCAGCTAACAGATATATTTACTTACTGGCTCAATGAATGCTACACTGACTTACTGACTGTCTCAGTCTCAGACTGACTTACTGACTGACCTAACTGATTAACTGATGAATCTAACTGATGTACTGACTTACTGACTCACTGACTGGTGGACTGACTGACCAACTGAACAACTCAATTACTTACTGACTGACTGACTGATAAGTTGAATTTGAAAAAGAAATAATAATGAATAAATAAGAATAAAGTAGTTTAATTAGTTCATTTAACTAAATTATTTTCGTTTTTCACGTAACCATGTTCCCACCAATAGCATAGCTCCATTTTCTGCATATAAGCAAACACACAACCCACATTTCCTCCATTTGCTGTGACGAAGGGCTAACGCTCGAAACGTCAGCTTTGAAACTCTCTACGGAGGCCAATTTACGTTATCAACTCACTTGACAACACCAAATTTCCTAGCTATACTCTCCTACCGACGCAGCACCACATTTTCTTTTAAAAACTTACCACCTCCATTCACTTGACTGAGTGACTTACCAAAGATCCTTATATGCAATGTTACAGGAAAGATCAACACCACTAGTATAGATTGATGATATTTAGTAAATGACGGTGTTTTGCTTCATAGGAATCAGATGAGGATTTGTCATATTGATGGTTTTTTATGCTTCCTCTCTTTCTTTATTCAGGCTATGGGATGTTCACTAACATTGATGAAACACATTGTGTTTGGCTAAAAAGCTCCTCTCTTGAATCAGAGAAGGAATTTGAGCTGGTTGGAATTCTTCTTGGCTTAGCAATCTACAATGGTATCATATTAGATGTGCATTTTCCTCCTGTGATTTACAAGAAGCTTCAAGGAGAGAAACTGGACTTACTTGATTTAAAGAGCATACAGCCTTCTCTCGCCAGAAGCTTAGGGGAGTTACTGCAGTTCGAGGGTGATGTGGAAGACACATTTTGCTATACTTTCCAGGTAATGCTGAAGAGAAACTTAAGTAATTCGTTCTAGACTACTAGCAATCCCTCTGTATCAGTGGATTCCGTCGCGTGTGTTGATTGGAAAAATAGTCAAGGGGTGCCGGGGAATATTTAGCCGATGCAGAGCGCGGGGAGAACGATTGTCAACCAAGTCTGATTGGCTGAAGATTTTGCATCTTAGCTTTGATAGGTTTAGGTTGTGTATAGGATCCATTGCAAAGTGTACAAAGCAAAAAAAATTGATAATACAAAAATGATAACGGTTACAGCCGTCAGCCGAAATTAGGACTCGCCTTTTCTGTAATTTTTTTTTCACAGGTTTCTTCAAGTGAGTTCGGAAATCTTCAAAGTATAGAACTTCTACCAAACGGCGAAAACATCTTTGTAACGAACAGCAACAGAGAGCAGTTTGTCTCACTGTATGTCAATCACCTTCTTGTCAAATGTGTTGAGAGGCAGTTCGGGGCATTTTCACGAGGATTTCATAAGGTATGTAATTTTCTTGGAGACAAAAAAAGTTTTTTTGTGGTAAAGAAAGTAAAGCCCGCTTAGCGGTTGAGGGAGCTAGGTGAAGTCAGAAATCGTCGAAAGGAATTTCAGCCGTCGGTTTTTTCCTTAGATCTATCCCATTGAGATAAAATTTCGTCGGGGCCGTCAATTGATTAGTAGCTTTGAACGTCGTAAACAGTCAGAAAAGCCACCGGCAGATTATTGTGACATATTTATTATTAAAATTTTTCAGTTATTTGATGCCCCTAGTAGTGCGCATTTCGACCGACCGTCGTCAAGCCAAATCCAAAGTGATCTCACAATAGCTAATGCACAGGCAGCGAATGAGAACAAGCAAGCAAACAGCCTGTTGCGCGGGAAAACGCGGGCGACCATTTCGCGGACCTTAAGTTTTTAATTTGATTGGTCGAGGAAGTGGTGCGAATTTTCTGAACCAATCAAAAATCAAGTAAAGCAAAACAAAAGCAAACTCGGAATACTTTCGACGCTCAATCGGAAATTGTGATATCGATTGTTTCTTGTTTGGTTTGGTTGTTTTCAGGTATGTGGAGGCGAAGTGCTGACACTATTCCGTCCTGACGAGCTGGAACTTCTGATCTGTGGGTGCCCTGTGATTGATTTCTACGAGCTTGAAGTAGCAGCCACATACGAAGACGGTTACAACCACAGTCATCCCACAATCACAATGCTGTGGAAAGTTGTTAATGAGATGACTCTGGAACAGAAGAAAGCGTTTCTTATGTTTGTCACTGGCAGTGATAGAGTGCCTCTCAAAGGGCTGGTTAATTTTACTTTTATTGTGCAGCGCCATGGAGAGGATTCTGACAGACTTCCGACAGCTTTAACGTGTTTTAACAGGCTTCTGTTGCCTGAGTACAGCACTAGAGTGAAGCTGAAGGAGCGGTTGATTGTGGCGATTGAAAATTGCAAAGGTTTTGGACTTACTTAGATTTCATAAGGCTTGACGGACAGTTGTTAGGCGAATTGAATCATAGAGCCATTCACAAGAAAAAAAACAACAACAAAAAGCACATCGAGATGAACCAATCAGAAATCGATGAAGTAGTGTGTGAGCGATGATTGGCATGGGAAAAATCGAAGACGATGTAAAGCCCGGGAATACATTTAACAGGCAGCGAGTACGAAGCGGGCCTTGTATTGACAAGCTTGAAAGTGACAAGGGCGGGAAAATTTGTCGCAGGTGTGGGAAAGCGCGGAACTGATGGCAGTCACAGGAAAACGCGGAAAAACCCGATCGACGACAAAGATTGCCGTGGATTATACGCTGCGGCATAGTCTGATTGGTCGTAGCGGTGTTAATTCATGGTTGCCGTTTATCGAGAGTAAATATGATACAAAAAATCGCGGGAATTGAGCAATCATCACCAGAAATACAAAATGTAAAATGAACACGAGAATTTTGCTAAGTGCGAGGAAAAGGGGATTTGTGACTGATCCTGTTTTGAAGTTTCTTTCGCGTATTGTACAGATCATTAAACGTTTGACTACGTGCAAGTTGAAGGTAACTTAAAAAATGATTCAAACGTGTGTTTTGAAAATAGAGAATTTGTCATGTGTACGAGGTTGTGTATTTTTTGAAATGTAATATATTGAAAGGTTTACAATGATGGTTTGTGAAAATGGAATTTATCTTCAATTTAAGGGCACAATATCTCTTTGAAAAGTTGTTATTTATTAGTCAATTAATATTTTGGGTTTTTTGTTACTTTTTCCTTTTTTTTTCGAATCAACGGTGAGGACAGGTTGTCGAGCAGGAAGTATTATTTATATTGTAAAATATGTAAATAGTGAATTTGAAAGTTACTGCTTTCTATAACAAATATTTCCTAAATTTTCAGAAGACAGGCGGTTTTCTTAATTGTGATTTTAAAGTGAATACTTTTGCCTCAAGAATCCCCGAACAAACCTTTAAAATTTTTTATCGTGTTGCATTCTTTGTAAACACTAGTCAGGAAATGCCTCAAACAATAAATTTGTGTTCTCCATATTTGTCAATGTCTTTGGTATTTTTATTTAATTTATTGATATTTCCGATCTCTTTAGTTGTGTGTTTCGTGGCTCTGAATAAACATACCTTAACAAATTTTCTTTGGTTTTGTCTTATCCTTAGTTTTTCCATAAGAAATGTTATAAGCGGTCACTTATAATGAGACGATGGATCGCTGAGAAGGGAATCTGTTCGTGGGTATCGGACAACTCTCAAGAGTTTGATACAATGATTTATGAGGTTAATTCCCCTCACCCAGATTACTCTTAGAACACTTTACGAACACCAAGTCAGCTAGAATCTAAATAACTCGTGCACATGAGTGGTATTGGTAAAACCTGCAACCGATAAACGTGATAACCGTCACGGAATAACACCGTTAATTCACGCTTCTGTCACGGCCAATTCACTGGTTTTCTGTTTGCGCGCAAAACTTGTTCAAATTCATTCTCGTCTGAAATTCATTTTCTTTGCCTCTTTCATTCAGAATAGCTTCATCCTTTTTCGAGGGAAGTTTGGCCAAGTATTCGCTTCTTTTTTTACACTATCAAAAAAACGACGAACCGTGCTGCTTATTTTGCACTCCATTTGTGCCTACATCTTTAATCTCGTACGCAGGCTGTGATGATCACGAGACGCCTGACTAAATTTGACGAAAAAGTTGACATTCTCTTGAGGTGCCGATGGATTCACAGTCTTGAATTACGATCATGTCCCCTAGATACACGTTCTAGACATGTAAATTCGCGTATCACTACCATTTGTCAAGATGCTTGGGAGAGGAAACTCTATTTTAATACAAAATCTCAGGAAAAAGACCGGTTCTGTTTTTAGACATCGACTGCAAAGGTAACTTGATAAAAATTTGCCTTCTAAAATATTTATGATAAATACAGCGAATAAGCCAAGCCTAAATGCGAAGAAAACGGAATGGCAATAATTTTTTGAAGATGATAAGTTTCAATAGATCATTTTCTTAATCATTTAAAGTACTAATCTGAAATAGTTGACGAAACGGAGACTTAAGAGGCGCATGATGGCCTAGCAGGTCAAGAGAAACCGGCGCATATCTCGGACGGCAAGGAACTGGACAAGGTTTTAAAGTGGATTACAAATTATGTTCTTGGATCAGTTGGGTCAAATTTAAACAGATGCAAAAAAAAATGTTTCATGGCTCCTTGAATTCTAATTTTCACAGATGCATGGCCACTCAGGCATCGTATGACGTGGTTGTGGTTGGAGGGGGGATTGTTGGACTGGCGACAGCCAGGGAACTGATCCACAGACATCCCACACTAAAGTTTGCTGTTGTAGAGAAAGAGAATGAACTTTGTAAGTGTCTAACTCCTTTGCACAGCTGTCTGGAGCTCCAGGCAGGATTCCTACAAAGCTACATACTTCATTATGCATACAGCTCTTGGATAAAGAAAACAATTGTGACAAAAAAAATAGATTGCTTTTGGGACTATGGCTTTGTTTTAGAGCAGTATGGGGTTTTATGGGGTTTGAAAGAAATCTTTCCGAGCTCCATTTTTCATTCTCTGTACCTTAACAAGCAATCAAAAATAATACACATAGTTTTGAAGAGAGTTACTAGGTGACTACATATCAAAAGCATCTCGACTATGCAAAATTTTCAAAAGTGATTATTTATCAGCAACCTGATTCATAATGGTAATAGGATTGAGTAAAGTCCAATTTGGTCGGTAGTCACACAAGTGATTTACAGAATCAGACAGCTGTGAAGCGAGAGCCCTATTTGTTAATCACAATTAGTATATAGTAATTGGAAATTGTAAGTGTCATGCATGAAATAAGACGTTGTGATAGAACACTTCACTTTTCACTGTTTTTTGATTGGACAATATAAGTCCTTGCTGCATGCTACTATCGAGCTATTATTGTTTATATTATGGAACACTGTTATGTTATGGGTTTTTTTGTCTTAAATGAAACACGAAACTCCCTCAATGAATATGAAGTAAACAATATGGGTAACCAGTCAGATTTTTTTAATTTCAAGTGCACCATATTGTCCATTAAATTTACACTTACTTGTAAAATTTATAATTGACATGCCTTTCATTTTGCATCTAGCTGTTCATCAGTCAGGAAAAAACAGTGGAGTCATTCACTGTGGTATATACTATACCCCAGGCTCCCTGAAGGCTAAGTTGTGTGTGGAAGGACTGGAACTGAGCTACAAGTATTGTGATGAAAAGAATATTCCCTATAAAAAGTGTGGAAAGGTATGCTTTTGATGTTTGAGTGGTGAAATCCCCCATTTAGTACTTAACCAATATGAAGCCTAAGATGAAAGAGGTACTAATTTTGTCTTTTTGTTTAACCTTTTAACACCATGACATCAGTATGCTTGATTCCCCATACTGTTTTCAATACATTTTCTCTTGTATTGACAAGGAGAATTTATTTAATAATCAAGAGCTGCTTTATTTGCTATCATTACTTGGAGTGAAAATTAAGACAAGCATTTGCCAACATTCATCTTTACTTCTCTAGATAATTGTAGCAGTGGAAAAGAAAGAGCTACCTCAACTTGAAAAGTTATATCAAAGAGGCCTAGAGAATGGAGTAAAAGATCTGAAAATATTAGACTCAAAACAAATCAAAGAAGTTGAGCCGTATTGTGAGGTGAGTATTCCCTCACCTGAGTTTTTAAAATTAAAATTTCATAGCACCAGGGCATTTTTTTCTCTTTATGCTAATAACATCAGAACACTTTTTAGTGTAGAAATGTTGTTTATCTGATCATGAGTTCTTCTAGATTTTTTTCCTTTTTATCTTGTCTGCTTTTGTAACAGAATATCTGATAGTACAAGAGAAAATTATGTGTTGTACGTTGGTGAATTTTTTTAAGGGTGTATCTGCTATCTTATCACCAAATACTGGGATAGTTGACTGGGCAGAGGTGGCACGAAGTTATGGAGAAGACTTCAAGAAGGCGGGTGGTGAAATATATACTGGTTATGAGGTCAGAAGATATTCTTGTCTGTATTTGTTATTTATTGCATCATGCTTTTGACCCTCATGAGTGACTTGCATCTAATTTCTCCTACAATATCACCCTTGAATCACTCATTCAAGGTAATGAGAATGAAGGAAATGATCCCCAATTTTAAAGGCTCTTGATTGTTAAACAAATTCTCCTTGTCAGTAGCATAGGAAATGTATAGAGAATAGTATAGAGAATATGCAGACTGATGTTGGGGTGTGAGGGGTAAAGCCTGTCTACAGTGGTGCTAATTTCAAGGTTTTCATTGTTTTTTCTCCTGGATATGGGACCCATAGGAATGAGCAAATTTTGTGTCAGTAGCATGGCCTTAGAAGTCTAGGGAACGCATGCATCTTCTCAAAGATGGCAGCCTGATAATTAAATAATTATGGCAGACCAATTGGGGAGTTGTTAAGTGGGAATGACAGCTCAATCTTGTTTCATCGAATCACAGGATGGTTGGCTTTTCATGCAATCACTTTATGCACAGTATAACCATGAATTCATCATAGTGCCACTTTGATTTCAGGTGATTGGTTCAGAAAGGTATAAGAAAAATTACATAAATTTTGTAATTTTTGGTGATAAATGCTCTACACCCTCTCATTAGAATCTGTGTTCTTCATACTGTTCTCTTTACATTTCCTAAGACGCTGACAAGGAGAATTCATTCAACAATCAGGAGCTTCTTTAGTTTTGATCTTATCCTTAATTCTTGTGGCCTTAATGTTTGATGCAGGGGTAAATTAAATGTTAGTCACCCTTGGGGGTTTAAGGGTCAACCTTCTCTTTTTAGGTTACAGATTTCACATGTAGTCCTGAAAGCAGTCGTTCCCAAGGAAAAGAAGCAGGTTTGACAGAATATTTAAAATTGGTATATGTCTGTACAAATTTGTCATGCTGGTGCAGTATGCTGAATTTTTGCAAATTTTTTTCAGCAGGTCACACTCATCCTGTTACAGTATGTGGAAAGAATGTTGTAAGATATTGCCTTTTTCCTCTTCTCTTTGTCACGTGTTCACATTACAAACATTTTTATATTCACAAAACTATTGACCTTTGCATATTGACCTTCTAGGCTTGAAACACACCAAACAGAGAGATGAAACCAGATATTCTTCAACTGAGTGGTGTATGCATTGTGCATACCACAAAGTAATTTCCTTTTTTCCTTTTCAGTCTCCCCTTAGTTGTCGCTATGTGGTGACATGTGGAGGCCTGTACTCAGATCGCCTGGCAGAGAAGTCTGGTTGTGAAAGTGATCCAAGAATTGTTCCATTCCGAGGGGAATACCTCAAGTTAAAAGACGAGAAGAGTCATTTGGTTAAGGGAAACATCTATCCAGTGAGTTTCTGTGGCAAAGGGCCCTAAATAAATCAAAAATGAAAAATTTTCAAGAATTTTTAATTCTTTTGTTGTATAGCTAGGAAGTAGCCCTTGCCTGACATTTTTTCAATGAATGAACTGTTCTGGCCAGTCAGTTCTGACTTATGGAAGCATTTTTTTTGTCCTAAAGTTTCCAATGGTTGAGATATTGAAAGATTTGAATTAAGGGTAGTAAGGAAAAGAAGTGTTAACCCTTTAACTCCAGTGAGTGACCAAGACAGAATTTCTCCTTACTATATCTGTACAATACCATGTAGACAAGTGATGAGAATCAAGGAAAATATCAATTATGGGACTACTAATTGATCTGGTACCAAATTCTCCAAACAAACATAATGATAATTGTTTGGCAGACAGTAAGGAAAATTACTAGTGAGATCTTGGGAGTTAAAGGGTTCATCCCTTTCATTCCAACATGAGTATCCATATTCTCTATACTCTTTTCTGTACATTTCCTTTGTCACTGACAATGAGAATTTGTGTAACAATCAAAGCTTTGTAGCTTGGTGATCATTTCTTTATTCTCATGATCTTAATGAATGATTCAGCAGTATTACTGCAGGGAGAAATAAGATGCTGGTCACTCTTATTTTTAAGGGCTAAGTGTGATTTATGTGTTCTGCTTTGGTTTTAGTTAACCCTGTAAACCTTAAGAGTGTCTAGCATCTAATTTCTCTATACAATATCACTCCTGAATCACACATTAAGGTCATGAAAATAAAGGAAATGATCACCAATGAAACTTTTTGATTGGTAAACAAATTCTCCTTGTCAGCACCTTAGGAAATGTATTAAGAACATTATGGAGATTATACCTACTGATGGTTAGTATTTTCCCTCTAGTATGATGCTATAGTAGCAGATGGTTTCCCAGTAAGCAGAAACACCAGTTCTCCTCAAGGGCTAGTTTGGACCAGTTTACACCTGTCAAGAAGACCCTACTTATTCATTTGTTAACTTGATGTTTTTGTAGGTACCAGACCCCAACTTTCCTTTCCTTGGGGTCCACTTTACTCCGCGCGTTGACGGCAGTGTGTGGCTTGGGCCTAACGCAGTTTTAGCATTTGCCAGGGAAGGTTACAAACTTACAGATGTCAATGTGAAAGACTTAGTGGATGCCCTGGGCTACCGGTGTGTTGCTTCCCTTCTTTTCCTGAAAATGTTGCATCATTTTTTTCGATCGACATCACGGAATACACGATCTTTACTTTTTTATAAAGGACCTTAAAACATAGTAAATTTGTTTGATGAAATTCAGTTGATCGCTCTCCACTGGTCCTCAAGCAACTCTCACGCATCTTTTGTTCCCAAACTTTTGATTGACTCTTTACACCCTAATGTCAGTAGGCAAATTATCCATATTGTTCCCTGTACATTTTTGATCGTACCAACAAGGAGAATTTGTTTAACCCTTTAAGTCCCACTAGTGACGTAGACAGAATTTCTCCTTACACTATCAGTACAATACCAAGGAGACAAGTAATGAGAATAAAGAAAAATATCAATTAGTGGATTATTGGCTGGTCCGATTCCAAATTCTCCACACTAACATCATATGGATTGTATGACAGACAGTAAGGAGAATTACTAAAGAGATCTTGGGAGTTAAAGGGTTAAGGAAAGGGCTGCTTTGTTTGGTGATCATTTCCTTTAATGTCAGTAACATTGTAAGGAGAAATAAGACGCCACTTACTCTCAGGGGTCAAACGGTTAATGCACCCTGATGAATGAACCAACTTTCAATTAACCATTTTTTTTGTTTTCCAGGGGTCTAAGGAAACTTATGTTTAAATACTTTATGTTTGGTGTTGGAGAGTATTATCGCGGGATTATCATATCTGCCCAAGTTAAACAGCTTCAGCGATACGTTCCCAGTCTGAAATTGGAAGATGTAGAGAGGTGAGAGACACTGAATACAAGATAATACAAATTAAATCAATCCCCACTGTCGTTAATGACATGCAATCGTTGCGTGACATTACTTGGAAGATGTGAAATCTATATGCCACGCGAGGCTATTTCTAGCGTGTGTCTCTCGCGCGCCTCCTCCTCCGCAACTCTTCTCCCCTGCGCGTTTCTCTCACGGGTTTTCTCTTTCTCACACCCGACACACCTCAAGCACCCGGTGTCTCAGATCAAAGCAAGCCTAAACCCATGTATTTTCTCAACTAATCGCAGAGGACCAGCAGGAGTTCGTGCCCAGGCGATGGACCGTGAGGGAAATTTGGTAGACGATTTCGTGTTTGACGGAGGAGCAGGGGACATAGGAAGCCGTGTCCTGCATGTTAGAAATGCGCCTTCTCCTGGGGCCACGTCTTCTTTGGCTATTGCAAAAATGGTCGCCGAGAAGGTCCAAGATCGTTTCAATCTGTAGGAACCTGTTGGGATCCAAGCCAGTGAAACAATAATTCTATGATTGCGTTAAATAATACAGTTTAGCTCGAAGATCCTGCAAAATATAAGGGCAAATAACGAGGGGGGGGGGTGTTTCTTATGAATATCACACAGCCGGATTGGGGGATTAGGTTAATTTTATCGTGACAAAACCAAGAACCTCCAATCCACCCACCCCCCCACCCAGTTAACCCCTTAGACGATGAATAATGACCGTCACCTTAAGTAGCTACGACTTAAAAAATATATACTATACGTCATTTCCGGTAAAATAATTAGGTAGTTTTTGTAATTAAATATTTTAAAACTTACATTTATTCCATGGTTAATATACCTTATGAATTACTAGGTTCTGCTTTATGTAATCAACAAATTCCACAACTAAGTAAAACTAGGAACCAAAAAAAAAGGGTAGAACCTGTATTTTAAAGGGTGTAGTCCTGTTCATTTCCAAACATTGTCAGAAATATTGAAAATACGATAAACAGCGTAGGAAGAGATTCAAAGCTTTTGGAGGAATCTCAGAGAATCTGCGTCTGTTCGAGTTGATTTGTTCAGCTCTTTAATTTTAATAGAGAAATAGAAGCTTGAAAATTTGAGTAGTTGTAACGAATGTTCGCAATGCGAACGTTCTTACATCTTCCGTCGAATATTCTCTCATTGATTGTTTTCTCATTTGCCTAACCTGTTCTCGGTTTGGAAAATTAAGAATGGCTGTGATTTTTGCAACCTATTGACATTTAACCTTTCTCGCGCGAACAGATATAAATTTACTATGAAGATGTGTTTTTTTTGCTTAATATAGAGTTCCGAATCTCACACCATAGTACACATGCACACAAGTCGAACCTAGTGACAATGGTTAGGCAAGATTCAGAGTCGAAAGTAATCTAGGGTTACTATGGTTTGCTGTGCTTCACTCTGTGATTGGTCCAGAAAACTCGCGCCACTATCTCAACCAATCACGGCATGGTATTTTTCTCTATCCTGATTGGCCGTTGTAATTATTTTGGCTTTAGTCTTACGACACTCGATCGAAAAGCATTATCTTCCTGCGCAATCTGTTTATGATTCATAATCAACAAAAGAACACAACACGCGATTAAAAATTCATAAGCCTTTATTTTCTGGGACATTAAGAAACAATTCGACATATCTATGAATTAAAGTTTATTTCCGATCGCATTGAGCGATAAAGCAAAATTTTATAAAAAAAATTCGCGCAAACAAAAGTTTGTCGAGCCTTTAATGTAACTGCAGAGTGCCCAGAGAGGTACTGTGGCACCTTTACCAAACTCTCCCACCCCTACCATGCTGCAGAAACACCGCAAGCCCAACGTTCACCTGGAACGTATCATTATCTACCATTTTGAACGCACTCGTTCCACGCCTCTACGGCCACGTTTCCTAATGAAAAGACTGAAAACGAATGCACTTCAAGCTTATTGTCCATTCAATCTGAAATTTTTTTCCAATTGCTCCAAATTTTGGTATATGTATCTACATATCGCACTCGAAAAGGGAAAACATTTCCTCAGATTTATACTTCTATATAATTCTATTCCTGAACAAAATCAGGTCTATTCTTTGAGATAATTGAAGCCATTTGCAGCTATGTTTGAAGATCAATTTGAAAAACAAATTAAATTTCAAGCGCTACTCCGTGTCATAGAAGTCATTTAGTAAAGGCATGTCACACAATGACAGGCCTGTCACGCGTTGATCCGGTCACGACATGACAATTGTCATGAACGTTTTGTTTTGGGCGGCAAAGCCGGGGGAGGAGCGTCTTCGTGATTAGTTAATTCCACATTCCCGGTCATGGGTTCATGCCCTCCGGGTACCCTAGGGGGAATCGGAGGTGGAATTCGACGAGGCCCCCTATTTGGTTCCCTTGGGGGTATTGGAGGGGCATCGTCGTCATCTTGAGCAATGTTCTGACACCTATCTATTGTCACTGACTTAGTTGGTTTTCGAGGGATACTTGGAATAATATCCGACATTTGCCGACGTACAGGCGAAGTCACATGTTCGGAAGGCCTATCGCCATTCACCGACGCCGCACGATGTTTTGTCTGATTCGAAGGTTTTCTCGGAGGTATATCAGGCGGAGGCTCTTGCTCCGGAAAGTTCTCGATGTTAACATAGTCGGGTTCTGTGTCTTCAAGCAACGGAGATTCGGAAATCGTTTCCGAGATGCTGTCAGGGGGCAGGAAGGAAATCGTTGACAAAGGCGTCCTTGGGGTGCTCGGAGATAGCGACGTCGTTGAAGGAAACATGTCGCTGTCTGGTAAGAAAATGTACGAAGCTTGAGAGGCGCTCCTTCTCAAAGACGTCTGAGATGTGATTGACAGACGAGACTGTAGATAACTTGGCCTTGTGCCTGGCGATCTGAGGGAAATGTCCGTCTTGCGAGGCTGAAACGGTAAAAAAGCCAAAAAACCTTCAGAAAACGATAACAACACACCAGACGGAAGCTTACTAGGGTCTTTTTGTTCAAAGATTCGCGGAGGAAAAAGAAAGAAATTGACCCTCTGACCTCAGAGTGACGTACATCTCCTTACAATGTAACACGCGAATCCTCCTTAAGCTCTTGATGTTAAACAAATTCTCCTTGTCAGCACCTTGGGAAATGTATGGGGAACAGTATGGAGAATGTGTACACTGGCGCTAAGGTGTAAAAGGTTTAATGCACAACATATACACTTACATGCTTGACAAGCTGTCGACAGTTTCGTGGCTCGATTTCCAGAGACAAGTCGTACAGGTAGTCTTCCATTTCTTTGTCACTTCTTCCCTCAAACGGATCTAACGTCTCTAGATATTCCTACATTAAAACACAAACTCTGTTACAAACTGTAAGGCGACAAAATTAAGGGACAAGCAACAGAAACCTCTGATTCATACACAAAATGTTGTTTACAAGGTAAAAAAAAAACAAAACAAAACAAAACAGAGCAATTCTCGAAAGCAATGCGGTCAGCATCAGCTTTCAAATTCTTTAAGGTGGCCAATTTATATATCAATTCAGTTAATAAAACCAAAGTTATCAAGACTGCACATACTCAGTCAATCAGTCAAGAAACGGTCAATGCCAGTGAGTGAGCATCCGTAACATTTCCCGCCAAAGAGAGCGCACGCATTCTGTTAATTCTTACCGTAATGAAGGACTCTTTCTGAAGACAGTAGGGTTGATTCTGATACTGTTGGATTTCACCGGTGATTTCAGCGACTTTTCTCCTGTTGCAAAAAAATTTAAAGTAACAATAGAAAAGAAGGGAAATAAATTAATCATATGTTTTTTCCACTAGTTAGGAGAACTGCTCAAATCAAAAGGTGGCCTCTGATCTCACCTCTTACTAAAGTTTATGATCCCTTTTGGATAATTGGGTAGAAAATCTGGATTTCCTTCTTCAGTCTTCAGAATATTTGTTAAGTACATACCTATAGTAAACAAAGGAAACAATATTTTATTCCTTTACAAAGCAGTGGCAGATCCATGGGGAGGGAGTCCCAGGGGGTCCCAGGGGGTCCGGAGATCCGGACCTTCCCCCAATCAGACTCGTTGGCTTTTCTAACTCCTTCTGACAACAACATTCGTGCAACGACAGGATCATAAGTTACTACTCAATATAGAGTATTTACAATTTAGTTGCTTAGGAATATTTCTTTGCTTATTTACAATAGTGTGCTAATTAAAATGTCTGAGTTTCTCGATCAAATTTTGACCACCCCTCTAGTCGAACCTTCTACGATCCCCCCGCACAGCAATGGGTGATTAACAAAAATAGAAATGAAATACGTACCAAAGAAAGGCACACAGGGGGGGTTGATGGAACGTAATTTTTCGATGTACTTCTTGTAATGATCGCTGCTAAGCTCTTTCGCCTCCTCCAAAATTTGCTTCCGTCTGGGGCTCAGCTCCTGCAGAGAAGAAAAGACAAAATCGAAACATAAACAAAGCAAAATCTTGCGAATGCATCAATAGTCCAAGGTCCAGATCTTTAAAAGGAGGAAAACACTCTCTAACGAATAAATCGGTATCCGACGGATAAGTGATGAAAAAAGTGCTGCCCTATCCACCGGGTAGAGATTTACGCAGTGGATAGAGTTATCCACCCTTCGAAAAACCGGAACCTGTATATCAAGTTATACACGATTTAATGCGTTCAATACTAGCAAATGGGAACTGTAGGACTGAGCATCAACTACACGCTGGGACTTCGAATTCAGGCGCAATTTTAACGCAATACATGAGCCTCAAATGCAATAACCATGAATAACTACGGTGGACCCTCATTCTAAAAGCTTGGACGCGAGCCTAGGAGAAACTGAATAGAGTGCAACAAGTGAATGCATAGTCTTAAATTCTCTTGAAAATCACTTTGAAAGGCAAATCTCGCCTTTCTGAACAGCTGTTTTTATGACGTCCATTGGACACCTAAACACACTTTTGGCAGGAACTTATTAGAAGAATAATGAAGAAAAACGTAAAAGGAAAGTTCATGTGAGTTAATATCTCAGCTAAAGGAAACTTTGTAGGGAGGGGACAGGAAGAAGAGAGGCCCTGGAGATGAGGATGGACTTGATACACGAGACCCAGTTTTCCTGCCTCACGTCCACAAAAATCGAATGGAAACCTCGCATTGCATTGTGAAAACAGGATGATACCGAAGAGAAAGAAATCAGTACCGTTACACTACCAATTTGTAACAAAACAGAGTTTGAGTAAAGTAAAATGAGTGACAAACTTACTGCAAACGTGTGATTAAGTCTGAAGATAGGAGACGAATTAATTGCACTGACTACTTCTAGAATACCATTGAAATTGTTTAATTCTTGAAAAACCTAAAATAAAAATGGAAGAGAGAGTACAATAAAAATTAAAGAGATATCCTTACAAGCCAAAATCGTATTCTCAAATCATATATTTCCCACATGCTGGAATCGTGGATACACCCCTATTTTTCTGCACTTAGCACGGTCAACGTATGCTCCGACGTTAATCCTTTAACTCTCAGAAGTGATTAACGTGTAACTTCTCCCTATAACATCCATACATTATCCACCAAACAGGTGATGAGAATACTCAAACTTATCAAGTTAAGGTCATGGTCTTGATCAAGCACCAAATTCTCGTAGATAATTTTCAGAGAAATGGGTAGTAGTAAGAAAGGAGAGTTAACAACCATATCCTGGGAGTTTCTCAATACTCACTGTTAAAATGTCGATAACTCTGTTTAAAACTGCTACTCTCTCTTCTAAATTCGCAAACTCCAACATGCTCTTCTCAAACCACATAGTGATCTTGTTCGTGTGATGGATCATCTTCAGAAGATTCGGTGAAGTAAGATATTTAATGTCTTCCTTCGTCCACACACTTCCTACAAGTTCTGAAGGGCGGACAGCTCTGACAAAAAAAAAATTGATAAACTGAAAAAATGTGATAATTTTTTTCCTCTCTATAAAGGGATGTACCAGATTCGTTATCTATGACTAACCACATTGACAGGAAATGTCTGGTTGAAAACTGCACGCGAATTGATGTAACTTAGCAACAACCAATCTGAGGCAATATACGGGTTTCCGCGGAACACGTCACATGTATTCATACCGATACAATTTTCACCAAACTAGCAACCATTCCCTCACACTTTTTTTCCGCTGAGAAGCGCAGATAAACCAGTGAGAAATTGTGTATTCCTAAAGGAAAAATAGCCTTCCCTCGGAGATATAACTTGGAATAACAGTTAGTTTTTCAGTCTCCCAAAATTTTCATACGTATCGTTTTAAGAGAAACTGAACGCGATACTTGAGAAAAGTTCTGGGGACAAATAAATTGTATATAAGCGCGTGAGTGCAAACTGGACGAGTAACGGGTTAAGGAAATGCGAAAATTAGAGAGTCTCTTTCGAAAGATGACAAAAATCTTCCATTTAAAAAGGCAGTTTGTTGTACTGACAACAACATATTTTTACCTGTACAGCTCTGACTCGATGATAGTTAACTGCCGAGCAATCTCAATTGGATGCAGCTACGGGAAAATAAATAAGAAATTATACATCAACGTTTGTACTAATTATGTTTGAAACATCATTAAACCTAAACGAAGGTATTGAAGACAAGCTACGCACTGCTTTAGTCAAAGCGGTCGTAAAATTATCCAAGGGAAAAACAGTGATAAGTAAAATTGAATAAATCCACTGCCTGTGACACTGTTTGGCTAAGTGTCGTAACATTAAAACCAAAGTTATCATGATATAACAGGCTAACAGAACAAATGGCAAAATCACAGAGAGACTGGGGGAACTTTAGATAGATTGAAATAAAAGCCTTCAAGCGCGGGAAAATGCAGGTTAGCGAGTCGTGATAAATTCCAGTTTAGCATCTGGTTGGCTAAGAAGGCGCGCGAGTTTTTATGTAAACCAATCATAGCGCGTATTGAAGCAAAGCCATCGCAATCCCACTTTATTTGTGACACTTGATTTCTAATTAAATAAAAACTTTAGTTTTTTGTAACACAATTCATTATAAAATAATTCAAATAGTACGCGCACTCTGATTGGCCATAAAACCATTTTACATGAGCGTATGTAAACACGGTTTTCGTTCCTCTTTCATTAGTTATTTTATAAAAGAAATGTAAAATGGTTTCCGTAGTTAAATAAAAACTTAAGTTTTTTAAAAAGGCTATGTAAACACGGAAACCATTTTACATTTCTTCATTATCAACGACGCCAAAAGAAAACATCCACAAATCAAACGTACGGTGAGGATGTCGAATCTTTCGATGTCGTTGCAAGCAGCTATGTGCCATTCTGTCGGTGGCGGCTCTTTCTCAAATGTAATTTCTGGAGCAATGTCATTGTCGGAATTCGTCTGAAAAGGAAAGGAAATGATCATTGAACTTTACTGAATGAATTTAACTAATTTGACTGACGCAGTGGGTGTCCAAAATTGTAACAAGCACGTCGGAGGGACCTGAAAAGAACGAGTTGAGACTAAAGTTAGAATTCATCAAAAAAACACTGCTACCTTTCTGGCGATAACTTTTTTTATAGACTCCACCCAGCGTCTCATGGCTTTGCCTTTGACTGTGTCCAAGAACTCGTTGAGTTTCGTCAACAGCTGCGAATCGCGTTCAAAATCATAGCAGTGGTTGTCCACCCAATGGCGAATAACATTTAAAACTCTGATCAGATGAAAAAAATATCTCAAAATGCAACAAGATAAATAACTTTAGTGAAAGAGGTGTCGTTCTTTAGAATGTCTCGAAGAAAACTACCCCAAAGATGTCCTCTTCGTTCAAATACCTACCTTAATTGCACTGGTTGAGCATATTCCTTTCTGAATCTTTTGAGGTCTTCACGCACAACAGGCTCCCCCCTGGCCATGGCTAATTCATCTTGTTCGCTAGGGGGAGGCTCAGGTATTTCAAACGTGAGATGCAGTTAAAGCTTCAAAACTGTTTAACACCACTGTTAATTACAACTACTACGCTGGCATTATAACTGAGACGTGCATCTTTAAATAGACGTTATTAGCTTCACAGAGGCAAGAAATAACCTCCAAAGCCGTAAACACACGTTGAATTTGTACTTTCTTTAGATATTTATCACTCGGATGGTAAACAAAATGTAACGTAAATAATTTATGTAAAAGGATATCTCTGAATTAAATAACCTAAGAGCTCTGTTGGTTTGCAGAATGATCGGTAAGTGGTCAGAAAAGTCCTCACAAAGGTTGGATCTGCAGCAAAATTAAAGAAACGGGAAGGTTAAGAAATGTTCGCGATAACAGGCAATGTTAATATGAACTCGCTCTTTCCTTTAGTATGTTTTGTTCCTGTTGTTGTTAAAGCGTTCAGGTGGCTTTTTCAGTGCCTACATAGAGCGTTTCGTACTGACGGTTGAAAAACCAAACCAGGCTGATAACATTTGCCAATAACAACATAAGAAAACTTCTTAAGGAACCAGTGAGAAACCAAACTGCGAAGAAAAATGACTGAAGCGCGGGAAAATGCGAGCGACACATTTGCGATTGGTCTAAGACTTACATCTGATTGGTTGAGAGTGACGCGAGTTATGTTTGTGCCGATCACGTTGCGAAGAAAAGCAAAGCCATTGCAATCCAAGATAGCTCTATTTCAACACACATAAATTTGTTCTAAACCTCCATGATCAAATTCCTCCCACGATTAATATTCAGTTTTAGAACTGATTAACCTGTGAGTATGAAACTTACCCGCATACTTGTGATGGGTCAACCTTTCAATCAACTTTATCAATGTTCCACCTTTGATGACAGGCGCATTACTTGTGCTCTGTGAGAAGATACGATCAGCCGTTCAGACTACTTAATAAAAAGGTTTCTCCGAAGGCGGAAAAAAAAAGCTGTTTAAAATACCCCAATGGTAAAATCTTGAAATCCTAGTAAGGACATTCAAGTGAAAACTATCGCGCAACATTTCAATACGGTTCTATTTTCTAGGCTGCCCCAGGTGGTTTTGGATAACAGTCTATATAGGAAACTTTGAGGTGTGACCCACAAGGGAAGCTGTAAATTTTAATTAACGTGGAATCTCGCTGATACGGTCTCCAATGGGCCCAAACAAATTGGCCGTATTAATGGAATGGCCGGGGCAGGGTTACATCTCATAATCGCATCTTAATTTGCCAAAGCAGATGCTAGCGTCAAGATTCATCTCCTTTATCGTGTTTGTAATGAAAACTGGGAGGAGTGTTGCTTACTTACTTACTTACTAAATTTGTAAAGCAAATCGGCCGTTTGATTAGTAAATGACAGAGATCAATGAAATTAACACGTGACAGGGGTTTTGGTTTTCTAAATTTAGCCCTCGTGGCCGTAATGACGCGGTAATATTAAAAAGGATTCTACTGTTTGCGATTCTAAAATATGGCTGTTGGCCATAATAAGGAAAGTTTTTGATGAGAAAATGCAAGCCCGTTTTGCCGGGCCAAAAAACAGGCGGCCGTAATAACGAGATGACCGTAAGGCGGGATCCACTGTATGTGGATAAAACCCCAGCGGATAACCATTAACCCTTTAACTTCCAAGATCTGATTGTTAATTCTCCCCACTGACTGCTACACATTTTTTTGTAAATAAGTTGCGAGAATTTGGTGTTAGATCAAGATAACAACTACCCGATACATTTGAGTATTCTCATTACCTGTTTGCTGGATGGTGCAAGGATATTGTGGGGAGAAGTTACTTATTAATCACTTTTGGGAATTAAAGGGTTAAAACGAAAGCTACAGAGCAATACTAGGACTTAGTTTTCTTTGTTAATTTGACGCCAGTTTGGCTTTTAGCAAAATCTGAACACAGAAGCCAGAGCGAGTCAATAACATTTAACAATTTTGTCATTCATACCCCTTGTCCATCCTCGAACACAATGTTGTCTTCAGCGTCTTTGACAGCAAAACTGAAAGGGAAATGAAACACTCAAACTATCAAAAAAAATCTACTTGAAAACTCAATAAACGAGTTTTCCAAAAACTCCAAAATGATTTTTCCAGCCATGAACAGTTAGTTGCATAAGATGCCAATTTGTGAGTGAACTTACCAGTACTCCTCAGGACTCGGCATTCTAAGAGGAATTGCCTTCTCTTCTTCTAACAGAAGATGGTCCAACATTCTGTCCAGAGTACTGTTCAGAGACAAAAAAAACCAATCATATACAAAGGTAAAAGGTGCAATCGATCCAAGTGCCCCCACCATCTACCCGGAGCTTGTCCCAGTTTTTATAGCATGAGGCGATCGATGGGACTCTAGTCTATCGCGAGCTACCGCCACCAGACTGTTCGCCCGTACCCATTTACTGTCCTGGTTGGAGAGAGAGGCACTGTGAGGCTAAAGTACCATGCCCATGAACACAACTAGATGACTCAGCCAGGTCTCGCACCCAGACCTCTAGACCTGGGGCCCAGTGCGCTGGCCGCGGGTCACCGCGCATCCCGTGTAATGAACAAAAGAAGTCGTAAAATGCACAGCGTGTTTTAAATGGCTCACATTTACCTTCTCATGTAGATTGTCATTAGTACTGACATCCATTCGTTTTTCTCCTCTTCTGTCTTACATGTAAAGACGGCCTTGGGTTGATCTCTGTCCACAATCTCAAATGCATTCTTAACATCTGGTTTAACAAAAAAAAAACTAATTCATAAGATGGTTTGTTAGTATTTCATTAACACACAAAATGCAAAGCTACAAGTCTATGCTACTCATTTTACAGTGAAAATTAGAGTAGAGCAGAGCAGGAGTAATTTTGGCGAGGTTTATTACAAAGTATATATGACACGCATCCTGCATACTGCTAGGAACAGCAATGTCGAAAGCGTTATGTTTGTAGATAAAAATAATTTTCTACAAACATTACGCTTTCGACATTGATGATCCTAGCAGTATGCAGGATGCGTGTCATATAAACTTCGTAATGGACCTCGCTCACCGTGGAGTCTCTGTAGATCAGTGGTTAGAGCATCGGAGTGCGGAATGCGAAGATCTGAGGTTCGATTTCTCATGGGGACTCAGGTTTTTTTTCTTTGTCCCACGCTCGTGACAAGACGAAAACATCTTTCTCTGTTTATCAGCTCCACTTTCTCCTTCAAAGATATTACTTGGTGGGGTTAGCGGTCGTTTCATACCCAGTCAGTCGAGACGTTTCGTACGCAACGAGCGACGTCTGTTCACACGCTCGTGGGTGAGGCATTTCGAATAAATGTAAGGATCGATCGGCGGTCTGGGCACGAACCGATTCAAACTTGGGTACGAATCGACTATATATGTGTACGAAACGACTAAGTACGAAACGACCAGATACTGTGGTATTCTAGTTACCTTCTGTATCATCAAGATTGTTGATTTCAATCTTTCTTATATAATACTTTTCTTTCAGTCGGTACTCGGGTGATGGCCCTGTCAATGAAAGTCTTGTATTCTGAAAAATGCATTGAAAACAAGATCATTAATTATAATTAGTAATAATATTTAATCAGAGAATGAACATATGTCCATGGATTTGACTTGCGGTTAGGCCTCGTTACTAATGGCTGGGCACGAGCGTTTCTTCGGAAATATGAGGCCTCCAGAAACGCAAGCTGGTGAGAAGTCTGCAAGGGATCTAGCACATATATAACATCCCTGTCTCTTTCTGTTGGCCCAACTGATCAAACATACTCTATCACATAACCAGTCACCGATAGGGGCTAGTCAGACACTGAATATGCAGACAGTCAGTCATATGGCTAGACAGTCGTCCATCATTCAAAACACCAAAAGACAGGGACAGTCATTTAAATACACACAGACAGTCAGGCATGTATAGGGTTTGTGCAAGTCATCGTACACCTGGAAAATCAAGCACTTTTCCCAGCCTGAAAAGTGAAAGAATTTGGAAAGTAACTGGAGACTGATTCACTATTACTTTGCGAACAAAAGAGAAAGAGATACTTCTACTGAAGAATGGTTTCCTCGATATTTTGAAAATAAATTCTCAATCAAATGTCCAGGGAAACATTCCAAAAAGTTCTGCGTTTATTTACGGAATTTTTTGGATTTACAACAATCCTTCACTAAGTCAGTCTTTCAATTAATCTGTCGATCGTTTTTTAAGGTTGTTCATCGGTCAATGGCTTATTTTGTCAAAAGCAAGGCCAGTCAACAAATTCAAATTAACGAAAAAAACACGCGATAAAATATATAACGATAAAATATTACCTGTTTGCAACAGATAAGAAGACCATCCAAGAGAAAACAATATCTTTCAGTGTCCCTTTTGTTTGGATGAATCTTACCAAGGGTTCCCTCTGTGTGAGTAAAAATTAACCACATACATCAGTCAAAGAAGCTACATACATGTACATCAGTCGAAGAAGCTCCATACATGTAGATCAGTCAAAGAAGCTCCATACATCAGAAGCTACATACATCAGACATAGAAGCTCCATACATCAGAAGCTACATACATGTACATCAGTCGAAGAAGCTACATACATCAGTCAAAGAAGCTACATACATCAGTCAAAGAAGCTACATACATCAGAAGCTACATACATCAGTCATAGAAACTCCAAAAAAAGAAACTCATGTAGATTCAAGTTTGTGATTCCTCCTTCACTGAAGACATATTAGTTACAACTGACCTTACCTTTCATTACTTCTGTACAAGACTGTGAAATATCTCTCCCCTTCAAAGATACAAAAAAAAAAAGCTTAGAAACCCAACGAGTCATGAGAAGGCATTATTCTAAACAAACATGAGTGTCTAATAGAAAGCATGGCATACAGTTCTTTGATACCCAACTTGTCTTTTCACTACAGAGTTGGAAAAGAGTTATTTTCTATATATTATTTTTGTAGGCTTTGGTGAAATGGTGAATATCACATTGTCATCATGCCATAATGTAACTGGTAGTAACTGAAAGGAACCATTTTAATGGAAACTATTCAGGACTCAGGAAATATTTTATGGAAAGGACACTAATGAAACTGAAGCCATTCAGTTGAGTATTATATCAGATATGAATATGACCAGTAATTCAGTGACAGTTGAGAACCACTTTTCTGACCTGAAAGTTGTATTTTTTTAAGTTTGGACGCTTAATATTTTCAGTCATGTAGAGGCTTGGATCCCTGGGTAAAGTCAAGTGGGTAAATATAATATTTTTGTACTCTTTATGGCAACAGATCATGTAACAACCTCCCATCCTTCAATGCTTCTCTGTAATTCATTCATGATCACAGCTGCTGATCGGAAAGCTCCTGATTTCCTTTTCTGCGCTTTTGTGAACTGGTCCCTAACAAAAAACAAATTTGTAGGTTGTGACTATTAAGTAATCTGAATGATTTTAAAAACAATTCAAAGAGAAACATTTTGTGGTTGGCCAGCATGCCCTCATTTTTGGTGCTGCACAATGTGCATCTCACTATCAACATGAACATTTAAAATGAGTTGGCATACATATCTGTAGATTCTGAACAAGAATGTAGTTTTCCAATAGAATAAACAAAATTCTATTCCTAACACCTTCCAATGGAAGTAATATTGCCAGAAGTCATGAAGCAAAAGAGTAGCAGAAGTCAGATGAACATCAGGAAGTGTAAAAATGTTGTCCGATGGACTCCACTAGAATCTTTTAATGGAGTCCCTCCCAATCCAATAGAGCCCCTTAGAATCCATCAAAATTACTGAAGTCTTAGTGGTAATTATAATACTCAGACAAATGCAGGATGCATGAAATATGCCTGGTTTTTACAGCCATGAGACAAAAAGCTAAATTCAAGTGTGGATGACATGGAATATACCTCATTCTTCAAGTACGAATGACTTCAAATCTTGCTCCTTAGAGGTTTGCTGGGGTCTGGCACTGATAACTATCAGCACCGGACCCCTTACAAACCTCTTGTCCACTTACATTACCTAAGGCCTCCTATTTTCCCATGGGCAAAGAAATGCTCAAGACAAAACCCTAAGAATAGAGGTCTGCTTGCATGCCAAAAATGACCAACCTCATCAAAACCTTTTCAACTTTTCAACTTTCTTCTCTTTGTGATATTTCCCAATGATTGGACAATTCTTTCCATCTGTGCTTGAAGTGGTCCCAGTGCACTCTGGGCCTGTCAATAAATAAATGCATCTTAGCTGGTCCTCACACTTTTATAGGGAAAATGAAAGAGATGGTCAAAACATAAGAACAAAGTGGACAAAAAGCATTTTTTGGCTTGCATTGAAAGTACTAGGTACCCATAAAGAAAAAGTGAAGAAACCTGCAAAGACAGGGCTAAATTCATTGTAACATTTTCAAAATATATTCTTTCTGATATGGGTTACCTACCTATAAAAGAAAAAAGTACTTTTAATTTAAATAATTTAGAAATACTGTTTATTTCTTTGTGTTAAATTGTACCTGCTCCAAGCTCTCAATGTCATCTTCATCAGGAGAGGTCCTAAGCAACAACTGCAAAAAGTGAAATCATCATGGCTCAATTTAGGTCACTTGATTCATATGCACAAGACCTTCTGGAAGTGAATCTGCTTCAGCAAGGATTACCTTATGGTGCTATCAGCCATGAGATTTATTTACAGTGTGATTACTGTTACCCAATCTCTGACACCATACTGACCAATCCAATTACAGGGAAAGTAAACATGGTTTCCATCTGGATTCTCTATTACCTTAGCTTGTTAATATCCTGAGCACTGATTGTAGGTTACTGTGTGGCTAAGCTCATTCAATGAAAATTTTTTGCCATGTTCATTGGAATATACATGTGGAGTTAAGATGACATACAGTTAAAGTTTACACGCCCTGTAACCTTGGTTGAAATTGATCTGAAAACAGTAGTAATTCTCCTTACTGTCTACCATACAATTTTTATGACGTTTGTTCTGAGAAATTGCTATTGGATCAACTAACAATCCCCTAATTGATATTTTCTTTATTCTCATTACTTGTATTCTTGATATTGTATCAATATTGTAAGGGAAATTCTGTGTTGGTCATTCATTGCACTCTGCAATAAGAATCACTTGCTGTTACCTTAATGAGGTCAAAGTAGTGCAAGCAATGATGGACAGGCATCATAAGCATCTTGGGAAGGCAATATTGCACAGCTTCCTTGAAACCTGGGCCTTTTGCCTGGGGAAAAAAAGTTATGGTCATTGTCTTTGAAACTGAACTGAATCAGCTAATGCATAACTTTATGTTTCATCTTAATTACATATTTAATTTAGCTGGTTTGCAAAGAAAGTTATCCACTTCCTGAGCAAAGATGGAGTATTTTGGAGCCTCTAATCCTCCAATTGAAAATTGAAGGCAATTCTTCTGCAAAATTGTGACTCTCTTTTTAGTAAGGGGGGGAAGGGGTTGGGGTGGGGGGGGAAATGGGGGAAGGAGCAACAATTTGAAAAAAACAGGTAAATTTGGGAAAAGCAAGGTAGCCAGAATATTTTACTCCTCATAAACAATCATACCTTGAAGTATTCATCCACTGGAGTTCTTAACAACAACTCTGAAAGTTTTCCACCTATGCCAAGATGTCTGTACTGTTTGCTTGCTGAAGCAGTCTGCTCGCTGGTGTAAGTGTAGTAAACTTCAAACTCGGCATTCTACAGTACATCAAAACATGGATAAACAAAAAACAAACCAACTAACTTTCAAACCCACAGGACTGGAGAACCAGCTAGGTCCAATTTAAGGATGACTCTAAGCCCGTAAAAAGAGAATTTTAGCCCTTTAACCCTTCAACTCTTAAGATCTCATTAGTAATACTCCCTTCTGTCTACCATACAATTCTTGTGATGTTGGTTTGGAGGATTTGGTATTGGATCAACTTATAATCTCCTGACTGATATTTTTCTATATTCTCATTACTTGTCTGCTTGACAATGTATTGATATTGTAAGGAGAAATTCTGTCCTGGTCACTTATGGGAGTTAAAGGGTTAAGTGACCAGGACAGAATTTCTCCTTAAAACATCATTACAATATCAGCAAAAAAGTAATGCAAATAAAGAAAAATATAAATTAGGGGATTATTAGTTGAATCAATACCAAATTTTCTGAGCTAACATCAAAAGAAATGTTTGGCAGACAATAAGAAGAAATTCTAATAGGAGCTTGGAGTGAAAGGGTTGAAACTTCTTTGATCAAAAACTAATGATTGTCAGATGACCAAAAAAAAAAGTTGGGAAAACTTGACTTTTACTTTTCTGTCATTAACACTTCATACCTCTGCCATTTCTTCAAAGCATTCCCCGATTGCTGGCTGTTTGCCTTCATCTGCAACTTCAATTGCTGCCTCCAACAAACCCAGCAATGTAACAGAGAACTCATAGATGTCAGTAATATTGCTGAAAATCCGGCTGATATCCTGCGAATAAGATTCATTTACAACAAGTTAAAATACTCCAGCTCACAATTTCCCACGATCAGTTTTTGGGTCTGCTTCACAGAAAAGATCATGATCAATATACATCAATAGTTTTGATATGTGACAGGGAGTGACTCTCCCCTCACCCTTGACAAAATTCTAGCTGGGCATCTATGGAAAACATACATTAGAAAAGTACCTCATGCAGAAAAAGATCCTTGGCTTCAATAAAAGGAGCTCTGAAGACCTTTGAGGGGAAAGTAAAACAACATCACTTTCAAAATAACTCACAAGGCACACTCTGAGTTTTGTCGCAAGTACAGCCAACAAACAGTTTGTTACTACCATATCAAGCTTTACATATGACATGAAGAATAAATGTTGTGATTAGGCTGATAAGGTTAAAACATGTTGCACCCAGTTAGGTACATGGGAGTTCCCACAGGGAAAACGCACCTATTCCCCTGGCTTCAATTCTTCTTGTTTACATACGTTGTTTTCTTTCCAGACAATTCAATCTTTTTTTTTTTTTTTTTAATTTTTTAAACAATTTTATTTACAAGACGATCACTTACACTACTTACAGCATTAATTACACTTACATTGTACTTGCTACTAACACTACTGATACTCATACTTACACAAATTATGCATACACTACATTACGATACATGTATTACAATACTATTAACATTAATTTAATTTACGGTTGGCGTGTTTACAAAGTTCTTTTCAATTAAAAGACAATCACAAGTAAACATACAGGTCTCAAAAATGAAATTAAGTATAAGTCTAACCTAAAAACAACAGCAGTATGAAAAATTAAAGTAAAAAAGCCCACGTGCGATAAAATTTTGGAAGTTCTTTTTTTGCGGTCGCGATCTCTTTTAGGATTTCAAGTTTTCCCATGATGAACAGTAGGAAGATTTGAAAATCTAAGATGTCTCCGCAAAGGCTTGTGCAGAAAATGTGATATTTGGCTAACAATAGGCAATAATTTAGGACTTGCCAATGCTTTGTCCTATAATGCCAGCCATAGAGTATAGACTTGTGGATAACGTTATTGTTTCATTTGTTTTTTGGTGCCACCAGTCTTGAAACAGAATCCAGAAGTTGAGTATAACAAAGGTTAACATCACTGTCAGATTAAATGGGTATGTCACCTATTTTGTCTCAAAAAAGTAACGTACACTTCAGAATCAAGAAGCTGGTGAAAACACTGCCTCCTCTTGCTTCTAGAGAACTATAAATTACATTAAGCCTCATAAAGATCAGAGCAGAGGAGTCAAACTCAACAAAGAATATCTGAGTGGGGTAGGAGTATGCATTATGGAGGACTGGGCTGAGTCATATTTCTTAACCCTTTAACTCCCAGAAGTGATTAACACAAAACTTCTCCCTACAATATCCATACATTTTTCAGCAAACAGGTAATGAGAATATTCAAACTTATCAGGTAGAAGCTGCTATCTTGATTTAGCACCAAGTTCTCATAACTAATTTACAAGGAAATATATATCAGCTACAGGGGAGAATTAACAATCAGATCATGGGAGGTAAAGGGTTAAGTCTAACAAAATCACTTAATTGCAACATATGCAAATTAAAGAAAATATTACCTTGATAATCATATTCAAATCTCTGATGTATTGTGCTTCAGCAATCATCATTTCACGTACAACTTCATCATAGGTCAGAGCTGCCTGACTGCTCAATGTCTGTCATACAAAATAATAACTTTGATAATTAGTCACCAAAACAATGTGAACAAAAGCTATCACAATGACAATTGTAATCACAGATTGGCTGGCTGGCTGACCCAATGACCTAAAGTCCTCACTCACCCACTAAATAACTGACTCACAGAAAGAATACCTGACTGACTCACTGGCTCCTTGAATGACTGATTGTCTGACTATTGACATTCTGACTGTCTGGCTGACTGACTGACTGTATAACTGATTATTAATTTGACGAACCGTCTGACTGTGAATATCAATACAATACTTTATTTCAAAATAATCAGTATTTTTAATAACAAGCCCTGTTATTAACCCTTAAACTTCCAGAAGTGGTTAACATGTAACTTCTCCCTTTAATATCCATACATTATTCAGCAAACAGATAATGAGAATACTCAAACTTATCAGGTAGAAGTTGTTATCTTGATCTAACACTAAATTCTCATAATTCATTTATGAGGAAATGTGTAGCAGCTGGAGGGGAGAATTAACAATCAGATCTTGGGAGTTAAAGGGTTAAGAAAAAGGAAACCCAGAGGTTAACCTTATATTAAGGATCTCTGAAAAAAATAAAGGTATATAAAAAAAGAAAGAAATTTTACATCATGAAAGCAAGTTAATAAAAATAAATAAAAATCACAGAAATATCATTAAAAAAGTATCGAATGCCCAATCAATAAACATTCATGTGATTTTTAAATCTTATTTTAAACTTGTTGGTGTTTTGAATATCGTGGCAATTTATTACATTACTTGGAAGATCGTTCCAAAACTTGATTATTTTAACAAAGAAGGAATATTTATAACAATTTAATTTTGTGAGTTTGGTTTGCATCTTATATTGATGGTTAGATCTCATCTTAGTGCTCCTGCACAGTTCAAAATAATCATTGAACTTTAGACCATTAAGATTGGATACAATCTTATAGCACTCCACCAGGGATGGAAATTCCTTCTTTTGTTCTAAGGAGTTCCATTTTGTCTGTCTGTCTGTCTGATTGACTGACTGACTGATTGACTGCCTGACTGACAGACTAACTTGCCCACTTGCTGATTCATTGCCTAACTACTAGCTAGTTGGCTGACTGCGTAAAAGTTGACTGATCGCCATGCTAATTAATCAACTGAATTCCTCACCTATTAATGTTGGGATAAAAAAAAATCACTCTACCTTTATCAAAAAGAGAGTTGGAATTATCAAGGAAAGAGTGAAGGCTGCCAATTGCTTTTTTCTTTTTACTAACCTCTGCTTCCACTGATGTCTCCACATCATCAGGATGAAACATGTCCATCAACACCTATCAAAAAAAATATAAAATGCATCAGGTTACTGAGTGCACAAGTTGGATTACAACCCTCTCATAGATATGAAACTGCAGTTTGTTGGGGCACCTTATGATGCTAAAAGAGACCTGCCAAAAACACAACTTAGTAACCATAGCAACTAGTTCACAAAACCACCTGATGGCAGGTGTAATGCCCTGACCATATCATTGCCATCACATGAAAAAGGACTTCTATGCTTTCATTGCCAGAGTACAGTGCTTTATTTAATACCAATAAAAAATATTAACCAAGTTCAACAAATTAACAGTCAAATTCAGAGATCAAAAGCTTATCCTCACAGCCATTACAGAGGTGAACAAAAAGGTACAACTAACCTTGTCAGCAAACAGAGCCACCTTAATGTCTTGGCAAGTAATTTCAACATGCCTGATATTCTTCACATAGTTACCAGCAAGCTAAAATAAAAAAGGAAAAAAAACATATCATGATAAAAAAAATCTCTACTGTGAACCTAAAGCTCAAAACCTTTCTTTCTGCGAGTTTTCCCAATAAACAAGTAAACAAGCCTATCCTTTATGCAAAAACCCTTTATTTACCATAATATCAATTTTTTTTTCAATCAGATGAGTTATCACTCTATTTTGTAGGCCTAAAAATGCTTACACCTTTTGTGATGTTTGTCATAATGTCAAGACAATTCTTGCTTTGGTATTCTACGAAATATAATTTTCAGCTATTTACTGTGACTTTCCACAACCCATAAGAGCCCTGTATTTTGTATGTATTTGATTGGGAAGGATGACTTTGAACATTTCTTGCATCAAACATTGCATTCATCCAATACTTTGTCATGTATTTTCTATATATAATTCATAAGCCTTTCATATGTCTTTTGCAAAATAATATCTTTTTAATATGTGTCTAATCTCCTTGATATCATCTCTAGATTAACATTAACTATTCTTAACCCTTTAACTCTCATGAGTGACCAAGCCAGAATTTCTCCTTACAATATCATTACAGTATCAACCAGATAAGTGATGAGAATGAAGAAAAATATCAATTTGGGGATAATTAGTTGATCCAATACTAAATTCTCTGACCTAACATTATAAGAATTGTAGGGTTGACAGTAAGGAGAATGATAAATTTGATCTGGGAGTTAAAGGGTTAAATCATTTACCTTTAAAATATCAGCAGATATGTACTCCATAACAGCCACAATGTAAAGGCTTACTTGGGATTCCACCCTGAATCCAAGAATATCCTGCAGACCACAACAAAATTTCTTTGTCAGGGTGTTTAAGTACAGATGTTTTGAGATGTGGATGGCAGGTGGAAGTCAGGAGTTCTTGCCTATGACACTTACGCATAATTTTTCTAAGCACCATTTGGTTTTAAAGGATGAAACAAGGAAACTGCAACTAATGGGTTGAAGTCAAAGCAAATTAGAAGTAGTTGCAATCTTCTTCCAAGAAATGCACTGTGCCTACTTTGAAGTTCCTGAATACAAAAAAACTATTTTCCAATCCTAACGCTCTAATAACATCCTTCGAAACAACTCAAAACACAACATTTTATGGTAGAATCACTGCTAAGTTTCACGTAAGCAATAAGCAAAAAAATTAAGACAATAATTAGGATGATTTGGAACAATTTAAAGAGTGAACCGCAAAGTGAGTTTTCATTTTGAGTTGCAAACAATTACTCAGTTGGATGTTTTGTACATTGAGAAAAGTTAAAGTTTGTCTACAACTTTTTTAATCCAATAGTGGAAGAGGAAGTAGCGGTAGTGGAAGTTTATGTTTCTCACAAGAATAGCGGGGCACGCACAAACAATTGGACGAGCAGCTGAGGGTTAAGTTATTAAGATCTAACGACATGTTTTTACAAGATTAACATAAAAATCGATCGGACATCTTGAAAGTAATTCTTGCACTGCCACTAGCGCAAAGTATATCTCAAATAAACAATAAACAACTTGTTACTTGTACATAATCCAAAGTGAAAGAAAAATAGGAAGTTCTTCAAAGCGAATCCTAATAACGTTGTTGATCAATTCAATAAACGAAATGGATATACCAACATGACAGCTGCTTCAATTTTAACAAGGAAAACAAACTCCGCTCCTAGCACGAACTCAACATCACCTTGATTATAGCATGCACTTTGTCCGCCGGTAAAACCACAGGATTTCTCTTCCTTCCCCTTTCGATCGCAGCTTGCGCATCTGCGATTGCCCATTTATCAATCGGATGAGGGAATGAGCTCATAACTCGTTCTTCCACGTCGGCGACTGAACGTGGCTGGCAGGCGCACAGATGATTCATGAGTTGGACGATCAAAGACTCGATATACTCCAGCGCTTCGTCGTGTACTTTCAACGCAGGGTGAACCTGCGATTGCACCTAAAAGCGAATTTGAAAGGCCCAGTAAGTTATGACCCAATTTCAATCACGCCTCCTTGTCCTCAACCTACAAAATTCGCAAAGCAATTAACAATACCGTACAGTAACGTTCTAAGCCGAAAAACCGCATCCCTTGAATACGAACCTTGCTGTTCAGAGATCGAAGATCACATCTGCATGCAGGTTGAGGAGATCAATCAATCGGAATGTCACCCTTTTCCCCCGAAAGCGGAATGATGGGTCGAATTCTCGCACAACTGCTTACCTTTCTGAGCGCGGGTACAAACATTCCCTTCCATTTTGTGGCGGTTAAATTGTTTTCATACTCAGATATGGGCATGATATCCTGCAGTAATCACATATCATTCCAAACCACAGCTAACAGAGTCGATAATTGTAATCATTTCTTGAGATCCAATGAAATTTCTGACTGAGGCTTTTACAAAAGCGCGCACGTACTGAGAAGTCCGCTTCCTCTCGTTGCACCGGATTTGCGGCTTACATAATTGGCCTGACAGCCTAAGACTGCAAGATCCTGACAAGGGAAACCGACTTTTAAATGTTGATGACCTACTTCGGCAGTTTGTGGGCTGATATACAAAAGAGAGGAAGCAAGAATCGGAAATATTACATCAAAACAATGAATTCGGGATCAATCGATTGCAGTGGGCATGCATGTCTGAATAGCCCTTCGCGCATCAAATGATTGGCATTGCACGCTGACACTATACCATTGCGGACGGCTTTCGCTTTCCGGTAGTCTGAGAAGTCACAAGTTTTGGCAGAAGAAGACTGAAAGAATATAACTTTTTCGTCTTTGTTAGGCTGTTATAATGTCTTCTGAAAAATTCGAAGACCTTGAGGATGAACTTAAAAATCTCCATGAAGACATACGTTCGAAAATAAGCAACAAAATTCCAAGACTGACCGGAGGTAACCAGCCATTTGTCTAAATTTTCTCATTTTGTCCATCAATAAGAGTTTAATTTAGCGTCGCTATTGAGCTAAATTGAAGTTTCTCCTCTTAGAATCGCGGAAGAGCGCTATTCGGGAAGTCGAAAAGAACATTGAAGATGCAAACTTAATTGTGAGTAATTTATATGATTAATTTTGGAAAATGACTTAAGGTTTATGTTATGGCTGCTAGTGAATTTTCCGTGTGTCAGTTACACCAAGTGCAATATTGTTTTCATACCCATCCTTCGGAAAAAAATTTCGGTTTTTTTTTTTACCATTGTGTTTCTTCCTGTCTAGCAATTTCTACTGGATTTATTTCAATGATGAGATACACTACCTGTTGGAGAGGGGGGTAGGGTTAGGAACTAATATCTGTGCTAGTGGAGGCAATGTCAGAATTGAAAAGTAAGAGATCTCGTGGACATTTTGAGATGTTTAATTTAACATTTATCCAAAATTTGGTGAGTTAAACTGAGAATTCCACTGCAAACAGAGGAAATATGCAGAGACAAGTATAGAGATGGTGGATAGTGATGTTAGGTTGTAAAGGGTTAACACTTTACATCCTAACATCAGTATGAATATTCTCCATACTGTTTTCTATACATTTCCTAGGGTGTTTACAAGGAGAATTTGTTTATCAATCAAGAGAATATTTAGTTGGTGTTCATTTCATTTTTTTTCTCATGACCTTACCATGTGATGCAGGGGTTATACACTTGGGAGAAATTATATGCTAGTCACTCTAAGGGGTTAAAGGGTTTATTACACCCATTTTGAAATCACTGGTGGTCCCTGTTATCTGACTGGCTCTAATTGGTGCGATTTATTCACGAATCGCACCATTTTTTGCTTTAAATTGCATCATTTTCCCAGCCAATGAGGATGCTACACTGAAAACAAAACAACCAATCAGATTTCAAGGCTTGTTTAAAGTAACCAATGTAATTGCAGGAAAATGAAAGACAAAGAGTATCATCTGGCAAATTTTGCAACCTTTGTTTCCAAAACTCTTGTTTTTTTCCCCCCAAAAAATGGATGAATTTAATTTCAAACTAGCTCAGTACTGCATCAATAAAATATTTGAACTGACCAAGTCCTGTACTAGGGCAATTTCAAAATGGAAGTAATAAAGTGGTAATTGAACCTTGTGCCATGCAATTTTGGTCTGAAATCGTACTTGTGATTTCAAATCGAACTTGCACTGTGTGCTCATTCGATTTTGAAATCACATGTATGATTTCAGCCCAAATTGCACTCCACTCAGTTCAATTACCATTATTAATGTGCAGGACATTCTAAACTTTCCCCTGCTACCAAAAGACAGACAACTACCTAAGTTAGCTTCTTAAAAATGGTAAATGCCCTGAAATCCCTGCTATATAATAATGTTATATATGATTATTTATGGTTGAAATATATTGTATATTGATTTCAAGCCAATCATATTTTTTTCAGTTGGAAGAAATGGAAGAGGAAGCTGGAGTAGCCCCAGCCAGTTACAGAAATTCCATGATGTCCAGGATACGCAGCTATAGGAGAGATTTTGATAAACTTAGAAGAGATTTGGTAAGAATAGTTGTTCCCTGGATAAGTGTTTTAGCTAATTTTCCCTTGAAATGCAAGAAAGCATTTTTTATATTCATGACTTAAGAGACATGTGGTTTGTTGGTTAATAAGGTGACTGACTCTGTGTAAATCCTGGCCACTGTGTTGCGTTCATTTTAACAAGACAAAATTTTTCAAGAAATGTAATGGAATGTATTTTTTTTTATATTATTATAATTTATAATATAATTTGTTATTATATTGGCAGGGCAAACCCAAAGGACAGGGCAATGTGACTTTTGCAAGAGAGGAACTATTAGATGAGGATCCAATGGTATGTTAAGGCTGTATTGTCTCTATCCTGTAATTTTGGTATTGTCTATTCGGATCAAATGTGCTGATTAGTGTTTTACCATGCTAAAACTTGCTTTATTCTGTGGGTTTGAATAAGGCTCCTCAGAAAAGCAAAGTGAGACAAGGAACAGATATGCTGAACAGAGCCTCAGAAAGTATTGCAAGATCAACAAGGGTTGCTGTGGAGACTGGTAAGTTGAGTAACACTCAAAATTAGACCAAATAATAAATATATTAGGTGTTTTACCCTTGGTCCTACAGTTATCTGTGAATACAAACAGTTTCCATGGTGTCGATTGGATGACAGATATTGAAGAATATTTAGCAACTATGCAGCATTCTCCATCTAACTCTTTAACTCACAGAAGTGATTAATATGCACCTTCTCCCTTTGATAAATATACATTATCCAGCAAACAGGTAATGAGAATAATGAAGCTTATCAGATAAAAGTTGTTGTCTTGATCTAACAACAAATTATTGCAACTAATTTTCAAGGAAATTTGGAGTAGCTAAGGGATAATTGACAGTCAGATCTTTTTGTTTTTCTTTGGTGGGGGGTATTATCCTGTTTGTATATTATTCTCTTGTTGTTCCATTTCATAATGATTTTGGATATGAATTTTTGCACCATTTTGAGTAATATTGATTTGAGTTTTTAGTTTTTTTTTCTTGCTGCAAGGGTAATTATTTAATTTTTGATAATTATTTTATTGTTATTGTTGTTATTATTATTATTATTATTATTATTATTTCAATTATCATTATATGGAGATCTGTTTGTTGACAGGTCATCAGAGTTTGCATTAGACTCCATAACCACTCATTATAACTAAATTAGAAACTGTTCTCTGCAAACAGTCTTGGTTTTGTAAATGACCTAATTTTGTTTCTTTGATATAGGGGTGTGAGATTACCAAAAGGAAACGTGGCCTAATTCTTATTTTAATACTTGTTGCAGAACAAATTGGCGGTGAAATTATTGATGAACTTGGAGATCAGCGGGAATCTCTTGTTAGGACAAGAGACAGGGTAGGGATAACAGTTGAAGCACTGTGATCTGCCTATTCACAATATCACAGCATGGAAATTTTGCTCTCTATTGTGGCATCTTACTCCTCATTAATTTGGTCAAATTAATTTGGTTTAACATGGGTTTCAATAAAAGCCAGTTTGGGAGGTCTACCACCACTTGTAAGATCGCTCACTGTCTTCTGGTAAGCCTGTAAGCAGACCCTTGTGTTTGGGTATTGCCTTGCAACCCCTTTCCAAGCACAGCTACCAATTACACCAGTTCGCAGCCATCTATGAAAAAAATTAGGGAAACTCCCAGTATGAGGTGGCATAATTCTTGTGCTAAAGTTTAAAAAGAAGGAAAAACCTAGAGGATGTTGAATCATGAAAGAAAGAAATTCAAATCAGGGACTTGTAAGGTGAAGAAACAAGGCAGAGTAATACACTGAAATACAAAATGCTGTGTACTTAATAATGGTTAAAGGACCAAGTGGAGCCAATTCGATCTCTAATCATACAAGTGATTAACAAAATTGGAGGACTGTGAAGCGGGAGTCCAATTTGTTAATCATGAGTATGATTACAGACAGAATTGGATGAAAATAAGTCCTGTTACTAATTAATCATAACCATTTCAATTTCCAAAAAAAAAATACACCTAGAAAAAATATCTCCAGTGGAGACAATGTCTTAAGTGAAAAACTCCTCCATTTTGGGAGTTCCCCAGTTTTTCTTTGGATAAGTGATTGTTGCTATGGTTATTTTGATCATTTCTGTGATTGGTGGATTAGCTGAGTGGACTTAGTATGATTGGCTGCTTCGACTGTCCAATTACAGCCAACTGTCTGATTACACTGTCTAATTACAACTGTACAGAGTGATTAGTGAAAAATGAAGCTGCAAATGCACTGATAATATTTGAGGAATTTATAATGGTTATGATTAACATATAACTTATCACACTAGCATTAATGTTTGTGTTGTGCTCTTGTGCAAGACACTTTGTTCTCACAGTGCCTCTTTCCAACCAGGAGTATAAATGAGTACCAGTGTATTTTCAGGGAAGCCTGATGAAATGCAGGGGGTTAATCTTGTGATGGGCTGTTATATTATCCAGGGGAGGTACATGCGTAGTAATACTTCTAGTCACTTCATGCTACAGAAACAGGGATAACCTTCGGTTGGATGGGCCACATCTCTCTCTCACAACTCTTTAATAAACATCTGGAGACAATCTTTCAGCAAGGGAACATAAACATACCAATTAGGGATCAAAACTGTTGTTTGCACAAGCTAACTGCATGACTGACTTGTAGTTTCTATTTTAATTTGTCAGCTCAAGGATGTTGATCAGGACTTAGGAAAAAGCAGAAGAATTTTGAATAGTATGGCAATCAGGTAAGGAGATTTTTGGGTATGATTGATTAGCACTCACATGATCTGTGATAGAGATGGTAGGTACCTTGAAATTAAAGGGGCAGGAATTCCTAAGAAGGTTTTAAATTTGAAAAATAGGGTAGGATTTTTGAAAACATAAACAACAAAATGACAACTTTTCAGTGGTATTTTAAACAGTAAAGGGCGAAGATAATATGTAAGGAGAATGCATACAGAGCACATTAAAGAGACCTTTGCAAAATTGTATCACATGACCTAAACTTGTCAATCAGTTGTATTAACCCTTAAGCTCTCATGAGTGATCAACATGGAATTTCTCCTGACAATACCAATTGATTTAATGTCAAACAGGTAAGTGATGACAATAAAGAAAATATCAATAAGGGGACTATTAGTTGATCAAATACCAAATTCTCAAAACTCACATTATAAGAGTTGTATAGCAGACAGAAAGGAGAATTATTAATGAGATCTTGGGGCTAAAAGAGTCAAGTAAATGCTGTAAATGTGGAGAGGGTGATGGAATCAAACCAATGTTAAGCCCTTTTGCATTTACATGTAAATATGAGGTTCAAGGGCAGTTTTGAGGTTTAAAAATGTTTAATATGTAAAAGTTTATGTGTTAAAGTTGTCCTCGCAAGTGTTATCAAGTGCCTAAAAACTGTAAATCTTTCTGATTTCCTCTACACTCTTTCCACTGCTGAAATCAATTTATAGATATAAACTTTCATTGTAACAGTCAACTTTTGCTCCAAGCCTCATACTCCCTTACTTCAAAGCATGTTATCATTAAAATGTGAAAACATTTCAGATGGTTTTTTTTCTTTTCTAGAATTGCTACAAACAAGTTGATCCTGTTATGTATCATTATTGTTGAATTGGCCATCCTTGGAGCTGTGGTGTACATAAGATTTTTTAAGAAAAAGAAAAATTAACATTTCATTAATATTTACACACTGTGCCTCACATTCATTTTACAAACTAATGGTCAATTATTTTTCCAGTCCTAACAATGTATATATCAAATCCATATCTTGGTAAATCAAAACTTGCATCAATCAATCAAAATGAGTGTGATGTACAAATTACATAAGGAATCCTGCATCAGCCAAGTTAATGAAACAGAACAATTGAGTTGATTTTTTAATTGTAATTATGATAAAAAAGGTTCCTTTCAGTTGGAGAGGAGGCTATTGCTCGAGTTAAAATTTTTGTGTAGTGAACAATCATTCAAGCATTGCTGATCTGTTACATCATAAACACAACAAACGAGCTGTGTTAGAAGATCCTCTCTGTATCTTTTGAGTAGTCTCTGGCAAAATGACAAATAACCTTCCTGGTGAAGGAAACCTTGAACAATTTGGTTTTTTAGGGTAAAAATACACACTAGAAAAGAAGGAAAGAACATGAAAATGAATTAGGAAAAGGCAGGTTAAGGATGGAACAGATTGACATGATCTTAGAATGATCCAATGTAAAGAAATGCTTTAAGTTTAACATATCTCTCCTAAATCACTATCATGAGTTTCTATGTAATTTTGAATAGTATGTAATTCAAACAAAGCCATGCTAGGAAATCTTCTGGAGATAGACACAAATTCATGACTTATTAGACGCACTTGGCAATGGGTAGAAATAAATTTTAATAGGAATGTCCTTTTTTGGATGTTAATAAAGAGATTAACTAAAAACAATTCACATTTCTTTACCTACAACTCTGAAATTCTGGGAGGCCATGATTGAAATGGAGATCTCCAAAGTAATGAATATATTGAAACAAATGGTTATAGGAAGTCAGCAACAGTTAATGCAAATAGCAGTAGAAGTGGAGAGATATACTTTTTTTCTTCATTAGTTTGTAACTAAAGTTTGGTTAGAACTATCCGTATTGAAAATAAAAGATAATAATAAAGACTAAAGAATCTTTCTTTAAAATACTTCACAGAACTTCTTTTACTTTTACTCCAAAATTCTTGTGCTCGTCTCATGGACAGTGGTCATCTTTGAGATGGGCATGACAAACCCCACCATAAAAAGAGAGGGAAAGGGAAGATGAGCAGAACTCTTTCCTTTGACCAAAAAAAAGTCATTATCCAATGGGTACAAACAAAATTGATGCAGGCATTGTTAGTTTACTATTGGGAAAGAAGTAATCAAATGAGCGGAGCTCTTAAATATCAAAACACCATTGTCTCACTATACAGTGACATTAAAATTCTCTCTCAGTCACATCTGATGCAGGAATTCAAGCCAGGAAACGTATGCTCATCTTTGAGTTCATGTCTACATTTTCCAGTACCTAAAAAAGACAGCAAATTAACCCTTTTACTTCATGAGTGACCAAGGTGGAATTTCTCCTCACAATATAATAAATGAGATTAAATGCACGCTCTCATTGGTCTAAAAGTTTGTCAGGGTATGAAAACACAGTTGTAACATTTTAAATTATGATTTTGTGCTTACCAAGCACTAGAAGCTTATTCTTTGCCTAAAATATTAACCTCAATTAAACACTCAGGGTTGAAAGAATTCCAAAAGTTATGAAAACCCTTGCTGCACCTGAGGTTTGAGTAACTACAGCAAATTCTCCCACCCATTTCCTGTTAAGACAAGATGTGTGTTACAATGCCTTTCAGCTGTTTGCTAGTTTCCAATCTCTCAATTGGAAAATTTATGGGTGTGTTTGCCACACTGTGTACACAAAAAAGTCCTTTTTGACTATTACTTATCAAGTATTCACAATGTGCTGAGTACACAATGTAGTGTACCATTTTTGGCCCACAGGAAAGCTTTGAACAGCACTATTTAAAGGTAAATCATAAGATATTCACTTACTCTCTTCAGTTCCTCAAATGATATGACACCATCTTTATCTAAATCTGCATCACTTATTGCGCGGTCAGCGATCCCACCAAGTTGTTCATCGCTGATATTTCTGCCAACCATCATGTGAAGGACCTTGAAAATAACAATCACCAGCTCATGTAAATATTCATCCATGACTGAGTTGATGACATCTGTTTGGATTGTCAAAAGCTCTGACACTGATTACCACAAACAACAGTCCTTTTTGGGATTGCCTTCACTTTGAGGAACTTAACCCTTCACATCCTAACACTGTTTTCTTCATGTTTCCTTTGGTACTGACTGGCAGAATTTGTTTGACAATCAGGAGTTTCCCATGATCATTTCTAATTTTATTTATTTATTTAATATTTATTTATTTATTCATTTATTTATTTGATTCAAGGGTGATACCACATGGAGAAATTAGAAACCAATCATTCATGGGGGTTTAAGTGCTAAAGCATTGTTGCAACTGTCAAGAGCACATCATCTATAGCTCAAATCATCTACAGCCTACACCTTTGATCTACAACCTTTGTAACTTGAAACAACTGAAAATGGGACTGGCAAAACAAATTCTTTCAAATATAAAACCTTCCATTACAACCTTAGAGGCATTGGTCAAACTTTTGATTATAAATTGCCTTTGTGGTGAGGGGTGTAGCTGGCTTTTACACTTGTTCCCTTGGAAAGTTCAAATTTTGTTTCAACATAGGCAAGAGTCATGTTATAAAAGTCAAACAGGCCGAAAAAGAATGCAGGCCCTGGATGCTATGCTCTTAGTGTTTTATAATTGTTAAAAAATACATCCCTGTACCTGCATGAGATCATCTTTGGATATTTTCCCATCATTGTCCAAATCATAGATCTTGAAGGTAACTGTAAAGTGAAAAATAATACAAAACTAAGTGCAAATCAAAGTTTTCATTTGATTTTTAAACACCATCTTAACCATAAGTGTCTGATAAAGTTATTACAGCAACACAATGTTGAGAGAGTAAGCTCACTCTTAAATTATGTGCAGAGCCAGAGGGCTCTTTTGGGCAAGACCTTTATGCAGATTGAATCACTGCGACAGTCCTTGTTTAGAAACTGTGTCTCATTCACAGGAAGGTTAGTCTGCATCTTTTGAATAACTCAACATTTTCAGTTCAGGATGCGTTGAATTTTAAATTTCTCAGTGAAAACCTTGTTACATGCGCTGATGTAAAAAGCTGATACTTAACAAAACAAAAACAAAAACATACAAATTAACACACTCCATCAATATTTTACTTTTTGCAAATGAACTTGACTAAAGAAAAGACATTTCACATGTATCTTCAGGTAAATATAACCCAACATACATTGAAGTTTTTTCTCTCTGGTGTTAAGAGGGTTTTCCTTCGATGGTTCATATGGTCTGAAATGCGCTAAGGTTCTAACAAACTGTCTGAAGTTACAAGTTTCTTCTCCGCTTTCCCTAAGAAAAAAAAAAAAATGTAATTATTGTATTTAGCAGATAGATTTACCTTTTGAGTACGTTTTCTCAATGATAATGTAAATGAAACAATTTTGCACTTCTGATTGGCTGAAAACAAGTGCATTCTCATGTAACACTAGTGAAAACTTTTAACACAAGTGCAAATTACAAATGGTACCTACACACTTTTAAAATTTTGTCTGTCTTGACTTTCTGTAACTTTTTTTCATGTAGATAATTAACAACATGAATTATCTTGCAATTTGGCATGTCTATAAATTTTTCAAAGACTACATACTGCACTTACCCTGTAGGCTTGTGCAATTTTTTTATCTTTGAATAAATGTCTATTACAGTTTTTCAATCAGATTAAACCATTCTTTCCTGTTCACTGAGCAAGTGACTTACTGCCCTGTTCAAACAGTCAAATAGTTGATGATAGTCCATAATAGTTTCAACTGTTATTCACTATCATTGACTAGCATGTTTGCATCCAAATGGTTCATGATGGTGGACGATTTTTGACAAAAGAAGTTGAAGATACTGAAGCCAACCAGGAGATGACCAGAATGAAATTTGAGACATTCTGCAAAATTTTGACAGCTTTTGGTCATTTAGCATTTGCTATTTCAATTTGAGACTGTCTTTAGCAAAACTGCTGACCAAAAAAACTATCATTTAGTATTGTTCCCTTGATAAAACTGCAAAACAATCATCAACTATCATGTCAGATTTGAACTTGTCCAACCTACATGATAGTTGATGATAATGCATGATAGTATTGTGATCAAATGTGCATGAGAGTTAGAACTATCATAAACTAACATGACCATTTGAATGGAGCTTAAGTCTTTACTTAATGTTGGGTCATGACACATGCACTGTGCTATTAGTGCTCAAATTAGGCTGGTGATAACCAATCCCATTAAGAATGTTTTTACAGTATTGATTACATGGCTTACACCATTAGCCAGAACAAGACATTAACTTTGATATCTGCTTACAGTTTCAAAGAGAGAACTTACTTGCTTTCTTCATTCATGAAGAAGGCATCAATAATCCGTTCACCGATTGGATTGATGGCCAACTCAGGTATGCGCATAAAATCTTCACGACTGTTAATCAAACAGAAAACATTTTATTGTATCAATCTTGATGTTCCTCGATTTCAGGACCTGAACGATTAACAAAATCCATGATCAGAAATCTAATACATCAATTGATTTTAATCTATGCATGTTAGTAAATTGTTATTGACTGCTATTGGCTAATCAATGAACGATTGATAATCACATGAAAGTAGTTTGTGTTTATCGAATATCGTCAACTAGACAGAAAAGGGAAATTATTTCCCTCCTCAAAACATCCTAATTGCTTTCAGCTTTTGCGTCAGGAGAGTGATCGCTCGGCCTTAAGATTGTGTGTAAATGCCATTTCCGGTCAAAAACCTGAATAGACTTCAAATGCAAGTTACTTGAAATCAAATCAAATCGAAGTTCTTGAAATTAGGGTTTTACAATAAAAAATGATCGATTTCAATTGATTTTCCATAATAATTGATAATTGATGAGAATTGAAAATTACAGCAACTTTTTCGTTCGATTGTTCATCGTTTATCAATATCAATCGATTAATTGTTATCGATTGTCATCGATTGTTCAGGTCCTGCTGAGTTACAGCTGATTTTCATCTCTATGCGCAAAAACGAACGGTTCTAAATCTACACATTTAACCAACCTTATCGTGCCTTTTGTTGCTTTATCAAGACTTTTGAATCTACTGTAGAGTCTTCTTATTTGATTTGGAGAAACTAAGGACACAACGATCAAACATTCGTTTAGATGATAACTTGTAGTGAAAAACGATTTAAAAAGTGTACATCCCAAGGGAGAGCACTATGCATTTGCCATTTGCCAGCAAAATTCTTTCAACTTACAACCAGTCTCATTGTGCAGTTCCTCAATATCTTCTTCATGCAAAAGTATGGAAGATTTTAAGCCCATAATGAAGCTTTCTTCTCGCTGAAAGTTGATTTTTCGCCTTAAAACATGCCAAATTATGGCAACCTAATCGCAGCGCTGGGTAGCCTTACCTACCTGTCTACATGGCCACTAAGCTAATAAAGAGTGCAAATTTCAATACTCTCTGGAGTAGGAATGAAGGTGACTAATTAAAATCAGCAAGCTTTTTCATAAAACAGAACTGCTTGTGCCTTGATTAAAGAAAATGATCTTTAATAAATTTAAATAGAAGCATTTTCGTCACGATTTTAGTAGATCTCGGGACATATGAATGAATCCTCGAAGAAAATTATCTTCCCTGCCGTCCCCTCTGCAGTTTTTCAAAGAAAACGAGGAGACTTGGAACGAGGTCAAATGAAAAGTGTGCTGGAGGGTGTACAGTTTACACAATCAGGTGCGCTCTGATGAACTCTCCTTGTAATGAATGTGACGAGAATTGTACATCGGTGGCGTCTACGACCTATCGTGGCAAAGAAAATTGTCAGATTGTGTCACTCAGGGAAAAAACAGGAGCTATTTTTAATAGGGGTTCCCTTTTCAGGCGGACAGGTAAATAAAATGTTTTTGTTTAACTAGTAAACGTTTATAGTTTATTTATGGGATTACGGCGATATCCATTATTTAATATATACTTGACTGTTTTTTAAAATAAAGCAGTCCCGCAGTGTGAAAACTAAAGCAGTTTTGTTTTCCTTTTTCACCGTCGTTTCCAGTGTCATCAAAAAATCTACGCCTCAGCGGCATCAAAATTTGCGCACGTGATAAAATAAGGCGAACAGTAAACGAATTTTTTCCACTTGAAAACCTTCCGACCAAGGAAATATAACAGGTGATCCGTCACTAAGATGACCTGTGACATATGAAGTTTTTCAGAAGTTAGGAAGTTGAAGAGTAAAGTCGTATTTCAGCGTATATACCATTAAGATCGTGTGGTATATTTATGTCTAGATGGTTTGCCCTGTAGAATGCATTCGAAAGGTCCGTTCAGCCCAAAGGAAAGTCAATGATATTTTTTTTTAGAAGGCATAGTAACCTCCCCTGCAGTACCTCCCAGAAGGGTAGCGAAGTAGGGTTCTGATCACGTTTCGCGTACGAAATCTAGAAAAATTCACACATCGCGTGTACATTAAACAGTATTTCAAGCGTCACAAAATTTTAAAGGGAAAACTTCAAATCTTACCTTACTTTTCCTTTCTGTAAAAATTATATGTCGCGTATCTATTTTGGGCTTGATCACGGATCACATATAAACCATTTGCCACCCTCTCCCAGCTAAATTTTCCCTAGTACTGCCTAGTATTCACTTCCAACCACTCAACTAATTAAGTTGTTGGGAGCAACTGCAGAATACCCTGCCACTTTGGTCCAACTCATTTACATGCGTCGGGAGGCTTTGAAGATAGAGGCATAACACAAAACACGTTATTCCTATTCAATGACATTTAAATGGGTGGCGGGGTATTCTGCAGTTAAGCCAAGAACAAATCCCAGAAATTTTTTTCTAATTATTTCCCTCCACCCAACCACCCTAATTTGCAGCACTGTCAAACAATACCTGATTAAAGTATGTAGTGATCATAACAAATAATGCTTTGCATGTTTGAATATCTCTCTCAAGATTTTAATGTCATTGACGAGTCAGGCAATACAGGTGATGCGAGGAATGGCTGAATTTTAGAATTAATGTTATGTCATTGAATAAGTATAATGTTTATTGTGTTATACCTCAATCTTCAAAGCCTCCTAACACATGTAAATGAGGTGGACCAAAGTGGCAGGGTATTCTGCAGTTGCTCCTTTTTCTTAAACAGGCTAACTGTAATTTGCAAAACAAAACGAAACAAAACAAAATGAAACAAAACAAAAGGAAAATCTGTAATTTGCTTGGAGTGGCTTAAATTGAGTTTTTGTTGTGAGAATGTCTGTGTATATTCCCTCAGTTGTGTAATAACATGGCAATGTGGAATTCATTAAATCACAAAAAAGGGTCATAAAAGAGCCAGCATCAGAATTATTACTAAATGTTTTCCTATCATTAATATGCCAGAACCTTGCAATAATCTGATTAAAGAAAATGTAATCATGAGTTTTATACTTAGCGAGCACTCTCCCAGTTGGATTTTCAAAGAGGAGTTGTGGAATCTTACAATTAAGTCTCAGATTTAACCATTTGCTACCCAGTTACATCCCTGTAGTTCAGCTGGTAGAGTATGATCCAGCTGCACCTTTAGAATTTCTGATCTTCAAATCCTCATGCATATCAAAAACTACTCTTGTGAAAAAACATTACATAAACAGCATCTCTAAAGATAAAGATGTGTCTTTTTCCGTTGTCTTTTTTTAGCCTAGGAAGGGTGTTGAAGAAGGACCAGTCCGCTTGAGGAAACAAGGCTTAGTTTGCAAAATAGAGAAATTAGGTAAAATTGACCTCTTGGAACTTTTAATTGAAAAACACTTGAGAGTTTAGTGACCAAATTACCAACATTTTTGCACATTGTTTAACTCTCAGGCTACAAAATAACAGATTTTGGAGAGATGACTGTACCACATATTGAAAACCACAACATTTCAAGAGAGAGGGTGAAAAACTCAGTAGAATGTGGAACTGTTGCAAAAAAGGTGGGTGATAATTTAACACAGTACCTCCATTTATATGCATCATAATCTAAACCCATTATTGGTGAAAAACAAAAAACCTCATGCCAATGCTACATTATTTGAGATAACACAGTATTCCACAGTTAAGGTACAGGGTTTTTTCCCAAAAAGAATTGTAGAAGTAGAAGATAATATGTCTGAGTTAAAAATGATTTGGTTTTATCAACTGAGTTGAGTTAGATTGTAAATTGGCCATGACCATTTATTTCACTTCAGCAACTCTTTATGGTGGCCAATTTATATTTATTGTCAATTCAGTTGTTAAAACCAAATTACTTTGGAATACTCTTCACTGACAAAGCACTATGGCTTCTTTAGAAACCTACTCCCTTCATTCATTTGAATTAAAAAAGGTAGCTGAAGTTGTAAAGTTGAAACAAGAGAGCTCTGCAAAGTATATAGCCAAAGAATCTCTGTTTTTGACTTAAGTCTGGGGTATAGTTTACAACGAGGATTAAGTTCCTCCCTTCTATAACCCTTTTTTAATAATAATATGTTATTTGTTATTATTTAAATAAAGTTGTCATAAATAAAGTGCAAGGACTTAAGTCAAATATAAAGCATTATGAACATTTCAAAATCTATTTTGAATCTGCAAATTTTAAATGACTATGATTGTGCGAATATGTTCATTGATTCCTTTGTCTGCCAGCTTGCCCAAGAAATAGCAAAAGCTACACAGGAAGGGAAGCTTTCTCTCACAATAGGAGGAGATCACAGGTAGCCCAACAAAATCTCACTATTTTAAGTATTCTCTATTCCATTGGTATTATATCATAATTTTGAAGTTAATTTTATCTATCTACTGTTTTCGGAGACACAGTGATTTACTTGTTTGTGTTAAACCTGTTGATACATGGTTTTTGTTATGTGAATGGTTCAAAAATTTAAAATTGCAAGTACAGGTGAAAGTGGAAGACTGCTGAATAACACCCTTGTTATGCAAGCAGTCTCGGAAGGGTTGAGTTACTCTTTGGAATCTCTTTGAAGTTAATCCTTTACACCCTAACATCTGAATAGATATTCTCCATACTATTCTCCATTCATTTCCTGTGGTACTGACAAGGAGAGTTTGTTTGACAATCAAGAAGTTGTTTCATTGGTAACCTTTTCTCGCTTCTTTTATTCTCATCATGTTAAGAATTGATTTTTAATTTCAAATTTTACCCCAAAGAGTGATGAGCATCTAATTTCTCCCAACAGTTTCACTCTGGAATTAAACTTTAAGGTTATAAGAATAAAGGAAATTATTGCAAACTCAAGAAGTTCCTGATTGTTAGACAAACTTTCCTTGTAAGTCACATAGGAAATTAACAGAGAACTTACCGTATGGAGAGTCTGCATACTGATGTGAGAGTGTAAAGGGTTAAGAGTTGTACAACTGCCAGGCATTATTTTGAATTCATGATTATTCACACTTGGTATATTTTCCTGCTTAGTTTTCGTGTGTTTTGTCTCTACAGCATAGCAGTTGGTTCAGTTTTTGGCCATGCATCTGTTACAAGAAACCTAGGTTTACTCTGGGTTAGTTAATATTTTACTTTGCAGTGAGCAATGTTTTAAGTTATACTTAGCCTCCTTATTTTTATCTGATGTCCTCTGTGCAATAATCTCTTTAAAGGCAACCGAACTTAGCTTAATAGTATGTATACATGCTGGCAAGTAGTTTGTGTCTAATTTGGTGTAAGGATATCAGCTCTATATCAGCTTTAGTTGTAAAACATCTCTCATGTATATTTGAAATAACATACTGTGTTCCTTGAATAAGTGCCCATGCTCTGATGTGCAGCCTTCCCTGAATAAGCACCCACTATAATGTCAAATGAGCACCCCCCCACTCCTCCCTCACTTTCTTTGAAGAATATAAGGATCAAGAGCCCTCTTTTTCACTGAATTTTAATGAGGTACCTGTGCACTAATTTGAAGAAATATGGTATTTATATTTTTCTAAATGCTTTGTAATTACCAGTATATTGTAGTTGTTCTTTGTACTTGAGCTTGCCTTGTACTTTAAATTCGAAAATGTTTCATTGGTAATATCTGTTTCTTGATTTCCCATTTCAGGTTGATGCTCACATGGATATTAACAGTCCAGCTACTACTAAAACTGGAAATATTCATGGAATGCCCCTCTCCATGTTAATCAAGGGCATTCCAGAGGTATAGCTGACCTTTTAAATTTGCTACCAAGATACTCAAGGGTGTAGCTAGGGGAGGGTCCTGGGTTGCCTGTGACCCCCCTTTGTAAGCCTTTTTTGTCACATTGTGTGAATCAGGGCATGATGAGTACCCTCTGTCTGACACAGTGTGACTCTCCCTTTTGAAAAATTCCTAGTTACGCCCCTGATAATCTGTATACGGATAGCAATATAGAAAAGCACACACTTGTGTTGCATTTCTAAAAAACATCTAAATTGTGTGAATCTCAGAAAACTGTGTACACCAGAGTTATTTCAGTCTTTAATGTTATTTTGTCTAAGAGAAAAAAACCAATTAGTGGGTCTCAGTAACTTAATGGGCCTATGTAGCTGTTCTGATTTCATTCAAGATGGGGGTTTCGAAAGGTTTGAAAATTATACAATAAAACTATCAGCTAGAGAAATGAAATGGACTGGTAAGGTTGCTAGAAGCTGTTTCTCTATTCTTAAAATTTTTATTTAAATACAGCTTTGGGTCTGTTAAATTACAGGTACTTTCGAGATTTTAATGGGCTCCAAGTGTGAGCAAACTTACAAAGTGTAAGAAGTCACAGTATAAGTTAGTGGTGTTTTAGTTTGCTCACATGTTTTGATCTCTGATGGGATTATTTATGACACAATGAACATTGCACAAATATTTTAGATGTTTATGGTTTTCTGAGTCATGACACTAAGCAGTGGTCAGTTTCCAGGTTGAATTAATTCCATATCTAAGATTAAGATAAGCTAGCTCAGTAATGAAATCATCCCCCCCCCCATGACAATTTCTAAAGGTATGAAGAAAAAAAACAATGGAAAAGTCAGAGGCAGCAGAATGATATTTGTTGTATCTCAAATTCACATTTAGTACAAATCACTTTAAATTTGTTCGATCTTTATTTTGCAGTTTCCTTCCCTTCCTGGATATGAATGGTGTTCTCCATGGTAAATTATTGCTGCTGCTGAATGTTTGTTCACTCCAAGCTTTTTCCATATGATTCATTTGTAGGAGTGTAGTGTGACTCAGTGAGGGAAAGATAGTACCTAATTCTATTTATATATGGCTTGTGCAATGCTCTTGGCCAGTGGAAACCATTGAATATTAAGCAATGTAGGATACAGAGTTGAGGAAATATTCAATAATTTTCAGATGGCATTGAAATTTGAAATCCTAACCTTTTCCTAACTGTATCAAATTTTTATTTTGAAAACTTATCAATGAATATGATTATAATCCAGTATATCCCTATTTTATGGTTCAGTTATTTATAAACAATGATTTTGAAAGTGTTAAAAAGTAGAATTATCAATATCCTGAGAAGGCTTTGGACTGCAATCTCTTTGCAGTCTTTAGTATAACTGTAAGTTACACAGAGCAAATTGGTTATTGTTCATTTCCTAATAGGGCGAGCCTCAAGTTCAAATGACCTTTTTTTTCCACTTTTTAGTTTGTCTCCAAAGGATATTGCTTACATTGGACTCAGAGATGTTGAACCCCAAGAAAGGTAATTATGTGTACCAAAAAAGTTAACCATTTTACCCCTAATTGATGATATATTCCATGATATTGGAAATGAGGGGTTAATGTGCAGTCTATGCAGTCAAGTATTTACAGCAGAGTTGTATGATCATTTTTCTTTCCATGTTCATTTGATACCTTTGATATATTATGATTCTAGGGACATCTGCAAACATTTGGGGATTGCTGCGTACACCATTGATGATGTTGACAAAGATGGAATTGGAGTCATAATTGAAAAAGCTCTGGAAAAAATCAATCCCAAGTATGTTGATAAATATTTCATTCAAAAAAATTTACTTAACCCTTTAACTCTCAGATCAAATTTGTAAGTCTCCTTACTGTCAATTATACAATTCTATAAGGTTAAATCAGAGAATTTAGTGACGGATCAATCAATTATTCCCAAATTGATATTTTTCTTTATTCTCAGCACTTATCTGGTTGATATTGTATTGATATTGTAAGGAGAAATTCTGTCTTGGTCACTTATGGGAGTTAAAGGGTTAATGTTATGTAGCAATGCAAAGACATTTCAACATTTATTGCATGCTATTTCAGCCAAAGGTTTTTTCCTAGAGCATAGGGAAAAATAAGTATTCTTAAGACCCCAACCTGAGGAAATAGTTGTGACCATAGTGAGTTATTAGTCATCACATTGTATTTTGGTACATAATGTCCATGGTGAAACCCTCAGGATAGCATTATTGGGTTTTGTTTGTAAGAAAGACAATTCAAATTCTCACAGCACTCCTTCCCCTCTTAGGAATATATTAGATGTCAGCAAATGTTAAGGAAACTTGGCATGATCAATTGCTGGCAAAGTGGAGGGGGGTGTGGGTTTTTTTTGCCATGGAATAGAATCCTTTCTTAACCCTTTAACTCCCATTAGTGACCAAGTCAGAATTTCTCCTTACTGTATCAATACAATATCACGCAGACAAGTGATGAGAATAACAAAAAATTTCAATTATAGGATTACTAATTGATCCAATACCAAATTCTCCAAACTAACATTATGAGAATCATTTGGTAGACAATAAGAAGAATTACTAATGAGGTCTTGAGAGTTAAAGGGTTAAGAAGGAGTAACCATACCTCCTGTTCCTTTGTGTAGAGAAGAACATTTAGATAAGTTTCAGTAGAGGGCCAAAAGGTTTAATCCTTTACATCAGTATGCATATTCTCCATACTGTTTCCTATACATTTACTGGGATACTTACAGGAAGAATTTGTCCAGCAATTAAAAGCTTTTTCAGAGGCGATTATTTCCTTAATTTTTGTGACCTTTTTGTTAATTTAGTGGTGTTACTGCGAGGTGAGAATAGATGTTAGTTGCTCTTGAAAGCTAAGGCTTTGAAATAGCAGTAATTTCGTTATTTTTGTTGCTGTTTCATTAGTGGCAATCGTCCAATTCATGTAAGTTATGATATTGATTCCTTGGATCCAAAAGAGACTCCAAGCACAGGAACACCAGGTGGGTGTTTTGCTTCATTCAAAGTGTAAATAAACTTTATTTTTTCCTGAAAAAAGGTGATCTTGTTGTTTGTAACTCATGAGGCAAGGAACCTCTTTTTTTTTTCAGTGAGAGGAGGCCTCACACTGGATGAAGGAATTTACATTGCTCAGATTGTGGCACAATCAGGTATGTTTGTGATAAATATAATGTTAATAAAGACTACAGTCATCCTCAGTATTGGAAGATGTTGGGAATGAAGTGCAATCATCTTAAGCAAGTAATTCTGGAGCAGGTCCTGGTTGGTCAAAAGGTGGATGACACTATTTGCTGGATAAATCTCTATTCAGTGGGTAGCACAGAACATTAACATTTATCCACTGGATAGGGACTTATCCATTGGATAGCATTATCTGCCTTTTGAAAGATTGGGTGGATAAGACCCTAGCTACTAACGCGTGCATTAGAGAGCAGACACATGAGTTCATGTATGTTACCTCCTACTTTCATTTGCCAGTCAAAGTCACTCTCACTTTATTGAATGAACTGCCTGCTTTTAAGGGGTACCTTCTCCTTCCCTCTTTCCTCTGATACTCTAAATTATGATCATGTCTTTTGTTAATGTATAGGATGCCTGTCTGGTATTGATGTAGTGGAATTCAACCCTGCCATTGGAACTGAGGAAGAAGTACTGAAAACTGCTCAAAACACTATGAAACTTATTCAAATCTTACTGGGTCTGGAGAGTCACCTGAAAGAGGCTCCTCTGCCCCCGGTTGATGACAACGAAGCTTCAAGTGGATTATAAACAAGCAAAGGGCGGGGTCATATTTTTGGAGGGGAGGGATAAGAGGGACTAGCTGGGGTAGGTGGGGGGGGGGGTAAGAGGGGATACCTGAGATTGTAGTTATAGTGACATCTTTTCAATAATTGCAGAGCAGATGAGGGAAACAGTTATGTAAATTTTCTTATATACCTACTGGTTATATCCTTTCATCATTAGTGTTAGAATTAAATTATAGAGTGTGTTTCCCGCAAGATGATGGGTCGTATGGTTTTGACATATTTAAAACACAAATATTTAACAAACTAAATTATTTCATGTGCCAAGTTTAAGCTGTAGATATCATATTGTAAATAAATTGAGACGGTTAATATATAAATAAATGCACTGGGCAGTGTTTTGAAACTGATCCCAGGTCAAGTGCCTAGAAGAACTATTAATTGATGTGGCAGTTCACCCTTTATACCCTAATATTAGTATAAAGATTCTCCATACTGTTCTCTATACATTTCCTGAGGTGCTGCCAAACAGAATTCGTTTAACAATTAAGAGTCTCTGTAGTTGGTGATCATTTCCTTTATTCTCATGACCTTAATGTGTGATTGGGGTGATGTTGTGAAGAGAAATTAGATCTTAGTCATTCACAGGGGTCAAAGGGATAAATATGGAATCATGCTCATTATTCTTCAAACAACTCAGCCCTTTTGTCAAAGTGGACAAGTGGAACAGTTTGCCAAACCATCACTTCACTGACGTAATTAGCATTGACAAATTTAAAAAAGGTTTAGAAAGATGGATGAAGATTTGTTGACACAGAAGCTCATATTTTAATTGTGTATATTTTCCTTTTTAAATATCATTTTTACTAGACTCATTTACTTATAACACAGTAGCTCTTTTATTAAACAGTCACAAAACATGGTAAGAACATTTTGACTAAAGAACAAACCATTGCTCTTGCACTCATTTCACCAAATATTAGCAAAAATAAAAATTTATTTGACAAACACAAGTTTATCTACTGGTTTACTTTGTCTGAATCTACAGCCTAGTTGAGAATTTGTTCTAATAATTGACTTCTGACCCTTAAACTCCCAGATGTGATTAACATGTAACTTCTCCCTACAATATGTATATGTTGGTTCAATTTTATCCCTGGTTTAAATTTTGTTTTCTTTTGTGTTTGGGTGTTGTAATGTATGATAATGAGTTTGAAACAAAGAAAAATAAAATTTGAACCAAGGATAAAATTGAACCACAACATGTACATTATTCAGCAAACAGGTAATGAGAATACTCATACTTATCAGGTTTACGTTATGATCTTGATCCAACCCCAAATTCTTGTAACTAATTTACAAGGAAATGTGTGGCAGCTAGTGGGGAGAATTAACAATCCGATCTTGGGAGTTAAAGAGTTAATGCCTGTAACTGGCTCATAATACTTGGACGGTACTATAAGATGAAGTTATCCAGCACATTTTTAAGTGTCATATTTATTTTATGAGTTGGAGATAAACACTGACTTTTTTATCTGTAATGTGGGCATTTGAGAGAGCTGACAGTGCACTAGGGCCTACTTTTAACCCTTTAACTCCCATGGGATTAACATGTAACTTCTCCCTATAATATCCATTCATTATCCAACAAACAGGTAATGAGAATTCTCAAACTTGTCCGGTAGAAGTTGTTATCTTGACCTAATACCAAATTCTTGCAACTAATTTACAAGGAAATGTGTAGCAGCCACAGGGGAGAATTAACAACTAGATCTTGTGAGTTAAAGGGTGAAAGTAACGCCCTATGGGGTACATGACACTCCATACTTGAAGAAATAGTACAAGGGAAATAAGCTGAATAATGAAAAATTTGGTTGATTCTTACTTATGATCTATTAGAGGACAGACACATAAATAAAGTCACCATAAACAATTTTTTTTTATTTCTTATTATGTGAAACAAGTATGTTCCATGTTGCCATGGGTCTGTTGAGTTCTATAGCACAGGTGAGATCAAAATGTTACACCTTGTGTGCCAATATTAATCTGTGATCTATTACTGAACAGATGCACAGACATTCAAATCTATTTCGTACATGGATCATTTAATGAAGTACCCTCAGGAATATCCTGCGAAACTTCGTGAGCTGTTTGATTCTTCAACCAAAGACCATTGATGATTAACAAACAGCCAACCTGGACCATTCTTCATATGTGAATCACACTCCTGTGCAGTTTTTGCACTGCAGACTGTGTGAGTTAAATATCACAGATATAATTATGCAATGTTTATGTCCATGAACTTAGCATCCTGTTAAAAAAGAAAAATTAAAACTGATAAGTAACAACTCTGATAGAAATGATATATCAGTACCAAAAAGGATCATTCAGTTTGAAGTTGTACTGGTAACTATATCTTTTTCAGTAATGGATTATTTATTGTTATACAGGAGAATACATGGTTTCCCTCAAGGGGAAATATCCAAAAACCTTAGAAATTTTACTTGTTTTATACAGCAAAAACGCCTAGGCCCTTGAGTTCAGTCTCCCTGAGATAAAAATAAACATTTTGTCTCACACTTAGGACAATAAATGTCTTGTAAGAAATCTTGATAAAAGGTTTTCAAGTCTTGTTGGAATGTAATCTCGAGAACATCATAAGACAGTTATAAAGCTCCAAACACAATCAAAATTACAGTAAGTTTTAACTATGCTCAAAGTCAGCTCTAGAATTAGCTGTTCTGGTGAAGAAAAAAGAGTGTAATAACTTAAGCAGACAAAAGAAAGTTTACCTTGGAAAGCTTCCTTTCCACAGATAGTCTGAAGAAGTCAAATAGCTTAGTAGCAGCAGAGCGACATGCTTCCAGACACCTGTCGTACTATAAAAAGGAAGTAATCAAAGAGTGGTTGTACCCTATAACCCTTTACAAACTAAAATCAGTATGCATATTCTCCATACTGTTCTCTATATATTTCCTAAGGTGCTGATAGACAAAGAGAATTTGGAGAATTCATTTCCAGTCTGTTTGGCCACAAAACAGCAAGAGCACTGTTTTCTCTTTATCTTAGAGCAAAATAATACAAAGCTGGCCACAAAAAAGTAACGTAAACTTTAACCCTTTAACTCCCAGATCAAATTTGTCTTTCTCCTTACTGTCAACTATACAACTCTTACAATTACATTCAGAGAATTTAGCATTGGATCGACTAATTATCCTCAAATTGATAGTTTTCGTTATTCTCATCACATATTTAGTTGATATTGTATTTGATATTGTAAGGAGAAATTCTGTCTTGGTCTCTCAAGGGAGTTAATGGGTTAAACAATCTTTTACCTCCTGTACTGTAAAACTCCCTGTTGTTGATGAGGTCATCACATTTTTGTTGGCACTATCAAACGCAAATGTCATCACTGCACAAGCTGACTGTGAGGAAAAAAAAAATCAAAGATCAATGGTCCATTCTTTGATGGTACTTTTAACCCTTTACGTCCTGAGATCAGTATGCATATTCTCCATACTTTTCTCTATACATTTCCTAAGATGCTGACAAGGAGAATTTGTTAGATAATCAAGAGCTTCTCTGGTGGATGATCATGTACCTTATTCTCATGGCCTTAATGATTGATTCAGCAGTGATAGTGTAAGGAGAAATAAGATACCAATCACTCCTGGGGTTTAAAGGGTTCAACAAAACTGCTGAATTGAGGTATGAACAAAAACTTTTATCACACTTAACAATTTGTGCTTTTGAGAGAGAAAACTTCGAAAAAAGGCTTACATTCTTACATCAGACAATTTCAACATTTTCATCAAAAAATCCTCAACATTAAATTAATCATATTCTACCTATTACCTTTTCTTTCTCCGGGGAAGGATCCAGCTGAATGTCACCAGACTCATTTAATGCACATGATACAGCACAAACTAAACATTTCATTGGAAAACCAGCATCAATCATTGCCATGCAAGCAGCATTGATTGCACATGCCAGTAACTTTGGCAGTTAGGGAAAACAATAACATACATAGCAGTATTTCTAATCAATGTAGTTGTTGAACATGTAAAAGAAGTATGATCATGGTTGATTTAAGGCATAAAATTCTTAAAACAGCCAAAAATCAACATGAGCATAACTGGGGGGGAAGAGGTCTTGGGTGCCTTTGACCCACCCTGTCCCCTTTGTAAGCCTTTTTTAAGCAAACAACCTACAATATTCAGGTGGCAAAAACTGGTGAGTACCCTCTGTTTGACACAGTGTGACCCCCCCCCCCTTTGAAAAATCCTAGCTCTACCCCTGATCAAAGATTCAGAAGTATTAGTAAACATATTTCTATTTGCAGAGAAAGGTAACAAATCCTGAGGGGGAAGATTACTGATCAAATATATAGGATTAAAAGAAGCTTCTAATAGGCTTTAACGAGCTAAAGTAAGTAAGGAAATATAAGGATACTGATCCACTATCCTGAACAAGCTGAACAACAATTGTGAGGGATGACCGGGGATGTCTGGAGGTAAGCACAACTGGCTCACAACTGTTGCGGATAACTCTCTCTAAAAGTTTTTCAGCACAGCCTGTGAAATTAAGAAAATAGGAAACAAGCTTGCTAAGTTAATCAATAATTCAATCAATCTTTATTTACACATATGAAACTGATGAGCCCAAAGAACAAAAGGCTTGACGAAGAAAGTTGACTTCGCTGTGCCCTTTAAATCTGGTTCTTTGTCGACTACTTTCACTTTAATTTTCCTCGACGAATAATAGGTCACAATCCTCTCGGAAAGAAAAATTAGCATAGAATCTAAGATATTTTGAGTTGAGATTCATTTGAGACTTCAAACTCAGCAATGATGTATATATGGTCACCCTGTTTTTATGTACCTGGCAAGCCAACTTTGGGTCTGAAAACAACTTCTAGAGTAGCCTTGTCAATGAGTTCTTTACTTGATCTGACTTCTGCCGGACCATAAGCTGCCGCCATCACGTGGGTATTCCCTGAAACGATGTAAAAAATCATGAACTAAAAGAAAGTATCAAAATGTCACTAAATTGCTAACATCCAATGTCTTTCTGAAAGTCGTATAAAACTGGAGTTTGAGAAAAACCTTGAAAAAAGCTTGCTGATCCATCTGTTTTGTTCAAGAGGCTCTGTTCACATCGCAGAGACCTCAACTCCGATGAAAATCGTGGAATATTCAAATCCACTGCCTCATCCGCCATTTTGATTTCAGCGTGTTCGCGGGCTCGTGGTTCGTTTCCAAGTCAAATCTATTGCCTCCCTGTACCTCCCTACTGGAGTTTACTTGCCCCCACCTGGTTAAGTATTATCTTACTCATCTTTCTTATTTCCCCATGTAAAGATATGACGATATATAAAATTATGAATTGTAAGTAAATAGAGAAATTCTTCTCCTTAAATCATTAAAAAAACGACGATTTTGGTTTTAAACCTTAAGCTGCAGGTACACCTTGCACATTTCTTGTTGTCGACAGTTCTCATCGCTACCAGTAGGGGGTGAGTAAGGCGTCGGGATAAACTAAACATGGCTGCCTCAACGTGGCTTTTGAGAAGAGCGCTTGTTGGGTCCCGTGGTGTATCATATCACATAAAAAAGCTACCTAACACTTTAAAGGCATTGAGAGTAAGTTTTCCATGCGATTTACTGTTATGGGTGCCAAAACACCTGTTGAAACTTCACAAATACTCTTTTTGAACTTTTTGTACGCCTTTCAGTTGTGTTCGTCTAGCTCCAGTGCAGGAAGACCCCAACATGAATACCAAGACAAGCCAAGATTTCCAGGCGCTTTGAACTCATATTACACAGAAAAATTGGAATTTGATGATCCAGACGATGGAGAAGCCATCCCAGTCTATCGAGTCATGGATCGAAATGGAAAAGTCTTTAACGAAGCCCATGATCCCAAGGTGTGCTGCTGGTTTTTTTACCTCCCTTTTCTTTGATTTTTTTTCCAGGGAGATCGAGAAGTTGTTGCGTCGTCATTCCCCCAGACATTTAGACAAGCTTTTCTCTTTTTTTGCCTCTCCCGAAATGACAGATTCTTGAGATTCCAGGGAGAAGAGTTTTCTTATTGTTGTATTAATCGACGTGTTCCCTTGACATTGCCTTGGGGGTGTGTTGGGGGCTGGGTCATACGGGAGTTGTTTCCCCTTTTCCATTTCCCTTGCGTTGTTCCCTTTTTTTTTCAAATAAGTTTTGGTTCTGAAATTTCTAAAAATTAGTGTAAAATTACTGATAACATTGTTACCTGTTTTTCTTAGATGATGGTTTTGAATGTTTGTAGAAATTTGCTTTGAAGTAGTGATATGACATTCTTCCATTACATGTTTCTTTCCTTCACACTTTTTTTTTCACAATGAGTTCCATACAGACCATCTCTTTATTTCTTAGCCACTGTAGAATACTGAGTCAAATGAATTTTTTTCAGGCAGCCAAAAAAATATTTTGGGAAAATGACCATGGTAATAATATACCTCTTATTATTCAGCTGAGGCATTTTGTTTTTGTTGTAGCTTGACAAAGAAACAATAAAAAACATGTACAAGCAGATGACTCTGTTGAATACCATGGACCGTATCCTCTACGAGTCACAAAGACAGGTTATATGAGTGAAGAGATATATAATCAGAGGGATGTTGTGTCCATGTAGTTAGCCTGCTTCATGACCCTGCATTGAAAGATGTGTACTGAGTTCAAGAGCCAGCTGGGAACATGAGTCAAATCTTTGTACTCTGCCCACCTGGGAGTTCAGACCTAATACTCCAAAGCTTATATTCCAACAGTATTTGCTTATGTTTAACTATTTGCTAGTTTATTGCTTATAACTCATTTTTCCCTTCAGTTGTGCTGTGATATAAACTTTTAAATCCCTTTATACCTTACTCCTTAAAAGTCATTTGGTTTGCAAGTGGAATTTTGTATTCATTGAGAGAAATGAACTGATTCTATACAAGGCTGTTTGGGCACTTCATTATAGTAGAAAGTAGAGTGAAGAACTGTTGATGATTGTTCTATGATATGTGGACAGTTCTTTGGAGAGGCTCCATGTATACTGCAAAAATAAACAGCTGTTTGCATAAAAGTTGTCAGAAAAAGGACAAATTACAAACAACAATTGTGGAAGGTAATCTAGTTATCTGGAAATCAATGAATTTTAATAAGTGGAACAAATAAATATGGAGAAAAATAAAAATGAACAGGGTATGAATACCAACATGCATGTGAATACGACAGGGACAAAAAATGGAATATTACATCGTAAACATTTTTTTTCAGGTCACTTTGAATTCGCTCTTGTTGAGTTTACATCATTTTTGTCCTTCATTAGGGTTAGTCTTTCATCAAGTTCAGAATTAAAATCCAGTGTTGCAAACAAAATAAATTCATCAAACCCGCTAAGCCAAGGCCTCACCCTTACAGTGATGTTTTCTCAGATTTCTCTGAAATCCTGAGGTCAAGAACTGTGACCTGAAAACTACCCACACTTCCTTATGGGGTTGTCCCAAGCACTTTTGTTTTTCTGACAACCTCTTTGCAAACAGCTGTATCTAACTTTTAGTAATCATGAAGAATAGACTCCCTTTCTGACTTCTTTAGGGAAGGATATCATTTTACATGACAAACTATGGTGAAGAAGCCACTCACTTTGGAAGTGCTGCAGCTCTTCTGCCTGAAGATATGGTGCTTGGTCAGTACCGTGAAGCTGGTGTCTTAATGTGGAGAGGTTTCACTTTAGATGACTTCATGAATCAATGTTATGCCAATCAGCATGACTTTGGGAAGGGTAGACAGATGCCTGTTCATTATGGCTCAAAGAACCTTAACTTTATCACAATTTCATCCCCTCTGGCAACTCAGATGCCTCAAGGTGAGTTTTTAGTAAACCTTTTTACTCTTGTGCCTATACACCTTAACATCAGTATCCTCATTCTCTATACTTTTCTCTATACATTTCCTTTGATACTGACAAGGAGAATTCATTTAACAATCAAAACTTCTGAGGTTGGTGATCATTTCCTTTATTCTCACAGTCTTAATGAGTAATTCAGCAGTATTATTGTAAGGAGAAATTAGATACTGATCACTCTCAAGGTTTAGAGGGTTAACAAGGCTATGCTTTTGTAGAAAGCGGATACTGCAGCAGTGACTTTTTTCTTTAGACAACTTGTTTGCTGGGCTCCTTATTGATTTAGGCACTGAATCACCTCTGAGAGAGCACAAAATTTCCAAAGAAAATTAATAATGATGAATTCTGTTTTTCTCATTACTCCTGAGAATTGCTGATGATTTAAGAATTGGTTTACACATCGGCTTGCTTTTATCAGGGTAAGAAGTATTCTCAAAGAGTAGGGAGCATGAATGTTGATTGTAAAAATGCATGAGATGCAGCCTAGGGCAACTCTGCCTTTTTAACCCTTTAACTCCGAAGATCTCATTAGTAATTCTCCTTACTGTTTCCCATACAGTTCTTGTGATGTTAGTTTGGAGAATTTGGTATTGGATCAACTTATAATCCCCTAACTTTTATTTTTCTTTATTCTCATCTCTTGCCTGCTTGATAATGTATTGATATTTTAAGGAGAAATTCTGTCTTGGTCACTCATGGGAGTTAAAGGGTTGAGGGCCCTCCAAACCTACCAAAGGCTTTATATCTGGATAAACAATGTAATGTAATGTAGTACTGGTACTGAGTGATAGTTCAAAACCTATTTTCAGCATCTGGATATGCATATGCTGTAAAGCGAGCAGGCACTGGAAATTGTGTCATCTGCTACTTTGGTGAAGGAGCAGCAAGTGAAGGAGATGCCCATGCTGCCTTTAACTTTGCTGCAACTCTTGAAGCTCCTGTCATTTTCTTCTGGTAAAAATAAAAATTAGAGACCTCTAAATTTTTTTTTTGTTTAGCTGATTAGCTCCCTGACATGTAGTTCTCCCTCCTAAATGCATTATTGTTTCTTTGTGTCCAGATCTATAAGCATTTTTTCACAAATGCTGGAACCTGGTTGGTTATGCTTGCCTAGCTAGTTACTATCTATTCCACAATAGATTGTATGTAAAGTTAGAAGCCTGATGATTGGCAGTTTAAAACTAAAGTAAATTATATGAAAAAAAAAAGTTGGCTGTCTTGTTGTTAAGTTTAATTGATATGGGTGTCGATCATCCTCATTAGTTATCATCTGTGATAGAAATCAAGAGTGAATGATCTAATTGTTAATTATGCTGGTCGAGAGAATTTGTTCAGATTTTCTATTCTTGTTACCTACTGCTGAAAAATCTTTGGCATTTTTGGGGAGAATTTAAAGGTTTATCATTTCTGAGAGTTAAAGGATTAAGAGAACATGAAACTCTGTACATCTTCACTAAATCATTTGATTTGGCATAAATTTGTAAATTCATTATTGACTCTTAGTGTGAATGTATTTATGTTTTTGTATTGTTTCCCCTTCTTGAGTTATTGTGATGATGATTTATGTATGTTTTTGTGTGTAGAGTATCAGAATGTCAGACCTTTTGATATCTTTTGCCAACAGCCGCAACAATGGTTATGCCATATCTACTCCAACAGGTGACCAGTACAGAGGGGATGGAATTGGTAATTGTTATCATTTCTCTGTTTTTTGTAATGTACTTTGTTTTATGTCTCCTCTCTTGTCATATCAACCCTTCAAAATCTCAGCTATGTCAAATAGCTGTTCTATTTAACATGCCACTTTTAGTGGGCAATATTAAGGAGTGGGTGCTTAAAGACCTGAACTGACTTTTGATGTACCTTCAACTTCTCCTTATGTTTCACAAAGGAATGAGAGACAATTTAATGGGAGAATCCATAAGTTTATCAGAAGTAACTTCCATGCATCCCTTCAAACAGAAAATTAACCTAAGCAATACAACATGAAAAAAATTCTGGCTTCAATGTTCCTCCCAGATGTTAGTTGGGAACTACCCATGGTGGATCTAGGGGAGGGGCCTGGGGGGCCCAGGCCCCCCTCTTATTTTGGTAAAAAAAAATAAGAATTGCAGAAGGAAGAAAAGACAGCAGGGCAAGTGACAAAAAAACCAGCAAACCCCCCCTTAACTCAAGGTTTGGATCCACCACTGACTGCTAACAACTGAACTATGAAGCTACACATTAGTAGTGAGGCAATGTTAGTTTGATGATTAAAATTCACCACAGGCTGCTTGAAGCAACATGTGAATACTAATTGCCCACACGTGCCAGTGTGATATTGACATCAAATGGTAATTTAATTATAATAAATAAATGCTTCTCACTAAATTTTCTTTTTCTACTCACCCATAATTTCATGTGTTTAGCTGGACGTGGCAGGGGTTATGGAATGAAGGCAATTCGTGTGGATGGAAATGATGTCTTTGCTGTGTACAATGTCACTAAAGCAGCTCGGAAAATTGCAGTCGAACAGTCACAACCAATCATGGTGGAAGCCATGACTTACAGGTTAGATAGAGTAACAGTCTCTGCAGCCCCTCAAAATTAGAGAAAAGTAAAAAACAAGTTTTCAATTTTCCTTTACAGAAGGAAACACAAAGTGGCACATTCACATTTTTTAACTCTTCTGAAATAATGGTTCCAACTTTACCACTACCTGCAGTGAATAGAATTATGAAGAGTTTAAATGTGGTAATTCTCCGCCCTGTCTTTCATACATTTCTTAGGATGTTAGTCAAGAATTTGGTGTTGGATCAACTTATAATCCCTTAAGAAACATTTTTCATTTTTTTGTGTTCTTATTGTTTGTCTGCTTGATGTTGCATTGACATTTTAAGGAGAAATTCTGTCCTGGTCACTTATCAGGGTTCACCATCTCTTAAAATCTTAGGTTTAGAGGTAAGAAGCACAGGTCAAAATAAGCACTTTTGAGAGAGGGCACACAAATCCTTTAGCGATGCAAAAAGAACTATTTAACCTATCATTATTCACCTTCCCTTCGTGATGAGTATAACAACATAATTGCTCTTTGGCGACACTGATTCTTTTCTTCTTATTTCCCAGAATTGGTCATCACAGCACTAGTGATGATTCCTCTGTGTACCGCTCTCTAAAAGAAGTCAATTATTGGGACAAGGAGGACCATCCCATTGGAAGGCTGAGGTATGTTTAAATCAGAATAGCAAATAACTTGTGATCTTTTTAGCTTGTTTCTTAGATCCCAAATCTGTATGGTAACAGGTTGTACTCGATAAAAGGCCAATATCGCTCAAATGCAAGAGATGGAGAAAATATTAGCAATAAACTAAGCCTCTCAGTTTCTGGAGATCCCCTTGCCATCTATTAACCCTTTAACTCCCAAGATCTGATTCTCAATTCTCTCCTCTAGCTGCTACATATTTCCTTGTAAATAAGTTATGAGAATTTGGTGTCAGATTAAGATAACAACTCCTACCTGGTACATTTGAGTATTTTCATTACCTGTTTGCTGGATAGGGCATAGATATTATAGGGAGAAGTTACTTGTTAATCGCTTCTGGGAGTTAAAGGGTTAAAATATTGTTTTTAACAATTATTGTAAAGTTACTCATTTGGTGGAGTAAACCATCTTTCTTTTTATGAATAGTGAATGGGGCATTTATTTGAGGGTTATAATAAAAAAAATAACAAGACAAACAACTAGTTTGTTACACCATCCTTGACATTTATATCTGCAAGAAAAGGAGACATTGGAGCTTTGGAGTAAATATTGATCATACCTCCATTAATTAGAGTTATAGAAAAAAGAGACCACATAATTTTGCCCCTGTTGGCCTCTACTTAGTAAATTACATTACATACCTGTTTTTAAGGCTTAAGTGGGTTAGTTTTCACAGAAACTGTGGTGCTGTGCCAGTGGCGGGTATTGAAATATAATTTGTTTTATTAACTGAGTTGATAAGCTAAGGTAAATTGGCCATTGTAAAGAGTTTCTAAAATCTGAAGTTGTTAGCATTAGCTCTTCATAAGAGGGAATGAAGAAGGACGATTGTCAAAAACATCAGCTTTAGAAACTATTTACAATGGCCATGTTACCAAATTGTTTTGAAGGTTGTTCAACCCACAACTGTCTTTACTATTTGTCATTCCTAACAAAATCTGTGTAAACTGAAGTCAGTCAATCGAGGGTCTTGCTGTTGCATGCCAGCCATATATTTCCATCACAATTTTGCTCTTCCTAGGTTATGTATAAATTTTTTTACCTGTCTAGTATCCACCATATTATATCTTTGCCATTTATTTTCTAGACATTACATGGAAAACAAAGAGTGGTGGAATAGTAAAATGGAGGAGGAATGGAAACGAGAGGCGCGCCAACAGGTTATGGCAGCATTTTCAAGAGCTGAGAAGGCACTCAAACCTCCAGTCGAGGAGATGTTCAGTGATGTATATGACACACTTCCTTCCCGTTTGAAGAAACAGTATAAGGAGTGTATGGATCATGTGGCAAAATACCCTCATGAGTACCCAACAGAACTTTATCAGCCTGACAAATGATATAATAGGCTAAGGTGTAATTTGTAAATTTGAATGGATTTGATGAAGGAGCTGTTAGAAATAGAATTTACACTTCCCAGGCCAATTGGCAAATAGTTGTATGAGAAGCAAATAAATGACAGTACTGCCTGCTAACTGAGTTAAAGGTTCATACTGTAAGTTATGTACCAAGTTTTTCCACTAGGATTAATGGCCCAAGTGCAAATTGTGTAGTCCTTTATAACTCCCATGAGTGATCAAGACAGAATTTCTCCTTACAATATTGATAAAATATCAACCAGATAAGTGATGAGAACAAAGAAAAATATCAATTAGGGGATTATTAATTGATCCAGTACCAATTCTCCAAACTAACATTACAAGAACTGTATGACAGACAGTAAGGAGATTTACTAATGAGATCTTGGGAGTTAGAGGATTAATTTGAGAAGGAACACAAGGTTCCATGACTTACAGTACTGACTGAGAAGTAGTAAGATATTTATTTATCTTTGGGTTCAAATAGAGGGCAGAAGATTTCATTTTAGACAAACTTTTTAATTTAGTGGGCTGTTGAAATTTGCCCTGCTAAATTGACCAATCACATTGTGTGTAGGAACCAAGAAAAATAAGAAAAAGGCTGGATATGAAGGTTTACTTGACAATATCACTCTTGTTCAGTGGTTATCGACATTAATTTTTTTGCTCTCTGCTTATTTGCCAAGGTTTATCTTTCTCTATTCCCCTTATTAACCCCTGGGTCTCTGAGGGGGTATTGCAGATGTGTGTTTATGTATAAAGTCTAAATCTGCTGGTTCAGAGTTATCTGATGCCAGGAATGGATGGATGGCCTCTCTGTGCATGACAGGACACCTTATTAGAATTATGCAATTCAGAGGGTCTCTTTCTGGAGGTGAGAGATTATTCTCACTGGGTAATGTAAGGGTATTTAAATAAACTTAACAGGTTTTGTAGAGAATGTGTTGTCAAGTATTGAGAACTACTGGTAAGTTCTGAGTATCTAAAGTAAATTATTCTTGAAAGTAACAGTAAACAATTTAAGTTCCTTTCTTTAATAACCTGTAGCTTTTACATGTTATGCAATGACAGTATTATAGTATAGGAGAAATTTGTTCTAAGTTGTATTTTCATGCTAAAATTTATAATCAAAGTCACACATTAAACAAGGTATTCCATAGCAAATAGCAAAAAAGGTTTCCCTGTTAATTATTGTCAACACTTTGTTCCTATAACATTCTCTTTAAGAATCCTAGACTAGAGTTTTAATCAAAGGCACACATCAACAAAGTATTCCATAGCAATTAGACAGTTTTAGATCCATGTTTGTGCCTGAATACATGTGACCACAAATCACAAGGAGTCACCCAACCTGGCTCCAATGGTCACGTTTACAGTTTGCAGTTCATGTTTGAACTTTGGGCAAGGCAGTTTTAGGTAGGTCAACTCCCTCAGCACTTTTCTTCTTTCTGTTCAAAATTTTTCCTGGATTTGGGATGCTATAAAACCAAACTTTCAGCCACACTTTGTATTTGAAATGAAGGACCTCCATCCTTTCTATAATTCCAGATGGCAGCACACTTGTTGATTTTTTTCAAGTAAACACCAACGTTGACATCCAAAGCCAAAAATCTTGAGACTTCTTACTTCTAACCTGAAACTGCCAACTGCAGTCTGCAGTTGACACACCAAACATGGATCTAAAACTCTCTAATAGCAGAACAGGTGTTCCTGCTAATTTTTGTAAGCACTTTGTTCCTCCAACAGTCTCTTTGTAAGCCAATCATAATCCTAGACTCGAGTGTAAAAACTCCACATGTCAAATCAACCCTCTAATCTTTAAAGTACACTGTATTTTAATGCTTTAATCTCAGAGTTTGTATATTTACCTATAGTTGAAAAAAAAATACATCGAATAACCAAATTAACTTAAGAGGAACTTAATGTTTTAAACAACTGGGATGTAATTTTTTCTAAAAACTCAGAAAATGGTGTTAAATTTTTTAAGGAAGAGTCTTACACTTTGTTGAAAGCACCACAGCAAAGTGCCCCAAAACAAATGTCATTAATTAAAACAAAATCAGTCAGCATTTTGCCATATACATGCACAATGAAAGCATTTATCTCAAATAAAAATGAACAAATTTCAAATAAAGGAAAAAAAAGAAATGAAAAGCATCCCCTTCTCTGTATGCATATTCGCTGATGCCCCCACAGGCATCCCACTCTGAAAGTCCAGAAGACTGACATCTATTCCTAAGTCACTCCTTCAACTCCAGTCGGCCAACAAATGGAGAAAAGAAACTTCCAAAGAAGAGAACATCACCATCATCATGAACCTCACTGAGGTAACCAGGAATAACACTGCCTGTTGGATCATGGAAACTTCTGGTAATGTTACCACTTTCATCCAGCTCCAAGAGAAGGCCATACCTGACAGCTGTGTTGGTGACTAACCATGGTAAGGAGACAACCTAAAATTTCAATGTATTAGACAATCTTAAAAATAATCAAGTCACAACCCTCATTAGGCTGGAATTTAAACACTCTACCCTTGTTTTATTTAAAATGTAGGTTCAGTGCTTTAGGCATTACTTTGGTTGGTGATCATTTCCTTTATTCTCATGACCTTAATTTGTGTTTCAGGGGTGATATTGTAGGGAGAAATTAGATGTTAGAGGGGGCTCAAAGAGATAAAACCAAAATTAACTTCCTCACAGTTATAAACACTACTTGAGTAGTAGAGGAAATAAGGCCTGAAAAAATTTCAGGCCTAAGCGGGATTTGAACCCATGACCTAGAGCTGTGATACTGGTACAGTGCTCATCCAACTGAGCTAATGAGTCAACTGGGAGCTGGTCATTATGTTGGTTCTAAATAAAACCTCGAAGTGGTGAATAAATAACTGTAAATATGTGAAAATCATATATATTTTCAGGCCTTATTTTCACTACCACTTAAGTAGTGTTCATAACTGCGAGGATCACTTAATTCCATATTTGTTTCTTCAACCGCAAATTATTCACATATGTGATTTTGTATATTTACATTCATTTATTCACCCCTTCAAGGTTTTTTTTTTGGAACCAACATAATGCCCTGTTCCCAGTTGGCTTGTTAGCCTAGTAGGTAGAGTGCTGCTCTGGTATTGCAGAGGTTATGGGTTCAAATCCCATACAGGCCTTAATTTCACTGCTACTTAATAAGTAGTGTTCATCACTGTGAGGATGGCTTAGCTTCCATATTCACAAAATTAACTTCATTACCACCACTACCAACTACTTTACCACTCTTACCTTTGCTATAAAGTTCTTTGCTCTTGGATACTGTTGCATCAAGTCAAAAAAGTCAGTGCGCATAGTTGCAATACCCAACCAGTATCCTCCTTTGCTACTTAAGCGAATGTGGTCTGGAAATCCAGGAAGGTTCTGGATAAACACTTCTGATTTGCCTTTCAGTTCCCCTTTGATGTGATACCTAAACACAATACAGACAGTATTTTAAGTGATTCTGATTTTCACTCCCATTTTAAGTGCTTTTCTAAAGCATTGGAATGCAAAATTTCACAATCAGACTTGACAGTCTCAGTTATCACTATGTGATGGTGTCAGTCAATATTGTAAGAAAATTATAATTTTTAGTAACAACACAAGAACAATTATGAAATATGTCATGTTGATTGCTTAATAAGATACATTTATGGGGCCTGGGAACCAAATAATGGACCTCATTCCCAGGGTCCTCTTTCTTCCTCCCTGAAGAGGGGACTGTGGTTGCAGCTGGTCTTGTGCCTATGCACACTAGAGAGCAGATGTGGATATGTCCTCTACTTAATTTTGTCATCAGTGCAATCTAATTATATCAGTGAGAGCTACAAATTGCAAGTGCTTTTTTAAAAAAGTTTCCTCTTACCCATCCAGTAAGACCTGAAAAAGAAATTGCACCTGAGCCCAGGCCTTTCTCAATTTGTTTTTTGTAATCTCCCAAATTCTGGGAGACACATGACCAGCTGCACCCAAGGTCCTTTCTTGAGGGAGGAAGAGAGAGGACCTGGGAACAACATTGCCCAATAACCATCTTAGAAAGAGGGGACTTGATCTTTAAAACAGAGTTGGGTTCTAAATAAATAAATGAAGATTTTGAACACCAAGGAGTGTCTGCAAGAGTAAGAATTCAGGGACATTAGTGGTCCATCTCTTGATGGAAGGTTAGGAATTTAGACTTGGGAGAGGGGTGGCGCAACCCTTGCAAACTGAATTCCCAGTTTTCTGGGAATTCCTAGGAATTCTCAAAAATTCCCAATTATGCAAATATTAGGGGGTCTGCTCAGAGATCAGAGAGATTAAAGCCAGTATCAAAAACTTTAAAATCACTTCTTCATACTTCATTACTCTTGATGCACCAAGTTCCACTACCAGTACATAGTCGCCCTCTGGAGAAATCTGAACACCACTGGCAAAATGAAGACCATCCATTAGAACTTCCATTTTCCCTGTCTCAGGATAGTATGCCATAAGCCTTCCAGTGTTATCTCCTTCTAAAACAGAGTAGTCGTGCTGGTATCTTTGCCACTTGCTGCTTGTATCTGTAAAATAGATGGTTCTGTCTTGTGCAATATCTAGATCATTCACAAATCTAAAGGGCCTGCCATCAATCCCAGGTGAAGAAGGTACAAGGGTGCTAACTGTCTTGGCCTTTGGGTTGACTTCTAATAAGCCTTGATATGCGTCAGCCACTATCAGGTTGCTTCCAAATTTGTTAAAGCGCATTCCCTCGGGACGCCCACATATGGCCTCTGCTTCTGGTTTCCCTGTGTAAGGAAAAAGTAAACTTAGTCTACCAGGTTGCATTTGGTAAATCACTTGTTTGCTACAAGTGGGGAACAGTGGTTTAACCCTTCAACTCCCAAAATCTCATCAGTAATTCTCCTTACTGTCTGCCATATAGCGCTTGTGATGTTAGTTTTGAGAATTTAGTATTGGATCAACTAATAATCCCCTGATTAATATTTTTCTTTATTCTCATCACTTGTCTGGTTGATATTGTATTGATATTGTTAGGAGAAATTCTGTCTTGGTCACACATGGGAGTTAAAGGGTTGAGGTGGCAATAAAGAAAGTAACATCACTCAATATTTACTGAACATTTGTAGAAATGCTATGGAGTATAATTAGATGACAAAAACCTGTCTCTTAATGTAGGTTATAAAATTAATCTATCAACTCCCATTGATCAATTATATCTCATAAAACCTTAACTCACCACAGTTTGCCATCTGCTTCCCAGTTCGAACAACATCTACCACTTTATCTCCCTCAAGTTTGACAATTCTTCCATCAGCTAAACCAGTATACAAAGTACCTAAACAAAAAGGGTATCAGCTTCTTGTAAATTGTTTAATCTCTTACTAATAATAAATACACACAGATTAATAGATTGCACAATTTGCACTCATTGTCAAAGGCTGGTTACAGTAATATTTATTTCAGCATAAAATTAGGAAAGTCAACTTTGCTCATAGGGCCTTCCCCTTCCAACCTCCCAGGGATGGGGAGGAAGTGGAGAGAACCTGGGAAAAAAGTTGTGCAGAAATTGTTTGGAAATTGTATAACTACCTTCACTATCAGCAGCTATAGATCCTGGACCAACTAGATCCCCTTCATACAACTTCTGTGTCTTTGTTAAGATGCTATTAACCGCTAATGCTCCTTCAAATTTGGGCATTTCCTCTTGATAAACACTGATTTACAATATAAAATGGAGAATTAAGAAAATTTTCAAATATTATCATCATTTCCATTAACATATAATTAATTCAATTAATTTATATAAGATATAAGAACATTGGGCTCTAGCGAGGTAGCCTGTAAAGACATGATTATTTCCTCTCTGCTAAGAAAACTGAGGGTCAGTCTTCTAGGAGGTAATTTCTAAATAACAAAAATCTCTTACAAGTGGTTGGACATGATGATGATGAGCTCTCTGGAAAGCTTAAGAAAGATTGCATGGTTGAGTAATTGTGTTATTCTCTGCAGTTTGATGACACGCATACAAAGGTCTATGTGGAATAAAGCCCTAGTAAGGAAATTCTGATGCGACATTTAATTCTCCTGTGTTTTGCAAGAAAATGCAAGACAGTTTGAAAGGAGAATCTATTAATCTATCAAGGTCTCTTAAGACTCTTTCTCCGGGCTTCCCTTCTCTTACGCCTTAAAAGAATTAGTAAAATAATCTCAATACCAGTCATCTCACCTTACTACCCTGGAATCAAAATTTGCAGTTGGCAAGAAGAAGAACAAAACATCAAGTGCACTGAAAATCAGTAACACCAAGGTAATTAACATCCCTGTGACACCCCTGTAAATAATAATAATAAAAAACGTCAGTTTAGAAACACTCAGACTTAAACATTTACCCTGGTGTATCGTAATGATCAGAGGTTTTGGGACACTTAGCCTTAGCATGCCCAAATTTTGTACCCCAACATTAAATGCGTGGTCTTCTCCTTTCTCCTTTCCCTTTCCCCTTCCCCTTCACCTTCATCTCCCCCACCTTGTGATTTATATTTTGACTAATTCCCTCCAGCAATTGGCGTCTTTCACTTTCAGTTCTCATCAGCTTTTCATTAATCTCTTGCTATGTAATACCAACCATATATAGGGAATAAATTTTGCGCGCCTTCTTCTTTGAAATTTGAGCACCAAATTTAATAGGAGGCCACGCGAAATATATTATATAAAAATACATAACTAATGCAGATACGTTTTCGAGACGCGGAAGTAAACCGGAAGAAGAGAAACGTACTTTAACGCCAATGTATTGATTGTTAAGTCTTCGTTTTAGCATATTAAACCAAACTGTGTTGACCGATAAAAGTGTAGTGTGCACCGGGAATAGGAACTTTTAACCTCCGGCTTCTGTCCGGGTCTCAAAAGACATTTTACATGCTCAAGCCTCGATACCATCGCAGGAACGGTAAAGGCGCCAGAATGAAAATCAACTAGTTCGAATTCTGGACTGACTATAATAACCCTTAGGAAATAAAACTGAAAAAGTAGTAAAATCTTACATCTCTTTTTACTCTTTTCTCCAAAGTCAACCAGAAGATTCCCGAAATTAGCTACGCACCACTGAAAGGATATGTAAATCACGGAACCTAGAAGTTCTGTACCGTGATAGCGAAAGAGAAAGTCAGGTGTGGCAAACACTAAAAAAACATTAATCTCTGATTGGCCAGAACAGGCATAGAAAAACACCATGCAAGCGAAAGAGGAAGTGGTGGAGCAAAGACTAGCAGAACGTCGCTCTCTGATTAGCCAGAACATACAAAACTTAAAAAAAAAAAATTACTCCAACTTCAAATAATGGCTCTCACGTAATAGCAAACTGGTGTTCTAAACACGAAAGAGCAAACCCTCACTCGTCTTTCACGTTCAATTCTCATCAGCTTTTCGTAAATCTTTTGATTTGTGGTAAAATCCATGAATAGAGAATAAATTCTACGCGCTTCATTATTTGAAATACCCTGCGACAACAAATGCTAAAAGGGTACAACTCGACATACAGAATCCGTCGCAGGAATTCTAGGGGTGCCAGGATGGTAATCAACTAGTGTTATAATGATTAAAAAAAGAAACTGCAAAAGAATTAAACTCTTACATCTTTTAAGATATCCTTTCCCTCGAATGTCAATCACAAACTCCTCGTCTGCCGCCTTCAGTCGTGTGGAACGTAGCAATGAATCGAGCAGCACAACTCCACGGGATCGACAAATCCTTCACCGTGATATCGAAAGAGGAAGTGGTATGACAGAAAGAGAAAACAACATTACTTTCTGATTGGCCAGAATATACAAGAGAATATCTTTTTTTATCGTTGATTTCTGTGAAAGGATCTATTTATTCACTGAGCTGATTAAAAATGCAAAAGTCGTAAAATCTTACATTTCTTACACTACTCTCTTTCTCTAACGTCAACAACCAGCTCTCCGTCTGCAGTCTCTAGTCGTTTGAAAAGCAACACTGGACTGAGAATGGAAAAAGATATTCACCACTGTACGTGCCAGCGAAGAAGGAAGTCGTTTGAAACGTGCACTGGAGCGAGTAGCAGATAGCAGGTTCTGAGAATTCTACGCGCACGTGATAGCGAAGAAGGGAACGATGATGTAAAAAGTAACACAACATCATTTTCCGATTTGCCGGAACATATCACACATCTCCGCTTCAAATGTCGACTTAGGACATCTTAACTCTGAGGAATTGGTCGCTCATTATTTTTGAATAAAGCACATAGAAGAGAAAAAGTAGCACGAATACGCAAGTTTCGAGCGCTGAAAGCGCGAGCCGCAAGGAGAGTCTAAGGGCATGTGTTTGAAATGTAGAGGCTCAGAAATGCTCTTTTAAGCATTTTCCGTGGCATTTTTCTTCAGAAAAGTCAATCTTGGGCCCAAATCAAGACGAGGCAATTGCCTCGTCTTGCCCCATGCTAGCTACGGCCCTGCGAATCAAAGAAACGAGGACTGCTGAAGTTGCGTAACGAGACTGAATCAACGTCACGCAAACAATTGTTAAGAGACGCGCGGTTTTTTTTTTAAAATCTGGTTTCGTTTTTATTTATTATTTTTAAAAATGCTGTGGATGGACTTTTTTTTACAAGATACCTTACGTGACACATGCCAAAAATTACAATCAAAATCTGTACTGTATTTCAATTTAAAACGGTTTACAAACCGCACCCTTCGAGGTCCATGCCCATGCGGCGTAAATCAGGGATTAACCGTATTCCGTTAAAGGTTGTTCAAGTGCGGTTTATTTAAGCAATGGAAAACACTTTCTATCAGTTAATCGACATACTAACCCACGAAAGATGTTGGCAGAACTCCAGAAAAGAGAAGAAAAGTCTGTAAAACACAGGCCAGAGGCGAGGGAATTACAAACCTTTCTCGAGTCCTCACAACATTTCAACTGGTTATTATGCTGGTAGACCAATAACAAGTGCGGCTCACTGGTTTTAAAAATAAACTTTAAATTTACCGGTGCAAAACGGAATTTTTTTTTAACCAATCAGGGCACTCGTATTATCTTAGTTTTTACAGCAGAAGCGCAGCGTCAAATTTGCCAAAATACCGCTAGTTGCATTTCAAAGATTACAAATGTCCTTCAACACTTTCTGTCTCTATATTATTGTAGTGTGACCTTAAAGAATGTTCTAGAAGTAGCTGTGTTATGCTGAGTCATCCCCAAATTTATATATCAATAGAACCTGTTTTAATGTTACGGAACGTTCCAGATCCTCAACCGTACCTATAAAAGCCGAGCTTGTAACTAGATGTAGCGAGTAGTTTAGTTGCTGGGTATAGCCCGTCAGATATCAAGAAAGGTGTATGCTGCAGAATACAAGACGTCCGCACTTCAATTATCAACACTGTACTGTGTCTAGTAGCAATGATAAGCCACAGAATCTAGATGCCGCTGGTTTGAAGTTTGAAGAAGTGTAGTTTGAAGTTTTTTTCCTCTCTCCAACCTTCTTACTGGAAAAAATTCCCTTGATGATTTTATCTCCATGAAAGACACCAAGAAACAAAAACTAAAATATTTTACTTCATCAGAACTGCAACTAATACAACAGAGATAACTTCATTCGAGATAGCCTTTCTCTCTTGCAATGTGATCTACGTGCATGCGTTTAAATTTGTACAAAAATAAAATCTTTTATAATGAAAACATAAATTGCGAGAGCCAGCAGTTTTTCTTTCAAGAACCAAGAAACCCTAACATCTATTCCTAAGTCAGTCCTTTAGCTCCAGCCGACCGACAAACGGAGACCTGAAACTTCCAAAGAAGAGCACATCCCCATCATCATGAACCTCACTGAGGGAACCAGGTATAACACTGCCAGTTGGATCATGGAAGCTTCGGGTAATATGACCATTTTCATCCAGCTCCAGGAGGAGACCATAGTTGCGGGATGTTTTGCCAATTAGCCATGGTAAGGAGAAAACCTAAAATTTCAGAGTAAGACAAAATTTCAAAGCTAATCAAGTAACAACCCTCGTTACTTATAGTTGACAGAACTTGGACATTTGAGCCCTCTAACGGACACTGGTGCCCAAAATACGTTGCTTAAGTCCAAAAATAGAAAACTACAATCCAAAATCAGACACTAATGCCCAAGATTGGACCCAGAATTTGGACAATAGTCTGTCCAAACTCAGATATCAGTGTCTTAAATCAGACATTTGTGTTACATTTGCCCAAAATGGACACTGGTGTCCAAAGTTGGACACTAGTGCCTAGAATGGGACACTGGTGTCTAAATTTAGGCGCTGGACACTAGTGTCCAAAATTCTGAAATTTGATTGAAGGAGTATAGAAAATATGAAAAAAAATAAAAATAAAAAAAGAGACTAGATCAAACAAATACACATCTTTCAACAAATTACTGAGTTGATAACCTAAATTCTCCACCAGGAAAGTTTCTTGGCTAAATTCTGTTTTTTGAATTTGTTAGCATTGTTCTTGTAAGAAAAGCTTAACCAGTTAAATCCAAAATTAACAACTTTTCCAATCACTCCACACAACTCATTCCTACCTTTGCTGTAAAGCTCTTTGCCCTTGGATACAGTTGAAACAAGTCAAAGAAGTCAGTACGCACAGTTGCTATACCAACCCAGTATCCTCCTTTGCTACTTAACCGAATATTGTCTGGAAATCCAGGAAGGTTCTGGGCAAAAACTTCTGACTTGCCTTCGTGTTCCCCTTTGATGTAATACCTGAAAATAATCCAGATATAATCTTAACTAATTCCAAATTTCTCCATACAATTCACTACACTTTCCAACAGCATGGGAATGCGAAAGTTCAAAGTCAAACCTGAAACAATTGTTAGTAAATATGGGTGTCTAACATTATTGAATAAATTAAAATCTGCCACTAACAGTAAGGCAGCATATGATTTGTCATGTTGACTCCTTAGTAACATACATCCTTGGAACCTAAGAACTGAATAAACATATTAGAAAGAGAGAAGAGCTGGGTTCTAATTATAAAGATAATGATAATGATGCATTTACAAAATACATTATCTATATCAATACGCTCTGATGTGCTTTAAAACACTTTGCAGGAGACTCTGGCCAGACTGCATTATACAGCTTATATTTTTTGAAAGAAATTTAGCAGATAACTCCAATTAGGAATTCTAGGAAACAAGGCCAGACCACAACAACAAGAGCTACATTCTTCACTCTTTGCAAGAAGAGTGTGGGTTTTGTAATGTCCCCTGCTGATCAGTAATAAGATGCTGAAGACAAGACCTAAGGTTTAGACCTAAGAGAAGAATCGCTACTCTTAGTAGACCTATGAGTAGAATTGCTAACCATTGGCAAATGTCATAGCAAAGGCAGCACAGTCTATTATAAGACCCTGAGTATTGGCCCAGTCTTTGGCCCAAACCCTCAACTTCCTACAATGCAGTCAAACTGTAGCTAACCAGGAATTTAAACAGAAAAGACTGTCTTCATGAGTAAGAACTGAGGGACGGTTGTTCATCATGTAGAAGAATGCTCAAAGAGATTTATAAAGCTAGATAAAAACTTAAAAATCACATCTTCCTACTTCATTATTCTTAACGCTCCTGTTTCTGCTACCAACACATGGTCTCCGTCAGGAGAAATCTGAACACCATTGGCAAAATGAAGTCCATCCATAAGAACCTCCATTTCTCCTGTCTTAGGATGGTATGCCATAAGCCTTCCAGTGTTATCTCCTTCTAGTATAGAGTAGTGCAGCTGACGTCTCTGCCACTTGCTGCTTGAATCAGTAAAGTAGATGGTTCTGTCTCGTGCAATGTCAAGATCATTCACAAATCTAAAGGGCCTATTATTCATCCCAGGAGAGGGAGGTACAAGGGTGCTGACTGTCCTGGCCTTTGGGTTGACTTCTAACAAGCCTAGATAAGCATCAGCCACAATCAGGTTGATTCCGTATTTGTCAAAGCGCATTCCCAAGGGACGTCCACAGGTGGGCTCAGCTTCTGGTGTCCCTGTGTAAGAAATAGGTATTTGTTCTGTGGTACCAAGTATGGAACCAGGAATTTTTGATGGAGGGAAGGGGGTCAAAAATTTGATTCAGAAAACACAGAATTTTCTCTTCACACCAAAGTCTTAGGAAGTTAAATACATTCATGATGAAATATATTTCAAGAAAAGTCAATCTTACAATTACATGATATTCAGAAGTAATATGTGATCCTGTGTTGCAAGAATTATGGTGTCAGACAAGAAGCAAAAAAACCCATGGGTGTGATGGGGGTGGAATTTGCTCCTTCCCAGTCCCTTCCCCCAAATACACCACTGAATATCCAACACACTCATTTGCTATAATAATTTTCTGAGAAAAGTTTTTGTTGGGTACAATTCTTTTATAATCCTGGAAGGAGGTTTTTGTAGGGAAAGTCTATCCACAAAGGCATACCTGAACCTTTGAAAATCTGTATTAGAGAGGCCCAAATACAACCATTCTCAAGCAATTTGTAACCAGCGGGTTAATTGGGTTATGGAGAGGACAGCAGGAAACAATGCTCATAGCCAGTTTCAGGCATTCATTTAATAAAACACAGTAAACAAAAATAAGTTTACAAGATATGAAAGGAGGGGTAGTAGCAGCAGAGTATAAAAAGGAAGATTAAGTATAATTAACTGTGTAGATAACCCTCTGACAAAGGGCTAATGCTCAAAATGTCAGCTTTAAAACCCTTGCGTTGGCCAATTTACATTATTAACTCAGTTGATGATACTTAAATTACCCTGTTATACTCTCCCACTGTCATAGCACCACAGTTTCTTAAGAAAGTTAACCCCTTTATTCAAAATAAGGGAGGTTTGCTTTGGGTCAACCTGACCCAGACTAATTCTCTCTTTTTTCAACCCTCCTCCACTATGATGTCATTTACTACCCACTTCATTTTACTAACTGAATGCCTGGAACACACTTCAGTACTCAGTTAGCTAATACTCGCAATTTGTAAGAATCCTACGAAGCATAAATAGATGGTTAATATCTGTCTCTACGCAGGCCATAAATCTATTAATTTCTTTTTCATTCATCAAACCCTAACTTACCACAGTTTGCCATCTGCTTGCCCGTTCGAACAACATCTACCACTTTATCTCCTTCAAGTTTTACAATCCTCCCATCAGCTAAGCCAGCATACAAAGTACCTAGAAAAATAAGGACAGTGACTCCTTGTTATAAACAAATTACAATTTTTAAGCTGGGAATAAAGTTGTATGAAAATTTTGGGTATTTCAACATGATATAAATACCTGTGCTATCTGCAGCTATAGATTCTGGACCAACTAGATCTCCTTCATGCCACTTCTGAGTCTTTGCTAAGATGCTGTTAACCTTCAATGCTCCTTCAAATTTGGGTCTGGTCTTTTCAAAAACACTGATTTATTCCACATGTTTTGAGAAAACAGAACATTTTCAAATACAATCACCAATATCAAATGTAATTATTTTATACAAGCACTGGGGTCAAGATAGATGGAGAAAACATGACCATGATGTCTTCCTTGAAAAGGTATAGGCACATGGTTATTTCCTATCAGGAAAGAGAACTGAGGGTCAGTCTTTTAAGAAGTAATTTGTACATTAATTTAAAAAGTCTCTTTGAACTAATCAAAAGTAATGACTTGTAGGGAAAGTTTTAGAGAGAGATCATTTTAGACTTGTGTTATAATTCTTAAAAGTTAGGTAGCACAAATGTGTGAAAGTGATGTGGAATAAAGCTCTATCAAGTGAAGTTTGATCCAACATCAAATTCTCCACTGTTTCTCCTAGAGAGAGCATACAGTTTGAAAAGAGAATCTAACAGTCTGTCAGAAGTCACTTAGACTTTTTTTGTACACCCATTCCTTTATGCACTATCCCAGTTTCAATTCAGCAAAAAAAATAATCTCCCTCTTTGGAAAAGAACACTGCATCTCACCTCACTGCCTTAGGATCAAAATTTGAATTGGGTAAGAAGAAGAACAGAACATCAAGAGCACTGAGAATCAGTAGAAACAAGGTAATTAACATCCCTGTGACACCCCTGTAAATAAATTAAAGTAACTGTAAGTAATTAAATTAAATTTGTACCCAAGAACATACGTTTTACTAAATGAATCATAAGCCTGATTGCTCCTATTCTATGGGGCAAAACCGAAAGAAGGAAACGAAATAGAAATGATTTAACAGGATGCAAAACAATAAAGCTGAAGCAAAAATTTACTGCAACTTTGGGTTAGTATAATCGTGTTTGAAAAAGGCTGGCCAAGGGTAATAGCTTGTTACTGTAAAGTGGAGTCTAAAAAACGAAACCGGAACAACCTCTAAACCAAATTTGCCATACCCTCGGCGCTTTCTGTCGCTATTTTCCCCTTCCCATCCGCGTCTTTCGCCATCACTTCTCAAAAGCTGTAAAAATATCTCATTTTTTCTGATACAAACCGCGAAAAAATGGATGGGTTCTGCGCGCCTTCGAAAGTGAAATATCAATAACTAACCTATAAGGAGACGACACGATAAATAGAATCCGTCGCTCGAACGGTAATGGTACCTGAATGCTAATCAACTAGTTTTGAACTAATTAACCCTTATGAAAACTGCAAATAAATTGAAATCTTACATCTTTTATGTTGCTCTATTTCTTGAATACTGACCACCAGATCTTCCCCTGCAGCATACAGTTCCGTGAAACGTGGCCTTGGACCGAAGGTGGAAGATGGTGAAGGAAAAAGTAACGCAACGTTACTCTCTGATTGGTCAGAACATATCAGACATCTCTGCAACCGATGTCGACCTCAGACTTTTATGCCCCGTGGACGCTAGTTCTAAAAGAACTCCTAGAATTGATCGTTGACTAACTTTTATTTGCAACATGCTGTAATAAAACGTACCTTACTGGAGCTTCTAGCGGGAACCAGGGGCAATGAAGTTGCGTGACAAGCGACTGGACATAGTTGTTAGTATAGTACGCGCATTTTCTGTTTTTTTTTTTTTTAATTACTGGAAAACGCAGTAAAGCGTCTTGTTGGATGGATTAAATCCTCTTATGATATAAGTCACGCGCCTTTATACAATTTATGTGAGGCGAAATTTGTTACGTTCGGAACACGAAATGAACATGCAAAAATACATTCAATGGGAACGAATAACCAGAAACTCCTGTTATAGACATTCATGAAATTTACAGTTGCCAGTTGAAAAGAAAACATTCGAACAAGAATAAGGATGTGTTATCCTCTCTGTATCCAACGTCACTGTTCGTTGAAAACGGAAACTGGGGCACGTGTATGAGTGTGGGTGTGGCTCACATAATTTTTGATAAAAGAAGACGGACGAGAGAATTATAGGAAGCCATGTAACTCGTAAAAGAAATCGACTAATACTGACATCCGGTTTCACTCTGGACCTAAGCAAACAAAAAGGACCATAAAAATAAATCTACGTAATGTAAGATTTAATCAAATACTGATTTGTTTTTTATTAAACTTCAAGTTTTGAAAACAAATCGGCTTCTTCAGTGTTCTTTGACTATCACAAGATTGTTAAAAGCTTCTTTCGACGATATATAGTAAAGGAATAGCACTGACAGCGTTAAAAATTAATCTAGAAAGTAGTAAAATGAAAATTGGCTGTAATAATGTTCCGTCAGGGTTCTTTAATATTTCACTTTAAGATTTTTTGTGTTGCAATCGTTCATCATGATCAATCTTTCAATTCCAGTTTGCCAAGGAAAGGAGACTAGTAGCTATCCAGGTAGAGCTCCAAAAATGTAAATATTTCACTTGGAGATTTTTGTAAAGCCTTTGTACATCAGTCTTTCAACTCCAGCTTACCAAGGAAAGAAGACTGATAGCAGCCGAGGTAGAGCACGTTACCATCATCATAAACCTCACTGATATGACGAGGTACAACACTGCCAGTTGGGTCCTGGAAGCTCCTGGTGATATAACCATTTCTATCTAACTCCAGTATGAGACCATAATTTGGGCCTGCAAAGTTTACTAACCATGGAAGGTAAAACACCTTAACAGAAAGACACGTGTTAGTTGGCTCAAACATTCCAGTTACATATCATGAAAGGTTTCTAGAAAAACATTGATAAGACTTGAATTCTTTGGCACTGAATAGCAAGAGGTGTAAGTGGGAAGTATTTTCCAAATTTCAACTAGTCTTCTCTCTGGTTTGGGTTTATTTTCTACCGTATTCTATGTTCTACCGTATAACTTGAGTAAAGAAGCAGGTTTTCAGCTGAGAAATAAGGCAGTGAGAGAATGAGGTAAAGTAAAAGGAGGAAACTATTCATGGCTGCATAAAAAATTGCTCAGACAATAGAGCTTTAATGAAAGAATTTCATGTAGTAACCAGATAATTTTTTTTATCGTTGATGGTTTAACCAGCAGTAGATGCCTTTGTACAGGTAAAATGTAATGACATAAATGCCAGAGCAAGGGATTTGTGCTCCTCAAGAGAAAATTTTATTTTATTTAGCAGTCCATGGGCAAAGGTTGTTCGTGGAAGACAAGTAAAAGACTGTTTGATATTTATACAAAGCTTAATTCTTGCCTTAGCTAAGAAGTTCCTGGCCCTAGGGTATGAATACATCAACATGTCATCAAACTCTGTAAAGATCATTGACATAGCAACCCAATATCCTCCAGTGCTACTCAGACGAATGTTGTCAGGATATCCAGGGAGGTTTTCAACAAACACTTCTGATTTGCCTGTATTTTCCCCTTTAATGTAATACCTGCCATGATAATTTCAAAAATGCTGGGTTAGAGCTGTAGATTAACTACAACCTGTCAAACTCTGAAAACCATGAACACTTGAGCTATCCCAGGAATGTGATTATGTTGAGAAAAAGAAGTCAGCCAGTTGTTAGAAAGCCGTCCTGCAAACAGTAATCGCTGAATGGTTTTTTACCTTGTGGCTCACTCATATGCAGCAAAAATATTTGAGGTCTTTCTGTTAAACCCATTTCAATATAAAAATATTATAAGGAGAAATTAGATACTAGACACTCTTTTGGTTCTAAGGGTTAACTAATGGTGCACACACCTGTGGGTGTGTAGGCAAAGTATATCACATAATTCCTGTTTCACATTGATTGACATGTGTTGTCATAACAATCAGTGATCTTGGTACTTAATACTTCACAGCAAAGAGACCTTGCCAAGTTCAGTCCTTATAATTACTTCACAGCCCCAAGCCAAATATTTTCCAGTCCAGCCCTCTAAGTCAGTCAACAAGTACATTATATTTACCTTTACTGTCGACAGCCATAGATTCAGGTCCAAACACCTTTCCCTCAAACAGCCTGCCTGTTTCTGTTGACATGCTGTTAACTTTCAGTGCTCCCTCAAATTTTGGAGTCTTCTTTTCAAAAGTGCTACTTGTTACAAAGAAAAAACTGATGAGAAAACAAAATCTGAGAGAAAATAAAATTAACATCCCTTGATGAACCATGCACACTTCTTACCATAACAGTTGCAACTCCAATAACAATCATAATGCGATCTTTGCAAATACAGGTATACAGATCATAAGTTGAGCTAAGTCGAATTGTGGCAAACGAAGAATTTCAAAGCCTAAGACAGAAACTTGCTAGAAATCTCGAAGGAAACATTTAAGAGGGGGGCAATCTGGGTGTGGCCCAAGGTTTACTTAAGTAGTACAGTTGTCCTTATTGACTAAAATTAGACGAATAAAGAATAGATCTTGACTATTGAAATTATTGCTTTTCCATTTGACCACTCCAAGGGGATAAAAATCCATAATTTGCCCACCATGCCATATTCCATTCAATTCTGTTGCGATCAGATCAATTACTGATCATCTAAGTAGATTACCTGTTCAAGATCGGATCAACTGGGGAAGGAATAAAGAAGAACACGACGTCAAAAAAACTCAGAATCAGTAGCAAGACGGAAGCAAACATCGCTGTAACGCTCCTCCTGAGTACAGAATATAATTTAACAACAATTTATTTTGAGTTTTTCAAAAACTGTAGGGTTGATTAATTTCTACCCAAAAATTTCTCGAAGAGTTACTTCACTTTGAAAATGCTCCTATTGCAACGTAAAAACGCTCACCACAGCGTAACAACACAAATTCTCGTGGAATGTCGCGTCAAGGTCGGAAACTACGTTACGTTCACGTGACTATTGTAATGTCATGCAAAACCTGAAAAACTTCGTAAAGCTTGAAGATCTTGTTTTTTTTTACAAATGTCGGAATGGTTTTACTGATCTTAATGTTTATGATCTTGTTTCTCCTGTTTCTCACGGCCGAACCAGACTAAGTAATTCTTATAACCTTAAAACTCCTGTATGTAAAACTAACACTTTTCAGGCCTCTTACTTTAATCGTATTGTTAAGCTCTGGAACTATATCTGTAAATTTTCACCCCCTACCAGTTTTTCAACCACTGCTTCCTTCCACAACTTTGTTACTGAGCACATGTTTCACCTTTTGCACAATCACTTTGACATATCCTATCCCTGTACCTGGTCAATTGTACGATCCTGCCCCTGCCATCCCTAGTTTTTTAGTGTCTTTTAAATTTGGCGTCTTTTGGTTGATCTTGTTTTAATTATTATTTGTACCATGGGAGGTGCCTCGCATGGGTCCTCCCGTCCCGTTCGCACCTTCCCTTTTGACCTTATCACTTTAAATCACTTTGCACATATATTTCATTTTTTTTTCTTGGCTGTTTAATTTGCTGCATGTAACATGTGTAATGGTCAATAAAGCTGTTAAAAAAAAAAAAAAGAAAAAAAAAAAAAAAAAAAGCTAAAAAAATTGCGCGCGTCTGATTGGCTGAAAACAAGAGCAATTTTCATGCGACACGAGTGCAAATTACAAATAACGCGCGCGCTGCCAAAATTTCGTCGGTCTTGACGAACTGTGATGCGTTTATTCATGTAAATTATCAACAAGTGTTAAAAAAACTAATTTTTAAAAGACAAGAAAATTGCACGAGCTTGTAGCAAAATTTACTCGTGCTTATTAACACCGAAATTAAGTTATTACTTATGCTAATTGAATCCGAAGACTTCAAAGAAAACAGCAAGGAAACTTTACATTTTCACGGCGCTGTCCGAAATCGGAGAAACCGTCCTAAAATTAGACGGAACCGCTCAAAGTCACACGGTAATGTCCGGAATCAGGAAAAACATTTCTAAATCAGACAAAATCATTGCAAATCGTGCGGACAAAATCAGATAACAGAGTCCCAAATTAGACGGGACCGTTTACGATCACACCGAACTTTCCTAAATCGGACGGTTCCTTGAGTGATGCCCACGCTTTTCCGCCCCAGTCCTCTTTTCAAACTCTGCCACGTTTTACCACGTCTTATGCGCAAGCGTCGAGAACACAAACTTCAAACTGAAAGTGACTACTGCAAAGAATTTTGCAAAAAGTTGCTTTAGAACATTATATTGAAAAGGTTCTTCATTTAAAAGAATCCGCAATCATGGACCCACCAATGGGAGGTATAACTTTTTTTCTGTTCTTCCTTACGATCGCGAAAATGGACACTCAAAACCTGGAGTCGTTTGGGGTCGTACCAAATTGTGTCTTCTTTTTACACAATAGACTTCTTGGGATTTTAGTTCCAGTTAATCGGTTTTATTTCATCGTTTGTTTGCAGTGTGGGATCTATTATTATTTTAGTCTTGGAACGTTACGCATTGTGCCATTTGAAATTTACTCCTTAGTAATTAAGACGTGTTTCGGTCATCGTCACGGGAGAGTGTTTTCGCAGAAACCTCAGCTGCCCAAACCATATGTACATGTACTGTAGGTTTTACTATTGGATGGGAACCAAGTCGCAGAGAGTGCACTAGATATTCATCACAATAACATGAACGTAAACAAATGTTTTTTTCCAGGGGGTATTTATATTCTTTATCTGACTTTATCTCACGTTATACTGCAGATCAGGCACAGACAATATCGAAAAATAAGTGGACTTGACAAAGAGTCATTGAACATAACTTTATTCACGTTTTCATCTTTCCTCTCTCTCTAGACTCTAATGTATACGCAATGCAAACCTCTCCCCGCAGACGTTCACCATATGATGGTATCTGTGATGTATAACATCTCTCTTTGCTAATCATTTTTATACTGCATGCTTTTCTGGTAGTTGTGGTAAATCTTTAAAAATATCTGACTTCTTAGTCTGTCAAGTAACCTAATACCACTCACACTTTTAAACTGAAGCATTATTCTTTTGCTCTGGTCATAACAAGAGATCTTGTTTGTCACCATTTCTTAAAATAAATGATTAATACTTAATAACTTATAGAACTGTATATATTAAATAAAGTATAGTTTTTACAGCACTATCACCTAAATCCAGAATAAGTAAGTTTAGAAATAAAAAGAAAAAAAATTTGAAAAATGAAAGATTCTGATGTTTTAATTTGACAGACTAATAATGCACTGAAATTTTTTGATAATTCAACTACTCATAAGTTTAAAGCTGTGTTAACTGTGCTGAATTCTTGGGAAATTTTCTTGTCTAAGACTGTAGATTTTCAATCCCTCAGTTTGGAAGTTTATGCTATTGTCTGAGTAGCTTGCAAGTGGACTTGGAAAACAACAGTTACAATCAAATAATTTAGAATCTTTGTATATCAGACCCAGCAACAACTGTTGATTACTCTGTATCTGTTTGAAATTCTTGTTTGTATGATGTTTATTTTAAACATTGTAATATGATGGTTAAAAGTACAAATAATCAGGTGTGTTATATATTCTAAAAGAAGTTTGATATGTTCCAAAAGATATGTTCTAAAATGCGAGGACAGTGGTAGGGGGTTTGTCTTTTTTTCAAGAACTAAAATCACAAAAAAAGCAAAATTTTTTTGTATATATTCATCTCTAAATATGAAATCCTTGCATGGGACATTTCTTAGACCTGACTTCACAAAATCACCTTGATTATTAAACTCTTCATGTGATAAGGAGTATTTTATAGTAAAAAAATTGGAACAGCATTTAAAATGATTTAAAATCTAAAGGGGACATGTTTATTTATAGCAGTAACTTAATTACTAGGGTAGAGTTTCCTAAGCCTTTCCCATGGATACTTGACTATATATAAAATTGATTTAGCATTGAATAGACTTCAATAACCCTCAAAATTTTAAATTAAATACTGTTAGCTTATCATTATTAAAGTGAAACTGGGAATGTACAAGTGTCTGAGTGCACTAACAAATTCAGTGTAATATTAGTTGTCATCAATTACTTGCTGTTATTAGTTACAGTAAGTGTTGTTTACTCCAATTAACGTCACTATTTTCGCTTAAAAAGAAGCCCACATAGAAATTTACTCATGAAAATGGAAACTAGTTTAAGCCCCTTTCCGTGTTATTAATGCCCACTTTGTTTTGTTCCTGTCTCCTTCAGACAACTCCGATATGTATAACCAGAGAATGCCTGTCCAGAAAAGGAATGTTCCATCAGGTAGGCATTAATAAACTAGTTTATTTTGCAAATTTTGTCCTTGCAAGCAAATCAGAAGTACAAATAGTGGCAATATAACCCCTTCAATTCATAGTATATATATTTTCAACTTCAGCTCAACATCGAGGGGGCCCATTTGGAGGACACAGTGGTCCTACCCCCCTGTTTGAGGATACAAGTGTAGACCAACAACAAGGAATGCCAGGAATGCAAGGGGGGTTTGGACAGTTTGCTGGAAATGAATTTCTACAAGGTCCAATGGCTAATGTGGCCGTAGGGTATGGAGCAGCCATGGCTAATCAAGGCAAAGAATATGTGGAAAAGCATGTAAGTTCACTATTTTGATTGAGCTTTGTAGCTGAAAATTTTAGCCATCTTCACAATAAGGTTAACCAATTAACTCCCAAGATCTGATTGTTAATTCTCCCTCTAGCTGCTATGCATTTCCTCATTAATTGCCTATGAGAATTTGGTGTTGGATCAAGATAACAACTTCTACCAAATAAGTTTGAGTCTTCTCATTACCTGTTTGCTAGATAATATATGGAAATTATGGAGAGAAGTTATAGGAATGAATTAAAATTTATTGACTGATCATTCCCTGTCATCAAAATGTATTTGTAATAACTCCTAGTAACTGATTAGTTTCATTTTCAATTTCATTTTTGTGACTACAGTCGAATCTGTATTAAGTGGCCACCCAGTATTAAGCTGTTGGTTTTCAAAGTTGTAAAATTTCTTCCACTTAAGTACTGTAATTTTCACCTACTAAGCTGTCACCTCCATAAAGTAGTTATAGTCATCCTTAACCCTTTAACTCCCAAGATCTCATTAGTAATTCTCCTTACTATCTCCTGTACAGTTCTTGTGATGTTAGTTTGGAGGATTTAGTATTGGATCATCTTATAATCCCCTAACTGATATTTTTCTTAATTCTCATAACTTGTCTGCTTGATATTGTTTTGATATTGTAAGGAGAAATTCTTTCTTGGTCACTTATGGGAGTTAAAGGGCTAACTGAGTTCCAAGAGCCTGTTTATATGTTCTTCCATCTGTATTTTGATATCATTTAAAACTGGCCATTAAACTAACTAAAGTCTAATATTCTCTAAAGTCAAAATTATTCCATGCCTGTCTCCCTAAGTCAGTGTTAGCACTTTGAATTCAAATTTCCTCAATGCAGTACAGATTATCTTTCCTCTTAGCACTGTTAGGACAAAACGTTATTTTTTTATCATGCTTGACCTCTATCTTTTTGAACCTGCATGAACCTTTTAACTCCCATGAGTGACCAAAACAGAATTTCTCCTTACAATATCAATATAAAATCAAGAAGACGAGTGATGAGAATAAAGAAAAATATCAATTACGGGATTATTAGTTGATGCAGTACCAAATTCTCAGAAGTAAAGTCAAAATATTGTATAGCAGACAGTAAGGAGAATTACTAAAAAGAACTTGGGAGTTAAAGGGTTAGGTGGTCACCTTGCCATTCCCCTTGGGTTCAGGTTCAACTGTATTAAATGTGGATGTAGTAAATTAAATATTAAATTGTGTTTGCCATTTTTTTTTTTTTTTTTTTTGCAGATTGACCGATTTGTTTCAGTATCAAAATTAAAGTATTACTTTGCTGTGGACACGACATATGTTGTCAAAAAACTGGGACTTCTCATCTTCCCTTTCACGCACAAAGTAAGTAAGGAAATGATTTTGTGGACATAACTCTCACAGGGCTTTTTCTAATGTTCTCTTTTTTTTCACCTGATACAATACTATTGCATCTTCTCCCAGGAGTTTTTGGTGATCAGGGTTTTTTCAATGAGAATCAGGTTGTCTGCTGAAAGTTTTGGAGTAAGTGGAGAAAATTGAGGTTGCATTGCATAAGGTCCAATCAAAAAAGAACAAAGGCAGGTGGAACTGTGGTCATGTTGGAAACATTCGAAGCTGTGCATGTGGAAAAATCATTGGCTGCCCAGCTTTAAAAAGCTTATTATGTTGCATAAGTTACTCAAAGAAAAATTTGAAGAGTTGGTTGCCTGAGTTTGGAACCCCAGCTTTGCTCGAGTGAAGCAGCACTGATACAAAACAGTAATCTGTTACCTATTGTACAGTGTTACTACCAATTACTAGATTGAAATGTGGCTGTTTCTTTACCTAGAACTGGTCAGTGCAGTATAACAAGTCAGAACCGGTTGCACCAAGATATGAAGTGAATGCCCCTGATCTCTACATTCCAGGCATGTTTTCAAACTTTGAAGGAACATAGTCACTTTCAACTCAAAACTCAGCTTTGTTTGTCATATTTGCAACAGTATTCCTGATTTTGTTGCCCCCAAAGGTCATTCCTCTCTCATTACCTTTATACCCAAAGTCAAAATATTTCTTATCCCTTGTAGGAGTTGCAATGTACTGTGCACATTTTCCAAGAGCACTCTATTTATGTTGAGTGAACTCCACAAAACTTTCATCCATCCAGAATTTATAGTTTTCATAGCATCAAAATTTTTGTGTGTAATATATGTCTAAATGGCAGTTGTAAGCTTTGGTGGTGTGCATGGGAAAGGAAAACCTTGAAAAATACCAAACAAAATAGTGAATTGAAATTTGATACTTGGAATTGAGCTGAAAACCTCAAGGCAGCTAGACGACCTATTTCATTCTTTTTTGTTTTGCAGTGATGGCATTTGTTACATACATTCTTGTTGCTGGGCTAGTTATGGGAACACAGAACAGGTAAACATTTCTTTAAAAATTTGAAATTTGTCTGCACGATGTGATCATATGGTAACTTGACTCTTTCTTTTGCCAGATTCACTCCTGAACAGCTGGGTATCACAGCCAGTTCTGCTCTTGTGTGGCTGTTTGTTGAAATAATGGCTATCCTCTTTTCCATGTACATCTGCAATGTGCAGGCAGAGATCAAGTGGCTTGATCTTTTAGCATTTTGTGGCTACAAATATTTTGGGTGAGTGTTAAAGTGAGAGAAAAATCCTTTTATCCCCAAGAGTGCTTTATGGGTTATTAATCACTCTCTTTCTCTCTCTCTCTCTCTCTCTCTCTCTCTCTCTCTCTGCAAGAAAATTGTTTCACTGCTCCTTGATTTTATTCTTGAATGACTTAACTAATACCCATTATGACCTCTTTTAGTGGATAAGGAATGATTTCACTGTCTGTAACATCAATATTTTCTTGTATGCCATGCAGAAGAAAATTAAAAGTTCATGTAATGAAATTGTGATTTACAGATTGATTTGGCATAGTTTACGCCTTCTTTAAACTTCTTAGAGTGACACTATTTATTCCCTGGATATACTGTATGTATGATTATACTAATACTAGTGTGATAGCTCTGGTGATCATAGGGTCAATGCTCGTGATTGGTCAAGATTCACATCATGTTTAGCCATAATAACCCACTTGATGTGATTAAAACACTAAAGCACTAATTTCCAAAATGTCTGTGCAAGCTTTTGAAAGAAAACCAGTACAATGAAAGAAAATGCAGTTGCTCTTGTAATCACCTAAACAGTTATGCCTAAACAAATTTTCCCTCTCAGGCTCAATAAGTATTGTCAAAAATTGCAAAAAAGGTGTTTTTTTTTTGGTCTGTAGGATGATTGTGAGTTGCCTTGGTGGACTTGTTTTTCATTCCTTTGGTTATTATCTTATCCTCTTATGGATGAGCATCAGCATTGGATTTTTCATGGTATACTTGCAGTTGTATTTCTGGTCACAGTTTTTTTTTCCTTAGAATAATAACTTCTCTGGGTGGTAAACTTTTGCATAATATTGTAATTTTTGAGTGACTCTCAAACTTGTTTGTATTCTCTGATTTGTATGCCTGCAGTGCTGCTATATTTTTGGCAGCCAAATACCCAACTTTTCACAAAATGTGTGGCTGTTGTCTTGTATATTTATGGCAAAGAGGCAAGGTAAAATTCCACAGAAGAGCTGGTTAATGGGCAAGAGTGAAGGGGGGGATGCCTTTTCTCACCCATCCCTCTTGCCTACTTCAATTGGTGGCTTGATAAGCTATCATCGGCTTAGAGCACCAAAATGCATTTCCTTGTGAGATTTCTGTATTGTAGTCTAATACAGAGGCAACCTTACACTCAGATGACACAGGGAAGGATGGGAAGGGACTTGTGATGGGTTACCAATACATCCAGGGAGGGTGAAAGGGGGGGCAGTGCTACTCCAAGTTTCTTCTAGTTGATGGGTAGACTTGTCATAGCGGACCAATTAGTAATTTGCCTCCACAGTATTATGACATTTTCAAGTATACAGATCATGAGAAAATGGAAAAATGTCAATTACGGGTTTGATTTACCCATAAATTCTTAGTGCCAGCATGGCAAGTAATGTGTGCTCGGCGCAAATGAGACTAAATCTTTAGTTCTTGGCTGTAAACAGCTTAAACACTTATATTTTGATTTGTGTTTCAGGTGCGCACCTTGAGGTTAATTATTGTACCAGAATCTGCACCTGATGGGATCGCCAGAGCAAGCAAACGAAGAATATATCTTCTGTTATTTATAGCCGTGTTGCAGCCCTTGTTCATGTATTTCTTAACAAGTCATTTGAGACCAGTCTCTTCAGAGTCCTTAAATGGCCCAAAAGCCACCTTGTAAAAATGCTCTGTAGATAAGAATTTAATATTTGAAGCGCTCTGTTCCTTCTATTTCACAAGTTAGAGCTGCTTAGCCCTTTGAAAATTTTCTTTGAAATACTTATGTAGATAAGAAAAAAGGATTTCCGTTTCTGTATACATTGGTTTTTGAGGGATCTTCCAGAGTTCTGCTATCAACTCAAGGAGGAAGGAAACAGAAACGCGGTCAAACAAAAACAAGCAGTCCGTGACTACGCCGAGAATCTAAGGGGCTATATTGTTTCAACCAATACTGTTTTTCTCTGACTGTTTGGCACTGCAGATTTGTTTGACGCACTCAAAAATTATGCAAAATATGTTACACCCGATCATAGAGAAAATTCTGACCACATGACTTATCCTGCGTCTACAATCGTGTAAATGTTAGTTCTCGCTAGATTTTTCTTGCGCATTTTTCGGTTAGTAATTTGAAATCAAGATTATGTTGTGCTCAAGACTTGCCGTACTAGACCGAGAAGTTAAACTAATACTTTCCTTGTATGGGTCTAGAATAGCGACAACTCTAAAAGAAAGAGCAGCTTTCTCAAATTATGTTGTAAGGTTCAAAGTTCAAAAAGATTTGGAAACGTAGTAAAATGAGCTAACGATGCGACAGTTACATTGTAAATTAAATGTAGATCTCATCGTATCATCCAGGGCTCTAATTACTCCTTGACAGATGACAAAAAATTATAGATTAAAACAATTCTTGTTCGTGGATAAAAGTTCTTGTCTCTATTTTAAATTTTGGTGATCCAGGTTGACAGTTAAAAACAGTTTCCTTAGAGCCAGCCATTGTGTAACTGTCTCGGACAAACAAAAGCATATAATCGTGAAAAATTAAAATGAAGAATCGAGGAGGTAAACTAATTCATATTTGACAAGCAGAATGAAAGTGACGCAAGTTCACCTGTTGATGTTGATTTCTTTTTAGAAACTCTGAATCGGTCCGTTTGTTAAATTTAAAACGTCCAAATCAAAAGCGACGTATTCGCCGAAGTAGCCATGGTTAAAAGTCGTTCAAGCGTCACAAGTTGTGAAAAAGTTTTATTTTCTACTCATCGCGAGTTTTTATAGTTTGGATAGAACGACTAGAGATGTAACAAAATATAAACACAGCTGATTGAGTTGGGGTCAAACAATAATTGACATCACATGGCAATAAAGGCCACAGACATTACAACTATTACTACTGCAAAAGCAAGAGTGACTCCAACGATTTCCGCCACCCGTCCCCTTTCTTGGGCTTGGTGTTTTGCCTTTAGTAATGCAGCCTTTGCAGTTGAATTAACCGGTTTCTGTAACTTCTCTGAGCCGGGCTCCGAAGTCGTTGGTCTTAAGAGTTTATCCTCCACTTTAGGGCCTAAGCAATGAGGAGAGAGAGAATTGTGCAAACAGATCATGGGTGTGGTTCGCTTAGGATGAAAACAGTTGCAGTTGTTTCCATTGGACTGGCAAAGTCGATTAGCCAGGTAAAGTTTATTCCGTTATAAGTCGAGACATACAAAAAGTTTATGCGAGAAATTTATCTGTTGGAAATTACTTATAGTGGTCAAATTAAACAGATATCCCTTGAAACCATGAATCTGTGTCGTGCCATCTGACTTTATGCGTATATCGCTCACTTTCATCACGTAACGTAAATATGTAACTGAGAGGGCTAGACCAATTTACACAATGTTTGAAGTTTTTTTTCTCAAAGACGATAACGGAAATAGACCACTCGGTATATTAAAATTAGCATTGCGGGATATTTTTGCGAGGTTGGCGACGCTACATTTTGAGTCCTGACTGAGGTTAACGGTTTGAAAAAAGGATCTACCATAGAACGAAAGTCCCAGCTGATTTCAGCTCGGTACACATTTTCTACATCCTTGGTAAGTTACTTCAACAGCATTTATATAATACCCTTACCGCATAACTCCTCCGTGGAAAGAGTGATCAGTATTGTTCCGAGCAAACTGGATGGCGAGGCGCATTTGATATCTTGGACGTGTCTAACTAAAGGGAAGTGGTTTTTTGAGCCAAGAAGGCGTTCCCGAAGCCATTCCAGATTGCAGTCGCAGTGAAAAGGGTTTCCTCCGATAGACCTGTAAACAGATAAAAGTTAAGATCAAGTAGTTTCGAAATCATCATAATGTCAGGATTCGTATTACGTATCAAGTAGTCGCCTGTCTCTTCCCAACTGAAAAACTTTTCGAAAAGAATAAGGGTTGATTTCGCTTCCATTTTGCAGTGATGCTGTTTGTTCCCACCCAGTTCGAGTGATGTGCAAATAAGGGCTTCAATAAAGTCATGTGCATGACGAGGGAGAAATGAAGGTGTCTCATTTTGTGAGTTGCTCCATTTAGAAAAGGAGAGGTGCTTTCACTTTATTTAGAAGGCGTCCGATTCTGGAGTGCAGTTCTTTTCAGACGGCGTGTAATCTAAAATGACGTCCCCTTTTAGAACCGTTTCGATATTTCGTGGAAGTGATTTACTAGCTGAACGTACCATGTGTAAGTGAATTTTTGGGTATGAAAACGTGATAACTATGTCATTTCACTTCAATTTTTCTGAGTACTTTTGAGTTGCAATGAAATAACGGAGATATTACATTTTTGATAGGTCCATTAACGTTATCTTTGTCATAGCAACACATCGCATGATAAATTAATTCTGCAGATTTAAAAAACAGACAGCATATCGTGTGGCTCGCGAAAGGTTTCTCTGTAGCTCCGTGGAGGAACTTCTGGTCAGTCTGTGGAACGTCAATGGTTCGAACTGCCGTTTATTTCTTTACACTGCGAAGCACTATCGTTCGTGTCTCTGATTGGACGAACGATGTATTTTCACAGTCGTTCACTTCTAATCTTTGAATTGAAACGTAAAAAAATCTCAGTATGTTTGAAATAAAAACACCATACCATGGAAAGTGCTTAAACGATTTTTATTCACGAAACGCGATGCGTCAAAAGACTCACTCGTTCTCTTTTTTGATACATCGAAACTCGCGAATAACAATCCGAGAGTGCGCACGAACGGCTTTAGTGCACGCTCTCGAATAATCTCGATTTCCCTCGGCCCTCTTTTACGACATCTTGAAAAAACCTCACGGAGCGATTACTGTTCCTAGGGTAGTTACTAAATCACAAACATCTGCACAATACATATACCAAACACACTTACTTTTTTGCTATAAAAAAAACTGTTACAGTCCACAACTGAGTTAAGAAACAAATCAAATGATTGGACTTCTTTTAGACTCACAGGTGATGAAGGTGTTCTAGTTCCTGGATTGATTCTTCAAAAAATGTTGTGATGTTGTTTCGCTCCAAATTTCTGTTGAAAAATAAGGAACTTATAAATTGAAGGAGGAAAGGAAGATGGATAGAAAACTAGAAAAAAATGGGAAGAAAAATGGGCGTGTACTTACATAGATTGAACACTTCTGTAACCATCACCAAATTGAACACTTGAGATGTTGTTTCCGGAAAGATCTCTGTAAAGGATTATTAATTCTGAACGATTCACAATAATTCGCGAATGAATGTACGCTTATTTTGTACAGATATAATTTTTTGACTTACACAGTTACAACTTCCCAGCTTTCTTTCACTTCAGGGATTGCAAATATTCCTGCGTTGCGACACTGAAAAAATTTCCTGTCTTTGTAAAATCTACATCCCGTTGGATAGCCTTCTGCGATATCATCAGAAACCGAATGCGGAACTTTTTCCCCGGACTGTGCTCCACAAAGAGAATATTGAAGAAAAATCAAGACAAAGATTGGTGCGAAAAGAGTTTTGGCCATTGCAGAAACAGTGGCGGTTTTTGAAACTTCATTTTGACGTCAAATTGAACGGTCGCTGAGCGCGCTATTCGCGCATGCGATAAAAGCGCGAACTTTTTCTACAACGTTATATTTTCATTCGATTTCATTTCAGTCTTTGTGTTTAATTACTCGAGATTTTTGGGATTAAAACCTGTAGTTTTGGCCTACGCTTGACTTAATTAAAAATTTGCGTTATTAGTCATTTTTCAATTGCGCGCAGCGTCAATGTTTCAAACTCCGATTTTTTCGCCTGACAAGTAATCTGTTTGGTAGACCTTTGTCAAGAAAGCTATTTCGAATTAGGAAACTTTGTTCAATGAAAACTGAGCTGGCGCATTCATAAATTTTTGTTCCGTTAAAAACGAGTTTCGAAGAAAAGATAACAGATAAAAAATTAGCTTATGATTGAAATAAAAGTTCCAATTATTTTTGACGTTATGTCTTTAACATTACGTACTTTCTTTGGCAATTAGGTTGACGTTGCAGTTTATTACGTCACTCGTTGAATCGGTTAAAACAAAAACTCTGAGATGTGACGACGAAAAACTGAGACCGAAATGGGCGGCGCTTGGCGAATGCACATCTTGGTGTTGCTGTGTTGTGTGTTTATCATCTCGACCAACGGAAAGAAGAGCGCCTCCTCCAGATGCAGAGTGCGTCGGTTTGAAAAAAAGCTTGATTGTAGAGGGGTTGGATTCAGCAGGATACCTAAGATTGACAAAGGAATACTGATAGCGTAAGTGAAATACTTTGGTTACAATTTGATTTCGTTTTGTTAAGAATCAGTTGAAGTCTTGTTTTTGGACAATTCGCTCCGTTCCCGCGCTTTAGGTAGTTTGCTTTTTCAGTTACTTTGAGTTCTTGCTGGCTCTTTGGATTATTTTCCTTTTGGTTGACCGTTGTAATAACTGTGTTGTTACCACACTCAATCAGAAAACGCTCTTAACAACCATCGTACAATGCTTTTAATAAGGTTTTATATATCATTGTCATTTCCTGCGCGTTTTGCTATCCATTGAAAGGCAGTTCATTTTCCACAGAGATTTTACAGACAACCATATAACACACTTAACCAAAGAGGATTTGGGACGCCTTAGAAAGTTACAAAAAGTGTGAGTATTCATCCATGCAGATTGGTGTAGTGTGTACTTGAACGAAGTGGCCCATCCAGCTAGAGCTTATCCCGGTTTTCATGGGATGAAGCGATTAGGAATATTACAACTACATCGCAAATTTACCCCAGCATTTCTCCAGTAGCCAGGCTTCCATGGTACCCAGTGATACTCTTATCTGGAGAGAGGTTCCTGCGGGGTTCCTGCGTACTGACCGCAAGGTCACCAAGTCTCTTACACTCAATGAGAGTATCTTGATAATTATGAATTTTTCCAAAACTCTAGATCGATCAGGAAAAATCTATATATGATTATTCGGTGAAATGAAATTATTCCTGATTTAAAAGTCAAAGGTTATCAATCGCCTTTGGTATGGAGCTTCCCTGGTATCAAGGTTATCCCTTAAAAGTTAAAAATTAAGAAAAAAAGTGGCCATAAGCCATTGAAAAACTGCTGAAATTTTTTTCCAGAGAGTCAAATTGTGTGAAAAATTTTTTTCTTTTATTTTTTTAAGCTTAAGACTCAGGGGTTTAGTTATTCATTCATTCAATTTTTTATAGTTATCTGAATGGGAACCCATTGCATTGTGACTGTAATCTCGAAAGGCTTAGACTTGGCCGGAAGAATCTGCCTGTAATTCAAGATGTGGATAATATTCAGTGCAAAACACCATATCATCTTCGAGATAAGCCTTTGAACTCTCTCTCCGATCTCTGCGGTAAGTTTGTTTTTAAGTAGGATAAAGTTTTTGTGTCCCAACAGAAGCTACAACAATCGCGAAAAGGGCATAGCTAACATTGAGGCTTACTCCTCTAAAAAGGGGCAGTTTTCAATCAGAAGATATATTAACACCATCACTAGGCAAGATGGCATTGGTTTTAAGGGGCGCAAGTTTCTAAAGAAACTGTGGTGCTACGTCGGTGGGAGAGTATAGCAGGTAATTTAGTGTTAACAACTGAGTTGTTAACACTAAATTCTGATTGGCTGTACAAGACTAAAGCTGACAAAAATGTCAAACCATCAAAGTTCATATTTAACAAATAGATTCCAAGTTGTCGTGCGTCTGTTCAGTAATAGATCACAGATGACGTCAAAATGTGGTAAGAACAAAAAAGTGACACACGAGGCGCAGCTCGACTACGTCTCGTGTTTTCCCCTACACTTCTTTCGTGCTCTAGCCGCTTACTGCGTGCTTTACAACAGAACAGAGCACAGTCAAGGATTCTCTATTTGTTAAATTATCTGTTTTATTGGTTTGACTTCACCCTGCTTTGTGATTGGTCCAGAAGACTCATAGAAAATTCACATTGTTTTCAGATCTAAAATGGATATAGTATGTATTTATAGGGTAATTAAAAATATCTCAATAAATTATCTTTCTTCTTTTTTTGCTTGTAGATTATGGCAGAATTATGCATGATCACAATAGTTCTTTGCCAGTCGGAAAAAGTTCTGTAGGAAAGGGAAAAGGTAGGGAAATTTACAACTGGTCTTCGTACTTGACTGGCATGTTAACACAGTTTCATGACAAATCTCTAAAGTTAGTTCACCAATTCTACACTAGCTAAGTTTCAAAACAGGAAAAGAATAATACTAATAATAATAATAAAGTTTTTGGGCGTATTTAGAAAACTAAACGCGCTTTCATTACTATTTAGAAAAAAATAAATTGATTAAAACCTACAAAATGTTTCTTATAACAGTAGTAAATAAAATAAATGAAATAATTAATTAAGAATTGGGTGGCATGAAAGCGAGGTACAGTTCCACGTAAAATAATTAAAAAAAAAAAAACTCCTGAAACAAGAATGTTTTGAGGGCAAATTTAAAAGATAAAAGAGATGTTGTATTTTTAACAGAACCCGCTAGACTGTTCCATTATATAGGTGCGAAGAAAGAAAAGGCACGTTCACCGTATGTCACAGAGTTCACAGTAGGGACGGTAAAAAGTAGTTTAGAGGATGAGCGTTGGCTTCTTTGCGGGTGGTATTGTTGTAGGAGGGACGACAAGTAGGCTGGACAAAGTCCATGGATAATTTTGAAAGTGATGAGCAGAACTTTGAATATAATCAGTGACTTAACAAGTAGCCAGTGTAGTTCTCGAAGGGCAGGTTTGATGTTCTTATCGTTTAGTTTCATTGATAAGACGTGCTGCAGTGTTTTGAATTCTTTGAAGTTTATCCAGTTCCTGTTTTAGAAGACCACGAAGGATACTATCACATGATATTTCTAGAGCATTAACGAACAGTTTGAGAATCTTTGTATTATGAAATGTAGAATATCGATTTAGCCAGGCCAAAAAGAAGAGCTTCTGAAGTTTTTCTTTTCCCTCACTCGTTCGATAAATGAAATTAAGTTGGCGATGAAAGAAAGCACGGCCTTAAGAACACTCCTTGAAGACCACTATCCTGAGTACGCGTGAAGATCAGTATCTATTCCCTAATTTCCAATAAAATCATTGGCACATACGGCGAGTAATAACGAACAAAAAGCGAACATATCGAATTAGGCACGGAATGGCCGCCACGTTGCGACGTCCCGTGGTTATAAAATCTGATAATTATCCCGGACCGAAGAAGTCGGCGAAGTAAATTGAACAAATCTAATTTCCGAAGGACAGCAAAAATTAACCACTCATCGCTGTTGTGATCGTTAAAAAAATAAGAATGTAGATTTGGGTATATTTTGGAATTACTAAAATCTTTTCATAACAAGGAAGATGATTTCCTAATTATTCTAGCCTGCGTAGCCTGGCTCTTAGGGAAGGGGGAGGGAAGGGAAGGGGGAGGGAGAGGAGGGGGGGAGGGAGAGAGGAGGGGGAGGGGGAGGGGGAGAAAAGAGCCTTCCTCCCCCCTCCCCTCCTCTTTTCCACTTCCCCTCCCCTCCCCTCCCCTCCCTCCTCCTTCAAGGCCAGCTATGCAGGCTATAATTATTCCCTTCTTTTGACCTTTTACTCTTTCATTTTTTTTGTGCCAACGCAATCAGGTAGATATATTTTTTATTTTGTTTTACGCTAATACAGTTACAAGCGTTCGCATGATCAAGGAATTGATTCCTTTTTTCGATGAGTTTCGTATTCTCCCCTTTAAACAGATGGCAGCATTAACTGCAAAAGTAACATAAACTGCCCAACTGGCAGAGTTTGCACCAACCATACATGCCAGTGTAGGGACGGCTATTATGAAGAGGGAGGGAAATGTGAGGACATAGACGAATGTATGAGCGGATCTCACAAATGCGGTAATGTCAACGCTTATTGCAAGAACAATGTGGGAAGTTTCACCTGCGAGTGTACCCCGGGTTTCAAAAAGAAGAACGAAGTATGCGTAGGTCAGTGTATGTTCTAAGTTTTTGATAAGTAAGCTGTTATGAGCGCTTTTCGATTGAGTGTCGTTTAACCAAAACCAAAGCAATTACAACAGCCAATCGGAAGAAAGGAAAATAACTTTAAGAGCCAATGAGAACTCAAAGTATAAACAACCAAACTGCCTGAAGCGCGGGAAAACGCGGGCAATCACGTCGTAATTGGTTTTAATTTTGCATCTGATTGGTTGAGAAAGTAGCGCGAGTTTCTGGACCAATCACAGAGCGATGTAAAGCAAAACCAAGGAAATTCCCGATTACTTTTGTCACTCAATTGAAAATTGCTCTGTAGCAAAAAATATTATCCATTTTTATCTTAGTGAAAGGCAAACTCTTGGTAAAACCATACTTTACAAATCTTTCTGCAAAGCCTCAGTACACAATAAATAGGGATCAGATTCTTTGATATGAGGTGAGAGCTGTGAGCTGAAAGAGACTGATACGACAAGATATGGAGACGAGACAGGGTCTGTCATTCTTAGAAAAGGCAGAGCCTCTTTTCGTTCAAAGGTCGATTGTACAATAGACCATTTTAAGGTTGTGTACTTAGCCGCCAAGCCTTTAATTTGGAGTGAGGCTGTAGGTGACCTTGTTGTGATAAAGACCAGTATCGAGTTAGCATTGACAAAAAAGTAATTTGCATTTGAAAAGCAACAAGGTTTGTATCATAACAAGGTCAACCTTAGCCTCACTCCTGTTCAAAGACTTGGAAACCAAGCACACAACTGTAAAATGGACTATTGCATTCCCTCTGCATTCCCACGACCGTTAAAGAAAAACAACACTAAACAAACAGCCATAAAACAGAAGGGAAAGATCGTAAATAGTCACTCTTAGGTTAGCTTCATCTTGTTTTGAACAAATCAGATAAGCTCGCATAAAACTAAAGCATAGATATCACTGCAACATTTCAAAGCTTCCATCCACTTTTTTATTGTTTTGAATGACATAAACTTTATTTTTCAGATATCAATGAATGTGACAACCCGCACGTGTGTGGCAAAGATGTAAGCTGTATCAACTCTGCTGGCAGTTTTGCTTGTGAATGTCTTGGTGACATGAAAAATGGGTATTTCTATGCCGCTGAAGTGAAACAGTGTATAGATGTCGACGAGTGTAAGATGCAGCTCTGTAATCAAAGCACCAGCACATGTAAAAACTCCCATGGCAGCTATAAGTGTGATTGCAAACCTGGCTACAAGACTAAAGAAACACATCAATGCATAGGTAATTAAATAATTGTATTTACTCAGTAGTTTATGATAGGGCGACGCCCTTCTTTTGAGTCTTTCCTCATTTGATCGCTTCTCTCTGCAATAGTGTGTCGAATTTCCGAATTGCCTTTGGCTTCTTTTTAAAAACTAGGCCTGGTGCTCAACCATGTGTATGAAAATGAGTTTAAGTTATATGTGAATAAAAACTTACAATCATGTGAAAGGATGAGCTCCAGGACTTGCTTTGAAATAGAGGCCAAAGGTAATTCGGAAATGGGCATTTGCTATGTGAAAAACTTTTGTGCCGTCGATCCATCAAATCTTAACTGGAATATTAGTGATGATAATCACAATAGTGGTTGGTGTAAAAAAGTTCAGCTCAGAATCAGTGTGGCTCATGTGTTGTATCGATTCGCGAATGCATACACTTCTGACTCTCCCAGATCAAAATTTTCATTCTCCTTACTGTCAATCGTGCAATTCTTATGATGTTAGTTCAGATAATTTAGTATTGGATCAACTAATTATTCCCAAATTGATATTTTTCTTTATTCTCATTACTTATCAGGTTGTTGTTGCATTGATATTTTAAGGAGAAATTCCGTCTTGGTCACTCATGGGAGTTAAAGGGTTAAAGAAATTTTCAATTGAGTATTAAAAGTTATCCGGGTTTATGTATTGGTTTTGAATCACTCCGCTCTCTGATTGGTCCAGAAAACTCGTGCTATCCTCTCAACCAGTCACATACAAGACGCAAATCAAACGCAACTTGGTAATATGCGTTTCCCCGCGCTTTTCGCAGTTGGCTCGTTTTTACTCTGAGTGCTGATTGGCTCTTAAAGGTATCTTCCTTCGCTCAGATTGGTCGTTACGATCACTTTGCCTTTGCTTTTGCGACAGTCAATTGAGAAATGCTTTGAAAGAGATTGTCTCTCGGTACAACGTGACGAAGATATTTCCGGCTAAATTTAGCTACGTTCTTAATTGTAGCTTATTGGAATTTACGAGAGTGACACTCAGGACACAATATTTCATTTTTATTGACATATCAGACATCGATGAATGCGCGGAAACTGCAAAATGTAAAGGCCAGCATAGTACTTGCTCCAACACGGTAGGATCCTTCCTTTGTCGATGTGGTGCCGGCTTCATTTTCGACGAATTTGACACTAAATCTGAAGACAAATGCAAAGGTTTGTGCTTTTATCGGTCGTGATTTCTTACTTTTGTTTAGCCGTATTTGCGGAACAAGGATTTGAATACTGGGCAAACTCTTAAACGAGAGACGGTAGGAGGGGAGGATGTGGACAAAAAGCTTGGCAATATAAGGGGGAGGATGTTGGAATGGGGGAAGAGCCAACTTATCACAGTTTCAGTGGCATGAAGCCATAAGGACGAGATGCTATTCAATCGTAAGATCTCCCACGCCCCCTTCTCCCCGCCCTGTGGGAACTGCAAGATTTGAGACGAGTCGGGGAGAGGTTTGCCGGGAGTCTGGCACTATTTACCAGTACCGGACCCCCTGAAGACCCCTCGCCGTCTCGCGTTGCACATGCCTTAAGCCTTATGCCTCATAGTTTCCATTGGACAAAGAAACGCCCGTGCTGCAGCGCTTTTAACAAGGGCCTGCTCGACTACAGTTCTCTTATACCTTGACCATTGATTCCTTCTTGTCTGCCTTACAGACATAGATGAGTGCAAGACAAGGAAACACAACTGCGAGAAACAAAGTCACTGCCGTAACATACAAGGTAGTTTTAAATGCGAGTGTCCAGACGGTTATAACAAGGATGGCCTTAAATGCCGGCCCACGTGGTTTACTCGCTGGTTCACTCCCAAGCTCGTGTTGAAGGACCTTAAAAATGGGACCTTGGACACCCTCGGCGTTGTAGGTGGTGCTTGCCTCATAGTTCTGGTTCTGTTTCTTATGTTCGTTGTAAGATGTTACAGAAAATGTAGCACAATGTGTGGCAGAAAACCTGGATATAAAGGTAAGAAACGGAATTAATATTTTGTAATCTTCAGTCAGCAGACATGATCCTTGGGAAGAAGTGAATTGAATTAATGAAGTGAATCAGGCCTACTTTAAATTAACTATTTCTTCTCGGAATTGTGTTTTAGATCAATATTACTACCCTGAGGAAGTGTACGATCCTGATCAAATGTTCTTCGCTGAAAATGAAGGAATGTACTATCCAGACGAGATGGCCTACCATGGAGACGGTACGATGTATCCCGAGGGATATCCTTCGGGTGGGATGTATCCCGAGGGATATCCTTCGGGTGGGATGTATCCCGAAGGATACCCTGCGGATGGGATGTATCCCGAAGGATACCCTGCGGATGGGATGTATCAAGAAGGATATCCTTCGGGTGGGATGTATCAAGAAGGATATCCTGCGGATGGGATGTATCAAGAAGGATATCCCGAGGAAGAGTATTATCCCGAGGGAATGGACGATGCCACGGGCGGCCTTGAAGTGGCTGGAAAGAGTATTTTTAACATAGACGATAAGGATCCTTCTGAGAACGTTCCGGTAACGTTTTATGAAGATGACAATGAAGATCTTTCTGATGAACACGACTGATACATATTTGGCTTTGAGTGTACCCTTTTATTCACCTCGGCAAGAAGACTTAAGTTTGTGTTTCAATCCTTTAAATAACCTTTTTTGGACTGTAACTTTTATTCCCTTTTATGTCTTGAATCTGACCTGTATCGAACAGTTTTTTTTCTGGATTTCGTCTGTTCGGACTTTTACCGCTCGGCTATTAGCAATGTTGTTGCTGTAGTCCCATTGTTTACCTTTGTGCCGGATACAAGGATACTTTTTCGCTTCCAAGATTGCATGTTAACATGGACTAAAAGTCTACCCTCTCACCTTGAATATTTGTATATTAAGCCTTTCTACATCTCAATTTCTCCTTTTGTTAAACCTGGAAGTGCTCTCTCTTTTTTTCCCATTTATTCCTCGATATCCTGTAAGCTTCCAATATCCAGTTATCAATGAATCACACATTCATTTGTCACAATTAAAGTTCTGATGCAAAACGCTCTGTTTATGATTGTCCTTCACCATTCCCTTTCTAAGTTCTTAGTTAATATAATAATGTTCTTGCTGTGATACCCTCCCTTGAAGGTTTTTCCTCGCCTCCCCCCCTCCTGTTAACCAAGTGGTAACCTTTTATAATCCTTAGTTTTCCGCGGACTTTCCCTGCGACATTACCTGATGATTTCTTTAAATTCTTCCTTATGTTCCTTGATAGGCTGTGGTGGTGTTTTTAGGCATAAGTTCGTGCCTGTGTAAGCATGCGAGAGTGCTGGGCGGGGTTAGGTTGGTGGAAACACTTGACTTCTGTAGGATGATAACAAATGCAACCCATAATATTATTGGCGCTGATGTTATGTCAGTTTCACTGGCGTGAAAACCACTGATTTCTTTTATGAAAAGGAGAACATGAATTATTTCAGGTTTCATGATCGCTGGTTTTCAAATTAAACCGTCTGGGTCATTTGCATTTCCTCTACCTCTTCCTGCGGTTACAGGCCATTATCCATCAATAACACACTTGATAAAACAAGTGAACTACACGAAGTTTGAAATAAAAAAAGAACATTTATTTCCATCTCTTTGCTTTAGCAAGGCATTCCAATTTCTCCACGAGCAACAACATGGAGACGGGAAGAAAAACATTACATAATGCAATAATTAACATGTGAAGGGAACTAGGAAAGTATTATTTTACCAAAATATTTAAGAATGATCTCTTCATTAATGAATAAGAAACTAATCTGTACAGTTCACAAACTCTTCACATTAGAAAACCAAGCTCTCTCTTCAACGAATACAGGCTCTTACACTAGGCCATCAGGAAATTCAGGTGGAAATTATTGTTCTATGACAAAACATCACAAATCTTTGATTAAATGGAAACTTTGCTTTTGCTGAAGGAGTCAGAAACTATTATCATTTTTTCAATTTTCATGAAATGTTCTTTTTTTCTTTCCAGGCATACAGTGATCATCTGAGAAAACACCTTGTTTTATTAAGCTCCATTTTTACTTTAAAGTTTCCACCGACAAGTTTTCTCAGCAGCAGCATTGCTGGAGAAATTCATAGAGGCATTCCGTTATAACACCCTTTGTTCACAAACTGATACAATCCAGTACTTAAACAGGGGACTTTGGTGACAAATAATTTCCAAGGACAAAATTCCTTTAGGTGGATGACCTAGCAAACATTATCTTTGCTTAAGAGTTATCATGACAAAAAAAGTATTAGTGACAGTGGAATTGTTACAGGAAACTCATTAATTTAAATGCAGCTTTAAAACAAAATGATGTCAGAAAAATTGCAATACCCTGACAAGAAAGATGGCATGCAATATTAAATCCACTTCTCACTACAAGAGCATAAAAAGGAAAGTTAACATGTTAGGAAAACCTTTATATTTCAAAATGGCTATAGGAAAGCAATGCCAAAAGACCAGTCCAACTGCATCACAACATGACTAAGTTTTTTTTTTTCCTGTCATAAATTAAATGTGATGGCTTCTTTGATATTCTTATCTAAGCTTTCACCTCAACTATCTCAAAGAGCCTTCTCAAGTGTTGAGCCTCATTCACACTTACAACAAAGTACATCACTGCTCTGTTTGCAAATAACAATAGAAACTTTTTTTTGCAGTATTTCATTGCAAATTTATGATGTTGTAAATGGTCTGATTTCAACCTATCAAATATACTATTTTGCCATCAATTATTTCAATGCACTTTTCCAAAACTGAGGCAGAAATGACCAGAAGTTTCTAAAGGAGAATTTATGTACACTTGATTGTTTTTTTTTCCTTCAATTAAAATGTAAGCAGAAAATCTTTTCACCTCAAGAGGAGATGAAGAGAAAGGCAAATGTGAACAGGTAAACCTCTTATGGCATAAAAAAAAAAATGATCACATAAGAGAGCTTGTTTAGAAGAGTTTGCCCATTATTTCAATTTGAAATTTTCTGTTGTTTTTTCCTCCCCATGTTAACAAAATCTCTATATCTTTTCTCTAATTACCTAGCTGACTTCAACCAACTTTCACTCCCAACTTCTCTAAAACTTTAAGTCCTTTCTCTTGATATTCTTGCCGTGTCATCCAGAATCCTTCTTTGTCCTTCATAATGTCAGCCAGCACAGCACCACCAAGGAACACCATGTGTTTCCTTCTGGGTGGATCTTCAATTCTGATTTTAAATTTCTGTGAATAATGATGAAAATAGCAAAAAAGTGAACTTGGTTTAAGGAAACTTTTAATATACATTCTAATTTCTTGATAACATAAGACAAGCCCAAGACATAAAGACTGACCAACTAACTGCACACAACCTACCATTCCTCTCCACTCTGATGAAGGACTAACAATTGAAATGTCAGCTTTAGAAACTGTTTACTGTGGCTAATTTCATTATCAACTCAGTTGATAATCAACCAAATTATCTTCTACAACAGCAAGAACTTTGAAAGGTTCATGATCATATATCTAATTTCTGAGGTCTCTCTAGTCCACAATATGTTTCAGAGCATGAATTATTGCAGATTTCATTTCTGATATCAAGATGCCAATTGTGACAGTAACCTTTGGAAATTTTCACAATTTGAGAGAGGACCTTTCCTAACTACCTAGTTAGATCAAATTGATGTTATTCAACTAATTTATTCAATCATTGTTCAAGTTGTGTCTTTTGGCATGAACCAAAAAAAAAACAAAAGACAAGAAAAGGGGAGCAATTACGGTGGTTACACACCGACAATTTTGTGGTATCTCCCTTAAGAACTCTCTCCAGATACAACTGTTTGATCTCCCTCTCTAGCCTGCTTGGTAGGCCAGGGTACATAGTGGTACCACCAGACAGAACAATGTGCTTGTAAAAGTCTGCTCTGGTATCAATGTCTGCAGCCTGGATGGTGTTGAACAAGAGCTCTGCCACACCCACTCCTTCAATGTTGATGAGATGGGGTTGAAACAATGCCTCAGGTGCTTCAAATCGCTCACCACTCATCTTCACAACCCGTCCATCTGGAAGCTTACAAAGAAGAATGACTTATTACAAGAAGAAATTATCAAGTCTTTTTTTCCTTAGCTGAGAGTTGTACGAGGATTGATGACATCTTGCCTTGAAAAATAAAAAACTTGACTCATACTAAAAATTTGGCAGGATTTGTCATATGCTTAGAGATGAAAGTTCTTGCCTAGCAGTTAAGTGGCGAGAGGCAGACAACAAGGAAAATAAAAACTTCAACCAAACTCGAATACCAAAGTGCCACACCCACTGAACTACATACCCTGAAACTAAGCCTGCACATGTTCATCAACCTTTCAGCCTACCATGAGTTTCACAGTTTAGTTGGTAAATAAAAAGAATTTTATTAAGAATACTAAGTTTGCAAGTAATGATTCCCTAAAACTCAATAAAAAAGTTACTGATTTTGCTTACCAGGGAGAGCAGATTGAAATAATGACCAAAAATGTCTCTAAGACTTACTGTGTACTGTTCTACAAGAACTGTTGTTTCTAAGGCCAGCTTTTGTTCTTGTTCAATGTTGTACCTTAATATAACAAATGTAATATATAATAAGCAGACAAAATGAACATTGAAATGAACTGCTTTACCATGCTTTATCTTCGTGTGAACACAATGGGATTTATACTCTACACTTTAGACTTGATTTCGGGAGCCTAAGGAAAAAGGTTTATCTAAAGGAGTTAACTTACATTTTAATTGAGATATTTGACTATTTGTATCAAGGCATGGATGAAAATTCTACCTACCCGACATAACAGAGCTTTTCTTTCATCATACGGACAGTTTCAAAGTCAGCAGTGTGGTTGAATGCATATCCGCGCAACAGAAGCAACTGTCAAACAAACACAAACTTATCATTCAAAATACAGGAGAGCAAATGGTAACGTTGTAAAATTTTTCTTTGCACTTTGCATTGGTTTAACCCTACCACAATATTTTTAAGCAGTCCTTTTTATGATAATGAGTAATTTTTCATGGAGGAAATACTACTTGGAGATATTAATGATTGCCATAACTGTGTCATGGGAAAATGAAAAGGATTTAAGTGAAAGAAAAAAAGCCAAAAAGGGGATCAATTATTTAGATGAACTACCTTCTCAGGATCTTAAAAAACCATCATTTGACACTGAACTTCCTTTTTATATTTTCTTTCATGTCTAAACAACAAGAAAACCCTTCCCTTTAGTTGCACAGAATGAGAGGCTCCTTATTGTTAAGAAATTTTGAATTCTTTCATTCCCTGGGATCAATTTAGTACCAAGAACAAAGAAAAGATAAACACACCTGATTAGCTTTGGATTGAAACTTTTTGCATTATTCTGTGAAAACGACAGAGCAAGTAGGTTAAGGTTAATAGTTACCTTGATAAGATATTTGGTAATATCTCGTCCAGCTATGTCTAATCTCCTGGTGAGATGAGGCAGAGCAAAGCCTTCATAAACTGGGCAGATATGAGTCACTCCATCACCAGAGTCTATTACCACACCAGTCAGCAAACCTATAGATGGCAAGAAAAAATTGTTTTGTATGTCCAACGAATAAAGACAATTTACCATATTACAATATAGCAAAATAAGAAAGAATAGTTAACAACCACTTTGGAAGTCATCAGTAAAGTCAATTCATTTGAATTGAACACTAACTCCTTTTCAGGTTGTCAAAATAACAGCCACTGTCACTCGCATCATTGTTGAAATGTCATTCACTGTCATAACCTTAATAAAAACCTAAGTGCTATACTTGATATAATACAAAAAGTTAAAACAGGATAGGGGCAGTACACATAGTAGAGTTAGGTACTACAACTACATGTACAAAGATACCAATCTAAGTCAACTTATGCTATGATCACTATCTACTCACCTTGTGCATACAAAGTTAAAACAGCCTGAATAGCGATATAAACACCTTCAAATTGGTAGTTCTCAAACATGACCTGTATTAACAAATCAAAAATTGAGAAAATTTATTTCATCATACCAGCTATGATTCAATATAAGCAAACATCATTTCTACTTGTGATTCATTGTTAAGATGTAGTTATACTTTTTATAGGGACCCTCTCCAAAAGTAATCAATGCAAGTTTTCTGTTAGTTCAAAAGTAATTTCAAAATCTGAACCAATACTGAGATTTTGAAGTCAAATTTGACCCATTGATTATTTCTGGGACAGCAGTTCAAAATTTCAACAAGCAAAACAATAGGCCACCAAATGGTCATTTTCCCTCTAGATCTATGACAATCTCTGGCTTAAGAGAAAGTCACCACTTTGTAATGTTAGCTCAATCATGCCCAGGAATTCTAAAGAAAAAGATTATTTTCTCACCACTAGGATCTCAATGCCAATTCTCCTTATTGTCTACTGTACATTTTCTAAAATTTTAATTCTGAGAATCTAGTTTCAAATCAAATATTACCCAAGTGATATAACTTTATTCTCTTCACCTGTCTGCTTACTGCTAATAGTGAATTTATGTTGTATCAAATTACCTCTATGCCACTCCTGTGAGTGAAAGTTTTGAATGGTTTGTAAGCTCAAGATTTTTAGTCACAATAAAGTTAATTCTTCATTGTCTTATCTGCTTTAACTTTATTGAGAGCTTCCCCATCAAATAAAATTAGCAGCAAAGGGAGAACTGGTCTCAGTACCCCAGATAAAAAAACCAAGACAAATATTATCCTTCTTTCACTACATGAGGAAATAACATCTTTATATTTCTTTGTAAATTTTTTATAAAACTGTTTAACTGGCTTTCAAATGCAAAGTGATTAAGCAATGAATTTGCCATGTTCTGTGAAATAATTACCTTCAAAAGTAACAGCAATAAATAGATGAGATACTAAAGAACGAGTTATTACCCCAGCAGATGAGACTTGATGCAAGACACACTCACAGACAAGTTTAAGATATAAATTTTCGTGGCATGAATTGTTTGTTCCTCTAGATATTGTGCTAATCTGCTAAGCCACTTGTGTTAACTTTTACAGATAAACTATAACCTTCACAACACTTTAAAAGTTTGCAAGAAACCTTGACCTAATTGTTCTCACTTGAAGCATAAGCTTTATCAAGTGAGCTTTTTGAAAATGAAACCTCAAGAGACCAAGAGTTGTGAACTTACCTGAATCATTTTTTCTCTGTTCTTCGTCGGATTCAAAGGCGGTTCGGTAAGCAGAACCTAAATTTAAAGACTAAATGAGAAAACCTGGACAAGAATTGTCAATTTAGTTTTAATGGGGCAATAAAACTTAAGTTAATTATTGTGCAGTAGGGGTACGATAATGAAAAAGTTATTTAGTGCTCACTTTGCAATTCGTTGGATCAACGTTAAGCTTTGTTTCTCCAAACGTGTAGTCCCATACATGTTTCATGTCCTCCCAGCTTCGAACAATTCCATTATCCATTGGATAGTTCACTTCTAACATGTATCTTAGTTTGCTGGCTTCATCTCCAATCATCAGATCCTAAAGGGCGAAACAACGGACGTACAGTAGTTTTTGAAACACAACTTTTTCAGTTTGAACGAGAGTAAAGCTTGAACTTTTGAGTTAAATAAACGATGTCAAAACATGAAACACTAACCTTCACTTCAATATCTCCTACTTTCGCTGTGGATCTAATAATGGGTCTGCCCACCATCGAAGGAAAGATGTGAGCTGGGAAGTTTGAGCCTGCATATCCGCACTTGACAAACTGTAATTTAAAAATATTGAATCAAACTAGTTCGCTTTTAAACATCACTTCCAGCTGTGTAACAACTTATCAATCTTACCCCTGTTCCATTGTCGCAAACGAGAACTTTATTTCCCTTGGCATCCATGACCGTGCTGTTCACACCGACCACTTTCGTCAAAACCAATATGGCCGCTGCTAACTTCCTCAACGCCGCCTTGTCACGTGATAGCTCGTTTCCTGGCACCTCCCCCAAGGCTGCCATCATGTACCTGCCTCGTTGGATGCTTTCGACTTGCTTTTTCGAGTATCACGAATTTATCAAATCTCGCACAAATGCGAAAAAGGCTCTGTCGGTCAAAATATTTTAGCCTGTCTTCATAATTTCTCACTAATCAGTTAAAAAAGAGAGTTTTAAACTTCAGCATTGTGCTAAGACTTTTTAATATCTCTACATCTTAATGTTACTCGTTCCTTATAATAAAATCACAGCAAAGAACTTGGAACAATTCGCTGAAACCAGGCTATTTTCGTCTTCAAGTAAAGACATAGATACCTATGGCTTTCCGGCATCCAATTCCGTACAACATGGCGGCTACACCCTTGAACTTACTTCAGAAAATTTGAAGGAAGTCAAGGAAATGAAAGTCGGTTTTAGAGGCCCTAATGAGCAAAGTCTTAGATTGCAGGAAATAATAACGCTGTGAAGCAATGGTGAGTTGCCAGCAATGGAAAAGCCATAGGGGCGGTTTCTCCGGCCTTGTTTCGGCCGTCACTTTCCTTTTCGTGTTTGTTTTGCGTTTCACGTACCGCACGACTGTTTGTTTTCGCTTTGACTTTCCCCGTATATAGTGTCACTTCGTTTGTTCGATCTTCCCATTCCCTCCTACGATCCATTATCTCCTCATTGAACTTTCTTTATTTCCTCATTATTTTAGCTTCTTGTTGCATTTTCCTATACCTCAAATTTTCCTCATTGATAACATAATTTAATTCGAGATCCCTCGACAACAGTACTTCCTACGAGTACCCTCAACGTGGTTCATAGAGGTGTTGAACGATCGTGGCATCCCAAGTCAATTCAATTTGTACCAATCGTACACCTTGCGAAAAAAGACCCTTCAATCTCTCCATGAAATTTTCCTTATTCTTCATGACTCTTTGAAAAACATCAAGCAACCCTTCTGGTCACTATGTAACACTTCTAATCATGAGATCAAATTAACCATTCTCCCTATTGACTTCCATACATTTCCTTGTGGGCTGGCCAAGAGAATTTATTTGGTGTTGTATCAAGGTAACACCCTCCAACTGGTAAGTTTATCTGTTCCCATAACTGGTTTGTTAGATAACATTGGAATTGCAAGGATAATTTTTGTGTTTGAGTTAAAGAGTTAATAAAATTAATTACCTCAGAATACTAACAAGACACCTTTCAGAAAAAAATTTAATATTTCAAATTTGTTATTCAGTGGAAGTGATGCTTTGCAAATTGAATTTCAACTTTCATGGCACATCACCCTAACATAATGAAATGTTGCCTTCAAGATTTTTGACAAAAAAAACGTTACTTTGCATCTCAAAAGTCATCAACTAAGATCATGTAAGAGATGGGGACAAGCAGTTCTGTGCTGGCTGTAAAAATTTTCACTCCTCTACCATTTTTGATCTGAATTGGATTAAAACATGACTTGAAATTAAATTTCTCAAAAATGGGCGGTAAAACCCTTTCCTTTTCTTAGCTAAAATAAAGTCACTTTTCAACAAGAAATTCACAAATGAAAAATCTTTTAGGTGTGAAAACTCGACACTCTATCAAATTTGAACAAGTGTGGAGAGTCATTTGACTTTTTAACACCATGATGACAATAGAATGAAGGCAAAAATGTAATGTAGAGGATCATGATGAGAGGAAAATAATACGAAATACAATGATGGTACAGGACTATTTGTGGGTAGCAGAGTGGGTATGAGTGGGATTTGAACCTGACTGTGTTAACTCAGAAACATCAAAGTGAGCCTGTGATCAGGCTTTTGCTGACCACTCTCACTAGGAGCTAACGCTCAAAATTTCAGCTTTGGAAATTCTTTACAGTGGTAGGAGCCTGATGGTCGGAAACTTACAATATCAACTCAGTTGTTAAAAAAAAAAAATTCCCTTCTGAAGTCAACTCTCATTTCTAGCTCAATTCTGACAACCTTTTGAACTTTCCAACCACTATTTACTGTGTGACCAAAGACTCATTTTAATTATCTGCCAGTAATTACATGGAAATATGCAATTGATGTTACACATCACATGAGTTTCAAATAAATTCACATTTTGCGAGCACCAGTGGCTCAGGTAGTAAATAACAGTGTGATTACACTCTTTGTACCAAAAACACCACAACAAATTACTCCAATTTTTGAAATATTGCTCACTTGAGAACAACTATTTACTGTGTAGTTGCTAAATCAACATGGTTTCTTGTTCACCAGCCCCTGATTGTTCGAAGGATGAATTGTGCAATATTACTGGATAAATCTTTATACCAAGGATAATGCAGCAGGTTTTGTTAACTATTTTCTGCTTGATGGCATTTTATCCATTTAGTGTTATCTGCCCTTTGAACAACTGGGTCTTGATTATTTCTTTTTACAAATGAAAAGAATGGATAATAGCATAGGAAATCCCAGAATAAGAGCAGGTGATATGATGAAAATTGTCCATTATGATGCTCAACATGCTGAGTGTGGTAATTCGTCCGTGTCGTTGTTCCCTTCTGTATCTTCCCCACTAGCACTGCTCACACTACTGTTCCTGTAGGCTGCACACCCTGAGAAAAAAGAAAGCATGCACAAAATGACACTTTTTATTTGTTCAAATGATTCCTTTTGAGACTTTGTATTGCACCAGCACAGTTTACTCTGTACCTGGAAGCTGTTGATACTGATTTGCATTCCTTGGGGACAGAGAAACAGTAATGGTGAATACATAAACCCCCAGGCAGCACTGCTCCAAGCTGTGACCATTTTTCCCCCATGGTAACTAAAAAATATATTGGCATCTAAATTTGCCCCTGATCACACCAAAATCATTGAAGAGCTTGGATGTAATGCAGCTGGAAGTTTTTTTTTTTTTTAATAGCACAATTGCAATAACAAGACACATAGTTTTAATTAACACTATGAAACACATGGCTAATTTAACCCTCTAACTCCCAAGATCTCATCAGTAATTCTCCTTACTGTCTACCAAACGATTCTTGTTATGTTAGTTTAGAGAATTTGGTATCGGACCAATAAGTAATCCCATAATCTATGTTTTTCTTCTTTCTCATCACTTGTCTGCATGATATTGTATAGATATAGCAAGGAGAAATTCTGTCTTGGTCACTCACAGGAGTTAAAGGGTTAAGTTAAATGGACATGTGGAAAACACACATTTGATTGTGCAATGTTGTAATGATGACAGATTACGAGTTTATCAGTTTTGCGTACATGTGAGAGATATGGCAGGCACACATTTCACACTTACCACTTTACCTGGTCGCGCCCAAGTCCTGATAAATCCTTCATGGCAAGCCATGACAATACAATCTTCTCTAAAAGACAACGCTGATAATCTTTCATTTGCCACTTTCTTTGCAACCAAAGGTTCTAAAATGGATATTTCATCCATCCGTGGACACAAAACTGTGCCAGGAGTAACGCTTCCAATATTGACGAGGTGTTCCACAGACTTACTTAATGAATGTACTTGTGTCAAACTCTTTGGTGCATCAAAAGACATTGGTGCAACAGCATTACCGCTGCCAGAGTGATTCACCTCATGAACAACAGGTCCATTAGACACAAAAGGTGCTGAAGTAGCATATGAGTTTGAAAGTGTGGCAGTGCGCATGCTCCTTCCACGAGGTCTCTGAGGTTTTAGGACGTCATCTCCTAGGTCCCACAACATAAAATTTGTGTCCTGTCCAACAGAACCAAATCTATAAGAAGTCACATTTCTATCCTCAGTTACAGAAGAAGAACCAGATGATGGAACAATCCCATTTTGCTCTATTTCCTCCTCATCACTGTCATCAACACCTCCTTCTGGACTGACACTCGTTGTATAAGGATCAAAAGCAACTACTTGAACCCAAGATTGGTGTCCCACACCTCGGGCTATGACTCTCCTCTCCAGAAAAGACCAAACAGTCACAAGATCATCCTCACCACCTGTGACAATATACTTACCATCTGGACTCCAACAAACACAAATTATCCCTCCAAAGTAACTCTTCATTACACCACACAAAGTCTGTGAATCAAAGTCAAATATGCGAAGAAATCCATCTTGATTTGCTGTAGCAATGTGCTTACAGTCTGGAGAAAAAGCAAACTCATTTATCGAGCCCTCTCCGATAGTCCATTTACAAACTGGGTTCCGAGGAGTTTTGGATTTTCCACTATGAATTGAATAACCAGGTCCTTGTTTCATAAGAGCATACTGAGGTGGTCCTATCCCATGTGGGTGTTCTTTATTGTATACAAACATGTTGCCACTTTCATGAGCCACTAGAAACAAGTTTTCTGATCCAGGAATCCATTTCAGGCACATAACCTTTGTTTTATCCACCAATCTCTGAAAGAATAAGTCACAAAATTTGAAGCAAATTCCTGTCACCTCATATTTCCTAATGTAGAGGATTCATATGATTAAGAATATTTCGGGGTGTCTTAAATCAGTGACTCTCCACATTTACTAACTAAAAATTAACTTAGAACTGAAGAAATTTGAAAGGAAAGCTGTTTAATGGTTGGCAAACAGGCACTGGATCCAAGCCTTGCCTGCAGTCCTTGTGTTAAGTTGCATATTTAGGTACTTTATTATGGCAATGCCTCTGTCCAATCAAAGGAATACAAATATGTGAAGTTGTACTTGACCTAAGCGGCCTAAGGAGCAGGTGTTTATCCCAGTTTTTGTGGCATTAAGCTAGAAAGAGCATTGTTTCTCTTGAAAGTAGGGGTGTAGTTCAATGCAGGTTTATCCCCCTTCCCTTCACTTGACATTTATTCAGACTTTCCTGACAATTTGCAAGTACATCTAGCTGGAGACACCCACTGTAAGAGTTAAGTGTTCAGCCATTAATGAAAACCTCAATGACCTGGCCCAATCTTAAGCCTGTACCTTTGACCTGGGGTCCAGTGTGCTTAATGCTAGACCACTGTATCTGCCACACCAGGGATATAAATAAAAACCAGTAAACCTGTCACCTGAACTTTACAAAATACTGCAGAAGAGGTTGAGGGGAGGAGGGTAACCCCCAAAAATGGATTTGAATCTGAACTTTGGGTGAAACAATACTCCGAGTTATGTGCCTAACTTGTTGAAATTGAGAATAGCCATTCAAGTAAGTGTTTTCAGATGATTCCGTTGATCCTTAGCATTTTACCTTAAAGATATGATTGCCAATAATACTAACCTCTTCATTAAAAAGTTTATTGACTTCATGTTTAACTGGATCAAGGAGTTGTACTTGTCCAGCAGAAAACCCAATCAACAACTCTAAGCTTTCGGCTGACCGCGTCAACAAATTGAAATCATGACAAGTTGGGATTGTTCCTTTGTAGAGTCGTTTATCCAGAGGCTTTGTAAGATCTGCAGCCTACAGGGAGAGAGAAAGGGAGAAAAAAGCCAGATTAACCCTTTAACTCCCAGAAGTGATTAACGTAAAACTTCTCCCAACAATATCCATACATTCTTCAGCAAACAGGTAATGGGAATATTCAAGCTTATCAGGTAGAAGCTTCTATCTTGATCTAGCACCAAGTTCACATAACTAATTTACAAGGAAATGTGTAGCAGCTACAGGGGACAAACAACAATCAGATCTCGGAAGTTAAAAGGTTAAAAAATAAAATATTTCCATCCCAAATCACATTGTAAGAGGTTGGTTAATGCAAGTTTATTCCCAGTTAAGCTAACAGACTATCATCATGCAGTGCTTGAAGCTGCAACTGTTTTGCTTGCCATGAGGAGTAGAAATGCCAGAAAAAATTGGCATAAATTTTTAAGTTTGCCATTTGCAGTTATCATGTCACACTTCCATTCCTAATTCTGAGTCACTTTACTCCCAGCAGATAAACATGGGATCAAATTTACTCAAGAGATTATTCTTAACCCTTCAAGTCCCACTAGTGACCTAGAAAAAATTTCTCCTCACACTATCAGTACAATATCAAGCAGACAAGTAATGAGAATAAAGAAAACATCAGTTAGGGAATTCTTTCTTGATCGAATTCCAAATTCTCCAAACTAACATCATGTGAGTTGTATGGGAGACAGTAAGGAGAATTACTAATGAGATCTTGGGAGTTAAAGGGTTAACTTTATTTTGAGTGTTCCCTATTTAAATGATCACTCAATACTGACAGAAGACAATACAAACAAACTGTTAGAACTCAGTCAGGGATGACAACAACTGCTCAATAGAAGTGAAAATTAATGGTACAGTACTCTGGGGGAAAATATCAGGACTTTGACCAGTGACTGCTTAATCCCTTAACTCCCATTAGTGACCAAGACAGAATTTCTACTTACAATATCAATACAGTATCAACCAAACAAGTGATGAGAAAAAAGGAAGATATTGATTTGCAGATACTTAGTTGATCCCATACTAAATTCTCTGAACTAACATTATAAGATTTGTATGTCAGACAGTTAGGAGAATTACTAATGTGATCTGGGAGTGAAAGAGTTAATAAAGAAGATAGGGTGACTGCTTAATGTGGTATTGCTAAATACAGGTTTGACAATATCAGAAAAATACTGAGAAGAGCTTGATATGATCATTTATGAGTGAGATAAGGAAACATTGTTTAAGAGTTTGAAAAAATTTCATTGGCAACACATTGACTACTAATCAAGATCCTTAATGTATCTCTATGTCTGCATCATTTTCAGCAACTTTCAAAGCTAACTCTGCTTCACTTAAATACAACTTGAATGGTTACATGTTTCCATGCAACAGCATACAAAAGGTTGGAAGCAAAACTCTTTCTTTAGAGCAAACATTACGCTGTTTGTAGATGAGTCAACAACAGATAACTAAATCAGTCACCTTACAAAACAACTTGTCCTGAAATCATTTTGCAGCAGTGCATTAGTATACTTGGATGCAACAATCTTGTTTTCACGTAAGGTTTCAAATTTCTTTTTAGCAACACAGAAGTGTTTTTGGTTTAAATAACCAAGAAATTTCATTTCAATAATGAGACAATACGCATTTGAATTTTGTCACGAATCACTCCCCTATTTATCAAAGCAACCCTCTGGATGTTAAATAAGCGAGTGCATGGTTGTTCAAAAATAAAAAAATAACACATGATTCACCGGACCAACCACAGCTAAATGTGTCTTGCATGATAGCTTAAGAGCATGTTTAGACTATATTTAAATTTTAAGAAGACAAACATCTGCCAGCTATTTGATTGACCCAAGCTAAAAATAAATCCATTGATATTAAGACTTTGAAAAGGCATGACACTTGGACAATAAATCCTCAAAGTGATTGTCAAAATTTGAGAAGACGGTGGGCTTTGCCCATAGATACATTAAAGAAAAATTGGAAAGTGGTATTAATAGGCGTAAAGGAAAGTTTTCACCTCTTCAAAACAAACCTAAATTAAACTCATTAAATCAAACGTCTGTTTGTGACTGGTGTTATGGATAAAAATTTTTATTGTCAGGCACCGCAATTATTTAATGATATACACCTTATCTTTACTGTTCAAATGAATCAGACGCCAAATAAATTATACCCGGGGGTATTCATATTTAGACAACGTATTTTTCCTAAAATTTAAACACACGCTAACGGTGTTTGGTAAATGTATTTCATAATTTTAATCAAAACTGAAATTTACAAAGAAAATAAAAACAATCGAAGCTTAACAAGCTTTCGCTGAAGATTTTCCCAGAAATTAGAATATATTGATGTCTGAGAATATTCTTCTCGAAGATTTGATCACATCAATATACCGAATATACTCGAGCTCGAGTCATCTATGATGAATGTTCAATAAGGAGGAATCAGAATTTTTCTAGAGTAATTTTAGACATGGACCTCTAAGTAATACTTAAATCTTGCAATGAAAGGCAGAGACCATAGAAGGGATATCTACATAAGCTAAAGTATTTTTCTTTTCTTAACATTTAAGCTAAGCAATCACATTATCACATTTACTAGTGTTCCAAGAACAAGACGCAGCGACCAAATTCATTGCCCAGACAATACTCAACAACAAGCCTTGTGAAGGGACCGTAACGTAAAGAGGGATTTCAGCCGCGTGAATAACGGGGGATATTTCTCTAAAAATTTTCAGACGCATTAACTAAGATCACCGCAACAACATTGAAACAACAACAAAACGAAACCTGCCAGTGCGTGCAAGAAAACGGAAATTATACCGCATTGAAATGCGTTCACTTAAGACTTCAAACAGTATCTTAATTTGATGTGCATTCTTCACAATACTCAAGCATTCCTCTCACCTTTCTCACTCCTTTGTAGATGTAAAAGTACAATTCTCTTCCAACATTGAACGCGATTCGCTCATTACAACCACCCTGGTCCTTCACCGTAACGAATGACACTCGCACTGGGTGACATTGTTGAGCTGAGTAAGGGATCTTCGTGGGTCGCGAATAAACAGACAAATCCAGCAGTCTATAGCAGCCTTCCTTTGTGGCAAAGTGTTGTTTGATTTCCTGGCCTGCAGCGCTTCTTCCAGCGGCCATTTTCACGTTTAAAACTTACACATCCCTTGTGACGGCTTGGTTGCTTGCTTTGCGCGGTTTCTTGCGCATGCGTGCACCGAGGGTGATCCTTCTCCTGTTTTCCGAGCAATTTAATTAAATCAAGTTTTGCGGAGTGAAGTTCAATCAACATCTGAACTTTGGATGGATTTGCCTTTACTCGCTTTCGAAAAATAATTCAGAACGAAACAACTAGAAGGTAAAAAAGTCCTTACTGCTATTTTCTCGTCTTAAGCCTCTTCATGTTTTGATGCTATTGTCGCTGAAATATTCTGGTGCCTCAATTTACTTGAAAAAAAAAAAAAGTCGGTGTATGAATCCCAAACTTAAGAGAAGGAGTTTTCAAAAGGAATCTGCCATAAAGTATTAATTTCTTCGTACTTTTCAGGTACCATCCTGTTGATTCTAAATTCTGTCTTCTTTCCTGACTTCCGCATAATTTCCAACGAAAAAAAGATATTCGGAGGCACAGCAATGACTTTAAATCTAATCATTGTAAATATACTTTTTCGTTGTCGGTTGATTTCTACCCTTGCAGGAATTAACAAGAGGACATCTTACAAATCCGAATCAAGAAACCAAAACTTGGATATTCTGCGAATCATCACGCATTTTAGATTTTAGCTTGGTTTAGTACCTTTTATAGACTGTTAATTATGACGGCAGCAAAAGTCGTTTTTCGCAGTTTAAGTTCAGCCGAGGATTTTAGTTTTCTTTCATAAAATAATAGAGGCTCTATCCTAGCACTTAAAAATACTGGACTTATTCCTTGTTCATAATACCCTTCTCTTAACACTCGAGGACTTAAAGAGAATTTTTGTGCGTTATATAACCCGAAACGCTGTCGAAGGTCTGCATAACTGTCCCTATTGTTGAACCCCAAACAACCTAACATCAGTAAGCATATTCTCCATACTGTTCTCTATACATTTCCCGAGGTGATGACCAGGAGAGTTTGATTAACAATCAAGAGCTTCTTTAGTTTGTGATCATATCCTTTATTCTCGTGACCTTAAAGTTAGATTCAAAGGTAACATTGTAAGGAGAAATTAAATACTAGTCACTTAACACTACTTATTTGATTACTCTTTATCGAGAAGCTCTCTTTGCCACAGACACGGTCATGTGACAGGGTCAGTCCTTCCAAAGCGCGCCAGAAATGGCTAGCAGTATGACCAAGACAGACTTAGAACAAAATGCTCGTAAGTTCTATTTCTGTTTTTTAAATGACTACGTGTTTCGCTGCGTGCGATCACTTCGAAAAGGAATTCTTGAAGCCCTGCTTTGAATAGACTGGGTAGAGGGGACACGTAGGCATCCATGCTGCGCATGCGTTTTACTCAGAAAATCCAAAATGGCGGCCGGCATACGAGCGAGACAGATAGGTAATACTCGGGCATTTGGTTATTGTTGTCGTAAACAGATCTACAAGTTGAATATATAGATAACCAGCTGCAATATTTAGGATCCCAGTGTTTATGTTTAAACTTGAAAATAGTAATTTTTTCCACTGAAAAATCTTCTATAAACGACTCTCTTTTTGTCTTTGCAACAGAAAGACATTCCTTCCTCTTCACTGTCAAGTTATTATCCTTGAAAAACAAATCCCAAATTATACCTGTACGTTTAATTTCAGAATCCTTGAAGCGGATGCTTAATTTAAATCAGCCGATAACGAAATCAACCGCTGTCGAACCCGTCTGGAAGGTATTAACTAGACGTATTAATTGAGGCAATACCATGAGCGCTCTAGTAAGCCCGCAAGGAACTTATTGATTTCCAGGGCTTCCCGTCGGGATATTAGAGAGGGAGGCTTATGATAAGGGAATTACTCAGAATCATTTTCAGTTAATTTTGTACTTAAGTACCATCTAGCCCATGGAATGACAATGACTACAAAGTTCATTTTCCTCTTGGTGGCGAAAAAAGGGGGGGGGGGAATTTGAGGAGGGAGGAGAGGGATGGGATGGGAGGTTATTTGGAGAGGAGGGCTTCATAAAGGGCAGCTTCATAGAGTAGAGGGGCAATATTCAAAATGGAAACTTATACAAACTCTCTTTCTGATAATTTTGTTCTGAAGGGTTTCCCAGCTGTCAAAAAAGAACAAGAAGTGGGTAAAGTTTTTTTTTTGTATTAGGAAGGAGAGGGAAGGAGGGGGAGGGTAGGGATAGACAGAGAAGAGGGGACTTATTAGAGAAGGGGTTTATTGGAAACCATCCCATGTAAGGAAAGGAAAGCCAACTGTAAATAAATAATACACGTTTAAGTCACAAAATGAATGCAAAGTTAATCTATTTGCCAGATAGACATGTATTTAGTTGTAAAGATTTGTAGATGCAATTCGACTGAAAAGAAATAATTATTACAAAGATTTAAGTACAAAATGTAACAAAAACAAGAACAACAAGAAAATATTAAATGAAACAGAAACAATCTCACAATTTGTGGCGTAACTTGGTTGAGCAGTTAAACATAAAAACAAAACATGGTGTTCGTGCAAACTAACAAAACAACTTAGCTGAAATCAACTAACTATGAAATGTTCTTATTGGTGAAAAATAGGTATCTACTGGCATAAAATAATTCTTATATAACCTCACACAAAAACGCAGACTTAATTTAATGGAGTTAGAACATCACCAAAGTAATACTGTACAGTAGAAAGAAAAGCAACATCAAATTATTTTGCAGTTGCTTGATAACAAATAAACATGTATGTATGCAAACTTTAGTTGCTACTGAACACCAACATATTCTTGGTCATAAGTAATCATAGAGATATTTTGGACTTGACTGAGAGATACAAGCAGATGTGAATGATATATCATATATATTTATTTTTTATGCAGGTCCTTGTATATGACAGATATGGTCAGGACATAATATCTCCTCTTTTAAATGTAAAAGAGTTGCGTGAAATGGGTATAACATTGCATCTGTAAGTTGAAATCCAATAATTTTATTACTTTGTAGACTGACATCCTGTTCAGGAGCAAGTTGCAAATTAAATTTTTGCTTCAGATGTACTTATTAGTTATTATACACAACAATTCAAGCCACTTTGACCACTTTGAGGGGTACAAGCTGGTGACCTTGGCCTCTTACTATAAATGGTTACCAAGTTCTTTCCATTTTTTAATCAAGATGTGGTTGAGAATTGAGACAGTATAGGTTGGATATAAGACTAAAAATCCACAGCCTCTACTTTTCAAAAAACATTGTCTACTTAATAAAACATCAAGTCTTTCTCTTTGTGTGATTTAATAATTAATATTAACTGAGTTGCTTTTAGAGCCATATGTAAGATCCAAAATGTAGTGTTTAGATTAAACTTTTATTTTTTATGCAGCATGGTGGGTGCTGTGTTATCGACTAAACTTTCTTTTTTTCCCTTTAATTCCCAAAATCCGATTGTTAATTCTCCCTTCTAGCTGCTACATATTTTCATGTAAATTAGTAATGAGGATTTGTGGTGAAATCAGGATTGCAACTTCTACCTGATAAGTTTGAGTATTCCCATTTCCTGTTTGCTGGATAATGTATGGAAATTACAGGGAGAAGTTTCATTTTAATCACCTCTGGGAGTTAAAGTGTTAAGTTCTGATCAATTCCTTATAATGTTGTCCAGGGCCGGGTTGTTCAAAGCTGGGTTAAGATAACCCAGGGTTAGTGTGAAATCTGATTTCAGATTTGAAAGTTCTAAAGGAAAATTTAGTTCTAATCCTTTTGACCACAATTTGATGATTGGATGCCCTAAGAGGAACAGAGGAAATTATGCGGAAAAGGCTTTTGAACAAAGGATTAAAGAAATCCGCGTTAAAATTTAACTCTGGGTTAGATTTAATCGGACTTGGAACAACCAGGCCCTCTGCCCAGTTTGATGATGCATGTACTTTATTTCTCTTTACAGTCTTCTACATTCTGACAGAGACGCTATCCCAGAAGTTCCTGCTATTTATTTTGTTCTCCCTAGTGAGGAAAATGTCAAGAGAATATGCCAGGTTGGAAACATTTTAATTTATTATTTGAATTAAGTATGTCTTTCCACAGTTTTTTGTATAATTTCTCTCATAACTGACGGTGAATACGTGATAAGGCTGTTGGTGATTTTTTAAAGCAATGTTAAATTTTCCTTTTTTTTTGATAAGTTAGTATGAGGAGGAGTTTCTTAAAGCATATTTTCCAGATAATTCTCCAATGCAATCTATGTGAATGTGGTTAATCCTTTCTACTCCTGATCACCACCATGGTAGTATCCATTTATTAAAAGCTCTTTTTTTACCTATTTTTGTTATTTTTTCAGGATTGCAGAAATCAACTTTATGAGTCATATTACTTGAATTTTATTTCTGCGATATCAAGACATCGTTTAGAGGATCTTGCTACAGCAGCTCTACAGTCAAATAGTGTCACTCAAATCACTAAGGTACATCAAACTGCAATTTGCAATTTATTCAAATTGATTCCTAGGTTCTAGAAATGCTTAGTATTGTTATTTTTTATAGTGAGACATATGCAGGGTTTAAAGTTGGCAGAAGTTTGGCAAACCTGCCTTTTATTACATATGTCAGGATTCTTGAAGGTGTGTCCATCAGGGACAAACAGCCTGAGAAGATTGACTGGAAATGACTAAGATAACATCCTCTTAAGCCAACCTATCAATTTAAGGTCATGGAAAATATAAAAAATGATTTTTGTGAGATTGAAAATGAACAAGCCCCAAATCAGTGTTTGTCTGTTACTACTTGATGGAGAGAATAAGTACCTGTAGATATTAAAGTACTCATTAATTCTGAAATCTTGTTTGCATTATTCCTTTTTATTTCCCAATAGGTGTTTGATCAGTACTTAAATTTTATTTCTTTGGAAGATGAAATGTTTACAGTGAGAAATCAAGACAGAGATTCAATATCATATTATGGTAAGCAAATTCTTGTTGTCATTCTGTCAGACATGGTGACTAACAACTTACATCTTGTTTATAGAAAGGTGCCTGGAATGTACAGATATTGATCACATTTTTAGTATCCCTTTGATGACCCCTAAGAGTGACTGGCACCTAATTTCTCCTTACAATATCAAACATTAAGGTCATGAGAGCCCAGGAATTGATCACCAATACTTGATCAACAAATTCTCCTTGTCAGCATCATAAGGAAATGTACAGAAAAGAGTGTGGAGAATATACATACTGATGTTAGGATAAAAAATGGTTAATTAAAAAAAATGTCTTTATTTTCCAGCCCTCAACAGACCAGATGCCAAAGATACTGACATTGAGATGCTAAGAGATGTTTTAGTGGACAGTCTCTTCAGTGTACTCGTGTCTTTAGGTTAGTTGATATTCGTGAATTTAAGAAAGTGTTCTAGCTTTGTGAACTGTCTGATCTCCGTTGAGTTTCAAGTACGAATACTATGTAATATGCTTGTCAAAATTTTTCCATGTGAAAGGCATGGGAGTTTTTGTTTTTGTTATCTTCATCCAGGAAAGGACCATATAGTTTCTTTATTTCTACAGGCACTGTTCCAATAATCAGATGTCCAAAAGGGAATGCTGCAGAAATGGTAGCAGAGGTAATCAGGAACTTGCTTCCTTTTTTTTTATTCTCTTGCCCAAACAAAACAATAGTTTTTGTTAATTCTTGAACTCACTCCTCTCTAAAAGGCACACCTCCACCTGGCCAAAATTTAAAATAAGCACCCCTCTATTAACTTAGTGCCTCCTCTCCTTCCCCTTTTTTTCAGGGACGTGCACTGGGATTTTAAGTAGTGGCCTTGTTTAATCATTCTAGTCTGGCCTCACAAATTTATACTGATCTCATCCATTTTTTCATGAAGTTTGGAAAGTTTTCATCAAATTCGGAAAGCTGCTTCGAAAACTTAAGGGTCTGATTATTTAAACAAAGTTTAGTTCTTGTTTAACAAAACACATCTGAAACAATTCTCAATGTAGCCAAACCTTTTATCTGAACACGTATTTTTGTGAACATTGTCAATAGGGCTGAAAGCTGACAGTGAAAGGAAATTTAATTAATTAAATCAACCCTCCTGAAGTGAAATCCTGAAGTACAATGCTTGTGTAGAACCATGGTTTGGAATAAACCTTGTGTAAATAACTGGCCCTAGGAGTTTGAGCATAATGTAGATTATGCTGTTTATGTGCAAAGTGTGGATTACCAAAGCAATCACATTGGGGAAATTTTTTAATAAGGTGCCCCTCCTCTATTCACCCTTTAACCCCTAAGAGTGACTAGCATCTAATTTCTCCTTACAATATCACCCTTGAATCACACTTGAAGGTCATGAGAATAAAGGACATGATCAGTAACCAGAGAAGCTCTTGATTGTTAAACAAATTCTCCTTGTCAGCACCTTAGGAAATGTATAGGGAACATTATGGAGAATGTGTGTACTGACGTAAGGGTGTAATGGGTTAAACACCTCCCTCAAGTGAGCTCCCTCTCTCTCCTTCTCTTGCTCCATGTTTTTCTGAAAGTAAAATAAATGCTTTAGCCACTTGTGGGACTTACTTTACAATGTTGTGATTATTTTATTAGGGACTGGATAAAAAGTTGAGAGAAAACTTGAGAGACTCTAGAAACAGTCTGTTTACAGCAGATATTCCATCTGGCCAGTTTAGGTTTGTGTAGATATGCACAGCATCAAAAGTATGTTTTTAAAAGTTGCGACACCTTTGGCTGTATGCCTTGCAACAAATCACTCAAACTCAACCTGGTTTGAATTTTTGAAAGGATTACATTAGTTAAATGAGCGACTTGTTCTTGAAAACAGCACAATCAAATGAATTATTATTTTTTTTTTATGAGAGTAATCTTTAGTGACCAGACAGAGAGATTCAAGACTAACATATCTTCACAACATCAGTTTTCAGCGACCAGTGCTCGTAATTTTGGACCGTAACATGGATCTGTGTACCCCTTTACATCACACGTGGACATACCAAGCTCTTGTGCATGATGTCCTTGTAAGTCACAATATTATTCTGCTTTGAACTGTCAGTGCTCTCATCCGTTTTACCCCTAAGTGACTAGAATCTAATTTCTCCAAACAATATCACCACCAAAACTCACATTAAGGTCTTGAAAATAAAGGAAGTGATCAAAAACTTGAGGAGCTCTTGATCATTAGACAAATTCTCATTGTCAGCACCTAAGGTAATGTATAGAGAGCAGTATGGAGAATATGCATACTGATGTTAGGATGTAAAGGGTTAATGCCATCATTTGTAATGATAAATAATTGGTGAGCTAAGATGTTATCAGTAGCCTATTAAATTTATTATTTCTCCAGGATTTACATCTGAACAGAGTTGTCGTCAAAGAGTCAGCAGCGTCAAACACCCCAGAATCTGCAGATCCTCACCACAGACATCCCAAACAAACAAAAGTTAAGTCATATGACCTCAGTGCCACAGATAAGTTCTGGGGATTGCACAAAGGAAGGTGAGTGTTCAGACATGTGACATCTGTGTATCATTTGTTTAACTCTCTAACTCCTGGAAGTGATTTCACCTATCTTCTCCCCTAACCTTTTAACCCCTGAGATTGACCAGTATCTAACTTCTCCCAACAGTATAACCCCTGCATCACACAGTAAGGTCATGAGAATAAAGGAAATGATCACCTACTAAATAATTTTTTGATTGATAAACAAACTCTCCTTGTCAGCACTTTAGGAAATGTATAGAAAACAGTATGGAGAATATGCATGCTGATGTTAGGATGTAAAGGGTTAAATATTCATACATTATCAAGCAAAATGGTTATGAGAATACTAAAACTTATCAGGTTGAAGTTGTATATCTTAATCTAACAGTAAATTTACAAGGAAATGTGTGTCAGCTAGAAGGAAGAATTAACTTTCAGATGTTGAGGGTGATGCTTCCTCTGTGATTTCCTTTTTCCTTCTTTCAGATGCTTTTGTTGAATCAGGGAAATATTTTTAGTGATGAAATGAGCACCAAAGAATTTCAAACATAATCATCCATCATCAAAACTAAGGTGGCTTGCACCTAAAGTTTTTTGTTTGGTTGGCAAGCAGGCCATGCTTCAAATCATGTGTTGATTTTTTTTCGCAATTTGTGAGCTCTTGACTTGTTCTTTAAATTTTAAAGGTCTGATGCCATAACCTGCAATTTATGCCTCATTCTCTTTTTTTGTGTGGTTTTTATAGTCCTTTCCCGACAGTGGCAGAGTCAATTCAGAAAGAACTTGATGAATACAGAACTTCTGAAGAGGAAGTGAAGAGACTGAAAAATGTCATGGTAGGACATAGAGTTTGTAAACGTTATATCAAGAGATACTTTTATGCTTCCATGCACTTGAAAGGTAATGCTAGGTGAAGTCAGCAATAGAGCCAAATTGCTCATCTGTTGGGAGCTTATTCTGTTTTCTATCAGATGAAGTGAGCAGTAGTATTACCTCTTCCCCCTGAATGGGAAGATAACCTACCACAGGTTTCCTTTTTCCCCCCTCAGCCAGCATTTCATGAGGCTTCCCTGACAATTTGCTGATATCCATTTATCCTCATGGGTGGAGAAACACAATGTGAATGTAAACACAATGACCCATGTCCTAGCACCAGACCTCTCTACTGAGAGCCTAATGTGCACACTAGCAATTGGTCAAGAAAGTCAAGTTGCCTTAGAGTCATCTTGTGTGAAGTCATGTTGCCCGATACATTTAGTCATGTCACCAGAAGAAATAATCACTTTAAAGATCAGATTTACCTTACTTACTTAACCCTTTAACTCCCAAGAGTGACTAGCATCTAATTTCTCCTTACAATATCACCCCTGAATTAAACATTAAGATCATGAGAAAAACTGAACTGATTACCAACTAAAGAAGCTCTACATTGCTAACCAAGTTCCCCTTGTCAGCACCTTAGGAAATGTATAGAGAACAGTATGGAGATCATGCATACTGATGTTAAGGTGTAAAGGGTTAAAGCTGCTACTAATTGTTAGGCCACTGTGTCTCTTACATGTAAGGATAAAATTGGTAATTCTCCTTACTGTCAACCATACAATTCTTATGATGTTAGTTCAGAGAATTTAGTAATGGTTCAACTAATTATCCCCAAATTGATATTTTTCTTTATTTTCATCACTTGTCTGGTTGATATTGTATTGATATTGTAAGGAGAAATTCTGTCTTAGTCATTCATGGGAGTTAAAGGGTTAAAAGTTATAAATAACTGACTGCTTAAAGGACTATGACAATCAGTTATTTGTGAATTGTTGTAAATGGTTAATTTCTCTTGCTTTCATAGGGAATAGATGAGAGTAATGAGGAGGCAATGGGTGAATTTATGGCTGATAGTACAGCTAAACTTACCTCTGCTGTGAGGTAAAGTCATTTATCTCCAATTTCGTTTATTTTTGTCGCAAGTGTAAATCTTCCCTCTTCAGTGTTGAAAGGAGCTCATATAAAGAACATTTACCTCACTGTCTGCAAATGTTCTTGTCACTTTCACAGCTCACTTCCGGAATTGCTTGAAAAGAAGAGAATTATAGACATGCACACAACTATTGCTACAGCTCTTTTGGAACACATTAAGGTGAGGGCTAATTCCACATGGGGCAAACTACACTGTGATCATTTACGTCACTTTATTTCACCTTCTCACTTTTTAAATTGTTTGTAAATATTGACCGTTTTCCTCAGCAAGTTATAAAAATCGTTATTTTTTTTTCAGTCCGGAAAGCTCGATATCTACTTTGAGACTGAAGAGAAGATAATGAGTAAAGCTACTTTGGTAAGTCAGAAAAACGTCCCATAAGCTTTGCACCAGAAATAAACGCTAGATAAGAAAAACAGGTTTTTTAACCCCAGTAGAACGTGTCCAAAACAAGCTCATTGCCAAACGAGGTTGTCTTTCAGATTTATTCTACTGTGCTTTTAAAAATTGGCAACTATTCTATTTCAGGACAAATCAATCCTGGAAATCATTCAGGATCCCGAAGGTTAGTGAAGAGAATTTTACATGTGGAAACGTAGTGTATATAAATAATCATAAGAGTTTGTAGAATACAATCGAATTCCAATTTTTCGATTACTTGCCTTTTCGTATCATATATATATATATTTTTTGCATTCCATCTTCAGCTGGAACTCCTCAGGATAAACTTCGCTTATTTATCATTTATTATGTTTCTGGACCAACCATGTCACCGGTGAGTAACCATTGAGTGTTCTTCGATGGATAATCAGGGATTGGATCGATATTACTTCGGTATTACAGCGCGCTCGTCATTGGCTAAGAAAACTCTCACCAACCATCCAACCAATCAGATGCTTAGCTGAAACCATTACGATTAGGTTACCCGCGTTTTTCGCGCTCTAGGCAGTTGTCTCACTTTTACTTTGAGCAATTATCGATTTCTTTGACTTTCTGATTTCTCAAAGCTCTATCAGGCTCCAAAATTACCCTGAACAACCAGCTTAACCTTGCCTTACCGTTTGTCGTTCTCAGGCGGAGCTGGATCAGTTTTCGTCTGCTTTATTGGACGCCGGCGCTGACCTTGCTCCATTAGAATTCATCAAGAAGTGGAAGTAAGTGTAATTGAATGAGAGTGAGTTAAGAACCACTCATTATTTATCCTGGGGAGGGGGGGGAGTGAGGGGATTTTGGGGATTACACGGTTTTCAGGGGGAGCGTGGGGGAATCAGTAGTCGCTAAACGAGTAGAAAGGGTGGACTATGAAAAATTGAGTGCAAATCAACTGCCAATAAGGGGGGGGGGGGGTTTAAAAATATTACAGAGCCTTATGGGAAGATAACGTAAATTTTGTCGAGAAACATCCAAAATCCTCCGACCCCACCCCCCAGGAGACGAAGAATGACCAAGGAATCCGTAATATCAGGGAATCTTGATGCCCCATTAGACAGAGCAATTGTCTTGGGAGTCTCGCTTCCTTACTGAAATGAATCTTCTTTTAAGAAAACCTGTCATTGAGCGAGGTAAGATAAACTGAAAAGAAACTCCAAAATAAAGATATTTCCATTGTTTTTGTTCTCAGAGCGTTTTCCAAGATGACAGTTGGACCTCTCCAGTCAGGGGGAGGAGGACAAAACACTTACAGGTCAGAAACTAACCCTTTGACCTTTAAGAGTTACTACCATCTCTTTTCTTCTTACATTAGCATCCCTGAATCACACAGTAAGGTCACGGAAATTAAGGAAATTATCACCAACTAAAGAAGCTCTCGACTGATAAACAAATTCTCCATGTCGTCACGTAAGGAAATGTATAGAGAAAGGTATGGAGAATATGCATACTCATCTCAGGGTGTGGAAGGTTAAGATAGTGTAAGACTGAGAGGATGCCCTCTCATTACCCACCTACACTGACACAGAACGCTTTCGACCTGGCTTTGCCCTTGAATCTACCTTTCCCGCCCTGCAGAGGGGTTGAACCCGGGCCAAAGCGGAAGGCGGGGCTAAACCCCTGCCCGGTGGCGGAAGTGAGAGTTCAAGGACTACATTAATTACTTTACACCTGGGCGATCCTAGCAGTACAAGCGTTTCCTGCTGTTCTTGCCTTGATTACTTTTGTGGTTGTGATTGCCTCTCAGAAGCACACCAATTTTTTTGTTAGTTTTTAGTTAATGTCGAAGTAATCCGCGATTGCATTGGTTTTTACTTCATCAAGTTGGTTGACAGGTCGAGAAGCTCGCGCTTCCTTCTCGACTAACCAGATGCAAAACTATATTGAAAAGCATTCTAATGGCTGTGGCCTTGCCATTATATATTTTAGCTACAAACAGCTTTGTTGTCTTTTTTTTTTCCAGTGCAATGTTTTCACGGTTCATGAACAGCGGATCACAATTCGTTATGGAGGGTGTGAAGAACCTTGTGGTCGGAAACAAGGTGAGTGGCGGATCACTGCTTAAAAAATGTTTTAGAAGTATATAAGTGACTTGAATGGTCTCTTGGAAACAGGGATCTTTCGGATATAATTTTTTTCTAAATGGGTATCAGATAATGATAAGCAGTGACTTTAAAAAAGAGATAATAAGCCATTTGTTCAATTTTCCTCAACAGAATTTACCAGTCACACGGATTGTCGACGCTCTAATGGATAACAAGTCAAGTCCGGTAAGAATGAGGGCTTGTCTTACTTATGGTTCACCGCACTGTATTCATGTATTTTCGGAGCATCTCGTGAGACAAATTTTATGCTGTGTAACTCTTTTCTCTGTAGGTATCATGTGCTTCGTTCCCTTATCTTATTCTTACCTTTTGCTTCGTGAAGAAGATGAATTTTAATTTATAAATAAAATAACTTAACATTTATTTAACAGATTATTGCAAAACAATATTATTTTAAGTACTTCTCAGTAGCTTTTATCCGATTGGCCACAAAATTACTTCCTAAAGTTAAAACTGCTTTTCGGTAGATTGGAGAAAACTTTCTTAATCGTTGATTTTTCTGTCCAAACCCTTTTGTTTTCAAGGAAACTGACGAGTACAGATATTTTGATCCAAAGATGTTACGGGTCACAGACAGGTAATAATTATTGAAAAAGTAAATCTGTGCATTGTATTTATGACATTCATGAGGGGAAAAAAAATACGAATAAAAGCTTTCATGCGAGAGAGACCCCTGTACCCCTGTGTGAACCTGTTCATTTGGCCCCTATGGCCAGAGAATTTTAACCCTTTACCCCTGAGAGTGACTGTCATCTATTTTCTCTCACAACATCACCCCTGAATCACACATTAAGGCCACGAAAATGAAGAAAATGATCACCAACTAAAGAAGCTCTTGATTGTTAAACAAATTCTCCTGTCAGCACCTTAGGAAATGTATAGAGAACAGTATGGAGAATATGTATACTGAAGTAAGGGTGAAAAGGGTTCATGTTTGTTTTCTTTCTACAGTTTTTCCATTCCTCGAAATAAAACACCGTTTAATGAGGTAAGAATTACGTTGAAGAATATTTGCGCAGTTTTTTTATGTAGTTGATCGCGAATATTCTTAAGTTGTTGGCTCTAAATAATGCTCTTGGTAATAATTGTCTCATGGTCCTTATTTACATTTGGAAGAGTGATTAAGTTGTTGGTCATACATTATATTCAAATATTAATCATCTTGTTGGTCCTCGTTTAAATTTCTGTACATGTTCAACAGGCGATCGTGTTCATCGTAGGAGGTGGAAATTACATCGAATATCAGAACCTGGTGGATTACAGTAAAGTGAGTGTCCTGATATTCTTGCATTATTTCATACAAATGGTTTATTCCTGCAGGATAGTTGGCACTTGTGTTTATTTGAAATACTGTTTTGGTTTCCTTTTGAAATGATGACAGCTGAGACGATAACCTCGTATGTAAGTTCTCAATGAGTTTTCAACAAGTTTTCTCCCTCCCCTCCCCTCCCATAAGCCCTTCCTTTAAAAAAAGTCGGTAAATCGATAAGCCTCCTCTGACCCCGTCTTCCATTAGGAGGGTATGTCAGGCCACTTACTGTAAAAACTTCGCTAAATGCACTTTTCTCACATTTCAGAGGCACTCCGGTGCCAAAAAGCTGTTATATGGTGCTAGTGAAGTAATGAACGCTTCTCAGTTTCTTAAACAGGTTCGTCTTCATCGATGATTATGCTCTGTTTGCCGCTCATTTGTTTTCTTTTCAACCTTGTACTATGTGATTAAACTTCGACTGACACGTAAGTCTTCACTTGACTGTGATATTGACTTCCGCTCAGGTTGTTGAATGGCAACCGACAACAGTCCTTCCTAGGCCTACTCTCACCCAGACGATCATACCACACAATCAACTGATAAAACAGATGGTTGAGTCGTTCACTGAATTTTTGAGATAATTTTTATGTTTATTTCCGCAGTTGTCACATCTTGGCCAAGAGGCTGCTTAACGAGGAGAGAAGTGATGCAGTTAAATTAATAAACAAAGTTGAAGATATTTCCCGTGGTAAATCTTTTAAGAAAAAGCAGACGATGGTGATTCATACCTTTGTGCGCCTACCATAAATTGTAATTTTCCATCTCTATGGCAACTATACGTGTTGTAGACTTTTGGTTGCAATGGGGACTAAAAGAATTCTGTTAGTTCTTGGAAGGTGCGTTTATGGAAAATCAGCGTACAATTTCCAAAGGTAGTTATTTCTTTGGTGTACCAACGAGGCAAGGTGCGAAGTCTTTGATCTACAAACTATTTTGTTGTTCTCATATATGATAAACTCCTTTTCACAACAAGGGTTTTGCACCAAACCTCCTCTAAAAGTGAGGATTCTTCGAACTCGGAAAAGGTGAATGTTGTCACAGCGTCACGGATTTCTCGTGAGGAATTTTGTCACTTGTTCTTCCTTAAGGCGCATGACATAGTAAAAGAAATAAATCATGCTTCGGTAGGAAACCATCGAAATGTTGTGATGATGAACATTGTAGGCAAGTTCATTTCTTAATGAATGCACCTTATGTTGAACTAGAGAGTAAAGTAGCTTTAATTTAGAGATTTTAACTTGAGATCGTTCGTCAAAGAACAAAGTATTTATAACTGTCATTTCCTGGAATGGATAAATGAACTGATTTCTTCCAAAATTATGTCAACGATTTCGTAAAGACAGGTTATGAGAAATTAAGAGCTCATCAAAATGGAGAATAATGAATATAACTCTAGACGACTGACGAAAGGTTATGAAAGACAATATATATATATTTTTTGGAAAGTTTCAGAAGAACGGTAAAGATTATGAATCGTGCTATGACCGACTAGTTGCCGAAAAGGTGGATCGAATGTTTTAAAAACCTTGTTAATTTGATAAGACTTGTTGAATCTGAATCACATCCTTGCAGTTTACAGATGCGATGCAGTAGTAATGATGGAGTAATGTTCTTTTGCCTCCTCTTTCTCTGTTTCATGAAGTTATCGCCCTGTAACTACGTTCAACTAATCGTAATACCAACGCTCTACTCAGCCGTGTAAAGACACGATTCCGGTGGGTGTCTTTTCCTAAAAAACATAGAATAAAGTAGTTTCGAAATCATATTGCTTGGTTGTAATTTTGCTGTATCTTTAGTTTGCGCGTTTTATTCGCGCATACGCACAACCCCGTTTCCAAGGTCCTCTTATTTCCTCCCTTGAGTGAGGAGGAGAGGGGACCTTGGAAACGAGGTCGGCATGCGCATTTAAGGCGTTGACGGGCGTTGTCACCAATTGTAAGTAACATCTCTTCTTTCCCAAGCCGGAGACCTAAAACTTTCGGGCGCGCCGTAAACCAAAAGCAACATCATGATCACGCTGAACTATATCTAAAAAATATTTCTTTAAAATCTAACAGAAACATTGTTTAATAAACTTCAACCTTCAAAGAGACTTATGACCATAAACATTTTACTATAACCTACACTTGGCACTTTCTTCCACTTACATGTAAATTTACTAGTTAAACTATGGATATTGGAAGGCTCCTAGAAAACGCCTCACCCTGAGTGATATTAACGCCCACGTCGCAAATGGAGGCTAAGTGCCTGAGTGGCCTGGGGACTACAACTGCACCCAGAGGCGCTACAACTGACTGGCCCGCCCAATGATATTAAAGTGTCTCAGGGCAGTCTTTAGCCTAACTTCTTTAAATTTACTACTTAAATAGAAAAAATAGAGTTGAACTTCTTTCCCCGGCCCTACAGGCTTATCACCTGTAAGACAGTTGGCCTCTACGCAAAATAGATCTCCATCCAAAGGCCAAAGTCTGATTGCGCAAATATAAATATAAAAGCGCTACTATTCAAGATAATTCAAAAGATGGAAGTTCGTCTTCTTTCATTTTCACTATGCATTATTCCGAACTGCCTTTCAATTTCATTTTGTTCTAAATTGAATTCATTTTCTTTCGGCAGAAACCCTTCCTAACCGCTTTTACGCTCGCACACTTCTATAATTATTTTGCGTGTGCATTTTGCATCTTCAGGCATTTTCTCATAATTTTCTCCTACTTCGCTGAAATAATTCTTTTCTAATAAACTATGCTTTTTAAAATTGGTTGTCTACCTAAGTTTGTCGGCCACTAAGTTATGAACGAGATGTATAGGAATTTCATAATTTTAAAAACTACTTGTCAGAAAATCGAGAAATTTGAACGCATTTGTCACTCTTGAGGAGGATCATCTTGCAACTGAATAAAATGTATGATGGATCCACGGGGGGTCGTAGGCTCCATTTTCGCTGCTCTCTCGTGCCCAGTCTTCGCTCCTCCCCGAGGAGACTGGGGGTTCAGTGGAAGAGCGCGGGCTCATATCCCCGAACAGCGGCTAGTAATCGAGCCTAATCAAGGCCGTTAATCTTTCGCGTTTATAAATTAACTTTCCTGGCCTTAGCAAATCTTAAGTCGGTGGAGTAAAAATTAATCGTTATTCGTTTTTCTTGAGGTTAATTTTGAATGACAGCTCACAGGGCACGTTTGACCGCTCACTGGTCAGTAAAGTAACCATTGAGACCCTTTTTACTCTTTTAACCCTAGACCCCTAGGAGTGACTGACTTGTTAATTCTCCTAACAGCATTACTAGAGGAAATGATCACCAAAAAGGTACCTCTTGATTGTTAAACAAATTCTCCTTGCCAGCACCTTGGGAAATGTAAAGAGAACAGTATGGAGAATATGCATACTGATGTTAAGGTATACATTAAGGGTTAAAGGAGGAATTTGATCGTTTCGGTTAGACCGGAAGTGAGTGAGTAATCGGGGGAATCTTCCGGTGTGAGACTGAGCACCACACGCAGAAGGTCCACAGTGTGTGACAGGGGAACCATACGACGGGATAACCTTGAAGGATCCTGTAGAGGAAAGAAAAATTAACAGGAATGAGCCACCTTCAACAAATATGAAGACGCGCACCAGAAAAACTACGTCAAGTACACCAGATCGAGGCTCAATGGTAAGCTATCCCTGTTAGATATTTCAAAATTGGGCTAACAAAGTTTTCTTTCGTGATTCGGTTAACTTGCCCCATTCGTTAACTTTTATCGAATAAAAGTTAACGAAAAAAATTTGTATACCGCCAAGCTCCTACCAGCAAAGTTTTTAGGTTGAGGGACTTCGATTTTGTGGTTGTATTCGTGTATTCGACAAAATCCTCCTAGCTCGGGCCCAAAACCAATGAACGGTGTGATCGGATATAAGGACCATACTCGAGGGCAGAGGACAGAGGACAGAGGACAAAGGTCAAGGTCAAGCTACGGAGCAAAACTGAAACAATGAAAGGTCAAAGTGATACAGGTCATCGAAAAAAATGGTCGTCCCAAATTAGGAGGTACGGTTCGAATATGGAGCAAAGGATAAAGTCAAACGCAAAAGTTAAAGGTCAAGGTGCAAAATATCAGGGGAAGGTAACAACGTTACAGTTAAAACACGAGGGACAAAATATGTTTTATACAGTACTTGTGATCTGATCCAGCTGCTTATCTGAGTTGGTAGACGAGACAATCGATTAGCGCGTTCAGCTGACTCTGACGCATCTAAGATCATGTATGCTAGTCGCTGTCCCACAACTCTTAAAAGGTGAGAGGCCAAGGCCCGCTGGTCGTGAACTGAGAACATGGTCTGGTGAAAAAAGTTTAACAGTTTTCAGAAATGTGGCATGCTTAGCCTCAATAAAGGTAGTGAAGAATATTTCCAAAAGCAGAAAAATTTAGAGGGCCTTGAATTCAGTCACGGGTGTGCACATAACAATTTCTCGAAGAGTGAACAGTTTTTGCACGCTTTTTACTTAACGCACATGACACGCAGTGAGGGAAACTAAACGTTTCATCCCGCGCAAGCCACGTAAGATCAGAATGTTTCCATCAAGTGGTGGGATTGCAAGTCCAACGCGCTCACCACTCAACCGCGCTGCCTGATAAATATTCCTCAACACTTTCTTTCGTCCAAACAATGACTTGCCAAGTTTTAAACAAGACCAGCTTGTCATGGAAAAACTTGCCAAGGAGGTGGTTCAAATGAAATTCCTTACGCACCCTTGACAAGTTTTCTTTGCGGGAGAATTTCTGTGAATTTTTCCATGACTGGAGTAATTGAACTGCAGACACAAAGATCCTCACCTGTTTTGCAATCTCGTCAAAACCAGCGGAGTACAATTCCCGCACATAATGTCGCTTAAATGGATCACTGTCCATCCCAAACTGCTCTACAAGCTTGTAGATCACGGCCGGCCAACCACAGGTAGCTGTTTCGGGTACCGTTCCCTTGTTGTCAGTATCACTATTCTCTCGCCTGAGTACCGGGTTGGGAGACTGGGCCAACATAGCGCTCACCGTGAAGGACAGGGCTCGAGTGAAGAACTACGACCAAAAGGCACACAGTGTTGATTTTCTTTTCGACAGACTACAAAAAACCAAAAACTGCTCTGAAGGGGCCGGTGAACTTATGCGATATCAAAATCATCTGTTTCGAACATAGATAGAAAACAAATCCAACTCCCGATTAGGATTCCAACCAAACGAAATCCGATTGTCTGTCATATACATAGAAACAAAGCGAAAGAAATAACTATAATACTGCAAACAAATACAATCAGACAGGAACCATTTACCTTTTCTCTAGTCTCAACGATGGCTTTGTCGACATCATTAGACGATAGAGGACGATTAGAGCTGAGATCCCTCATAAAAGAGTCCTTGCTCTGCACACAGGTACAAGAAAAACTAATATAAACATTTTCTTGTAGCTTTTGCCTGAACGTGCTCTGACTGAGCGACACCCACTATCCCATTGGCGAATTTATGCACAGTTTTAGTTTAGTTTTCTTGACAGGTCGTGAAAAATCTTGCACACTAACCAACCCCCACCCCTCCACCTGACCGAAGTTTATCCTAGTTCGCGTAGCTTGAAACAACAGGGATCATTACTACTCCCGCTGGAAAAGATGCCATTCTCTCGCAAGGTCACCCCCCACACCCCTCCTCTTAGCTCTTTGTCAGGTATCCCAGACAGTTCCCTGATATCCACTGATACTCCATGATGAAGGGAGGCACTGGGACTGGGAGAACAGTATCGTAAAATGATTATTGTAACAGGATCGATAAATAAAATAATTAAAAGGCACATCATCACCTTTGTATCGAAGAGGGTCAGCGGTTTAACGCTCTTCATGTCCAGTCCCATTACAATCCACAAAACAGTGACCAGCTTGGCATGGAGCTGGACCAGTGGTCCCTCACTCTTTGGCTTCTCCTGTGCCTCTTCAATAAGGGACTCTGTACCCCTGGAAACAAGACAAGGCCCAAACTGACAATCGACGTAGTTGTTTATTAGCATATCAAATCAGGAGATCTTTACTTACGTTTCACCAGTGTGCCAGAAATCTTCTGTTTCCAAAGTTATTAGTTGAGATTCCATCCAATCCACCTGGAAAGAAAAACCAAAGTGTTATCTTGAATTGTCCCTCGTCGCCTCTTATTTTCAATACGCAGCCCTACGCTACATGGGTTAGCGAGACAACTGGGGACGATTCAGCGCACTGCCCATTCCATTGATTTCAAGTTGTCTTTTAGCGTGTCACGCAACGCACCCACAGCATTTCGTGACATCGCAAAAGACTGCAGCGACTGGGACTACGATCTCAGGAGCAGTTAAACCCGAGGATAATTTTCAAAAAGTAGGAAAGGTGTACCAGCCTACAAAATACGAAACGGGCCAGGATTTTGTACAAGCACAGCACCAGACACCCCAACAACTAAAACCTGTGGATATTAACTACTATCCAGTGCTATGTCAACAAGCTGCTGTTTGATTCTCCAGCCATGGTTTGCCTCCACTAGTTTTGTTTTATATTCAAATATTATCTCCTACCTCAGCTATTACATCCAGGAGAAGTACAGTGGCCTTAAGGAACTGCACCAACGCACCAAAACTTAAATCCACTGTCTAAAAAACAAGATTTTAAAATATTCAACATATGTCTCTGTTTTCTGGGCTGCCCGGCCACAGAATAGATGTATACATTTGATGTAATTACGACTAGATTGCCGGCACACACACCAAACACCAATCCAACAATTGAGCTCTTTTCGATTGATTGTCGTAAAACCAAAACCAAAGTAATCCCAACAGCCAATCAGAAGAAAGAAAAATACCCTAGAGAGCCAATGAGAACTCAGAGTAAAACTGACCCAAATGCCTAAAGCGCGGGCGACCAAGTCTTGATTGGTTTTGGTTTTGCATCTGATTGGTTGAAAGGGTGGTGCGAGTTTTAAGGACCAATCACCACACGAAGTGAAGCAAAAACAGAGCAATCCTGAATTAGTTTCAACACTAAATGGAAAATTGCGCAATAACGAAAATAACAGGTCGAAAAGTGCAAAATTCATATACCTTTCGACACAGTCGATCTTTGGGTGCTTTTCCAACCTAAAAGTAAAGGGAAGTTCGGTCAAATCCTTTCAGTTAAAAGAGACTCCAGGACTATTCATGGTCAAGCGAAAAATTGTGAAATATCGCTAATCACAGATGAACGTAATTCACAAACCTTCTGCATTAGGATAACGGTGGCGGATATCTTATCTTTGAAGAATCTCTTCCATGTCGTGACTGCCAAGCCTTAAAATCGAAAAAAATAATTTGGAAAAAGAAAAGGAAGCCTATGAAATAAAGATCTTTACTACAGAGTACTGTCGAGCTTGATAGATTAAATTAAATTGAACAAATAAAAGGGTTAACTATGAAAAAAATAAACAAAAAGAAAAAAATGTTTGTAAAACTTTTGTGACCTTGCGTGACCTGGCGTGACATACCATGTTGCAACGCAGGAACGTGAATACATTTCAAATGCTCCAGAGCTAAGAATAACTTGTTGGTTTCCTGAAAAGAATTCAAATAAAAATTAATGAAAATATAAGTCAGCACTGAAGAACGAACAGGTGCTGTAAAAAAAACTGTTAAAATTCCACTGTTTAGGAGGCTGATCAATTAGCTATCGATGAAGCGTATGAGGTTGAAATGATTCCTCCTTATTCCTTGCCTCCGTTGGATGGGTGCAGGAACCCAGGACCAACCACATGGCACTAAATGTAACAAATAGTCATGCAGACACAGAAACAAGCGGTTTAAAAACCATTTATATTTGCGACGGGCAGCTCATTGGTAATGACCCCGTTCTCTCCAGCGTTCATCTACTGGGAATATCTTTTTTAAAGTTTTTAGCTTGCATACCTCTTTGTTGCTGTGCCAGTAAGTGACACACTCCATAACACAATGAGCCCACAGTACATCTTGCTCTAGACCATGCGGAAACCTCAGACGCAACTCACTAAGACCTGCAAAAGATATGTTCACTTTCGTTCGAGGCTTTCAAGTATCTGTTTATTTCGCTGCCTTGGTAATGACAGGGTAAGTTAGTATTATCAACTGAGTTGATGACGTAAATTAGCCACCGTAGAGTTTTAAAGCTGACGTTTCGAGCGTTGACCCTTCGTCAGAGCGATTGGTAACGACAAAGCAAATGAAAAAGTAGTGAGTGGTACCACAAACGCACAATCCGCATCGCTTAGTTCACACTATGTTCAGGGCTTTTACTTCACAGAGACACTCAGTTGAAGGCCCTGTATACCCTGCGTAAGACTGGGTACGAATGATTGGCAGTGTTCACCCGTTTAACCCAAATTAAGCCGTTCCTCCTCCCCACACTGCCTCATCCCGCGGAAACAAACCTTCGAGTTCGACTTGGATTACAGTTTCAGGGTCTACTTCAGGCAGGTCATCGTCTCCAGTCTCGCTCAGATTTTCAGTCTCCGTCTTCCTTGGTACATGGGGAGTTCCCAGATGATTTGCAGGGATGTCACATTGTACGATGTACTTCGATATCATTTTCGAAGCTGCGTCAGGGCCGCTACTCAAGAACTCTGAAGAGATAAGAACAAGCCACTATTCGTTTCATAATACGGAAAGACAAACAAAATTGGCTTTCATGACGCCTCTGTTCTAAAAGAAAACAGAAATCGAGGGTACCCATGCCTCGTTTATAAATTAAGTCTCGCAAAACATGGACGCTACCAGCTCTTACCGACCACTGAAAGATTAGGCGACCCACTGTTATCAACAGCTTGCTTGCTTTTCTGACTGTCAACCGTCAATCGTTTGATGAAGCCTGCCAGAGCTTGCAAATCGGTCAGCTGACAGATAAGTAAGTTCCAGCGTTCCATCTCAACTGACACTGAAATCCAGTCTCCAGCGGCCAGTTCCTCCCTGTCAGCCGCGTCCCCTTCGTCCTGTGATAAGAATACAACATTCAGTGACCAGTCAGTCCAACCTCTACAACCCAGTATCTGATTAGAAATAATAATTCTCCCTTCTTGGTTCAATACATTTCTTTGTAAATTAGTTATGAGAATTTGGTGAACACAGGAAAACACCTTTCAGCTGATAAAAGTCATTCAATCTCATCACTTGTTTATAGGATAATGAATCGAAACTGTGAAGAGAAATTATATTTTCATCCGTTCTGGGAGTAACAGGATTAAGAGCATGGTTGCCTTTAGTTTAGTTCACTTTAAACGACGCATTCACTAAAAAAAATTAAATCTTTTACGGTGTGCACCTCAACTTTCTTTGATGCTGTACTGATTTCCAAGGCCACAGATCGGCAAACTGCAGCAAGAAAAAGTGCCCTGCTTGTCGAGGTAGACTGGGCCAGAGTTCGACGTACATTGTCCCACCAAGGTGAAATATCGTTGTCACGTAACTGCGATGAAGACATCTCGCTCGGTAAGCCTCCTGGGAAGGATAAAATAAAAGGGCCACATTAATGGCATGGAGAATTGTGGGGTATAATGTGACTAAACTTGAAGAATCCAAAACCTAGCCTCACCATAGGCAGGGAGTAAAACAGAAACGATGAAATCCTATTCAGGTTGAAAGCCCGATGCTCAAGCACTAAGGAGTGTATAAAGGGGATAAGTTTCTAAATAAACTGTGGCACTGCGTCGGTGGGAGAGTATAGCAAGGTAATTTGGTATTATCAACTGAGTTGATGACATAAATTGGCTACCGTAAAGAGTTATAGAGCTGACGTTTCGAGAGTTAGCCCTTCGTCAGAGCGAAAGAGCTACTACCAACTGAGCTATGAAGCCTCACTTTAGGGGCGAGGCATACCTTGGAGGGCAGCTGTTTGCTTGCTACAAAAACAAAGGCCGTAACAAAGTTCAACAATACTCTGCTAAGTGATTATGACCTGATAAAGAACTCATTGTTGAAACCAGTGAGTGAAGGTGAAACATGGATTCTTCTTTGTCATAGCGTTGATCCGGGTCTAACAGCCACCCAGACACCAACAGGTTCTGTATAAAACAAAGAACATCACAGGTTTTGTTTTCGGCAACCTTGATAACCAAAAGAATAACTGCATTTAGATTGGAGTTCCGCTTCATAAAAACGTTGTTAAAACGTTAACAAGCTCTTCCAAAGTTTTTTACCCTTTACACCCTCACATCAATATGTATATTCTCCCCACTGTTACAGAATTTGTTTAACAACCAAGAACGTTTTTTTAGTTTTTGATCAATTTCTCTATTCTTGCGACATTTTTGTGTGATTCAGGGGTTAATTATTGTACGGAGGAATTAGATGGTAGTCACTCTTCGGGGCTAAAAACTTAATTTTATTGTAACTGGAAGAAAATAAGCACCACTTTATATAACCCTCAAATAACCCTAATCAAGTCGTCCGGACTACTTGATAATCTAGCTAACGAAGGTGGAGTGAGTTTGTTACAACAGCAAACTAACATATAAAAGCTTACCATTAGGTGATGAGGTTTAATGCCAGATGACTCAAAAGGAATTGCTAATCTGCTTGACGAACAATCCCCTAAAAGGCAGTTCTAAAAAAGAAATGTCAAGAAAGTGCTATTCAAATCTCAAAGTGGGGGCCAAAAAAAATATAAACTTTTGGAAAAAAAAATTCAAAATACAGCCACCTAGAACGCATGTCCTGATGACTTTGATCAGTTTGATAACTGAAGTAATTTCAACCTACCTTGAAAAGAAAGCTTGCTATAGATAGAGGGAACAAAAAAAATTAAATTAAAAAAAGATCTTGTTGGTATACTAGCAAAATGGAGATATAATTTTAAAATGTAACAAGATAGAGTACTTAAATTAATCCTTAAACTCCCTTGATTTAATTTTTAATCCTCTCCTCTAACTGCTACACATTTCCTTGTAAATCAGTTACAAGAATTTGGTGCTAGATCAACATAACTACTTTGAACTGATAAGTATGCATATTCTCATTACCTGTTTGCTGTGTGGATGTATGGATATTTGAGGGAGAAGTTACATGCTAACCACTTCTAGGAGTTAAAAAGGATTAAAAAAAGATTCTGATAGAATATATTTTCAACTTACCTAGTTGAATTGTAATATCAGTGGACAAGCCTTTCCTAACACCAACAGTATTAGTTAATACAACTCTAGAGGACCCAGCTGTGTTCTCTTGGTTTTTAGCATTTGTTTCTTGGCCTTGTTGGTGAGCTGAAGTGTACTCAAAACAACCAAGGAAAGATGACACAGACAGCTGAGGAACAGAGTGGGCTGTAACCTTGGGTGTGGTTGTCTCACTTCCTCCAAGAGCCACAGACAGTAGCTCTGATGCTTCAGATTTTGTCACTCCAAGGAGATTTGCTATAGACTACAATCACAAATAAAAGTGTACTCAAAACAACCAAGGAAAGATGACACAGCCAGCTGGAATCCTTAGTAGGTTGTACCCTTGGACATGACTGTCCCACTTACTCTGAGAACTAACATGGCTTTGTTGCATCACATTTTGTGGTGACAAAGAGATTAGCAATAGGCCTGAGTTGTGTACCATTCTTGGCCAAGAAAGAGAAGAGAGGGTGTGCATATCACATTCTCAATGTTGCAGGGAAGAAGGCTGGTAGTGCGTTTTATCCTCCGCTATCAATGTGTTACCATGAAAATTAAAATTTTGTGCACAACACTGTCACATTGATGAAGTAACTGGGAATATCGCAAACTACTCTTAGACAAGATGTCAGTCCATTACAAGGTTACCCTCTTCCCGTGTTGATGTTGTGATTTTCCTAACAATTGACTTGTACCCATTTACACTCCTGGGTGGGGAGGCCCTGTGAGAGTAAAGTAACTTGCTCACAACCACAACACAATGACCCAGCCAGAGTAATAACTCTCAATGCTAAGCCTGCTGCACTAATAACTACTAATAGACCACTGCCTAAATAAGACCACATACTAGTTCTTTACTCTTTCCTTTCCAGGGTTTCTCCTCAGAGCCTGATTCTTCTTCTTTGTCAAGCTTCTGGATTGAATCATGTGTTTCTATTAGTTGTCTCTGAACATCACAAAAGTCCACAAGTGAATTGGTGTCTTCTCTTTCTTCCTCATGATCATCAGAGGTGTAATCTTATGTGGAGAGTAAAGGGAGAGACACATTGTCAGAAAGATGTGTTTTGTACCAGACCATCCGGCAGCCTAATAACCCCCCAGAGGGCTGGTATGCTGGCCTCTTCATATAGAATCTGACAGGTCAGTCATTAGGCTGCCACATCTCCCACTCATGATGAGCCACTTGAGCCAAGCGGTCTTTCCAGCCAGAACTTATCCCGGTTTCTGTAGCATGAAGCAACTGGAGGTATTGTCACTCATTCCCCCTGGAGGTGACCCCACAACATACAAGTATTGTCAGGTTGGCCTGACAGTTAGCTGATATCCATTTACTGTATAATCCTGGCTGGAGAGAGGCACTCTGCAAGTAAGCGCTGGGTGCAGATTTTGCACCTGAGCCTCTTCCCCAGTGTACAGCAGGCTAAAGTTTACACCACCCTATCTTCAACTAAGGAGACTAATGATAGGAACAATTTCTAATGATAACAAATACCACGCTCACTTTGCTTTTGAACTGTGTCCTTGACAGCTGTCACAGCTTTGAGAAGGACAGAGGAAGGAATTCCCACACTGGACAAAACACACTGAAGACCCTATCAAGGAAGACACAAGAACAGTTCATATTTGGTTCAGTCTGTACTCAAGCCAAGTTGCCCATCAAGCTGGAGCCCATCCCGGTTTCTGTAGCATAAAGTGACTAGGAGTATTACTACTCCTCAGGGAGGGGGGGAGGGAAGGAATGCCAGTCCATCACAAACTTATCCCAAAAGTTTCATCAAGCTTCCTTGACACTTCCCCAGTACCTATTTATACTCCTGGTTGAAGAGAGGCTCTGTGAAAGTTAAGTGTCTTGCCCAACAACATAACCTAATCCAGTCAGGTCTCAAACTAAAAAAAAAATTAAATGTCACCATTCAAATTGCACAGATGATGGAGCCAACAAATGAGAGGTAAAACGCAATACCAATCTCAGGTTCTCTCTGGTAATGATATCATTCATTTCTGCCCCTGCTGTATAGTTGCCACATTGGTGACTATAATTAGTGGGTTTCCTGTGTTCATGTGCCAACCCTGTTATGAAATCTCATTCAAGTTTCCATGCAGACTACATTCTTCTTTGTCAAATGCAGTGATTACATTTATTATGGCTTAAAAAATTAAAATTACCTGCTGATGCAATTGTGGAGTTTGTATTTCACTGAGAATATTTAACAAATCCTTTTCCAGTTTGTTTATGTTCTCTGCCTTGGACTCTGGATACATCAAAAATGAAAATAGTAAGAGAGGTTTTTAAAAAGTTATGCAAACAAGTTAATTAGCACAGAGTTGCAACCCTTCTATTTTCAATTAAAGAATATAATTTCCCTTTCATGAATAATTTACCTTACAACCACAATGCAGCTTAGATTACCTTGGCCAGATTTGATTGAATCCAAAAGAGCTGACAGTTTTTTTAAAAGGTGTAGATCTCTGACTCTCTTACTGTGCTTGTCACTAGGAGAAAAAAAAGAGTTTATTTAGGTTGTAACTGAATTTTGAATTTGGACATCCTCACAAGTAAAAACTCCTGAACAACATTTGTGGGAGACTGATACAGTGTCCACTGCCTTCACATCATCTTAAAGTTCTTTCTTCTTTATATTTTCTTAAAGTTGATGAAGAGGCCAAGGCTACTGCCTGGCTAACCAACAAGTTGACAGTTGCACAGTCTGACCACAGGGGATTCTGGTTCCTACCAGAAATTCAATTATACTTTGTCCTGAGCTAGGGAAAAATGTTTTAAATCTGTCTTGATAAAATTTACCCCAACAAACAAACTTGTTCTGCAAAATTAAATAAGCTCATCACATCACCATAATGGAGGTTTGTATAAACAGTTTGTATACCTCTAACATGGGAGTAGAGGATATGTACTATATTCAACAATTATTCACTGAAGTGGAGGTGAGTATTGGTAAATATCCACCACTTTCGCCGACACTGAGGTAAATAGTTGTTTAAATATAAACCACACAGATACCAAAAAATAAATTTCTTTCTTCCAATATACCAAGAAAATGATGGGAAATTAAACTCTTGACATGCAACTTTGTTTCATTGGCTGCTTGAAGGTGAATGTTACTTGCTATCCACTTCTGAACTAACTAATCAGCATGCCCAAAAAGCACTATTCACTTGTGTGGTATATACTACATAACAGTATTCTAATATACATTTGTACACAGAATGCACAATCTTAAACTGCCAGTATAACTAAGACAACACAGAAAATGATTAGAAAGCTGCAAAACACTGGGAGCAAAAATTTCTCTTCCAAATTGGCACTCTTAATCCCCACGGTATCGATGAGCACTTTTCATTCAACTAATTTATTCTTGTTTTCTCATCACAATACTCCCACCAACAGCATAGCTCCACTTTCTGCATATAAACCCACACACAACCCACAATTCCTCCAATTGCTCTAACAAAGGGTTAATGCTCAAAATGTCAGCTTTTTTACTCTTTATGGTGGCCAATTTACATTTTCAACCTAGTTGTTAACTCTAAATTACCAGAAAATGATCAGTTAGGACACCCCTTCAAAGCATGTAAGAATTCTCACCTCAGGGCACAGTGAAATGGTACAGTGAAAGTTTTCAATGTACCATCCCCTTGGATTAGAGTACAATTCAGTGTGTGCTGTGGGAGAGCCTGCCCCTGCTTGATCACATGACCTAATCCCATGATTCCATGTCCAGCATACAAGAGCCTGATAAAAAGCAGAATTAAAAAATACAGTTTGAATGCAACTGAAAGCTGGTCAATGAAGGAAACTGCAACCAAAATTCACTTGACACAAGTAATAAATTTTGAAATAATTAGTTAAAGGCTAGAGGCTAAGATCCACGTCAGTAAATTGTGAAAGAAAAAAAATAGCTGAGAAACAGCTTTAGTTTAATCAATCAGACAATAATTTCAAGTGTAAAACAAAAAGTAGACAAATGTTTGAAAAGGAAAGCAATTGCTCCAAACATAACTTCATAGCTGTCCTAGCCTTGTTAATAGTAATTAAAATCAATGTACTAACAACAGTTTAAAAAATATAATACATGTTTATGTGTACAAAGCTTACCTACAATCCTTTCCAACATTAAAGGCAGCCACACGTGGCCCCTGTTCAGTTCTCCAGATCTGGATAAACACACAGTGAACTGACTATCAAAATTAAAGTTAAAGATTTCTGGTGCACGTGATATCAACTTGCTGATAAAATTTTGTCCAATAATGTGAGTAGCAATAGGTATCCTCAACCATACTTAAAGGAATCACTAATAACAAAAATCTTCCCCCAAAAATAAAATTAATGTTATTTTACTTAAATATTGACTGAGGCAGACCATAGTAGGAACTCCTGTTCAGTTTTCACTGTTAATTGTGTAGTATGAAATGTATGGATCAATGTCAGAATCCGAGCAATTATGTACCTACCCCTCCCCTCACCCAATGATGGTCAACTGATAACAAGTTAGAGTTAGTGTTGGGTTAGGGGAAGGGTAGGTGCATATTTGCATAGATACTGAAATTGACTCAAATGTTTCACTACATGACTGGCTTCTGAAAATATTATACCCAATTACAGCAAATGCCCACAAAAAAGAACAGACTCACAATACATACCTCAAGGATTCCTCTCTTTGTGGCATAAATAACAAGAAACAGAGCTGTTCTCAACGAGCTCTTGGGTGGTTCCTCCTCTTGATGATCCTCCTCACTAACCATTACCCAGCCACATTCAGCATCACGGTAACCTGCCGTGCAGAAATGGAAAGGTTACATCTGCACCAGGATCAACTATTACAGCAGATCAAATTATCAAAGTGGGTAAGCTTCTAAAAAAAACTGTGGTTCTGCCTTGGTGGAGGGTAAAACAAGATAACTTGGTTTTATTAACTGAGTTGATAATATGAATTAGCCATCATAAAGAGTTTCTAAAAAATAAGGATGGTCTGATACATTTTTTCCAATCAATACAATACCATGTATGATACTGACATGTTTCTTTGATATTGATATCAACATTAGGACATCACTGAGTTAAATGGTAAATCATGTGATTTGACTGATTAAATATAGGGTTACCTTGCACTGTTAAAGTTATGCAGTGTTCATTACTCTATAGAAGCATCAACAAGACAGTCAAAAATTTAACACCAGATTAAGTTAGTCAAAACTCATGGTCATCAATGAGTTCACCCTTGCACCACTCAAATGCCACTTACACAAGTTCAATGTGGTGCTCTTTGGCCAATCTCAAGGCCAGAGTCTTCTCGGTTCCTTGTCAGCCAATGGTGGCTGGCATGAGACAACATGTGGGCTGGTCACACACAGCATTGAAAGTACTGATACTTTTAGTTAGTATCAATATTTTCCAATCTGACCTCCATATTGTCAGTATCAAATATTTGGTATTGGTATAGATCCATGCTTAGTTTCCCTTAATGGTGGCCAAGCTAAATTATCAACTCACTTGATAAACCAAATTAGCTTCTAAAATGGAGTTTTTCTATGAGCTCTATAAGCATGTTACTCATCTTGAAAAATTTTTGGGTTGGAAATTCCCTTCAAAAAATGCAACATGCATGTCTAAAACAAAGACCCTTAAGACTCTAGGATTTAAAATAGAAGACCCCTAAAAATAAAGTTGAAACATTTGGTATTTCAACAAAGGTTCAACAATGGAGTCGCTATGAGCATTTTTACAAAAAAGTATTTTAAGGTTTGTAGATGATGAAAAGTTAAATGTTGTAAGGTGTGCTTGGCTCTTGAAGTCTTCAGAGGTGTACTGTGAAAGAAAGAACTGAGAACTTGCACAGAATTGGTAATACTACCCCACATGGAATATCGCCAGCTCTTGTACTGGTTGAATACATGTATATGGTTACAATAATTTTTAGCAGAGATGCTCAAAATGAACACATCAAGGGAACCTTTATTTTTTAAGGTTTTGTTGTCCTAATGGAAAAACAATCAAAGTGTTTGGAATAATCTACCTTTCCATATTCTAATCACAATGGCCTTTTTAACATCCAGTAACATAACTCGACCAAAATCATCAGTTGTGACAGCCAAACGCCCATTAGGAGCTAGTGTGATGCTTGTTCCATGACGATGTGTATCAGGCAACCCAAATCTACAAGAAAGAGCAACTGACTCAGTTCTACAAGGAACTCCTTCCCAGGAGGGGGTTACTTTCTATAATAGGCTAATGGAGATGTGCCATTGTATGGGATCACATTTTCACAACTGGATTGACTATAACAGCATTACATTTTCTATACAGTAATTAGAATGGGGTTGCACATATTTTGCAGCATTTTTTGGGGATAAGAAAATTCTGGTAAGTAGGGGATTTAAAAATAGCAAGAGTTGAAGTTAAAAATTGTAACCAAATTAACAAAAGTCACATAGATTGGGTCTATAATTGGCAGCAGAATAAACTATAATAGGATAGGGGTTCTGAGAAACCAGCAGCACATACCCAGCAAAATTGATCAAAGTACAAGGCACTCCTCCTCCCACCCCACCACAGGGTCCTGCCAGTATTTTCCCACTTTCTCTGTGTTAAACAGCTGCATGTGAAAATTAAACAGAATCCTTAGCTGTATCGGATTACCTTGCTGGTAACGAAGTTCCTTTCTCCACCTTGGGCTTTGCAGGTTTTGTTGTTTCAGTTGACTGATGGGCAGGGTTGGTACCCCATCCAAGCCAACCACTGGAAATAAAGACAAAACAAAATAACAGATGTTCTAACCTAACCATCCTGGTCCCAATAATATGGACCGTAAGTAGTCAGGACCACAATGCAGAGGAAGATGTCAATTAAAAAAAAAATTGGATTTTTAATTAAAATTTCTGGAATGGCTAGTTGTGCTTACCATCTCTTATGGCACATGACAACTCAACTTCAAAATGGCATATGTGTGCAGTGCTGACTTCCAAATGGAAATTTAAATAATTTGCTGTTGAGTTTTCTGTTCTCAGATCATGCAAAGTTTGGTGATTTCACATTATTGTTGGAGGATGGCTAAGAAAGATAAAAAGTTTTGCTAGGCTATTTTTTTATGCACATAAGATCTTTTGTTTTGCTGCGTCCTTGATGCTGTCCCCATCATAGTTTACTAAAGGTCCCTAACATTGACTAGTGCAACATGAGATCATTCCACTAACCTTGCTGCTGAGAGCTTTGACAGTACTGCTGTTGTTAATTTGCTAGCTACTGCCAGTGCAACATCAGAAATAAGAGGAGGTGAACTACCCTGAAGAGAAGCAAAAAAAAAAAATTGGAGAGAGAGAGGGAGAGAAATTGAGAATTACAAATCATTGAAGGTAGAAAGTTTGTTTGGGCTAGGTAGTGCTTCCGTCAGTATCAAATACACTTGGTTTAAAGATCTTGCTAATACTGGCTTCTGAGTTTCATATTGCAGGTCTTTGACCAGGGCATTCTGTAAGTCTGGTCACAAGTAACAGGTAAAATATTGGTATGTATTTTAGCCCTTAGAAAGTTTTTGACTGCATGGCCTCTCTCTGATCAGCTCATTGTCTGGAAACAATCACGTGGAAGTTCATAGTCCCCTGTTTCTCAGGATTTATCAGTATAAGCCCTTCAGAGGTTGCCTACCCCATTCCTTCAGTTTGGCAGGATTTCCTTCTGTAACAAAACCCAAATATTTTCTGTTCCACAGTTTCCTACCTCCAGAGAAGTGTAGACTGCCACAAACGGCTCCTTCCCTGTGCTGATGTAGTGAGACATGGCTGGCATGGTACCTCTGATGCTTGCATGGAAACCTCCAATGAATGAGGCTGTTTGCAACTGATCAAACATATTAGGGGGTACAACACCTTCAATAAAAAAAAAAGGATTGTAAATTTTATTGAAAACTTTCTTTTTTCTCAATCGAAAACTCTTTATCAATAAATTAGTTCATACAACATCATACCCAGTTTAATCTATAGAATTCAGGGTTGTAATTAGAAAATGCAATAGGTGTATGATCTGAATTGAGTAGGTGGTAGAATTGAGTTATGCTTGGGTAGCAAGCATGATGTGTTGCAAAGCCAGACATTGACATTAGAATCAGTTCAGAAACACTCATTTTTGTCTTCAACCAAAATTCACAAAGTAGCTGGCAAAATATGATGCAACAGCTGGCTCTAACTTTGGTTAAGGAAGAGCATAATAGATAAAAAAGATGTCAGAGTAATTCAGGACGGCAATTTCATTAACATCATGCTTACTTCATTGAACAATGATTTCCAACCTAGATGGGAAATTTATTTCTAGTCACTGCAAAGCAATTACTACAAAGTACAATCTTACCACAACTAGCAATATCTGTGATGTGCCCTTGACCATCAAATCTCCATTTTTTGTAAGCAAGAGGAGGGGGACCAATGAGTTCAGATAGGCCACTGGCTTGAGCTAATTAAAGAAAAAAATTAACATCAAAATGTAGGGCAACATACTAAAAAATTAAATCAAAGTTATGGTTCCGTATCTAAGAATCAACAGTTTAAAATCAGGAACCTTAAATTCTTAAAAAGAGAGCTTGCAGTGTGAGAGCATAAGATTGAATATTTACACGAGTCTTACACTTGATGCATGAGACTTTAAAAGAACTCTGCAAAATTAATGGAATTGGCCTCCTAAGCAGCAGCCTCACCTCTCGCCAGTTGGTTTCTGCAAGCTCTCAGTGACTGATACAGACTAAAACCATCAATAATAACCATTGCAGTTGGGTACAGGATAGCAAGTTCTTCAACCTAAACATGTTATAAAACACAGTCTGTAACAAAAATAAGCTACACCATATTAACTAGGCATCCTTTAAGTCCTGAAACAGTTTGGTCAAAAGCAATGCAGAGGGACAAGGGTCTGAGAGGACATTTTTAACCCTTTCAGTCCCATGATCTTGTTACTAATTCTCATTACTGTCCTTCATACAGTTCTTATGACAATAGATTAGAGAATTTGGTATTGGATCAACTAATGATCCTCTAATTGATATTTTTCTTTATTCTCATCAGTTATCTGGTTGATATTATATTGATATTGTAAGGAGAAAATATGTCTTGGTCACACATGGGAGTTAAAGGGTTAAATGATCATCTAATTTCTTACAATATCACCCCTGAATCACACATTAAAGTAGAGAGAATCAAGGAAATCAACACCAAGTCAGAGAAGCTCTTGATTGTTAAACAAATTCTCCTTATCAGCAATTTAGAAAATGTATAAAGAACAGTATGGGGAATATGCATACTGATGTTAGGGTGTAAAGGGTTAAAGAAAAAGTATCAAAAAAATTCTCAAATAGGTTACATTTTTTTGTTTGTAGTGATGTTAATTTTGTTTCCACTTGTTTAACAGGTACAATTCTATTCCTACAAATGTTCCATACCTGCTCAGCAGTGCCATGATTCTTATATGATTGCCAAGTTCTGCATTTAAGCCTTAACACTGGGTTATCATGAAGAAACTGTGACAGCAAAAGGGATCCATTCTTAAAAAAAAAAAAGAACATAAACTGTATTATAATAATTACTATTAATAATATTTCTCAGTTAGTATGTGTACTATGATTGTTCAATTTGGCAAGCTGTACTTCACAGTACAACCTGCTGAATTCAAAATTGTGGGAAAAAACTTAGTCCATAACTTATAGTAAAGACCCCCAACTTGGTTATGAAGAGGTATTTACAACAGTTTATGAGTTTTATTTAAACACATTTTTAAGTTTTTCCTTGATCAGAAAAGGTATAAGTCCCTGTAAAACAAAATTCTCCAAATTACTACTTTTAACTATCCAATCAAAAAAACACCCAAGAAAGAAAAAGAGTGGGGAAAATTGTTTGATTTGCAGTTGTGATAGTCTTTTTCTGTGATATGGACTACAAGGTTGAAATTATTACATGTCCCATAGAAGTATTCAGTTGTGATTCAACAAGAGAATAGTGATGGTCCACTGCTTGGAAATAACATTGCCAAAATTAGTTCTCTGCTGAAATTTCAATACCCTAATTCTTGACTGCAAAAATTTGTTCACACAAAATAGAACAAATTGCCCATCTGTGAAATATCTTATTCTTACAAAATGTCAATGCTACACAGTATTGATTTAAAGATAAATGTTCTTTCAAGGACCAGATTTTTCAGTCACCTAGATGGACCCAAAGATACAATGTTTATATGTGAATGTACACTAAAAAAATTGTTTAATCCATGTTCTGTCACACAAATATTAAAATTACCTGTAAATAGATCCTCATGTATCCTGATGTAAATCCAGCCACAATGCAAGTCCAGTCTGGTGATCCTTGAGAACTTCTGCAGAATTCAACACCATTACTGATCATACACTTTGACTGTCATACGTGGATTAAGGAGAATTTGTTTAACAATCAAGAGCTCCTTTACCTGGCCATCATTCCTTTTATTCCTGTGACCTTAATGTTTGAATTAGTAGTGATATTGTGAAGAGAAATTAGATACTTCATTCTTAGGTATCAAAGGGTTAATATAGAGATTTAGCCAAGCCTAAAAGTGGAGCTCACATTTTTTTTTCCTGCACGTCTCAAAGGCACAACGCCTTGCCCCGGCCAGGACTATGGGATTCGAGTCATATGGAAATAAAAATCGCATTATTTTACAAATATGTACAGCAAGGTGCTAACAACTTACTTGTGCTGAGAAGCCAATGGTATGCACAATATATCTGTAATGCATTCCCTGACAGTAAACAAGACAAAGAAAGCAAAAACAGTAAGGAAAACATTGACAATAATATCTTACATCAAATGCTCTTATACACTTAAAGGGCACAATTAAATCCTCCACTGGATATAAACACTAGTCATGGCTATTCACCTCTATCAGAAACACTATTCAAAATGTTCTACATGTAACTTCTCTTTACAATACCCATACACTATCCAACAAACAGGTAATGAGATTGCTCAAACTTATCAGTTAGAGGTTGTTATCGTGATCTAACACCAAATTCTTGTCACTAAATAACAAGGAAATGTGTAACAGCTAGATGGGAGAATTAACAATCAGATCTTGGGAGTTAAAGGATGTTGCTGTGTGTCTATTCGCAACAATAATTATTGATTTTTATCAATGTTGTACCACTCAGAAAAACTTTATTCCGCATTCTCTGATCATTCTACACACACAAAGAATAACATATCAAACTAACATATACATTTGAGCAAAAAAACAATTGTTTAAATAACTAAAGAAAAAAACTTTTGTCCAATTGTTAGCTTGGGTAAAAATTCCTGTGATTTTGAAAGCAATTCAAATAACAACCATCAAATAAATTTGTCATAACCACAGTAAATAGATCACAGACCATAATGACATAAAAAATTGGCACAAGTGACTTCTTCTGTGATCTTTTGTTGTACAGACCCATGGCTACATAGAGTCTATTTGTTTTATATAATGAAAGGCAGAATGTTGTTTATTGTGATGTTATCTAAGGACATACAAAAATAATAGCAGTAATTTTTTTTTACCCTTCCTCTGTGGCAAGACTACCACTCCACACGATTTCATATTTTGTACTTGGCTGGCTATCTGATGGCTTGTTCCATCTGCCTGGAAAAGAATGATACCATGATCTCAGCTTGAGTTATTGCTGTTGATAACAAATCATGATTCTATGGTTTAAATGGTCTTTAAACATATTGAACATAACAGTTATGATCTGTATAAGGACCATAGATTAACCTTTACACTTAAAAAAAAAAAAAAAAGATTAACATACTGGCCAGGAAAACAGCTTTGTCATTTTTAGCCACAGCCAAAGTATCATTTGACGGTGACAAAGAGATGCAACACTCTTGTAGCCATGAACCAGTTGGTACTTCAGGTTCACTTTCAACTGCTTCCTGTTAATACAAAAGAACAAATTATTTTATATAAGGCTGTAATGACTCCAAGCTGATATATAAATCTCAGTTTGCATCTTGCATCTTAGGAAGTGGTAGGATAGGTCATAGGTTCCCCCCCCCCCCCCCCCACCTCCTACTGCAGAGCCTATTCTAGTTTCAGATCATAATAATAGCAGTATGGCTACTTCCCCTGGGTGGGAGGGTGATCCATCATAGGTCCCCCCATCCCCACTCCAGCATTGTCTCAGGTTTCACTGACACTTGACACTACTTAAAACAATGGGTAGAGAGAGACATTGCCAGAGTTAATTGTCCAGCCCCAGGAAAAGACAAAATGACTCTGTCAAGGCTTGAATCTAGACCTAACGACTAAGAGTCCACCATGTGAACTACCTTAGGCCATCAATTCTGTGATTTAACCAAAGTTAAAATTTACAAATCAGTGGAAGTCTTACCGTCCAGCCCCACTCTTCACTTTCAACATCCCATCCTTCTGAAAGTAGAAACATTCATTGTAATGCAAGGGGTCGAAACTGTTGATTACAAATTCTCGGTTGACTAAGAGAGACTCCATTAAATCAAATCAGGGATAAAATAAATGAATAAAAAATACAAGATAAAATTTATGATACTAAATCCTAAATTTAGCAGGAGCACTTTACATATTTCTGTCCCATACTATTTATACTAAATGTTTACAATCGCTAATCAGTCGTGCCTCAGAATCACCTTACTTACCGACATTATCCTTAACGTTTTGCTCTCCCGATATAGGAGCATCATTCAAAATTGAAATTACCCTATTGACATCTTGAATCAAAGCAAATACAGGTACAGTGCACGACATTTTCATCAATCACATCTAGTTGAGCTAAAAGAACACGTCGGCCATGTTGTTTTGTTTATGTCAGCTGACCCAAAATATCGTAGTCTCATCATCGCGAGATCGGTCATGATCACTAAGGATGAAGGGAAGACACGTTCAAAGTGTTTGGCGAAAAAAGGCCGAAATTGGACAGAACTTTCCGAAGTTGCACGGAGGCGTCAAAAGTTAGACGGAACTGTCCCAACTAGGATAGAACTGAGGGTCGTAGCCAGACTTCAGAACAAGACGAGGCAAGTTTCGAGCGCCGAAGGCGCGAGCCGCTAGGGGTACGGGGGCATGCCATACCCCTTCAAATCTAAAATTCTAGAAATCAAGAGGCTTAGAAATGCTCTTTTAAGTATTTTCCCTGGCATTTTCCTCCAGAGGTCAATGTCATGCCAAAATCAAGACGAGTCAATTACCTCGTCTTGCCTCATGCTAGCTACGGCCCTGGAACTCTTCGACTAAATGGAAAAGAACGCAACGGAAGTCATCCTAAATGAGAAGGAACCAATTCCCCGTCTTCTCAAGGCTCGTTTTACTTATTTAAGCCACCAAACGCAAACAAAAGCCTACCTTTTCCACATGCCTATTCCATAGGTTTCCCTACTGGTCTGAAGTTATAAATTTTGATTCATGTCATCTTCTCATTCAAATTTAGCGTCATCAAGTCGTTCACAACCTAAGAAACACTAATCTAACAGGTTCACTGCATATAGAAACCATTTATAAGCTTGGAAGCTTCGAGCATTTTAAAGCTTTGAAGCTTGGAAGTTAAAAATTTCAAGCTTCGAGCAATAATGACATGCTGGTATCTGACAACCTTTTTCTGCGTTCGTGTCAAACGAAACAAGCTATCATTGACCCAGAGTTAGCTTATTTTCTGGGTGCACATCGCCCATGACTTGTTCAGTTTTATTAGCTTTTTTTATGGGAAAAGAGGGAAGTCAAGGCGCCATCAAATTCCCGCATTCCGAACGTCATTATTTCCTTTATTCTAATGAACAAGTTGCAACACCTGACCTCGTTTTTTTCGCGTCCCACTCGGATTTCTTAGTCCTTGTTCGCTCTGAGTCCGTTACTCTAAGTACTGAACATTTAAGAGAGCTGAGAGGGCGAAGGGTTGAGAAAAGTAAAGGACACAGGGGCAAAGGGAGGGGTAGATGAGTTTATCGACAGTCAAATCAGAGAGTTCCTTACCCATTCTTAAATTTGCCATAGTTTGCTAGCCCAAGCAAACGTGCTTTCTGTCTTATCAGTAGTCACTAAATATCTCGTAGCAATAAATGATGAGGCAGTCTTCCAATTGAACACCATGTATATGTTGTGGTTCAATTTTATCCTAGGTACAAATTTTATTTTCTTTTGTGTTTGGGTGTTGTAATGTATGATAATGAGTTTAAAACAAAAGAAAATAAAATTCGAATCAAGAATAAAATGGAACCACAACATATATGCTGGCGTGACTACCAGCCGCTGTTTGGGAAACGAGACGGCGCCCCTCCCCTCCCCTCCCCGAAGAAAGGTCGGAAAGGGGGCTTAACTTGCACGCAGTGATTGTGATAATTTCCGCACCAAAACGTGGGGGGACGGGCGGGCGGGCGGCTGTATTCCTTCCCTCAGCTCCTCGACACAAAGCGGATAAACAGCGCGCAATCAAGGGATTGGTATTAAATGTTAAAACCGGATACGTCAGTAAATAAACAACCATATAAAAAAGAAACTTAATTTTATTACAAAAAGCAAATAGCAAAGTACAAAAATTATGACAAGAGCTCTCCAGAAGACCTCAATGGATACCTCAAGGAAAACGAAGACCATACATACCTGAAACGTAAAGGTAAGTACTGTAGAGTTTCTTATTTAAATCATTTTCAACGAATCGATCAGTCACTTTTAAGAAATTCTGTGACAACTGTCACTTTCACCTTCACAACATCCAACGCCTCACCCCCCACTCCCTTCCGCGGCTTCCTCCTTCACAAAACTTAAGATCGATACGTAAATGCAATTATTATCAGTAACCGTGACGTCAGCTGAAGATTTTGACACGTTATTTAACTGCAGTTGCAAACGAATTGAAAATCATGAAGTTACAGCGCATGTAGCGTGCGAGGAAATAAGAAGCGTTTTTGTCATCCTTATTTGCCAGACAGAATATCGAATTTTGAAATTTAAATGCCGGTCACCTCTATGTCCTACTTTTACAGGGAAAAATATTGAACAAGGCCAATCAAAAATAAAGACAATTTGCTTCATAATACGCTCAAGAGAGAAGAGTCTATAAAAATAAAACAAACCTAATGTATGGAATTTAAGTTCTTTTGTGGAATTCAGACAACCAAAGTTCAATGCCACAGTAGTTTTGCAGCATTCTCGGGATATCGCCAGAATTTCTTCCGGTAAAGTCAGTTTGGTGACAAACCTAGAGCAGTTTTCAAAGTGTCGAAAACAATCTGAGATTATATTGGTTTCTTAATTACTTAGTCTGTGATTGGTCCAGAAAACTCGCGAAACTCTCTCATCCAATCGGGTGCAAAACTAAAACCAATCACGACCTGGTCGCCCGCGTTTTCCCGCGCTTTAGACAGTTTGGTTGTTTATACCTTTAGTTCTCATTGGCTCTTAGAAGTATTTTCCTTTGTTCTGATTGGCCTTGGTGAAACTTTGGATTTACGACACTCAACGAAAAGCGCTCTGATGAATACCGCAAGCTCACTGTGGAATTAAGTTTGCAGAAGCTTATAACTCACCTCATCGCTTCCTTCGGCCGTGCTGCCTGTACTGGGACACAAGTGTTAACAAAACAAGTTACCTGCATCAACTTACCAAAGCAAGATAAAAAGCACAAGGTTTCCAATGGTGAAACAAACAAAAGCTGAACACCGCATGGGAACATCAAGTGATCAACCACCGACACGTGACCACGCAAAACAGGTTCAACATGAACAGTGGGCAAGGCACCAGGGGAGGGGGGAAGCGGACTAGAGTGGAGTGTATCTATTTGAATGCCATAAGATAAATAAGCTGGAGACCCGTGTGACATCATTAACTCGTGTTTGCTTCACCACTACGACTAGGCAGTAAGTTAACCCTTTAACTCCCATAAGTGACCAAGACAGAATTTCTCCTTGCGAAATCAATACAATATCAAGCAGACAAGAGACAAAAATAAAGAAAAATATAGAGGATTAGTAGTTGATCCAATCCCAAATTCTCAAAACTAACATCACAAGAACTGTATGGTAGACAGTAAGGAGAATTACTAATGAGATCTTGGGAGTTAAAGGGTTAATAAGTTAACGAGATATAAGCCCGACGAAACTTTGTGAACAATAACAATTTTCGTCAAATCCCTTGGCACGCGACTCTTACGTCCAAAACCATTTCGACATTTTCGTTTTTCCGCGAAATTCCATCTTGATCCTTCATTGCTTAACTGTAACACGCTGACGGGGTGGGTAAATTCGGCAAGAATTAATGTTTTCTTCTTCTCTAACCTACATTCGTTTACATCATTATCCGTTGACTTTATCATCCATAGCACTTGGCGCAGTAATTATTTTTGCATTAGGGACGTTACAGACTGCTTTGCAAGCTTCATTCATCCATGTTTACGATTCGCTTCCAAGATTGCTTCGTCCTTAACTTTCGCGATCTTGAGCGTAGTCCAACATAATTTTCACGCATAACGAGACTCCAACAACTGTTAATCCATGCCATTTATTCGAAATAAAAGATATTGAAAGCCGAAAGATCAAAAGCCTCATTCAGGTAAGATGAAAGGACACGACGATAGATGCATCAAGATTTTGAAATTTCTATACCACGATGTTGAACTATTATTGTACGTTCAACTACAGGCTCGATCATCTACCCGTAACGGGGCTCTTCTTGTTTAAATAACTCCTATTGGATGATTACTTTGGATTACAAGCTAAATCAAAATGAACAGGCGTTAATTCTAACGTACAAGTTATGCTCAGTTGAGAATTTCCGAGACTCTAAAATGCCAAAATTGTCGAGCAAGTTACCAAGTTTCACACTAGGTTCTAAAACTTGCGCAAGTACAAGATTCACAGAGGAATGTTTCACACCTAAAACTTGAAGTTAACCTAAAATCGTCCACCGAATCAAAGAAACGTCAGAAGTTTATCAATGTTTCAGTACCGCCGCATCATGCTGACACGTGGGGCGCCCTTGTAAGGCTCATATCTGACGTCGCCTGCGACAGGGTGGCGCCTCTCCGCACCGGGAACTGCACTTCCAGTGTAAGCACCTCGGGCAACAGGAGCCGCCAAGGAACTTCCGGGCTGGTTCCAAGGAGTTGGTGCACTGTCGCGGGCAGTGACTGCAGCACGCGACCTATCGTCAACGGAGGGGCGGCCTGCATTTGACACGCCAAGAGAAGGAGTGGCATTTTGGCGCGAGTCCATTCCATTTCCCCACGCACCTCTAGGCGGTATGGAGTCACGGCTGATCGGTGCACGGGTATCCCGAGCATCATACATGGTTCCTGGACGAGGAATGCTCTGCTTGACCTCCGCGCCACGATCTCGTGGACGCTCCCTCTCCCTGGCAGCAAGCGCATCGCGGTCTCTAGATGTCAGGCTACCACCATGTGTGTCTCGCCAGTCTCGCGCGGGTGGCTTGCTAGATTCCACTCCTCCAGTGATGGCCACAGAGCGATGGCTTGTGTCCATGGACAGCGAACCGAAGCGTGCATCAACATGGACATTTCTGATGTCTGCGAGTCCTGAGGACCCGTGCGTAAAGTTCCCCCCTCTCTCAGCTTGAGGGATAGGCGGCCTGCTATCACGAGGGTCAGGGGCACGCCAATTGGGTTCCTCTATAGATTTACTCAAATCACCTCGCACATTATGTCCTTGAGCTGAGGCGCCTGAGCCCAAGATGCCCCTGACGCCAGCACGCTCCAATAAGATGGACAAGCTCTTCTGTGGATCCATTCCAGCTCCAAGAACCCCAACACCGGCCCCAGACAAGTCACCTCCAGTAGCCCAGGCCTTAGTCTCGTGGTTGCCACGGCTGTCACGCAAGTCACGATCACGTGCTCCTCTGGAATGGTCGTGAGGTTTGTCACGCCCGCGGTGTCCTTCTTCGTTACGTCGCTCTCTCTCATCTTTCTTAAGACGCCTTTCGTCTGCTCGACTCCACTCCTCGGTTCTGCGTTCGCGACCGGCTCCAGCTGGTTGCCGACCGTCTTCACGATGGCCTCCTCGAGAATCACGCCTGTCTGAGGAGACTTCAGGACGGTCACGTCTGCTATCACGTTCACCCACTGAACCGCTGAAGAAGTCACGCGGTCTTTCGTCACCCAAAGCAGCCCGTTTAGGTTCTTCCCAAAAACCAACTGGTTTCTGAGCATGTGCTGGATCTCCACGTTCAAAGGGCGCACCATGGCGCTTTAGACTCCGACGTTCACGTTCCAATCGTTCACGTTCTAAACGTTGACGGTCCAAACGCTCTCGTTCAAGGCGTTCACGTTCCAAACGTTCCAATCGTTCGCGTTCAATGCGTTGTAAGCGGTCACGTTCAATTCGTTCACGCTCAAGTCTTTCTCGTTCAAGTCTCTCACGCCTCTCCCGTTCTAGGCGTTCACGTTCCTCACGTTCACGGCGTTCACGTTCCCGTTGACGTTCCAGTTCTCTTTGCCTTTCTATTTCACGCTGCAGCCGTATTCGTTCACGTTCTTGTCTTTCGCGTATCTCTCGTTCACGTATAACCTGAAGCCTTCTCCTTTCACGTTCTCTTTCTCGTTCACGTTCACGTTGTCGTTCGGCCATTTTCTCCCGTTCAAGCCTTTCACGCTCTCGTCGAAGTCGTTCCTGTCGCTCACGTTCACGCTGCTCACGGATCTCTTTAGCTCTCTCCAGCCTCTGTCGTTCCTGTCTATCACGTCGGATCTCGTCAATAGACTTGATTGGGCTTTTGCTGGGCTTTTTATCGTCCTTTTCTTTACTTTTATCTTTGTCGGTGCTTTTCTCCGTCTTGTCTTTTTCCTTCTCCTGGTCTTTGTCTTTCTCCTTTTCCTTGTCAGAGGATTTATTCGACACGACCGGTTTCGAACCTTCGTCTTTTTTGCCACTTGAAGAAGTACTTCCTGTGATTAGTATTAATCGTAAAACAAAACAGAACATTTTATGCTAAATAAAAGACAATCTGCACGACACATACTTCTCTTGCAAACAAAGCAGGCAAAACGAAAGCGAAGGAACACAAACAAAAAACCAAATGTGACGGGATGGAACCTCAACAGCCTCAAATGCAAGAGTAAACTGCATGCAATTACTCGACAGGAAGTTCAATTGTTAGCATCGTGTTCGTCCCACAAATCCAAAGGGTGTCTTTAAGGAGCAGGATAGAACGCCCCAAAAAGAGCCTTGACGAATCATAACAAAATCACAAAAGTAGTTAATCAACTTCAATAAAACCTGTGCAGCTCTGATCAGCACAACCTGAGAATCATTTTAAACAACAGTACCACGCTTGACTAACTCAACTAGGAGATCAGTCAACAAGGTTTAGATTTATTAGTTGAATTGACTCTCGTATGATCAGGATTAAAATTCTCTTTGATGCCCTATAACAGCATTCCACGACGAGTGTTGGGATTATGTCAACAACGCCGTTATCCTGTCATTAAGCTCTTCATTTCCATCGAATGCTTCCTTGATCTACAAGTGATTTGTTGACCACCATAGAGAAGGATGAGTAAGAGGAAATGCAACGCAACAGGACACTGATTCATTAGCTTTGAAGAAGAAACACTCAGTGATGGAGCTCTGTACACTGAACAATCTAAAAATGATGGCATGTAACTGGATGAATCATCCTAAAAGTTACACCACCATTCCACACGAATCATACTATCACCACAATCCCTAAAGCTTATCCAGCAACAATCCACGCAAAGGAAGTTGAAAAATATGTCCAGCTAAAAGAAAACCAGAAGAATTTCTTCTAATCCGATAAGAGAGGAAAAGAAAGGATCAAGCCAAGTATAAGAGGGTACAGTTGCTCTAAGCAATGCTGTTAAAATTACATCCATAATAAATCTATTAGTATTAGACCAACCTGACTTCTGTTGTTTTGGAGTAGTTCTAGAAGATGACTTAGCTGGTGTTTTAGTGGCTGTTGATTTACCAGGAGTCTTTTCCACAGGTTTCTTTGCTAGCGGCTTCTTGTCATCAGTTTTTGCTTTGGATTTGTCTGATGAGTCAGCTGTCAACAGATCAAAAGGGGAATCTTAAACATAAGTATGAGGAATAATGCAACATTAATTAACTACTCCATGGCTTTCAATTGGCCACTTCCGAGGTCGTCTTTTCCTCTGTGATCTGGTGCCGAAATTTGTAACATGGATGTGGCTAAGTGTGAAGTCGCTCTCATTGGTATAAAGAATGAAGTGCAGTGCCATATGTGCTTCATTGACAAACTCCAAGTTTAAAAAAGTGTGTGCAAATCTATCAGATGTACATCAAGTGGTAAAAGTCTTGTTCCACTCTACTACTATTTGCATTTCTTGATACCTCTCCTTTACCTTTACCTTTCCCTCTCACCCATTTCATTTTGGGGGAGGGGGAGGGGGGGAGACGGGGGACTTTCAAGTACCTTAATAGGAACAAATAACATGTATCATCATCATGCAATTGTCATTGTGTGAGTGTGAGTAGCCTCACTGTGAAGGAGTTGCAAAAGATTGGGAGTCAAATCTTGTTATCATATCTCTTGCTGGGCCAGCTCTTAACCAACAGAGTATTTTGGATATTTAAAACTTTGCATAACTACACATACCTGGTTTGTCCTTCTTCTCCACTGGTTTCTTATCTGCTGGCTTCTTGTCTGCTGGTTTCTTTTCTGCTGGTTTCTTCTCTACTGGTTTCTTTTCTGCAGGCTTTTTGACAGCTGGCTTTCTGTCAGCTTGCTTCTTATCAATTGGTTTCTTATCTGTTGGCTTCTTGGCAGAGTTAGATTGAGTTGTAGGTATGCGATCACCTTTAGCCTATAAAAGACCACCACAAAAGATCAGTCATTTCTGGATATGAGCCAAAACCACCAAACTTTGTTGGTTAATCTTTATAACACAAAAATTTGTTTCTACCCAGCTAAAAGATTCACCAAAATACTGCAAGGTTTTCATGCCACACACTTTTCATGCCTGGATTTTCCTCTTCTTTCTTATTTCTCTTATGCCACCAGACCAACTAAAGGAGATTTCATCAGCTGAGTTCTTTACCAAAAGAAAATGATTCACTTACCCTATCCACGGTGATAGTTTTTCCATGCAGTTCTGTGCGATGAAGGTGTGATATACACTTGGCAGCCTCCTCACTTGTTGACATGGTAACAAGTCCAAAGCACTGAGCACCAGGAGCCTTAGAGTTTGTCACAATCTTAGCACCAACCACCTAAAAACCAGAAACAGTTTCAAAAAACAGTTACCCCCTCAGTACTCGAGCATCTCAAAAAAACTTTTCATATCACTTCTACAAGGCATCATTTCCCTGAATGATGTATTTTTGCAATGGCTAATTCCACTTGCTTTGAAACTGTTCAAGGAAGCTCATAGCCCAGTTGTTTGAAGAGAGATTAGCAGGATAGTTTTCATTTTTTTTTTCTTAAGCATCCAGTCATCAGATTGTAAACAAAAAGAATTATCTACAACCTAGGGTTATCTGAACCCAGCTTTGAAAAACCTGGTCCAGAACTTTACTAGGGTATACAACAGTAAAATATCAAGGTTTACCAAACTATTAAAAAAATTAAAGAGAATCACCACATCAGGGTGTGAAATTGTGCCTAATACAGGTGCCAATGCAACTAAATTTTTCACTTTGGCAACCAAATCCTGAAAATTAGTTGCCAAATTAGCAACTAGTATGTTTCATCATAACCTTACCAAGAGATATAGTGAATTAAAAAGATTTGCAAAGATAAATCCATGGCAAACTTCCTCATTTAGTTTGTTTTCAAAACACAGTACAATCATCTCAATCAATAACTAGATGCTATCTTGGATTTAGGTGAGCTTGACTGTTGTATATCATCCATCCTAGTGTCCACTTTGTGGCACGTTAAAGATCTTTTCCCTGACTTAATTTTATGGAGGGTCTATCTAGAACCCTGACAGTGTAACAAAAGCTTTTGTTTGTCTTTGAAAATGGCGACCAACTTTTTTTGAATTGGCCACCACTTTGAAGAATCTAGGAGCCAAGTGGCTTTCAGAAAAAAAAATTAATTTCATGCCCTGCACATTCATTGACATTTTACCCCAAGCTACCTTCTTAACTCCTATAAGTGACCAAGACAAAATTTCTCCTTACAATACTGATATAATATCAAGTAGTCAGGAGAAGAGAATTAAGAAAAATATCAATTAGAGGATTGTTTGATCCGATACCAAATTCTCAGAACTAACATTAAAAGAATTGTATGGAGGACAATAAGGAGAATTACTGATGAGATCTTGGGAGGGAAAGGTTTTAAAGATTGTACAAAGGCCAACTACTTCAAAAATAAGGTTAACAAGATATGAAATCAGTGCTTTCCTTTTCAGGCAGTAACCAGTGATATTTACTTCCTGTAGAAGCTCCTAATACAGCAAAAAACTGCTTGGAATTCTTGGAAATTGATCAGGGAGAGGATTGCTCCAAAGGTTTGAAAATTTATTTTACCTGTCATGCTTAAATTGAGGGAGAACACTGTGAAACTCTTAGAATTCATGATAAATTCACTCCTCACCTTTCCATACTGACTGAACCTTGTTTTCAGGTCTGCAGCTCTTGTTACAGAAGACAGATTGCTCACCCACAGACTCTTTCCAGTTTCTTTTTTGTCCTTTGCAGAGGAAGCACTCTTTCCTGGTGTTTTGGTTGTCTTGTTGTCAGCAGCTTTGGAATCTTTAATCTTAGCTTCACCTGTTTTCCCTTTCTCACTGAAAGCAAAGTGAAAGAGAATTGAGAACACCATTTTTAATGTCTTCCTCAGTTTTAACCCTTGACCTTCCCAGATCTGATTGTTATTTCTCCCCTCTAGCTACTACACATTTCCTTAAAAATTAGATAAGTGAATTTGGTATTAGATCAAGAATAACAACTTATACATGATGAGTTTTAGTGTTCTCATAACCCGTTTGCTGGATGGTGTATGGATAATATTGGGAGAAATTACCTCTCAATCACTTCTAGGAGTTAAAGGGTTAAAAGTGTGGCAAGCTAACTGATTTCTTATAGATCGCTATAAAGCTTTAGAAAACACCCACAATGGTGATGTTATACCAGATATAAAAAAAAGTTTTCAGGAAAGTGGCAGTTAACTTGTTCACTACCTAAAGCGATTGACAAGTAACTTCTCCCTATAATAACCATATGACATCCAGCACACAGGTTATTAGAATACTCCAAATTAACATGTAGAAGTTTTCTTGATCTAACAGCAAATTCTTGAAACTAGTTTATAAGGAAATGAGTGGCAGCTAGAAGGGAGAAATAACAATCAGATCTTGGGAGTTAATTAAGGATTAAAAGAAGTTCAAGCTACAATTACAATGCCTGGAGATGTGGCCTACTCATCCTGCATGAAGTATGAAATACATAAGGGTGTGACACAACTGTTCCAGCAGCAACTGGTCAATACAAAAAAATTAAAAAATTTAACTGAAACCATCTTTAATTTGTCATTTACTTCTCAGAATTGTTTAATCTTACTGCACCTCTGGGAGGAAGATGTTTGGGATTTTGAAGTTCCTCCATCTTTAGCCTTCTCTTCTTTTGCTTTATCTGCTGCCTTGGTGTCTTCTTTCCCAACATGGTTTTCGGCATCCTTGGTTTTCCCTGGCAAAAATAAGTTGATAAGTTGACTTAGAATCAAACCCTGACTTCAAACAAAAAAACAAATAAAAAAGAGAGAACATTCATCAAGAGTCATCAAAAGGTGTCTTCTCTGGTTAAGGGTTAGATTGTAAAATGTAGTTCCATAGTGAGAGGGAATTCTGCACACATCATTGGTTCCACACATAAAAAAAAAGAAAGAAAAAAAGAAAGAAAGAAAGAAAAAAAGAGAAAACAAGAAAAAGGAAGAAATTTGAAAGCATTTCACCTCTCAAACTTAATATCATACACAACTAGCCAATAATATTACTGATAAGTAAACATTTTCACAAGCATAATCAAAAACTCTCCCTATGATGAAAAAGTATTTTCTTAGCTCACCACTTTCTTTACAGTACATGTAATTTTCTTTACAATACATATGTGATGCCAATGATAATCAAATGACGAAGATATTTTGTGGTGCACTCAAAAGAAAGGAAATTGTTGCATGAAGGACAACCAAAGATTTAGTAATAGGAATAATTGCAACAAAAGATTTTTTATCCCCATTTCCAACTTGGCCCTAAGTAGACAGTGCATTTAACAAACAGATGATTTGATGGTTATAAAGTTCCACTCTTCAGTATTTTCTTTGTCCACCTGGACTAAGTTTGATTTCCAGGATGATGAGGCATAACAGATATTGTGTTCCTTATCCAATGGCACCAGCTTTGGTGTATACCTGCTTTCTTACTGATATGGCTAATTCTTACTTGGACCCCTGCTATCTCATCTAGAAGCAATTGAGTGAGTTCTGATTTTATACTGTACTTGTCCCAATAGGGAACCATGAAAAAACACCAGCATCATGACTGAGGGCTCCTTGGTTACAGACAATCTTTTGTGAACTGGTAACATTTTTGCTTTAGGGTTTGAATTCTGGGCTTTCCAACAAGGGAGGTGACTCCACATAACACCAATGTGTGATCACAAACATGGTTGGGCCAAATTTAACTCATATGATGTGCTAATCTAAAATTCACAATGATAAAGATACACAATCTAAAAAAACAGCTTAGGCACCTTTCTCAGATTTTTCTTCTCCCTTTTCTTGACTCTTAGCAGCAGCTTCTGCAGCAGCTGCCTCTTTTGCTGCAGCCTCTGCTGCAGCTGCTTCTTTCAAATCATCATCAAGGTCATCTTGTACATCATCTGCATGGACAAATAATGAGACTGACAAACTGTTCTCTTTGGAACCATCAAGCTCTGACATGTCCATGGCTGCAGCACTGTCATCTTTCATTTGTTCACTTGTGTCTTCTACACTTATTTCTGCTGGTCCTGATGTCTCCATTGGCTCTTCAACATCAGCTGATTCTTCTGTACCTTCCATTTCGTGGGTGTCTGATGTAAACAAACATTCACCTTTTTCATTCTGAGCAATTACAAACTTCAAGGCAGTGATTTTATTTATTTCAATAAAAAAGCTTATGAAAGCATTTAACATAGACAACCACATTCTCTGATACATTTTCCTTGAAGGAAATATGATTTATCGAATGCCTATTTTTGACAATTTTTCAGGAAAATGTACATTTTATGGCTTTAAGCCCAACAGAAAATCCTTTAGAAATATTTTCAGAATACTGATGGTGAGAAGCTAAGCTGACTACTGAAAACAAACCAATCCCTGGATCAGTTAATAAGATAGAACCCTTGCTTACATAGAGAAATTTAAAATAAATCTGAGATAGAAAGAAAGCAGAAATTATTGCACCTTCTTCTGTTTCCTCTGTTTTTTCTTCTTCAATCAGAGAATGGTCATCAACCTGCACAATACAAAAGATTGTGTTTATTAATTACTCATATAAAATGCAATGTAAGTTCACATTTCATTAAGAACCAGGAGTTCATTGTCACAGTTTTCTGTCAGTGGTAATGGGAAATATAAAATGATACTTGAGATGTATGTAGTCTGATGGCCTAAGACTTTTTTGCCCTCCAATGCCTACCTCTTTGTTGTTATCCAAGTCATTTTGCTCCTCCAGATCCTCGACTTTAATATCTCCCTCATTTGGTATCAAGTCTCCATCATCTTCTTCAACATCCTTTTCACTGTCCTTTTTTTCCTCCTCCTCCTCATCATCATCATCGTCATCATCATCATTGACCTCATCACCATCATTATCATCACCACCATCATTGTTATCATCACCAACTTCAGATTTCACTGTCAATGAGGTGTCAATTATGCTGTCAAGCTTATTACTGTCTAAATCATCAGCATCCAAAGGCTCCTCTTTGAAGGCTTTATCCCCTTTTAGATCAACATCCAATACAGTATCACCTTCGTCCTTGACCTATTAAAAACAAATGAATAAAGGGGGTAATGTTTTTCACAAAAGCAAAAAATTGTTGATAGTTAAAAAAAAATTGTCAGGAGAAAGAAGCAGTGTTTAAAAATTTTTCTCCATGGACAATAAAGAAAAGAAATGTTTTTCTTGGAAAAATTTTACTTCACCCGTCCAAAAATTATAATGACTCGTGCTAGTCAAGACGAAAGATGCTGTAGAGTTTCATTCCATAATCGTTTTAGTATTGTTGGGGCATGCACAATTACTTCACTTGAAAACAAACAATTGAACCAGTAGCAATATCACCTTTTTAAACTATACTAAAATGGAACAGTCGACTACCACACAATTGGTTTAGCGATAACCGTGGAAAGCACAATGTTTTTATTAGTAAGCTTACACTGACCGACTCCTTGGGTTCTTCCACTTTCGGTGCAGCTTTCCTCTCTGTAGAGAGACAAAAAAACAATAACAACAATGTAAGAATTCCCAATTTTACCTGGGATCAATAAACTCAGAAGGGAAAACAGCTGGTAACATATGTGCTTACTCAAGTCTGGGGTGATCGAAGTTTTCTTCGGCTGTTTCTGCCTCTGAGGGGACGCAATCGGACTCGCAGAGGGCTGTTCTTCCGAATCGTCTTCGTCATCTTCACCAGTAAGATCCACACTATCAATTGGGATGAAATCTGAGGTCTCTTCTTCATAATCCTTTTCTACCTCCAAGGCCTACAGAAATACAGAAATTAGAACGCTTCGATCGGAAGCTAACCCGACTTTCGGAATAAGCTTATGTAGTGTTTTCTCGTTCCCGCCAGCATCTGCTCAAGCCATATCATATATTTTTCGAGAAACAACTGTACAAGTTACCTTCTGTAATCGTTCCAATAATACTGCCTTCACTCCACTTTTCTCTAAGCCTCTTTTTTCGAGCTCTTGACGGAGATCTACCACTCGTAAATCGGCGAGTTTTCTTCCGCCCAACAAGACAGTCGCCATTTTTAGACATGTGCCGTGAGCGAAGAGAAAGAGAATCTCCCGGATGATATAGCTGGAGTCGCAAGGCCTTGTGGTCAAGACCCGGTACGATTTCTACACGGAGTATTGCGAAGTTCCACGGAAATTACCGAGCATTGCCTATCTCAATAACGACTTCTTGTCGATCATCGATCGCAATATGATCGTCATAGAAACATAAACAAGATGGCGAGTTCTTCGTCTCTTATGTGATACAAAGCAATTTTGCTCCGAATCACAATGGCCCAAACGGAAGACTTGGTAAATATGTACTATAAGATAATTTTCACCAAATATTGTTTTAAAATTATAAAGAAAAATTATCAATGGATCGTACATAAATCATGAAACAATCTGACTTCTAAAAGCCTCTCCAAAATAATTATTTTGCTATTCAATTCGATACATGCACAGTATAAGCCTTCCCAGCTCAGTAGAAGATGGATTTGGAAAGACGACACAAACACACTGGAACCAGTAAGGTAAGATAGTAGAGACTAATAATATATATTTTATTCGCTATGAAATTTATTTTCCCCACAGTTTCGAAGGGACGTTGATGGTGATCTCATTAACTTGGACTGGTCCAAATTGACCATCGCAGAGGTTGCAATTAAATCAACGAGAAGGAAAATGGCACGAAATATAGATCCGGAGAGGATGTAACATGAATCCTTTATATGCACATCTTTACTGCTGTGGTATCTCTCGAGAATGTCCTGAATAAAACTACCATTGAATCTATAAAGCGTCACCGTATTGAGAGGGCACCCTGTATTAAGCGGTCAGTCGTCAAAGTCCCGAATTTTTTTACCTAAATCACCATAATTCAGATGAATTATAGTGATTTAACACTAAATTACCCTGTTAGACTCTCACACCTACGTAGCACCACAGTTTCATCTCATTGTCCTCAACCTGTACTGAACAGTCACTAAAAGCAGGGCCACTCAAATCAAACTAAGAATAATCTTTGAAGTAATTTTTAATCCGTACTTCTCTCCCAAATCAAAGTAAGTAGTACTTTCGAGCAAGATTCTGCATATGAAGTGGTCAATTATGGCATATGGGGTGGCCCTTCATTCATTAGCTCTGATGAGGGGCCAACATGCAAAACATTAGCTTTGAATTATGTTGCGTTTTTCTTCTGTCAACAGCACTGTTCCTGGAAGCTTTGATAAAGGTGTTAACTTTCATCTAGCTGCAAACAAATCCAAAAGAAGCAAAGGCGGCTTAGGAATTCACTTTCAAGACCTGAACAAGAAAAATGATAGGCAAGGCAAAGCTAAGAATTATAGAGTTGTTGATAAATTTTTCTTTTTTTCTTGATTAACCCTTTAACTACCAGAAATTATTAGCACATAACTTTTCCCTGTGATTACCATATTTCCTCGAACAAGTAACCACACTCCTATAAGCACCCACCAAAAATAAGTGCCCACCCCCCTTGTTATAATTATGATATCAAACAAGCCCCCCCCCTCAAATAAGTACCCCCACTCCTCCCTCGCTTTCTTAAATAGTAGAGATACGAGAAAAAACCTGTCTCCATTGCCTCTTGATTTATAACTTCTAAATCTTCAACTTAAGCAGAATCAGTACAAGTCAAAATTTTTTCTATGAATGCCCTCTCCTTCCAGTAGACACCCCCTCTTTTGACAAGTTCTCCTTGTTAGCCCCTTAAGAAATGTATAGAGAACAGTGTGGCAGATATGTGTACTAATGTTGAGATGTAAAGTAGGAGTTGGTCATGTGAGTTTGTTTCATACCCAAGGAAGAAGTACACATCAAAAAAATACACAGAAATCACTTATTCAAAATGCAGAATACACATATTAATCAAAGAAAGGTCACTGTTGAGATTAATTTCCTTATTGATTTTATTCTTGAGGCTGAAGATTTTAATTTTCATATGTTCCCGTAACAAAAACATAGCTCTTTGTTTGTTCCTCACTCAGGGGTACACCATCAGTCATGTCCAAAAACTATGGGGCTACAGGAGCAACATCTCGTCGTGGCCAGGCATACCTGTTGGTACAAAGAGCTGGTAACATGAAAGGTTCCTCACCACGCCCTAGTGTCAAGCCAGCTGCAGCCAATGAACATGCAACTGTAACACTGGATGATGTCAAGAGTGTTGCATTAGATTCTATGCCAGATGTTGACCTCCTTCCTCCAGCATTTCAGGAATGTTATAGGTAAAAGTTGCAGGAAACACAGCAGCCCTGTGAATAATTGGTTAGAATGTAGATTGAATAGGTCAGGGCTAGAGCTCTGGCTGTGTCATTGTGCTGAATTCTTGGGCCAAAAGAGCATCTTACCGTCCAGGAGTTTAAATGGGTACTAGTTAACTCTTAAGGAAGCTTAACAAAATGGTCAGGTGGGAAGCAGCAACTGCCGCTTGCCTAGCTCAAGTTATAAAGTGCTAGACTGTTGTGCATGAGGTCAAGGATTCAATTTCCAGACTGGACCAACACTCAATGTCTTAAAATAACTGCTCAGAATGTGCTATCTTTGCTATGACATTTGCAAATGGTTAAACATGCTAGTCTTCTTGGGTAAGGATGAGAAATCATAGGCAATGCATCCTGCATCTTCTCTGTGCTGTTTAGCAGATTTTAGAGAACCCATGCACTTCTCATAGCAAACAATTTAGTTCCCAGTGTTGTGGTCTGGCCTTGTTTCAATGGTTTACTCCTGGTTGCTTCATGCTATGGCAACCAGGATCAGTTTGATGGCAATGATTAGACCAAGTTTTTGTCGCTAGATTTGTAAGACTCCATGAATTGTGGAGATCCAGTTTGATTACAGGCTAAAGCTACAAGCTACAAGTAATAGTGCACTGACCCAAAAATTGAATAACAACCATTTGACAAGCAGTGATTGAAATTTGAGGCTTGATGTGGCCTTAGAAAATCACATATTCAAATGAAGCACAAAAAAAGAAAAAGAAACTTTCTGGGGGGGGGAGAGATTTCAGTAAATGTATCTAAATTTCATAGCTACACTATACTTGTTTCCATACTTGATGATGCTTGAAGCATTTGGAAGATTTGATTCTTTTTTTTCCAGCTCTGAACAATTTGATGAATTTCAACTGGCCATTTTGAATTACTTTGATGCATTCTTTGAGAGGATGGCTATTGAAAATAAACCAAAACCAATGGCAGTGTAAGTGATATTGACACTTTCATATGAAAGAGATGGACTTAACATTCCACTCTAAAAGTTTACATTACACCTTTCTCTATGAGTCCATAATGTGGCCTTTCCTTAGATTTACTGAAAGATAATGAGTGGTTTGTTGATACTGATGAAGCCAAATCTATATTTGCTTGGCTAAGCTAGCTTTAGAATGATGTTAGTTTGAGGGCTATAGAAATGTTCTAGGTTAGGTTAGAAAAAATAAGATTTAAACTGTAAAATCTTGGTCCATTTTTTTTTCTGTGAAATGACTCCTGTGCTGCAGAGAGAAGAAGGATCTGAGCTGCAGAGAGAAGTAGGATTGATATCAGTATCTGACAACTTGTTACCAGTCAATTGATAACAAGTTAGGGTTAATGTTGGGTTAGGGGAGGGGTATGTGGGCAGTTGCCCAGATACTGATATTGATCCAAGAAGTAACTTAAAAATGACGCATCAAAGTGTGATATTGGTAAGATGTATATGTATTTAATTATGACATCCACAGAGTTTACATGTAATTATACATGCAATACATTGAAAAGAAGAAGTAAACAAAGCAATTGCTAACTTGTATCATTTTCCTGTGCAGTGAACCAAGTCTAGCTGAGAGAAAAGCGCTTGCAACAGCTGTCTCCAAACAAGAATCAGCACAGAGACTTCTAGGACAATGTTACTGTACACTTGTTCTTGGGCTTGGACTGGAAGATAAACATCACATGGGCTGTGGCAGGTAATTATTTCTTGAAGAAAAGATAAGAAGTATCATGTACATGAAATTTAATTTGCAGAATTTTTTTATTTGGATGTTGGTAGTATTTTCAGTGCTTAGCAGGACCTAATTTTCAGCCTGAGATCACCGAAATTTTTGCTGGGAACTCGCATGTTTGTGATTTTCTGTGCATAAAGAGAGGATAGATAGATGGAATTTTCTAATTTTTCAACTTTTTGAGTCATGTAATAGGGCACTTCTTGAGAGGTGAAATATAGATGGAATTCTGTTAGTGAGTCCGAATTCATTGAGAACAGCTGACACTTCTGATTCACTTATGGAATGTTCCATTTGACTGGTAGATTAAGTAAATTGTTTTGTGCTGTCTATCTTGTTTCCTTTTTTTTTTGTGAGAGATATTTTTGGGATCATGAATCCTCAAAACCTGCAAGTAACAAAATGAAGCTTTACAAAGTTTTTATGCAACACATTTATATGTGAATCATGAGAGAGCTCTGGTGTTAGATTTACTAGGAAATGTGTCAAGGAATCAAGGAAGCACTTTAAATGATAATTTTCCATCTTACTTTCCACCTCATCTTATTATTAGAGGAGGAGGAAAGCAGGTTGGGAAATTTTTATTCCCTTTAGGTGATATAATATGGAAAAAAAACAGGTCCATGGATTGACCACCCTGCTTTATTGGAGTCAACTTAACATACATGTATATCAGTCTGGGCCCAGTTGTTCAAAAGCTGGATAATGCTATACAACAGATTAATCCCTATCCTGCAAAAAATTGCTAGCTATCAAAAGAATAAATTGCTATCCAGCAGATATTAGTGTTGGCGAAACTTTCTACTGGATAGAGATTTAACCCTTTAACTCCCAGATCAAATTTGTAATTCTCCTTACTGTCAACTACACAATTCTTATGTTAGTTAAGAGAATTTAGTATTGGATCAATTAAGGATATTTTTCTTTATTCTCATCACTTATCTGATTGATATTGTGTGGATATTGTAAGGAGAAATGCTGTCTTGGTCACTTATGGGAGTTAGAGGGTTAACCAGTGAATAATGTTATCCACCCTTCAAACAACCAGGGCATGGTCTGGAATAAATTCCCTCTGTTGTTGTCTCTAACTTGCTGTTTGCTAAATTTTAGACAACGCAGCTCATACACAAGCAGAGACAGGGAACTCTATGAGGTAAGCTCATTGTTATATGTACAGTTATAAGAACATGATTGGTTTCATTTCATGCCTGGCCTGGGTTGTTCAAAGACTGAATAGTGCTGTCCACTGGATGAATGGCTATCCAGGGGATAAGTGTTCACAAAACTACTGTGTCAGCTGGATAGCAATCTATTCAGTGGGTAGTGCTATTCAGCCTTTGAACAACAAGGGCCTGGAAATTTAAGGTTGGCTGGATCGTTTGGTGCATTTGTCCACGTTTTTTATTTCATTATTTTCTTATTCCAAAGGCTCTTTACCCATTTTCTGCATATGTGACCTACATTGCATTTAGACGACAACATTTGGATTTAATACAAAAAGAACTGGGAAGGTACGTGTTTCATTTAACACAATAGATATTTTTAAAAAAATCATCAATATTTAAGTGACCATGATCTCTTATTATGATCACTATATCACTGACATCATCCTTGTCATTATTATTATTACTGTCATTTTCACGGTCACTGTCAATGTCAATGTCAATGTCATCGCCATATCATTATTATCATCATAATCAGCATCACTATCAAGATAAAATTCCTATTTTTGTTTATTTCAGTATTTATTCATACTCAGTTTACCTTTTCTCATCAGATTGTTTCGTTCAGACACATTCAACCCAGCAGGGCGACCCCAAGCAGTTGAAGGTATTCACACGTGACTTTACATAACGTGACGTTAAACACAAGGGCACATTACCGAAAGAAACATAACGTAATTGACATATCATATCTTTTTCTTGTCAGAGGTGTATGCTATGGATCGCCTCAAAGACAGCACTAAGCAGCCGTTAACACCTGCCGAATATCGTAGGCTCAAACCGTAAGTGTTTTAATATCCTTTTTACAGTTCAACTCACAGTCTATCAATTGATTTCAAGAAAAAGATTAGTTCGGCACTTCGGACCGAGAGGCCTGGGCTCAAGTCCCGGCCGGATGACTTTTTAACCCTCCCCTCCATGCCCTATTCATTATTTTGTCTTACTGCAAAAGAGCTCTCACAGCCCGCCTCGTCTCCCGAGGACATTTGGAAGGCCACTCCATCTGCTTTTCTTCTCATCTCAGCACCTAAGACCCCGGGTGTCTAGGACCCGTGGATAGAATTTATTTCCACACTAACATAGTTCAAATGCATGACAAACTTTCAGAGCTACAGAACATCATGTTCTTGAATTAGTTAAACTGTATATGCAAGTGATTATCTCCTTGCCATACTTTACCTCCTCTAAATATCGCCATTGCCTTGATTGCGCCACAGAAAGCGACCGCCTATCAAGTCAATTATCAAGTAAGTACGAATTGAATGATACTCACAACTTCATGATTAAATTTTAATTTTAAAACTGATTTTCTCTTCTTGGTCTTGCATTATTACAACTTGACATTGAAATTTCAACCAAAAAAAGCAATTATGCCCGTGAGACTAGTTGTGACGAGGTTTGTTTTTCTTACAGCCAACGTTCTCCGGTGCTGGTGTCCCTGTTACCGACCTCACAGGAAGCAAGTCCGTGGTTTCTTGATCGCACCAAAGCTCTTCCCTTGTCGGAAAAGTAAGATTATGGTCATGAAATTTTCAACTTCTTGCAAAAAGTGACAGATGGTTGGCTCTGCATGCAGAATAGTCGTAAATGCTACTTCGTTGAAATGTCATAGCAGGTGCTATGTGTGTTCAAAATGGCAAGGCACGCGAAAACTCACCCCCTTCCTTCCTTCGCTGCCCAAGTATCCGCGCGCACACTGTGAAATCACGGTTCGTGTACTATTTTCAAGCACGCTTCGTTAGAAATCCGTTTTAATCTCATCCATCCTTGTTCCTGCTTGTTAAGTGTCATCTCTTGTTCGTGTATCTATCTTAATGAACAAATACTTGTAGTCTCCTTCGGTAAATTTTAAAATAGTTTTGAACTGCATCTGAAACTGTATCAAGTGCCACGACGATGCTCCTTCTTTGCTCACTTGTGACGCACAAAATGTTCATTAGATTATGATTCTTGCAGTGAGATTCCACACGAAGAAGAAAAGCTGGGTCTTATCCTTCAACCCAAGTAAGTAAATTCGTGGTAGTTGATGATGTACATGTAAAGAGAAAATTATCAGTTCTCATTTTTCGTAAATGTTTGTTCTGACATTGCAGAAAAGATTAAGCTTTTTCAGATTTCTTCTTCTTCAAATTCGATGGTTTGTCTATCACTGCCTAAGTTTGTACCATTCCTTTTGACTGGTATTCCAAAATTTTGGAGTTCCAATTCAAGTCTATTGCACTCAAAAAAGGTTTCCCCCATAACTCTTATTGAGATTCTAAGAATTATGGGACATGGTTTTTTTAGACTAGTATGCTGTTAAGATGGAATGTGGCAGTAACTGTGACGTCAAGTCAACGTTTTCTTTTCCCTGCAGAGTTGGTATCATCGGAGAACCCTTGTCCGGTTTTAATCCATTGACTTTGGCACCGTTTGGCGAGGAACATGAGGAGGAGACTGGAGACGAGGCGGGATCAAGAAGAAGGTATAACCTTGAGCGCATTTTGATTGGATGTCGTTTAACCAGAGTCATCATAACAGCCAATTAGAACAAAAGGAAATATCAAAGGGAGCCAATGAGAACTCAAAGTAAAGACAAGGAAACTGCTTGAAGCGCGGGAAACGCGACGGTGGCCAAGTCGCGACTGCTTCTGGTTTTGACTCTGATTAGTTGACAAAATCGTGCAAGCTTTCGGACCAATCAGAGAGCGAAATAAGGCAAAAGCTAATAAATTCCAGATTACTTTCGACACTTAATTGAAAATTGGCATTGAATTGTATCTTGCTTTCTTTAAAATTCAAACCCTTAGTCTCAGCGCTCCTCTATGAGCTTACGTCATTCACGAAGCACTTATATTTTACTTACTTTTAGGACGAACTTCAGTTACAGCAGGAGCCCATTATCCGAAGCTTCCATCTTCCATATTTACCCTCGGAGTCAACCCTGTCCCGTATCTTTTTATTGTTAGAAGCACCTCCCCCGGGGTTTTTCGCGGGTGTTTACATAATAGCCAATCATAAGAGAGCTGTAGTCCTCTATTGTTTATGTCACATGCAGAGAATGAATAGAGGTCAGCCTTCGCCTTTGGCCGCCATTTTTTTTTTTAGGGTTTTATGCGAACGTCAGCGTGTTTTCGCGGAAAATTAAAGAACCCCCTACATATCTCAGTTCTAAAAATAATAAGATACGGGACAGGGGTGACTCAAGGGTACAATTGGTATGGAGGCTCCGGGTAATAGGCTCCTGGTTACAGCCAAACTAAACTGCGCTTTTTTTTTTAATCCCCATTCAGTTCCATACCAGGTGAAGCACCTGTAACCCCCAATCAGGGTAAGTCACCATCATCATCCGCCGCTCATAAGTGCTGCTCAATAACGTTGTTTAACCTATCAGTTAAAAAAAAATCACATGATTTATGATAAAATGAACGTTCAGACCCTCCTCGGGCCGTAAGTTGAGCGAGCTTGTGCAGAGAAGTGACAGAAATTGTTCAAGGTAAACTCGCCTGGCACTAGTCGTTATTCATCTTCAATGTTTACCTCTTGTCCAAATAGCAGGAAATTTGGTCATTGAATAATCGCCTACATTAGCAATAGCAATTTAGGTTCCCAAACAAGTCACAATTTTGCAATTTTTTTTCTCACATTTCTTTACAAAACTCACGATAAAAAGGGACACGTTTTGTGACACCTGCCAATCAAAAATCTTAATTATATTTGACCCCAATCTCCGACAGAATTTTGAGAATGATCAAAAACACTCTAATAACACCATGAAAAAATAAAAACCAGTGCTTTCGATTCAGCCAGACCTGATAAATGTAGAACACCTTAACTATTATCCGTTCGAAATCCAATTCTCTCTCTTGCCTTCCTTTTTTTATCATTAATTTTCCGTTTTGATTCTGATTTATACAGGAGCAACCAGCGACGTTGAAGAAGGAGAATCGGCTGAACAGGAGGAATGATATAAACACCAACTTTTAGTGCATGTGTCCTGACGTAAAGTCAGATTGTCACAAGAAAATCACACACGTTCTGTCAAACACATTATTGTAGATAAATTGTACAGAGTGCCCATTCTGTAATGTATTTAATAAATTTGTTTAAATTTGTAATAGCTTTTACTCCCTGTGGAGTAAAAGCTGATACACTTTGTTTATTGAACACGACGTGATTTTCTGTTGTTGTTGCCCCAAACGCAGATGCTCCTAATTGTAACAAACCAACAAGCTTGGAAGTCATTACTCGCTTGATTCTCGGCATCACGTTGTGAATAGGTGAATAGAAGATCTTTTTGCAATTAAGGTTATTCATATTTAACAAGCCTTCCAGCGAGTCTCGAAGTCTTATTAATTACAAGTCTAATTTTAATTTTTTGTAAATGAGAAAATGTATTAGTTATAGTTTCTATTTGTTGCTCTTTCCGTTGGCAAATAGAGCTTTCTGTTTACTTTGGCGCCGTTTGAAACAAAAAATTATTTTAAAGATGGATACGAAAAACTCATGACACTATGGGTTGTCAAATCCTTATTGCCTCAATTGATATCGTAGCGGACAGCAAGCAATTTCTTATTTTCTGAGAGAGTTTAAAGAATTATTCAGTTTAATGCCAGGATCGCGGATGTTGGAAAATTTTGACATGAGTTATCGAGTGCTGTGTTGACAGTGTGTTTCCCTCCTTGAAGTGTGGGTTTAAAATAGCAGCAAAATAGAGTAGCAAAGACACGGGTGTTTCCTTTTGTCAAGCTTGAAATCTGCTGTAACCAAGATTTTTCAGAAGCAGACCTCTAAGCTTTTCCTTTGTCCTGAACGGAAATACCGGATCGCGAACAAAATACTAATTAAAGTGACCTGTTGGATATCCACGTAGGCGTATTACGTAATAACTGGGAAAAATCAACTGTGCTTCGGTTGTGTTCCACCGTAACAGTTAAAAACGGAGATTGCTTGAAGGGTGACACCCATAACTGCCTCGAACACAACATGACGACTTCAGATGAGGCATCTGACTGCAAACTCCCACTCGGATTCACTGGCGAGGTCGTGGCAATGGTTTCGTACACCTCGCTTGGTATTATCGGATCGTTGGGAAACATCTTCGTGATTCTTGCTATCTACCGTACACCAACTTTAAGGAACGTGTGCGGAATTTTAATAGCAAATGTCGCTGTGTCTGATCTGATAATGACAGCAGTAGTAATGCCTCTTGTAGTGTTTGTCCTAATTCAGGGGTTTTTGGATAAGTGCATATATCAAACTCCAATTTTTGTTGTCTTGATAATAGCACTTTTCTCTGCTGGTTCATCGCTACTGACTCTAACCAACCTCAGTGTGGATCGCTGCTTTGCCATCTGTCGCCCGATGAAGCACAAAACGATCGTAACTTTAACAAAAGCAAAGATATTAATTGCAAAAACGTGGATTGAGTCCTTGATACTCCCTATTTTAGAGACGTTCTACCGTGAATCGACCATCGCAAAGTTCCTTCAGACCATTGGAGTGGTCTACTGTTACTCCATCATAGTCATAAGCGGTATTTTTACGATCAGGAATGTGCGCGCCAATTCAAGACAAATAAGATCACTACATCAGGATCAAGGAGCGTCTCGCCTCACTGCAGATTTGACCCAGAGGAACAAACAAGTCGCCAAGACGATCGCACTTGTCGTGTTCCTCTTCACCTTATGTTGGATCCCAATCGCGTTTATCATAAGTATTGAGATCGATGCAGATAGAAATGGCAGAATCTATTTCTGGTTTGCTACACTGGGGCTCGCTAATTCAACAGTAAACCCGTGGATTTACTTCTATCGGCAGCCAAACTACCGCAAAGCGCTCAAATCGTTGCTTGGATGCAAACAAGGCACATCTAACGCTGTCGTGCAAGTCCAAAATCGCAATGCAACACAAGGGACTAAATTGTCCAGGTGAAAGAAAAGGCGGCGCCTCGTTTATACCCTTCAACTTAAAAGATCGACTTCAAATTTTGTTATAAATAATTTCAGAGAGGAAGGATTGCCTAAAGGTAACACCTGATTAGATATCATAAGTTTCGGGACTCTCATTAGCTTTTAGCGGGATAACATTTTGAAAGTGTTTTGAGAAGTTACAAGTCATCCAGAGCTAAAGAGTACAGAACAGTTGAACGGGGAAGACTAACCAATTTTTAACTGTCGACTAATTCCTAAAATCCAAGTGCTAATACGAATCAACTTTGCAAAGCTACCTGAAAACCATTGACGCCGGATATTTGAAACAGAACCAAAGTGAGCACGTAAGAGAAAAGGCGACGCCTTGTTTGGACCCTTCAGCTCGTAAGATTGTCTTCGCAATTCTCCCCTCTAGCTGGGATACATTTTGTTGTAAGTAAGATCAGAGAGTGAGAGTTGCTTAAGGATAACACCTGCTTAGAAATGATAAGTTGTGAGACTCTCATCACTTTTTTGCGTCGTAAAGTTTCAAAAGGTGTTACAAGAAGGTAGCAATATATTCACTAGAAATGATAAGTTGTGAGACTCTCATCACTTTTTTGCGTAGTAACGTTTCAAAAGTGTTACGAGAAACTAGAAATATATTCACCAGGGCTTGTAGCAGCGGCTGCCTGAGAAGACTGACCAATTTTTATCTGTCAGCTAATTCCTAAATTCTAACTGATGGTACAAATTATTTTTTGAAAGCTTTGGAAGAGGACCAATCTGTCTTAATACGGTTTCAGTAAAAATTTCAAAAGTTTTCGATACAGCTTAACGAAAGTGAAACGATGCTACAGATGTACTAAATCTTAATGGAAATGACTTTGAAAAGATGACAATTCTTCGAGACGTTTCTTGTAAATTTGAAATATCCGTTTCAGAATTTAAATAATTCATTGACCTTTCTGTCATTATAAGCAAACCCGTAGTGATCAGAAAAATTGCCCGGCTGAAATAGTTCGCATAAGATTGTATTAAATGATTTCAAAAATAACGTTTCGGTGTCGTTAAGACGCCACAAGGAACCATCTACAACAGCGATGCAAATGAGAAAGAGGTGAAACAGAAAAAATGAAATTGAGATCAATGCAGACAGTGAGAAATTCTACATCTGGTTTGCTACACTAGGACTCTCTAACTCAGCAGGAGACCTGTACATTTATTTTCATCGTCAGCCCGGCAAACTACAGTAAGGCGGTAGGGTGCTGAAATCATTGCTTGGATGTCAAACGAGGCGCATCTAGCGTCTTCGAAGTGCAAGAGCAAAATCGCAGCCTCTGAAAGAAAAAGCGGTACCTTGTTTGAACCTTTCAAATCCTAGGATTACCATCGCAATTCTCCCATCTAGCTGCAGCACATTTTGTTGTAAATGAGTACAGAGAATTGAGAGTTGCTTAGTGGTAGCCAACTCGAAAGCTTTGCTACTTTGGCTGTTGCACACTGATTCAAAAATTGTACATATAGTAATATAATCTATATCATTTCGTTTTCTGTAGTTTCTTTCTTTTTTTTTTTCCACTAATCCTTGTACCTGAATAGTGTGAATAAAAGATTGTAACATTGCTAAACTGATAAGTTTTAGAACTCTCGTTACCTTTTTCCGGACTGATACCATTTCAAAAATGTTGGGAGAAGTTGCAAGTTAATCACTTTATTATAGTGGTTAAATGAGAAGACTACGGACCTGTTTCCGACTGTCGAATAATTCCTTAAAACTAAATTCAAAATATGGATCAACTTTTGAAAGCTACCTGAAAACGCGCAGGCAATATTTCCATCGGTAACCGGTCAAGTCGCCCGAGAGTCATGTCGCCCGAAACCTGAGTCACGTTGCCCGAAATTTTAGTAATGTCGCCCGAAAAAAAAAGTCAAGTTGCCCGAAGAAACAAATACTAAAAAGATCAGAATTTCAGACTGTTAACAGGCAATAACGTTGAGAAATTTTCTTGTCACTAAAGTGCTCGTTGTTTCCGACAACACCATGAACATTCTTACAGCGCTGTTTGTTCCTAACAACAAAAGGAACGTTGCTCGTTTCCAATAACAAAATGCAGCGCTGTTCGTTTGGTATGTAATCGTTTCTTACTCACGGACGTTTCCTAAGCTTGGGAAACTTTTTCTTGGTTTCTAACAATACCATGAAGACTTTGACTACACAGAAATCGATCGTATGCTCGGAATTGAAATATGTTTCCCTTATGTTTTTTGAACAACGTTTCCCTTTGTTGTTAGGAACGAACAACGCTGTAAGAATCTTCATGGTGTTGTCGGAAACAAAGGGCGCTTTAGTGATAAAAAATTTCTCCACGCTATTGCCTTTTTACAGTCTGAAATTCTGATCTTTTTAGTATTTGTTTCTTCGGGCGACTTGACTTTTTTTTTCGGACGACATTACTAAAATGTCGGGCAACATGACTCAGGTTTCGGGCTACGTGACTTCGGGCAAGATGACTCTCGGGCGACTTGACTGTAAACCTTTCCATCTAGACTAAGTTACCAACATGAACGGTTGCAGTGACAAACTCCGCAAAAGTTCTTGATATAGCCCACTGAGTGAAATTAAAACTATCCTGCAGATGTTACTCTTAATAAAATGACTTTGAAAAGATAACGACTTCTTCGAAACATTATAAAACCGACTTTTCTATATTTAAGGATAGTTTACGCAATTGCTGCTAACTACCAACGTAATGAATAATTCATTGACGTTTGCGCATGGTGGTGACGCCTTAAATCTCAAGTTCATAATGATTAGAAAAAAATTGTCTGAGGTCGTCTGTAGGAGATTGTATTAATGTTTTAAAAAGTAATGTTCGGCTGTCATAAATGGCCACGGGTAACCAACCATCCACAAAAGCAGGCGATGTCAACCAAAAAGGGATGAAATTGTAAAATTAAAACGACTATGCCATTAGCCGAGCTCGCGTGAAAGTCTTTTTTGGCATTGTTTGCGAAACTTCTGTCTGTAACTATTTCAATTTGCGTTGTTTTGCATTTAGAACGGAAGCACCGACGGCAAGTTTTTATATTTCGTTCAATTCGATGCAATGTTGCCTCCACAAGTCCAAATAAGGAGAGTTTTGACCCCTATATTTAGCATTCGAGCACATCTGTATTCCAATATCATATGTTCTCAGAGTAAATATTGGTCGATTTTTCAATTAGTACTTTTGTTTGCATTAACCTCACCATATTAAAAATGATGAGATTAAATTGTTAGCGATAGTTTGCAGGCTATTAACATAACAGATGATTTATTGATCTTTGCCAGAGAGGAAAAAAAAATTATAAAACTTCCCGTACGTGTCTACTGAGCGGATGTTTCGAACACAACATGGCGACTTCAGATAAGGAGTCTCTTTGCAAACTCCCACTCGGATTCGCTGGTGAAATCGTGACAACGGTTTTGTACACCTCGCTTACCATCGTCGGATCGTTGGGAAACATATTCGTGATTCTTGCTATCCACCGGACACCAACTTTGAGGAACGTGTGCGGAATTTTAATAGCAAATGTCGCTGTGTCTGATTTGATGGTGACAGCAGTAGTAATGCCTCTTATAGTGTATGTCCTAATTCAAGGGTTTTTTGATAAATGCATAATCCATGCTCCGATTTTCGCTGCCTGGGTAATAGCACTTTTCTCTGCCAGTTCCTCGCTACTGACGCTAACTACCCTCAGTGTGGATCGCTGTTTTGCCATCTGCCATCCTATGAAACACAAAACGATTGTAACTGTATCAAAAGCAAAGATAGTCATCGCAATAACATGGATAAAATCTTTGACCCTCCCTCTTTTAGAGACGTTCTATACCGGATCAGCCCTCGCCAAATTTCTTCAGGTTATTGGATTGGCTTGCTCGTATTCGATCATAATCGTCAGCGGTATTTTTACAATCAGGAATGTTCGCGCTAATTCAAGACAAATAGGATCACTTCATCAGGATCAAGGAACATCTCGCCTCGCCGCAGATTTGAGCCAGAGGAACAAACAAGTCACCAAGACGATTGCACTCGTTGTAGTCGTCTTCACCCTGTGTTGGATCCCGATCGCGTATCTTACGGGTATTGAGATCAGTGAGGACAGGAATGATAGAATCTATTTCTGGTTTGCTACAGTGGGACTCGCTAACTCAACAGTAAACCCGTGGATTTATTTCTGTCGGCAGCCAAACTACCGCAAAGCGCTAAAATCTTTGCTCAGATGTAAACGAGGTGCATCTAACTAGCTCCAACACATCTAGCTATGAACAAGTTCAGATAAATGAGTGTTGCATAAAGGTAACACCTGTTTAGCGATGTTAAGTTTGAGGGCTCCCATAACCTTTTGGCGAGATAGTAATTTGAAAGTGATAGGAAAAGTTAGAGGTTATTCACTTCCGGTTTCTAATTCTCAGTTTAGACCAATTTTCAATTGAGTGTCGAAAGTAATCCATGCTTGTAATGGTATTGCTTTACTTCACTCTGTGATTGGTCCAGAAAATTCTTGTCACTTTCTAAACCAATCAGATGCAAAACTAAAACGACTTGATCGCCCTTGTTTTCCCGCGCTTTAGGCAGTTTGATTGTTTTAACTCTGTGTTTTAATTGCCTCTTATGGGTATTGTCTTTTCTAATTGGCTTTCGTGATCACTGTAGTAGTGGTTTTACAACACTCAGCCGAAAAGCACTCTATTTTTCTCCATTCCTAAAATGATCTAACTACACTTAAACGATCAATTCTTCACAGCTACCCGAAAACCCACAAGTAATATATTTGAATCTAGACCGAAATTTTTTTTTTTAACGCACGGTTCCATTGACAATTAAATTGCAAAGTTTTGGATTATGTTTCAAAGAATATAAAGTGATGTTGCAGATGTCACTCTTATAAAAAATAACTTTAAAAAGATGACAATCTCTTCGAAACGTTATTTTGAGGATATTTAATTTTTAGGCTAAAGATTAACACAGTAAATAATTCATTGACGTTTTTGCTTGATAGTGTTATTAAAAATTGTCCGAAGTAGTCTTCAGAAGATTGTTTAAAATGATTTTTTAAAGTAACGTTTCAGACGAAACCAAGGGCCATTCGGCCGTGATGGCAAAATAAACGATAAAAGCACGAAATAGGAAAAAAATAAAATGACCGCACTATTTTTGCGCTCAATTCAACTCAAGGTTGCCCACAAGTTCTGAAAGAACCGATGTTCAGAAAGTAAATACACCGATAGATATATATTTTTTCTTTTTAAGCGATACTTTCGTTGGTTTATATATATATATATATATATATATATATATATATATATATATATAGACACCGAAAGGTCGATCACTCATCTCTTATGCTGGTCCACAGCGAACTGCCTCTCACGGTTATTTATATATATTATATATATATATATATATATATATATGTAAATGACCAAAATAACCGTGAGAGGCAGTTCGCTGTGGACCAGCATAAGAGATGAGTGATCGACCTTTCGGTGTCGTCTTGACGCAATTTTTACGCTGAAAGTTGTCAGAAAGAGCTGTCAGAAATAATTTTGATAAAAACTGTTGATATAGAGTTGAATTATTGTATTAGAGAAAAAAAAAAGTACAAAAGAAATTGCTTTCAGGTTGTAGCTTCCAGTTTCACATGTTTGGGAGGATCCCCAAAATGTCATCCCATGAAAATAACATGTTGAATTGATTGACACCTGTCAGAAGGAAAACGAAATTTGTAAAACTTCCTGTGTACTTACCAGATGTCTTCGCTTTGATCAGTCAATAAGACGCCTTCTGTGAACTGAATAAAACGTCTTTTTTTCAGGGGAATAAACAATAACTCTTGCAACTTTAATTTCCTATTCAACAGATAAAAGGAAAGCGTTACACGCCGACAATTCACAAATTAACGATTCGGATACGATCCTTTTTTTTACTTTTACAAAACAGCGTGAAAGGATGTCTCCAGGCGTCCGTAAAGCATGTTTTTCTTTTTTTGTATGCATACAGGATCTCTGTTCATCAAAGCACAACTTTTTCAACGCGGTTAGAATAGAAGACGGAATACAACAACACTCTGATAGTGTTTTGGTAGGCGCATAGAGATCTTGCTCCCCTGAGGTATGTAATGGAAATTCGGCTGTAGTTTACAAATGTTCTTAAGAAGCATTTGGAAAAAAGGAACACAGTTAAAAAATAAATCTTTAAATAAAAAAATAAAAATTAAAAAAACGGAGTTTTTCTCCGAACCAAAACCGATACCGTTTCAACGACGTTACATCAGGAAAAATTAAAGAACTTTGAGATAAAAGCATTCAAAGCAGGCATTGCTCCCTGCCTCCGACATTTCTGCCGGCAAGTTCAACTTATCTTCTTTAGTAGTTTAGAAAAAAACATTCATTAAGATAGACGGATGTTTTTGCTTCGTAAAAGCCAGAATTAAGAGGCGTTCGTTTCCTTTGAAAAGCCTCGTGGAAGGATCGAGTGAGAGTCAAGGTCGTCTACCAGTCGATTTAAATCACAATACATGATATGATTTGTCAAGAGCTAAGAATAAGAGATAAGAATCAGTTCCTCCTAATGTGCTCGGTTACGGGCGTTAAACAAATCCGGCCACTTAACTAATAAAATTATTTCCGATCTCCCCGACGACCTGTGATGAAGCGGTTTAAATTGAATGACCTTGTGCATTGCAGTTGCTTTTACTGTCTTACACTTTCAGCTGAAATTTTTCTCAAGCGTGCACGCGGAAAATTTAATGGTCAATTTTTTTCAAAACCGAGCAGTTATGGAATTTAACTCAACTATTCTGGGAAATCACCACTCTTTAGGAAATAATGACTGTGGAAACAAAGATTTGATCAACACCAGTTCCCTGGATGGACTTTCTAATACAACCTTATGCCAAGATTTTTCGCTCACAACAACAGATATCGTTGTGGCCGTTTCCCTGTGCAGTATTTTGGCAATCGGTGGTTCTCTTGGCAACGGTCTGGTTCTGCTTGTGATTAGTAGAACGACAAACCTAAACAATAATTGTAGCGTGTTTATTCAGAACTTAGCTATTGCTGATCTTCTTGTCACTGTTGTAACAATTCCTCTGATCATCTCAGTGATAACAAAGGGCTTCGTGCCGATATGTTCTTGGAACGGTTCTTTAATGCTTGGTGCGATTGTTCTCGGCAGATGCTCAGCGACGGCTTCATTGCTGATCTTATCGTCCATGAGTCTTGATCGGTATTGGGCGATCTGTCATCCCATTCATCACAAAGTTAAAATGACGTCCTCAAAACTGAGAGCAGTTCTCGTACTCATTTGGCTGGCTTCTCTGGTAGTCCCTATCCCAGAAGTGGTTGTTCCACGCCAAGGCCGATGGTCTGTAGTCTTAAAGCATGTGAAAAACTTCGGTGTCGCGTGCTGTTATATCGCCATTGTAAGTAGTGGTATTGCCATTTTTGTCAAAGTTGGTTGTGCCTCTCTTAAAATAGACGATTTGCACATAAACTCAGGCGGTAGACAGATGCATGCAGAGATACGTGAAAGAAATAAGAAAGTCGCGAAGACGATAGCTTTGGTTGTGTTTGTCTTCTCCCTTTGTTGGCTTCCAGTGGCCATCATCAACACAAGATATATTGAGTACAACGAGCTTCATTTCTGGTCTGCGTTGCTTGGTTTGGCCAACTCTACTTTGAATCCGTGCATTTACTTCTACCGACAGAAGAGTTATCGTCACGAGTTAAAAGTAGCCTTGGTCGCATTCTTTTCTGTTTCCTCCTAATCAAGCGCGCGGCGTGGAGTTTGAGTTGCGAGAAAACATGGGGTTCCACGCGCGATTCACATTTGTCTCACGTCTCTCCTGCGTGACTACGGTAAAAAAGAAATAATGCGAAGAAGGTTAAGTTGAAAGAGATGATAAGTGTGTGCTACAGTAAGAAATTATTTTTTCTAAAAGAAAATTTTGTTAATACTGACTAATAGACTCCCTCGTTCGTTGATTAAGGAGACAACTCCCCAACGCTCCCACTGCAAGGTGTCACTGGCATTTAGGGGTGGGTACGGATAGAAATAAGGGATGGTAAAGGGAACGAGAATGTTTTTAGCGCCGTGTTGATGAAATTATAAATTTCAGCGCGGAAAAGGCTGAAAAAGCTTGGGCGTTGTTACAAAACTTGAGGTTGTTTTCATGATTTAAGGATTCATTCGCCGCTATCCCTGTTGTTATGTTATGGTGAGGTCGCACGGAAGTTGTTTCCTTTGCCTTGCACGTGCGACAACAAGGATTATGATCAATAACCCTTATTTCGTTCTCGAGTGGGCGATGAGGGGTTGTGTGGGTTTCATCTAGATAGATAGATAGATAATCTTTATTTTCCCACGGACACTTCATCAGCCATAAAAACATTCAAATATATAAACATGCATTAAGTGGATAAGATACTATAAAAGCTATACTTAAAGCACAAACCTAACTTAAGCTGCTTTCCACGAGTGCTGTGCCTGAACGTACTTCTTTAATTAAACGCTTAAATAACCCAAGGGACTCTGCTTGTCTTATGTCACGAGGAAGTCTGTTCCAAAGAGTGGCGCCACTAGAGCTAAAGCTATTTTTCTAATAGTCTGTGCGCGGCAAAGGAACATTAACCTTATTCTCAGAGTCTTTTAGGTTACACGCAAGTTCTCGCCTTTCAAAGCTGACGTTTCGAGAGTTTTTCCTTCTTCAGAACGCTAATTCTGCCACAACTTGAAAGGCGCCTGACAGGCTCGTGGAAGTGACTCTTTACCACAAGCAGATCACGTTGAGTGGTAGGCGAAAAATTAACAAATTGATATGGAAAAAATGGAAATAAAAAAACAAAAACCCAAGTCAAATAAATGACCACGTTCTTAGGCCTGAAAAATATTTGTTTGTGATATCCTGTCATACGACGGCGCAGCATAAGATGGTCAGCAGTTTATACCATTAACGATTGGTTCGGCCCGCACACACCCCCCTATCCGCCCCCGAAAAATAATTTATTGAGATTTGAGAGAGCGTTTACTGCAAACTCTTTTCTGCAATTTTTTTTCATCATTACATTACTCCCTAGGTCGGTGTATTACCATAATCTCGTTATATTTGAAATTGTAGAATATAATACGGTGGTTGAAATTTTGTCGAGAAATGAAAATGGAAGATATGAGGAAGTAAGGTCGAAGCGACAGAAAAAAAAAAATGCATGCATCAGTCATGCAAAGCGGGCGTGATATAGTCGCGCGGGAGTCGGGAAGGTGTATGGCATTCAGTTATGGAGAGCCCTACCTTGCCAAAGAAAATTCGAGAAACGAAAGTTTTAGTTTTATACACAGGCGGAACGATTGGAATGAAGAAAACAGATGGAGGTAAAGGGCTGTCGAATAATTTCCCTCAACTTTTGCCTGGCGTCTCACGTAGTCAGACTGAACGTATGATAACCCAATGATACAATTAAATATGCTTTGTTTTACTTTGTTTAGGATATCAGCCGAAATCTGGCCACCTTCAGACGCAAATAAAGAGACTTCCTATGTTGTATGATGAGGATTATACAAAGATTGAACCAACAGGAAGTCTTAAGTCTTTCAGCTGTGACAACGCTGCCAGTACTTCACAGTTAGAAGAGTTAGCAATGCCGTAAGTCTATTTATACATGTCTGCGTGTTCAGCTGTTTAATGATTTAGGCTTTTGTGATAAATGTTTTGTTTTCATACCCTGCTGATGTGTTCGATGTGTTGTCAGTGATGTTAATGATCAAGAAACAACAGTCGATAGAGGCATTGTAGAATTATTTCATCTAATTTAAATGTCGGCGTGGACAAACGAGAGTCAAAATCATTTTCTATACATCCTTTTTTAGTGGGCACCATTACGTAATCAAATTCTTTGAAACCTATGTCAACGATGCCTCTCAAAATTAACCAAGCTTACTTAGCTCCTAAAATTGTTTACTTAATCTTTGGGGTTCGATTTGTTTACCAACATGCGTGCGTGACTTGCTCAGGAATACACGTCGTAGCCAAGTCAATGATTAAACCTCTGAACGTTAAATTTGTTCGGTATCGCAGCTGAAACCACATCGATTCTTTTGACAATGCTCAGTTGAAGAGACACTCTAAGATCGACAATGTTTCAACCTGAGAGGAGTTAGTTTTCTCAGCTAGAAATTATATTTGAAGGTGATACAAAATAACTTCTGAGAATCTTAAAATTAGGGACTGTTCTGATGGGAAATTCTCCTATGAAACTATTGAAATTTCTTGTAATATTTTTCATATATCACAAGGTACAAAATTTCTACTTTTGTTGGATTCTCAACTTGCTAGCCACGTTATTTAAATATTCTGACATGATGTTAGTCCAGTGGACAAAAATATATAGTGCCATAAATGGGAATAGAGAGACATTTATTCAAGTGGGCATATAAAATGGTTAACAGGGGATTGGCAATGGGTTTCCAGACTCAAATTTAACAATATGTTTATATATAGAATGATACATAAGCCATGCAGATAACAAGTGTAACAAGCAAGCATATCTTTAAGCACCATAGGCCTTTACTATGAAAAATGGGTGACATGTCAGCAGCTGATAAAAAATTATCTTAATTGTACATTCATGTAGTTAGACTTTTATGAGAGCTGGAAATCCTTAAAAAAAAAAACCAGCAGTTTGTGTAAATATAATCCCCCCTCCCCCTTTTAAAATTAGAATTATTTTAGTTTTCTAATAGGCTTCACTTTTAGCATGTCACAGAAAAACTCTCCAAACATGCACACTCACTTGTTGCATACCATTACTTAAACAGCATATCAGCTCATGGAGTGCGAGTATTATATTATATCAAAGAATACTTACCCCTTAAAGACTCATCAAACATGACGATTGGAGACTGGGTGGAAATTGCACTTGATATTAAAGACAATTACAGTAGATATGATGGGTTTGTAGTGATACATGGAACAGATACAATGGCCTACAGTGTTTCTGCTTTGTCATTTATGCTGGAAAACCTTGGGAAATCTGTGATCTTCACTGGTTCACAGGTAAGATGTCCCACTTTTGAAATTTTCATTAACCAGTTAGTTTGCAAAGTGAGGGAGGGTCTGCAGAAAATTCTGTCAAGTTTTTAGTGTGTATATTTTTTTCTTTGTGCATAGAGACTTTAGTGTAACGATGGTGGAATTAAGTTTTGATCTTGTAGTCTAACAGTTCAGAGCCCAGTTGTTCAAAGGGCAATTGATTGTATTCAAAAGATGAATGAGCATCCAGTGGATAAGTGTTTAAAAAAATATTATTACATTATCTACCATTTTCGAGATTTTTGCAGTGGATGGAATTATCCACCCTTCAAACATCAAGGGGCATGGAAAGGATGGTGATACTCTAGGTTTGTCTATCAATGACTTGTTTACTTATTGAATTTTTATTTTCCAAGGTTCCAATTTATGAGCAGAGAAATGATGGTCGTGACAACCTGTTAGGTGCATTGGTCATTGCTGGTCACTACATTATTCCTGAGGTTTGTCTTTAGCTTTGCCTCTGTTAAAGGAAATCTCTACTGGTAAACAAGGCACCATTGAATTATTGATAAAAATACTGTATCCTTATGGAGAATGTGGAAGCAATAAATGGTAATTATAGGTTTTAAATGTGAGACAAAATCAATGTGTAACAATTATTCACCAAAGGCAAAGTGAACATTGTTGAATTATGCCTAAGACAAAGTTGAGGGGATTATCGAAGAATCTTCACTGAGCCTGAGCTGAATAATTGTTTTGGTATAACTGCGCTGGTGCTTTTGAATTCTGTTGCAAATTCATTTAATTTTTAAATTAAAATTGTAAGTTCTGTTACAATTGTTTTAAAGAGTTATTCATATTGAAATAGCAGTGAGTTTCCTCTACAATTTAACAGGTTCATTTAATTCCATTAACAAAAACTCTACATCTTTCTTTTGAAAGTGTTATGCCAAACTTAATAGCATCTTTTGCCCTCTTTGGAAATTGAATTTTCTTCTATCATGTTCATCACTTCCTTGGTAACATTGACAAAACGCAAGATAGCCACTTTGAAATTAGGGCTCCCACTATAATCACCTTGCATTGGGTGATAATAGCAAGATATGATGCAATCATGAACCAATAATAGTGCATACATCTCTATGATCACTGGAGCAATTGTTCTAAATGTTATTCTTTTTTCATTTCTCTTTTGTTGGGAGAACTGAGATTGTTTTTTCTATGCCAGGTTACTCTGTTTTTTGCCGGATATTTATATCGGGGTAACCGTTCCACCAAAGTGAGTGCTGGGAGCTTTGATGCCTTCGCCTCCCCAAATCTTCCTCCCCTGGTAACCATGAAGGTGAACATTGAAGGTAAAATCATTCATAATCCTTAAAACTGTAACATCAGTATGCATATTCTCCATACTGTTCTCTATACATTTCCAAAGGAGCCAGTAAGGAGAACTTGTTTAACAGTCATGAGCTTTTTTGGCTGGTGATCATTTCCTTTATTCTTGTGACTTCAGTGTTTGATTTAGGGGTGATATTGTAAAGGAAATTAGATGCTTGTCACTTAGGAGTCACATGGTTATCAATGAATCTTTCAGATGTATCTTACCTTGAAAATGGTGATGAAAATGTCAATCATTCCCTTTGTTCAAGGAAACAGACAGAAATGTTTTTGATTAGATTGCTGAGTGCAAGTGCATTTTCATCTGTAAAATGCAGTATACGGTTGTCATTTCTCTGGAGGTGCTAAGAACTAGTTATCAGACAACCTGATTTATGTAAAATAAATGAAATTCTTTAAAAATTTTTACAAATACTTGTCTGAGTGGTCCATAGTCATATTTCCCACATCCCTTAATTCAATTGCTAGGAGGTAACCACTCCATAAATTCAGATTTTTTGTAAACCTTTGGTCAAATATGTTATGTCTAATGATGTTACATTCTGACTGCAATGTTCCAATGCCTGTGCAACTTTCTTTAATTCTTGCAGTGCAGTGGGATGCGATATTCCGTTCAAACAGTGTTAACAAGTTCACAGTTTGTTCTAACATGAATCCCAACATTGGACTGCTTAGGCTCTTTCCAGGGATTACATCTGAAACTGTAAGTAATGACAGTAATCATGGAATTCCCATCAACAATCTTTGGTGCTCAAATATACACATGTACATATTTCATACACATGCACATAAGTGTTAGATTGATGACTGCCTTTTTATTTTATTTCTCTTCCTCAGGTGCAAGCATTTTTAAAACCTCCCATGCTGGGTGTGGTCCTGCAGACGTATGGGTGTGGAAATGCACCTAACAACCGTGAGGACATTATTTCTGAAATAAAGAAAGCTACTCACCGAGGTGTATTAATTGTCAACTGCACACAGTGTCTCCATGGTCCTGTGGTTGATCAATATGCCACAGGAAAGGTAAGAAATTGAAAACTAGAGTTACATGTTTCTCTTTCACATTTACGTTGTCACCTCTCAAAAATCTAGGGTTGTAATGAATTCAGGTTTAGAAGCATTCTGACCACCTTTTTAGTCCTTTAACTCCCAAGATCTGATCGTTAATTTTCCCCTCTAGATGTTACACATTTTCTTGTAAATTAGTCATGAGAATTTCGTGTTAGATCATGATAACAACTTCTACCGAATAAGTTTGAGTTTTCTCATCACCTGTGTAAAAAATCAATTTACGAAAAAAGAGACTAGAGTCCAAACTCCGTAGAAAATATGTATTAAACTTGTTAAATGAACCACAACATTTGGCTAAAATAAAAATTCCGTAACTTCTTTAAATTCCAAACAAAGGAGTAACAAACTTACGCGAACGAAAGCTCAAAAACAACTGATTAAAACTCCGCGAAAACAAAACTAAAAGTACGCGAAAAATGTCCACGTCAGTTTTCCATTGTCAAGGTTAAAGTTATTTGATGTGATTGGCTAATTTGTGAAATCACGCGCGCTGCGCGTGAATTCAAAAGGAATACGAAGCGGGGAGAGGAAGAGAAAAATTGTTACTTGAAATTTAGAAAAACGATAGAGATTTTCTACAACCTGTTTGCTTGATAATGTATGGATTTTATGATGAGAAGTTATGGAGTATGTTAATAACTTCTGGGAGCTAAATGGTTAATGATTGTGGATTATACGTAGACTACGAGTGGTACCTCCTTTTCGGCGAAAACCACCAATAAAAAAATTGATCGTAGCGCACCGTAGGAAGCTCTTAGAGTGACGTCGATGCGCCGCGGGGGCGCCTTGGAGCTGCTGCGGTGCATCGACGTCACTCCAAGAACTCCTCGCGGCGCGCTAGTATCAACTTTTCTTCACCGATATTTTTTATTCGCGCAACGGAGTTCGCCGAGAAGGCGGGACTGTTCGTAGTCTGTATAATACAATTGGTTTTGGGACAAGAAGGGGTCACAGCGCAGATTCCCCAAAGCCACGCCCTCGGTGATGGGAATGTGCTTGGAGTGGAGAATTTACCGCATTTAGGTGAAGGCAGAGTTTAATTGAGAAGGGGTATACAGGATAGGAAACCTCAGTAGTAAGGCCACTGTATTTGTTTGTATCAATATCTCAGCTATAATTGTTGTTGTTGGTGACGTATTTTTTTATCAGGTGTTGTTGGATGCAGGGGTGATTCCTGGCTCAGACATGACACCTGAAGCAGCACTCACCAAACTTTGCTACGTGTTGGGAAAAACGGAGCTCAGTTTGAATGAGAAACGAGAGGTAGCGTATGTTACCAGGTGTATGACCACTTCAGTTTCAATCTGGTCTTTCTTCGTTTTAGTTTTATTCTGTTAAATGCCATAATTTTGTGACTTCTTTTTCTTTTTTTTAGTTGATTCGAAATAATATTCGCGGAGAACTCACCGTCGCTCATACAAGGGAACAATTCTCTCTCAAAGACAACTCATTCATTGCTGCCGTAGCATCGTCATTACAGATCAGCTCCAGCAAGGTTATCATTTTCTTAGTTACCGTATTTCCTCGAATATACGCCCTCGTTCTTGTAAGTGCCCCCCCCCCCTCGACCTCCACCTCCAAGTTAGCACCCACGGTCCACCTCTAAGCCGCATGTATTGACAAGGAGAATTCGTTTAACAATCAAAGCTTCATAGGTAGGTGATCATTTCCTTTATTGTTATAATCTTAAAATAAATGATCCAGCAGGACATGGAATACTTTTTGTACAAGTGTTAACTTTATTTTTAGGAAATGAAATTCATAAGGCAAGCTCTACTTCCTGTGCTCATGAGCTGTGCTACAAGTGCTGGGAATGTGAGGACAATGGAAGAACTTCTTAATCAGGTAGGGTATGCAGATTATGTTGTCTGCTTTTGTCGCGCACCGATCCTCTTACACAACCACGACTGATTCGTACTCATTCCTCGTACAGCGAAGCGCCTTCCCTTCATCTCTTTTATCACTTGCTACTCTGACCCAGGAAACTCTCGGTTGTGGGGACGAGCGAAAGAGTGGAGAGAGTGAGCGAGAAAACAAAGTTTATGGGGGTTAGGACTTCCTCCCAGACCCTTTCTGTTTCCTACTAAGATTTTCCCTCTCTTTTTTTTAAGGGTGCTGATGTAAATGCCACTACGGACTACGATGGTAGGACTCCTCTTCATATCGCATGCGTAGAAGGCAACACGGAAGCGGTCGAATTTCTCCTGGCAAAAGGCGCAATTACGCAAGTGCGAGACAGATTTAAATGCTCCCCTCTGGACGATGCCATTAAATTCCGGCACAAAGAGATCGTTAAAACGCTTCGGAAAGCTGGTGCTCAGTTGATGAAATCTTCTATGGAGACAGCGGTTGAACTTTGTCGCTTGGCTGCGAAAAATCGAGTGGATGACTTACTCGTATGGCAACTCGCGGGAGCGGATTTTAATGCGAGCGATTACGATAAAAGGACGCCTCTCCATGTGGTGAGTTCGGAGAAAAAATGTAGACAGTAAGAAAGACGCACTCAAAGTTTTCGACCCCCAAAACTTAATTGATTTTGAATGTAATCTGGGATTTCACCGCCTTTGCATTTATTTGTGATTGGTGCTGAAAATTTGTGTCCTCCTTCTCGACCAGTCAAATGCAAAGCTAAATGATACCATTCGCGAAGTGGTCACCCGCGTTTTCCCGCGCTTTTTCCAAGCAGTTTTCTTGTTTTTACTTTGAGTTATCATTGACTCCAAGCGCTATGTTTATTTATTGTTTTTTTTTTCTGATTGACTGTGTTGATTACCTCGGTTCCTTTTTTAAGAGGCTTAAAGAAAATGCGCACGTTGCTGAAACCATACCAGTGGTTGAGCCTCATTTCCTTCCGGGTTTGACCCTTTGACCCGTTTGAGTGACTAACATCTAATTTCTCCTTACAGCATCACCCCTGAATCACACATTAAGGTCATGAGAATAAAGGAAATGAACGTCACCAACAGAAGTTTTTGATTGTTAAACAAATTCTCCTTGTCAGCACCTTAAGAAATGTATAGAGAACAGTATGGAGAATATGCATACTGTTATCAAGGTATAAAGGGTTTAGACGTTTCCTCTTCTTCTGAATTGCAGGCCGTTTGCCGTAACAACGTAGAGACTGTTGCCTTCTTGCTGGAGCATGGTGTAAACCCGTACCTCCGTGATGTTTTTGGCAGCACTCCCTTGGACAATGCCAAGTCGTATGAATTGCACAATATTATCGATATGTTAGACGGATACTGCGGATTAAAGCAGTTTAATGTTCTCTCTCTAACTGAATCATCTTGAATAATTATTTTAACATGTTTTTTTTGTTTGTTTTTTTTTAATATAGGAAAACAGCCTGTTCCAAGCTTTCAGTAAGTAGCGGCTGAGTGAAAAAACCAGGGAGGCCTGGGTCAAGTCGCCGGAGAACGCTATTACGCGAACCGACCAAAGTCTCCCTCGTTCTTTAACACTTATCCGTTACTATCGCCTCGTTTCAGTTGCGCTTCGTTTTACCAGCTGAACACCTGGAACAGGATAATGGACCGATAGAATTAAAGTAATTTTTTTTTTGAACAAGGAATATGTGTTAAAATCAGTTAAAGGATCGTAGTACAAGTGAGACAACCAGAAGGCTATGTTTTCAATTGAAGAGAAATACGCGCGAGTGACTTAACATTTTATTTAGGAAGGAATGCAAGGTAGCCGACTTTTACTTCTTACGCGATTGGCAAAGCAGCAAAAAACCGACAACGAGATGTTGAAAACGACTTTCGGTAACAGCCACTAAAAAACACCTGAATGATTTTTTTCTTTGCGATACTCATTCGAAAATTACTCTTTGGCTGGCAATATTGGGAAAATTATTTTAAGGTCATTTTAAAGGCTGTTATTTATTGAAGGGATAACTGAGCTCAAGATTTGGGTTTCGCCATTTAAGATATGACGATGTTATTTATTTTGTATATATTTTGTATATATTTATAATATATCCAAAACAAACAAAAGCGTGAGGGGAAGGGGGCTGGATGCGCTCAGATAAATATTATTTATAAAAATTATCAAGTTAGTTATTCACATTTTGAGGGAGTATTATATGTTAGTGTTCGTGTTCATGCAAACGCCAATCGCATTTTTGTTTGTTTGTTTAATGGGATAAAAAAAACCTAAAGGCCAGGATTGTATTTTTGTAAAGAATAAGCTAAATAAAGGAAACTTATGGGTAACTATGATTCCTCCGTTCTTTTCTGAAAACTTCGCTTAAACTTACGAAATTAGTACATTGTTTCTAAGCTGACGTACCGAGCGTTAGCCCTTCGTCAGAGCGAATGGCCTGGGGCTAGCGCTCGAAGCGTCAGCTTTTAAACTCTTCACGGTGGCGATTTACATTACCAACTCAGTTGATAAAATCAAATTGTCTTGTTATACTCCCCCACCGACGCAGCAAAAGAGCTTCTTTAGAAAGTTACCCCCCTTTTTACGCTTGGAGTAAACGACCATGACAGTTAGGCTTGGTTATGTATCGGGAGATACGAGTGCGAAAGTAATGACAAAAAAGAAAAACAACAACAACGAACAGGCGTGCAGTTGTAAGCAGCACATGGTGAACTCATTCCTTATAATTAGTCAATTCCTTGTTACAGGCTTTAAACTGCACGTGACGTTAGTATCACGCGATACTGCAAGTCAAGAGATTTCGCTGCTCTTGCAACCTATGAGAGCTTGCGGGCAGAGTAAAAACGACCAGAGCAGTATTGCTGCTTCTTCCTAACATTTTGCATAACGTGAATTGACAAGAAAGAACGCGATAGTAACTGGATGGCCTCTCGAAGGTATGTTGGTTGACCCACATCTTTCGGCCTATCCTGTTAGTTCAGAATAGAGCTACACACATTTCACATTTCAAAAACCGATTTTCCTTTAAACACCCTTAGCCTTGCATGATTATTTATTCTAGGTTTCTTTCCATTTTTAGAAAAATTTTCCTTCCCCGATAGCTTCATCAGCACCAACACCACCTCATAATCCTCTCACTTCTTTAAATAAGGCTCGGTTGCTCAGCTAGCAAAGATGGCGAGTTCCCGGGAAATCGAAGGTCATCGCCCCACCCGACATACAAACTGTTCTATCGGTGATTTCGGAACGTTATGAGTGATCCTGTTAAGAAAATATCTACAAGCTCCAAGAAAAGCCTAAAAACACTTCCGGAGTGTGGCGAAAATGACGGCATTGTTGTTACAACAGGTGGCTCAGAAAAGTGCGCAGTACCGTCGAGCACAAAACATCTTCCCTCGACTACAGCAGGGAAACAAACAATGCAATCAACTTCCAGCTCGGACGCTTCTGACGGTGATGTTGCATTGAAAAGGCGATCATTTCATGCACAGCTGTCTCGAAGTTTCTTTCAGTCGCGGTCTTCGAGTTCGTCCTCTGTAGATGGTGGTTCTTCGAGTCCGTCGAAAAGCCGTCTGGGCACGGTTCCTGTGGAGGATCCTATCACACACGAGAATGTTGTAAACAGTAAAGTTTTGTTGTTGTATACTGGTGGTGCGCTTGGATGGAAAGTAGATCCAAACCTAGAAGGTAAACATTTCAAAGTAAGGAATTATAAAATCATATCATGTGACCGAGTGCTTTGCAAGGGGTCTTCAAGAGTGAGTCAGTAGATGGGAGAGGTTATGGCACAGTACAAGTGGGTGGTGCTTTTACCTTACAGTGATAAGGATAAGAACCATAGGTGATCTCAAAATAACATTACTTGAGGATTTTTTGGAGCGACAATTATACCCCCCCCCCCCCACCAAAAAAATAAACAAACAAATTAATAAAACAAAAACAAAAAAAACTTCAGTGGGGTGGGGTAGTATTTGCTTCATTTTCAAAGGATTGTCACAAAGTTTGATGCGAAAGCTTACATCTAGATTTGATGCAAGCCCATGTTCTGCATGTTGATAAGTCTCCTGGGAGTCAACTTGTTCCTGTAAAGTTAACCACTGATTTTTCAGGATTTCATCTTGATAAGAAAAATGTACTGAAAGAACTGAAGAAGCTCCCCATGATGCATGATGTGGAGTATGTTGACTACATCCTTAGCAATGTACTGGATGATATTCCAGAGGAGGGCATTGGATCAGACACAATTGTGATGCCGTGAGTAAATGAGAAAATGTCAATTTCTGGCACTTATAGGCTCTCAGAATGAATAGTCCTCATTCACTTTGAACCCCAAAATACATTGAATAAAATTTAACCCCAAATACATTGAATAAAATGTATGATACTCTGAAAAATGCCAAACATCAGGGTAATTGTGAATGCAAATGGCCCACAAGGTGTTGTGGCTTATCTTAGTCTATGTAACATGAAAGGACTAGGAGTTGCCACTCCCTTGGATTGGATGCAAGTTTATTACAGGTTAACCCCTTAACCCCTAAGAGAGACTAGCCTTAATTTCTCCTTGCAGTATCACACCTGAATCAAACATTAAGGTCAGGAGAATAATGGAGATGGTCAACAACTACAGGAGCTCTTGAGTTTTACGCAAATTCTTCTTGTCAGCACCTTGGAACTGTACAAAGAACAGTATGGGGAATATGCATAATGATTTTAGAGTGTAAAAGGTGACCACCTAACATTCCATCAGGTTCCCCTTCATTTTGCTGGAACTCATGTACTCCTGAGATAGGTTGTACCATTTTATAATCCTGGGTGGAGTGAGACAGCACCTATTTATACTCCTGGGTGGAGTAAGACAGTACCTTTTTATACTCCTGGGTTGAGTAAGTCAGTACCTATTTATACTCCTGGGTGGAGAGAGAGGCAGTACCTTATTATACTTCTAGGTAGGGAAAGGCACCTCAAGAGTAACATGTCATAATGACATGGTGAGGTGTCAAACTTGTAACTTTCAATACAGAGTGTAGAGTGGTAGCTGTTAATAAGGTTAGCAGGTCTGTTGGTAAAATGAACATTAGCAGATGAAGTGGCAAGGAGATTTGGCTCACCATACACTATTGTGTTTATTTCTAATCCGCTTAGAGTCAGCAAGTATGGAAAACGTGTGTTTGTTGATGTTCTTGAGATGAAAGAGAGTCATGTAGTTGTTCATTCAAAAGATCAAGACATTCAAGACTGGATCAATATTGCACTGCAAATCAAGGAATGTTATGAGAAATATCATGGATTTGTTATTCTTCATGGCACAGATACCATGGCATATCTTGCATCAGCACTCTCATTTATGTTTGAGAACCTTGGAAAGTCAGTGATCTTCACTGGTTCTCAGGCAAGTTTGTACAGTTGCATAACTCTATCAATAACACAGAATGATGTGTGAGTAAAAGTAATAATAATGAATAATGATACTAATAAGTATAGCAATTATGGCAGTCATTAGAAAACAAATATAGTGTTTTAAAAATCCCAACTGACCAGCGGCAAAACATTTGGCTATATATTAAGTACAGCCAAGGAGTTGAGCTTTGGGAAACCAAGAAAAATTCAATGAGTAACAAGGTGGAAGGCTTATACCCAGGACCACTGGATTACAGGTCTAGTGCCCTAACCACTCTGCTGAACTGCCATCTTTTAGTATATTATATGATTATATACTATAAACATGTTAGATTTGTATAGTTATATTCATTCAGATGTCAGACAATTGACTCCTGGTTTGCTGCATGTACTTGTTAAATCAATATGCTGGATTTATTTTGTGTAGTATGCTTTGAGTGATCATCTAAATGATGGAAGGCAAAATCTTCTTGGAGCTCTAATGATTGCTGGCCATTATGTCATCCCAGAGGTAAATTTTAAGTATAAATTGATAATTGAGTGACTTTCATGAAAAAAAAAATCAACAACGTTCACCAAATACAGTATTTTTAATGCTTAATTATAAATTGTTTGCAGGGCCTTGCAGAACACTGATTTTGTTAGTCTGGCTTACTTTTTTTCATTGTCATTACCACTCTCACCATCTCTTTACTATTATTATTATTATTATTATTATTATATTATACTTTATTAAATTCTCCTATTGAGGCTCTTCAGAATTTAATTAAAATGTAAAAAATGATGTTAAAAGAAAAAAGGGAAATTATAATAATATCGTACTGCATATGATAATTCTATTAAAAAACTATATCAGTACTCCCAAAAAATATTCTTTAAAACTAGTTGGAAAACCTAAAACTTGGACATCTAATGCTTTCACCATCATCATCATTATCATCATCATTAACATTGTCACAATTATTAAAAATGTTTTTTATTATTATCATCACTTCGTCATATTTATCTCAAAAATAAAAGCATTTGGTAAATGCCTTTATTTTTTTAAATTTAACCTATGCCAGGTGACTTTGTTCTTCCATGGAAAACTGTACCATGGCAACCGTGCCTTGAAGGTTGATGCACGCAGATTTGGTGCATTTGACTCTCCAAACTGCCCTCCTTTGGCAACAGTAGAAGCTGGTATTGAAGGTAAGGGGCAATATTGTGCAAGCTTTGGATGACTTGTCCAAATGTGGTCCCTTTTAATAGGTTCAAGAAAAGGTTCAATGTGGGGGCTTTTTTAAACCCTTTACACACTGAGACCAGCATGCATATTCTCCATACTTTTCTCCATCCATTTCCTGAGGTGCTGATTAGGAGAATTTGTTTAACGATCAAGAGCCTCTATAGTTAGTGATTACTTTCTCTAATCTCATGATAGTAATGTGTGAATCAGGGATGATATAGTAAGGAGAAATTAGATGCTTATCACTTTTAGGGGCCAAAGGGTCAACAATTTACATCATAGACTCAATTTTTACTTATTTTGATGTAACACAACAAAGTACAAGTCTCATTTTTATCTCAAAGAGCTTTATTTTATTCAATGTTTTTTCTTTTTTTTAGTTGAGTGGGAGGAGCTGTTTTATGAAAATCAAGCAAGGAAATTTGAAATACATACCAAGATGAGCTCCAGAATAGGAGTGCTGAGAATTTTCCCTGGAATTACACAGGAAGCAGTTAGTATTCAAATCCTCAGCCTCTGCTTCATGTTACTTTTTATATACATTTTTTGCAGTACTAACGAGATTTATGATTTAAAATGCAACAATATTTACTATACTAACATTACTGATAACACTTACATTTCTTTCTTCATCTAATTATTCTAAGCACAAGGTAACAATATAGTTCTAAAAGCTAAGTTTTTCGTTTGTCTCACGATGTAGTATGATGTAGCGATCTACATCACACGTGGCTACATCGTGAGACAAACGAAAAACTTAACTTTAATTGTTATTTACCACGATGAATAACCACAACCTTTTCTACCAAATATAGTTATAGTTACATTCTAAATACTGAAGCTCATTTTTTTAATCCAAAGTTGCAAATTAACAGACCATGACAGTTGCACAATTACCATTGTAAGCAAACAAACAAATTAACAAAAAAAACAAAAACAAAACCAACAAAAATGAAAAAAAAAAAAAAAAAAAGAAAAAACAAGTGGCGTAGTTTAATCCATTTACCCAATGTAAATATACATGTTCTCCATACTTTTTTTCTATACATTTCCCAAGCTGCTGACAAGGAGACTTTCATGAACAATCAAGAGCTTCTTTAGTGGGCAATAATTTCCTTTATTGTTATGAAATAGGTTGTTGTTCATTGTGGTAGTGGAATGATATTATAGGTTTGTTCTGTTGTCTCACAACAAGGTCACTTGATGTAGAATGCCGTGCCACAACCAACCATATAATGCCGTGCACAACCAGTCGACCCCATCGCCTGAAGAAGATTTGCAGTAAGCAGTCGAAACGTTGCGTTCTACATCAATTGACCTTGTCGTGAGACAACAGAACAAACTTTTGATATCATTTCCTTTATTCTTGCCCACCCATGAAAACATCCCTGAGTAAACCATTTGACACCCAATATTGCTAAAATCAAAATAAGAAAAAATAGAGGCTATAATGTAAATTGTTAACCCTTTGCCGGCCCCTAACAGTGATGAGCATCTAATTTCTCCGTACAATATCACCCCTGATTCGCACATTACCATCTTGAGAACAAAGAAAGTGACCACTAACTGAAGAGGCTCTTGATTGCTGAACATATACTCTTAATCAGCACCTCAAGGAATGTCTGGAGAATATGCATACTGATGTCAGGTTGTAAAGGGTTAAACCAACAATTGGGTAAAAAGCAGCTGAGGTTCTTTGGATCGTTCATATCATTTTTCATTTCCTGTGCCCATTCTCCTCACTTCCAGGTACACGCTTTTCTGGAGCCTCCCATCGAGGGAGTCGTTCTCGAGACTTATGGCAGTGGTAATGGCCCTGATTCACGAAAAGAACTCTTGGAGGAAATACGAGCTGCGGCTAAACGCGGAGTGATCATTGTGAATTGTACTCAGTGCTTGTACGGTCATGTTGTGGATTCGTATGCAACAGGCAGGGTATGTTCTTGGTTTTAGAAAGAATTTCGATTCAGTTGTAATGCTATAATCAATGTAATCATTGTCATGGCAAATCAGAACAAATATAAATGTCACAAAGAGCCAATTAGAACTCAGGGTAAGAGCAGACGAACCGCCAGAAAGGCGAGAAAACGCGAGTGACCATGTCACGTGTGGCTTTGGTTTTCCATCTGATTGGTTGAGTGAATGGCGTGAGTTTTCTTTGGACCAATCAAAGTGCGCACTGAGAAATAACTGTAGAGCACCCTGCAACTCCCTTAACATGTGACGCTAATGTTTAGAGAGCGAAGTAAATAACAACGGGCAGTATTCATATTCAACAAGATGCCAGCCTGCTAAGCTTGCAGTCAATTAGGTGTTTGGTGAAAAGAAAGGCGACTCTGTTGCGAAAAAATGAGCTGTAAAGCTAATCATTCTTCCGTCAACACAAAACTTTAATCAAGATGCAAAGGAACGGATGGGTTTCCGTTGTAGTAAGAAAATACAAACGAAATCCCCACAATTACTTTCGACTTTCAATTGAAAATTTCTCCATCTATTTTCTAATTTGAGTAGGTTGCAGTAACTTCAAGCTGTATTTGCCTCTGTGTTAGGTTTTGGTGGAAGCTGGTGTGATTTCAGGAAATGATATGACGGTCGAGGCAGCGCTAACAAAACTTTCCTATGTACTTGGACACGATAAGCTCTCGATAGAAGAGAAAAAAGAGGTGAGGTTCTCATTTTGTTATGTTACTGTCATCTTTATTGGTAACGGAACGAACAATGACCTGATAGATTTAGTATCATGTCAAACTCCCAAGCAAGTGTTCTGGAGTTATTCCAGTCAACAAAAGAAGGTCCTGCGGAATCATTTTACCTAGTAGTATTACTAGGTTTTGGTCAGACCCAACGGAACTTTGACAGCTGCACTGAAGGTTGTGAGAGGCTAGAGTCTTGATTGGAACATGTGATGTGGGGGGGGTGAGTAGATAAGTGAAAGGGGGGGGGGGATGATATTCCCATCACAGTGAAAATATTTTATTGGTGTTGAGAATGACTCCGATTTTTGTACTATTCAAAGTATGGAAGATTACTTCTTCAGTTTGGTCATGTTGAAAAAAGAAAAGGAAAACAACAATTGAAAAGTACCTAATGAAATTACCTTATTAGGTGAGAAAAAAGCCAGAACTTTGGAGCCTTTTTTTAACAACTGGCATGTACTGTTCACTGTATGATTTCAGGTGATGAAAAAGAATCTGCGTGGAGAGTTGACACCGTACAAAGACGAAAATATGCAACAGTTTTCTTTGCGGGACAATGAACTGATCGATGCAGTGGCTTCACATTTCAAAGTCGGTTCAACCGAGGTGAGCAAAGCTTAGATCTGCGTTAGTAATAAGCTCCTTACCACGCTTTTTTTTTTTGCCTTTTTTCCCTGGTATTTCTGAGTGATTTCAAGGGATTTCGAAAGTAGCTAGAACTGCTTTCGTTGATATCTCCTGGTCAAGGCGCTATATATAGATTTTTTTTTGTACTAGGATGGTGTAACCAAGTATTTTCTACCTTATTATAGTGGACTGGAAGTGACGGACGATGGAAACGTTTTTGCGACTCAGAGTTTTCTCTCGAGCTACTAATATACATTGATTGTTCATTCATCAGATCGTAACAATTCATCTCCTTACTCTTTTCCTTACTTAAGATAAAGGAATTTTACACACCGCCAGCCTGAAAAAAGGCCTCATTTTGGCTTCTTACGCAACACTCCCATGCGTGACAAGAAAAGACAGCTGTGAAATCTTCTAAGTTCACTCTTAGAAGCACTTCCTTACCATTCCCGGGGTATTTCAATTTGTTTTGTACTCTCAGTTAACTGACTTGGAAAAAGTACAATGTAACAAACTTTTAAGATGTAAAATCTAAGCCAATCATGACTTATTTAGGTGTTTCAACGGTGCGTAGCGGACGAAACTTAAATCGGGATTGCTCTGGGCTTTTGGATTGTCATACCTACTGTTTTTCTGTGTCACACATATTTCCATTACAGGAAGTGAGGTTCATCAAGCAAGCATTATTTCCAGTGTTAATGTGTCACGCTGCAGGGAGGGGCGACATTGATGCTATGGAAGACCTGCGTCAACAGGTATATATCTGAAGTTGCCGAGGATCTAAGTCCCGAACGATTGATTTCCTTAGTGACTTGGCCTTTGATGAAAAGCACTCATCCTGTGAGGCTAAGAAGCAGGGATGAAATATTAGCTTTAATGGAAGTGTTTTGTGCTTCAGAACCACGCTTGCAATCTAATTGGTTCTCTCACGCAACATATAATTTGTTTCGTATTTTGTTTACAGGGTGGTTTATTAAGCGCTGCTACAAGTCACGATGGCCGCACTCCGATTCATGTAGCATGCCTGGAGGGTCAGCTGCAAGTCATTCGGTATCTTCTGGAGAAAGGCGCCTCGCCGCACGTTTTCGATAATCACGGACAAACCCCTTTGCACGATGCCATTCATAGTGATAACGAGGAGGCCATTTTACTTCTCAGGGAGTTTGGGGCTCATTTAGGGCCCACCACCGTGAACACAGCCCTTGAAATATGTTCTCTTGCCGCTGATGATAAGGTGGATAGATTGCGGGCCTGGCACTTAGCTGGAGTTGATTTTAATGTTGGTGATTACGACAGGAGAACGGCTTTACATGTGGTGAGTTTGTCCAATTATTTCTCTCATACTGAGGTAAAATAGCTCGGAGCTAAATAGAGGAAACAGTCTGTCTCTCGTGTTTTTAATATGTTAGTTAAGTGGCTGACTGCTTGTGATTTTGAGTTAAAAATAGGGCGTTGTGCACGGTGAAATACTGAGATGTTTTCCCTTTTTTTTCCATTGTTTTTAGGCTGTTTGTCGAAATAATGTGAACACGGTTAAATTTTTGTTGGAGTGCGGCGTTGATTTGAACTCGCGAGACCTTTACGGCTTTACACCGCTGAAAAACGCAGAGATTTTTGAAAACAGAAAAATGATGGAACTACTCCAGTCGGCGGCAGAAAAGACAAATGACGCAGTTGACCAGTAAAGAGGAGCTACAAAGCTCGTGTAACCTTAATGCGACTATTGAAAAATTTTCAATTCAGTGTTAAGGGGAATCCGCACTTGTAGAGGCCATTTCTGAATAATCTTTGGCCTCTTTTTCAAAACAAGGCCTGGTGGTCAACCGTTCGTGTGAAAATGAGTTTAATTCGGATGTGAATGAAAACCTATGACGTATGAAAGTATGAGCACCGGGACTCGCTCGGAAACAGAGGCCAAAAGTAATTCGATGATTTATCTATGAGTCGCACCAGCTTCTCAACCAATCATATCCAATATTGAATCAAACCGCGACTTAGTCACCCGCGTTTTCCCGCCACTGAGGCAGGTTACTTGTTATGACCAGGGGTTCTCATTGGCTCCTTGGTATATTTCCTTTGTTTTGATTGGCCGTTGTGATTGTTTGATTCAAGTTTTGTGACGTTCAAACCGTTGAACAATGGTTTGTTCAATTTCAGAAGAGAAAATCGCCTGAGAGGTCATGTAAAACAACAGATACGTGAAATTGTAGCTGAGATATGAAGTTTCCGAAATCGCGGAAGCTGGTATTATTTGAAACTTCAAGCAGCAATGAATATATTTTTAAATTTTTTCTGACATGAATTTAAATGAAAAACACTGTTTGAAACTTCCATGCTTCATTTGTTGGGGTATTTTATTTATATTGAACATTGATTTTCCGTTCTAAGAGTTATCTAGTTATCTATTTATATTGAATATCGATTTCTGTCCTTAGAGTTATCTAGTGAAGTTTCAACAATTTTTTGTCTATTGACTGTGAAAAGAAATAGTTTTCCTAGAGAGGGCTAGGTGAAGTTGAAAATTGTTGACTTAAAATAAAAATCTTTGAACGATATTTTTGTTGTGTTTCACACGGAGAGGGATTTTTTTCTTTTTTATTATGTGATTTGGTTCTCGAAGTATATTTCATCGTTCTTTGACTTCATGTGCCAGAAACAGAACAGCGATTTTTTTAGAGGAAATGGCGGTGAAATGAAAGTGAGCGGGTGTCGAATAGTCAAACAAATTCAAGGCGCTCCACGGCTCCTGGTGTTTAGTTTATACTATATTCAAAAAGTATCTTGACTTAAAATAAGCTTTGCTTTGTCCACGAACTTCTCTAACTTCTCACAGTTACTTTTAGCTGACAAAATTGGCTTCCATGTTATGATATGATGATTTGAAACAGAATGAAGCTTACATGGGCTTGTAACAAATCAACCTTTTCGCACTGATTTTCTTTCTCAACATCACGAATGACGAAACCCAATATGATTGGCAGTGATTCTAAAAATCGATTCTAATACAAAGCAAACCGAAGTACTTGTATGAAAACGACTAGGATCCTTCACCACTTGAACATGCCTTTTTTGGCTCAATTTTCGTATCCCGTAACATTTTTAATGTCTTTCCTTTGTTTGACAATGTACCACGAAATGTTAGTTGATATCGCTTTCTCTCGATTGTTGTTAGTGTTTGAATAGAGTTGGAAAGTATGTCTGTATGTAGGAATAAAGCGTCGAATTCCCTGCAGACGTTAGGTTCTTCGTTAAAAAAAAATGAAAGAAAGAAAGAAAGAAAGAGATGTAAAGATCAAAATCGCAAAAAGAATGAATTGATTTGTCAAAGTCTTTGTTTTGAAAAACAGAATGAATTGATTTGTAAGGAACTGTCATATCTGCTTCTATCTAGAAACAAATTACTAAGAGTGTTTTCGGAGATGAGCTCAAAAACAGGATTAATCTTTTTCAAATAATTGTGTTTTCAAGATGAAACAACAGTTTGTCGGTTCAGTTGTGTTTGATTTGTTTAATCGAAGGCTTGAACTTTTCTGCTGTTTAGATTTGATCATTTTACAAATCTCCCTACGATATCGCTATTTAAGGAAGCAGAGAGCTAGCGAGAATTTCAAGGATCATCGACGCGAGGTCCCTGTAATGTTACTGATCTGTCACTAAATTCTCAAAGCTTTGAAACAAACTTGTTTGACAGTCATTGAAGAAAATTTCTGTTGTGCATGTGTTGAGCATGTCTATCCCGGGAAATACGCCAACATTATCTGCTCCTGCAGTTCATTTTCCTCTACTTTCTGCGATAAACAAAGACCAGCTATCGTCATAAGAGATATTGCATGGCTATACATGGTCCCTCTTTTTTTTCACACATTTCCCTCGGTGTTTACCGCCAACTACACTATTAACACGGCAAAGGATAACAACAGCCAGCCACGGCCAAGCCTCCAGACGACCTTATCACGTCGCCATGCGAAGTGTGAAACAAACTACGAGAGTGTAAGCTAGTACAAAGTGAGAAAGATCAACTAAGAGATTTTCGACGATACTTTAGGGGGGACAAAGAAAAAACTGGTTCTTTGTGAGGAATTGAACCACAAACTTCCGGTCGTGGATTATGTAAGGCTCCGGAGGAATTGTGGCGGGCGCCAAAGCCATTACCTATATTCATTCATTCGTGTATTAAAATTTGTTTGAAAATAGAGAGTAATGGGTGGAAACAACAATATATAAAAGTCTTGGCTTTAGAAACTTTGAAATTTTATTAGAAGCTATGAAAAACTACGTCTCATTCGAGTTCTCTACATTACCCATGTCGCTTGAATCTAAGTGCGCATGTGCAACCGTGACTGCTGTGTTGAAACAACTGCTGTCTCAAAAAGAAAGCAAAAGGAAATTCGAAACGTCCATAGCAATAAAAGTAGGAAAAACGAAAATTCGAGACTTTTCGAACACAAAGCTAATTCAAGTACATGTATCCTGTTGATTTACCATTCTAATTTCAGTTTTACCAAAAACATCGACGATTTCAAAACACCGTGAATTACTGGCCTGTGCGGTCGTTTACGTGTAATACAACTTGGTTCTGAAAGCTTGAAAGCACAGCACCAAGTCATTGCAACGTTCGCACTCCAGCAGACATTTGACCGCTGTGTTTATTCGGCTGACATGTATTGTTATTGAAATTAACTGAGATATACACTGGATGAATAGAGTCAATACTGAATTTTTGCTCACTTCTAGTCATTTGAAATAACTGCTTCGGTAGTGTTCATCACTGCGAAGATCACTTTTAAATTCACTTCTTAAACCGCGGTTCACACGTATGATTTTCATATATTTACAGTCATTGATTCATCATTTCACGGGTATATTACGAAGCAACAAAATGACCAGCTCCCAATTGACCTGTTTGCTTAGATGGTAGAGCATTGTACCGTATCTCAGAGGTCATGAGTTCAAATGATTGTTGTCCTCTACACCGCTCCAAACAATTTCACACGAGACCTTCGAAATGAACAAGAAAGTTTTTAATGCTTCTGATCAACTAAATCAACCACTGACTGTGTTAGCCAGAAAAAGAGCTTCCGTGTAGGTCCAAATCAAACCAAAGTTAGTTGACACTACGCACATCCACTTGGAAGTTAGACAAAACAGAGACAATTCGGAAACTCATCGTGACAGCGCAAACCCAAATAACTTTAGACTTTGAATTCCTAGTAGCTACATTCTAAATATAAAAGAATAACTTAAATTACTGAACTGACTAACTAAATACTTCATAACATGCTTCCCTTCTTAGAGTGAGCATCGTCCTCGATGCTCCTAAATATATTTATCAAGAAACTATCGAAATTAACTAATTAAAGCAACACTCTTAGAAATTCTATTTTTATAATTGCGGCAAACAATGTTCTGTCCAACTTGCTTTCAATGACTAAACTTGTAAAGAAAGCTTTGTTAAACTGTTCAGGAACTTGACAAGAATCTTGCATTTCATGAACTTTTGTTGTTATGATCAGACTGAGCAGCGACAACTTAAAAATCAGTACGAGTACACATGTATTCGAAGTTCTTGAAAATCATAGTCGCGTTCGTAAACGTGACCATGACAACTCTTTAATGGAGGACCTGGAAGGAAGGAAGCGGCTAGAGAACTCAAGATATAGAAATAAATACTCGACTACGTCTCCTGTCCCCCTCAAACACACACGTCATTCGTGCCCTAGCCGCACGAATGACGTTCAAGGTTTCTTTATTTGCTAAGTCGGATCAGAGTTATATTAGAGCCCCCTGCTAGCTCTGGCCAGATATTACAAAATTCCAAGAGCGAAATATCTTCTGAAAGTGAAAAATCTCTGTTTGCCATTAATGCAAGCTGTTTGCTAAGTTTAAGGCAAAAATTTTAGTAAATGAAGAAAGGATTAAATGAGAATGACAATAGGGGTAAGTTTCTGAATATATTTCGTAAGAGGAAAATTGTCCTTCACAGAGCTTCTCAAAGAATTATGAAACTTTCAAAGGCGACCGAATTGTAAAGCCCTGGCTAAAAAAAACCGCTGACATTATTGTTTCTCGGCGGCCTGACGCATTACATATTAAATACAAAATATAGAACAATGAAGGAATGAGGTTAACAATGCAATTTGAGTTGCACGCTTATCTAGACAAGAAAAATAAAGCAATCTTGTGTTGAGTATGAGCGAACTGTTTAAAGTTTAAAAACGCCTCTCTGGCAAACCGTTCGTTAAAATGCCCCACCATAGAGAAACATCAAGGTCAAATTATAATTTTCTAAGTTCGAGTTATTGAACACTTCGGTGTAAGAAAATCAGTAGCCAATCTAATATTTCCTAAAAACAGTGCTTTCTCATAAATTATAGATATTCTGAGACATCAGCGAAAGTAAAAAACTAGGCGAATAATTGAATTCTCGGCGTGAAGTTCCATTCTATTCAAAAGTTATAAAATGAATGCCCTTTATTCGTTTTACTCTCCGTTCGGGCTTGCCGCTTATTTCGCTGGCAAATAAAGCATTTTATGCTGAAAGATTCCCCCCAAAAATGTACTTCTTTGGATATTAGTGACGATCGCTTTTAGAGGAGTCTGAGGTTAATACTGTAACATTTTCCTATTGGTCTCATGAATTCATCCGATAAGTGATCTTTTAAACGCGAAGATTAAAATACATGGATCTTGTTTATTAGGGCGTGTTTCTCCCTCTTTTTCTCGGAGTTCCGAAGCTTTTGCTTTTTTTTTTATTACAACCATCGATCTTGAAATATTGGTCATTGTTGGCTCAATGATAATATTATATATTGCGATATTGTTAACCGGAAACATTTGTTCAGTTTTGTTGGTCCTACAACCTCCTGAATAAATATTTTGCCTTTTCACAGAATCTACGCCCCAAGCAATATTTACAAAACCACAAAGAATACAGCAAGCCTATTTACCCAGCCTTTTAAGGTGAAAATCCTTTTCATCCCCGAAATAGCGTACGTGTAGATGCATCTATTTTTTTTCTTTTCAAGGACGCAATTTGTCACCCTATTGTTTGATACTTATAAAGAGTCTTCATTAGCCTCAGTAGCACTTTATTTAAACTTGAGTCTCTCTTGTGTAAGTTCATTTTCTAAGGAGGTTTAGACGGGTCAATTCGAGTATCATCAGTTACATTTGCGACAATTTGGACGAGAATGAAAGAAATCGTTCTCCTTTTCGCGACTGCCTGCTTGATAGTCGCTGTGGCTGGCCACGGAAGAATGATAGATCCTGCCAGCAGAAACTCTGCTTGGAGATTTTTCCCTAACCGTCCGAGACAGTACACAGACAACGAGCTGAACTGCGGAGGTTTCAGCGTTCAATGGAATGGGCCTAACAATGGGAGATGTGGCGTGTGCGGTGATGCGTATCACGACAAAAACCCCAAGTATGTCTACCCTGGAAAGTACGCAAGTGATGGTTTTATAACAAAGACCTACAAGGAGGGTCAAGTAATCGAAGTTGTGATTGATATTACCTCAAACCATCAAGGATACTTTCGATTCAGCCTTGGAAAACTGGACAAACCTCCCATCACTCAGGAGAAGTTGACATACGTTCTGTTACAGCCAGATGGCTCAAACACATGGCAGCTTCACTCGTCCCAAAATGGAAAGTTCACGATTAAGCTTAACCTTCCCAGAGGCCTGACATGTGATCACTGCGTACTGCAATGGTGGTGGACTGTGGGAAACAACTGGGGCTGTGACGAAAACGGCAACTGCGGAGTAGGACTGGGCAAGAAACAAGAGACCTTTGTTAACTGCGCGGATATCAAGATTGTGTCTGCGGGAGGACCGGGTGCTACAGAAGCTCCAAACACGAACGCGCCTATGACGGAGAAACCCAATACAGATGCGCCTGCAACGAATCCTCCCCCAACAGAAGGCCCTGGCGCCACAGCACCACCAACTTTACCACCTCAAGGAGTCTGCAAAGCCACAGGGGCCTGGACCGGCGATGCCAATATGGATGTCTGGTGTGCATCTAACTGCGCAGCGGGTTATTGCCCTTCCACTCACTGTAAATGTGAATAACAGTATTGAAAGGCAACGAACTTTTATGTATATGCACTAAGTTTATGTTAGGTAAATAAATTGCGGCTTGCTTAATCTGAAGATCATTTACCCGGATATAGCAGCAGATAAATAAAAACATGGAATTCATCTCAAGAATTGTGATCATTTTCAAATACGAAGAAAATCTCTTTATGGAACTCTTGTTCCTTATAACCCTTATTAAATGGATAATTCAAGAGCAAACAAAAAAGATATTCCGAATTTTTTTCAGTCATTGGTGTTATCATTATTCATTCAGAAAAAAAGAGTATGAAAAGGTCTTTTTTGACTGTCAAAGATGTTTTTCTTTTTTTTCTTTCAGGTGCTTGTAACTTAACTGAGTGCAATCAAAATTGTGCAACCTTGAAATTTTTTAGATTTTGCAACTTGTTGTTTCGAGTGTTAAAATTGAACAGATCTCACACTTTGGCCACCGTGCCCCGCTTTGTGACATCTCTTATTATGTCACTAGCGGTGCCAGTATGCAATATCAAACGAATCCTCTGTTCTGATCGGCAACCCAAGCGGGCAAGATGGGCTTGGGATTGCCCGCTTTGATCTTGCGCAAGAAAAAGAAGAGCGCGGAGTAGACTTACAGAGATCGTAATTCTTGGACAATGTCGGTGATGAAGTCGCAAAAAACGGGAGAAGACAGTCAAAATGTAGAAGACATAAGATACTCTTGTTGGTTTGTTGTCCTACAACATAGTTGGCCTTCTTTCCTGGCTTTCGAAATAAACAAATCAATCTTGATTCTAAATAGAGCGAAATCTTTTTTACTGTATAATGAATCCTTTACTGACCAAGTTTGTTTGGTCAAGGAGGCTGGATATTAGCTTCGTTTTTTTTTTGGTGTTTTTATGGTTTGACAAAGTGTGCAATATATATATGAATACTCAGCTGGGTATTTTTTGAATCGCGCTGCAAGCCATGTATTAGATCTGTAAATTTCCTTCATTGTCAAAATAAATACGTAAATAAGTGCTTCAATCCGTGTCTAATTACGATCGGCTTTCCATCGTTTCATTTTTCAGATAGGAAAACTGATTTTGATCGACGGAAAAGCTTTCAAAGCAAAAGTTATCAGCCATCCAAATTTTAAGCATTTGATTTTCTAACGAGACTTTGAGAAATAACAATTAAAACAGTTATCGATTTATATAAGGCCACAGTATCATGGTCGAAAACTCTTAAACCCTTTACAACCTAACATCAGTATCAGTAACATCAGCATATTCTCCCACCATTTTTTAGTCATTTCCTAAGGCGTAGTCAGGGATAATTTGTTAAAAAATCAACAGCTTTTTTAGTTGGTGATCATTTTCTTTATTCTCGCGACCTTAATGTTGTAGGGAGATATTGGATGCTGGTCACTCTTAGGAGTCAAAGGGTTAACACAGCGCAACAGCTGTCAATATTGAAACAAATTTACACAAGCATCCCACACCTTTTGAATTTATTAAAATGCAGATATTTATCAAACCATACATTTTATTTCCCTTAATCTACACAGAACCCCTTTAATCTTTATACCAGCGAGAGACTTGACGTCATTTAGACTACAGTTCCTTTCACTTCGGACACTTGCACATGTTGGCTGGACAGTTACCTTTGGCGCAGTTTTTGACGCACCACTCGTCTATGGCTTTGTTACCTGTCCAGGGGCCTACGGCTTTGCAGCCCTTCGGATTAGGAGCATTGGTAGGCAGAGGCTCGGTAGGCTTCGGAGGCTTCTCAGTGGGTGGGGGAGGCCGTGTTGGAGGAGGTGGTGGCACACTTCCGTCGCTTTTCGTGATCCTGATGTCGGCGCAATTTACGAAAGTTTCCTGTTGTCCTTTGCCCATTCCGCAGTCATCAGGCCCATCGCATCCCCAACTGTTTCCCACGCGCCACCACCACTGCAACACGCAGTGATCACATGTAAGGCCTTTGGGAAGTCTCAGCTTGATCTCAAAGATTTTGTCTTCGGGCACGTTGATTTTCCACCTGGTGTCGCCATTAGGCTGCCTCAATACATATTTCAGTTTCTCTTGAGTAATGGGAGGAGAGCCAATGTCGCCCACCCTGAAGGTGAAGTATCCCTGGTGGTTGGAGGTAACTTCTACCATCACCGTAATTTCCTGTCCCTCTCTGTACGTCTTAGTGATGGTTCCCGTGGCGAACGTTCCAGGGTGAGTGTAGAGAGCCTTACCAGGCTTAAAATGGTACGCGTCTCCACACACGCCGCACTTTCCTTTGTTCGTCTTCCACTGAACGCTGAAGCCACCGCAATTCAGCTCGTTATCGGTATGCTGCGTCGGTGTATCAAAACCAAACCTCCAAGCCGAGTTCCTGCTAGCTGGGTCAATAAGGCTGCCGTGACCAAGAACTAAAGTGATAACGTTTAGTACGATAAAAACTTGCAAACTCGCTGCCATGTTTCACGAAAACTCAGTATGGCACCTTCTTAGCGTTTGTGATCTCATTCGAGCAGCAGGTCAATTTAAAACGTGGTAGGCGCATAGACGGCAGGGGGGGGGATTCTTGCCCAAATGTCGCATTAACACTCTAAAGCACGTCAAAGTGCTCTTTTACAAAGTACCACTTTTTTCACAACAAAGAGGGGATCGCAAGCGGATATTCCCCCTCCCCCTGTCTCATAAGCAACGCCCTTAAGTGGGTTGACGACTGTCATCTGGTCTGTAAAGTTGAAACAGGTTGGCTGTTCGCTTATTTTAACATAAGCAGGATGTGTTCAAACCTTACTTAGAATTTTTGGCGTTTGGACGACATATGTACTGGATATGCAAACAGTGCACTCACACTTTTTTGGTTTGTAAATAAAAGCGCACAAGATGTAAACACAGTTGAGATCTAGCTACACACATGGCGAATAAGTCAAAAGCAAAAGGTTGCTCTAGAGACGATACATTTCTATATCACGTTTAATATCACGAAAAATGCTGATTTCGTTTGGAGTAAAACGCAAGTTATTGCGGAGAATCGAAGATATGATGCCGGAAAATTAAATAGTCGTGTTTATATAAACTGAGCTCGAATTAAATTTTATTACAGAAAAGTAGGTATTTAAATTTTATAAGGTACATACATAGGTGTTGCTAAGTTTGCAAATTAGGAAGAGAGAGGGTACTGGAGAGTGGAGGGTTTTCATCAATTTTGCTCACTACACGATAAAGATAAACAGATTTAAATGAGCGTGGTTTATGCGAGGGCAATTCGCACTTTTACATTTCAAAATTTCTAACGCTAGTAAAAGCAAAGTTGATCAATGTAGCGCACGTAATCTTCGCGTTTGTTGCCCGTTCCTTTGGGAAATGTGTCTTAAATAACTCAATAAAAACCTCCAAAAAAATAAAGAAGAAGAGGAAGAAAAGAAAACAAAAGAAAAAAACGGTCTTCGCTTAATCCTCGTGGTCGTTTCCAAATCCTTGCGTACAGTTCTGCGTTAAACTCAGTTTCTGGCGTCAAAATCGTTGCCTAATGCCGAAATAGGAGGTATAGTAAAAGTTAGATTAATATGAAAGTTTTACCCGATGGGAAGATGGGGCAAAAACTATTTTCCAACGCTAAATTCTGTTTAGACTCCACGGTTTCACACCAATTTTAGTCCGGCCACAGGCCCTTTATTCTCTCATATGTCATGTGGATGGAACAAGAGCTGCAGAAGATTTATTTAATGAGCGCGAAAATAAGATCATGTTTGTTCTCGCGCTCAAGCGTCGCGCACATCTTTGAAACGTATACACACAAAAAATAATAGCCGTCGGCAGAAATTACGTATCGCTCTCCTCTCCTTCCCCCCGCTGGTTGCATTTTAAACGCTTGACCGTCGTAAGGATAATTTTATGTGACAAGTGGGGTGTGAGGGGGGTCCTTTGCACCTGCGGGAATGCCAGGCTTCTTATTATTATGGGTTATCACCCCTCTCACAAAGAGGGGTGATATACATTCGCACGGGCATGTGTAAGGGTGCTTAAATATTCAATCTCGTGTCAATGAAGGAAACGCACCAGAATCAAAATCGACCTCCATATGAAATACCAGCCTTTAAGAAAGGTCAGGAAAGGCTCATGGAGTTCTCATTAAGAATAAAACTGAGCAGGTTTTCATCGAACATTTGCCAGTCTCAGTGATTTGGTGGAAAAAGAGTGGTTACAAATGTATAGTTACTCGTCATAATTAAACTGACTCATTGTTAAGTGTGGTTTAAAAGTTAAGAAATCTTCAGGAAATATTTAGTTCGTAGTGTGGAGGGCTGAAGAGTAGAAGGAATCACAGGTATGTTGGTAACGGTGAAATATGAAGTTGAACGCAAAGCAGAGACAACTCAGTCATCTTGAAGAAACACATAAGTCTTTCCAATGGTATGATATACATTTTATTAACCCACAGATACATCGAATGAAATCAAAAGTCAAACCCGAGTACAGTCTTATTGTCAAGTTTATTCAATGCAAACTTCAGGTAATGGGGATCTTCTTTACATTGAGCACTTGCAGTGAGTTGCTGGGCAGTATCCTGTGGCGCAATTTCTGCGACACCAGTCGTCCATTTGTTTACTTTTGTACGGAGGTATTGACCTGCAACCTTCCGGGTTAGGAGCATTGGTGGGCAGGGGCTTGGTAGGCTTGGGAGGCTCCGGAGGTGCCTCTGTAGGTGGCGGGGGGCGGGTTGGAGCAGGCGGTGGTGGCACACTTCCGTCGCTTTTCGTGATCCTAATATCGGCGCAGTTTACGAAGGTTTCCTGTGGTCCTTTACCCATTCCACAGTCTCTTTTTCCATCACATCCCCAGTTATTTCCCACACGCCACCACCACTGTAATACGCAGTGATCACATGTCAAGCCCCTGGGAAGTCTTAGCCTAATCGTAAACACGTCGTTCCCGTGCGAGTTGATTTTCCACTTGGTGTCGCCATTGGGCTGCCTCAACACGTAGCTCAGCTTCTCTTGAGTTATGGGAGGAGAGCCAATGTCGCCCACGCTGAAGGTGAAGTATCCCTGATGGTTGGAGGTTACGTCTACCACTACCTTAATCTCCTGTCCCTCCCTGTACGTCTTAGTGATGGTTCCCGTCGCGTACTTTCCGGGATGGGTATAAAGAGCTTTACCAGGCCTTAAGTGATGGGCGTCTCCACACACACCGCACTTTCCTTTGTTCGTAGACCACTGCACATTAAACCCGCCACAGTTAAGCTCGTTATCTGTATCTTGCCTCGGTGTTTCAAAACCGTACCTCCATGCTGAGTTCCTGCTGGGTGGATCAATAAGCCGGCCGTGGCCCGAGACAAGAGCAACAATACTGGCCGCAATAAGGATATGAAAAATTGCCTCCATCTTGGGTGAAACTCACTGATCAAAGCTTTGTGGTGTTGAAGCACTACAAAAAGCCAAATCATGCTTTTAATATCTACTTTCTCATGATCTGCGTTTAAACAGCTTTCGAAAGCTGTATTGTTACAGCAGAGAATGTAACACAGAAATACCAACAAGAGTTTTTCTGTCACCCAGTACATGTAAACAGGAGGATGCAATACTTTCTCACCTTTGGTGTTTGCAAATAGGCCGGTGTCAGCTCTGTAACCAAACCGTTTCAAACTTTGACAGGTAGTTCGCCCTCGATGGCAAGCTCTGACGCACGAAATTTCAACTTTTTCATATCTTAGAAAACATTTAGGCTTCAGAATTGAACCAGTACTGTGATGGTTTTTATTGATGTGTATCACACTAATAATCTGACCTAGACAATAAATTTTTCAATTTTCTTTAATTCTCTACTGAAAATAAAACACCAATTAGAGAACTGCTCCGATCATTTGTGAGGAATTTAACGTGTGATATGGATTCAAACTTCTTTGCATGCCACCAGTCGCTCATTAATCCTCACTTTTGCAAAATGAAAAGTGGATTTTATTTCGATAAATGTACTTTTCTATTTATACGTGCTCTGATGGTATTTGTCCTTTCGTAAATACTTTTCAAATACGACAACCGCAGAGAAGTTTGGCTAATGTAATGTCATCCACCCGTTCCGAGTATCCTCGAACATTTGCGAAGAACTTTGAAATGATTCCGAATTTTCTCGATTTCCCGGCTTCTTTTATAATGTTGGTGGATGCTGGCGGTGAACGGCAGAATGCTTTTCCAGACGCAGACTGGAGATTTAGATTGATTATTAACAAGGAAAGCCTTCATTATGAGTAATTCCAATTTCTAGGTTTTATTTGTTGTCGTTTGCGTGACATATTCACTGCATACACTTTTCACCGTATGTACATATTAACCGGTGTTCCTCCGTACCAGGCCAGCGGATTTTAGTTCGCAGTGGCTATATAGCGTGACATGTTGTACGTGGTTTCGTGACCAAATGAGCTAAAAAAGTGGGGTTAGTGGATGGGTCACGGATTTGATGTTAGTAACCGCTAAAGAAAGTGTCATAAAAGTAAGCTGTACAATATTTTGAAGAATATCGACAAAGACAGAAAGCGAAAATGGTGTCGCACGTCGAACTTTATTGTGAGGAAATTTAGGTAACGTCATCTATGCATTTTTGTGCTGGAAGAATTCATTCAGACTTCTGTTTGGTCTCCACTGTTCCTATGTCGTTCTTTAAGCTATATTTCTCGATTGTTATGTTATCCGGTGGTGGCCTATTGCGATCAACCATTGTCAGTAGGGGAGGCAGATCACCTCCTCAATTAATTACACGGGTTCAAGGGATTGTGAGGTGATGTGACGGGGGGGATGCTTGGGAAAATGCTGTGCTTAGCTTCCTGTTCCTACTCTTGCTTCTATCTTTAGGCTGCTTCCAGATTCTCCATCTCTTCGTTATGAGTAACATGACGCCTGCCAAGTCCTCACTGGTCCTTGTTCTATATACTGGAGGAACAGTTGGAATGAAAAAGCTCTCTGAAAATGGTATGATACCAATTAATTTATAATTTTTCATCGACTTAATAGTTTTAGATGTTATGCATGTCACTTCCCTTGTGAAGGTGAAATTGATAAAGATATCTTGCATCATTTCCAATCATGAAGTGTGTATGGCATGAAAAAACAATGAGAATCAGAGTAAGTGGAAAGGAAAAATCCTCCTATTTCAGAGCCTTGCATTCTACACTTGGACTTATTCATTGAAGAGTTGAAAAGGCATCCATTGCTTCATGATGCTGCTTTCACTGTGCCTCAAGCAAGAAAAGTGGGTGCAACAGAGAGATTGGCCATGCCGTAAGTATTACCTTTCTGAATCTGAAGATCTGATTTGATGCCTGATGGGGACTCAAGCTTGCAAGCTTGTTAGAATAAATCTTCTTTTGTTGAAATACACTTTTCAATAGTTGAGCCTTCCATCTTAAAAAGATTAATTTGACAACTGAGCTCAGGCAGACTAGATTTGTGCCTCTGCAAGGGGAAGCTGTTAGAACTTTTGCCAGACTTGGTACATGAGACGGGAAGAAAATTTCACTTGGAGGTTCTTGTTGAATGCTGTACTTTCAAAACTAATATTTTAAAATATATCCATAAAGTGGAAGAAATGTTAACTATATATGTAATTTAGATCTTGGGTATCTCATGGATAACCAAAGAAATTATAGACTTGGCATTCAACAACTGATCATGATGAACTGTTAGAAATGTATGATAAACAAGTACATACCCGGTAACGTTTTTGAATTATTCTCATTCTTACCCTTGAGATAATTAAAAAATTGGCTTATTTGACTGGTTTTTGTTTAGTGTACATGATCAGGATAACAGCAAAATATTGTATGATATCAAGAAGGCTGGTACTGTACGGGAATCAAAAGATACTTGCACAAAGGACTGGATTGACATGGCCACAGAGATTGCCAATAACTATGATGGCTATGATGGGTTTGTGATCTTACATGGGACTGATACTATGGCTTATACTGCATCAGCACTGTCTTTCATGCTTGAGAATCTTGGGAAACCTGTGGTCCTCACTGGAGCACAGGTAAGCCATGTCGAAATTTCCAAGTGTTATTTTGTAGGCTGATTGAGTGCCAGTATGATTAATAGAACAATATTCAAGATCAAAAGATTGTCAAGGAATCATGTGGGTAAAAATATTGGCATCTGAGATAGACAGAACCTGTGGTAAAGTCACACTAAAACTGCATGCAATTTGCACTATGAAGCAGTGAAGTACCTGAATTTAAAATCTGTAATATAGTAGAAAGTATACAAAACTTTTAATTTTCTCGTGAGTAATAAAAAGATAACCCTAATATTGCCTGAATCTAGGATTTCTGCATAAGTTTTGAAATCTCATTACAATAGGTTCTGGGCTGTGCTAGTATCTATTTCTGGTCAAATACAATATTTTTCACTTTACAGAGACATGGTCAGTTAAGTTCATTAAAACCTTCACCTGTCTCCTTTTATCACAGACCCCAATTTATGAGGAAGAGACAGATGCAAAAGATAACCTGGGTGGTGCACTGTTGTTTGCTGGGCACTATGCAGTTTCAGAGGTAGGAACATAGATTTACAAGATCTCGGGGGTGGAAGGGGTAAATATATATAGCATTAAGCTGGATGAAAATGAGCCAGGTGAAAGGAAATGCCAACTATGCAAGCAGTTTTGACCTGAATAAAACCCCCTTTCGATGTACTTTTACACTTATATATCAGACATCTACAAAACAACTTTCCTCCTCTACAGGTGACAATTTTCTTTAATGGAAAGCTGTTTAGAGGAAATAAATCAACCAAAGTAGACGCAAAGAATTTTTCTGTTTTTGACTCACCAAGCTACCCTCCACTGGCAAAACTAAGCAATAATGGAAGCAGTAAGTGCATAACCCTTTACTGACGGTAGTGAGTTTATTTATGACTAACTTTCTTCTGTCTGTGGTAATTATGCTCATGTCTCGTTCTGAACACAAAAGTTACACTCTAACTGAGGTAGTAGGACAGTACCAAGACCTGTGTGAAAGATATCATCAGTTCCAGACATTGCCTTTCCCCTAGCTAGCTTATACTTTCGGCAGTTGCCTTTCAAGAGAGACCCTCCTTTAGAGTCACATCAGATAAGTACTGTATAAAATTTATTTCTGAAAGAAGCCCTTTAAAAGTAGTTTAGTAGCATTTTAGCACCTAATTTTTGTCAGTTTCAGCAGCTCATTGCACAGATTTTACCATGCTCTACTTGTGTAGCATGCAATCACAGCTGTTTTAATTTAACAGGTCGACCAGCTATTTATTGAAAATAATTTTTGTCATTACTTAGTTGAATGGAATTATTCTGGTGATCCAAGGCATAAAGGATGTTTCACACTCCACACAAAGATGAGCCAAAACATAGCATTACTTCCTATGTTCCCTGGTATCCCAATACAAATGGTATGTTGCAATGTCATTTTAGAAGATTGATGTAGAAAAACTTTGATCACCAATTTAGAAGCTCTTGATTTTCCAACAAAAAATGAAAAGGAAATGTAGAGAGATCAGTATGGAGAATATGGATGCTAATTAATGCCAGGTAGCAAAGAATTAATTAGAGCAAAGAAAAAAAGCTATATGTAAAGGGTTTAAAATTTACACTGGATTTGCCCTCCAAACCCAAATGATGTTTGCCTAGCTTTTGATCCTTTCTGTTACCTTCTATTTGCTCATATTCAGATAAAAGGATGTTTAGAGCCTCCAATTGAGGGTGTTGTCCTGGTAACATATGGAAGTGGCAATATACCAGACTCGAGAACTGATCTTACTGAGGCGGTCAAAGAAGCGACGGACAAGGGTGTGGTCATTGTCACCTGTTGTCCTTGTCGTGGAGGGCCACATGATGTTTCTAGCGAGTTTGTAGAAAAGGTACTGACTAAATGCCTAATGCAGTTTTGTAAGAATATGTTTTCCAGGACCTTATTCATTGTGTATATTTTTAAGTATTTAAAGGGAGAGGGAAGGAAGGTGGCTGACATTCTCCATTGACCCCAATCCTCCCATCAGCTATGTAGAGAACTTTGAGGAGAGGGAACCTAGATTTCCTAGGAAAATATTAGGAAAGATTTTAGGAAAGACTTAGGCAGTACTAGGAAAGATTAATAGAAGGATAACGAGCTGGTCGTTTGCCGTTTTTGCTTTAATCAAGATATGCTTTTGTTGATGTATCCGCTACAGAATTCATGAAGCTAAACAAATCTCGAAAACTACAAAATGTCTGAGTTTTAGATTGTGATTCGTTATTCACACAGGGCCTTGTCGAGTTAGGAGTAGTTCTCGGGGTAGACATGACGGTCGAATGCGCGCTAACCAAGGTCGCGTTTGTTATGGGACTAGAGGAACTCACGTTAGAAGAGAGGAAATCAGTAAGTCTTACTCTGAAATGTAGCCTCACAGACGGTGCCTGATGGTCTCTTAACATAGAATGAGGTTTCTCAAAGAATCATGAACAGTGTGGGGTTTGTGATTAAGTGTCGTGAATCAAAACCAAAGCAATTACAAGGGCCAATCAGAGCAAAGGAAGTACGTCAATAGCCAATGAGAACTCAATTAAAAACAAGTGTACCACCCGAAGCGGGAAAACGCAGATGACCAAGATGCGATTGGATTTTACTTTGCATCTGATTGGTTGAGAGGGTGGGGTGAGTTTTCTGCAGCAATCACATAGCAAAGTAAATCAAAACCAATGGAATCCTGAATTACTTTCAACACTCAATCGAAAATTACCTTATTCTACAACTTACACATGGTGGAGTCTCTTCCGCCTCCAGAATGGCTTACACAACGCAATAAATTCGAAATAATTTTTCGGCTCAAGGGGGAGGAGCCAGTTTGACCTAATTTGACCTTAGAAGGGCGTTTTCTATAGGAAGAATTTGAATATTGACTTTGGGCGTCTAATAGGTCATTGAAATGGTTAAACATACGTCCAAAGTGTATGAATGATTTGTACCTATTCTCTTTCTCGTTCATTGTTTTGCAGCTGATGAGATCAAATCTACGGCGTGAGATTTCACCTTTTTAACGCTGGGTGAAGTGGTTCCGGCCAGTACAAGTTCTGGGCCCTTACAGACACGAATTTTTTGAATAACAAAAATATGCGTGAAAAAAATGTTTGTTTCCTTCTCCTCCTGCTATTTTTCCAGTTCATCCACAGCTATTTAAGGAAAGATGCTCGATATTCAAAACCTAAATTTTTTTCGCAGCTCGATTGCGGTCTCGATCCTCTGTCACCTTCATATTCCAGTAGCACATACTGAATAATGAGCCAAACAGCCATCAAAATCTAGCACGCATAAAATTCCAGGGGCTAATTAGAAGAGTATCTGTCTTTGATCCTAAAGGCTAAGTTGACGCGAAACGTAATATATTAGTTACAGAAAGCCATATTTTGTGTCATCTAAAATGGAAGGGGACAGGGGGCGGCCGGCGGGAGCCTGGGGGAACAGGGGCCGGGGAGGGCGGGAAGCGGGAGCAGGAATTACAAAGACACTCGTTTGTTGTTTATTAAAGCTAATCATCCAGTCAAAACCCAGTAACTAGCAAAGCTTTCTGACTTCCATCAAAAGTCCACCGAGGCGCAAAATAAAATTTTGCAAGTGGGAAAACGTAATATTTTTCACAGGCTGGGGAAAAAAAAAAACATAATACCGGTGAAATTGGTGATGGGTCATGAATAAATTTGTCAGTAAAAACTTAGATGGTAGTTTAGGAGAACATGAGAAAAGGCGCTGGTAGCATCTCAGATATTTCTTAACTGCGTCATAGCACACATCTGATTCACTCTCGACACGAATTAAGTTTTCATTCACTGACTTTATTTTTTTCCTTTGTCAAGCTTTAAACTCTGATGGTTAAAAAACCGTAAACGAAAATTTGTATAACTGAGCTAAACTAGGCTATACAAATTTTTAGTCAACGTGACTCAATCAGCTTCCCTTTTCTCAATTTCAAACTAAACAGTCTCGCGAGTTTTATGCCAACTATAGAGCTTGAAAAAATACGACACCTAACTTTAACCATTTAAAATGGTTGATATTTCAATGTTTTTTCCCCCTTTGAATTACATCGTCAAACAATTCTTTGAAAACCAAACCATGTTGTGTCATAACAAAAACAGTTCCTTGCAATTCTGGATCCAACGTATATTTTGAGATGCTTTTAATTCTAGAAAATGTGGGTAAATTAAAATTACTTTCTCCTACCAACCTACAGAACTATACTCAGGCTTTATCATCGTTCTATTGGTTTTTACCAACCTCGTTCCAGGGCGCTTCTACCCTCAAATTTTAGGATGGCGAATAAGGGGCCCTGGGACTAGACTCTGGTTACTTAACTATAACGAGTATGTGCTAAATGGGGCCCGTATAGGTTACGTCCTTTGAGGACCTCATAAACTGTGTCCTATTTACGTTGGGAGCTATCGAGGACTAGGTCCCTTCATAAATTAGAGAGAATGATCCTCTTAAATCTTAGCTGAAAGCTAAGGCAAAAATAATACCTTAATAATCAGATCCAATGTCCCCTTAATTCCTAAGTAAAACATTTCAAACTGATCCTCCCCTGGCGAAAAATAATGACTGATCCCATAAAAAGAGGCATTTGTTGAAATGAAGACTACAATTATTATTCCTACTTTACATAACTATTTGGAAGTTAAAAGCATTCATTTGTCCGAAAGCAAAAATTATAATTCTTTCGCTGCCCAAGAGTTGCTTCCTTCTGTTCTCACGATTTAGCGTTTTTCTTTCGCCTTGAATACTTGACCCTAAGTATATCCCCAACCTCGTCAATGGCATTCAAAGCCTGAAGAAAGAAAAATTAATACCCTGGGTCAGAGACGCGCGCAAATGAAAACAACTGTGATGCAAGACGCACTAGAAATAGCAAACACAAAAGAGAATACATGTGCAAGAGAAACGCTCGTGTGAAAAAACTTGTGCGCCAGGAAACGCGCGTGAAATTTGCCATGAACCAGCAAATGCTAGCGAATCCAATGGTAATAAAAGGAAAAGAAAGAGGAAAAAAGGGAAATTTAACTTAAAATACTCCCAGTTTCACCCTTACACCTGGTTGGTTATGAAAAATAGGTTCTAAGAGAGAAAAGGTTATAGTATTCGGACAGATATTTCGTCTCGTAAAGAAGAAGACGTAAGATTATAACGGGAAGGATTGACTCACGTTACCTTATCAAGCATTTCCGTGGTGTGTGACGCAGACAGACAAATCCTTGCTCTCGCTTCAATCAGTGAAGTGGCAGGGAACCCTACAATGACCACAGCCACACCTCTTTTGAGCATTTCACGCGAAAAGGCACTGGAACAAAGTCAAATTATTGAACAGTTTGAATAATCGTCCTAAACCTTAACAAAACGCCATCCTTGGGTCAGTGATTGAGGTAATAAACACACGTTTTAGCGCATTTTTTCTTACATTTCAATCTGTTTTCCTGATAGGAACATAAAACAAGCTCATTTAAAGAGAGCCAAGTGAAATCAGGATAAATTAACAGAATTTAGCAGTAACACATACACAGAATGGTTGTTCGTCTACTGTTTCCATTTCGAATAAGACTTGGGTTTTGTGATGGAAGAAAAAAAGAAGGGTCCAGAGAAGAACCCTCGAAGAAAACCAATAGCAAGCTGGACCCAGGCGACTCGCGGTCAGCGCGAGAGCAACCCACCACTGCGTTATCAGTGTTCCCTCAATCGAGTCTCGCAAGTAGTCCGGGATTGCATTGGCTTTGCTTTGCTTTGCTCTGTAATTGGTTCAGAAAACTCGCGCCACTCTCTCGACCAATCAGATGCAAAACTAAAGCCAATCACGACTTGGTCGCCCGCGTTTCCCCGCGCTTTTACATTTTCACATTTTAGTTCTCGTTGGTTACAAAGTTGGTCACTTTTCTCGTAACTTCCCTACTAACATAGAAGCAAATTTTCTAAGTGTGCCCACTAAGAGGTAAGGTTCAACGCAACTGGAGCTCTTAAAGTTTATTTCATTCACTTTATCAAAGGAAAAAGAAAACTTACACCGTTTTTGCCGGCATGTAAAGAAGAATGGGTACTACTGCTGAGGCATCATGGCCGTATACTATATAGCCCATCTTTTTCAGCTTTTGTCGGAAGTACCTGTCATGTAAACAGCACAAAGATTAAGTCAAGTCATGAAATAATGTTGGAGGTGACTACTCTCGCCGCGCAATGGTTTCTTAATCATCATTAGGGGATGTAAACAGGGACGATTTAGAGAAATGGGGAAAATTTTATCCTGTGATTAGGCCCCCATCTGAAAAGTGCTCCATCAATTACTAGCAGACCCTCTCGTAAACCGCTGGTCGGTCTCAAACTTTCTGCGGACGGCAAAACGCTCGTGCCGCAGCACTAATAATGAGGGGCATTGTTTTAGCATATGGAACTAGACGCGATAGATCCTTAAGATCTTTCGTAAGCGCCAACTGAGATGGCAAGGAAATATCGACTCCCAGCTGTAGCCTGCCTCACAAAATATTTGTAAAATAATTGGCTCAAGCCTTTGTAGGGAAAAAAATTGGCTTAAGTCTTCATATAATTCCACATACTTGCAATTCTGTGCCAATCTGGTAAGCCTCTGCTTTCCTGAGAACATAGGAAAACCGTCAACTTGAGACGAGAAGTAACCCTCTCTAAACTTCAATGTACAGAAACAATCTAACAGAAGTTTTTATTCAAATGCAGATAAAATAATCAAGAAAACTCTAGCACAGACATAGGAATAGGGAAATTGATGCTTTGCGAAAAAAGAAAAGAAAGTGGCGTTACACTCTTTTCGAGATGTTTTGGCACAGAAACAAAAGAAGAAACAAGATTGCATGGCTCTTAGGACAAACAATCTAGAGCAAACGGAAGAAAACAATATTCTACGCAAGATGTAAAATCGGTTTCAGCTATTAAAGCTCTCGCCCTCGATTCGTGGATTCGCAAAGAGATACACGCCTCTCCTAAGAGACAGTATTTTGTCCACAAGAAACTGAAGTAAATGAACTGTGCGCTCCTTTCTCGTTAGAGGAGAAGCATCCCTAAAACGAGGTTGTTGGTCGGTTGGCCATCGACCAATAGAATTTAAGGCTTAGCGGAGAACAGACCAACGTCGGGCATGCGCGAGGGGATCCATTCTGACCGGCCGCGCACCAATTTCCAGCGGAAAATTTCAAAGGAAAACATAAGAAACCACCGATTGGTTGGCTATGGCTGCTGTGAGACCACTTGGTTCTGACTGTCTGAAAGTAGGCCACCTAGTCATTACAACGTTCGCACATGAACAGAAGTTTGATCACTGAGTTTAAGAGATGTACCAGAAATTTTACATTTTATTACCAACCTTTACTTGTTCCGTCCTCGCCCATGATTATTTTCATTGAAGATATTATTTGCATGACTACTGGAGGCGACATGAAAGAGGCGTACGCTGCACTATGGGAACTTCCTTTGATATGATCTATTATTTCCTGGAAGAAATAATAAATAATTCTTTTGGGTTATCACTCGAAGCTTTCGAATCGCTTACTTACCTTAATGCGAGATCATTCAAACGAAAGGTACGGATCAATGTCAGTATCTGAGCAACTACACACCTACCCTCCCCTAACCCAACTGTAACCATAACTTGTTATCAGTTGAATTTTGTTGGGACAGGGGAGGGGTAAGGTGCGCATTTGCTCAGATACTAACAATGATTCAAAGATACATAGCAGTACATTCATTACAGTTGGCTATAAAATAAACCTCAATATTCCCATAAATTATTGATATGTACCACTTTTTTGAGCGTCAGTGTTGGTGCCAAAATAAGCAACAAGTGGTTCTTACCTGTGACGCAGCAATGTATCCCCCAGCTGCACCAAAACTCTTTGTAAATGTTCCCATCATGATATCAACATCAGCAGGGTCCACCCCGAAGTATTCAGTAACACCTCTTCCACTTGGGCCCATGGCACCAATACTGTGAGCCTCGTCTAGGTATAAGTAAGCTTTGTACTTCTTTTTAAGGGCAACAATCCCTGGGAGCTTCGCGAGGGAGCCCTCCATACTGAACAAAAAAAATTGTTACCAACTCGTGTAACATTAAGCCTAACTCTTTACATCAGTATCCATATTCTCCGTACTGTTCTTTATACATTCCCTTTGCTACTGACAAGGAGAATTCGTTTAACAATCAAGAGCTTTTTCAGCTGATGATTTATTTTTGGGACCTTCATGTTCGATTCAGTTAATATTCCACCCTATTGAATACGAAGAACTTCTTGATTACCGTACAGAAGGTACAAAAATACTCGTGAATTAAGGTCCAGAGCGGGGTTGCTAAAAACCCGATTTATCTAACCCGGGGTTTGTGTAATTTTTTGAATCAATTTAAAAGCTTTGCAAAAAATTTTTATAATTTTTCCGGTTAGTTTCGAGTCATTTGAGATAAAACCCAACAAAAACTTAGATCGTATACGCGCTCTTCTACATGTGAAATTGAAGCCAAAGTTAATTTTTCATCCTAAATCAAAGTATACCCCCTCTTGAACAACTTGGCCCTGAGGTAATATCTGTAAACACTGTCTTATATAAAAGGTCTGGTCCTAAAAGGATGACTTGAGTTACCTATAAACCCCTTCAACAATGATTAGAATCTTTTTCCACGCACGGTGAGTTATTGGCTGTCCCTGAGAAACCGACTCATGCAAGATTTTCTCCAAACTCGTCATATCTGCAATAAAGGTAGAAAGGAGAGGGTCTTATTATCTCTATCCCCTTTAAAGACCAGTTCAAACAACGCTAGCTAAGGGTCAAGGAATTCGGGATAAGGATGAAAATCACTGCAGTTCTCAGCCTTGGTACACATTTCCGTGAAGCGTGAAGAGTGAAGCGTGAGGAGTGAAACGTAAAGAAGAAGTCATTGCAGGTACGCTCCCACTATTAGTGCTGTAACACGAGCGTTTTTTCATTTTTTCATTTTTTTTTATATCCTTGCCCGCGAGTTAGTTTCAGGCTCTGAGCAAAGCCAGCTGCAGGGACGTGTGTGCGAGGTCTACCTCCGTTAGTGTCACATCCCTCGCACACCTCCCGCCGGCTTACCCTAAGAAGAAAGACTGGTACCACTGGGTTCATGATGGGGGCCCTCCTCGAAGGCTAAGGTCTTATCCCTGGCCAAGTCATTGTGTTGTTTCTGGAATGCACACTCATAGTTCCCTTCTTTATCCCGAGATATGAATTATACGAGCGCCGGCGAAGTGGAGTAAGCTGTGATGGATTGGCCCTCGTTTCAGAGGAGAGCGGCAATACTCCTACTCGCCCCGCGCACCAGAAATCAAGTCATACTCTGGCCAGGCAGGTCTCAATTTTCTTGTGCCAGCTTGATCTTACCGTTATGTTTGAAGACCTTAATCTTCGCTCCTGACAGTCTTGCTCCTAAGATGAGCGATGTGTGGTTCAGCTCATCACTGATAATCAGATCTCCCTTGCCCACCAGGATGGGGATGTTTGAAGAGTTGGTGGCGAATCCCATACCAAACACCATAGCTGCAGGCTTACCAACAAACTTGGCGACAAGAGCTTCTAACTCGTTATGAATATCAAGGGTCCCTGGAAAATGGAGAAAACCTGTGAGGAACTGGAAGTTGAAAGATCAATGGAGCGTCGAATGTAGGCAAAATGAAATCTCAAACGTAGAGAGGGAATGCGCCCTTTATAGAATTTATTCCAAATGTAATGCCTTTGACGTTATTTTCAGGCTCCAGGTTTTATTGTATCTATTGAGGAATGTCGAATGATTTTCGCGTATTAGTTGAATGTTTCCATACAAAACGAAATTACATTGTTACTGGAAGCTATTTAGCTCACTTTAAAGAAGTAGCCTGGTTGCCCTTTCTCTGAAAAAGCCGGTACATGTAACTCTTACATTCAAATATGAAATAATGAAAGGGCTTCAAAAATCACGCCGCACAGCACCACCAACATTTCCAGGAGTAACACAGTTGTCAAACGTCAGCGCACGAATGAGTATCTCCCAGACTTTGACTCACCATATTCATGTCTTGAGCTGCAGCCCGCAATGCCATATTCACGAACAGCCTGTTCAGCGGCATCTGCACACGGCCCAGAATTCTCCGCGAACCCAAGATAATTATAAGAGGCAAGATTGACAGTCTTTGTTGTCGTTCCTGGGTATCTAAACAAAACAATTCATTTTAACCTGATCAGTAATAGTTTAGATATAAGTGCACGTAAACAAAAAGAGCTTTTGACAAAGTTCTGGGGAAAAAAGACCCTACTTTTGCCAAAAAGGCACTTACCTGAAAGTCCAGTTCCAGTCCTCAGACTCTCTATCCACGAGCGCGACCTCTCCGCCAGGAACACTACAAATGGGTCTGTTAAAACAGTCCCTCACACGAGTGTAAAGATTTCGTGTATAGAAACTCTCAAAGTCGGAATAAAGCGGCACAAAACCCTGCAATCAGTGAAAACCATAGACAGGTTAATCAACTCATGATAAACAAAGAAGCCTCTTTTTGACAGCACTTCCATCTACAGTCTTTTTGATCACCATGGCGGCTAGATGAAACTTTTGGTCATTCAATTTGCAAACTTGCTGAATTGGCGACCAATGAGTAACGGTCATGTAATGTAAGTATCACAATGCCATTGATAGCAAATTATTTTTCAGCAGGGTTGGTTTCATTGCTTTGGCGTTGTTGTACAAAAATAAAATTTAAATTCTGCTGATTCGTGCGTCAATTAACACAATTTATTGAGGTTACCTGAAAATTGAAATGGCTCCTACAGAATTGCTCAACAGGGAACAGAAATTTTGTCCTTTACATCATAAACAAGTAAACGCATTTTTCCTCGTAAAATTATGGATTGTTATCACTTGTGTTTTCAGAGGTTGCAGCAACCTCTGGAACTTCTGAAAACACGCGTGATATTAATCCTTAACTAGAGAATATCAACATCTGATATTCTCCTGTCCTTAACTTTTCTGAGGAAAATAAGTTTACATACTCAAAGTTACCCATTATCGACCATTGTTCTACTCGTCCGAGCAAAAAAAATATTAGCGATATCAACACATGGACTTCTTCAGACTTATTATTTTTTTCTTTGCGGTTTTGCTGCATTTGTGACAAAAAAAACTTAAGAAAAAAATAAGTACACTTGTTAAGATCGTGACTGAACTTAATCAAAAGTGAAACTTTCAAATGCTTCTCATCATGGTTAACGTATGTTAATGTTGTTTCATAAAAAATAAATAAATATCAAAGAAACAGATATCCTTTACGCTTCAACGCTTGCACAACCGTTTGCGACACACATCAAAACATTAGAAGGTTACAAAAAAACACCGTTTAGTACTTAATAGAGACGATCACAGCCTGAGTTTATCCAATTCGTTTGAAAGAAGGTCGTAAAGCGTTTACATTTTCTTCATCTGCTATGCAAACGTTCTGCTCATTGCACGTGCCCCAAGATCACGCTTGGTCACGCCACCGAATATTACACCCATTGAGCATGCGTTAGGCTAAAAGTCCATAGGTCATGAAACACACCTCCTTAATTTTGTATAGTCATATCAAAATTTTCTTCAGCTTTCGGCACGAGAGTTGAAGTAATTTTGCTTATAGCTTTCCTTTATGCACTGACAAAAAGTACTCTAGCAAGGTCTTGCCACACATTGCTTTCAATCGGATTATTTACAACTTCACGCCCTTGAATAATAAATCAATGCCGTGTTCTGTCGGTTTCTTCGAGTCGTAATTCATCTGTGACTGTAGTAATTAATTTCAAATATTACCCTTTTTTTTCATGGCGGCTAAAACAGGGTTCAATGCTGTACTTGCCATAGCGAGTCACAAATGTTTCTTTATACGTAAGGGTTAAGCGCTAGTAGAATTACATTGCCTAATTTATAATTCAAGGTTTAGAGATTGCATAGCCTATAGTAAAATTACTTTCTCTTTCATCTAAGCACAGACAAGATTCTTTAATTAAAGTGATATCCTTACCTGATTTCCTGTTTCCTTAACAGACTTGGACTTCTCTAATCCGTACTTGCGCATGAAGTCACGCATGTAGCCGAAGATTATCAAGAAGAAATACGATAAGTATGTCATAACAGCGATAAACAGAGGTGTCTCCTCGAGATCCTCCTCCAGCTCTGTGTTTAACTCTCTCCGGTGGCTTGCAAAGCCGTTGGATCCCTTTGGAAAGCCATTTTTCATGGAATGTTGTACTCGCCGCGTTGCATAAGTACCGGCCACCATTTTAAATTTTTAACCGTGCAAGGCTGCAAGCTTCTGCGTGACGTAACAGTATAATATAAAAGTCAATCAAATGAGATGAAAGCGCCTTCAAGAATACGACAGACTTTATTGTATCTTACTTGTCAATCCTACATGAAAGGTTCTGACGAGACTTGGTTTGTTTATACTTGCCAGCATGTCTGATCTAAACCTATCATCAACAACTGAGCAATCATAATAAATAAAACAGGTCGCACCTGTCCTAATGTTTTTTTTTTTCAGCACTGCAGGACGCGCGATTCTCCGCCGAAGCTGAGATCTGAGAAGAGTCGGGCAACGTTTTGCTGGGAAGTCTTGGCACTGTGTTAGACCCCGTGGAAGGCCTATCCTCCGGTGCCGGGCAAAAAAACACTCGCAGGCTGAAGCGTTGATAGTGATGGCCTCAGTGCTCGCAAGCTAGCCTACGGCATACTTCTACCGTTGTTATAGTTTTATTGTTGTAAGAACAAACAAACGAGTTTAGTGGTAATCCAGCTGAAGTCGGACAATTGTCATGTTAAGCAGCGTTTTTATCAACCCAGCTTTTCTTTAAGCTTAGCAGGAGAAGTCGTAATTTAGTCATTTCCTTTGTCCGATGTGTAATGTTGTCGTTTTGTGTTCGATAATTGAAAGTACCTTTTCTCGTAAAAAAATTGAATCATTACTCCATATCTTGAAGATAAAAAAAATTTAAAAAAAAATTAAAAAAATTAAAAAAACGAGCAATGATTGCTTCATATTGTTGAGCGATTAAGTACGCTTTCCCATAAATTAATATGCACCTGCATGGCTTTCTCAACTATTCATTCTGTGTTATAATATTAATAAGTCGTGACTTGACAAGATATATTTTGCCGCAGTCAAACACTGGATTATGGGATTTTACCAAAGGAACTTACACTGTTCTGTTATGTGTAATTTATGAAATAAGTAACTGGCAGCCATGGGCGAAAACGCAGTTCTTGCTCTTCCTTGGGCTTTCAATGAAACTTTCGCAGTAATTTAGTAAATGACTATTCCAATTTATGTTAATCCCCTTACTAGCGTTACCTCATCTCATTCTGCCTCATATTTCGAGTCCCGCGATTATCTGGTCACGCGGTTTACCCATCACGCGAGCTAAGACGAACAAGAGGTCAATTCACCGTCTTTATCAAAATTATCCTTAAAAGACTGCTTCTAGCTTTTAAAGCTGAAATATGAATATCACACGAGAATTTTATTTTTTATTTTCTGTGTCTGTTTCGAGTATTTGAGTTGAAGAATGTCACCTACTTCATCGATGGCTTCCAAAGCCTGATTAAAAAAAACATTACAAAAAGGAAAAAATTAACACCACACGTGAAAATTAAAATGGTTGATATGAATTACTTCGGCTCAGCGTGTGCATCGTCAAACAATTCTTTGAAAACCTAACCATGTTGTGCCATAACAAAAACAATTCCTTGCAATTCTGGATCCAACGTATATTTTGAGATGCTTTTAATTCTAGAAAATGTGGGTAAATTAAAATTACTCTCTCCTACCAACCTACATAACTATACTCAGGCTTTATCATCGTTCTATTGGTTTTTACCAGGGGCCCTGGGACGAGACTCTGGTTACTTGACTATAACGAGTTTGTGCTAAACGGGGCCCGTATAGGTTACGTCCTTTGAGGACCTCATAAACTGTGTCCTATTTACGTTGGGAGCTATCGAGGACTAGGTCCCTTCATAAATTAGAGAGAATGATCCCCTTAAATCTTAGCTGAAAGCTAAGGCAAAAATAATACCTTAATAATCCAATGTCCCATGAATTCCTAGGTAAAACATTTCAAACTGATCCTCCCCTGGCGAAAAATAATGACTGATCCCATAAAAAGAGGCATTTGTTGAAATGAAGACTAAAATTATTATTCCTACTTTACATAACTATTTGGACGTTAAAAGCATTCATTTGTCCGAAAGCAAAAATTATAATTCTTTCGCTGCCCAAGAGTTGCTTCCTTCTGTTCTCACGATTTAGCGTTTTTCTTTCGCCTTGAATACTTGACCCTAAGTATATCCCCAACCTCGTCAATGGCATTCAAAGCCTGAGGAAAGAAAAATTAATACCCTGGGTCAGAAACGCGCGCAAATGAAAACAATTGCGATGCAAGACGCACTAGAAATAGCAAACACAAAAGAGAATACATGTGCAAGAGAAACGCTCGTGTGAAAAAACTTGTGCGCCAGAAAACGCGCGTGAAATTTGCCATGAACCAGCAAATGCTAGCGAATCCAATGGTAATAAAAGGAAAACAACAACAACAACAACAACAACAACAAGAAGAAAGAGGAAAAAAGGGAAATTTAACTTAAAATACTCCCAGTTTCACCCTTACACCTGGTTGGTTATGAAAAATAAGTTCTAAGAGAGAAAAGGTTATAGTATTCGGGCAGATATTTTGTCTCGTAAAGAAGAAGACGTAAGGATATTACGAGAAGGATTGACTCACGTTACCTTATCAAGCATTTCCTTGGTGTGTGACGCAGACAGACAAATCCTTGCTCTCGATTCAATCAGTGAAGTGGCAGGGAACCCTACAATGACCACAGCCACACCTCTTTTGAGCATTTCACGCGAAAAGGCACTGGAACAAAGTCAAATTATTGAACAGTTTGAATAATCGACCTAAACCTTAACAAAACGCCATCCTTGGATCAGTGATTGAGGTAATACACACACGTTTCAGCGCATTCTTTCATACATTTCAATCTGTTTTCTTAATAGGAACATGAAACAAGCTCATTTAAAGAGAGACGAGTGAAATCAGAATGATAAATTAACAGAATTTAGCAGTAACGCATACACAGAATGGTTGTTCGTCTACTGTTTCCATTTCGAATAAGAGTTGGGTTTTGTGATGGAAGAAAAAAAAAAAGAAGGGTCCAGAGAAAAACACTCGAAGAAAACCAATAGCAAGCTGGACCCAGGCGACTCGCGGTAAGCGCGAGAGCAACCCACCACTGCGTTATCTGTGTTCCAATTGAGTCTCGCAAGTAATCCGTGATTGCATTGGCTTTGCTTTGCTCTGTAATTGGTTCAGAAAACTCGCGCCACTCTCTCGACCAATCAGATGCAAAACTAAAGCCAATCACGACTTGGTCACCCGCGTTACCCCGCGCTTTTAACGGTTGCTTTTTTCACATTTTAGTTCTCGTTGGTTACAGAGCTGGTCACTTTTCTCGTAACTTCCCTACTAACATAGAAGCAAATTTTTTAAGTGTGCCCACTAAGACGTAAGGTTCAACGCAACTGGAGCTCTTAAAGTTTATTTTCATTCACTTTATCAAAGGAAAAAGAAAACTTACACCGTTTTTGCCGGCATGTAAAGAAGAATGGGTACTACTGCTGAGGCATCATGGCCGTATACTATATAGCCCATCTTTTTCAGCTTTTGTCGGAAGTACCTGTCATGTAAACAGCTCAAAGATTAAGTCAAGTCATGAAATAATGTTGGAGGTGACTACTCTCGCTGCGCAATGGTTTCTTAATCATCATTAGGGGATGTAAGCAGGGACGATTTAGAGAAATGGGGAAAATTTTATCCTGGGATTAGGCCCCCATCTGAAAAGTGCTCCAGCAATTACTAGCAGACCCCCTCGTAAACCGCTGGCCTGTCTCAAACTTTCTGCGGGCAGCAAAACCCTCGTGCCGCAGCACTAATAATGAGGGGCATTGTTTCAGCATTTGGAACCAGACGCGATAGATCTTTAAGATCTTTCGTAAGCACCAACTGAGATGGCAAGGAAATATCGACTCCCAGCTGTGGCCTGCCTCACAAAAATTTGTGGTTCAGCTAAATAATTGGCTCGAGCCTTTGTAGGGAAAAAATTGGCTTAAGTCTTCATATAATTCCACATACTTGCAATTCTGTGCCAATCTGGTAAGCCTCTGCTTTCCTGAGAACATAGGAAAACCGTCAACTTGAGACGAGAAGTAACCTCTCTAAACTTCAATGTACAGAAACAACCTAACAGAAGTTTTTATTGAAATGTAGGTAAAAATAATCAAGAAAACTCTAGCACAGACATAGGAATAAGGAAATTGATGCTTTGCGAAAAAAGAAAAGAAAGTGGCGTTACACTCTTTTCGAGATGTTTTGGCACAGAAACAAAAGAAGAAACAAGATTGCATGGCTGTTAGGACAACTTGGTTTTGAGTGTCTGAAAGTAGGCCACCTAGTCATTACAACGTTTGCACATGAACAGAAGTTTGATCGCTCTGTTTAAGAGATGTACCAGAAATTTTACATTTTATTACCAACCTTTACTTGTTCCATCCTCGCCCATGATTATTTTCATTGAAGATATTATTTGCATGACTACTGGAGGCGACATGAAAGAGGCGTACGTTGCACTATGGGAACTTCCTTTGATATGATCTATTATTTCCTGGAAGAAATAATAAATTATTATTTTGGGTTACCACTCGAAGCTTTCGAATCGCTTACTTACCTTAATGCGAGATCATTCAAATGAAAGGTACAGATCAATGTCAGTATCTGAGAAACTACACACCTACCCTCCCCTGACCCAACTGTAACCATAACTTGTTATCGGTCGAATTTTGTTGGGACAGGGGAGGGGTAAGGTGCGCATTTGCTCAGATACTAACAATGATTCAAAGATACATAGCAGTACATTCATTACAGTTGGCTATAAAATAAACCTCAATATTCCCATAAATTATTGATATGTACCACTTTTTTGAGCGTCAGTGTTGGTGCCAAAATAGGCAACAAGTGGTTCTTACCTGTGACGCAGCAATGTATCCCCCGGCTGCACCAAAACTCTTTGTAAATGTTCCCATCATGATATCTACATCAGCAGGGTCCACCCCAAAGTATTCAGTAACACCTCTTCCATTTGGGCCTATGGCACCAATACTGTGAGCCTCGTCAAGGTATAAGTAAGCTTTGTACTTCTTTTTAAGGGCAACAATCCCTGGGAGCTTCGCGAGGGAGCCCTCCATACTGAAAAAAAAATTGTTGTCAACTCGTGCAACATTAAGCCTAACTCTTTACATCAGTATCCATATTCTCCGTACTGTTCTTTATATATTCCCTTTGCTACTGACAAGGAGAATTCGTTTAACAATCAAGAGCTTTTTCAGCTGATGATTTATTTTTGTGACCTTCATGTTCGATTCAGTTAATATTCCACCCTATTGAATACGAAGAACTTCTTGATTATCGTATAGAAGGTACAAAAATACTCGTGAATTAAGGTCCAGAGCGGGGTTGCTAAAAACACGATTTATCTAACCCGGGGTTTGTGTAATTTTTTGAATCAATTTAAAAGCTTTGCAAACAATTTTTTATAATTTTTCCGGTTAGTTTCGAGTCATTTGAGATAAAACCCAAAAAAAACTTAGATCGTATACGCGCTCTTCTACATGTGAAATTGAAGCCAAAGTTAATTTTTAATCCTAGATCAAAGTTTACCCCCTTTTGAACAACCCGGCCCTGAGGGAATATCTGTAAACTCTGTTTCATATAAAATGTCTTGTCCTAAAAGGATGACTTGAGTTACCTATAGACCCCTTCGACAATGATTAGAATCTTTTTCCACGCACGATGAGTTATTGGCTGTCCTTGAGAAACCGACTCATGCAAGATTTTCTCCAAACTCGCCATATCTGCAATAAAGGTAGAAAGGAGAGGGTCTTATTATCTCTATCCCCTTTAAAGACCAGTTCAAACAACGCTAGCTAAGGGTCAAGGAATGCACACTCATAGTTCCCTTCTTTATCCCGAGATATGAATTATACGGGCGCCGGCGAAGTGGAGTAAGCTGTGATGGATTGGCCCTCGTTTCAGAGGAGAGCGGCAATACTCCTACTCGCCCCGCACACCAGAAATCAAGTCATACTCTGGCCAGGCAGGCCTCAATCTTCTTGTGCCAACTTGATCTTACCGTTATGTTTGAAGACCTTAATCTTCGCTCCTGACAGTCTTGCTCCTAAGATAAGCGATCTGTGGTTCAGCTCATCACTGATAATCAGATCTCCCTTGCCCACCAGGGTGGGGATGTTTGTAGAGTTAGTGGCGAATCCCATACCAAACACCATAGCTGCAGGCTTACCAACAAACTTGGCGACAAGAGCTTCTAACTCGTTATGAATATCAAGGGTCCCTGGAAAATGGAGAAAAGCTGTGAGGAACTGGAAGTTGAAAGATCAATGGAGCGTCGAATGTAGGCGCCCTTTATAGACTCGGACTTTATTCCAAATGTAATGCCTTTGACGTTATTTTCAGGCTCCAGGTTTTATTGTATCTATTGAGGAATGTCGAATGATTTTCGCGTATTAGTTGAATGTTTCCATACAAAACGAGGTTACATTGTTACTGGAAGCTATTTAGCTCATTTTAAAGAAGTAGCCTGGTTGCCCTTTCTCTGAAAAAGCCGGCACATGTAACTCTTACATTCAAATCTGAAATAATGAAAGGGCTTCAAAAATCACGCCGCACAGCACCACCAACATTTTCGGGAGTAACACAGCAGTCAAACGTCAGCGCCAGAACGAGTATCTCTCGGACTTTGACTCACCATATTCATGTCTTGAGCTGCAGCCCGCAATGCCATATTCCCGAACAGCCTGTTCAGCGGCATCTGCACACGGCCCAGAATTCTCCGCGAACCCAAGATAATTATAAGAGGCAAGATTGACAGTCTTGGTTGTCGTTCCTGGGTATCTAAACAAAACAATTCACTTTAACCTGGTCAATAATAGTTTAGATATGAGTGCATGTAAACAGCAATTAAATTGTAGATCTGTTGTGTAAAAACCAGAGTGTACAAGGGTTTTTTTAAATCATTTTTATCAATAATCGTGATAATCCAACCTCCGCTGGAATGTCGTGAAAATTGGCAAAAACTATTTAGACCAAGCGGATTGATGGGTGTTATTGTTCCGGTTGAAAACAGCTTTATTGTTATATGATATATTTTTTACTAATTTCTGGACTTTCTAAGTTTCCTTCATGTTGCGGTTAAAAAAGACCTTGAAAGGGTAGTTTGTCAGAGTGAAATAGAATTGCAAGAAAGACACTTGGGCATTAATACATGACGCAAGAGACCGCTGACTGCATCCCTCTGCATCACGGAGGTAAGAAACGGAGATTCACATGGATTGCAGCCAAAAATGGGGGGAAGGTAGGGTCTAATTGAGTCACACTAAGACTATCTACCCTAATGTGATGTCGACATCCCCAATGTGGATCTTTTCTCGCTTTCTTACGTTTGCATGCTGCGCAATCAACAACAACCACGAGAAAAAATCCACGAAGGGGCAGGGATCTACAGGAACCCCCGTTATGTCTCTCGTGTTAATGATAAATTTGATAAATTAAGGCTACAAAGACGATCAAACTTTGACACAGTTCTGGGGGAATTACTTTCATGCTACCTGAAAGTCCAGTTCCAGTCCTCAGACTCTCTATCCACGAGCACGACCTCTCCGCCAGGAACACTACAAATGGGTCTGTTAAGACAGTCCCTTGCACGAGTGTAAAGATTCCGTGTATAGAAACTCTCGAAGTCGGAATAAAGCGGCACAAAACCCTGCAATCAGTGAAAACCATAGACAGGTTAACAGGGATGTAGATGATAATAGCCGGAAGCCGGGAAAATTACCCGAGGTCTTAGAAACCGCCCGAGGCCTACACAAAACAAAGGGCACAGTTTTTCCCAATACGGACCGACCTTGGCTTGTGAATAACATTTTTATTTTTTTCTAAAACCTAACAAATGGTTGCGAAAAGATCGGATACCATGAACAGGCCGGATGAGTACAATACTGCCCGCTCTCGGAACCAGTCAGATTGCAGGATTTGTAGAATACCGCCCGCTCACGAACTGAGAAAAAAAATAATCAAAGTTACCCATTATCGACCATTGTTCTACTCGATTTAACAGAAAAAAAATATGTTAGCAATATCTACATATGGACTTATCTATTCAAATTTTTTTCCTACGCGGTTTTACTGCATTTGTGACCAAAAAACAATATAAGAAAAAAATAAGTACACTTGCTAAGATCGTACCTGAACTTAATCAAAAGTGAAATTTTTAAATGCTTGTCATTGTGGTTAACGTATGCTACTGTTGTTTCATAAAAAAATAAATAAATAACAAAGAAACAGATATCCTTCGTATTATTTACAACTTCACGCCCTTGACTAATAAAACAATGTCGTGTTCTGTCGGTTTCCTCGAGTCGTAATCCATCTGTAACTGTAGTAATTAAATTCCAACATTACCCTTTTTTTTTTCTCTTGGCGGCAAAAACAGGTTTCAATGCCGTACTCGCCGTAGCGAGTCACGAATGTTTTTTCATAAGTAAGGATTAAGCGCTGGTAGAATTACATTGCCTAATTTATAATTCAAGGTTTAGAGATTGCATGGCCTATAGTAAAATTACTTTCTCATCATCTAAGCACAGACAAGATTCTTTAATTAAAGTGATATCCTTACCTGATTTCCTGCTTCCTTAACAAACTTGGACTTCTCTAATCCGTACTTGCGCATGAAGTCACGCATGTAACCGAAGATTATATAGAAGAAATACGCCAAGTATGTCATAACAGCGATATACAGTGGTGGCTCCTCGAGATCCTCTTCCAGCTCTGTGTTTAACTCTCTCCGGTGGCTTGCAAAGCCGTTGGATCCCTTTGGAAAGCCATTTTTCATAGAATGTTGTACTCGCCGCGTTGCATGGGCACCGGCCACCATTTTAAATTTTTAACCGTGCAAGGCTGCAAGTTTCTGCGTGACGTAACAGTATAATATAAAAGTGAATCAAATGAGATGAAAGCGCCTTCAAGAATACGACACACTTCGATGTATCTTACTTGTCAATCCTACATGAAAGGTTCTGACGAGACTTGGTTTATTTATACTTGCCAGCATGTTTGATCTAAACCTATCATCAACAACTGAGCAATCATAATAAATAAAACAGTTCGCACCTGTCCTAATGTTTTTTTTTTCAGCACTGCAGGACGCGCGATTCTCCGCCGAAGCTGAGATCTGAGAAGAGGGGCAACGTTTTGCTGGGGAGTCTTGGCACTGTGTTAGACCCCGTGGAAGGCCTATCCTCCGGTACTGGGCAAAAAAACACTCGCAGGCTGAAGCGCTGATAGTGAAGGCCTCAGTGCTTGCAAGCTAGCCTACGGCTTACTTCTACCGTTGTTATGGTGTTATTGTTGTATGAACAAACAATATTTTAAGAGTAGAAGCCGAGTTTGGTGGAGTCGGACAATTGTCATATTAAGCAGTGTTTTTATCAACCCAGCTTTTCTTTAAGTCGTTGAGAAGTCGTAATTTGGTCATTTCCCTTGTCCGATGTGTAATGTTGTCGTTTTGTGCTCGATAATTGAAAGTACCTTTTCTCGTAAAAAAATTGAATCATTGCTCCATATCTTGAAGATAAAAAAAAATAAAAAAAAAATTTTAAAAAATAAAAAAAAAACGAATAATGATTGCTTAATATTGTTGAGCGATTAAGTACGCTTTCCCATAAATTAACATGCACCTGCAAGGCCGGAGGCTTTCTCAACTATTCATTCTGTGTTATAATATTAATAAGTCATGACTTGACAAGATATATTTTGCCGCAGTCAAACACTGGATTATGGGATTTTACCAAAGGAACTTACACTGTTCTGTTTTGTGTAATTTATGAAATAAGTAACCGGCAGCAATGGGCGAAAACTCAGTTCTTGCTCTTCCTTGGGCTTTCAATGAAACTTTCGCAGTAATTTAGTAAATGACTATTCCAATTTATGTTAATCCCTTACTAGCGTTACCTCATCTCATTCTGCCTCATATTTCGAGTCCCGCGATTATCTGGTCACGCGGTTTACCCATCACGCGAGCTAAGATGAACATGAGGTCAATTTCACCGTCTTTATCAAAATTATCCTTAAAGACTGCTTCTAGCTTTTAAAGCTGAAATATGAATATCACACGAGAATTTTAATTTTTGCCAAAAAACTCATTGATACGCACAGACCCAATTTATCTCGAATTGATTGTGACTCGTGGAAGCTTTAAAAATCAGACATCATGTCCCTGCATTTTTTTCGCGCCACATTACCCGCGGGGTTTTGTGAGATCATTCGCAGGTGACGATTGCCGTAAAATACATGCATTCCCACTTGCTAAGAGAGTCACAGCCGTAAGAGCTTGTCGCGGATTCAGTCTCCGACTAAAGCACGACAAGGCCCCACTAGGTATTGGTTAAATAAGTTACGATAAAGCCAGCTGCTGTATGATACACCACTTCTCTAAGCAAGACTAAACTCTATCGCAATCATTATTCTGCTACACAGGACAAAGTGAAATAAGCACTCTCATCTTCAAATTGCTTTTATTGCAGAGGCAATTGTTTAAGACTTCTCTACACCATTGCTAGCATCACTTCATTCTTGTGTTTATCAACCCTATTAACAAAAATTGTTCAATTACAAAGCTCCGTCTTCAATTACTGTTAGTGATGGCTTTAAAAGAGCTTATATTCTAACACAACTACATCTTTTCCCATTCGATTGTCATTAATCAAAACTTTAAGCATTCAGCTTTCAAACGGTACTGTCCATATTTATCTACTAAGTGGTTTTTATCACACCCCTTCCCCATTTAAGAAAAGCAAATATAAAACCAAGATCTTATGATAGGATTAAATATATCTACACCAAAAGTAGAAATAATATCTGCGTTCCGAGGCATCCTTAAACTGATATCGATATTGTTTGTACATAGCAGGGAACGCTCTGAAAGAGCACTTCATTTTTTTATAATAATAGTAGACCAAAAGTATAAATTGTCTAAAAAAAAATCAATATCCATATGCTGAGTCTTCCCTTAACTGATATCAAATAAATTTGTAAATAACTGGGCCATTTTTAACAACTATGCACCAAAGTCGAGTTGCATAATTGTTTTAGTGTGTAGGAAACAGATATTAAAAATTGGTTTATTTCTCTTAATGAACTGCAAAATGTTCGGAAACGGAAACGATGCAGAAAAGAGGCTAGGCAAAGAAAACAGAAACCTCTCGCAAGAACTTATTTGTAAGACTTATGGGGAAAAGGAAGAAAAAATTAGCACATAAAGTCCTTCAATAAATATAAGCCAAGCACTTTGCTAAGATACCCAGCAAGTACCTCAAGGATAGTTGGGCAGAACTTTTCGCCAATCAAAGCCTGATCTGACAGGACCTCAAAGTTTACTGCACTGACACCTAGTTCCCAGTCTCTCGCACTTTGAAGAAAATTTTTGTGTGGTTTGCATTTAATTAAAAAATTCCTAGAGAAGCTCGACCACAGCAACTAAACCTTTGCCTCACAAGTAAAAAAAGAGCATACTCTTTTGTGGCCATTGCAGTGTGGGTAACATTCAAATATTATTATTATTTTAAAGAAACAATAATACCAGTTATTTCATGTCTATGTTACAGTGTTTTGTTTCTATGTGACCTCTGTAGCTCCAGTTATTTCTTCTGTGTCTGTTTCGAGTATTTGAGTTGAAGAATGTCACCTACTTCATCGATGGCTTCCAAAGCCTGATTAAAAAAATATTACAAAAAGGAAAAAATTAACACTACACGTGAAAACACTGATAAGTAGCATAGAGGATTTTTTTACATCCATGTAAACCAAAAGAACTCACGAATGCAATTTGAATCGAGGAATACGTAGACTACAAGAGGTCCATCCTTTTCGGGCGAGTTTCATCACGCGAGTCAACGCCGAAAAAAAAAAAAAAAAAAAAAAATTGACTTAAGCGCGCCGCAACAGATGTTGGTGTTGATCTTGGTAACAGATTGTTGAGTACTCCTATATCCAGAGGGGCTCATTTTTTTTCCCACATTTTGCGTCAGAACGAAGTCGAGATTATTGATGACTATCTTCCTAATTCCAAGAAGATTTATCCCAATTTATTTTTCCTGGGTTCTTTAGTTTTATTTCCTTCTCTAAAATTGCAGAACCCAGTGGGTGTTGATTACTGAGTACTTATTGTTTGTTTGTTGTTGTTTTTTCTTTGTCACGCTGTTTTTATCACAATGGGTTCCCAAGGAAAAGTGTGCCTCTGTTAGAAGATTCGATGCCATAGCAACAGTAGCTCTCACCCACCTTGTCCAGCATTTCACGGGTATGCGCGGCAGACAGGCAGAATCTGGTGCGAGATTCGATGAGAGGGGTGGCAGGAAAACCAACCACAACCACAGCAACGTTCCTTTTCAGCATTTCACGGCCAAATGCACTAAAAGAAAAAAAGCATTAGCTTCAACACGAACAAACAGAAAAACAAAGAAATACATTTTTTTTGTATAATTATGCAAAGGAAACTATCAGTATTCCTCTCTCACATAGCCTCGACATGGCGCAATATAGCACACGACAGAGCGAAACCACAGGTTAACCACACCTAGAAAACAAAGTTTTGGGTAGCCTGCAATGCAAGCGTCTTATTAGAGCGTGGGTGCTACGAGGTCGCGATCGTTCATCCGACCACCCATGTTTGATTTAGAGTTACTCCACCCCCCCCTCCTTTCCCTTGAACCGTCGCTCGCCCCCTTTCTTCCGCTACCCTAAATTAAATCAAAGAGGCCAGCTGTAATTTTCACCGAGAAAATATTCAGCAGTCTCACACCTGCTCTACACGCTAAGTGTCGGGTTGTAAGTCTGTGATATATAACCGAACACGGAATCCATTTATTAACCCTTTCATTCCCAAGATCTCATTAAAAATTTTCCTTACTATCTACTATACAATTCATATGATGTTAGTTTGGAGAATTTGGAATTGTATCGACCAATAATCCCCAAATTGATATTTTTCTTTATTCTCATCACTTGTCTGCTAGATATCGTACTGATAGTGTAATCAGCGTCTCACTTACGCGATTTTTGCTGGCATGTAGAGAAGAAGAGGGACGACTGGGGAGGCATCATGACCGTACACAATAAATCCCATCTGCTTGAGTCTCTGTCGGAAGTACCTGAACAGTAATGGTTACATGTTAAGGGAGATATATGAATCAGATCTTGGAAGGTAACGCGTCAAAAGACTAACTCCAATTAATGATAAACACGATTTTTTTAATCTACAAACTTTGCTTAGCTAAAGGAGGAAAGATGGTGTGAGTACAGTACCGCTAAGATATACGTTAACCAAAAAACGCACATAATACGCACCAAACGTCGCATGCAAGTGCAAATAAAAAAAGAAATGTGCGCGTCAAAATATCGCACGTGCGTGCAAAAGCTTGATGCATCCGCATCATTGGTATGTATGGGGTAGGCCTTTTGTTTTTTCTATTCTTGATGGTTAATCGTTTTTAAAGAATTGGCTATAATGTAGTTACACTAAACTTCATGTATATGCAAACTGTTAATGATGCTAACACTATCACCTTGTCCAAATCAGAATATAGTTGAGCAACACGAATCTGTTATGTCAGGCGCCCCTGGCTTTCATCGCTAAAAACTTTTAACTTTCCTATCTATTAAATTCTGTGTACATTAATCCACAAACCTCTACAATCTAACCAAAGATATCAGAATTTTTCTCTTACTTGCAATTTTCAGCCAATTGAACGAGTCGTTTCTTTCCTGCAAATTAAAAGTTAACAAGAAGAGAGAAAAAAAAGTTTGTCACTCAGTTGGTACAAGTAGTTCACCTGAAAGTAACAATGGAACTGACTGGTGGTCAAATCCTCATATATGTGTGCTTTGGTTAACACTTCATGCTAAGCAGCTCTCCCAAGTAGATCAGATTATCACTGTATTGTAGGTACACCATGTAACAACCCTTTACACCCAAGCATCAGTATACACATTCTCCTTACTATTCTCTATACATTTTCTAAAGTGCTGACAAGGAGAATTCATTTAACAATCAAGAGTATCATTAGTTGGTGATCATTTCCTTTATTCTCATGACCTTAGTATGTGATTCAGGGGTGGTATTGTACAGAGAAATTAGTGAATGCTTGTTATTCTGAAGGGTCAAATTATTAAGATAAATAAACCTTTGTCAGTGCCATCTTCACCCATAATCATCTTCATGGAAGCAATAATCTGCATCACAACAGGGGGTGACATGGAAGAAGCATATGCAGCACTGTGGGAACTTCCCCTGATATGGTTTATTATTTCCTGCGAAATAAAGCTTAGTTCACCATATGAGCAGCACAATAAGAGAGATAAAGAGATCAGAACCAAACTTTTATCATCATTTGTTAACAAGAACGGTTGTGATCTGATGTCTCACATTAATTAATCTCTCAGTATGAATCACAGGAAATTGATTCATGGATATACACAATTGAAGGACTGCAATTAAAAAGCCCCGAGTGCCTTTTGATGCAACACCTACTTCTCCTTCTGTTTTACAAGGAATTAACTGACAAATTAACAGGAGAATCTAGTAATCAATCACAAGATCAGTTGGGGTTTTTCCCAAGCACCCCCTTCAGCTAGAGAACAGACTTTTCAATGCTAACCTCAGTTGCAGCAATGTATCCCCCAGCTGCACCAAAACTCTTTGTAAATGTTCCCATCATGATATCAACATCAGCAGGGTCCACCCCAAAGTAGTCTGTTACACCTCTTCCATTGGGGCCCATAGCACCAATACTGTGAGCCTCGTCAAGGAAAAGGTAAGCTTTGTACTTCTTTTTAAGAGCTACTACCTCAGGCAATCTCACTATTGAACCTTCCATACTGGAGATAAAAAAAAATTCATTAGAAAGTAAGTATGAAGTAAGAAATGAATTATGGAAAAATTCTGATATTTACAGTCCCACTGTATTTTTGCAAGCAATATTTCTGGGCCTAGAGTTAGAGATTATGGTACCATCCCATACACAGTATTATTGATTCAATCACAATACATGCATGCTTTAATCAAAAACCAAAAAGCATTGATTTTCTCATAACAATATACAAAGACAAAGCACCAAAGTAAAAAAAAGAAAAGTCCTAATGTAATCTTTAAGATGATGGGAAGGTGTGAGCTACCAATATTAACAAAAAAATTGCAGTATTCATGAGAAAATCAGTGTTTTTAGCCCTTTACACCATTATAAGTATACATAAAATCCTGTTATCAACTCAAGCATATTCTCCATACTGATCTCTAAAGATTTTCTAGCTTCTTAAGTTGATGATCATTTCTGTTATTCTCATGACCTTGATGTTTGATTTGGGGGTGATGTTGTAAGGAGAACTTAGATTTTAGTCACTCTTCAGGTTAAAAGTGTTCAGTCAACACAGTGGAGATGCAAAACCCCATCAGACCCTGCCAGGTCATTCAACCAATGTTAAATTTTAACATGACAAAATCAGCTGGCATTGCCTTGAGTCTGCATTGGTCCAACTTGCATTTTACCTCATGTGATACATACCTGTAGATTCCTTCAACAATGATGAGAATTTTTCCCCAAGGTCTGTGAGTGCGTGGCTGTCCCTGAACAACAGATTCGCGAAGAATATTCTCCAGGCTTTTCATGTCTAAAATTCAAATAAAATTCTCACTACAATACCTAATCATTGGATTAACAGTATGATGAATTCCTTGTAAAATGGCCTGCAGTATTTACCAGATTTCTTTAATTAAATTAATCATCATCAATTCTTACCATTATGTTTGAAGACTTTTATTTTAGCCCCAGACAATCTGGCTCCCAGAACAAGGGAGGAGTGATTCAACTCATCACTGACAATCAAATCGCCTTTCCCTACAAGAGTGGGTATGTTGGTGGAGTTTGTAGCAAAACCCATTCCAAAAGCTATCGCTGCAGGCTTATTAAGAAACCGTGCCACAAGAGCTTCCAGTTCATCATGAATGTGAAGAGTTCCTGGAAAGGAAACAAAATCCAAAAAAATGAGGGAAAGCTGAAGTAACACTGCCTAATGGGTAACCTTGCTCTGGACCAGCACTACCACAGCTGCACTCTTGGAAAAGCAATCTGGGGGAAGCAATGACCCAACGGCTGATGTGCTGGACTTTAGATCGAGAGGTCTGGGTTCAAGACCTGACTGGGGTCATTATTGTGCTCTTAGGCAAAACACTTTCCTTTCACAGTTCCTCTCTTCGCCCAGGAGTATAAATGAGTACTGGCAAAGTGTTTGGGAAGTTTGATAAGTGCTTAGGGGTAACCTTAAGGCAGATTAGCATCCCCATCCAGGGGGGAGAAATAATTCTCCTAGGCACTTCATACTACAGAAACCAAGATAAGTGCTGACTGTATGGGCCACTTTGCTCAATTACAAACTTTGCACTCTTGGAGAAATTACTGAGGACTCTGATACAAAATGTCAAGATACCCTACTCAAAAAGCTTCTGCAGAAGTAAAGTTTTACCAGTTCCCAAAGACAAAAGTTGCTAGCCTGTGGCACCCACGCTGTACTACATGTAATGCAAAGTCTTAGTCCCACCCCAAAGGTTGGCATCTGCTCTACTACTGATCATTTTTTTACTACAGAAATGTTGTTTAGCTCACCATATTCATGTCTTGGACTACAGCCTCCCAGACCATATTTAAGGACTGTTTTCTCAGCAGCCTCGGCACATGGACCCACATTTTCCGCAAAGCCAAGGTAGTTATAAGAACCAAGATTAAGTGCTTTTGTGGTCTCTCCAGTTTTTCTAAGAAAAGAAATTTAAAAATACACCAGGTATGTAATTAATAAAAGCAGTAATCATTAAAGCTGCCTTACAGTAGTTCTGTAACTTAGATTCCAACCGTAATGTTCTAAATTGACTCTGCTAACTTGAGAATGCAAGATTAAGGCTCAGAATAATGGCTAGTCAACAGTCAATGTCCAGTCAAATATAAGTTTTGCTCTGCCCAACTCCTTGGATAACTGGAGATTTTGTCCAGTTCTTTACATACATAAAAATTAATTTAATTTTGATTTTTTTGCTTTTTATTGGCATGTTAACTTAGGCACACTGTCTTCTCAGGTATCTGCAAGTATTTCAATAATTATTACCTACAATTTAAGCAGTTATGACCTTAAAGGTCCCTTGCAAAAAACGCTTTAAAACTATTTTTAAAAACTTAGGTATGTACATCATACCTGAAAGACCACCCATAATTATCAGTGACTCTGTCAAGAATTTCGATATCCGCACCAGGAACACTGCAGATTGGTCTGTTCCAGCAGTCTCTTATTCGAGTATAAAGATTCCTTGTGTAGAAACTTTCAAAATCCGCATAAAGAGGGACAAAACCCTGAAGAAAAACAAAACAAAAAAAGGGAAGAGACTCAAGTAACCTTTAGTTTCTGAAACAAAACTGCGAACTTCTACATGTAAAAATGTGACAAAGACACACTGACAGGTGGACAAATCAATTGAAAGAGTCATACAGGCATAGGAGTTACATGAACTGTATAATATTGAATATTTAATCCTTTCACTCCCAAGATCTAATTGATAATTCTCCTTACTATCTGCTATACAATTCTTATGATGTTAGTTCAGAGAATTTAGTATTGGATCAACTAATAATCCCATAATTGATATTCTTCTCTATTCTCATCACCTGCCTGCTTGATATTGTATTGAAAATAAATTGAATATTTAAGGGGTGAAAAAAAGGAAAAACAATGAGAAAATAATATTATTCATTGACAAACAAATATCTAATGCACTTAGCCAAATTGTATTTTACACAGTATTATAAGTGTTAGTTATCAAGAAAATCAAGGCCATGCTTGATACATGTGCTAAAAGGATTTACTTTTTAAGCTTAGTTTAGCAATTTGAGTTTAGCCAGCCAACTGCTTGTCATTTCACCCCACTTTTCCATGGCACACTTTTAAAGTGTTATTTCCTTTCCTTTTATACTAAACATTGCTTTAAGCCTTGTTAAGTAGTTTGGAGAAAATGAGGTCTACTTGACTTTTAACAGTAAGTTATTAAGACTGCAAATCCTTTAACCCTTTAACTCCCATGAGTGACCAAAACAGAATTTCTCCTTACATTATCAATACAATATCAACCAGGTAAGTGATGAGAATAAAGAAAAATATCAATTTGGGATAATTAGTTGATCCAATACTTAATTCTCTGAACTAACATTATAAGAATTGTATGGTTGACAGTAAGGAGAATTACAAATTTGATCTGGGAGTTAAAGGGTTAACACCCAGGAGTAACCAAGAGCATTTTCTTCTTTAGTTACAATCAATACAATAACAACCAGTAATAACAGTTTTAAAAAAAATAAATTTATGGGATTACTGTTTGATATAATAACATTATCTCTGAATTAACATCATAGGAATTGTATATACACAGTTATTACTAATGAGATTATTACTAATGAGATTAACTTGGGATTTCCCCTATAATATCTGTAATTATCCAGCCACCAGGTAATGAGAATTAAATCAGGAAGAAGTTGTTGTTTGATTCTGAAGGACTTGTCTGCCAGTTAGAGGGGAGAATTAACAATCAGGTCTTGGGAGTTAAAGGGTTAAATTGTTCTGAGTATAAGGAAGGGCAAGTGCAGTAGAACAAGGTACTAATGAATAAAGCATGCTAAAAAAAAAAATAAAATATCAGGATACCAAGAACAATAAAAAGAGTAAAAAATAACCTGATTTAAACACTCCTTTTTAGAGCAATTTTAAATTGAGTGTTGTATGCATTCCAAGATTTATTTGGTTCTGCTTTATTTCACCACTTGATTGGCCAACCATGACTTGGTTGGTCACAGTTTCCCATGCTATTAGAAGTAAGCTTGCTTTCACTCTGAATTCTCATTGGACCCTTGCTCCCTTTGCTAAGACTTGCAATTGTGATTACTATGATTTTGGTTTATCAGCATTGGATTGAAATAAGCCCCTAATTTCTCTGATGAAAAGCTAACATTCAAAACCTCAGTGTAAAATGCCTTGCGTGAAATACCTAATTCACTCTGACAAAAGACTAACACACAAAACGTCAGCTTTAAAAAAATTTTGACAAGGCCAATTCATATTATTAAGTCAGCTGACAAAACCAAATTATCTAATTACACCCCACCCCATGTACATGTAGTTTCTTTACAAAATTACCCTCTTTATCAATTTTGTAAACATCAGGTTTTAGCCTAAAATTATAGATAAATGTGGCCTCATGAAAATACGACCTTATTTTCAAACCTTAGCTCTTTGGCTTATTGAGGTGATTAGCATGTGACCTCTAGAAATTTCCTAACAGCAAATTTATATCCAACAAACAGAGGATGAAAACGAGAAGACAAGGAATGAACACAAGACAACTAAAGAGGAAATTTTTCAAAGACCTCTTGGTGGATTAGGGGTTAACGTAACTGTTTTCATCGAAAAAAAAGGAGAGCTAATTTTCCTGAGTGACACATTTTATCTTGGTATGGTGATCTTTCCAAGGTGTTAAGTTATGCAATAGCATGCATTTACATCATAATTGTACGGGTTTTAAGCGGATACATTATACTGCCAGGGAAATATGTAACATCTAGATGTTGTCACATTGCGTTATTTTAAATTTATGAATGACCACAGGCCTCTACATTCTTGTTCAATGACAACATCAGTCCATTTGCCCATGCGTCTCACCGTCAAAACATTGCGAAACGAAGCGCGCTGCATCGATCGAAGAACGAGAACGAATATTTTGTGAATAACTCGGGCATTAAATTCACATTCCAAGAAAAAATAATTCCTCCCTCGACGAATTTTCTTTATGGGAAGTATAGTTACAGAATCGAAGCTTGATGAAAGGAAGTTTTTGACTAAAAATAATTTCGGTCGACGCCCTCAAATTGTGGTGTAGCGATTCGTGATTGTACAGCAACAGCTGACATCAGAGAACTGTGCCTGATCTTGAAATCCGTAATGATTTCAGGAAGCTATGAATATTTCTTTGTAAGTAAAAGCACTTTTAGATCACATTCTCACCTCATTTCCGCTCTCTTTCGGTGCTTTCGACTTTTCCAAACCATATTTTCGCATGAAGTCACGTAAGTAGCCGAACAGAATCAAAAAGAAGTAAGATAGATACGTTAAAACAGCGACTTGAAACGGTGTATCCTCGAAATCCTCGGTAAAAGACTCTTTAAACTCTTTAAGTTTCGCCTGCTCGTGAGCTGCAAATCCATTAGCTTTGGCAGAGTAGCCATTTTTGTACGTTTTCTGCCTTCTGGGGTTCGTTGCATACGCTCCGGCGACCATTTTGAGTCAGATGTGTTGTGTCACTTCGGCCGTAGTGCCCAGACCTCCCTGGATCACAAGACAGAGTGACACACGACCTTTGAACGACTTTGAAATCATCGTGATTTCCAGGACACTTACTAACTTTATATTTTCATGCAGATAGAGCTCTGTTTTTATGTCATGAATAGCTTTTCCTCACAAATCAAGCAGCTGTTGACAGTTCATAGCTTCTCATTTATTTAGTTCGTCTTTATCGCTAAAAATATTTTAATTTGTGTTTATATTTATAATGAAAACATCATCATCCTTAGTATTTAACCAAAAAAAGATACAATTACAACACGTGGAAGGGCTTCTTAATATTTACATAGACACGACTGTAGAGTGCTTATTAAACATGTAAGCCACTATGTCAGACATTATGCAACGTCTCGAGAAAAAGCCAACGATTAATTCATGAAAGCGTCACGCGTTGTGTGACTCAGTGTTAAGTTACGAGAGGAACCGTTGAAAATTTGAACACGTTTTAAGGAATAGGAATTCCTTTTGGCAGGAATAACAGTGATGGAAAAGCAAGCTTAAAACGGCAGAAATCGCCAGAAACTACAACGGACACACTGGATGTGAGTAAGTTTTATTGATTTTACGTGTAAAATGTTCATATTTCGAAATATTTATCGTTGTAAATCGACGACCATATTTCGTTCCCTTACTATTCCTTATTACGTGTTCAAATCTCGTAACTTAACACCGCGTCACACAGCACGTGACGTTTTCATGAATTTTCTCGAGACGTGAGCTTGGGCCGTCTGTGGTTATTGAAAAAAATGTTTCCAGTCGGCTTGCAGTCATGACGGTTAAAATGAATGCATCTGTTTTACTCTTTCAGCGCCATCACTGTAAGGACCTGTGCAGAAATTTTTTTGTCATCTGTGATCTATCCTTCGAGAACGTCTTTCGCTCCCGCTAGTATCTTTTCTGCAACAATTCCATAAACGAAAACTCATGCTTCTTTAACTCCAATGTAAACTTCTTTCTCGAGTCTTTGTCAAGAGTGTCAAGCAAAGCGACCCCAAAAAGCTTTAAGTTAAAAAATAACATAAATTTAAGAAAAAATTCCATGAAATTGCACTTTTATTTTGGCCCAAAAAGTGTTTCAAGATCTCAAGTATTGTAAGCTTTGATAACTTCATGTGGAGTTTGTTTTAATCAAATGAGATCTTAAAAGAAAACTCGATATCACCCGCATAACTTTAATTTGCTTCGTCAATGGCCCGTCGATAGGTGGACAGGGGTGAATAATTGAAAGACCAGTAGATTTTAAATTGACCATTAAAGGAAAATTAAAAGTGTGATTGACCTGTGTTATCATCGTGATTGCTACCACTTATTTCAATTTTTTTATTGACTGTCGAAAGTAGTCCGCGTTTTGTTTCAATTGCATTTCCCTTGCTTCGGGCAATTTAACTGTTTTTACTCTCTCACTTCCTTGTTTTACTTATTCGCTCTGATCGGCTGTTGTAATAACTTACCCGTAACTCCGGTTTAGATTTTGCGAAAAACGCTCTATTTGACCGTGATCATTTGACACATTCCAGTCTGATAATTCACTGGCTGCGAATATCGCGTTAAGTAATTTGCTTTTCCATACCCCATAATGATGTTCTTCGACTTTGTATTTTGCATGTCTCTCTCCCAAGTCCTTTAGAGCAGGAGCAATAGAACCCCGATTACCAGTCCTGGTTACCAGTCCCTGCCTCTTAAGTCGATCATCAGCTCTCATCTTGTCACATGATGATTTATCAATGTCTCTGAATGAAAACATTTGTAAGGTTTCTGGGTTCACTTTGAATAACCTAAGAGCGAGAGAGAGAGAGAGAGAAGGATTTAAAATTGAAATATATTAAAGTTTACATAACAATCAGGTGGACAATCAGACGTGGTTTGATGTTATTCTGGTTTAAAGATTTAATGAATGTAAACGAGAAGTTACGATTCATAGACCCAACGTTTCGACACTCCTTACTAGTGCCTTCATCTAAACGCTGCAACAAGAGGTCCTTCTACACACTCACTAATTAGCTGACCTTTTTTCTGACGAAAGCTCCCTAAAGACCTCTCACTGGTAGAGGTAATGTGATGTAATTAAATAGGTGTTCAGCTTTAGAAACTGTTAGCGGTGGCCAGTTCACAATGTGTGATAAACTCAGTTAATAAAACCAAATTATCTTGTAGCACCCTTTCCCCCCCACCCCCCACCGGCGCAGCACTACAGTTTCTCTAGAGGCTGACCCCCTTTATTCAGGTGTCTAAACAAGTCCCACTTTTTTCCTCTATGCGTTATTGTCATGCCTGCCTGGTACAGTACTGATAAGTTAACTGAACGCACGGAATGGCCTGGCGTTATTCCAAAGCATCAGATCGCATTGCAATTTGACTGTTTATAGCTAAACAAAATACGAAAAAAGATGCTTCGGAGTCAAGATTCCTAGTTGGGGAATTTAATAAAGAGGCGTGAATGGAACTCCGTGTCGACGAAAGAGAAACCCTTGGTATTTACTGAGGAGACAAAATACCTGTCGTCGTTCGCCATTACATTGTGCAGTGAGGAGCTAGTTTGGGTTATCATTCGTGGAAAATTTTTCAAATGTTTGCCCTTCCAGTAACGAGCTGGTAAATGACATCACAAATGCACGAAGCGTCGAGAAAAAACAGGATTTTAGAAACAGTTTATAGTGCAGTTTGACTCAAGTATGCGTCACTGTAATGCATTATGTTACAGTCAAGAATTTGTAATCAATTAAGTTCGAGTCCTTAATGGACAGCTCCTCTATAATTAAGTTGTCATGATTTACCATGATATAATTATCTGTAAATAAATATATACACATATATGCAACTGTATCGGAAGGATTTAACACTGAAAAAGCGTGTTCGTAATTTGGGGATTAAGATTAAATTCGCTATAAAATTTAAACGAACAACTTTATAAGATCCTTTTATCTACTTACTGTGTCTGTAAATTTCCAAGGGTTCCCACTGGAGGAACGTAAAAATCGAAGGGGCTAAGTTTATGGATGGAATACTGCAGAGCCATGAATGTCGCGGAAACACTAGTTGAATTGTATTAGATTAACAAAACAAAGGCTTAGTCGAGTTTGATTTCATTGGAGATGTGTTACCTCATGTAGAACTCTACTCCCGTTTTTTCTATATCACCTTTCACAAGTCCCCGAGTTTCTTGCACCATGGCAATCTGCTTCTCAGTGACTGGCTCGGTGAGATCTTCCACCACAGTGTCCGGGGTTCTGTGTTTCTTCTCGATCCTCTGTCGAAGTTTGGTCATCTATTATCCTACCGTCGACCTGATGTCTGGGGTTTGAAGGGCTGGTTTCCTCTCGTGTGGCGGTCGATGTGGTCGTAGTAGTCTGTCCTGCGATCAGAACTGGTGCTGTATTGATTCTCTCTGCCTTACTTCCTCCGCATCCCATCCTTAATATAAACTAAAAGTAAAATTACGGATTAGACTTGTTGCGAAATTCCTTTGTCCTCATCTTCGTTTTGTTCCGAGAGGTCAAGTTGAAAGAATGATCCATGACTTCCGACCGGGAGCATTTGTGGGAAATTTCGGTGGGACTGCAGCACTGTGTGCCGTCGATCGAGGCATTCCAACCAGCTTCTGTTCAACAGAACAACGGTTTAGTTGAATAAGCGATTTCAGTTAAAATTTGAGAGTAATCCGGAGTTTCTTTTGTTTCAGTGGTCTAAAAACTCCCCCATCTTTCTCAACCAATCAGATGCAAAACTAGAACAAAACGTGACTCGATCACTTCCGCTTTCCACTCTTCAAGCAGCTTGTCTGTTAAGCGTCCTCACTGTCTTAAGATGATGTTAAATTTTTTCGAATTGACCTTTGCCATTATTTTCCTTTTGGTTTTTTGACACGCAATCGAAAACTGTTCTCAACTGTGGTAAATCAAGCCTGAGGATCCACAGCCACCGAGTATAATTTCTGTTTAATGTTTCCTTTCCAGAAAGGATGCACAAAAAAAAAAAAAAAAAAAAAAAAAAAAAAACGTTTGCATTTTTATGAATGTATTCCCCTTAAAACTGAGGCAGCTGTTAAAGGTCTCTCCTCTCATTTATTTATTTATTTATTTTTTTTGGTTATCGTTTGCACAAATATACTGTATGAGAGTCAGGTGGTGATTGCCACCTTATTTTTTTGTTTATCGTTACAAAAGCATTGTATGCATTCAAATGTTAGTATATCATTCATATAAACAAGCAAACAATGGCGGATAAAGGCACTTTCCAATGGAAAATCAACACGACGAATTATCTGTGACACAACAGCCGTGAACCTTTTCGAAAATCCTATCCTTTAGCTTTTAGGGTTGATTAACATATAAGTTCTCCTTGTAATTCCAATATGCTATTTTACAAAAAGGTTATAAAGACAGACCGGCTAATTTTTTTAGAGAGTGTTATCGTGATTTATGGCCAAATTTTCGGATTTAATCGATAAGGAAATACAATGAGAAGGGAGTATAACTTATTGGATCTTGGGAATAAGAAGGTTACAGGATCGTCAGTGGTCGGACAATACACCAACTAATATTCGAGATCCTTCAAAAGGCACTTTAACACTCTGTTACCTATACTTCAATACAATACTAATATATGCCTGATTAAAAAAGATAACAAAAGTTACGCAGATGCGAAAACTAAGCTAAGCAAAAAACGAAAGCCACGAACAAAAACATTTACGCTAAAACTTGTTTGCAATTGATGATCATCGTGATCGTTTTTCTTAAGCGCGACACTCAGTCTTATCAACAGTCAGTCTATCAGCTTTCTGAATTATAAATTAAAAAAACTAACAAGTCAGCCAAAGTATATCAGTAACTCATGATAGGTAAATAAACCTTGAAAAAGTAAAAGCAAAGAAAACGAATTAGCCTGCATGAGAGACGTAATTTTTTGGCGTCCTCCGGGGAAGCGGAGGAAAGCTGTAGACAAGTGTGAAGGGTGGATCACGCGGGAGAGGACCCGTGCCACACGGCGCGCGTCACGCGTGTCTCGCACTTCACTCGCTCTTAGGACGCGCCACGCGTGCACGCAGGTTCGCCTCACCCTTACATGAGCTTGCCTGAAAGGCACGACAATATAACAGCTTTTCTGGAGAAGTCAAGGTCTAGATGTGGTTTTGAAGAAAAATGCCCTACATGTCTGCATACTTGGCTCGCCAAATTATATATTTAAAATCTTTTAACAATTGATCGATGACGATTTCCTTCGGAAGGTACTGAGAATATTCGAGTCTACATTTGTCGCCGTGACCAACTAGGCAGTTAAGACATTTTTAAAGCCTGAGAAGCAGGCAGCATTGTTTTGTTTTAAACAAAGCAATGAAAGTTTGCGCACGTTTCCTGTTTCTTTAACGTTTTCAGAATGAGGCGAAATCGCAGCAATAAACGTTCTATAAAAGACCCTCTAAGAATATTTTTTGGTTGTGTATAGAGTATATGAACTGATGTTTCCTTGTCTATCCCTCCAAAACTTCTTTGGCTCCTGCTTGCATCGTGTTCGCAACGATTCCATAGACAACAGTCCACGCTTCTTTTACCTCTGAAGTAAACTTGTCCCCTAGACCATTGTTAAGAGTGTCGAGTAAAGCAGATCCTGCAACCTAAAATAATTTTTAAAAAAATAAACTACATGTATCTAAATTAAACGAAAACAATAAGGGCAATTCTCAATTGACTGTCGAAAATAATCCAGGATAGCATTGATTTCGCTTTACTTTGCTCTGTGATTGGGTCCAAAAAAATTGCACCACTTTCTCAACCAATCAGATGCAAAAAAACTAAAACCAATCACGACTTGGTCACCAGCGTTTTCTTATTGTTCCTATTGTCTAAAATGTTTTCCTCTCTCCTGATTGGCTGTTGTAATCTCTTTGGTTTTGGGTTTTTAACTCTCAATCTGAAAGCGCTCTACGAATAAAAAGTGTTCCCAGATTTTAGTTTTTTCCGACCTGAATATTTTTGCGTGGAGTATATTTCAGTATGAAAAGATCCTAAAAGTTAAAAAATAGAGGCACAAGTCTACTTGACCAAGAGCTACCACCTGAAGTGTCACTGCTGAACTTTTGACTAACTAGATATTTAATTAACCCCAAAGAAGTCTTGCGATCGCTTCGTTTGTACGATTTCTTACCTCTATAAAAGCTAGTTATTTCACTTAGGAAGTCTTTCCATACAGAAATTTAATGACTCGTGTTCTCCCGCCTCTCTGCTTATTTCCTTGGTTTTACTTTGAGTATTCATTGGCTACTTGGGTGTGACTGCAGATATCGATTTGTTTACTCACGTGACATACATTTCTTTACATTTCATTGCCTACCACGTAATGATGTTCTTCGACTTTGTACATCGTATGTCTCCCTCCCAGGTCCTTGAGAGCAGGAACAATAGAGACCAGATCGTTGAGCGAGTTCACGGCCAAGTCCACGTGTTGCATTGTTACCAGCGCCTGTCTCTTAAGACGATCATCGGCTCTCATGATGTCATCGGATGATTTGTCAATGTCTCGGAATGAAAACAGTTCTAAAATCTTTGAGTCTGCCTTCAACAACCTTAGAGGAAAAAAAAAGAATCAAAAATTGCTTTCTAAGACGAATACATTAAGTAGTAAGTAAAAGGCGCTCTACAAATTTTGTCTCTGTTGAAAAAAGGTGTGCTCAAGAGGGTAAAAGGACGTAAAAGGCGTTAGAAGCGTTCCACTAATCTCGCTCTGCTCCACTATCGCGCCCGCCGCGTCCACAAGAACACTTGGCATAAGCTGGTGCAATTTTTTAAAGATTACATCATATTGCCAAACAATTATTAAAGGTTTTATGAAAGGTGGTAAACAAGTTACTGGATTAATGATTTCAGTCACGGGCAGGCGACTGTAGCCTAAGTGCTCCCTGCCGACGTGGTATTTTCACAGTTGATCAGAACAGAACATTCCTAGACCAGTGACTTTTCTCGATAGAAAGCTGGTTGGGGCTATCCTTCATGACGTATTTTTCAAATGTTGTGTTTTGTTGTTTTTTTTTTTTTGCAGTCTCGGCCTGGCAAATGACATGCGGCATCGCGTAAAACCGCAGGGTTCTAAAAACAGATTATTTCGCAATTTGACCTCATTGCATGGCGTGGCAGCACATCTTTTCATGGTCAAAATACTTTTCTCATCAAACTAGGTTTGATTTGTGAGTTTAAAAAGTTTTTACCTCATCAAATGCGGCTTCTCGCTAATTTATCATGATACAAATGAGCTCGACTATAACGGAGAAATTGAACGATGAAAAACATGCTTTTCATTCAGGGATCAAAGTCGAATCAAATACAGACATCTTGCTATAAGATCTAGGGAACTCTGTTAAATCTTTTTGCTGACTTTCTGTGTCCATACACTGAGAAAGTTTCCTTCAAAACACATGCAAACTGAAGGGTCTCACTTTTCGGCTGGAATACAATAAACCCATGGATGTACTAGGAACACTTTAAACTTGAATTGTTGTAAATTAATATGATGACCAAGGGCAAGCTGATTCAATAACATTTGAGATGTTTTACCTTATGTAAAAGTCTACTCCAACTTTTTCTAGATCACCATTCACTAGCCCCCAAGTTTCTTGCACCAAGGAAATCTGCTTCTGAGTGACTGGTTCCTCATTATCTGGCTTCTGGGTTTCTTGGTGTCCCTCTGACACAGTTTGATCAACGGTTGTCTTACCGTCGGGCTGTTCTCTGTGGTTTAAAGGGCTTGTCTCCTCTTTGGAAGAAGTAATAATGGTGGTAGTTTGTCCCTGATCGAGAGCGATCGGTGCTGGAGCTGTTCTGGTTCTCACTGCCTTGCTACCTCCGCATCCCATCTTTGAACTAAGACTAAAATTACGAATTAAGCATTGTTGTAATTCATGGTCGTGACAACTCACATGGTTCCTTTTAGTGACCTCCGGAAAGCACTTCAGAGAAGGTTCTGAGGGGTTGTCTGTGGCATACCGAACTCAGGGAGAATGAGGAAATGAAACACGAATACAATTAAATTCGAAACAATTTACATTACCCAGTGGCGGATCCAGGGGAGGGGCCTGGGGGTCCCGAGCTTTCCCCCTTAATTTGGGTAAAACAAAAAAGAATCGCAGAAGGAAGAGGAGCCGGCCAGTAGGATCTCTAGATCGAAAGGCCAGGTTACATAAGTTAAAAGAGCTAATTTCGTTGGTAAAAATGTTCTTTTTCTTTACCGTGCGCCCTGATATTTGTATTTTCAAGTTCTGTTTTGTTTAGATGTTTTCAGTATTTTTTCAACATATCTTTTCCCTCGTGCTGTCCAACTTCGCGTGATATTACCAGCTGTTCGGTTAGTTTGTCGTGATTTTGTACAATGTCGTTTCGAAACAAGAGAACGTGTTATTAAAAGATTAACATTTTTAAAGGCGTGTTGCCTAGATGTGATTTTCATTAATCACTACGACAAAAATAGGTTTATATTACACGTAAAAAGAAATCAATTTAGACAAAAAGGTTTAAGCGAACTGTTCTTTAGTCGGAATAATTGTGTAAGCGAGAGAGGGTTTGTTGTTCCAATTAAATCAGTTTACAACAAATTAAAAAAGCTTTTTAGCGAGGTTTCTTTTTGATCCACTTATCAATTGCATTTTGTTTACTATTTCCTGTTGCCATGGCAGTGAAGCCCCCCTCCCCCTCCCCCCCACAAAATTAAGAAAAATAAGTTAACAAAGATCGATTTAACCAGCTTAAAAACATGTTTGAGATTTGATGTGAATGGGGTACGTGACTTACTTATTTCGTTTTGAAGCCATTGGCTTTGCAGGTCAGTTGTCTATTTTGGCGTCATTTCAGTTCTGATCAAGCGTATTATAATATTCTTAACTTTATCTTTTACTAAGTCCTGTTAAGAATTCGGTGTAATTTGTTTGCTAATTAATAAAAGGGGTAAGTTTCTCAATAAACTGTGGTGCTGCGTTAGTGGTAGAGTATAACAGGGTAATTTGGTATATCAACTGAGTTGATGACGGAGGCCAATTTACGGTGGCCAATTTACGGTGGCCAATTTACCGTTATCAACTCGGTTGATAATATTAAATTAACTTGTGACTTGTTATGCGTTAGTTATCGTGAATCAAAAGCTTTTAATCACAACAATACCGATACTTAAATCCTGATCATGCTCAGAAAAATATCGCCTACAGATAATATCTTAACCCCACGGTCCGCAAGAGGGAAACCCAAATGTTCCGGTGTTTACGAATTCCTGGAGTCTATGATAGACCGCAGGAATGGAAAGGAACTCTTGCTAAAAAGACAACTTATGAACATATCAAAAATGCTAATAAGTATTCGGTTTCATAAAGAATAAACAGAACTTTTTCAATCACAAAAGAGTTCTAACCACTTTTATCATGAACTTTAGAAAGCTTATAGAAACTAAGATTGTAGGTTAAGTCATTTGCGTGGAAGCATTTGCGTCGAAGGGGCGTCTTTCTCGTCAGCCTTTTGCTATATGGCAGCGAGATTCAAGTCAGAAGGGAGTTAAAACACTTAACCAAACTGGGTAACTAAGTACCTTTATCGCCCCGATAGATCTTGACTGTGGCTGTTGTAGCTAATCAACTTGTACGTATCTGATCGCTTAAGCGCAGAAACCAAACTAAATCCAAGTGCTTTTGGCTGAAAGCAAAGGCAACAGTTGAAGAGACTAGTTATTTAGTCGTCGTTGTTTACTTTACAGGCTGTGTTATTTTAATGACATTCTTACTGTCTTAAAATTTGCATTAGAACAAGTGAAATAGACAGTAGTTAATGTACTGTTCAAAACATCTGTCAGAGTTATACACCATTTGCCCTGTTTGAATTCAAGTGCGAGAAAAGCTTACTCGAAGGTTTCAGTGGTCCATTTTACAAAGCTCAAGTTTTAATCAGGCTGTAAAGTCTAAAATCTCCTACATGACGCACGAGTGAGTGACGTCACAAAATAACTCGTAGAGTGTTATAGGTGACATCTTCGTTGTGACATGATCTTTGTTATTTACAACACATTAGCATTCAGGTTTTAGAAAGGTCGAGAAAGCTGCTGTAATATTTGCAAAGTACCAGACCAGTGGATTATAACCGCAACTCGGTTACGACAACAACGAAATCCACTCTCCAAACTTGGGGCTGATCACAAATTCACGTCGATGTAAGTGTGTCATTCGGAAATGGGTGTCGCTGCTGGATTTTGTGCATTGAAGGCTCGCTTTATTCCTTTGGGTATTCACTTCGGAGGGCTACGTAGAACCGCCGAAAGCGTAATGACTAAGTTCGGATTCATTCGTTTTGGAAAAGGTGAGATCTTTTGGAGAAAGACTCAAAGGAATGAAACAGAAGCGCAATTATGCGACCTCGAGCGGCAGCGTCTGCAAGTGTATCCTTTTGTTTTGACGTGTCAGTGAACTCCAAAAAATTTTGAAGACATTTTGTGCCTTCATATGTTTTCGCTCAATGTTTTCAAGTTTGATTTGTATTTATTAAAACAGAGCATTTTCAAATCTTTTAATAGAGACTTTTTGATGATTGTGTGGTTGTGGGCCAAAGTTCGTATTTACTTCTTGTTATTGTCGTTTTAATTTTTGCACAGCCATCTTTTACCGGCGCGAGTGAAGCATGAATTCCAAAGAATGACTGCAGCATTTTATGCATGAAAAGTTTTTTTTCGCCAAATGTTCTCAATCTTGATTTGCATAAAATAAAAAAGGGCATTTTGCGAGCTTTATAGAGAGACCTTTGAATGAGGTGCTTGTGGAGCGTGTTTGCAAGTCGTGCATTCGCGAACATTCCGAACAGCGCGTGCTAGATCACAATCGAAATTTAGGAAAGTCCGATCTAAGGAACTAGATAGCTTTGAGTCTGACAGCTTTTCTGAAATTCATCAGAAGCCTTTGAAAGCAATTGCGGAGGAAGTGTTTTTGGGACGCTCGCGAGCCGTTTATGTCTATGAATTCCAAACTTCTGTTGTTTACATTTAAGCTATTGTTACTGTCTGTAATGTTTCATCACTGAAAAACGCGAACGGACTGCTCCAAAAGCTGAAAGTTCAATTCTTGCCATTTGCCGTGCGCATTCGCGAGGCATTTTAATTAACTCATGTTTTATTATTGAGTTATAGTGCCTTTCAAATTTGGCATTCCTTGCTGTGTGGTTAAAAAATTAAAAGCAAAATTTTCGGAATTGAAGCTATTGTTCGTTTTTGGACGATAAACAAAAGAAAATTGTCACACATGTCATCAAAGGGCGTTCCGATTTCTATAGCGATCTTACATTTCCGAATGAAATCCGACGAAAACAAAAAAAAAACTGGAATAAATGAATACTTAACGTTTACTTAACGTTTAATGAACTTTTACTTTCATGGGAAGTTTTCCTGCCGCCAGATTAGAGGCCAGTCTTTTGGGAGGTGGAGAATTTTTAGGGGATCACATCGTTTTCAGGGAGAACGGAGGGGAATCAGTCATCGCTGACATACTATAAAGGGGGCCTTACCCCACCCCCCCTTCACTCAGGCGATGATAGTTTATCAATGCAAAGTCCACTAAGCCATGTGCCTTTTATCCGGGACTATGTCCATTGCCCCCGGGGTACATCCAGTGCCCCCAGACATACCTAATACTGCGAGGTCCATGCAATACCCAAACTATTCTGTGATAAAAAGAATTTTATGCTTAAAACGTCCCCTTAACATCAAATTTTAGGTTGCATCAAATTTTGAGCTGGATCAAATTTTGAGATCCATCAAATGCTTCACCCAGTTCAATCGCTCGGTTAGAACTGGTAACTAGAGCGGAGGCTAGGTTACAGATTAGCGTGCGGCATTGAGTCTTGTTTGACATATATGGAACACACTCATTCATTGAGATTTCTTTGCTCCTTCCTTCACAGGTTCTGCAATAATATCGTAGACAGTACTCCTACTCTTTGATTTTTCCAGTAAAATTACCACCAAGTTTCTTCTCAAGAGCATGAATCAGCGCAGCCCCTACCGACTGAAAATAAAAGTGCTACACTTTGATTCATAATTTGCAAAGCTCAATACTTTGAGAGAAAAAACGCGTCAAGATAAATTACTTCTTATTTGATTAACTGGCTGACTGATTAACTGATGGTGTCCTCTGCGGTTTTCCGTGCGCTTTTAAGTGTCGTGCGGAGAAAATTAGGTGATAAAGACCAGAAAAATTAAAAGACTTGAAAATGCGGGGAAAGCATACAAAAATACATTTTTTTACTGGAAACTTCCACTCTCAAGGATCAAAAGTGATTTTCTAAAATCCATTTTTCTAACCAGGAATTTCTTTGTAGGCCTGTGCAGACAGTTTGGTGTTAAGATAATGAAATATTCCTATACTTTTTCATTTCTCAATTCTTAACATCCGTCTGCTAGACAGTATATTAAAATTCAAAGGAGTGTTTTTATTTTGATCGCACTTGACGGCTAATGAGTTTAGGGATTTATAGCTATAAATTTAAATATAATTTTTTTCTAATTCCCCCCTTTTTCGGGACAAGGTTGAATAAGTTCATGCGATAATACTTTGAAAAAGTCGCTACTCATTTAACAACTGTTTTCCTCAAATATCGCATTTATTTTTATCATGCGTTATCATAGATCGTTGAATCTACTTGTCAGATGTAGTTTGTGAATCAAGATGGGTGTCGACTACACTCAGATATAGATACAAAGGGACTTAAGTTTTCGTCTAGATCTTCTTTACTTTTGTTACACGACGAGTGATAAGTCCCTTGCTGGAACTTCACAAGATGAATGCGCATGCTCACCAGTCTACATTTGATTCTCGGGGGCAAAGGCCAGATAATTTATTGTAATGTACATGAGAGTGTGGATCTTAAAGAGAAGCGACAGCCCTATCAACGTGTTGCATGGCATTTCTATCTTGACAATCTACTAACATTAATGTAGACTTCTAGTCTGTGAGTTTTGATTTAAGAACTGGGAGGTAAATTTGTTTTATTTGGTTGTCCTGCATGTTCTTCATATCAAAGTAGACAATATCTACAACAATTTTATTAAACTACCAATCTCATTTAGTTAAAATCTGGCTTCAAGATTTGAATTTGTGGGTGGTTCGAGGCAAATACACACTGGATTGCGTGCAATCTGTGGGTTTCTGCACTCTTTTTTTTCGTGAACTATACATCTGCTAAAAGCAGTTGGAGATGATTGTTTTCACATGCATGTAGCATCTGTAATAGTAAACTGTAGTAAACTGTTCCACATAGAAGATCATCTTGGATGCTTCGACTACACTCCACTCCCCTCTCCCCCTGGCGTCGCTTCTTCTATATCAAAAGCAAACGATTTTTATTTACAAGTTGGCGGTTTTATTTCCAAATAAAGAATAATACAACCCAATCTTCCTTGGTTTGTCCATGTAAGGATTGAAATATTCATACAAAAGCTGTTCAGCTGGTTTGAAGACAATATTTTTATAATGTACAGCATCGTATCTGTCGCTACTTCCGTCGGTTCCTTCCGGAAACGAATAACTCATCGGAAAAACATCCAAAATCTCAATTCCCGCATTACACATGGCCCAAACAGCGTATGCATTGTACAACTGTATGCGCTGTGGAGAAACAAGGAGCAAAAAATGATCAGAATAAAACTGATTATTCAATTAAAATATAATCATTTTCAAGCACGTGTCGAAAGTAATCATTAACTGCATGTACCGGTTTTTAATTTACTTCGCTTTGCAATATTCTAAAAAGTTTTACGCCATCACTGTTTTACCGGGCGGGGTGTCCATATGGGAACCGGCAAACTGGTTTTGATAATCATAATCAATTGATTAGAACATAGGTCTTAAACGTACCTGAAGAGTTAAGAACCGCGGGCTTGGATGGTCATGATACAAAAATCTCTCTCTGTGAATGGCTGTCGTCGTTTTCCAAATCAGTTTCCCTTTGAACTTTAGTTCGATCACGCCATGTTCATTCTCCCAAGTCTCTTTAAACATGTCAATAATTGCATCAATAAGCTTCCGATAAATTCCAAATTTTAAAGCGGATACGTAATGCAGTCCACAGTTGAGAATTATCACACTGTTTTCGTCCATTTCAGGGAGATAAATGACGTTTCTAATTTCTTGTAACACGCGGGAAGGATCAAAATCTCGATAAGTCCTTTTGTACTTTTCAACTTCCACTGGCTCAATCATGTTGTACACCCAAGTGTACGTCACATTACAGGCCTTGAATATTTCCGTGCAGAGAGATGTGTAGTAAATAGAATCGTAAAATCGCAAGGCTAATGAATCACCATAGATCCACAGAGTTCCCTTCCTCTTACGTGGAGAATTCTTGAATAATCTCTCTGAAAAATAAGGGTTCAAAATGTGTGCCATAAGCAACATGGTTTTTTTTTTGTTACAGTCCATTTGGTCAAGAGAATATCAACCACGTTATCATGGGAGGAATAAATAAGTATAACTTCCCTGCGTGGCGCGAAATTTAAAATAGACTTAAAAGATTATTGTGGGTCAGGGAAAAGGGGAAAGTTTTCTCAGTTAATATTCCCTTAATTTGGTAGGTACGGAAAATCAGACTCCACTGCAAGTTCACTCTAAATATTGATGTTTTGCCTTTCATTCGTGATTATCCTTTAAAATAGTCAAATGCGAAACGACAACAGAACAAAGTCTAAAATTTTCTCAGCTTGATGGGTTAATATATAGATTTAGCCAAGCCTAAAAGCGGAGCTCGCATTTTTTTTTCCTGCACGTCTCAAGGGCACAACGCCTTGCCCCGGCCAGAACTAGAACCCGGTGGTCCGACTCGGAGCCCAGTGCACTGACCACTGGACTACTGGACAAAGCCGTGGCGTTGACGTGCCCGCGGTACAGTTGACCACGCATGTTAAGAGTAGCACCTTATACGGTCGAACGGTCGCATGGTCGTACTCTATTTTTGATAAGTATAGGGCTTCGTTGCGCGCACTTCACGCGTTACAAGCACTGCTATTGTATAACTGTTACAATCGATTACTCAGTCATTAAACATGTTTGGATCTGTACTGCCATATCGGGGATTTCTCCCGATTATCTATATAGTACCTGAGTTCCGCTGCCCTTTGTCCTAAAGCAGAATTGTGGATGACTTGTCCAGAGGGAAAACTTCCCACCCCCACCCCCCTCCCACCCCTCCCACCCCCCCCACCCCTCCCACCCTCCCACCCCTCCCACCCCTCACACAAAAAGACTGAGACTGGTTAAATTTGAGACTTTTTCAAGTCTTTGTACCTTAAGAAAATTTGAAGAGATGTGGGAGTGTATAACGATAGTCAATCTTAAATGAAAGTACTACACCTTACCAGGGGCGTGTGGTACCCAAGTCCTATTGCTCCAGTAACCGAAGCCATCCGATAGAAATTTACAATTTGTTCCACAATATGACGGATATCCAAGCCCGTAACTCAAAAATTCTGCAAAAGAAAAATGACAACACTGAAAAACCATGATTTTGACTGAAAGAACCAAGTTATGGAATGGGTGCGAAGGAACTACTTTCGGTTCGTATGCCGTGCGAATTGGGTAGAATGTTAACAACCATAGCGGTAAGGATTCATTGATCGGGGTTAACCGCGAGCGTGACGCAATTCCACGTAATTCTCACTTCGCACTTGCCTTCTTTTGCCTGAAAAATGCACAAAATTATAAAAAAAAACCTCCTTTTCCATCGTTGAACAAGCTTAACTCGTAGTTTTTCAAAGGAAAAGAGAGGTTAATTATGATTACAAACTGGTCTGATAACTAGAGAACCGTTTCCAAAATCTGTCGACACGGCTCACATCTTTTCAATTAGATCAGTTTGCTCAGATAAAAAGTGCCCAAGACAACAACGTTGTTTGAAAAAACGTAAAATTAAAACCAACACGCTAATTAATACCATCTCTTCTCATTGGCCCTTTGCTCGCAGGCACGTCAAAACAGAATTCCTCGCCTCCCGAAAGCGGTTGCATTAAGTAAACTTGCTTTCCGTTTAGAATTCCTTGTGGCTGGTTGCTTCCGTGACTGTTCCCTGAAGAAGAGACAATAATGGATGATAATCTTAACCCTTTACCGTTAACTGAAAAAAGAATGGTTTATTGGTTAAGCTGTTTTAATCTCCGTATTTGAAGCTGTATAATGACTAGTCTAAAACTTTAAAATCGTATTTAGTCTCCCCCCTGTTCTTTCGAGAGAAAGGACTCTGAGTAGATTTTGTTCCCTGGTTGATGCAATCGCACTGTAACATTAAACACGACTTCAGCTTTAAGTAACAGTAAGAGAAGATGATACAATGAGACTGGCCGTCCGCCTGGCTTATTCCAAAGAACAAAACACGTTCGTTTAATCCTCTCTTGGTTACCTGCCTACCTGAAACAAACCAATAATCCGGGGGGTCTTTCATCCCGTCACATAGGGAATGATCCAACACCGCCGACAAGCAATAATTTCCTGGATGTAGGATCAAGAACAGAATCTCGTATTCTCCGTTACCAAGGTCAGTTACCGTGGGCGCAAACCCAGTGGGACCCGAGATAAAAACTCGCCAATAGTCCCCCCCGACCGATTTTGGAAGGTCCTCAACAGTCTGGGACTGAATGATAATCCTGCTAAACTGTCCAGCAGGTTGAATATCAGTGGATGAAACAAAACTCATTCTCCCATTAGTCCGGTTTTCTACATTCCATCCAGGTAAATTATTTTCGTAGACCGTGTTTCCTATGCAAGGTTCCCGTAGCCGTCCCCAATCTACTCGTGCATTGCGCATTCGACACCAGTCCCTGCCAAAGTCTTCTAAAGTGTTTCTGTTGACATTACTTGTCAGATATAGTGGATAATACCACTTGAGGTAAGTAAACAGCGATATTATCACACACCAGTAGAAGCAAAATGCTCGTCGTAATAGAAATAGTCGTGGCAACCCTCTCAAAGTTCCGACTTTATGTACTCGTGTTTTGATGGACTGCTGGATGGACGGAATCAATTTTTTCCTTCGCATACTGTCACAATTTTGGTCGTCAGTAGAAGATGTAATGATGAAATCTGGGTCATCCTCATCAATTCCGTTCATATGATCTGCGCGCAACACAAAGAGAAAAATTGTTCACTCCAGAGACGAAAAAATGACCTAATTCCAAAAAAAAAACAAATTGGCACTTGAACAGTTGAATGGAACCTGTCTGAAAGCAACCTGTTCCCCTTTGCACTCGTCTCCGAGCTATCAAAACAATTACGGTCCCCGCTTTCGATTTTCTCCCGCCCGAAATAGAATTCATTCAAACAGAATGGAACTCGCAGCTAAACCATAGTCAAATTAATTTGAGAGATTTTACGCAAAGACAATGAAGATATTCTAGCTATGCTACACTTGAAACTGCTGGTAGAGCGGCTACTTAACCGGCGCTAATCAATAAGCCGTTTCTCTTACCTCTCAACTTTAAGAAAGTAGTTGTTCTCCCTGTTGCTCGTTATCCCATCTTCGAGTTCCAAGACATTAGAAATATCTTTTCTTGTGTGACATCAGGTGGTGTGATTAAAAGAGAATAATAGAATCCTCCTTACCGGTGAATCGTAAAATTCACTTGCTGATTTTTTTGTTCTTTGTTCACCCGTCGTTATCCGTGTCACGTGATTTGTGACGTCTGCCGTAAGACCTGTTGAGTTACTCGGGTCTCATTGATTATACTACGCCTTTACTATTGATTGCAATTAAGCAAAACTTTCAACTTGAGGTGCATAAGAAAATAAAGAAATTCCAATTTTTTTTTTCTTCATTGAAAGCTTAAACGTTCATGTATTTTCTATTAAAATTTACAAATGACAAACAGAATGACATGAGTCCGAGCTTGGTTGTAATTTCAATGTTGAATTACAAGAATATTATTTAATTATAGTAATTCTCGCTGAAGTACATGTTATATCCTGTAATGCGAGGTTTATCAAGTTATTCCAATTTTAAGAAATCTATGAAAAAAATTGTATAATTTTAGAGAATAATACATAGGTGCGCGTAGATATGGAATTTCTTTTCCAACCGTCTAGCTAATACGTTTAGAAATACTGATTGACCGTGACAACATTTCATATTTATTAAAATAACAAGAAAAAAAAGAAAGTCAATTCTATTGCAGGGTTGGGCCTCTGAAATAATGAGAAATACAATTTAAAAAACCCTTTGATGGGCAGCTCTGAACCAGGAAAAATCAGCTAGCGAAAAAAAACCAAAATGGCTGCCTGCGAACTGGACATTCGTTAATGTATGCTAAGACTTGTGAGAGAATGTGGCAAAACCACAAAATTTTTATAATCTTTGCACGCCGTCCTCCAGTAACATTTTTTAAATAAACAATATCAAAATTCGAATAAGGCCTTTAAAAAAAATCAGAGGTAAAATTTAAAAATTCGAGCTGTTGCCGATCAACGGCATCATCAAGGATAAGAGAAATATTTTTAGTAGAGCTTAAATATAGATTAGTATAATCAATTTCCTTGGATTGTTTCATACACCGTAAATTTCTCCAAGTTTTAAAATTTGCTGGTTATCGGAGATGATTTCGTAAAGGCAGTTTAACCGCCAGCCAAAAGCTGACGTTTCGAGTGTTAAGTGGGGCAAATAAAATGTTATCAATAATATTAATCCCCTGAAGAGGGCAAACGCCGAAAACGTCAGCTTTCCAAAATTCTCTTCGGCGGTTTGTTTTCCTTTATCACCATGTGGTTGGTAACCAACTAATTGTTTCACCAACGCACCACAACAATTTTTTTAAGAAAGTAACAATAAACTCGTTCATCTCCAAGGCTTCACACTTCTCTGTTTGTGTTATTGACTGTTGTCCACCGAGGGCTGAAGTATTCGAGAAGAATGTGTTCCGCGGGCTTGAACACCAAATCCTTGTAGTGGACGGCATCGTAAGGATCCAAGCTGTTGTCGGTTCCGTTCGGAAAAGACGCACTAATTGGGTACACATCAAGTACCTCAAAACCAGCTTGACACATAGCCCAGGTGGAGTAAGCGTTGTACAGTTGAACCCGCTAGAGGGTGTAAATTTGAAAGAGAGAATTTCCAAGTTATCTGACAATGCTTCCTGGCAGTTTTACTCAACTGATCATTTTCAGGGTTCACATTATATCGAACTACATTCTTTAGAAGAAAGGAACGCAGCGGTCAAACGTCTGTGCTTGTACGGAAGTTGAAAAGGCTAAGAGGCGGCCAAAAATTGTCATTGAAACTTAAGATAATTGAAAAACCAGTAATTCATACTGTTTTAAAAACGTGTAGCTTTTTGGTAAAACCCTGAGCAAAAGGGATCAACAGAACAACTGTAATTAAATAAACTTCGCGTTCGAAAAATTTTAAGGTTTCCCTTTCCCTTACTTTGTTTCATGATTTTTTTTCGGCGTAGAAAATCCGTAGAATCAATTTGTTCATACTTAACATTTGATCGATGCGTTACACGAAGCGTAATTCGATTTTGAATATGAATTTAGGCGTACAATTCCTGGTATGCACACAACAGGCGACGAATCTCCGCGAGACTGTTTCCACGCTTGTGCACGTTTCTATCGATCATATACCATGTAGTGGTAACTGGTTGAATTTTGGTCTTTTGAACCCGACCTCGCTCAACGTTCAATAGAACTCGCCATTGATTTACTCAGTCACAAAGAGTAAACACAAACATATAATTTTGCGCGCGGTCTGGTAGCTACCATTAAAATTTCATTAGTGTTTGATTTTTGCCGATCATTCAACTCACTTAACCACGTATTTCAAATTGATCTCGAGCGCAAATTGTTAAATTCAACATTACAGAAATTACACAATGGACGTACCTGACGAGTTAAAAATCTTCGCTTGTGATGATGGGGATATCTTAACCTTTCGCGGTGAATAGCAGAGGTTGTCTTCCAAATAACTTTCCCTCGGAACTTTAGTTCTTTTCCTTTGTTGTCTGTCCTTGTCTCTTTAAACAAATCTACTATTCCGTCGACAACCTCGCGGTATGTTGTGAAGTTTGTCGAAGTCATAAAATGCAGACCATGATTTAAGAGAATGACACTTTTCTCGTTGTTCATTTGTGGCAGATGAATTACTTTCGCAATGGCGTCCAACACTCGGGACACATTTATTGGTAGGAAATTTTGTTGCTGCATTTCCACTGTAGCGTTTTTAATTGGATAAATCCAGTTGTACGAGAAACTGCAAGCGCGGAAAACCGTTCTACACAGCGGAGTTTGGCGGATAGAGCGATAAAACCGACCCGCATTTGAATCTCCATAGACCCACAGTATACCCTCGCGGTTCCTTGGAGAATGTTTCGTCCACAAACCTGTAGAAATTGAAAGAACACCCTATTTCACATTAAGCTATTTTCGAGATCTCTGAGGCATGCGCATTTGTTTCAAAACGAGGAGAAGTGGGAGATCTTTGACGTGAAAATGCTTTGAATTCTATTTTGATGCAAATAAATTTTCACGAGCAAGATCGGCTTTACATTTTGTCATATTTTGAAAAATCTTTTTACTTTAACTCTGAATGTGTTGCAGCCTGATTCCTTCAAGTAATGATTTCTTCCATGTGAAGTCTTCAGCGATTTAATACTAGCGGCTGGTAAGTAAATTTGATCGGACTATAAGAAAGAATGAAGTTTCCGAAAACGTATGCCTCTGGTTTGATCCCCTTGCTGTATATTGGTGAAACGACCTGCATTACCTTCCACTTGTGGTTTCCAGGTTCCGTTAGACCAGCGGCCGAAGCCATCCCATAAGAATTTGCAATCCTCCCCGCAAGAAGGAGGATTACCAAATCCATAACTGAGAAATTCTGAAAGCGTGAAACGACGTTAGAATTTGTCCAAAAAGCTAAAAGATTGATAATTGAGTATTGAGATATTCCAAAAGAGTGTTGATCACAACTAAACACACATTAAAAATATATTTTAACTTTTTAGTCTATAGCAGGTTTGAGATAACATATTGATCGTCAAAAACGTAAACTTCCCTTTAAAAATTTTCTAACTAAACATACTTGAAATTGGGAAGGGTTTTTCCATATTTTCCAAAACTGACCAGTTGCGATTTTTGATTTAGTGTTTGAAAACCAAAATTAAAGTTATCACGACAGCCAATCAGAAGAAGGAAAATATCGCGGAGAGCCAATGAGAACTCAAAGTCAAAACAAGCAAATTGTCTTAATCGCAGGAAAGCGCTGGTGAACAAGTCGCAATTGGTTTAATTTTGAATCTGATTGAATATGAAAGTGGTGCGAGCGTTCTTTTTTTCTTTTGACTGTAACAATATCAGATTTCTCCCGAATGTTTTATGGGAATTTGCTCCAATTAGTTAAGTGCGCGTAATCCAGTCCATGAACTCTCACCCCCACCTACGTGTGGTTTCACCCTATGAAAGTTTTTCCCATGGAATTAAAACCTGGATTCGTGCCAATCCCCTCTCGGAATAAGGGGGTAAGTTTCTAAAGAAACTGTGGTGCTGCGTCGGTGGGAGAGTATAGCAGGTAATTTAGTGTTAACAACTGAGTTTAAAACGTAAATTGGCCACCGTAAAGAGTAAAATAGCTGACGTTTCGATCGTTAGCCCTTCGTCAGAGCGATAGACGCTCGTCGGTTTTTTTACTCTTTACGGTGGCCAATTTGCGTTTTCAACTCAGTTGTTAACAATAAATTACCCTCTCAGAATAACTCGGGGCCGACCTAGGTGATGAGAGGTGTGCTACCTTCATATCTTGTAGGACCAACCGGTGACGCCACTTCTATTGTTAGCGGTATTCCTTCCCAAAGGGGAGTTTGCAAATAGACGTAGGGTTCCATTAGGGTCCCGTGTGGTTGCCCGTTTCCATGGATATTTCCTGATGGACAAAGAGAGAAACGAACTAAATCTTTCCCGCTCAGACTGTAACTCCTGATCGATGTATTCATAACCAGGGCAACCCCCCAGCTCCCGAGGGAACACGGCGGCTAAGCGTCGAACAAGCGCGAGTTGATCAATTTTCACCGACTTCTCACGCAAAATTTGAAAGGAAACATACACAAAATCTCTCTCAGGTAAAACAATAGTATAAAATGCTTCAAATAAAATCTGGAAAGGAAACAAATGGGAGAAAGGAAAACTTGAGACTCTCTGAACACAAAGCTTTTTCCGATAAAAGGTGTCCTGTTGACTGACCATTTCATTTGTAGCTCTACGAAAAAGGAAACACAGTTTTAAAACACCGTGAATAACAAACGTCCGTGGCTGGTTATAGCTCCAATAAGTGAAATAACACATCTTTGTTCTGAGAGCCTGAAAGCATACCTCTTAGCCAAAACAACGTTCGCTCACTTAGACCTTTGATCGCTTTTCTTCCTTGAGAGGATTCCGGGAACCATGTCATAAGATAATTTTTTTTTGAGGTTCTCAGAAATTCTTTACGATTCATAGAAAACAATCGTCTACCACAACTTACCAATCATAAACCAGTATTCAGGTGGATTTTTCATTCCGTCGCACAGGGAGTAATCCAAAACAATCAATCCAGAGTAGGTACCAGGCTCCAGTATAAGAAACAACACCTCGTACGTTCCATTTTTGTGATCAATCACTGTCGGTGCCAGTACTGATGGGCCCCATATAAGAACCCGCCAATCGTCACCCCCGATAGCCTTAGGTTGGCCACTGGACGTTTGGGACTGAATACTGAACCTACTAAACTCGCCTGCAGGTCTGATATCCATATAAGGAATAAAGCTTTGCCTCGGGTCAGTCCTGTTTTCAATCCCCCAACCAGGTAGACTTCTACCAAATTTGGTGTTCCCTTCACAAGGGGATCTTAGTAATTCCCAGTTTATCGAAACCCTTCGCACTCGACACCAGTCCCACTTGAACTCCTCTAAACTGTTGCGATTTACCGTGCTCGTCAGATATAAGGGAAAATACCACTTGAGGCACACGAACAGGATAACTGTTAATATCCAAAAGAGAAAAAATGCTCTGCGCAGTATAAACACCCTCGGTAAACTTCGTAAAGTTCTGCCTCTTGTCAGGAGAATTTGGGCCGAAGCGCAGAATCGGGTGAGGTTGCGCCGCCAATCTGGAGGGCAGCGGAGAAATGCATAAAATGCATTCTGGAATGCGCTGTTAGCATAGGTTTGTTCGTCACGCTGTTCCAGATAAACATCAACATCTCTGCGAGACTCGGTCATAGAAAGCACTCTTGAAAACTAAGAGCGATTTGAACATGAGAGGAGCCTAGGATAAATGAACAGAAATGAGCCAGAAACTAACGATAATGCATGGCTAACGGCTCATAGACACAATGTCTATTAAGGAAAAGTTTTGTTGTACAAAATAGTAAACAGAACCACAAAACAATTAATTAACAGTAGGAGGTTCGTGAACGCGATCAATGACAGTTATTCTCGCGACTTTCTTCAAGGAAACTATCATTATAGTTTGGAAAAGACTAGCGCGAACTTTCTCCTCACCGCTTCACCTCAGAATAACATATTATGGTCATGAGAATAAATGAAATGACGGCCAATTTAAGAAGCTCTTGATTGTTAAACCGACTCTCCTTGTCAGCACCTTAGAAAATGTTTAGAGAGCAGTATGGAGAATATGCCTGTTGATGTTAGGGGAAAAAAGGTCTTAATTATTTTTATTCAGACACGGATATTGCTTCTTGAGACGATAAGAATTAACACTCGGCTCATTGGTTCTTTCTGAAGACACTCGACTTCTGGCAACCTGATCTCGGGTTCATTTTGTGGAATAAAACTATGATAATAACAAAGATCCCAATGCTTAAATTGCACAATTTTCAAGATTCCTGACTCGTAACCCTCCAAAAATAATCTTAGAGCAACTGGAACAAAGATTAAGGCAAAATAGAGAAACCGACTTTTAAAGTTTCGCAGCTTTCTTTCAGCTTTAATCGAGATTCTGGCCATCAATGCTATTACTAACGAAGCAATAATCTTCATGGCTGTTCTTCAAGAAACCTCATTAACTATCTCAGCGCTAAACGTGAAATTACTTTTGTTTTGTTCAGTCACGCTTGTATTGCGACCGGTAATACCAGCAAAAATATAATTTTAACTGATTTGAAATTATTGTCGACAAACCTCTGTTGTGATAATTCAAAAGTATGATTTCTTCTTCCCTAGAAAGCATCAAATGGCTTCATTCCATGCGGTAGGGATTAAACGATCGTCAAACGAATTGAATTTCTGTCGTCCCTGTAGTCTTTTTGTTTGATTTAACCTTGGAAAAATATAATAAGGTTCTTTCCGTAGCACGTGATGTTTTAGTACCAGTCGCTGTTTTGGTGCTCTATTCACATCAGAAATAATTGGAAACAAATAATCCTTTATTTGTTCTGGTAGTTTGCAGTTTGTGTTAAGATCCGTTCGACAAAAACTATGCCAGAATGTCGACTCTAACGGATGAGTTGTTAGAAATTTTGTTTTAAATCCTAGAAAAGCTGATAAATCAAAGCGTACTACAGCACTTTCTTGACAAAATAGAAGAAAAATAAGTATTATGCTCTGCTCTGTCTAATTTCAATCTTGGACGGTTCCGTCTGATTTCGAACGGTCCCGTCTAATTGTAGACGGTTCTGCAATTATTTCCGATTAGCTTTGTTCTTTTTCTAACTCTTCGGTTCCGGTTCCGATGAAATGTAAATGGCAGCACACTACAGGTAAGAAAATGATTTTATTACAAGCTATCTGTTGACAAAAATTGTCACCCTTCTCTCTTGTAAGTTCTGTAAAAATAATCTTCCAATAGTCTCTCCGCCGACTCGAATACGAAATGTTCATAATGCACAGCGTCTCTCGGTCTGGAGGGTGTGCCCGTCCCGTATGGATAAGAATCGGTCAGCGGATGAACGTCCAGGACAGGGACATTGGCTCTACACATTGCTGAGGTGGCGAAAGCGTTAAAGAGAAGAACTCGCTGCTGAGAAAGAAAATTGGATCAATATCAGTATCTGGGCTTCTAGCCACCTACCCCTCCCCTAACCCAACAACAGTCAATTGATAACAATTTAGGGTTAATGTTGGGTTAGGGGAGGGGTAGGCGGGTAGTTGCCCAGGTACTGATGTAGATCCAAAAAATTAATACAAAATGGTGTTTGATGCGAATATTGTCAAAAACAAATGGAAGATATATCCGAGTGAATAACATCTGTAGGAAAGTACTCCTAATAAATGAACATTTCATACCTGGTATGTTAAAAATCTCCTAGCTTGAATGTGTTTCCCGTCAAGTTTTTGTTTATTCAAGGCCGTTGTTGTTCTCCAAATCATTTCTCCAGGAAAAAGTAGATTTCCATCAGACCTCTTCACCATCTTTGTTTCTTGGACGAGTCTTATTAGCGACTCAATTGTCTTCTGATAGTTAGAGAAGTTTGTACTCTCCAAGTAATGTAGACCGGCATTAAATAAGATAACACTGTTCTTGTCAAAAAATGGTTTGGATATGACATCTAAAAGTTCACTAACAACTCTCATAAAATTAAAATCGAGATTGTCATCTGCGGTTTTAGCAGAAGAAATGTTTCCTGCGAACAACAAAGAAAGAAAGCATTGGAAATGTGAGCCCCTTCCGAGTGACCGAGCCCCAAATCTTACTAAGAAATCTTGTAGAAATTTGAAATATATTGGAATTAAACTTCATCACCTTTCAACTGATATATCCAGTTGTACGTGTGCCCGCACCACTTGAAAACGTAAGTGCATAGCGGTCTCGGCCTGACTCCCCAGAAAAACTGCTCACTGACCGAGTCGCCATATATCCACAGCACACTATCTCTCCGCAGAGGACTAGGATCTAAGGAACTGCGCCTGTCTTTATCTGGAGTAAAATTATACGAAGCAGTTAGACTAGTTCTCTCAACGATGTTTCGTTGGAAAATACAATTTGCTCTTTCAGTTTTCTCGATGATGATGACTTGCACTCAGTTTGTTCAGACGTCAGTAACAACTTCCATCGACAAAGAGACTGCCTTCTCATAAAGAGAAATTATTATAATGTAGCTTTATCGCAATTTGTCACAACACCTACGGTGAGTCTTTGTGATTGTATCTTGAATCTATTCCGGTTTCCTATTGGCTACCCATCTAGACAATCCCTAGGCTTCGTCGTGCGTTCCAAACACACGAACTAGTAAGGAAGGAACGCGTGACAAACCGACAATGAGGTGAGAACTCGTGACCGTGAGAAAGGTAGGGGTGACTATGGAATACAAATGTGTGATCATGGTGTAAAAACGCGTGACACAGGCGAACGAATGCGTGACATAACCCAGAAAATGTTAGAGCCGGAAAGGAGTCTTCATCTTACCGTCTCCTCCTATGAAAGGCCGCCATGTGACTGACCCTTGTCGACCATTGACCCAATTGCCAAATCCATCCCAAAGAAATTTGCAGTGAATTCCACAAGTTAGGTCGAAAGCTGCGGTTTGCACCACTGAAAAGAAATGAGATCAAATCAGAGCTCGTCGATTTTTTGTTTTGGCTCTGAAAAGGTAGCACTCAGGTGGAGTAATAGAACTAGAAATGCAGCTACAAAGCAATAAAATCCTTGCAATGGCCAATCAGATGAAAAGGGAGAATCACAAAGAGCTATTGAGAACTGAAACAAAATTAAGCACCTTTAAGAGCGGGAAACGATGCACGTGATCAAGTCGTGAATGGTTTTAGTTTCACGTGTGATTGATGAGGAAGATAATTTGTGTTTCCTCGACCACCAACAGAAAGAAGAAACTTGTGTGTAAATTAGAACTTTATTCAAGAGTCAAATAATCCTCGATGGAGCAAAACCAAGGATTCTTCTACATCCCTTTAAATAATCATTGAAGATTGCTCTCCCTAATTACAATGAACCATTAAACAAGAGTAAGGTTTCCAAAGAACCTTCCACCAATATGTAACTTCCTTGATCACGCAGCGTGCCACTATGCTTTAATGTATCGCCTCACCTTGATATAGAGGCTGTTTCCCAGGAGGCATCGGACGTATGGTAATCCATATAGGGTTACCAGATCTCAGGGGCTTCAGAATGTAAGGCCGTTCAGCTTTACGTTTAGTGGGTCCCAGTACTCCCTCTTGTTGGTTTTTGCCTTGAGCGTTTCCTTCAAAGTATCAAATTTGTCAAACGTTTTCGCTGAAAATGTACCGGTTCCCTTAAAATACTCCTGGGTAGAGAGAAGCACTGTGAGAGTAAACTGTTTTGCTCAAGAACACGACACATTGACCCAACAAGGTTTGTAGCCCAGACCTCTCGACCTGGAGTCCAGCGTGCTAATTATTCAGCTACCGCGTCTCCTAGCAACATTAGGGTTACAAATAATGTCTTCACCTGTAGGTTAGATATCTTGATTATCAAAAGAGCTATGGGGAATTTTCCGTTTGGAATGAGTACTGTGTGGGATATTTGTACCTTGGAGTGATCCTCTTTTGGTCAACGAGGCTTACTTCTAGGTTCTTTTATTGAGAACTACCGGATTTCTAGCATTATCAAAAGATAGCTGCGTGCGTCTGCTTAACTGTAATTTTGCTACGCTTATTCTTAATATGATCAAGTGAAAATTAATCCTTGCAGCTAGATCATTCCTACGAAAATCTGAGAGCGTTAAAATCTTGAAAGATTGAAAAATGTTCTTTAGGTTTAGTAATTTCTCGGAATTTAAATTTCATTGATTAACAGCACCAGAGACATTAAAGGTTAAAAAAACAATGAAATTCAGTTTGATTGTTCATATATATTAATGCTGTGCTATTGAGCGCTAATATTGCAAATATTATAATTATTCGGCAACTTGGTGACAACAACAACAACCGCACTAGAAGTGATTGACTTACCAACAATAAACCATTCAGAAGGCGGATCTCTAAATCCATTGCAAAGCGAATGATCCAAAACCGCTTCTACCTGATAATTACCGGGCTCCGTAATAAGGAACACGATTTCATAGGTCCCATTCATGTGATCAAAAACAGTCCCAGCAACTGAGGCAGGGCCCTTGAGCTGTACCCGCCACGAGTCTCCTCCGATTGTCTTTTCCTGGCCATTGCTCGTCACTGTTCTGATGCTGAACCTGCTAAATTCACCACACGGTCGAATGTCCCACATAGAAATGTAACTCACATCGGGGTCCGTGCGGTGTTCCACTTCCCAGCCCGGCAATGAAACACCCCAGGCTAGGTTCCCACGGCAAGGTTTTAATATTTGTTCCCAGTCCACTCGCATATGTCTTATTCGACACCACTGTCTCATGAAGTCAGTGGTTCTGAGTTGATCCGATGACGGTGATTGGATGATTTTAATCAAAACAATGGTAGACAAAGTTATTGCGAGTATTAACCATGTTCTCTTCCTTTTTGAGAATTTATAGCTGGGACAGGGCTCCTTACGGACCATTCTGCTAGTCCAATCCACGATTACATTGTTTAGTAAGAACTGAAGGGCAAAAAGACCAGTTTAACACAAAAAAGACAATGAGAAAAACAATAGACCTACCTCAAAACTTGATGATAAACTCTGATTAATTTTATTAGTCTAAAATTATTTGTAGATTTCGTAGGACAAGTACAGCGTTGTCAACGAGAATTTGAACTCGATTAAAAACTTGCGAAGTTACGCTCAAAATCCACTGAAAATCAGTTTAAAACAAATTCCCATGGTATTAAAAATACATATCACGTTTTGGATTTTCCTATAAATACAGTAACAGGTACGATTTATTGTCGTTGACGACGTTTTGGTATTTGCGCTAACAAAAATTGCTATAGAACTGCGTTTTTTGCATTCAAATCTAAGATTTGGAGAAGCCTTTCTATTAGATTACTAAATATTGTTTATCAGTTCGTGAGAACAAATAGTAAAGGTCTCTATTGCCTATGAGAAACTGAACTGCTTCTTGAGAAACAGCGGTAGATTAGAAATGCATTGCTTACTGGTCAAATCGGCCCTGTAACTAACTAATCTGATTAATTATGTGCTTACCTGTTCATGATTAACGATATTTGGAGTTACTATCGAACATTTTTCACGTTCTCTTCGCGGAAGCTTCTTTCAATTCTTTTCAAGCGCAAACTGTCCGTGCGCAGGTGTAAATGAATTATCATAAATTAATTACCCGTAATCAATTGCGCGCCAGGTTTTTAAGAACGAGTGCGCAGTGAATTTCGCAAGATTTATCCAACTCTCAAGTTAAATATGGAAGTTCCTAATGAGCAATTTTATTTCACCCTTACGGTGTTCTAAAGAGCCATTTATTTAGCATCTTTTAAGAGGTCTTCCCTATTAAGTTTAGTTTGGAACTAGCATTGGAAGCTTTGCAACTTTATGTTAACATAACGCAAAAGGTTTAACATGCAGCGTGACCACGCGAAGTGTCAAGATTCTGGAAAAATACACTCCTGATACCAAGGGTTGAATTTAAAATCCATACATTCATAAAAGCTTGATTAATATCAACATGTTTAGCGCACTAAGAACCTGAACAGAAATTTAGAATTGAACTGAATTGAATTGAACTGAACAGAAATTTAGAATTATCACTCTTTGTTCGTTCAGCGATTCCGATTTTTATACCTTCACAAACTTACGCATCTTGATAGCTGACTGATCATCGAGAATTGATGTGCACGGGAACAAAACCAGCACAAAACGGACGACTTAAACATGATGAATTTTTCTGATTCGAATTTCAAAAATATATCAACCTTGATACGAAAAAGTGACCTTTTAGTTAGGTTTCCCTTGTTAGATAATTGTCCAATGGCATCTATGTCTAGAATAGCAAACTAAAACAACAGAACTGCTACTTTATCAGCTTATTCTTCTTTATTCACATAACGGAAATGACCATCGGGTAAATGCAATCACGTGCGCAGCCCGTGCACTCAGGCACTTGTCAAGTGCTCCACCATCAAGTGATTAAATGATTACTCTTTTACTTTCTGCAAATTAACTGATTCGGATCGGTGAGATAAATATGCTGAGTTGAAATTACTTTTCTGCTCAGGAAACATTTGGGCACCGGAGGTTTGAAGAAGAGCTGAAAATCAAAAGTAGCGGATTTAACTTAATAAGTGACTCCTGTGGTCGCTCAGATCCAATTAAAAACAGTATTCTTCATGCGAATGGTCAGTCAGACCCGGTGGGTGGGGTACTCTTTATTTCGGCCAAACAAATGCATGCACCAACCAAAAGGGTGTGGCGTTCGGGGTCATGATTCTCAAGCATAGTACAGACTCTGACTGTTTGGCCTTTTGAATAAGCTGTCGTTCTGGATCAGAAGCCTTAAACGAATTGTAAATTGGGTTGATGCGTTATATATATTTCTGCTTCTGGTAATTTGTTCTAAGTCTAATCTTAAAATTTCTCTATCACAAGCATGCATCCATGTTATTGATATACCACAATTCATAAAAATCCTTATCTTAAGAGTAGCGAAGGGATTTTCCCTGAAATAGGTTCACGGTTTTAAGAGCCGGCGGCACACCCCACACTTTCTTTGAATGCTTCCCGACCCAACTTCCTCCATCCTTTTTCCCAGGGGGTCTTGTCGAATGAAAAGCACCAGAAATTTTTTGATGAAACAGCCTCATCCTTACCGATAGAAACGGGATTGGAGGGTGCTCCCACATAGGACTCGTGAGGTTAGCTAATGCCGCCCATCCAAAAGACTTGAGCCGGCGAGTCACCGGATCGTACAACAGAAACACTGGGTAGGACTGGTCACAGTGCATGTTTTCGGAAATATCGTACCAGTAGTGGACTCCTGGAAAAGCAGAGATTTTGTATTAAAAGTTTTTAATTGTAAATCTATATATATATATATATATATATATATATATATGTATATGTATGGGGAATCGACTTTCTCTCATATCATAAACTGGCATACCGATTTGGGGTTAAAAGGTGCTGGAGTAAGTGAAAACAGTATAGAAATATAACACGTCTTAATAAAAAGGTTTTCAACTCGGCAAATTTAAAAGCTAGTGCGTGTCTATCCCTTTCGTGTTTGCCTCCCCTCAGCTGAAACAGAAAAATACAAAAGAAAAAAAAACGCATGTTCATTCGAGCTCATGCTTTCATAAACTCAGCTAAAAGTTGAAGAAAAAGCATCGTAAAGAATAAGACAAATAGTATTGACGATTTAAAAACGAATTTGACTGTTCTGACCCATGTTTCTAAAGCATTGTCCCTGCACCCATTTGCTGTCCAGCTTCTTTTCCTCAAGAGGAATTTCCATAAACCTCGGTTTGCCACACAATCTGACGTCACTAGTCTGGATGACAAGAGTGTCCTCGCCTTTACGTTGAGGCTTCTTCTTACAGATGTGTTGAGGCTTTTTAGTGAAGTACGCCGTCAAAAGGTAGTGGCCATGATCGTCCTTGACAAAAGCCGACGGTCGGGGTCGGGTGGGTGAGAGGATAAGGTCATCTGATTCTGTAACCTTTTAGGGGTAGGGAGGAACACATATTGTAATTAATTTATTAGACGGTGGTCCAATGGTCCAAGTTGATAAACTAGCCTTAAGTAAATTGAATTGAAGACTGCCTAACTCCAAAAGCATATATTTTAACAATTCCCGTCTTTACAAGTACTTTGAGTAATACCTCAACTACGAAAGGTGGTTTTTACAACTAAACTGTGGGTTTTCCAGTAATTTGGCTGTGTTAGTGCGCACTTAGACTACAGGCAATCCTTCCTTTCATCCGATGACCGTCGCGCCAATCAGAAAAAGAAAAAAGAACATACAAAACAAAACTGATGTTAGCGCCCCACGCGGAACTCTGGGAGTGAGACAAACAAAAAGAGTTCTCCCAGAGCTCCGTGCGGCGCGTTCACATCAGTCTTTTCTTCTTCTTTTTTATCATTTCGCCGATTTTCTTTAACTTGCTTAACGGACTATGCCGAAGAGGAGGAACTGCCTGTAGTCCAATGCACGCAAAGAGCTAAAGCATCTATCGCAATCTCACCGTCCCTTGTATTCCAGCGAGGTTTCCTTCAGAATCAAATAACAATCTCGTGGAAATATCATCGCCCAGAGCATATCTGTTTCCATAAAATGGATTTTGAGAGTCTGCAACGAATGAAAAACTGTTGAGACCGCGTTCCACGAAAAGAAAGAAGAGGAGCTTAAAAAAATTGTTTTGTCTTTGGCCAGATCACTATCAGTTAAAAGTAAAAACTTTTGTCAGAAGAAGACATCTACAATGCTAAGAATGTGTGCGGTGTCTAGGTACGATCTATTCAACAAACTAAATGTCTTGTAATACCACACGAGGCGTCGTTTCTCCATCCCTCTTTTAAAGCTTGATCTTCCGTCCGCGGAAGTGGCGTTCGATTCGGGAAATTCACTGGGCAGAAACGAAGAAAAAAAATAGTGACAAAGAACATATCACGTAGGTAAATAAAAGAGTGAGCAATCACTCATTGTCAAACGATACACGAAAAGTGTGAGGCTGTAAAAGCAAGTCTAAAAGCGACGTTTCAGTAGATTCTTTTCTCGCGTCACCGAGATTAAACCCTTACGTTAATGGGTTACAAACTCTCCATGTTACGCATTTTCCCTTTTTCTCAAATTACTCTAAACCTTAGATCAAGAAATTTCAACGGTAAGAGAAAAAGCAACAACAACAACAACAACAGAAAAAAAAACAACATCAGCAGGCTACGGCCCTCTTGAAATTTCGAAAGCATCATTCAGAGTCTGCAGAATAAGTTTTAGGGGTCGTATTTCGTTGCACAAGTTTAGATCATGACTAGGGCGAGGAACTGTAAGCGACGAGTATGCGATTTTATTGCCGCCTTAGTAAAGCATAGATGTTCTTAGGCTAGGAAATAAATATTGAAACGATTTTTAGAAGCTGTCTGTAAAAGTGACATCTTTCTTTCCTTTTCCCTTCAACCTAATCGTTATAAAGACATTGACTGAATCATTTGCATTCGATACTCACCCAGCAAACGATCCCATTTATTTCCTAAAGTATAAGAAAGAAAAATTATTACTAATAAATTCTTAAGTAAAAAAACACATGTTATGCTAGGGTACTCATTCGACAGTTTATATTTAAGATTTTAATTTAAAAGATTCGAAATGAAACAGCCTTCAACATGTTAGATAAACTAAAATAATTATTAATTTGCGTGTATTAATGAAGCTCATGTTATTTTGTAAATTAAAAGTTATGAGCTTTTCAGGCATTGTCCGTTTACGTTTTCACCACGGCATTTAGTACAAAGAAACGGAAATTGCTTCACCTAATATCATTTAGTCTGGATAATAACCTCATCACCTCAGGTCAGGGACATACGGAATCTCAAAACAATCTTATTTACAAAGTTCTTTAAATTCACGGTTTTCTTACTTTGCTTAAACATAAGCATTTACGGAGTTTACAAATAGAGGTTTTTCGATTTAGAAATGCGTTAAATGTGATTCGTGTAACCCCGAAAATAATTAGATTTACAGGGAATTCAGCAAAATGGCAGTGTTGTTTGTATAACTCAGTTTATAAAACAAATACAAATACTAATGAAGACTGAGACAATAAATTAGATATGGAATGTTTGCTCTTAACGAAATTATGAGATTTACAAACTTCTGTGTAAAAGCAGTTTCGTAGAGGAAGGCAGAGTTCTTATAGAATTACAGTCGATTCACTCGATAACCAAAGGCAAGTGCGAGATTAAAACCATGGCGACGAAGATTAGCTGATAATATTTATAATAATATTCAAATAGCTAAGATCTCAATTTGAATGCGAGAGAGCGTTTACCGGAGTTGAATAAGAATCCGCTGCGTATGGCATAAACTTTCAGCTGCACAAATCCGACTTAGTAAAGAAAGTTTTTAATTTTTTAGTTCGCTATAACCTACGTAAACCATTCGAAATTCATTTCTTAAAATAACTATTCCCAAGCGTTTTCTCGTGGGAAAAAGGAAATTTTTTTTGCATCGATGAATCAATAAACAAACCTTTTCAATATAAGCGACAAACTTCATTGTATCTTTCTACCTATTATCTTTCCTTTCCTAGCTAACATCTGATTGTTTGTTTAGGACTGTATATAATAACAACAAACGTTTAATTTTCATGTAATAGTTTCTACAAATATTGGATAAAATATAATTAATCCCCAGTGAAAGAGGAATAGGAACAAACAACTGTGATAAAAAAGGGTGCCACTATCATCACGGCTTTTTAAACATTATGAAATTTGTTAACGGTAAAACCTAAAAACAAACGATAAAAAGTTACCATATACGATTGCAAATACATTTAATAACCTTTTTCATTTCCGGAATAAGAAGTTACTTCAGTTGCGTTGGTTCTAAGTAGGGTGTGAAAAAAACAGCGCAATTCCTCAGATGTACGCGAAAGTACCAATTTACAATTGAAATGTGTAACCTCTTGTATTACAAACTGAAATAACTTTTGATCCATTTCTGGCATAGATCATGATATCAAATTCCTCGCTGAATCACTTATTCGGAGCAAACGCCTGAAGCCATCGAAAGAAAAGCGACAGATATATTTTGAATGTAAAAAATGAAACTAGTCCAATTTATAAAGATTTTCAGGATTGAAAAATAAATAGAAAAGATATCATATTTTCCAGTTTCGTGTTTTTTCCTTGTTAACATCCTGTTTCTTGTATCGATATTTCAAACTTCAGAATAGAGAAAATTAGGACAATTTATTTTCCTCTGAAATTTTCTCCAGTAAATCAACATCTTGAAAGTTTCCATATATTTCCCATTCCTTGTTCTAATGAAACATTTGTAATTTGGTGTGAGATTAAAACGGTATTTTACAATACGTGAGCTCATGTAATTTATCATGCTGTGAATGTAATTCGGAATCGTGATTCGGTTGTTTCTGTTATTCTCAGAAAGTGGTTAAAAAATTATTGGCATGGCAGAGAAGAAGCCCCTTCGTGTGAACATTAAGATTTAAATTATTACTTATGATGCATATTGTATATTATATATTGTCTCGATGGATTAATGGCTTTAACGGCGAACGGTTAATATTCTAGCCATTTTGCGGCTAACGGTTAAATTCTTTCCGTTACTGTTGAAAAGAAATTTCAACGGTTAACTTTTTTTTACGACTAAAAGTTAAATTTTGTCAAACTACTAACATGTCATAGAAAAAGTGGTTCATGCTTTAGCCTCTTCTATGCGGCTGTTGATAAACTAATGTACGTCGCTACTAAATGCCACCTAGTAAACATTTTCTTTCTATTTGTAACCGTTTATCAGACCATGCAGGAAACTTGAAATTTCTGAGTCTTGAAACATCCATCTGCAAGACGCTAGGCAGTAACATTATGTGGCGTTGCCCTCTTGCAATAATTTGCAGCAAAGAAATTGCGAACATTTCAACGTTTAAAATTCACGTAATAGGGTTTTTTTGAGGATAACTAACCTTTGCCTCCACAACTCGCCACTATCTCAGCATAGATAACTACTACACTGACAAAAAATATCTTTGTTTTTGACATTGTGACCTTTTTAATTCACACTTCTGCCTATTGTGCCAGCTGACGTCCTCAGGGGAGTGTGCTTAACTGAAGAAAAGATAGTAGAATGTGTAGTTAAACGCTTTCCAGAGAAAGTAAGCTTTGACTGGATGACGGGAAAAAGATGTACTCCTCCAATCTGTCAAGACATACACGTTCGCTTTTCAAACAAGATAAATAACACTATCATTGGACAGTTTAAAATTAAGTTGACAAGATGTCAATAATAGTTCGAACTTTATGTGACAAATCAATTGACAACGTTTGATCATGGCTTTCCATGAGACTTGACAAAAAAGATAATATATACCTCTCAGCATATTTCCCCATCGTACCTAATTGCCATAGAAACTAATAATGTAATTCGCTGCAATATTGTAATATCGTTGGCCGTAAGTATAGCCTACCCATAGAAAAAATCAATCGTTCAATTATAAATCGACTAATACACAGCAATCTGAACAGTTATCAATCACAAAGGTTGTCGGCTATTGAGACGGTATTTTTATCGCGGGGGGGGAGGGGGGACGGAAGGGAGGGATTGTGGGGTTCGGTGGTTTTTGGTTTTGTTATGATATAATTCAGCTGATCTGCCCCCATCTCATTGGAAGTAAATTAGCGGTCAATTTTTATATTCCCCCTTTTATACTCTGTCGCCGACGACTTATCCCCTTCCCCTTCCCCTTCCCGTCCCTCCCCCCCCTGAAATCTACACGATCTTCCGCCCCCCCCGAAAGCTTTCATCATTTACCACGTACTGAATAATTAAAGCTATCATGTACATTCAGACCCGTAAAACCACCCATCATCCGCTTTATAGGTGTCAATGTTTTTGTCATCGAATGTTTTTATAAGACCGTTTCAACAAAGTATTTTATGGCCAGTTGAGCTCAGCTGACAGCTTGTAAAGCAGGAGCTTTTGCTTTCGTCCAGATGTACAGTCCTTGTCCAACTGCAGTCGCCTGCATAAACAACACTTTTCAAAGCCGGACAGTTTTGTTAAGAACGTAGGTGAAACTGCTAAAACAATTGTGTGTGCAGCTATCAACATGAAAGTTTGCGAATGTAACAGCGAAAGCGTTATCTTCTCAACAATAACTTTTGTTTTGACGAAAAAAGCTAACAGAAAGGTTGAAACTAAAAACGTAAATAAGAGATGAGTTACGTAGGATAAACAATTTATGAAGAATGTAAAGTACAAACAAAATAAAACGGAAAAATACTTACATCGATAACACCTTAATAAAACTGCGATAACAAATATCTTTCGAAATCAAGAATACTTCTGGGACAGAAAACTGCGCCTAACGCGATTTGTAGATAAGATGACTTACAAAAGTGATTATGCTAATAAACAGGGTTTAAATACAAGAGGACTGCGTAATTATGTACGGCATGAAAGCGTACGAGAGTGAAGTTTAACCACGATAACATACTTAGCAACGAACACTAACGAGGAAGTATGAGATAAGAAAAGAAAAGACAAACAGTTCTTGTCATATGTTTTCTGGCAGCCAGTAAAAGAAAATAGCACTAGTAAAACGAATTGAAAAAAAAAACATTTAAATGATTGGTAATTTAGTGTTAACAACTGAGTTGAAAACGTAAATTGGCCACCGTAAAGGGTAAAAAAGCTGACGTTTCGAGCGTTTGCCCTTCGTCAGAGCGATTGGAGGAATTGTGGGTTGTGGGTGAGTTTATATGCAGAAAGTGGAGCTACGCTATTGTTGGGACTATGGTGACGAGAGAACAGGAATAAATTAGTTGAATGAAAAGCGCTAGTTGATTCCGTGAGGATTAAGGGTGTCGATTTGGAAGATAAATTCTTGCAATGTGCCAGTTTTTCGATAAACGTGGCTATCCTGTTTCTGGCGTCCAAGCGGGCCACCACCGTGCCCAACAAATTGATCGACTGTCAGCACTACAGACGGCTGTTAAGGAAAACACTGACCGCATTCCATTTACTCTTACATTTCACCCTCACAACCACGCGGTTAAATCTATTATTCTTAAAAACTTTAAACTACTCCAAAACGATTCAGAGACTAGCACTATCTTTTCACCACTTATTTCATTCAAACGTGACAAAAACATAGGCAACTTTTTGGTCAGAAGTTCATTCCAAACCAATGACCAATCTGGAACTTTCAAATGCGCTCGCTCACGTTGCAAAACTTTTCCTTTCATTTACAACGTAGAGAAATTATCGGGACCCAAGAGATCCATTAAGATCACTAATCACTTTACATGTACCTCCGCCGATGTTATTTACTGCATAACTTGCACTTATTGTTATGGCAGTTTGTGGCCTTTCCTTACATCTAGGCAGTTCGGAAAGCCGCAAAAAAACACTAGAACAAAAATTTATCTTCCAAATCGGCACCCTTAATCCCCACGGAATCAACGAGCGCTTTTCATTTAACTAATGCATTCCTGTTTTCTCGTCACCATATTCCCAACAATAGCGTAGCTCCACTTTCTGCATATAAACTCACCCACAACCCTCAATTCCTCCAATCGCTCTGACGAAGGGCTAACGCTCGAAACGTCAGCTTTTTTACCCTTTACGGTGGCCAATTTACGTTTTCAACTGAGTTGTGAACACTAAATTACCTGCTTTACTCTCCCACCGACGCAGCACCACTGTTTCTTAAGAAACTTACCCCCTTTATTCATTTTAATGATTGGCGAACTCCGACCTAATCATTTTTAAGTATGCGCGCGCTACTCATGCGTGAAAATGATGCGCATTAGGATGCGCAATGAAGTATTCAAATGAAGAATGACGTTAAGGACCTACTTTTGACCAGTATGCATTGCGGGCAGCGTTAGCCATCGGCGGCAATCAACTCGATGTTGATTATTCCACAAGCTTCGGGAAAACAATACAAGCCTCGCTCTCGTGAAAACCAAAAAAAAAAAAAAAAGAGGCGTGCAATGCATACTAGCCAATACCGGGTCTTGAAAGTTTGGGGGAAGTTATTTAAAAATGAACTATATTGTACGCTAGTCGTTCACAAGAATATATCGAGTCAATCATGCCAACAATTACAATGACGACAAGTAAACTAAAGTAAAGTCAGTTTTAATCCGTTAAATCATAAGCTGAGTTTATGTGATTCTGAATCTTTTTTTTATAAGAGAAGAACTTCCCAGATAATTATCCCCTCAGTCACATCATTGTCACGTTGAAGAGAAATCGTAGAAATTGTTTTCGAGATGTCTGTCTAAACACAAGCGATTTTTGTAGGATCCACAAAATAGACATGTTGAACGGACACCATTTGGAGATCTTTCAGGCAAGCAGGTGTTGTCTCTGGCTTCATCGATCTCTGAAAAAAAGATACAGACCAATATATTTTCCCGCAAATTAGCACTTAACTCCAAATGGTCCTAAAATGGCCCTACTCAAATGCTCATGCAAATGCACACTGATTATGATAAAAGAGCTGAAGGCGTGTCTCTTAGAGCTAAGAGTTGTTAACTCTTTCACTTCCGTGATAGCTGAGTACTTAACTTCTCTGTAAACATTTTATACAATAGCGAATGGTCAGTCTGGTGAGAAATGATATGATCAACTTGTGTTTAATTAACGGATGAAAAAAACATAAAATAAAAGTAAAAAAAACAGCAAAAGAAAGAAAAAAATGTCGTCGTCTGTTGAAGAACTCTTCACTCAGATCTTTAGATTGTCACAGCTGTTATTTAGTCTTGTCACGTAATAACAAAGCGAAACAGAGTATGCTGCGTGATATGACCAACGAGCGGTTGAGGATAGTAACACTGGCTATGCACTCACCGCAAAAAGAGACGGATCTGGCTTCTCCCATGCGTCGCTTGTGACGTCAACTGGTCCGCCCCAGCCAAAACCAATCAAAGATTTCGTTTTCTGACTGAACAGCAGAAAAACCGGCAGGCTTTTATAACAATCCAAGTCAACAGAGATATTGTAATGATAGTGGACACCTGTCGAAAGAATAGGAAGAAAATAGTTTGTATATTGACCAACTGCGCTAAGAGGATTCGCAGCTGATTCATTCCGACGTTCTACTTTCTCATTTTTCTTTTCATTTCTTTTTGTTTTTTTTTCAAACAAAGGTACAAAGTTGCCATCGTCTGAAGCACAGCGTTGCTTGCCAGTTTGAGCCACGAAATGTCACTCATTGAATTTCCAAAAAGATGGTTTGTGTAAATGGCAGGAATTCCTTCCCCTGGGTGTTGAATAATCCATTTCATGCATGATTTAAAATAAATATCGAAGCAAATTATTCAATAAAAATTATTTATTAATACCCATTCCAGGAATACAAGTTCCTTCAACCCATGGCGTCCCTGAAACCTGATTTGCATCAAGAGGCACAACCATGACGTCTTTCTTTAGGCGGAAGTCAGCCATTTGAATCCACACCCGGTCTCCTATTGGTGGTTTGTTATTTGCAACCTTGTTACACTTCCCTTTGCAGACGCAAATTTCGTCTGGATCCCGGAAGTAAACAGTGACAGCCACCCGTCCATCATCGAGTGAAATCCACGGATAACGGTCATGTGGGTTCGGATATTCATTCGTTTGACAGATCTGAGATAATCGAGGAAGTACACGAAGAGAAATAAATGCAGATTACGATGAAGTAATGGGATGTAATCTGCAAAATGGATGCTTAAATGTAAAGTGAAAGAGCACTTGGCTACTTCAGCTGGTCACCGGTTCAAATGCAGAAAAAAGGCTTCAGTCTGCACCCCCAGTCTCGTTCCCGGAGTTCCATCTAGCCTTATCCCGCGGGATATGGCGGACAGTTTTACCCCTTCATACTCCTGGGGGAAGAAGGACGTTGTAATTGCAACGCGTCTTACCCACGAACACAGCACAACACCCTGGCCTAGAAATTGGATATTTGGATCTGGAGTCAGGGGTTATCTCCTTTCTTAAAAATATTCACGACAAACAATGGATCCAAATTTAACGTATGACAAAAACAAACACGTTACGCGAGTCGTGTGGTGCTCTAGAAATATAATGAAGTGGGCACGTGCTCCTTGGGGTGTGCTTTCAACCAGATTGACAAGTTCATAAATTGATGTACTTTCTTACCGTTGCCTGCATTCCTGCCAAGCTCCCATCACAATCAAAGATGAGCCTCGTGGCATCATCGTCCTTTTGGGAATAACGATTGCCGTAGAAACACTTGGCTTTTCCTGTATAGGATAAACAACGAAGTAACATCTGAATTAAAAAGTTTAAAGACTGTCAGATAGTGGTACTAAGTCTGCTAAGGTCCAACATCCAATTCTGTGTTGATATTTCGCGCATGTCTGTAGAGAGAACTGGGTAAGAAGGAAAATCATGAGACATTCGTTTAGGTTGTCGTTTCCGTGGTAACGGTTTCCATAACACCACAAAACTGACTAAATCATAGACAAACAACAAGAGAAGAGGAAAATTTTGAAAGCGCACATTGTAACCATGAAATAGGAAAGTATAACTACTGCATAATAGATTGAACACTTCACACGCCAGAGTACTTCGTTCAGGCCCAGTACCTGAGCATTTCGCGTCTTGCCTCCAGCCAGCCTGCACTGCCTGTTGGGAAGTCAGTGGATAGGAAGTAAACTTCATAAATGTCACTGCAAAAAATACATAAACTAAGCTTTCATTTATTATTCTTAATCAGTAACACTTTCTGCTATTGTGTTGGGAGGCATAGCAAAACTACCTCCGCGCCATTGGCCTAAGAGGACCCCTGTAGTGAGTTTCTTTTTCCTTGGACTCATAGGGACAGTTATTACACGAGGTCTAACCCAATCCACGGTTTTACGCAATCAGTGGGCCGCGGATACTTTCCATAAGAGGGTTGATTTAATGAAATAAATGTCCTTTCACCGTTAGCTCGCGGCATTCTTGAAACTGTTCTCAAAAATCTATGTTCAGACAAAAGATTCACCTAAATCGAAGATAGTTAAGAGCGCGGTTTTGTTAAACAACGGTTAAACTTTGCTTAAATAACTGGTGCATAATGTTCCCCTAGTCTTCCACTCGAGGAATATTAAAGATCTCTGGGAAACACGAATCACTGTTTCACTTTGGGCCAGTCATCAATTGTTTATCAAAGATTCATTACCTTGAAGTAAGTAAGTATCAACCGTGTTCATGATCTGGTTGCCATGACAACATTGTTATCTCGACAAGTAAAGGTTTCACCTTCTCGAAACAAGAGAAACTCAGGTATCTCATCAATTATCTATTTATTGACGGACAACACTATGTTACTGCTCTTATACTGTGCAGTGTATGATACCATCATGTAGTACCAATCACATAATAAGTACTGTTGGAACTGGAAAGATATAAATGAAATCAATTTGCTGCGTAAATGAGTATAGATAAATCACTTTTGGCCATTTTTATGTCAAACCTCGTAGTTGGTCCCACTCTGATGAGCCTAAATAAGTAAAAAAAAAGAGGGACAGTTAGAAAACTTGTATTTCGCAATTTTGATGTATGTAAATATAACAAAGATTTCTCGATGATGAACTTTCGTCAATCTTGCACATCTTAAGCAAGCATTTTCCCGTTGTATCTCTGTGCCACCGCTAGAAACTTTAGAACAAAAGTACAAGTAACAAAAGTACATTTTCCGACGAATAGCAAAGCTTGATGGGAAAGTTACACTAAAAGATGTCTATATATTTGTAAGTCCAAAATCATGAGATAACGAAGGCTCCCAGTGTTTTGTCCTACATGTTATAGTTTATGGTAGATGTTATCGGCTAATGTTCATAAATGCCTGTTTATAAAGGCCTTACCATTTTCAAATTGAGCTCTCTGATTCACAGAGTACTACAAAATACAGTATAACATCTACAAATGGATCTGTGTGGAATTGAGTACTGGCCGTCAGATGAAGCCCCATTGGAAAATATGAAAACGTACCTTGTGAATGGTGGACAAAAAGTTGAAGGCTTATCACACAGAAAAAGGCTTTCCACTCTATCATCGTGTCCTTCTCAGTGTAAATCGCAGCCCTATACTTAACAAACAACGTAGATGAGTTGTCGGGAATATGTTTAAATGATATTCAGAGAGAAAGTCAATTGGTTTGATGTCAAGAAAAAGGAAAGTAACAGGATACCGTCAAAAATTTATCCAGAGTTACAAACCATAGAAGATAATTATTTTTTGTAGGCGTTTGTTGATCTTTGTCAGCCTTTGAATATTTCCGTCATATTTGTTTTTAAGGACAAATACTCCTGATGAAAATGAATTGAAAACAAATAGTAAATATGATGCTTCCAAGTACACTGGGGATTATTAATAAAAGCTGAATTAACACCTATTGTAAATGAAACGGAAATTGGGAGCATGTCATTTCCTGATAGTGCTTCAAAATAGTTCCCCGTCGGAAATAAAAATGAGTAGGTTTTCTTAAGATAGGTTTACTTGCGCCTCATATCGTAAAACGCAATTTTATTAGATTTTACTGCAAATTGATATAACTAACAGGTTTTATTGTAAATACTCTGTAAAGTGCCCTTGAAATTATGGGCTAGAGTTGAGGCAGTAAATATGTTATCACTAAAATAGATTATTCGTGAGATTTCCTCAGTTTTGACTTGATCCGGTCTACTTTATATTTTTCTATTCATTTCTGGAAAGTGATGAGTTTTACCAAAAACATTTGGTCATAATTACCAAACCGCCATATAATTTAGTGCAGGTTTGTGAGCAAAGTTATCCTGATCGCTGATCTATCATTTGCAAAAAAAAGCTGAAAAAGACTGTGAGACTTGAATTATTCTTACCAAAAATTGGTTCAAATTCTGTCTTTTATCATAAACAAAATGTCCATAATTTTTTTCAAAGACTAAAAGATACAAAGATGTTCAAACGAAGGCCGTTAATTTTACTATTTTAGCTGTGCAAACAACTTAAGATGGAAAAAAAATTAACTTAACCGTAGATCTGAGATAAAGAAAATCTTATCGTATTTAGTTTACGGTTCAAATGTACAAAACACAATTTTTTAACGTGATTGTTATAGTTGTGGTTGAATTCATGTTAATCAAACGAGCTTTCACTAAAAAATTTCTCCCACAAAAGCATTTTGGTTAACAAATAATGACCTCTTTTAGCAAACACCAGCCTTAATGAAACTGTAGAGGTTTGATTTTGATAAATAACGATAAGATTGATATGGACAACGAGGCCCAGTTTAGTTCAATAATATTTAAAGAAATTTTTGGTTTTATTGATTAAATATTGTTAAAGATATAGTTAAAGATCTAGCATTGTAGACAGAAAAGTAATAACGATCACTTTTTCTTTCTGGTGCAAAATTTTTTTTTTCAGTTTTCACAATAAAAGGAGTGAACATATATGGTAATGAAGTTTTTGCGTCAGACTCGGGGCTAAGAGGTCTGGGTTCGAGCCTCTGCCAAGTCATAATGGTGTGTCCCTTGGAAAGAAAATATTGTAATCGTTGCAGAAATAAATATCCATCACTAACCATTCCCACTTCGGCAAATAGCTGTCAATTATCATCAATTCCACATCACAAAGCCATAGAAACATAGGAAATAATATATGTATAGATAATAATACAATAATTAAATAACACTTTGATTGGGATAAGAATAATGATCAGTAAAAAAAAAAAAAAAATGGATCATGATTGCAAGAAATGAATTTAGAAAAGTGTTAATCGATGTTCACGGCTGCTTTTATTTTAACCCTTCAACTCTCAAAAAATCTGATTGTTAACTCTCCCCTCTAGCTGTAACAGACTTCATGGTAAATAAGTTCTGAGAATTTTGTGTTAGATCAAATAGCAAGTTTTACCTGATAAGTTTGAGTATTCTCATAACCTGCTCGCCGGATATTACAGCGAGAAGTCACATGCTAATCACTTCTTGTAGTTAAAGGATTAATTTAGAAAACGGTTGGTCAGAGTTTAAGGTAGAAAACAAAGCCTCCGAATAAAGATCTCTACAAAATTCGAAGCAAGATTCGGAATCCTGCAGATGGCAGTTCTCGTCCAAGAATAGATGACCTTAAGCTCTTGTGGAAGAATGTCTGGCCATCTTGCTAAAACGACAAGCACCTTAGCCTGCTCGTGAAACATTTTAACCCTTTCTCTTCCAAGATCTCATTAATAATTCTCCTTACTGTCTGTCATAAGTTTCTTACAATGTTACGCGTTTTTCCAGCCTGTAGGACACGTAGGGTTAGAAGCTGATATAATGTCAAAGATATTCTAATATTTTTGGGTGCGATCTTTAATCTCCTTGAGGATGACCAGAAATAAAGCGGTGGCAAGTAGTTTGAAAAATAGTGCTAAATTCTTTTTAAGAATCCCAACTCTTGTATTTTTCCATTTTAAACTCGTTTCGACTTAGAATAAAGGGAGCAGGGGCGTAGCCAGAATTTTTCAAAGGAGGGCACACTGTGTCAGACAAAGGGTACTCATTAGTTTCGCTACCCGAATATTGTAAGTTGTTTGCTTCAAAAAAGCCTCAGAAGGAATCGATGTGCACAAGATTTTATTTCTCTATATGATGTTTCAAATCTATTTGGAGGTTGGTCGGCGAGTAACGCAACAATAAATTTTCGGAATATCGGAGACGTGAACCAGCAGTCAATTATCCTGTTTACGGCGCAGATACTGGGTCTAGCCTCATTACCAGTTCTACTCAACCGGTAGGTAGCCATCTTGGATTTAGTTTCGGGAACAGTGCACATGTGTTACCTTGTAGTCATGTAGGGCCATAGCGAATGTTTTAAGAGGTGTTTTCAACTTCTTTGGAATCTGTCCGTATTCAAGATGCCCCCAACAATCCAGGATGGACAAAAGAACAGAGATCAGGACAGAAGGTTAGACCAGCTGAGAGAAAAGTGACAGCGACGTAAAGTTTGTTGTAATGCTAGCGCTGTTGCTTGTTGTTTGTTTCTTTATGCAAAATAATATTCTGCGTTAACTTCTCTCAGGTTAACAGTAGTAAATACAACTGTTGGTAAGGTAGTTCTGAACTGATGTGTCAGACTAACCCGCCAGTCAGCAGGTTTCGTGATTACTTTCAGTATGAAGTGATGTAAGGATCGACAAAGGATGTTATTCTGTCTCACTTTGAAATTTGCTCAAGAAAATGGTGTAACCCTGTATGTTACGTCTTTTGCAGGCAAAGTTCATTGCGTCAAACAGTAAGGTAAGCTTTTTACTAGATTGTTAACTATTCTTCACTTAATTAGTTCATCTAAAATTGAAAAAAAATTTACCTTATTCCTTCAATTTTTCTGTCAAATTATCAACAATTGTTTTTCTCTGCGTGTTCTTATTTGCAGCAAGGCTGATTTTGTTTCCCGGGTTAAATATAACAACAATCTACCAGATATTCCTTTTGATGCCAAGTTCATTGCTTACCCCTTTGAATCAAACAGGTAATTTAGAATTAGTTATACATTTTACAAGAGCAAAATAGTAATTAAAAGAGAAAATTCAGTTTCATGTGCATACACAAGTTACATATTAACCCTTTAACTCCCATGAGTGACCAAGACAGAATTTCTCCTTACAATATCAATGCAATATCAACCAGATAAGTGATGAGAATAAAGAAAAATATCAATTTGGGGATAATTAGTTGATCCAATACTAAATTCTCCACACTGACATTATAAGAAATGTGTGGTTGACAGTAAGGAGAATTAGAAATTCAATCTGGGAGTTGAAGGGTTAAGTGAAAAATATAAAGTGCCAATAAAGCTGATTTTAGTATGGTATGTTAGTGTAAAAGGAAAGGTTAGTTTATATATGTAACCCTATGCAATTCTAAACCAAAGCAGTAGTTCCAAAGGCACTCAGTTGTTTGGCATTTGTTATTTTTTTATCCAATTACTGTGAGCATGATGCATTGATCAATTTCAAGCTTTAACCTTCTTCCCCCCCCCCCCCCCACTTCAAGTAACCACTTGGGCTTTTAAACTTTTGAAGATTTGTTTGTTTAAATTCCCACCCCAGGGGCCAAAATTGTGTTCAGATACCTTACGCATGTTTTTCTGAATGTGACATCAGCAACCATGACTTTCTATACATTGAACTTTTCTTCTGAACAATAATTCCTTGTGAAAGTGAACTATGTACTGTAAAATACTTTAATATTAGAGATGTAACGCCCAAGTATTCTGCTGGAAAGACTAAACCCCTTTGGTTCAAATTTGTCACCTCAGCTAGGCAAGTTTACTGGTAAATTCCCTAAGCCTGGGCACTACCAGAACTCTACCAATTATTTTTACATTTCTCAACCACGAGGTCGCGTAAATCCCATGACCTAAACATCATTAATGCAATGGCATGCAATGAGTACAAACAAAATAAAACATATTAAAAAAAACTAAACAAAATGTCAGTGTTTAGGCGTGACAGTTTTATTTTACAAGTTTTGTCTGAATGTTTAATATTAATTTTACACTTAATTAAACAGTGTACTTGGATTTATTGTCAGGTTTGTGGATTATAAACCAACAACATTGGAGAAAAACTACAGGCATGAAATGTTGACAGAGGTGGACCTGGGGGTCAATATTGATCTTATCAACCCAGACACCTATGCTATAGATCATAATGGTAAATTTTCAACAATTTTTATTTTCTGTTTAAAATAAATACATGCATTGCTAGAGAAAGATTATGTTATTCTGTATCATGTTTTAAGGACTGTGAATATATGAAAATCAGATATATGAACTGCAGTTTGAGAAATGAAATTGAAAGCAATCTTTGCTATCATGAACACTTCTTAAGCAGTAATAAAAATAAGACCCCAAAAAATTCAGGCCTGTATGGGATTCAAACCCATGACCTCTGCAATACCAGTACAGTGCTCCACCAACTAAACTAACAATCCAACTGGGTGCTGGTCACTGTGTTCATTACTGCAAAGATCACTTTCAATTTCTTATCATGTTTCACTCCACAGGTGTATTACCCTTAAAAAGTGACTAGAAAAATAAACTTGTATTATTTATGATACTTAACCTTAAACTCCCAAGATCTGATTGTAAATCCTCCTTTCCAGCAGCTACACATTTCCTTGTAATAAGCTATGGGAATTTGGTGTTAGATTAAGAAAAACAATTTCTACCTGATAAGTTTGAGTATTCTTTTTACCTGTTTGCTGGATATTGCATGGATATCATAGGGAGAAGTTACATGTTAATCACTTCTGGGAGTTAGAGGGTTAATGATGTTATAGTTTTAATTTTGATTGAATTGCAGTTTCTCTTGATCCTGACGATGAGAAGTTATTAGAAGAAGAACCAGTGAACTTGCCAGATAAAAAACGGTATTTATGTCATGATTTCTGTCGGTATAGCTTATTTTATTTAACATTTATATCTTCCTTTAGTGGTCATGGTTCAATACATAGGATGCTGGATCATTTGAGGATTTGTTAGGGTTTGAACTGTATCTGGGTCATCTGTGTTGTCTCCATTGTAAAAAGTAAAATAGTCTGCATAGTAGATATATTTGAGTAGTCTTTGTGTACTCTTCCCAGATGAGATCCCAGTCTATTCCAGGGTATCCCTTAGTATTTACATGCCGTTCCAGGGGTTTCCATAACTTTTTCCATAAGCTGCTGCCAACAGTGTAATAGGCACATTGTTACTGGAAAAGGGCAGTAGGGGGATACCCAAACAAAAGAGCCTGCTCTCAGGGTAAACAGATGGCAGGAAGAGGTCTTATCGTCCATCTTTGTGTTTCAAGGTAATCTGATATTATCAACTGAGTTAAAAACATAAATCCACCACCATAAATAGTCACAAGGCTGACATTTTGAGTGTTGGCCCTTTGTCAAAGCAAATGGCAAAGGGCTAACGCATGAAACTTCAGCTTTGCAACTCTTTATGATGGCCAATTTACGTTATCAACTCAGTTGACAAAAATCAGATTACCCTGTTATACTCTCCCACTGAAGCAGCACCACAGTGTTTTTAGAAAGTTACTCCTTTATCCATCTTTCTGTTGTTTACAGGACAGCCCATCATAACAAGAATGTGTCCTGGCTGAGAAGAACTGAATACATTTCAACTGAGTACAACAGAAGTCGCACCAGTAATGAAATGGTGGAGACAAAGTGAGTCATGTTCTTGTGGTATGTGTGACATTTGTCTATATTTTGTAAATTTATGTATTAAGTTTTTTTGCCTGTTTCCAGGGTTGGATTCAATGTGAAAAAGAAATTCCAAGGCACAGATATTTACAAGGTGACTTATAATTCACTAAATATAAACTTATCTTTTATAATTTAGTTTATGAGGAACAAAGAAGCAGCAGTAAGGCTCAAGTTTTTTCCTCTTTATTTTTCTTGTAGGACCGTGAAAGTCAGATTTCTGCCATTGAAAGCACATTTGATGCTGCTCAGAGACCAGTAAGTGATCATGAACGTCTAAAGACATTTGTACAAAGGCCCCCAATGTTTGGAATGAAAACATACTTAAGTAGTTATTGTTAGTGGAATTATGTTCTGAGAAACAAACACTTTTTTTCACATGTGGGTTATTATGCAGGTAAACTGATGAAAAGTGCACCCTATTTAGTTAAGCATTTGGCAGCTTTTTCCAGGGCATATTCAGTCATGTGGTGCATTACTATACAACCAGGTCTGCATTGACCAAAAAAACCTCATGGATTTATAGAGTTTGATAATTACTCTTGACAATTGTTAAGCATAGCTTTAGTTCTTGTATGTTACAAATCCTTGTTCATATAGACTTAAAAAATCATTTTAGTGTTTTGAAGGTTCATCCTGTGTAAAGAAAGTGTTGAAGCTTCTGTGACCTGCTTTTCAAACTTTGTCTGAATTTTTTCAGATTCTACGCCATCCAACAAAGCCTGGTGTAACACCTCTGGAAGTTCTTCCAGTGTTTCCAGATTTCCAGGTAAATAAATAATTGTATAATTGTTCTTCAGTGACTAAACATTTGAACGTGTCCTTTAGTAGCATGTCGTAATGATGTGGGATATTGATCAAATGAAGCCTTTAAGTGCTACTGTGGTTCTTTCTTTATTCACTCCGAGCTTTCGCCGTTCTACGGCATCATCAGGGAGGACGATAAAATATTTGCGCTATGGTTTTAAACGTTGGAGGTGCCACTGTAAATTAGCATAATGTAAAACTAGCCAGTAGGACGCATGAAAAACCATAGCGCAAATATTTTATTGTCCTCCCTGATGATGCCGTAGAACGGCGAAAGCTCGGATTGAATAAAGAAAGAACCACAGTAGCACTTAAAGGCTTCATTTGATCAATATCCCATGTTCTTCAGTGACTTTTCGCACTTAATGTGTCTTTAACTAACTTGTCATTCGTTAATTTACAAGAGGTCAGTAGATTAAGCATTTGATTTTAAGGGGTGCAACAGAATTAACAAAACCATTATGTCCCACACTTTTTGGTCATTTGGCCACAAATGGTTAACATTTGATATCTCCTTGATAGTGATTACAACTGTAAATATGCAATCACAGAAGTGTAGAGTGACTTCACCTGGTTTGCAAAGTGTTTAAGGGCCAGTCATTTTAACAGAGTTTAGCTGTTGTTTTTCAAAACAGCATTCTAATCCATCTTCAGTTTAGCCAAACCTTTTATCTGAACATTTATTTTTATGAACTGTGTCAAGAGGGCCGAAAGCTGACAGTGGAAGGAAATTTATTTAATCAAATCAACCCTCTTATGGAAAATCACAGAGGTCTACTGCTTGCATAAAATGGCAGTTTTGGTTAGATCTCGTGTAAATAACCAGTCCTGTGATTAACTTTAAAAAGCTTATTAGACTAGTCTAATAAACCCAGTCTACTTTACTTGACTCAACCGAAGGCTCAAAATTAATATTTTTCTCCACAAACTGCATCATACTTGTTATTATTAATAGTTATTATTAATCAACTTATAAGTATTTTCAATTTTTATTTCTAGATGTGGGCTCAGCCCTGTGCTCATGTTATATTTGATACTGACCCTACCCCAAGAGGTAGAGGAGGTCCAGCAGAGGATGAAGAAATGTCGCAGGCAATGATCAGGTAAAGGTCATTTAGCTCAATCAGGGATTCCTCTATTGTGACAAGTTTGCAGTCAGTGCTGTGCTACAGAAACCAGCTCATTGCTATACCTGATACTAAATGCCTTCTTTTCTAAGCAATATTTACTAAATCACATTTTAAGTTCAACTGACTATTGTTTTTTTCTTCCTGTAGAGGTATGGTGGATGCCAGTGGAGATCAATTTGTTGCATATTTCCTTCCCTCAAAAGAGACAATCAGGAAACGAAAAAGAGACCAAGAAGGTGAAACAGAATACATGGAGGAGGAAGAGTGAGTACTTTTACATAAAGTATCCATTTACTCTGTATAATACAACTTTAACCCTTTTAACCCTTTAACTCCCAGATCAAATTTCTAATTCTCCTCATCGTCAACCATACAATTCTTGTAATGTTAGTTCAGAGAATTTAGTATTGGATCAACTGATTATCCCCAAATTGATACTTTTCTGTATTCTCATGGCTTATCTGGTTGATATTGTACTGATATTGTAAGGAGAAATTCTGTCTTAGTCATTCATGGGAGTTACAGGGTTAACTCCCAAGATCTGATTGTTAATTCTCCCCTTCAGCTGCTGCACACATCCTTAGTTACAAGAAACTGGGTCAGATTAAGAAACAGTTTCAACCTGATACATTTTTAGGTGCATTAAACATACAGGCCCGGGTTGTTCAAAGCTGGGTTAAGGTAACCCAGGGTTAGTGTGAAATTTGATTTCCGGTCTGAAAGCTTTAAGAGGAAATTCAGTTCAAATCTTTTTGCCTGCAATTTGATCATTGGATGTTCTAAAAAGAATAATGAAAATTTTCCGTAAAAGACTTTTGGACAAAGGAATAAAGAAACCTGAATTAAAATTTAACCCTGGGTTAGGGCTAATCGGCCTTTGAACAACTGGGCCGAGAATTTGAGAATTGAGAATTTTGTGTTGAGAATTTTTTAACCCCTAGAGTCTTCATTTCCAAATCAGATTAAAACCATGGGGATCCCTTTTTTCTGTACAACAGATCCTGCATGGGAATATTTATTTTATTTTTCCAAACTCAATATTGTTTTTCTCAGATACGAGTACAAAATGGCACGTGAATACAATTGGAATGTAAAGAACAAGGCCACCAAGGGTTATGAGGTAAAGAGGAAAGGGTTTGAGTCATTTCTGAGTTGTTTATTGACATAATTGTTCTCCTGTTTTATATTCTTCTTTCTGTAGCAGTTTCAGTGAGAATAACTTAATTTGCTCTTATCATTTCTAGGAAAACTACTTCTTTGTGTTCCGAGAAGGAGAAGGCGTTTTCTATGATGAACTGGTAACAAGGTAAGGTCTACGTTCTGATTTACCACCCTAACATCAGTATGCATACTCTTCTGTTCTGTACTGTTCCCTATACATTCCCTAAAGTGCTGATGAGAATTTGTTTTATAATCCAGAGTTTCTCTAGTTGGTGACCATTTCCTTTATTCTCATGACCTTAATGTGTGATTTGGGGGTGATGTTGTAAGGAGAAATTGGATGTTAATCACCCTTTGGGGTCAAGGGCTCTTTGATATTGAATATGAATTTTTTACTTTTTAGTACACAGTGATTCATTGATTAAATTTCATTGCAGAGTTCACCTGAGCAAGAGACGTGCTCGTGGTGGTGCTGGTGGGGTGCAATCAGCAGTCTCTCAGTTGGTGGTGAAACACAGGGAATTGAATGAAAATGAAAAGAAGGCACAGGTGAGCAAGGAGCCATAAAAAAAAGCTCAGCCACAACCACCAGCTAGTCTGCCATCATATCCCTGCTACTTTTCCCTAATTTTGCCATAATTGGTGATAGAAATAACATTCAATCATTGATCAGAAGTCCTTTAATTTGAAGAAATTAGTACAGCAGCCATTTTCCAGTTTTTAGAGGAATTGAATGTATAATTTCCAGTAACAGGTGAACCTGTGTGATTTGATTCTGAATTCAGAATTAGTTTAAGGGTTTGTCCTAATTAAGCAGCATGGCTGGAACATCTTGACAGAATAGTTCACAGTCCAGCTTGTAATCTGACAAAACAACAGAGCATCCACGGTAACCTTACTGGTTGCTATTTCTTATTTGCCATCTACTTTCAGACTTATTGTCAGCCTTGGGTGGGAAGTAGTTCCATAATTGTTATATTGAAAATATATTTGAAGTCACTGATTGTAGGGAAAAGGTCAATGGTGGGCTTATGTGTATCATAAGTTTATGTTGTGAGGAGAGAGAAAATCTGTTCATCTGACTCACAATGTAAGAATTGAATAATCAATTGTATATGTATATTGATCAGGAAAATTTGACTGCTATCCTACTAGTCTTCATCAGGCACCAAGGTCAAAAGTTTACATGTCGCTATTTATAGCACCTTGGTTTGTGTTATTACTTATGATAATGGTTTTGGTTCTTCAGGAAATGCGTATGAATCAGCTGGACACAGCTGTGGCAGAAGAGGAAGAGGAGGAAGAAGAAGAGGGTGATGAGGACGATGAAGCTGAAGAAGCTGCTGAAATTGAAGAAGAGGATGGAAACCTTGAAAATGATAATGATGACGAGGATGAAGATTTAAAAGAGGATGAAGATTTAAAAGAGGATGATAATGAAGCAGAACAAGAGAGCAATGATGAAAAAGATGAGAAAGACAGCAGTGAAGAAGATGGGTCAAGTCCAGAAGAGTCCAACAGTGAAGAGGATGAAGATGATGTTGAGTGATGAAGTTCAACACTTCTTTTGAAACATGTCTTATAAAAACTGCAGTAATTTTGATGAACTGGTAACCATACACTTGTAGTTTTCCTAACTTATTTCTTAGTGCCAGTATCTGGTCAGAAAAGGGTAGCAGTGTAATGCATTCTGAACAACTAGCATTCAACATGGGTGTTGCTGCTTCTGATAACTGACTCTTTCCATCCAGGCAATGGCATTTTCTCTATTTAGCTGTAGTTGCGAATGACGCCAAACAGACACATAGCAAATAGATTTAATGTTGCTGTGCAGGGAGTGTATCTCTGATATTCTTACCAAAATTTGACATCTTCTGTAATTTATTTCTGTACAGATCCAAGGCAACATGAAATCTATCTGTTTATATGATAAAAAAAGCAAAATGTTGTTAATGAAGATGTCATCTATGCATCAGTCCTCCAATAGATCACAAGTAAACACCAATCAGAATGTGTGTGCAATTCAGCCTTGACCCTTTAACTCCCAGAAGTGATTAACATGTAACTTCTCCCTATAATATCCATATATTATCTAGCAAACAGGTAATGAGAATACTCAAACTTATTAGGTTAAAGTTGTTATCTTGATCTAACACCAAATTCTATCAGCTACTTTACAAAGAAAATGTTTAGCAGCTAGAGGGGAGAATTAGCAATCAGATCATAGGAGTTAAACAGTTAAAGATTGTTTGCTTATTGGTTTACTATGGATATTTCTCACTAGAGTCTTCATAAACTTTTCTAAGTTGGTTTATTTTTAATATCAAACAGATATTTACATGACGGTGATTACTTTTAATTTCATTTTGGCTCCTAGAGCTTCTTTCAAGCATAACAAGTCACAAGCACAGCCCAAATAAATTGGAGAGTTATTGTAATTTGCAGTTTCATGGTTTACTCAGTATTGTACATTCATAACAAAAACTCAACCAAACATACCAAAAAACCTGTCCTTCTGTATGTATCCTTGACAGTTATAAATAAACAGGACCTTATCATGTATTCTTTGTTCTCTCTAACTTTGTTTGCAGGGCAATTAGTCTCTCTGTTGTTTACAAACTCAATAACTAAGTTGTTTGAATACCATCTGTTCACTGGCATGGCTTAAAATCATTGTGCTTAAAAAAAACTGTCTAGACCAGCATATTTCTTTTAAGTGGTATCAATGAAACAGCTAAGTATTGGATGAACTTTCTATGACTGTTACACTAAGCAGTATTCATTCTCACTCTGTTTGTAAACATCACTGTTCTGTAGAAGTTTGTCAAGTGATTCCTCAACCTGTTTCATTGTTACATGTTGAAACTTGTTTGAGGAATGAAGGACATCTATAATGGCCCATTTAGAGATTGAGAAACCTGATGGTCCTAAAAGACAAAGAAGCAAACTTCATTTCAATGGGTATCATGGTCATAACTGTTGCTGTGACTTCTTAAGTGGTAAGTACTCCAGCCAAAACTGCTGACTGACCAACTAACTGAATCACTGAGAGACTAACTGAATGACTCACTGACTGACTGATTCACTGACACTCAGGTCATTAACTGGCTAGCTAAATGATGAAATTACTGGGTCAGAAGCAGATGTTGATTGAATGATGTAGTGACCCACTGACCATCAGGCCAGCCAGGCAGGTATTATGAATAGGAAGGGATTGGGTAAATTCTCTATCTTGAAGTTTACCTGCAATTTTGCTCATTGCCTTTAAAATTGCTGATCCAAGATTGTGTTCATGACTTATAACCTACAAAAAATAATTATGAACATGAGGTACAATAAGAAAGAAGACCAAAAACTACAAAGTCATTGAAAACTCTGGCAGCCAGAATATTCTTTGATTTTCAAGCTCCTTATACATAACAGAGGTGCATATCAAGTATGGACAGGTAACAGCCAAAATATTCTCTGATTTTCAAGCTCCCTTGTATACTACAGAGGTGCATATCAAGTATGGACAAGTAACAGCCAGAATATTCTCTGATTTTCAAGCTCCCTTGTATACAATGGAGGGGCACATCAAGTATGGACAGATAACAGCCAGAATATTCTCTGATTTTCAAGCTCCCTTGTGTACAATGGAGGTGCATATTAAGTACCTGGTAAAGATCTCTTCTCGAGTCTTTAAGATACACCAAGCCATCTTTCTCAAGATCTTTGATTATATGTCTAATAACTTTCTTTGCTTCATGAGAATCATTCCATATTTTGGCTTCCTCCTGAAAGAGAATGAAAAGAGAGAAAAAATATTTCAGCTAAGAAAAGATTGTGAGACATTCACTATTGTGTCAGAAAGTGGAGTTCAGAAATCCATTATTAACTGGAATTTGGGGTCCCACAGTTTAACGTAACAGCCAGCTTTTGTACCCTTAGCAAAGTAAAAGTGGGACTCTCAAAATGTTTTGAAGTAGGCGTCAGACTCTGCAAAAGTAGGGGATTGGGAAAAGTTCACTAAGGTGATTATTTTGACCAGTGTAACTGTTGACATGAGATCAAGTAGGACTTGAGTTTTATACTTAGTTTTATTTACCTGGACTCTGGCAATCACCAGCTTGTTTTAAAACCCCTGTTTAGGTCAAATTATTATTTTTTTGAATTTAAAACCTTGGCCATTAATTTGAACACTGTGTACAAATCAAATACAGTCAGCTCTCTTGAAAAGCCATCCTCAGAAATTGGAAAAAGTGGCCATCAGTATAACTGTCGGCTCTCAAGAATTATCCTACAAGAGGACACTAAAGAAAAAATAGGGTGGATGTCCACTTATGGAGAGTCATATGTCAGTCTCTCTTTAACTCTATGAACCCTAACATCAGCATACAAATTCTCCATACTGTTTTCTATTCATTTCCCTAGGTGATGCCAAGGAGTATTTTTACAACAATCAAGAGCTTCTTAGTGGGTGATCATTTCCTTTATTCTCATGACCTTAATGTTTGAGCTAGGCATTGTATTGTAAGGAGAAATTAGATGTTAGTCATTCTTAGGGGTTAAAGGATTAATATCAGAAGAACAGACAGCTTGCTTTCTTGCAGAAAAATGGAGATTTGACAAAACCAATCTTTGTTGTTCTGTTGTTCTTAAAAGGTCCGATTTTTGTTGATGAGGGTGTCCTTTAGCAAAGAGGTCACTGTACTCAATAAACCAAGGAAAGTTTCTTAATGAAGAAGTTCAAAGTATACAAGCCATTATGAGCCAATGAGAGTGCAAATAAAAGAGGCATTGTGATAAAAATGCTAAGTACACCATGTTCCCATTTGATTGGTTGATAGAATGGTACAAGCTTTCTCAACCAATTACAAGGAAAAACTAAACTAAACTAAACTAAAGCGAAACCAATGCTATCTAAAATAATTAAGGATCATGTAATTGTTGCCTAACATCAGTAGGCATATTCTCCATACTGTTCTCTATACATTTCCCAAGGTGCTGACAAGGAGAATTTGTTTAATGGTCCAGAGCTACTTTAGTTGGTGATCATTTCCTTTTATCAGTCTTAATACTCATAATCTTAGATCAGTGGAGATACTGTAAGGAGAAATTAGATGCTAGTCACCCTTAGGAGTCAAAGGGTTAAACTTACCTCACTGGTACATTTTTGCTTTGCTGCCTCCCTTGCCAGTTGTTGTATATCAGGCTCAAAGCATAAGGTCTGAAACTGGAATGTTACAATCTTATTTTCCTTAATGTGTGTCAAAATAGCTTTTTTCAGTTCTGTTTCCTTTGATACAGAGCTATTTTCTGTTTGAAAATCTTTGAGTGAAGGAGTGAATGGTTCTCTGTAAACTGTGTTGCCAAGATTGACTGCTTCTAGCCAGAAGAGGACTTCAGCATTGGGGTCTTTCTCTGGATCTGATCACAGTTAAGTGTTGTCATTTATATATTAACTGTTCCAAAATGGCTTCCTCATGTGCAAACTTGGTTTTGTCACAAAGTGAAGACTAGAGATTGAAATATGCAAATCATGGGGTGCCAAACTGTCAGATTTTCCTGTCACCATTTATCTGGTAAGTAAATTGTTCTCTGATTTCCCTCCCACAATAGCATCTGATCTATTCCAGGACTAGTGGCAAACATTACCAGGTTGTTGCTATTAACTGCATGAAGCTTTTTGACAAGACAGTTATTCAAGAACCTTATTTAATGTAATGACCCTTGATAAGATTTATTTGGAAGAGTATTTTCAGGTTCTTCAATAGTTTGAAAGAGCTTACAAACCCAGGAAAAAAATTAAGTGTAACTTGAACATAATAACCATCCACTTGATATGGTGGGAGAGGAAAAGTACATATTTATCTCATGAATCAGGGGATATCAATAACTTCTATGATAATGCTATATAGCACTTTGCTGGTCATAAAAAAATCTTTGGTAACCTTGCAATGGACTCATACAGGGTGGAGTTGTAATACTCCTGATCACTTTATGCTACTTGGAAACCAAGATAAGCCCTGTCTGCATGGGCCAATAGGCTGGAGTACAGTCTTTACTGTTACCTTATTTGACCATCAGCGGCAGCCAATAATTAGTCCTTGAAACTCCTTGAATGTATGTTGTCTTACTGCACCTAATTTAATTGTCTCTCATACCACATGCATGATGCAAAACAACAGTATAGTTTAATAGATAAAATGTTTGGATACAGATCAGATCAATAGTGAGTTGCCTCTGCTCTCTGAAAACAGAAATCTTTCCTTGCACTGTCACCAGCTGACCAAGGTCGTAGGATTCTTGCCCTGTGCTCAGATCTTGAGAATGCCACTTACAACAGGAAATTGTGCCACTCCCATCATCAACTACATAGTTTGTCATGAAAATGAATAAAAGGTTATTGTCAACAACCTCATTTTGCTATGATGAATGATGGGGTAGGAATCATGATTCCAGCAAGGACCAAGAGAGGCAGAAAGGAGCAAGTCTTTGTTCCAAAACAGAGAGGTGGAATAATCAATAACATATTCCTTTGCCATTTCATCAAAAATGTGTTTGAACCTAGTGTTTAACTATTCAAAAATCATATAGCTATGAGCTATCCAGGGCAAATCCTGTGCTCTGATTGACTACCCATGTGGACAAGATATTATTTTCCTCCCACCGAATTCCTATTAATATCTAACAAAGAAAGTTATTATGCTTCAAAAGTGTTTCCATTTTGTCTTTTACCACATTTTTGTAGTGAAGGGGTCGCCAAAAATGTCTTATAGACAATCAAAACATCGAGGATGTTACATGGCCACATGGGGATATGAATTTTAATGAACGAAGATAAAATTCATATATTCAAGTGGCCATGTAATGTTCTGTTTATTTAATAAATATTGATGAAATTTCTACATAAAAGACAATTTTTAAAATTCATTTTTGAAACAGCAAAATAGTGCAATTAAAGTGGTCATCTATTGCAAAATGCCTTTCACAAAAATGTTATGAAACTTGGGTATAAAGTTATAAAGGAGAAATAAAGATGATAATACTTATATTTTCTGTTCCAAAACATCAAAATTCTAATGAAGCTCTCTTGTAATTGGCTAATCATGTTAGTAATCATGGCGACAGCAATATCCTCACATGTGAAAGATAAAAATAGTATCTTCACTGCGTGCAATGAAGATATGATTTTTTAATAAAAGGAAAAATCCTGGTATTTCATCAGTATCTATATAAAAAAAGAAATTATAAATAACAATATTACCATTTTTCTATATCTAGTTTACAATTCTTTTTTTGAATAGTTGTGCTACATCAAATATTACATCTTTTTTGACCCCAAGAGTGGACGAAAGAGGGCATACTGATTTTGTGTCTTAAAAACAAACCCAAAGTAATCAGAACAGTAAGTCAAAGGAAAAGAAAATACTACAAAAGACTAAAAAGAACATAATTAAAAGTAAAAACAAGTAAGCTGCATAGAACTTGGGAAAAAATGAGTGACCAGAATGAGTGGTTGTGATTGGCTTACTTTTGAATCTAATTGGTTAAAAGGATGGAGTGAATTTTTTGACCAATCACAGGGCAAAATGAAGGGAAAAAAAGTAATTTGGAATACCTTTTGATACTCAGTTGAAATTTTCTTCAATGCATACAAAAAAGATGTCTAGTATAATTTTTAGTTTGATAACCATCAAAATTGACTTACCTCCATAGGTTGTTAGCTTTTCCCTTGAATCTATGCTAACTATGTATCCACTAATTTCCACCCTTACCACTGGATAATTGTTTGGATACCTGTACATACCTGAATAAAACAATATTGCTTTTGTTGATACAGGAATGAAACACATACTTGAGGTTTCCTTTTTTTTTAAACAAAAAAAGGTAAAATACAAAGTTCAAACAAGAACTTCTGTTAAGCATAATTTGTTTCAGTTAAGTAAATTTAATGCTCAGCATTGCAGTGAATAGAATTAAAATAGCACATTTGTTCTTCCAGCCTAGCTCTGCCAGGAGTTCAAACTATGGAACAACTTTGACTCAGATGCTGAACAAAACACATGAGCGACATCAGGAGAACATACTCATCCTAAAACTGTATTAGTAACATCTGAGTAATGGTTCCATGGGGGGGGGGGTGGGTGGATACTCTCATGTCATATTTTGATCACTTCTTTTTCTCTACCATTCAAATTTTTTACTTTAGCTGAAGGAAAAATCATGGTTCTGCTGAAAATCATACATAATTCACAACCATAATAAGCTTACACCATTTTCTGACCAATATTGCTTTGAAAATTAACCAGCACAAACTCACATAGCTGACAGGAGGAGTGGTTCACTTCACATGATCCCTCCTAAGGGGAGGTTCTCCCACTCAAAGGTTTGGTACTATGCTGCACCAGTCATGCAAGCTAAAATTCAGCAAGACCAATTTGAGAGCAAGAGGAAGCGTCACTGAAAGTTGGTCAACGTGAAAACTAACAAGTCAATTTTATTATGAGTCTTTCATGTCAAATAATTGGAAACACACATTAGTTCATTTCTTGGAAAAATTATACCGTACTGTGAACGCTATATAGTGCATCTTGGTCAACGCTATCGCTTCAATCTTCTCAACATACCCGAACCAGTCCCCCTCGGAACGCGTTACTTCAAGATGGCGGGGTTATACGAGATTGTTGATTAATGGAAACGTAAAAGGGAGACTTCAAACCCATTGTCGAGAAAGCCCAATTCAACCAGTGTTTAGGAATTATTTTCGTTATCTTATGGAGTGGGAATTCGAAGTAAATGATTTGATTTGGTTTAGCGAATCAAGTGAAAATCCCTTCCGGTTTTTGGTAAAGTTTGCCGAAGGATTAGACGATCCATACACGAGGAGAAAGCATGCCATTTCATACGTTGACGCCAATAAAGCTTTCGAGAAGTATATTACCGACTCTGGATTTTGTAGTCGAGAGGAAATTGAGGCTCTTAGTGAAGAACAAAGCCGAAGTGTTTTAGTAACAACGGAAAATCTGCACGGAGCTGCAAGTAGAGCACTGAAAGTTACAGACTTTGTTTCTGGTCTTGATCTCGGAGAACTACAAGAAAGACTTGTAGAGACATTTCTTGTTTGTTTGGATCAAAACTGGAATTACGTCATAAGCCAGTTTCAATACATAGCAACATTCGAAACTTTACTAAAAGTAGTTTTGCAGGATAGCCCTAGCATGTCTTGGTTGAAATGGCAGTTTGACTTGACTGGAAGCTCGGTTGAAATAGCACAAGTCCCGGAAGTAAGCTATGAGGATAACATCAGTGTGGTACATGTCAATCCTGAGTATGATATCATGATGAGTGTATCGCATACTGCTTTGGGACTTGAAGATCAGGACCAGTGCATTGCCGAAACGAAATACCCAGGATATTATTTTGTGAAGGTTCCTTCATTCTCAGATGACAGTGAGGAAGATTTGTTAAAGCTAACGACATTTAGAAATTCCAAGTGCTACCTGTCTGCTGCAAAGTTCAGAAGCGAGATTTATCAAATAATTTATGACCTCGAGATGTTTTCGGATGTGGTTGACAATAAAACACCAGGAAATGAAGATTTTGAAATGAAAGTAGCACCTCATGGGCCAGCTGTTCAAATTGATGAGACATTTGAGGAAGGAGAGCTGTCATTATCGTTTGACTTGGTTCCTGCAATTAAGTTTACCAGCTGGCCAAAATGCTGCCAGGAATGGTTGGAAAGAAAAAGAGCTTGGCCTCCGCAGGATCTGGTGCAAGAAATTGTCCAAGGAGGCTTTTATCTTGTGCCAAAGGCATCTCTAGGAGGCAATGAAGAACTTGAGTGGCGCATCTCTTTCTCCACAGCTGAAGGAAAACTGATGAGAGCCAAGGGTCTTGGAAACAGAAACTACTGTTACCGCATGTTCAAAATGGCCATCAAAGAAAATATTACCTCAACTTGCAAGCTTGTTACAACTTATCACTTGAAGACTCTCCTTCTCTGGGCGAGTGAAAGGTACCCACCAGACAGATGGTCAGATGAGAATGTTGCATTGTGCTTTCTGGGTTTGGTGGATGATTTGTTACATTCTTTGCTGACTTGCTCATGTCCTCACTATTTCATCCCAGAACTGAACCTGTTTGCAAATTGCAGTACGGACCACTTGCATTCAATTGCAAGCAAAGTGTCTGCCATTCGTAAATTTCCCTTGAGATACCTCCAGAGACCAGGAGAAGATGCAAGAGCAGGTTATGATAACTTCATATCAGCAATGAAAGAATGGGAAGAAATGAACTTTCAACAGATATAAACCTTGCACCCATTTTCCATATATTTTTAAAAAATGTACAAAATATCCAAATTCCATAGTCTACCCGTAACCCTTTAACTCCCAGAAGTGATTAACATAAAACTTCTCCCTACAATATCCATACATTCTTCAGCAAACAGGTAATGAGAATATTCAAACTTGTCAGGTAGAAGCTGCTATCTTGATCTAGCATCAAGTTCTCATAACTAATTTACAAGGAAATGTTAAGCAGCTACAGGGGAGAATTAACATTCAGATCTTGGGAGTTACAGGGTTAAAAATTGCAGAAAATTGACAAAAGTATATTAAACCAGAGACGTCATTTTACTTTAGTATTAGGAGTAAGGGGTGTCCAATTGGGTTGTGGCAATACATATAATTAAACAGAATCTAGCAACCAATACCACTAGGTGGGTGCATGTTTTGTTCATCACAGGTATGATTACAGACTGACTTGGAAAACACAATGAAATTTCCAAGAAAAACAAACAAATGGAAAACTTGTAGAAATTGTGTTAAACTTTAAACAAAACTGTCGATTAAGTTATCGAATATCTTTTGCAGAGAGATTTTCTAATTTACTTAAATCCTCCTATGGGAAATGGTCAATTGTTGTCTGGGTTACTGTAATAAATTCATTGATTGATAAATTCATATGAAAGTACTCAGAATAATGCCTAAGGTTAAGAGTGATTGGTTGATTGTCTTTCTGGTGAATCAGGATTTCACTTTTTCTTTATTCATGCCCAAGTGAACAAATTTTTTATTTAATTGATACCTGTAAATGAAGAGCTGATTTAAACCTGATTCATGAGCAATTTTGTTTGGCATGATGAATTTCTGACTACTTTATTCACATGGATTGATAAAAGTTATAAAACAGACCACAAATGGTTCTTGAAACAATAAGATAAGACATTACATCATCTTATGTTGTTTATTAAGACTGGTCAAGAGTAGGAAATGTAAACAATTAATTCGTGAATTTGTTTTTTTATTGTAATGTGAAATGTAATCATCTCAAATTTTGTGTGAAAGTTGAAGAATTTTGGATATTATGGTGATGCCTGAGAGGCCAAATATTTTTACATGAATGTGTTTTACACAGGGGTATGGGAGACCCTCTGATTAGTACTGCCAGATGGGATGCTAGCTCCCTCGCAGGGTACCATCCAACATTTTGTCTGGTTTTGCTGAATGTTTACCAATTCCCAGTCACATTCCCAAGTAGAGAGATGCACTCGGAGAGTGAAGTGTCCTCTCAAAGAACACAATACAATGTCTCCATCAGGGCTTGAGCTCAAACCCCATTCCCTGGATAATTTGGTTTTATCAACTGAGTTGATGATGATGTAAATTGGGCACAGTAAAGGATTTCTAAGGCTTAACTTCTTTGGCCAATTCACATTATCAACCCAATTGATAAAACCACAGTATTTTGTTATACCTCCCTCTGATGCAGCACCGCAGTTCTTTAGAAAGTTAATACCTATATTCTCTTTCCCTGGGCCAGGTTGTTGAGAGCTGGGTTAAGATAACCTAGGGTTAGTGTGAAATTTGATTTCAGATCTGAAAGCTTTAAAAGAAATTCAGTTGAAGGCCATTTGTGTACAATTTTTTGATTGAATGCTCTAAATGAAAAGAATTAGGAACATTATCCCCAAACAGCATTTGAACAGAGAAATATAGAAACTTGGATTAAAATTAAACCCTGGATTAGCCCTAACTGGTTTTCAAACAACTGGGACCGGAGTCTGGCATGCAAAAGGTTAAACCAATATGTCTCTATCCCTCTTGGCAGAAGTTGGGGGTTGATGAGGAAGATTATTAATGATATACCTGAAAGGGGTAAATCTCATATAATTTATTAGCTACATAGGTATGTGCTGCTCTAAACAGTATGATGTTTGGGTTGTTTTGGTCTGGAAATTGATATGGATTTGAATTCCATGGTCTTCAATATGCTAAAGTTTTTGAAGGAACCTCATGAGTATTTTAACATATTTGTCTTTTGATATTCATATAAATAATAAAAAAAGAAAAATAACACAAAGATATCTTATTGAGCCCAGTTATTAATAGAGTTTTATCAATTCTTGCTTTTGGCACTAATGCAAAGCACAGCCTTTTCACCCCCAGGAGTGACCAAGACAGATTTTCTCCTTACAGTATCAATACAAAATCAAGCTGACAAGTGATGAGAATAAAGAAAAATATCAATTAGAGGATCCTCAGTTGATATAATACCAAATTCTCTAAACTAACATCATATGAAATGTATGGTAGACAGTAAGAAGAATTACTATACCAGTGAGATATTGAGAATGAAAGGGTTCACAGCACCACATAAAGCATCATGCAATTTCAAACCAAATAAAACTGTTGGAATCTCAGAATCTTAGTGACTGAAATTCATTTTCTGGATCAGGTAAAGAGAAAATGCAATCCACATTCGTCATTGAATGTCCCTGTTCAGTGAGCTTACCTTTATAACCAGTGTATTCCTTCAAACTCTGCACCTCCTTCACAAACAATTTTATGTGAGTCCAAAATAGGGGATTCAGACCCCAAAAACGAACAGGTAGGGAACTGCTGTCGTTCTCTGGTTTATCACTCATGTAAGTAATCGTTTCGTTCCACGGAGATGATATGTATTCTTAACTTTTAACGGGGAAACATGAATAAGGTTATGTTTATTATAACAGTTACACATTTCCCGCGCAAGCGAGGCTGGGAGTCTGGGAATTAATTTTCGTGTAACGCCTGGTCAATTTCAACAATTTCCCCTTTAGTGCGTTCTTTAGCCTCTTGATTGTAGTAAGGGTCAAAAGTCACACTTATATTGTTTGTAATACAATAGTTTTCAAATTTTATTTAAATGATATGGACAACCCAAATACCGAAGGCATCATTCAAGCAAGACCGGTTTATCTCTCAAGTGCGTTCAACATGGAAGATGTCCCAAAGTTAGGGAGGCGACCTGACGATGCAATATCAAGAGAAGAGCAGGAGAAGAACATGGAGGCCGCATTCGGTAAAATTCTTGACAGTATAGGAGAGGATCAAACTCGCCAGGGCTTATTAAAAACGCCCTCTCGGGCAGCGAAGGCAATTTTGTATTTTACGAAGGGATACGAGGAGACAATTTCTGGTGAGTTTTATAAATCTAGTTGAGATTTCCTTTCCTTACTTGGTTTGGTAAGACTAGCAAGACCCCGATGACGGGTTAAACATACTGTGATTTCACGTTAGTAAATTAATCTTTAAAGAGTCTTTTCGTCGCTTATTAAATACGCGAGTCTTATGTTAATAAACTTTGGAAAACTTAAAATACTCCAACGTAATGCCTTGCATACTGCACTAATTACACGCTTATTATTAAGAAGACATTTGAAGTGTAAAAACCATTAGAAAGTATTTAAAAAGTAATTATCTGATTTTCTTTTCAAGCTGCATGAAAAGTTCTATGGTTTATGTTACGGCATCCTTGGTGTCCAATAGGCATGGGAATACCTATTTATACACACTAGGAAAATGCATTAAATTCAAAGAAACTTTTACCCGTTTTTACTTTTTTGTCATTTTGTTTGCATCTTCACCTACTATTGTTGATGATACAAGGAACTGCAAATGAGAAGTCAATCACTTTGGGTTGCTTCATCAGTAAAGGCAGTATAGCTCTGGAGGAAAATTATGGGAGAGGAAAGATATTTCTGCAGTACCTGAAGTTTAAAAAGAAGGCCCTCTCTGTGACTATTAAAAAAAAAGATTTGAATTAAAGGATTAATTTTATAAAGAAAATAAAAATATCCTTAAATATTTTCAGTCATAAACTTAGTAAATCATGATTCAAAGGGTGCTTTTTAAATTATTAATTTTTTTTGCAACCTCATGCCAATCTGGCCCTAATTTTTTTTTTGATCTGTGTTCAATGCATTATTCTCTCTACAGATGTTCTTAATGATGCTGTATTTGATGAAAATCATGATGAACTTGTCATAGTGAAGGATATCGATATGTTCTCCTTGTGTGAACATCATTTAGTGCCATTCATGGGAAAGGTAACAATCGAATCTACTACAATTTTGACTCTCAAAAACACAAGTAATGATAGATATTTAATAATGTAATTTTTATGGAAATTCACACCATGCAACTTTTATACACATATTCAACTGCGCCTAACAATGGCTTAATATGGAATTAAGCTTTATTTTTCTAGATGAAGATGAAGATTTGTCTTTACTTAATGATTTTTTATCTTATTGCAAGTCATAGTAAAGCTTTTATGGACTCAAATCACACATCAATCATAAGTTGGCCATTTAAATTTCGTTTATTTTTGGGACTGCCCTTCCTAAAGGTCTACTATGCATAATCCAGAATCTATAAAAGCTTTATTATGACTTACAATAAGATAAAACATCATCAAGTAAAGACAAATCTTCATCTTCGTCTAGAAAAACAGAGCCACCAAAAGTTGACTCTCAGCTATCGGCAGCTCTATTTTTCTAGATGAAGATGAAGATTTGTCTTACTTAATGATGTTTTATTTTAAATTGCAATTCATAATAAAGCTTTTATGGACTCAAATCACACATCAATCATAAGTTGGCCATTTAAATTTCATTTATTTTTGGAACTGCCCTAAAGGTCTACTATGCATAATCCAGAATCCAAATAATATTTTTAATCAGGCTGGCTAAAATAGGGTAGAAGTGTATGGAAATATAAAAAATTTTTGTGGTTTCAGCGAACCTCTTGGATAGCCGGCCAACAAATTGCATGCATTTTTCGAAATTTTGATCTAGATGAAGATGAAGATTTGTCTTACTTAATGATGTTTTATCTTGACTTGCAAATAATTTTAAAGCTTTTATGGACTCAAATCACACATCAATCATAAATTGGCCATATAAATTTTATGTATTTTTGAGACCACTCCATGTGCTTGTTAGATCAAATTTTCAAAAATGCATGCAATTTGTTGGCTGGTTATTCAAGAGGTTTGCTGAAACCACAAAAATGTTTTATGTTTCCACGCACTTAGACTCAGGGCGTGAAATTGCGCCTAATACAGGTGCCAATGCGACTAAATTTTTCACTTTGACGACCAAATCCTGAAAGTTAGTCGCCAAATTGGCAACTAGAACGTTTCATCATAACCTTACCAAGAGATATAGTAAATCAAAAAGATTTGCAAAGATAAATCCGCGGCAAACTTCCTCATTAAGTTTGTTTCTAAAACGTAGCACGTGCTTCTCAATCGACAACTAGACGCCATCTTGGATTTAGATGAGCCTGAAAGTTGTATATCATCCATCCTAGTGTCCACTTTGTAGCACGTTAAAGATCTTTTCCCTAACTTAATTTTGGAGGGTCTATCTAGAACGCTGACAGCGTAAAGAAAGATTTTGTTTGTCTTTGAAAATGGCGACCAACTTTTTTTGAATTGGCTACCACTTTGAAGAATTTAGGAGCCAAGTGGCTATCAGAAAAAAAAGTTAATTTCACGCCCTGCACTTCTACCCTATTTTAGCCAGTCTGAATAAAATATTATTTGGATTCTGGATTATGCATAGTAGACCTTTATGAATGAACACATGGGGCAGTCTCAAAAACAAATAAAATTTATATGGCCAACCTATAATTAATATGTGATTTGAATCCATAAAAGCTTTATTATGACTTACAACAAGATAAAACATCACTAAGTAAAGACAAATCTTCATCTTTATCTAGAAAAATGGAGCCACCAAAAGTTGACTCTCAGCTTTTGGCAGCTCTGTTTTTCTAGATGAGGATGAAGATTTGTCTTCACTTAATTATGTGCATGGAAACATAAAACATTTTTGTGGTTTCAGCAAACCTCTTGAATAACCAGCCAACAAATTGCATGCATTTTTGAAAATTTGATCTAACAAGCACATGGAGTGGTCTCAAAAATACATAAAATTTATATGCCCAACTTATGATTGATGTGTGATTTGAGTCCATAAAAGCTTTATTATGATTTGCAAGTCATAGTAAAGCTTTTATGGACTCAAATCACACATCAATCATAAGTTGGCCATATAAATTTTGTTTATTTTTTAGACTGCCTCGTGTGTTCATTCCTAAAGGTCTACTATGCATAATCCAGAATCCAAATAATCCAAACCATCACAAATGTCATTGACAAAGTTGTGAAATTTCAATTTACCAAAATGACTGTTAAAAACTTGCATTGTGTAATTTTACTCTTTCATGAATGAGCAATCTTCAACAATTTGTGATAGTTTCTTAACCAAACTTGATTTGGTGTCTCTTGAGTTATACGGGATTTCAAAATGCTTACACATTTCCTTGAGCATCGTAACCTTGAAAAACTAAAGTTTGTTTTCAAATGCCAATTTGCAAAGGTTGTAGACATCATGCATCACTCACTGCTTGACACCTATTTCAGATTGTATGGCTACACTGGCTTTCTTGAGCATCATGGGAGGTTTCCTTGCCATCTGATTTCTTTCCTTCTTCAGAGAGTTGCAAAAAAAATCCCTGGATTTGAAGCTTTGAAAGTTGTTCCATTCTATAAAACATTCATGTTAGCTGCTTGTGCAGGATCTTCCTTCCTCTCAATTTTTTTTTACTAAATCAATAATCCATCTGGTTTATTTCTTGTTTGTTTTTTTTTAATATCTTCTCTCCGACGTTTTTATGCTAATATATAGTTTATAACCACAAAAGAGGGGACCTTTCATTAAATAAGTTCTAGTAGTGAAATTTTATTAGATTAAAGGTTTCATTTTCAGAACAGTTTCTAAATGAACAACATGAAATATTCTGAATAAACCTGAATCTTGTCATAGCTGCTTGATATAAATATATGTATTGTTCTTCCCTTAATTAGCAAAACAAAGTGTGAATTTTATCAGTACCAAAAAAAATCAGCTAATTGCTTTTTAAATACTTTCTAATGGTTTTTACACTTCAGATGTCTTCTTAATATTAAGTGTGTAATTAATGCAGTATGCAAGGCATTTCGTTTGAATTTTAATGTTGAATAATTAATCTTATTGAATAATCTTATTAACATAAGACTCACATACTCAATAAGCAACAAAAAGACCCCTCAAAGATAGACTCCTGGGCAAAGTTTGAAAGAAATCGATTTTTCGACCTGAAATGCACCAGACCACTGTTAGAGAGACTGCTTCTAAAAACTGCTATACAATCAATGCATAACAATACATATGAAAATATAAAATCAGGACTAACTAATTATAAGCAAAAAAAACTTATTAATGCCTTTTCAAAAAAAAGTGATCTAGTCTTCATTTAAATATCATAAAAATATTGAAATATATCAAATTGAATTCGAAAGCAAATGAGTATTTTCATGGGTATCATGTTCTTCTCAGTAATATGAGTTTTATGGAAGGAGGATGAATATTTCCTGTGAAAAATTATTGTCTTTTCATTGACAGGTTCATATTGGCTATATACCCAACAAGAGAGTATTGGGACTGAGTAAACTTGCTAGGTAAGGTATGAAGGTAGAATTTGAAATCCAGCATTAACTGACCACAATGTGAAGGAATGATTCCCTATTCCCTATCATTAGTATGCAATCCATATTGTCCATACTGTTCCCTGTACTCTTCCTAAGGAGCTGACAAGGAGAATTTGTTTGACAATCAAGGGTTTGTTTAGTTAGTGACAATTTTCTTTATTCTTGTGACCTAAATGTGTGATTCAGGGGAGTTATTGTAGGGAGAAATTAGATGCTAGTCACTCTTAACGGTCAGAGGGTACATCATGTATGGAGAGGTTAATATTATATAGTTATCAAACTGATAAGTGTTTGTTCATCACAGGATTGTGGAAATTTTCAGTCGTCGTTTGCAAGGTAAGTGTGGAATACTGCCAATTTAATATGATATGAAATTGACAGTATATGTTAATGTCAATTATCAGTGACAATATGTGGATTGGATATCTTTTTATCCCATTGGAAGAGGTGGTGACAGATTCTTAGAAACAATACTTTTATGAACAATTCAGATTCAAGTAATTGACAAAAATTCAGGTAGCCTTCAATTCTCTCTCTGACCAGTTTGAGTCAAGGCTTTTAAATTGTAAGAACTCCACTGGAGCTGATGAGTGGCAAAAAAAAACCATCCCAATATTTTGTTACTCCAGTTGAATAGTTAGACTTCAATAGTTATGAGATGAGTATTAATGAACTTAACCAATTTTAATTCTGATGTTTTGCACTAAGATTAAGTTTTTTTTTTAAAAAATTTTTGTTAATGATTCCCTTTTTCTTTTAGTTCAAGAACGTTTAACAAAACAGATTGCCATGGCTTTAACTGAAGCTGTCAATCCAGCTGGCGTGGGGGTGGTCATTGAAGCCACGTAAGTATGATGCAGTGATGAGCTGAAAGGATTAATAATGTTAATAGGACCGAGTGGAGTCCAAAAAAAAATGATTAACAAATCAGATGATCAAGAAGAGGCTGGGAGTACCATTTGTCAATCATGAGTATGATTACAGACAGAATTGGACAACACAAAGTCCTGTTACCAACTGATCATAACGGTTACAATTTCTAAAAAAAAAAAATTTTGGGATGAACATCTCTGCTAGAGAGTGTTTAAAGTGAAAAATTCCTCTATTTTGGAAATTCCCCAGTTTTTTTTCCTTTTTTTAGGATAAGCTTCAACTGTCCAATTACAGGTGTCCGATTACAGCCAACTGTCTGATTACACTTTCCGATTACAACTGAATGATTAATGAAGAATAAAGCAGCTAATGCACCAATCACATTTGAAATGTCAAGGATGCACAGGAACCTTTTAGTTTAAATATGCAAAGCTTTGTATCCTGATCCAAATTCACAGTACAGATGTTTTTCAAGGTTAGGTCAGTGACTCCAAGCAACAAGTCTCAGAGACACATCTAAGGGGGAGGTTACCATGTAAAACACGGAGAATTTTGCCATTATCTTTGTCCTTGCAACCGAATTATGTACCCAGAAAAAGTTACATACTGATAATCCAAAATAGTTTCAGTTGGTATTTTTTCTGGGTCAGACTAGAGCATCTGGAAATTCCTTCTTAGGCCTAGTACTCCCTATGTTTCAATTATAGTGATTCTTTTTACTATCTGTCGCACTTTTCTTTTGTTAATTTTGAGAATAAGAGTTCGATCAAATGATATTTTCTGATTGATATGTTTCTTTATTCTTATTACCTGTTTGTGTGTAAGTTTATTTATGTTGTTAGGAGAAATTGCTTCATGATCACTTGGAAGGGTTGAGCACTGCCAACTAAGAGTTTTCCCCCATTAACCCTTTAACTCCCAGAAGTGATTAACATAAAACTTCTCCCTACAATATCCACACATTATTCAGCAAACAGGTAATGAGAATATTCAAACTTATCGGATAGAAGTTGTTATCTTGATCTAGCACCAAGTTCTCATAACTAATTTACAAGGAAATGTGTAGCAGCTAGAGGAGAGAATTAACAATCAGATCTTGGGAGTTAAAGGGTTGTTAATGACCAAGGCAGAATTTCTCCTTACAATATTAAACAGGCAAGTGATTAGAATAAGGAAAAATATAAATTAGCAGATTATTAGTTGATCCAATACCAAATTCTCCAATCTAACATCATAAGAATTGTAAGGAAGACAGTTAGGAGGATTATTTATGAGATCTTGAGAGCAGAAGGGTTATTAAATGTACCTTACTATTTCTTTCATTGAATGTCTTAGACACATGTGTATGGTTATGCGAGGGGTGCAGAAGCCAAGTAGCAAGACTGTGACCAGTTGCATGGTGGGAGTGCTGCGAGAGGATCCTCGATCACGTGACGAGTTCTTGACCCTAATTAGAAAAAGCAATATATGACTTGTTATTCATTTGTTGTTGAAGTATGGATTTTATTTAATAACTACTGTATTTCTATAAATAAGCACCTGCACTTTAATGAACTCCCTCCACCTGATAAGCACCCATGTCCAAGGCCACAATTTCAAACAAGTGCCACTCACTAATAAGGGACCCCCCCCCCCCTTCCTCCCTTACTGACATAATGGTTGGGAAGTAAGGAAAACCTGTTGTTGTTGCCACTTGATTTATACCTTTTAACTGATTAGGCTGCAACTTTAGAATTAGTAAAAGAGTATAGTTTCTTTTTCTGTGAAAGTCAGTTCAAGTTATTCTTAGCTCTATATGATTGCTGCGTTCCTTTAGGAAGGTAATCTTTTCTTTTAATTTTTTGTCTTTTTGCTGCACTCACTCTGTAAGTGCCCCCACTCAATTAAATGCCTTCCTTCTAAGAAGGGCCCCTTCTTTAAGCCAAAGTTTTATTAAAGTGCTGTGCGCTTATCTAAGGAAATACAGTATTTTCTTGTTCTCTGTTCTCTAATTATCACTGATCAAATCTTTTGCAAACACTGCTAAATGGGAAAATAATGGACATTCTTATAATTTGTCATACGTGCAGTTTATTGCACCCATATATATGCGAATATTCAAGATAACGCTGCCAGAATATAATATAATTTTTACGTGTTAGAATTGCTTATTTATGTTTGTAATATTTGAGTAAGAATTCTGAATGGAATTATTCGAGATAATTTTTTAAAGGAAGACCTATTCAGTATTTAACTTAAGTGTTATACAGTATTCTGAATGGAATTATCCGAGATAATTTTTTAAAGGAAGACGCATTTCGTATTTAATTTAAGTGGTATACAGTATTTATCAAATTTTGAGGAAATCCAAGCTATAGCTGTATGTCTTGGAAAAAAAACAGTGACAATAAGTGGTTTTTGTTTGAATGCACATATTTGTTTAATTGAGCTGTTGGAAAGTGAACTTTGTCAATATTTACCCTTTAGACCTCGTTCTTTTTATGCATTTTTATGGACCTCGACTTCGTCTCGGTTCATTAAAAACGCATGAAAAAAAAAAAAAAAAAAAAAAAGGGCCGCGGTCAATATCCAGCCATTTTGACCTAACGCTTGATCATTAACACATATTTGTTTATTCGCCACCACATGATCTTACATCGCTGAAAGTAAGTCTCTAACCCTGTTTAAAAAGCGTGTCTCTGTGAAGACTAATACCTGAGAGTTCCCGACGATAATTATTCTGGCCAGCTTGAATACATCCATCGTGGTAAAACGACTAAGAAAAATTAAAACTGTTTCTGACGTTAGATATACACCTTTCACATTTACGCAGGGTTAATGATGGCTTTTTGTGTTTTTAAACCGCCCACATACCATAATGACACTATCGCCGTTTCTGGCGTATCACCATAGGAACGCCATCAACTTTTAGGCCATGTGTTTTAAGCTTGGCTGAATGAGAAAAATTTTCGACAACTTGCAGCCAACATTTTCGTTTGTTTTAAAAAAGGTACGATTTCCTAGCTTTCTCAATCGCTGAAACAGCTCTGTGTCGCTCAAGCGTAGATGAACACAAGGAAACTAGTGTGAGGAGGTGTTGACGGAGTGCTCTTGAAATTTTGATCATAAGCTATAAATAGAGTAGGAGGAATTCACATTTAACCCTTAGCATTAATATGGATCTATGAAAACTTTTTTTTTTTACTTACCGATCAAATTATATAGATCTATATCTACGCTTTTCGACAAATGAGCTGGGATGGTGGGCTGTGGCAAATGGTCCGCAATTGTCTCCAATATTTTCCGTTTCTTTACGAGAGTTGCTAAGAGCTCTGAGAAAAAAGGAAACAAAAAAAAAACACGAAACAAAACAGGCACAGGGCAGAAGACAAGGAAAACATCGGCTGAGTTTCCTCATTTTTTCATCGGACCCACAGTCAAACGGACAAGGGGAAACACGTGTTGATATCAGAACTGATAAATGCACCAGGAACAATTACAAGTGGGAAATCGGCAGTTTACATGTCCAGGTCCGATAATGATATGTATGTGTTTTTTAAGATCTTTTAAAGTAACCAAAATTAGAATTGCTACACAAAGGTCGCTTTCAGTAAATCACCTGCTAGGCAAGATATTCGTTGAAAATGTCTTTTTTTTCGCGAGTGCTCATTCAAATTGATGCCTAATTGTACTGTGAGAAAAGTTTGCGTGTCCTCCATCTTTAAGTTAATGCAGAATTTATAAATTGCGACACGAATAGCTTAGAAAAGAAAACCTTTCTTAATTTTGTCTCCGTTTTGAAGGGTTTCCGACCACAGTTTATCTTCCGATGAAAGTCTCATCTGAAAAATTGATGGAAATTGCTTTCGGGGTTAAAATCATGAGTTTTTAGTTGGATTAATTTCAAAATCAAATAATATTTTTTTAAGATTAATTTTCAAAAAGTTTTGATAAAAAAAAGACAACTGAAAAACAAACTTTGATGCATTCTCTTTTTGCTCCTATAATACTTTTCGAAATGGTGCTCAAATATGTAACAAGTTTGGTAGAGCTCACGAGGCATTCAGTACAAAGTTATCAGAACAGCGCCAAGTATTGTTGAGTGACGAGTTTAAGTGGGCGAGTTGCTTTGTCACTTTTTTCACGATTGGAGAGAAAAAAAGAAGTTCGCTAATCCTTAAAACAATACCTTATTCTAAATTTGTCCTCAATTTTGATTAACAATTCTATTAGGGAAAAGCCTTGAACATAAATATTTGGATGACAGTTGAAGCGAGACAAGGGTTCGTTGATCCGTTCAAATGATTACATAAACAACAGCGTCACTATGACGTAAAAGGAACTTTCCAAAACAATCAATTCCCACGTTCTTTTCAAAGAAGTTTTCAGAAGGGTTGATGAAATTGCACGAAAAATTCGCAGCGTGATGACTGATTTTTTGCCGATAATTTTTCTGCTCATTCGCCCTCTATTTGGAGAGATTTTCGCCTTTTAATGGTAAGTTTAAACTACGGATTAGTGTGATAATTCAAAGCAGAGTACGAATGAGATAACAAGAAAATTATTTCTTTGGTTCTCTGGTGTAGGTACGACATTCTGCACGGCAATGATGTTTTTCAAAGCAGATAAACATCAGTAAATAAGTGTTGCATTTGTAATCAAGATATTAGATTCAACGCGCCTTAAACAATCTTTGTAAGGCAAAGAAACATTTTGCTTCACTTTGGTAGTCTCTTATACCGCATATATCGCACGTTCGTGATCTTTTCATTCCTGTTTGGATTTCTTTAAGTAATGTTTCCAAAATATCGGACTAACACAAAACCTTCAGGTATGACGTCATCGATGAGTAACGCTATCTCTGCGGTCGCTAGATGGAGTAACAGATGTTTCATGAAAGAGAACGATTCTGTCACTTTGGTCAAGTTAAAATGGTCTCTGTTGCGAAACAATTAGCATTATTTTACACTATACAAGAATAATATTATGACTATATCTTGCCTAAATTCTTTTTGTATCAGATTTCGACCATGTGGAACTGAATTTACATGGAAGTTAGTGGTAAAGATAATTTAGTCAAGAAGTGGTTTCCTAGAACGAAAAATCAGAAAATTCAAGAACGTTCTATATCAAATAAAGTGCCGTTTACCAAACCCGTTTGATGACAAGTTGAACAGGATTTATAGCATTAGCCATTCGCTGCGTTAAAACGATCCGAATCAAAACTAATGAAAATGCTATAACGATGTTTTGCCTTTCTACAAACGATGCCAATTTCCCATCAGATTTGAATGCGGGAGCCAAAAGGTCAACACATTTCCTTTGTGGCGAACTATAAATGTCTACAGGAAGCCGTAAGTTATATTCTTAGAAAAGGAAATGACCGAACCATCATTTACTTGGTAATTTACGGCATTGCGCCTGACAAAAATTTTCCTTTTAAAGCCAAGTTCCTTGACGCCTTTGTCACCGTACCCATATTAACATTTTCATTTTATGTTGCGTGCAGCCCTCGAAATAGTTACTATTACTTATTTTATGTTATTGCTTCACAGAACAAAAATAACTTTTTGGGTTAGCAGACTCTTTTTCCTGCGGCCCAATATATTTGAGTGGTTACCACCCCATTTCACACCTAGTAAAACATTTCAAGTTGGTTTATTGTAACTAGCCCTGAAGCAAAAGGGAAATTTGTCACATACCACGCGCTGATGCAAACTAAGCAATTTTCTAATGGATTCGCTTTTGGTTTCATTTTAGGGAAAATTTAATCGCGCGCGGAGGCGTATGTTTAAATACGTTTGGAAATTTTGGCAGTGACGACATTTAAGGAGCAAAGAGAACTTGAACAGCCCTCTGCTTTGTTACAAGTGAGAATGATTGCATGGACTCCGTAAGCTTGACATTCAATCAGTCGAAGGCTTGATTTACGAGAAAACTCCTTAGCATCTTTCCAACCGCCTTTCAACTGATCATGTCTTGTCTGACATATGTTGATTCACCGCTGTCTGCGCCGTATTTAGAAACGGAACTTCAAAAGAGTGCTCGTCTTTGTTATAGAAGAGGATTTTCATCAAAGGTGAGTTTTGCACCTATTACATGACTGCTCTATGAGCCTTCGCAAGTTATCCGTACACTCAAAACGGAAGTTTACCTTCATCGTACCGTACTTTCGATGTGTACGTGAACTAAATGTAATTTTCTATAGGTTAGTTCATATATAGTGTCTTGTACATGCTAATGTCATTTAAATCCAAATTTACAGCAAAATAACGTTTACAATGTTGACTCGAACTTAACAATTTCTGCCCGGCTAAAGCAAAGAATACGAAAATTTCAGTTTGGTATTTTTTAATTACATCACCTCGTTCCTTTTTGTTTCAACTTTAGCCTTTGTTGTGCGAGTTTACTATTTCAGTTTGACACAGGTTAGGCGAGTTTGACGCTTCAGAGGATAAATTTATTACAATACGTGATGTAATATGCTGGAAGTGATTCATGACGAACTAAGATATCAGTCACGGTGGCCATCCTTCTCGTTTAACTCAATGTTCTAACTCATCTACCAATGTTCGATCTAAGATAACCAGTTAATTGATCAGATATACACACATTCTCACGACGATTAATCTTAAGATGCAATATACTTTAAACCCAACTTAGACGAACCAATTTATAAAATCGGAAGACTTAACGGCGCCAAATTTATCAGAATCCAATACTTGTGAAATTTAGTTAGAAATCATGGCTTTTCGCCAAGGGTTTGAAGGGCCATCGTCAGAGATTTACGTTTATAGGAACTGAATAACCAGGATGACAGGTTCAAAAACTTTGATCGAAAGTTCACTTAAGCTTATATTTGCTTCGGGAATGTCGCGAATGGCTGCAAATGCTGTATGCACGACTAAACCTGGTAACACCATAAGTGACCAACATGAAACTTCTCCTCACAATTAAAACACATCGTTCACTAGACAGGTTATAAAAATATAAATATAAAACTAATTTCTCGTAAGATATTTACGATGAAGCGATATGGAAATAAGAAAGGAGAATTTCGAAGAAGGTTTTCAAGATTTAGAAAAAGCAAATCGAGAGGAAATGGTCATGTCCAGATACAACTTGTTATATAACATTTTGATGATTAAGTCAGTTCTTGTTCTCAGGAACCTGCGTGCAAAATGAGGCAATTCCTTGCCGGAATACGGCCGAGATGTAGACCCATTTTCACACTGAAGTACCACCGAGAGAATATTCTCTTCAGTACTACCCCGCATGTTAGGTTTGAAGCATGGTTCGGTGTACTTATGCAAAAATATAGCCCTAAAGCTATTTCTGAAGTTTTAATTTTGTACTCAGTGTTACCTAACAGCAGTGACCATTTCACGTGTAAAGATGGCGGTGCATCTGTTTTCAAATTGAACTATTTGTAGTTGACAAACATCTCAACAGCTTAAGGCCTTCAGTAACATCCCATTTTTTCCACATGGTTAACTGAGATCATCATTTATCATGTAAAATGAAAATTTGGAGAGAGTTTTATCCTGTAAATTGACGATATTAGGTTGTTCTGTTTTGTTTTGCGGTAGCCCTCAGAAGAGACAAAATTGTTTTGGCGTTTTTTTTTCAGACAAGAGGAGGTAAGCGCCTTGTGAGGAACACGCCACTATAGCCTCGCCTGTTCTTCATGTGTATGTGGATCAGCTTTGAACAATAGTTTTATCTATAGTTGTTCCATACTCCATTTTGTATGCAACAATTTTCAATTGAATCGAAAGTAGTGCGGCATATCTTTGGTTTTGCTTTACTTCACTCTGTGATTGGTCCAAAAAACTCGTGCCAGTGACTTTCTCAACCAATCAGTTTCAAAACTATAAGCAATCACGACCAGTTCACTCGCGTTTTTCGCGCCTTAGGAAGTTTGCTGTTGTTTATTTCTACACCCACTTATTGTTGCTCCCTCTGCAGCGCAGTTAAGTCTCTTTTTTTACGCATTGCGAGCCTATATTTATTTTTGTTTATGTTGTTTTGACGCAATTTTTTCAGCTAAGGCGCCTTATTGTTCTATATTTAGAGTTATGATGCATTTCCTGAATACAGCAGTACGAGCCAGACATGTACAGACGGCGCTTCCGTCGATCTCTTGTCGGCGTTTATTGGCGAGTCAATCCTAAAATTCAATACCGCTTATATTGATAGGTTGTTAATATGGAATAAGCCAAACCACCATTTGTTTTGGTTATATAATGCCACCGAGTATTTCCTGTTAGCTCGCGGAAGTTTCCAGTATTCAGCGAATTCTTTGCCAGTTTATTACCTGTGTGAATTGAGAGAGTCAGTTCAGCCTGCCATGCAATCTAGCCAAGAAAGTTTGCAGACATAAACATAACAAGCTTAGTTGAAAAAACGTGAAGCTGATTTCCGAGTTTTATTCCTCGATTTGCATTTCGAAGATATCTCGAGCACATGGATCAGAGGGGCTTCTGCGCGGCTATCTGGACTCAAAGATGCTCTAAAGTGAGTTTATTTAGCCTAGGTAGAATGTAGCTAACACCGATTACCCATCATAAAGTTAAACTTTAGTTTGTTCCCTGAATATAAGGCAGATTATAGATTCGGTACGCACAAAAGAGGTTATAGAAAACGTGTATCAAGTTTCAATTTTGTGACAACCAGGCGTTCGAGGAGGCAGGCGAGTGAAAGGGTAAATTTTCTTTTGTTCAGGGGTATCTGTGGTTATTTGGGATGATATACTCGGAAAAGGTTAGAACTGATTTAGCGAAACTATTTTAATTTCATGCCATTTGAGCGAACTAGAAATAGCGGAAAGATTATATTGAATAATGGAAGGTTCGAATTCATGCCTGCTCAAACGAGTATGGTGTTTTGTTATTTTGCTTACTCTTTATTTAGATTCGCTTTTAAAGAAAGCAAAAACAACAACAAAAATAACATGACTTACCGCGGAAAAATAACTTTCTTTTCCACTAAACTGCATTGCTTGATGATCTGATTTACTTCAGTGTAGCATCACTACACCTCAACTAATGAACTACCGGTAGTTTCGCTGAGGCAATATTACTTATGGCTCATATTCCGAAGGTCACAAACCTAATTAATTGTTCCATAATTATACCATTTGACATTTTAAAATAATCACTGGAAGTTTGGCGAACCGAAATATAAAATCGCTTTGCTTAGAACTAGGGGGTTTGTTGCTTTCCATTTTTTTCTTAACGTGTGAGATTTCTTGAAATACCTCCAGTCATCGAGACTACAGCTGTTCAGATGTTTGTATACAATCAAGAACGTTCTAAACTGCCCCAGGACCCTTTTAGTAACAGCTCTCTAAATACATTTTTTCCCGATGATGATTCGAAAGAAACTTTTAGTCAGAGCGCCTGTGGTAGCTTACCGATTAAGAGATCGGGGTTAACTTTTAAAAAGAATTGCTTTACCGTTTATTGTTCTCGATCGGATTGTCACTGACAAATCCACAGTTATTTGCTAATTAGGGGTGCTAAATAGAATCACAAACGGACACCGAAAATAATTACTGTCATCACTGATTACCCTTTAATCCCAAATGAATCGTTCAGCAAACTTGATTTTCATGCTAAACAGATTCAACACGCCGATGTTCCCGAATCCAATTGATTCGAGTCAATCGATTTTCCTTCGGATGAGCGAGGGCTATCGGGATAGGGGTCCCTGTCTACGTGAATTTTCCCAGGCTTCAAAGCGAAAATCATTCCTACTCACAACCAAACATTGATTTTCACATCAACTCGACGAGATTATTTGTTTTCACTCGAAAACTGTACGGCAACATACGTTTCTGAATGGTGCAAAATAAAAATAGTCTCCTTTTTCTTTTGGAAACGAGGGACTAAGTTGAAATTTTTAAACGTGAAGAACATTCAGCGAGTTAGTAGAAATCCAATTGTGAAAAAAAAGTCTGAGAACTGATGATCAGCTGTTTCATTCCAGACCTCAAGGATCTAAAGCTTATTGAGCTATGGAAAACATCAGAAAAAAAAGTCTTTCAGTATTTTCATAGCGGATCCAAATATATAGTTTTGAAGAACACGTTAGAGCGACCTTGCTCCGTCTCCCAAAAACGCCAAATAATGGAACTCTATCGTTTAAGGAGGTCTGTACAAAACTGTTTAATTATTTTCATTTGTTATAGATGGTAGGTATTTCTCTCATTGATGATCAATGTTAGGACTAAGAGGAGGGTAAAAAAAAGAAGTAAACTTTAACACTTTCGCTTCGGCCGCAAACCTGGGTTTGTAAGATCCCCTTGTAACTGTCTCTATTATCAAAGGAAATTAGCCCACATTGTCTATTCTAGGAATTGAAGGAAGAGGTCTCTGTGAGGGAGAATCGGCGCTTGTTGTAACGAGGAAGTTTTATAAGCTTTGCGTGGGTGGACGAACAGCTATCAGTAAAGTGAATTATAAACTCCATTGCCTGAGATACACAAACGCTCCTTGAGCTTCGTGAAGAAAACAAGTGGGCGAATGATTTGAGATAACAAGAAGTCTAATCACGTACGCGGGGATCGAGAGGTTAAATATTTCTGTTTGGAAGTACTAGAACGGTTTTCAGTTGCCAGTGGTCAATTCTGATCATAGTCGGAGCTCGTACAGGTTTTGTGCCATCTAAAAGTAGTAGCTTTATTTAGCTTTATTCCTTGATTGACAGGTGAAGGAAAAACTTCATAGATTAACAGAACTGAAGCGAATCTAAACACATCGGTAAAGGAAGTTCAATGTTAATTAATTCGTTTTATTTTTTTTCTATTGGGCTGCTTGATCTCATGTCTATTTTCGGAAAATCGGCATTTTGTACTTTCAATATATATTTTTTTCTTCTAAATAGTACATCAATGATTTACCTTATCCATCATAATACATTTTGTGTTTGCAAGTCTTCACATATTCGCCAACACTTGGCTTGAACCTGTATTTCACAGTTTACTTAGTGTGGGCGACTGACGCTGAGATGAATAATATCCTTTTTTAATTAGAGTCATTGTTATTTCTCACCAAATAGAAAATAGAATGATTCCTCATTTCATAACTTCCCCAACCTACACCGGAAAAGAGAATTTGCTCGAATTTTTACGGCGCGGCATTGTTTATTCAAGTTCCTAATGAATGGATTTCAGCAAGCCGCGATTCTTGTTACACTGCGGAGGGTCAATTATTTTAGAGCTTATATTGTTCAATATGTAGTCACTTTCCTTCCCTCGCAATACTAGTGTCGGCAAACAAGCGAAGAATTTCACTATTGTCTGGTCAAATCTGCTTTCGAAGGGGCCTCGTGGAACGTGCGCTGTGCGTCACGTGACAATTTTCTCTGACATGACATCATTGTTTTGTTGTGATTGGCTTATGCGGCTCAAAATGAAAAGCGAAGCGAGCTTCGAGTACTTGCGAGCTGTAGCATGTGTGTGAAGGTGAAAATTGTCAGGCTTTTGCTTTAATTTGGTGCACCTGATGCGGGAAAATATGTCATGACGAGGTGTTATATCTGTTGTGGAAGTGGCTGGTGGTGTTCAGGGAACTGCTGAGCTCGTTTATGGCGACGAATTCGCATAAATCTTTAGACACGTCGAAGAAAGGAAGTTGAGTCTGAAAGGTGAGCATGACCTTTTCCAGTTGAAGTTTTGTCAGCGCTTTTGGTGTGCGAATAATATCTTTTTTTTTTCGGTGCGCACGAAGTAATGGCGAAGCCTCCTTGGACATTTGTTAGAACATATTTTTGCAACTGTAGAAGTATTTTACCTTCGATAAAGTCAAGGCCTTTGGCGTGTTGTGGTTGGCGAATGTGTTGAATGTTTTAGGTTTTGTTTATGAAATGAAGAGGAGGACTTTCGAATGCATACAGGGTGCAATCACTCGAGGACTGTTGTGTTCTTTTGACTTTAAAACGCCGATTTTAGCAATAGAAATAAATCTTGTAGAGTTGAGAATGAGGAAGATATATCTTAAACATGCGTTGTAAGCAAGTCTGCTGGCGAATATCGTAGACTTATGCCGTCATTCTGGCTGAAAGCTACTTGCGCGCGAGCCTCTGCAGAACTCCATTTTGAAAAGGATTATGAATGTTTTGGAAGGTTTTTCGTTCGCTAATTTTGATTTGGCGTTCTAATTAGTGTCTAGAGAAATATTAAATTTGTTATTCCCAGCTTAGAGACGTACAGAAAAACAAGAAGGAATTGTTTTGTTTTTGGCTGACTGGTGTCTGATTGTATTGAGAAGATTCTTTTGCTTCGGAGACGTATGCAAATTCGACGGGGATTGTGCGAAGCGCGCAATCCATTCAAAAGTGCTTACACAAGAAACGATGTATAATTGATGAATATAAGCCTTGGAGCCAAACAACGGCGCACGTGTTTAGGAGGTTGTACATGCTTTGAAAGAAATCTCGGGGAAGTTGTTTACCTCTCCCCTAGTTTGCTTTCATGTAGGTGTTGGGAAACCTTCGAATGTTCACACGTGCTTGCTGGGCTTTGCGTATTGACAAAGAGTAATCGAATTTTCCATCGATTTCAGGGTTTGTCCTTGACGAGCGACATGAAACCTGCACATCACACTCTTTTTCGCGACCAAGTGAGTACACTTGTGGACTGGTTTGGGAGGTGGAACGAGTGTGAACAGACTATAGCGTTGTATACGCTTTTGAAGCGCATATCCACCATTCAAGCCAAGTTTCTATCGTTAATTCTGGAACACACATTTAGGGAGGATTCCTTTGAAGTTCAGATGATGCAAAGGCGAGCAAACGACAAAGGTAAGCAAAGATATTTCTGTCTGTCTGCACGTGGGCGGGTAACTCCACAACCGTTCTTGTTTTATCACGGTGGGAATTTTGCATCAACGAGCTTGTTCGACCGTGCAAAATTTTCACTGTATGGCTAAATTTCCCTGTCTTTGTAAAAAGGTGTCAAAAATTCACCCTTTGAAATTGACACGCGTTTGTGAAATTGATGGGTTTCATTTTTCTCACTCTGTGTCTTCAACGTTTTTGGACGGTTCTGAAATCCATCTTGGGATCAGTTGTGGTTATTCCTGATTGCCTTTGTTTCATTTTGCGAAATGACATTTTACGTTTTGTTTCGTGGAGGAGAGAAAAGTACTTTCTTTTTTTCGTTTCCTTTTTAAAGTTTGGTGCCTTTCTTGCTTTTTTTTCATTTAACCAAATCGTAAACAGCATTGTTTGTTATTATGCATTTCGTTACGGGGCACGAGCATTTTCAACTCTTATGGAAAGTCATGGTATCAAGTTTTCAATCCTTCTGTAGTTGTCTGGTAAATTTCTTGGCGTCAGAACATTGGAAGGTTAAAAAAAACCCATCATTTTTTATTAGAGATGTTCATCCTTTTGTTTGAGTCACCTAAACCAAGGAATAAAACAAAAAGAATATATTTTTGAATGAAAAGGGAAAAGTATGTGCAGATTATGCAAAAAAATTCATTGATCAGTTTTGACATCATAATTATTTTGAGCCAATTGATGTAAAACGAAATTAGAGTCCAGGAAAATTATATAATTTTTAATAGTGTTTGTCTAGTGATCTGAGGTTGTTGTAAAATTTTGGCAGAGGAGCATCTTAGTGTTAAACAATTTTTTTTTCTGATGAGTGAAATTTGATGTATTTCATTTGAAAAACAAACAAGTTTTAACAGCAAGATTAGATTTCATGTACTGGAGTGGTGGGTGACTTTCAGGGCTGCACCTTGCACTTTGCATTATGCATCTGATTAGCTAGTGCTGTTAGTTTGCATTTCGTTCTTTGACTCTCTGTTAAAAAGGGTTCTGTGGAGCCTGGTATACCAGCTTCTGTAAGACCGAGGAAGGAAAAACCTTTTAAACTCCATGGTGCTTGGGTTATCTTTCCAAAGGACAGGGTCATTGTTTATCATTTTTTTTTTTTTGTGATAAGAAATAAGTTGGTTTTCATTTGAGGAGATCATTGGTGCAAACTAATCACTTGAAATAATGTGGTGGGTGACGTGAAGAATTTTTGTTTTTAGCCCAATGCTTTGTGTTACCATGGTTGAAAAGAAGGCAATCCACTTTGAACTGTGTGTGTGGATCAGTGAAGAAGGACAGCTTTGCAATCACAAAACAAATAACTTTTCCATTGTGTTCTTGTTCCAATTTGACAGCCATATCAGATGATTAGTCCAAGTTGCCGCTCATTGATGTAAAATAATAGGTGATCTGTTTTAACTACTTGGAAAATTTATTGAAGTTTGCCAACTCCCATATCTGAAAGGGATTTGGAAGACAACCTGTTTCTGTAAGGTTTCCGGTAGTAGTTTTTTTTGCCACATGACTTGGAAAAGTACACAAGGAAAAAGTAACTATTTTTTAAGGCATAGTAAGTTTGCCAAGATGGAATGTACCATGTACTATTATGTTAGTTTCTTTTTGAAAAATAGCTTCCTCAACCTTATTTTGTCCTTGTCATCCAATTTGAAGATCATTTGATGGGTAATGCTATTATGATATGAAAATTGTCTGTGAAAAGGAATGTACCCAGAGGGATATGACATCTTATTCTACACTTTGCACCATGGGTTGAATAACTGCAATTCATTCTACTTCACTTTAACTTTGGTTTGGCATTCATGCCAATTAAAGTAAGATTGTCATGTAGTATTTCCTCCTATTTTTAGTACTACAGGCACAATAAATTTTCAAACAGGTAGAGCAATCATTTTACCTGTTGAATTTTACAAGAATTACAAGTGATTTTAGGCAATTTTAAGAGTTACTGTAGTTGGTAAGTAGTACCAGTTACCGCCTGAACAGAAGGATACTGCTCATGTTCACATAGAAAAATTTTGTAACTTTTGGGTTTACTGGGTTTAATGTTCCTATTTTGTCAAGCAACAGCTGTGTGCAATGATTGTGTTTTGCATTGTTAGAAATAGGTGTGAATGGATGAGACTGTTATATGTGGCTTTGAAACTAATTTTTGTATTTTTGTATATCACAGAGTTTTTACACTTTAAGCACAAACCAAAGTTTAAAGCACAATTCTGTTACAATCAGGAACCATTTGCTTTCAGTGAAATTTAGAATTTTTGATTATTCATTGTCTTGTAGGTTAAGTAATGCAAAAGCCAATTTTTTGGGAGAAATGGGAAATCAAAATGTAAAGTTCTCAATTTCTTTGTAATTTAGTCAGTTGTTATGGTTTGTTTGTATGGTGGGGACTGATGAAACAGTGTCATTCCAGCAAGATGCTGTACTGTAGAATTGTAACCTTTTTTTCTTACATATTTTGTGTGTTGGAGAACACTGCTTAAAATCAATCTGCATGTGTTTTTTTTTCAAAACCACAAAGCAACTTTTTTTTAAATCCTATTTTTGTTCTAGTCTTAAGGAGAAAAAAAAAAAGATATTCCTTGGTTTTTAATATACTTATTATGTCTATCATAGATAGAAGTATCCACAATGAATTAGAAAATTCTGTAGTCAAGAAAAGTAACTTGTTTTATCTGTGTCTAAAATTTATTAATATATGTAGATGTCTGGGCTTTGCAGACAAAGCGAATATAATGGGACAAAGAGCGGATGCTATTCATGTTTTTAATTTACGCACTGTCTGACCCTAGCCTATTATTTTGAATAAAGTTGATTGAATAGCTGTCTAGTTATAACTCTGCAAATTGTCTTTCTCAGAAGCCTCTTCAGTATGTCATTGTTCAAAAAGCCATGTGGCTTATCCTGCAGTTCATTGGTGGTGGTGGTTTCTTTTTTATGCGAAACCAGAAGGTGTCAATATTTACTTATGAGCACATGGGACTAGTGCTTTCTCTTTCAGTGGTTAGTTCTGCTCTCGCTGTCAACTGTCCTTTGCAAAAATTAGATAAAAGTTAAACCAGCAGTATTTAAGTTTTGAAAATATGCAACGTGTCGGCAATGTAGCCAATGGTAGCAATTATAAAGAGGTTGGCTGAAGTACCAACTTTGTTGAAAAACTAAAAAGAAATGGAAAAACTGCGACATTGTGTGGGCTGTAATATAACTTGGTTTTATCAACTGTGTTGACCACTGTAACAAGTTTCTAAAGCTGACATTTGAAGCCTCAGCCCCTCATCAAAGTGAGAGGGATTGGTTTGCAAAAAATGTTAAAAATTTGTTAATTTATTTATTATTTGTTCTGAATCAGCCTTTTAAAATAACTTTTGTATTATCATTGATGACACATGAAAGCTTGCAATGAACAAAAACACATGTGGCTACACTGCATAATAGCTACAAAAGTCTTATGGTTGAAATGTGTTTCAATGGCAGTAAGTTGATGACGATCAGGGTTGTCATCAGAAAATGTCTTAGATGTATGGTATGAACTGAATGGGTGGCTGAATTGATCACAATTTACAAAGTAGCCAACAGAAAATGATCTGACCGCCAGTAGGATTTCACTGACTACCTGCCTCTAGTGAAATGTGGAGTAATTCACAGGAATAAATAAAGTGAGTTAGACTTTAGGAATATTGCCTTTGATGAGGGCCAACCTAGTGGTGATGATTCTTTTCATAACTGTCGGTTTTTATTTCATAAATGTTTGGGTCCCATTTATGTGTGTGTGTGTTTACTTGTGAGAGACTTCTGTACAGTTAGGAAAAGTGACTCTGGGTGGCCACCAAAAATTATTAACTGTTCACTAAAAGTATTTTTGAAATCTCTCCAGAATTTTTAGGCAATCTGATTCGGGAGAGCAAAGATGTTGCAGTAAAACAGCTTCTAATACACCTCCCTCTTCTCAATCCACGAAATGATGACGCAAGACATGAGTACCTTCATTTACTTCCCAAGATCCTAAACCACACTGTGGAGCACTCCGTACATCAAGAAGAGTGTCGTCAGCTCTTGTCACTGGCTGTGGTGCATCCAGCCTTTCCAGCTCACGAGCGAACTTACCTTCATCACTGGCTGAGCAAACTTGATCAAAGCCTTGGAGTACAAGAGAGGATGCAAACTACAAATTCATTTGTCAATGAAAATTCAGATGTATTACCCAATACAGGTTGTGAGAACCTTGTTAGACAGAACTACATGCGAGGTCGCATGAATGGCTGGCGTAACCAACAGCTTGTTCATGTAGACTCTGGAATTGGCGGCTCATTTGAAACACCAACAATTCAAACACATCTTTCAATTTCATCATCATTACGAAAGAGCCGATCCAATTCCCTCACTCCTCCACCACCCATTGAAATACAGGACTCCATTTTGGAGGATTTCCCAGAAAGTTGTGAGATTGAAAATCGTCCGGGCAGGTCCCAGTCATTTCCAGTGGATCCTCATCGACTGAATAACTCTCTTTCACCTCAATCATCTTTGGACAGTGAGTATGATGAAAATGGTTGCAGACAGAGAGGAAGTAGCTTCAATGAAGATGCTCGGCCAGGCATGAAAGGTTAGAGTTGAAAAAATAATTTTCTTTCGCCAAGTTGATTGAAAAATTGAGTACTGTGTTTCCTTCCCCCTAAAAAAGTGCCCACCCCCTTAGCCATGATTTCAAACAAGTCTCCTTGTCCTTTATGGAAATAGTAAGGTTTCAAGGAAAATCTGTTTCTATTGCCACTTTATGTATAACTTTAAGCCTCAGCTATAGTGGAATCTGTACAGGAAAATGATGGGGGGGGGGGGCTCCATTAATTGCCCTTCTACCAATGAGTGCTCCTCCTTTTAGTCAAAATTTTTGAATAAGTGCCCACACTGTTTGCATTAGTACCAGTGCCTCTGGTTTAGTTTGTGTTAAAGCCTGCTTTGCAAGTGATTACCTAGATAACACAAATTATGTTAAGCATTCAGGCAAGATAGACTAAAACATGGAAATCACACATACAATTCAATGTAAGGAACCTAAAATAGACAGATTTTAAGGTTTTCCTGTAACCTTTTGGATTTTCTTATTTAGAGGTTGGTTCTTGGTTAAAAAATTTAAGATTGCACAAGTATGGAAGTTTGTTTGCCCAGCTTTCTTATGAAGAGATGAATGGTTTAACTGATGAGTACTTGGAAACTAAGGTATGTGCAATCTGTTTGTCCATGTAGAGGACATGTTGGTAGCTCCCTTCTTTGTCCCTTGAAAAGTTTCAGCTGTGGAAGTTCAGCTTTAAATGGATTTTAGCATATTCATGTATTCACATAGAGCCTTGTCATCTGCTGAATTTGAAACTTTAGGTTTTGACAAAGTAATGACAACCTCACTACATGAGTTATTTGTACATCAAGTCTGTTAGTCCAGACTGTTAATTGTAGGTTAATGACTGGAACACCCATGGACTGTGGTTAATTTTTTTCTCCTTGAAGGAAGAAGCAAGGAAGGTTTGATAATGTACCAGGACTCATTGTCATCATCAAAATAGATTTATAACATAACTAGTAAATTTGTCTAATCAAATTCAATTGCGCGAGCATGCTTCATATTCCTATTGTGCACGCTCATGACGTCAGCAAACAAATCCCTCTAGAAAAAGATTTTCAATCAGGTTGAAAATGTTATAAAACAATTGGTTCATATGTCAGCTGTGTGTTCATCGAGATATGAAGCACTTGGGAAGTTTGGAGAGCACTCAAGAAGCTAGAGTTGCTCTCTGCTTTGCCTCTAGCAACTCTTACGCATCTTTTTCGGCTTTGCCTCTAGCAACTCTTACGCATCTTTCGTGCTCTCCAAACTTCCCACGTGCTTCATATCTTGATGAACGCATGCTGACGTATGAACCAATTGTTAAAGATGCTTTGTCTCCAACTTTGATTGAGTGTTGTGAAAGCAAAACCAAAGTAATCACAACAGCTAATCAGAAGAAAAGAAAAATATCTTTAACCCTTTAACTCCAGTGAGTGACCAAGACAGAATTTCTCCTTACTATATCAATACAATATCATGCAGACAAGTGATGAGAATAGATAAAAATGTAAATTATGGGTTTACCAATTAATCCAATGCCAAATTCTCCAAACTGAAATAATGAGAATCATTTGGCAGACAGTAAGGAGAATTACTAATGAGATCTTGGGAGTTAAAGGGTCAAGAGCTGATGAGAACTCATAGTAAAACCAACCAAACTGCTTAAATCACAGGAACACACAAGTGACCAAGTGATGATTGGTTTTAGTTTTGGGTCTGATTGGTTGAGAGAGAGAGAGAGGTGTAAGTTTTATACACCAATCACAGAGTAAAGATAAGCAGAAAAACAAGCAATCCCAGATTATTTTCGACATTCAATTGAAAATTGCTCTTACTGCTAGATTAGTGATTGGTTATAAGGCCCAAACTGATGTGTAGATGGTGAATAAAACTGCGTTGTGGTTCTTTTCATTTGTACTGCTGGGAAAGGATTTCATAATAATTCCTTTCACTTTTCAGGGTGTAACCAAAGGGGCCAGGAACAAAATTTTACTAAGTATCAAGAAATTGTCTGAAAGACCTGAAACACTGAATCGTCTGGAAAAGGTAAAATTTGACTTTGTTAGCCCTGAACCTACCAAGATCCACACTAAAAGCTTCTGAATTTTTGATCTGGAGAAATCCATGTAACACCATTCCTTTTGCAATCATGTCTCTTGCTGTCATGAAAATTTAATTTAATTTTTAAAATTAATTGTGTTTTCTTTAGGAAGTGCTTCAGCAAGGAAAACTTCAGGGAGTTCTTGTTGCACTTAAAGATATAATAATCACACCAATAAAACCATTTAGTCCTCCTCCCTCGGAGAACTCACCCTGTGGTTCATACCCACCCACATTGACAGGACAGCAACCCCCATCGACTCTACCTCCCCACCCAGAAGACTTAGCATCAAGAATTACAAGAGTGTTGGGCAAAGGTGAGTAGGCTTTTTCTGTTATGTGGCAATTTAGGCAGTAATCTATCACGTTTTATTTTTCAAGGTTGAAAACACCCAATTTATGACTTTGTCTCTTGGTTGCAGCTTGTACTCAGATTCTTGTATCAAGAGCAGATGAGGAACATTGTAACACCTATCTTCAACTTTTGGACAGAGTTCTTTCGCTCGAGGTGAGGCTTTTATATTGAGTGCAGCTAACTCTTAAGTTTCAATCTGTCTTGTGAGTATAAACCATCAGGATCCATTGCATTAAATTTGTCTGGGAGAAGACTTAGCATCTTCCCATACTTAATTTTAGGAAGGTGGAAGAAGAGGTTGGAGCAGAGGGTGTGGTTCATTGATCAAAACCCTTAAAGTTAATTTTAACTTTCCATTAATTGAAGAAACTTGATGATGATATTGTGTATAGATAATTTTCACACAAAATTACAGCCACCATTATTGGTCACTAAAATGGTAGAATGACTGCCATGTTGGTGTCCAGATTTGAAGCCTTTTTATTTGTAAATGTTCTTGTGTTCCAGTCAATTTACTTTGTTGCTCAACATGTGATTTAAAAATTCCTATTATTTCACATTTACAGGCATTTACACAGACCCAAAAACAAAGAATTCAGTCATGGAAGCAAGAATGTCAAAGACTTGGCAGACAAAGAAGGCCGTCACATGAGAACAGGGCAAGAGGGTAAGAATCTCTATTACAACTGGCACTTTTTCACATACATGTAGCATAATTCATAAGCAGGAACAGTTAAAAAACAATTTAACTGTTGCATTTTTCACTTTACTCTCTCTGTAGATGGTACAACATGGGCCACAACTCAGGGGATTCCATAGGAGGGAATCATGGGCCTCCTGCAGGTTCAGGGGCCATGAACAAGCGTCACAGGGGCTCACCTCGTAATACTGTTAAGAACCCTGCTGGTCAGCTTCGAAGCAACAGTGCTGAGACACAAATGCACTCTAAACCAAGACTGGTAAAAGAATCTAATTGCTCTGTTATGTTTGTGTATATTTTGTAACTTACATGAAGTGTAGCTCGCACTTTGCCATTGATAAGAATATTAAGCCTATACCAAACAGTGGAGAACAAAAAAAGGAGTGCTCTGATTGGCTACTCAAACTCTGAGTTTTCTATTTTACCCCAGAGGAACTTGCCCAGAATATGTGTCTGAAAATATTGTAATTGTTGCAGGAATTTTTTGCTATGTGATCTCACTGTTTTGTTAAACAGTAACACAACTATTTGCCTCAAAGTCAGTAAATAGCAGTGGATATTTACCTTGCCGCTTCCTGGCTTGGTAAATATTCACCACTAGCCACCTCCACTTAATGAATAGGTGTCAACTATCTCACTGCCCACATTTGAGAGCTGATTTTTTCTTAGAAGATTGGTTGGGATTATATGATCCACTGTAACAAGTGGGTTTCTTAACTAGATCAGACAAAGGAACTGCAAAATGTGCTCTTGGATAAAGAGTAAGCCTTCTTAATCAAAGGGGAAAAGATAAAGAACAAACCTGTCATGATAAATATGTACTCCAATTTTGTACATTGTGGGAGTATAATTAAATCAATATTTTGATAAGAAATTTGATCCCCTGAGAGGAAAATTTTAGTTTTTTCGTAAAGCAGTTCATGTAATACATTTATGTCACATTTTCAAACAGTAACCTCTCTTGGCTGACAAAGCAGTTGATCTAGGGATCTACATCACACATGACTACATCATGAGACAAATGAAAAACTTAGCTTTTATTTTTAAAGCAGTTGATGTAACATTGTGTTTGTTAAAAGGAACTAAGGAGTGATGGTGTAATGTGTTGTAAGCTTTTCTTTTTACAATAACAACTTTCAAACCACACTGATAATGTTGTGCCCATATCACTTGTAACAATATGAATTAGTCATACATGCCTACATAAGAGCACCAAAACATCAAAATTAACCCGTTAAGATTTTCTCCTTCAGGTGAGGTCACATGCTGTTGTGGGAAGAACAAAGTCTCTACCACTTAAACCAACACAACAGAGCAGTATTGTCTTGCCTCAGCAACGTATGTGTATCATGTTTTAGTTATTTCAGTGTGGCAAAGTGTACACAAAGGTTATTTTTTGTTTAACTTTGGACATGGAAATGTATTTAAAGTCTGTTAACACCTTTGACAAGAGTACCCTTTGATCAGTACTATGCCAAGGATGCAAGCAACTGTTGAATACTAATGAAAGTGGAGCTCTGCACATTTGCCAAATTTTACAGATGATGTATAGTGGGGCACAAGCTTTCTTCCCTTTATACAATGGCTGCTGAGTTTAGTTTCTTGTTTGACAGAGCATGAAACAAAGATAATTTTGATAATTTTTCAAGAAACAAGTGTCATGTTTTGGAAGTGAATGACTTGTGAATTTTTTTCTTTAGTCTCTGCAGATCTTGAGAACATTGATGATGGATTAGAGTCCCTTTGTCTCAGTGTTACTGAACATGCCCTTTCTGGTGAGTTTTTTCTTTTTTCAAAGAAAATAGAGAAGAATTTTCTGTTTACCTCTTGAGAGACATGGTAGCCTAATGCGTAGTGCACTGGAACATGGTGGAGAGATGTGGGTTCAAAACCAGCGTCATTGTGTTGTGTTGTGTTCTTTGGCAAGAAACACAACTCTTACAGTGCCTCTCTCTAGCCAAGAGTATAAATGGGTACTGAAAAATTGTCAGGGAAACTGGATGAAACAGCAGGGGTAAGCTGTGATGGACCAGCTTTCCTTCCAGGGGGAGTAGCAATATGTGGAATACAAATAAGGCAGACTACTTGGTTGGCTTGGGTTGTGTTGCATGAAAGCAAGGCTAGTTAGTTCTAGGGTTTTAGTATGAGAGCGTGGCTCCTTAAAAGTCATCTGTCATGTTAGGCTGTTCTGTCATATTTCACTATGCATATGAGTTGTTGTCTTCCTGAATGCCAACAAAAGGAAGGAAAATCTTCCACAAGTGAGAAGGTTTTGTTTTTTAAGTCTCTCAGGCCAACAAAGTCATCTTCCCTATTTGCATTCAGTCTATACGCCTTGATGCGTCATGCTGCTGAGACTAGGATAAGATTCAACAGGAAAGGCCTCTAGCAGAGGTCGCAATAACTTTTTCCATAAGTGGCTACTGATGGTGTAACAGGCTGGGGAAAAGCTGCAAGGCAAAACCTAGACATGAGAACTTGCTCACAGGCTAGGCAGTCAGCAGCATATGTACATACTTAATTTGTCAATGTAGGTAAAAAAAAAAAGGCAGCTAAAAAAGCTGATATGGACCTATTTATTATCTATATAAAGTTATAAATTAAACCTAACTTTTAAAATGTTTAAAGAAATTTTCTCACAAAAATATACAAAACTTTCTATTGAAAATGTGCACAGAAATATGTACACAAAATATATACAAGATTATTAATTGAACCAAGCTATTAAAAAAAGAGATGTTTACAAAGTAAATAAAAACATATTACTTTAAAATACCACTTATAAGTTAATGATAATTGAAATTGTCTACATCTTTGTTAAGATTAGTAATGGTTCCTGAAACAAATGTCACTTTCTTAACCCTTTAACTCCCAAGATCTGATTGTTAATTCTCCCCTGTAGCTGCTAAACATTTCCTTGTAAATTAGTTATGAGAACTTGATGCTGGATCAAGATAGCAGCTTCTACCCGATAAGTTTGAATATTCTCATTGCCTGTTTGCAGAATAATGTATGGATATTGTAGGGAGAAGTTTTATGTTAATCACTTCTGGGAGTTAAAGGGTTAACTGAGTCCTGATGCATTTTAGCTTTGTTTTGAAATTCTCAAGTTTATCTATCTCAGCAAGAGGCTTTTAGGCATTGGTAACCCACTGCTTACTGGCTTTCATTGAAACACCTACCTCTTAGCTGGAGTGTCATTGGAATTTTTTTTACATTTCTTTTTTTTTCTTTCAGATTCATCAGACCCATCAGTAAATTATAAATAGCACATGTGTAACCAGACTACAGGATGTAACGTAAGCAAAGGAGTTGCTTTAAAAGAGCACACAGAGGCCATTATTATTCAATGATACTGGGGAAAAATGTCTCTCTGAAAAAGCACAAGTACAGCAGAGGACAACAGCGTATAGCCCAAAAAAATAACAATAATGAGCAATGCCTATTTCATCTTTAATGTTTGAAAGCTCATAGAGGTTTAATAAGGCTGTGTCACGCCATTTAACTGGATCCTGGAATGAATGGCCTTAAAAATTGTGAATATTATGTAATTACTACAGTTAACATTAGTTAACTTGGTCCTTGGTATTTAAACCATTGAATCATGGTATCTTAGGAATGTAATTTGTAGTAGTGTCTTTGACTGTGCTTCAGAAATTGCTGACAAAGCAAATTTGACCTCATGAGGTTGGTTTGATCATGTTCAGCAATTTTCTGGTTTTGTTTGTCTGTTAATTTTTCAAAATCCACAAATCTAGGTTTATGCCATATTATTTGTATGCGGTAAGGTCTCATTTTCATTTTTTTTTCCTTTTTCCGGTTAGACTTGTACATACTTTGGATAGCAACTGTGACATGTAGATAATTGCTAAAAATTTATTTTTCATAATTTTTGTGTTTTGTTTTTCCATATCTTGTTTATGTTGTGTTAGTTCAAACCACTGTGTTGTTTTTGCTTGAGTGTTATTTAAAAACAAGCGGCAGTAAAATTTTTGCAGAATGTCTACTTGTTTTCTAAAATTATTTCTAAAGATGTTTGTTTGTAAATAAACTGCTCACTTTAAAAGATTAGGAAGGCAGTATAAAACATTGTTTTTGTCTAAGTAACTATTTGCAAGAAACTTTTGGGTAGGGTTTAATTTGCCCTATCAAGTTAAGTAATTAATTTTAGGAATTGAATTTGTTTCATCTTTACTGTTGGGTCCTCAATGATTGTATTGTTCTGAGAAACTCTGATGTTGTTAGCTTCATGACAATTTTCAAATGACTAGCAATCACTCTTTCTATCACATTTTAAATTGGGAAAAATTTTGGTAACCTAAAATGATTTATTGTTCATATAATTGGTAGCAAACCCACTGAATCACTTTTAATAGAGCCATCTTTTTTTTATAAATTTTACTTCAGGTTATCTAGAAAAGTTTTACTTTTTTCCTTTTTTTTTTTCTTTTTTCATAGAAGGCTTGCACAAATAACTGTGACAGGAATTTTTTGGTTCTTAAGAAATATGTGATCATGATTTTAACTAATTGTCATTGAGCATTTTAAATTACATGTCACTTCTATGTCATTTATTAGGAACGGTTGATGTTGGGCTGTTTATGTACAAAGAGGAATTCCCATGGATACAGTGCATTTCTTTGCATCATGCAGAAGACCACAACATTGAAATTATTTGTTCGCATCCAAATTGAAGTTTGGGCAATCTTTAAATTTGAATTTGTTGGATCTATTAAACTTTATGTGCAGGCTGGAATTGTTATTTCAAAAAGAAAACATTATTTGGTAGTTTTACAGCAATTGAATTTTCTTGAAAAACTGGTAGATTCCATGAAGTTAAGGGTATTTCGCAATTGGAGAAGAGTGCAGATCTTGTATCATTTTATTTGACTCAACAAATTTCATTTTCACTTTTATTTCCCCGAATAGTGGCCATGTACATATATCCTCAGGAAGTGTCAACTAAAATAACACCAGAATTGCTCATTAAATATCTTTTAAAGTGAGAATAATATATAACTCTTCAAACATCTGTTCATCCTACAGTCTGTGACAGTAATTCATATCATGGCATTTGAAAGATTTAAAAACAAAAACAGAAAAACAACCTAATGCTGGCATTGTCAATGAAAGTTTGTAATAGTATCTAAGTGCAGGTCATAGTAAAGTACAAGGTTTAGTAAATAATCATTAAATTGACCAAGAATATTGCATATACTATTACCATAAATACCTCACAAACATAGCATGTATTTCCTTCCACAGTCCTTCAGTACTCGAATAAGGTATCAGTTTATTGAATGTAAGACCTATGCAATACCAAACAGAATTATAGAAGTACATTTATAAGTGCTGTTAACCATTAATGCTTTGGGTACTCAGGAAGGCGTGCTATAAAAGGAATTATATGCCACCTGTAAGGGAATAGAATTCTGTTATCAAGAATGTATAGACCCAACTGTACTTGTTACCTTGTATTCCATGACTTTTAATGGGATATGGTTCAAGACATGAAAACTGTTTGACCATTTTTGGCACTAAAATTATTTGAAGCTCTTTACTGTAGAATCAAGGTAACTGATTCAAACAAGTTGAATGTTAAATTTATCATTTGTTTTCAGTGAAGGTGAACTTTTTCTCCTTAAAAAAAGTGAAAGCTTGCTTTAACTTGTTTACTGTTGTTCCTGTTGTTAATGAGTGGTGGAAACCTTTCTTTTGGAGCACCTTTCTTGTTGAAAGCATAAGAAATCCGTAGGAAGTATTTTTTAAGATGTTGTTAATAATTATTGTGTTATTTTCCTAGTTTAACTAAAATAATGTCCATTGTTACTAGGTGTGCAAGAAATGCCGAACATTGTTATTGTCAATTTAATGTCAATCTTATTTATAGAATGGTTTAAAAAGTACAAAAGAGTTAGGTTATTTTCATGACCTTTGAGGATGGACAACATCAGCTAGTACTGATGAAAAATTCATTGAGTGGCACAAGCTGATCACTTGCTGTGCAAGTCTTTAGCTTCCCTTGTCATTCCTCATATGTTCTGAAAGTAGATTAAATTTGCTTTAAGAAAATCAACATTGTTGGAGGAAATGGCTATTGTTAAATTTACTGAATGGATAAGCATTGTGGGGTTAAGATTTGACTGATAATTTTTTAAATGGTATTTATCTCTCTTACAAGTGCATTTATTCTCTTTGTAAGCAAATTATAGGCTACATTTATTGTTCAAAGCACCAAGAAATAAATTTAGGACAATTGACTGTTAAATACTTTTCTTTGAGGAAGTTCTTTTAAGAAATGAAGGTTGTGTTTTCCACAAAATTGCTTGTAAAGCACAAAAATTTTCTTGTTCTCAAGAACTTATTTCAAACCCCCCAAGAGCCTTTTCTCCTTTGAGGATTGTAGGAGAATTCAGTTCAATTTTAAATCCTGTATTTTGTTGAATATGTTCTGCCTGTTTTCAAAGAAGTATAGTGCAGGTGACTGTGATCTTAATTAATGGTTGTTAAAACATAGTTCTCATTCTTCATCTTATTTAAAGGTTGACAACATTTGTTCCATCAATGTTGATTTTTCTTTAAGCTTTGTTGAAATCTTGTTAACCCTATGGGTTGTAGTGTTTATGATCACTGTTAAAACAAAGGTTGAGTGCTCACTGATTTGTTCAAGGGCAGTTTGTCTAAAATGTTTGTAAGATTGGAGTATGTTAATAATTTAGTGTTGTAAGCAGAGTTAGGTTAGAATGTCAAGAACAGTGGACCATGAAAATGAATGTGATATCATACTTAGAGGTAGTTTTTTTCCCTTGCAGCAACTGCAATAAAATGTTGTTAAATGAACAGTTGGGCATAGTCATTTGTGGTGTGTCTGGGCTAACCCCTTTAACTCCCATTAGTGATCAACTGAAGAGAGGATTTCTCCTTACTATATCAAGTGAATACAATGTCAAGCTGACAAGTGATGAGAATCAAGATAAGTATCAGTTAGGGGATTATTAGTTGATCCAATAATAAATTCTCTGAACCAATATCATAAGAATTGTGTGACAGAGGGTTAGGAGAATAGATCCTGGGAGTGAAAGGGTGAACGAGCCTGGGTCTGGTGGAGGGAACTGAATAAAAATGGGGAAAAGTTTAAGCTATTTCACCCGATCATGAAATCCATAAAATCCAACATTCCAAATTCCCATCTAGCCTGGAAACAGGACAAAAAGAGCCACCTCCTGGAGGGTCCATAGCTAACTCTCCCTTCCCAAAGTCACAATCACAGGCTTTCTTTCCTAAAAACAACCATTTCTTTGTTCCCTCACATCTTTTCTAAGAAAAAACACTTCAGTAAATGGTTTGAACCCAGGGGTAACATGTAAAAGTGTAGTTTGATCATCAGGTGGGTGTAGTGGTGACTGACATTTCGACAACCTGAGTGGAAGTCATCATCAGAATACAGTGTACAATCAGAGTACAGTGTACAATCAGTGTACACAAACTGGACTAAGTACATTTGACTGACAACAACCTTTCACTTGACTCTGATAATGACCTCTGCTCAGGTTGTCAAAATATCAGTCACCACTACCAATAACAGTCCTTCTCAGGACTACACCCACCCAGACAATCAAACTACACTATTACAAAAAACACTTCCTTAAAAGGAACATGCATGACTGCACTTGGCCCAGTCTCTGGGATTAAGATTGTCAAAGCACAGCAAGTTACTCAAAATCATCGTTTATAGTTTAATTTTCATAATTGAAACAATTTTCCAAGTTTTTATGGTTATCTTTTCTAAACCAAATACAGGGCTCAATACAACACAGTTGTACTGAGTTCCTTGAGACTACCTATTTACAAAACTGTTCATTGATTTTTATTTTAGTTGGTGGATCAACTTGCTGTAAAAACACCTCTTAAAATTTCGCTAACTGACAATTTCTTCAGTTCAGAGCTGGCATCAGAGTCACCCTGATCAATAAATGGTTCATCTTGAACCTTGAAATATGATTGGATGAACTCCCTACACATAGGGCAATACCGAAGATGACGACTACATAAGCCACATATGCATGCATGTCTACAAGGTAGGAAGGCTCTGGTCACAGGCAGTTCACGGCAAACGACACACACTGCATTGAGCAAGTCTGTAGATGCAGCAGAAAAATTTGCAGATTCAGGTACTGATGATGATGACGACTGTGATATGACTGGTGATGCACTCTGATGTGATGACAAAATTTGAGCTTCTGTAGTGTCTTCACTGTCCACTACAAATAGTTTCTGTGGATCATCAAGAGGAAAGTAGTAATATTTCAATATCGTAAAAAAACCTCTTAGGCCACATCCAGAATTTTACAGGATAAGCATTGGAACTTAGCCCTAAAAGAATAATCTTAGCCTTTTTACTCCCAAGAACTCATCAAGTAATTCTCCTTACTGTCTTCCATACAATTCTTATGATGTTTTTTTCTGAGAATTTGGTTCTTGATCAACAATTCTTTAATCTCATCACTTGTCTGCTTGATATTGTATTGTTATTGTAAGGAGAAATCCTCTTTTGGTCACTAATGAAAGTTAAAGGATAAACCCATCCAAACTGATAGAAAGTGCCACACTGTGATCCTCATAACCTGTTATCAGCTTTTGTCATTTGGTTTGCATGAAACAATATGTTAAAAAAATGTACATGAGAGTATGGTAAGATTGAAAATTACTGCAAGACAAATAAGAAATTTAGCCAGAAGGTTTAGTGGTAAGAGATTCAGTCCAGAGGGGCAGGGAAATTCCAAAATGAAATGACCCCTATGTTTGTTATCTCTTTACGTGGGATGGAAATTAAATACTTGGCTTTACTGTTAACTCATCAATCCCTCCATCAATAAACCCATTGACCAAACAGTCCATCAAACCATTGATCCAGTTATCTGTGGAAGCAAGGATCTAATGACAATGCATGAACTTGTCCTGCCGAAATCTCATCAAGCACAGGCATCCCAAGCTCATGTTTCGAGAAAACGCAAACAATTCATTCATGGCAGCATTATGCACTGTGTGATGCAGTGTTAAGTTATGCGAGGAACCAATTAACAATGAGAATGTAAACATATTATAAGGAATGGTATTGGGAAAGAACTATAATCCATTTACAAGGCTAAATATTCCAAAATACATCACATAGCACATGCCACTTTCTTGCATTAATTGTTTGCTTTCGCTTGAGACTTGAGCTTAGGATGCCTGTGCATCAAGTGATGTAAATAATGCATAAAGATGTGAGAGTGAGTGATGTCCAAGGTAAAACCAACTATTTTGGTCTCCTCAGGGTTTTTATAAACACGAGAGCTTTATTGTTGGCTGTTAAGGTATAAAAGGTGTTATTATCTTAATTTAGAGAAAATAAGGAGGAAGTTCTTCCAGCACTACTTGCCTTCATGCAATATATTTTCCCCTCTGCAGTCTGAACACATTGCAATGCTACATTACAGTCACGGTTACCACTGAGAGAGGAGGGTACATTCACTGCCATAATAACAGCAACCTGAAATGAAGATAAAATTTATACTGCCATGGCTTTCTACAACAAGACTAAACCTTGAAGAACAGTTTTCATATTTTTATCATTTCCCACTTCCTGTGCTTGGCTCTTTTACATCATGCACCTTTGACTCCCAACTTCTGCCCTTGACTGCTAAACACTTCAGATCAAACATAAACAAAAGTTTGGTACATTTTACACTTCTCTCCTGAACTTTCCACTTCCCAATCTTACCTCTCCCATACCCTATACCCTTCCTGTTCCCTTTCTCTCCCCTCCCCTACCAAGCCCACTCAACTCTCATCAATGAAAAAGAGTTTTTTAAATGCCAGAACATGAGCATCACAGCATCAAACAAATCAATAACAATGACCAGGGGCTAAACCCAACTTCTTGACAACACTCAAGTATACAAACTAAAGAAATAAATGTCACATGATGTCAGAGAATACATTACAGCACAACTTACAATATCAGAGAGCTGCTGCGGTCTCTGATCATCCCATCTGGACATTTCAACAGTAACAACAAGTTCATAATTTGAGCCAACAGTGACAGCACTAGTACTAGTTGATGTTTCATGAACCAGGTCAACTGGAGGGACAGCTAGAAGTTCAAGATTGGACCCAGCATCATAACTATAGATATTGAGCAAGTTAGGGATGATGTGTTGTGAAGTAAAACAAGCCATGATTTAATACAAATTCTTGTGATATTCTTTGAAAGATATTTGATCTCACAGCAACCTGTTTTTCATCAGATACAATTATCAATAGCAATATAAGTAAAAAATAACCAAAAGTTTGTAATTTTGTAGATTTTCTTGGCTGATTGGTAATTGGATTATGGATGGTGATTGGATTGGTAAATTGTCTACGACTCTACTGGTCACAAATTGTTATCTAAAACTTGTATAAGCTTTTGAAATGAGAGGCACTAGAGAAACTTAAAAAACCCTTTGAGGTGATAAGTCACATAAAATTAGGGAAGTGATTGGCTGAAACATCAGCTTTCCTAAATTATCACTCATTCATTCATCACTGACTAGTAAAATAAATGTTTTCAACACCTTTGCTTCATTTACTAACATTATCAAATTGAAAAAGTACCAAAGTTCTTTTCATTGTAGAAATGGTATGCACCTATCATAGACATTAAATTTTTACTCTTTATCTTGGATACAATTCAGACGCACTTCGATCCTTGTATGAACCTCTCAGAATATGTTCCAGAGGAATTGCAGACATGCTTGGTTCTTCCACATCTGAATCACTGTCATCATCGTCACAATCACCAAATGCGATACCATACTGTTTGTTATCCTCACAAATGGCGGTGTCTATAACAGCCTTACTAACTTCCCAGTAGAATGTCACATAGCAAGGAATCATCGAACTCAGAACAAGCTCAATCACACCTACCAAATATTACTGTCAGTAGTTTCAAACAACAAAAATGTTGGAGGACCTTCACTTAAGAAAATTTCTCCTCCCCTCTCCCCCCCATCCACCCCCCCCAAAAAAATTGCATAATATGCAATAATTGACATTGTTTTCAAGTATTAGTCTTATTTAGCAATGTATTCAAAACGATTTCAAATTCCAGCGTGTACAAGAGTATGCTGGGTGATAATCGCTCTCCATAATCAACAGAAGGTGTAAGTTGCAACTTACGTTCCCTTCTCAATGAAGTTGCGATTCGAGGAACCAGCCACCGTCATCACGATCTATGTCTTACACGGATCTACCAGCAATTAAAATTTTCATATGCAGCACATGCAAATAAATAATTTTCAACCAAGAAAACAAAAGGTTTCCAGATTAATACCACGTAAGTTTACAGAAATCTTCCTGTTTTTCCTGAAATACTTATTTTGGAGAGAATCGATTCCCAAAACAACTCTTCCTTTTCTATTCCTTAACGGTTAAGAGCTCTTATGTCGAGTTGATCACTCTGTAAGTAAAAAAGCTTAGTTAAGTACCTGTTCTTAATGATTTGTTTTGATCAGCTGTTTTCATTTTCAACAAAAAGGGGTTTTTAACACCAACCATAGGCTGAGAAGGAATTTCCCTGGGCGAATGGCTAACATAATCAAATATGGCCTCTCTTTCCATGATACCAAGCCTGATTATAAACCGGCCTAGCAAGAGAAATGTTATTACAATCATAACAGCGGACACTAGAGTAAAAAATTCCGCCATCTTTGATTACGGCACTTACGTCATCGGTCAGCGGTCACCTTGGAAATGAGTATTAGATCATGAAATGCGGAGTACTTCCGTCAGACATCTTCAAGAACTCTAATATTATGGCTTCCAACCATAAAACTGCGAAGAGGTTGGGATCTGTGATCAAATTAAAGCCAGAAATGTATCAACAGTACAAAGAACTTCATGCAGCAGTATGGCCTGAGGTGATGTTTAAAATAACATTGATTTCACTTTAACAAGGTCAAAGTAAGAATAGATGTTGCACTTAGCAAATAACTCTTTACGTTAATTAATTTTTTCGATTTTCCAGATCTTGAAAAGGATATATGATAGTAATATAAGGAACTACACTATTTACTATGACAAACATCACCACTTGCTGTTTTCTCACATGGAGTATATTGGTAAGTTTGATCATAGTTACTAACTATGGTTTGATGATTGACGATCATATATATGACTTCCTGTTGCCGTCAGATACCTGAAACCAAACATATATTTGTGGAGTGGGGGCATGTTAATTTGGGGAGGGGGGGGTTAAACTTTTCCACTTTTTGATAATTTGTTTTACCAGTTTGGTTGTGTTTAGGGGATGTTTTATCAGCTCTAAGAGATAAATGATTCATTAAGTCAATTGATTTATTCAGCCAGCTGTCCTTGTGACTGTAGGTGCAACTGTCTGTCGGACAGTCAAACAGTCAATATTGAGCCTATGCCCTATAAATGTATCCCATCAGTCTCTCCATTCATACTTCAGTTTGATTCAGTCAGTCAGGGAATGATTCAGTTATTCATCCAGTCAACCAGCCAGTTTGTCAGTGAGTTAGTTAGAGGTAAATGAGTCAGATAGTCAGTTAGTAAGTGAGTGAGTGAGTCAGTGTCTGACTAAGTCAGTCAGGGAGTGAGACAGTTGATGAGTCAGTGTATGAGTAAATGAGTGAGCCAGGGAGTCAATGAGTCAACCAGTCAATTGGAGAGTCAGTCAGCTCATGAGTCAGTCAACAGCTAGAGTCAGTGAGTCAGTGTGTGGGTCAGTGATTCAGTGTGTGAGTCAGTGAGTGGGTGAGCCAGTCAGTGAGTTAGTGAGTAAGTGAGTCAGTGTGTGAGTTAGTGAGTGGGTGAGCCAGTCAGTGAGTCAATGAGTGAGCCAATGAGTTAGTCACTCAGTCAGAGTCAATCAGTCAGCCAGTGAGTCAGTGTGGGAGTCAATGAGGTAGTCATTGTGGGAGTCAGTAAGTGAATGAGACAGTCAGTGAGACAGTCAGTGGGTCAATGAGTGAGCCAATGAGTCAGTCAGTTGGCGAGTTAGTCCATCAACAGCCAGAGTCAATGAGTCAGTGTGGGAATCAGTGAGCAAGTCAGTGATTAAGAGAGTAAGTCAATAAGTGAGTGAGTAAGTCAGTCAGTTAGTGAGTCTGACAACAGCCAGTCAATTCATTGTGTATGTATATTTATCCCTTGTACCTGTCCGTCCACACCAAAATTTGTAATTCTGTGTCTCAGATGTTTTTGTTTGTGTTGATTTGAATATTTCATGAAAATCATTCTTTCCTTTCCTTTCTTTTCTTTTCCATTCCTTTACTTTACTTTCATTTCTTTAATTGTTGAATCTCTCAACTCACTAATTTTTATTTTATTCAGGGGATGACCTAGAAAAGGACATGGAAGCTATAGGAAATGACCCCATGACAAAGAAATGGTGGAAAGTGACTGAGCCTTGTCAAGAGTCATTAGAGTGGACAGGGCCGCCACCTAGTGAGGGGGGTGAAGGGGGTAACTGGTGGTCACCAATGGAGGAAATGTTCCATGATGGACATCCTGCTACACACTATCATTAAATTATGCAGATTATTTCAGGATAACTGGAGAATATAGGAGATAATTTTTTGTCAAATTATCCGGGGGGTCAGTCAGTCAGTTAGTCAATGGTTCAGTCACTCAGTGAGTCAGTTAATTAGTCAGTCAGTGAGTAAGTTAGTAAATGAGTAAGTCAAACAGGGTGTCCATAGGATAGTCAGTCTGTTAATCAGTCAATCAGTCAGTCAGTGAGTCAGGCAGGCCATCCTGCCACATAAGTCAAGAAACAACCATAAACCAAGAGAAGTCAGGATCGAATCCATCTAATCAGAAATGACATGACAACCTTAGATTATTTTCTCTAAAGCCTAATACCCTAAATATTATATCAAGGCAATATAATAACTTGCTTTAACAACAGATAGTTGTTATGTTGGGCTTCAGGCTTTATAACAGAGAGATTCCTTTAAAATGACGATATTGTCAATAAACACACCACTGTATTATTGTTTTGTTGTCAATCCTTCCTTAATTAATCATTTGGATTTGAAAAAAAATTTATCCCTAAAAAAACCACACCCAAACTATGAACATTGTGTTTAAAATCTGTACTCATTTTCAGACCAAAAAAACATACCCTTTTTAGAGGGGTGGGGGCAAATTTCCTCAAAATGTGTCATAAGGGAGTACCCCCATTCCCTCCTCTCCCCTCCTCCAACCTCAGTCATGACCCTTATCTCAGATCAACTTCTCATACACCTCTGACAAAATTACGAACGGAAGCATTAAACCATCGAAATATGAACCCCATTCCCAGATCTTCTGTATTCCTGTCACAATCGCATCGAGTCAGCGGTATAATTGCTGAGCGGTTGACAAAATGGCGGGTGAAGTTATGGCGGAAGGGATGAAGTTGGATGTTTTGGATGTGTGTCCTCTTCTTATACTTCAAGACAGCAGCAAGAGGTTTTACGACGGCTATATTACTGTTTGCGTAAGTTCAAATGTTGGTTCCTCAGAAAGAGTGGTATACGGAATTAACTGTATGACTTCACTGATCATAACATTTTGCAGAAGAAGAGTTTCCGAATGTCTATCGAAATTCCGGAGAACAGATCATTAAGAGACGCTAGGTAGGTTCGTTGCCAAATGTATTTGTTAAGACATCTCCCCAGTAAGAACAGAGTTCTAAAGTCTACGAGTTTCTAAATGTAAAGTTTACGTAAGAATCATCTCGTTTGGGGAAGTACAGGGATGTAAATAAACAAATCCGGTTACCGGCGGTCAATCGCTGCCTGTAAGATGTCTTACCGCCGTCTGTTTAGCTCGGGTTTGGGTTTCAGCTTACAGCCCCTTTTCCAGGCGCATGTACTACTGTCTAGTAAACCACCATTGAAAGCTGCGTGTGGAAAAAGTTATTGAAACCCCAGGCAAGTAGATAATAGGAAGATGATATTAACCCGTTGCACCCAAACATCAGTATGCTTATTCTCCATACTGTTCTCTAAACATTTCCTAAGTTGCTGACAAGGAGAACTTGTTTAGCAATCAAGAGCTTCTTTAGTTGGTGATCATTTCCTTTATTCTCATGACCTTAATGTGTGACTCAGGTGTGATATTGTAGGGAGAAATAAGATATAAGTCGCTCTTAGGGGTTAAAGGATTAATGGAGCACTGGTGGCCTAGGCTGTAAATGAGCTGTTTGAATTTACATTATTTAAGGAAAATTTGGGTATAAACAAAATATGTATTACATGCAATCAATTTGATGCTTCAACATCCCCCCCCTCTGGGGTAACCCACTGGTGTTCGATTTTTGTCTTTGCTGGAGGTTGGGGAATTCTAACCTTGCCTGGGTGGGGTGAGGTATTTGAACTGGAAGTGTAAAGCCTTTTCAGTTGAATACACATGTTTTATCTTTTAATATGGAGGTGTTTAAGGTAAAAAGTTTCACTTTCACAAGCAAACAGTCTACACTCAAGTGATGGTAAACAAATTGATATTCACTGTCATTGATCTTGCCTTTTACGAAGAATGTGACCATCAAGTCCAGCCTTCGGGTAGGGTATTTAAAGGAAACAATCTTAACAAGTTCAAATGCTTGGGGTGTTGGGGGTGTTGCTTGATGGGGGAGGGGGGTATTGAATCTTGAATTGATCAATACATTAGAATTTCACATGACTATTTGTAAAAGAACCTTGTAAAATGCAAAATTCAAACAGCTTCTGTAAACTATAAGTTAAAGGGCTCTCATACAGCTTCAGGTGTCTGTGATGATGCTGATGGTGTTTGTTCATATAATTTGTTAGGATAGAATGTGAGTGGAAATTAAGACATTTACTGAGAGGCTATGAAGGTGTTATAAAACAGGTTAAGTATAATTATTAAATTTTTTCTATAGGCCAATAGTAAGAATCATTCTGACCTACTGATCCTAGCAGCATATATGACACTTGCCATTCATGAACCAACACTTTGCTTAGCTCACAACCAAGTTCGCTGTAGGTCAGTGGTAGAGTATTGGTGCTGGAAATCCTAAGGCCTTGGATCCAAATCTTTCTTTGCCCCCTTCCTGTTAACTAGAAGTAACATCTTTTCCTACAAGACATAATCTTCACAGCTGATGGTAACTTTCCTAGTTGAGGTGTTTTCCCTGGAAAATTGATGTGATTCTTACTCCCCAATATTAATATGGCTTATTGCATATTCTCCATACTGTTATCTAAATACTCCCTATGGCCTGACAGGGAGAATTTGTTTAATAATCAAGAGCTTTTTTGGTGGGTGATTATTTACCACATTCTCATATCCTTAATGTTTGATTCAAGGGTGATACTGTTCTTTCCAGGTATTCAAGGGTTGAAAGAGCCTTTAAAGGATTTCAAATTTTGTTGACTGATTCCAAATTTTGGAAATTTCCTCCTTCTCCTTCTCCTCATCAACTACATGAAAAACTCTCACTTTTGACAAAGCTGATCAATGTGTTTTCTTTTCTAACAAGTGTGCTAGACCTTCAAAAGTATACACATTTGAGTTTTTAGAGGATTCAAAATTTTTTAGGCTTAGGGATTTCCAGCCCACTTTAGTCCTTAAAAAAAAACTCTCATTCTTGACAAATTTGATGAAACTCAATGTAAATGACCTTGCTTACTACCCAGTGGTCTTAACCTGGTTATTTCTAAACATTTCTCTTTCTTCAGAGGTTAACTCAAAGTTTGGATCTTCCTTCCTTCTTGATGGAACTCAAAAGTATTCTGGTGATGATTATTTTCTTGTCTTGCTTGTAGTTGTAGCATTATATAACCTCTCTGCTTGTTGTAACTTTGTATGATGGCTTGTAGCCATTAATAGTACTTTTTGTGGCCTTTGAATTACAGGAGAAGCTTCTTGGAAGCCAAAAATTGGACAAAGTGGTTTCACAACCCAACTTCTACACACATTTAGTTGCAGAGTTAGAGGCTATAGGATGGGAGAAGTGAGTTGTAGCTCATCAGTCTTACAGTTTTGACAAGCATGGGGAACATAGTGTACTTATTTGCCTGCTACCTGGTTAGTTCAGGTAGAACTTAGAGAACTTAGCTCTTGGTGTTGTAATCTGGCCTTGTTCCAAAAATTGCAAAAATTTGGGACACCTGCTAAATTGCCTCTCAAAAATTGTAAACCAGTCAATGCAGTCAGGCCCAAAGTCCCCTGCAAAGTGTCATAAAGTATATTGAAGCATGTTATGTGGACAATGTGCTGTATCATATAGAGGGTTACTGAACAGTAGTCAAACAAAAGTTGAACATAACTCAAGCTTGAAAAACTAGTGTTAGTCCTAACTTACCAACTTTACTTGATATTCTTAATATTTTCCACTTTATCAAAGGTTGGCCTATGTGGATTCATCTTTTCAAGTGTTAAAACTTGCTTCAAGGTAAATAAAACAATTAAAACATCAAAATTTTCATCAGCCCTGGCCATTTTTAAATTAAAACAGAACCAAAATTCTTTAATTTAATTATTTCCTCTCAACACTTATTTTCCTTTTCCCTTTTCTTCACAGAGATATCAAAGAAAGAGAGCATGTGATCACTGTTCGTCTCTCACCTCAGGTATCATCATTTAGCCAACAGACCCCAGTTGTTAAAAGCATGGTTAACTTCTTGTCTTACTATCTAGCAGATGAATTTTATCCATGGCGTCAAATCAGTGGTTCAAAGGATGGATAGCACTATTTACTCCCTATCTAGTGGATAAATTTATCCATTTTTTGATCAACCAGGTCCAGACATATCTGAGAGTATCTTTATTTTCATCCTCCCTATGCTAGGGTGCATCTTTGGAAACTGAAACCACCCAGATAATTAAAACCAGTTCGACGACTAAACTGAAACAATATTTCCCCACATATTCAGTTTCTGTCAATCAAAAATCGCATACAAAACAATGGGATTTTCATTCATTCATTGACTGACAATGTATAAACTATAAACAAATGAAGGGGTAAGGCTTTTAAAGAAAATGTGGTGCTACTTTGGTGGGTATAACCAGATCATTTGGTTATATCAACTGAGTTAATATTTTAAATTAGCCACAGTGACCACTGAGAGTGACTATCACTTGAAATGGCAGCTTTAGAAACTCTTCACTGCAGCCAATTTAGATGATAAAAACCAAATTTGCTTAAAAACCATCATTTAGTTTCAAGCACCTTTACATGCTTGTATATTTATGCTGATAGAGTTGCCATGGTTATGCCCTCCTCTGTGCCTCTCTACTCATCTAGTGTTTAGGAAAAAAAATTGAATATTATTATCATTAGATATGATAAATAGATAATAATACATGGGCGCACATGAATATGGAATTTCTCATTGAGTTTTAACTTGATGGCTCACAAATAAGCGCAGCGAACAAGTAAAATAGAGAATTGAACACAAGAAGAGAAATTCCATATCAGTCTACAAGCAACCATTTACTTCTTTGTCTATTACAAACACAATAGGCCCTTACTGACAAGAAAAGTTGACTTTATTAAAGAATGAAAAGAATAGGATCCACAATCCCAGAAAAAAAGTCATTAGGTGCATTGGCAATAAGGTTCAAGATGAAAAAAATGTGTTGAATCGTTACAAAAACAAACTGTGGGCGTAACTTTCAATTTGCAAAATTCTCAGATAGTGACTTTTTCCTCAGCAACAGAAAGAATATTTTTAGGTACACAAGCAAAATCATTCTGTGACAAACCTTTCAATTTTTTATTTTCATTCTCAGCCGCAAGATATGTCATTGTCAAAGCCACTGAGTACATAACTTTTGGTTTTTCTTTTTGTATTTTGGTTTCCTTCTCCTACTAGGGAAATTTTGAACGTCACTGTCTGTAAGAGGTGTGAATTTTTCAGTGTCTTAGCGGGAATAATCTGAGAAAATTTTAATAAACAACCTTGGATTGAGAATTGTGAAGGCTTTTCCATTCATTCACATGACAGAGTGGTGCAAAAGGCAAGTGACATGTCAGCAGCTGATTGGCAATATCAAACACTAGTGAAAAATTAATGTGAGTTATGGTATTTTTTCATGTGTGTTGTTATGGCTTTTTATTCAGGGCTGGAAATCCTTGTCTAATGCTGCAGTTTATATGATATACTGATTTAGTATTGTTATCACTTCTTCCAAATAGAAAGAAGTTTGTCCATTCTTAAAAACTTTTTTTTTTTTTATCTCAAGCATCCACAGGTAGCACCTACTTGTTCTGCAGAATTACCTGGAAAACCCTTTTCTTTCACATGGTCTTCTCAGGTAACAGTGAACAGTAAATGTATATATCCAAATGTTAACTGACAAATGATATGTGAAATATTTCAAGGAGCAAAGAAAAAGGAGTGAGAGAGATATTGTTTCTCCCTCCATATGGGACACTCACTTGAAATGACTTTTATTAACTGTCTTCTCATTGGATGGGTTCATATCTGTCTCTCTTCAATCTTTCTTTTTTAAGGGTCAACCTCTTCAGCAGCTGTATCATCAGTTCCAACAGGTTAGTTCTGAGTGATGTCCATATTTAAACTTAAGTTTAAGTTTAAGTAATGTTAGTAGGTTTGATGAGTTGTTCTGTTGTTGTTTTGCCAATCCATTAGGCTCTCTCTCAATTTGAGGATTTCTGGGACATGCTAGATGAAATAGACAGTAACACGTGGGTTCTTGAGCCTGAGCAACCCTCAAGATCGTGTACAAGCAGAAGAATCGCTCTTGGTAACAATGCTTCTGTTCAGATAGATCTGAACCCAGTCAATGCAAGGCTTTTGCCAGAGTGCAGATTTATGGGTGCTGACAATGGTAATCAGTTTGCACTTTTCTTTTCTTTTTTGAACTTTTATTTAGTTTTTCTTTAGACTGGTTAAACTGCTCTGTTTCCTACTGATACAAAATTTTTGTACAGTGAATGGTTTGAACTTAGTAGTTTCTATCTTTTTTTTTGCCTTCATCAATAAGATGTTTTTTGAAATAAGAAAATGTACACTCTGTCATACCATGTGACTGTACAGGCAAGGGTAGTGGCAGAAGAAGTTGTTGATGTTGACAGCAACTCACATTTTTATTTAACATTAACCTTTTAACTCTCAGATCAAATTTGTATTTCTCTTTACTGTCAACCATACAATTCTTATAATGTTAGTTCAGAGAATTTAGTACTGGATCAACTAATTATCCCCAAATTGATATTTTCTTTATTCTCATTACCTATCTGGTTGATACTGTATTGATATGGTAAGGAGAAATTCCGACTTGGTCACTCATGGGAGTTAAAAGGTTAACTTTTCACTCTCTTTATCATTAACTAATTCTCCTTACTATCTGTCATACAATTCTTACCATGATAATTTGGAGAATTTGTATTAGATCAACTAATAATCCACTAATTGATATATTTCTTTATATTACAATTATTATTTGCAGTGATTGTTCCTTTACGAGAACATTTGAATGCAAACATCCACACCTGGTAAGAATAAAAGGCTAGTTTTGCAGGAATTGCAATTCAAGGTAGCTGTAAGAGAAAAAAACATTTTGCAAGATGGAAAATTCCAATAGCTACTGCATATAAATTGGTTTTCTAACTCTTTTGGAGATAAGAAAGTTCAAGTTGTGAGGGTGAAACACTTTTTATGAATCTTTTAGGAATCCACAGTTAACAGTTTTGACAAATCTGGAAAATTTATTGGGACAGAAATTTCCCTCACCTTCTACAACAAAGAAAGAGGTATCACATAATTTCAGACATTCAATATTTTTTCATTATTTTCTGATTTTTTATCAATAGCAGAGTGATATACCTTAATAAACATACATGCCATAAGAAGAAACTTTGATTGGCTCATGGCCATTGCATTTTGCTGGCGGGTCACTCTAAACTTGACCATCTGTGACTTTTACAGTTAATATTTTAATGAATAGTTGATTTATACTTAAACAATTAGGTTATTCACTCTGTATTTCTACATGTGATAGTCAATTCAGTCTTTGCCTCTTAAACTTTCATGCAATAGAAATTTTTAGCCCATAATCTAATTGAATGTTCAATCAATAGCAATTAGCACAGCAAATCAGTCCTCAGTTGTTTGTAGGATGGATACCATTATCCAATGGATAAATATCTATCCATTGGATAGCACAGATCACTTTGTTGACACTTATCCACTGGATAGTGATTTATCCAAATCTTTATGCATCTCCTTTGTGTGTGCGTGTATGGCAGGATTTCAGCATGGAGTGTGGAATTTGCTATGCCTATCGCCTTAATGATCTGATACCAGACAAAGCTTGTGATGATTCTAGATGTGGACAACCTTTTCACAGCTTGTGTCTCTATGAAGTAAGTAGGATCTCTGTCTTCTTTGTTTTTCATTGACAAATTTTTTTTCTAAGATAGCAGAGTGATAAATCACATGTGAATTTACTAGTATGGATACCTGATACTCAAGTCTTCTTAAACCATCTCTGTATTAGTTGCACAAGGTATAATTATAAATTTTACAATGGCTCATGTGCAAGTTTATGCCAGGATAGCTGATTGTCATTTTATCCCCATGCCTTGTGCTTTGATCCCTGCACCCCTAGGAGTGACCAGTGAGAAACTATTCTCCACATTACAAGTACTTTGGAAATAGATCTGGGATAATAGGAGAGAAACCATAAATTAGGAAGTAGTGAGTGATTGAACACTGATTTCTCTGAGATAGAATTTTAAGAAATGAGCGACAGTCTGTGCAGAGAATTGACATTCAGATTTTGGGATTGAAAGAGTCAAAGGTGTAGATTAGTGTAATTTTTTATTAACTCTTTAACTCCCACATCAAATTTGTAATTCTCCTTACTGTCAACGATACCACTCTTACAATGTTGGTTCAGGGAATTTAGTATTGGATCAGCTAATTATCCCCAAATTGATATTTTTCTTTATTCTCATTACATATATGGTTGATAGTGTTTTGATACTGTAAGGAGAAATTCTGTCTTGGTCACTCATGAGAGTTAAAGGGTTAAGTATTGAGAAAGCATCAATAGGAGCAGAACACCCTCCTAAAAACAACAAGAGGTTGGCAATTTGCTTTTCTTCTACTTTCAGTGGTTGAGAGCCCTGCCTTCAAGCAGACAGAGTTTTAACATGGTGTTTGGGGAGTGTCCTTATTGTAGCAAAGTAAGGATCTGTTTGTTGTTTTTTTTTTTCATTTGGATTGCTGGTTTGTGCATTGGTTTTCATAGTAATAAAATTTATCAGTTCAAAATGTTAGCTAAAAAAAAAGTAGAGCTTGATTTTGTGGGCTATGGTAGTCAGAGGTGTTTGTCGTTTACTTCCTGCAATCCTCTCAAGGGGGCAAAGGTACAGCTGAAAATTCATGCAAGGGCTAGGAATTTTTTCTTTTACCTGTTGGTTAACCAGTCACAAGCTCCCATAACAGGCACCATTGGAAGAAAAGAGGAGGGTTGGAATTGGTTAATTAGTCATCTTTGTGCATCTGTGCACATAACGCCTCGGCCAGAAAATGCCATTGAATTATTGCAGTTGCTAGTCAGTCAAACTGCACCCCATGTCTAGCCTCCGTCCCTCTTTTCCCATTCTTCAGTTTTCCTCCCAGTTTCATTGGGGTGGCCTCTCTTTGGTTGCTAATTAGGAGTCTATAAGAAGGTGACTCTTGGCAGGGCTGTTTTTCCACTCCAATTTATGGCCAAAACTCTTGGCACTTAAGCCATAAACCCAAGTGGAAAAGACTCACAGTGTGGACCTCAAACTTTGTTGGTAAGAAGTATTTATTTCCACTCTATCATAAATAAAATTTGCTTGTTCTCTCTTTTCTTTAGCCAATTACTGTCAAGATGGTGTCAGGGAAATAATTTTTCCTGCTGGCTTCAGGAATGGATGAGTACACCTTGAAAATTTTGTAGAAATCTTGTAGAATGCTATATTATGATGTGTATTGATACCAGTAAGTTGTATTGCATGGCCACAAAATCTCTCTTATCAAGATAAGGCATCAACATCATTAGTATGGTTGGTTGACACAAAACGGCTCCTCACAATGAAAAATTGCAGGAACAAGAGGAAAAATGAAATACCAAGAGGAAGAATCATAATTTATTTTCCATCATTTACACACCTTCATAAGTCTCACAAAATGAAAACTGCTTTAAAAAATATCTCTGTACATACTTAAATTTAAGATTTTCAATAAATATTTTAAATTAGTTCAGAATCTAATAATCTGTTACAAGTTTTCAGATAGTAATCAGTTCATAATGAAAGTTTTAATAGCAAAAATAATATTGCCTATTTAAATTTTTAGAAAATAGACTGGATGAGATTTGATGATTAAATGATATTTTCCTATTGATGGAAATAATTCTTCATTACAAATGAACCAAACCAAGCACACCCTTTCATGATTCTGGTAATAAATAGACTGTAAAAAATTGAAATTGAAGGTTTGTGGTCCTTAAAAGGCAAGAGGTTTGCTAAGCAGCTGCTCTTTGAGAACTGGGTCTACACTTCTTCCCTGAGGTAGGAAAAATCACACAGAAGAAAATGCTGGAAATTGAGACGCAAAGTTCATAGGCTGTTATACTTGCAGGAATTTTTTCTATCTACCTGTTCAAATTAATTTATTTAGTAGAATCTGTGGAGGTGCTCTGAAGTTGATTTGATTGAAAAATTAATTGTACATCTTGTTGTTGGTGTCAGGAATCAAAGAAGTCATGTACATCTCTGAGATTCTCCTGTTCATTTGTTGTATTTTCATTGTTCTGTATTTCATCTGATTCTTCTTTACTGTTATCTAACACTGGCAAACTGTTTTTGCCGTAAAGATTACTACTTCTACTGTTTTGGTGAGAGGTGTCAACATCCCAGGACTCATCTATTCAAAAAAAAAATTTAATTTAGTGTTCAATCATAACAAAAAAATTGCAGGAAAACATTGGTGCCTAGCTGTTTTATATATAATGCCTCATTATAATGCCTCATTATAAGTGCTGCAAGAAGCACATTTCTCCACTCAGTTTTCTTTGTTTGTGGCACTAACTATCAGTGCCAGACTCCTTGCAAACCTCTCACTGACTTGCTTTCTTGTGATTGGCAATTGTGATTACTTTTATGCTCATTTAAAATTTGCTATTTTACAGGCCCCAGTTTTTCGAAGGTTGGATAACCCTATCCATTGGATAAAACTTTATCCAGTGGATAACACTCAATGTTTTGCCATCACTTATCCATTGGATAGTATTATCCGCCTTTTATACAACTGAGCCCAGTACTTTTACCTTCTTCATCTGCATTATATGTTTCATCATGATCCACAGCAAGGCCAACTACATCATCGCCTTCTTGGATCTGCTTAGCTTTATTGCGTACTCTTTTTGCCTTTTCTTCTCTTCTTCTCTGTTTGGCTTTGATTTCAGCTTGGTGTTTTTCTCTGTTTCTGTCTGACATTGTCAGTTTTTCCTCTAACTGTAGGGTCATCACGATAAAAAAAAAAAAAAATTTTAAAAGTTTTGGTTCCAAAAACTTGAAGAAGTTTTTACTTGTAGACATAAATGTTTCATGGGTTGATCCTTTACACCCTAACATCAGTATGAATTTTCTTCATACTGTTCTCTTCACATTTCCTATGTTTCTTACAAGGAGAATTTGTCAAACAATCAAGAGCTTCTTAAGTTTACAATCATTTCCTTTTTTCTCATGGCCTTAAGGTTTGATTCAGTTGCAATACTGTTGGGAGAAACTAGATTTTTATCACACTCAGGGCATAAAGGGTTAATCACATTTGATCATGTTACCTCTGCCTTCTGTTGTTGGGCTTTGTCCATTTCTCTTGCCATGAGAAGTTCTGTTCGTCTTCTAGACATAACTTTGACTTTCTTCTGCAACTCCTATTGTAAAATTACGTAAAAAAAAACTTAATAATTTCTCTCAACTAATTTTTAGCACAGGTGTGTCTTTTGATCCCATTTCAGGCAAGAGCATGCCTGGGGCCCATTTCTTTAGATTGAGGGAGGGGAGGGACATTTCTCCAAATAGATATTTTGCATTCTTAAATTTCTCTTGTAAAAGCAAGTTTTCTCTGCTGCATTTACAATCAAGACTGCAAAATAAGTAGTTTCAAACAAAATATCTAAACAAAAATATTGTCACAGTTCAATTACTCTACGCATTTGGACTTGAAAAGACAAATATATCTGCACTCTCTTGTAGTCCCTTGAAAATTATATGTGATTGTTTACACTCGTTTTCTAACCAGAACAACCTAACGGGAAAAAAAAGAAACCCTTGGTGTGTGTGTGTGGGGGGTGGGGTAGGGAGGCACATGCCAGTAAAGGTTGCACAGGATGTGTCCTTTCCCTTTCCCTTTCCTCCCTACTGTAAATTAGATTTTCACAGTAAAATTTCTACGAATCAATGGAGCAGTCACTAAGTAATATTGACCCTTTTAACTCCCAGAGGTGATTAACAAGTAACTTCTTCCTAAGATATCTATATATAATCCAGCAAATGGGTAATGAGAATGCTATAACTTATCAGGTAGAAGTTGTTGTCTTAATCTAAAACCAAATGCTTGTAACTAATTTATAAGGAAATGTCTAGCAGTTTCCACGATTTGATCGTTAATTCTCCCCTCTAGTTAGAGGATTAAAATACTAGTTTGTATCGGAAAGTGTATTACCTTTTGCCTGTTTAATTCTGCTGCAGCTTGTCTTTGTGCTAATGCTTCTCTTGTCAAAACTGGTGCGCTCTCAATTTTCTGTTGAAGGAAGAGTTTTATTTATTTCACTTTTTAATTCAGAAGATATTTATCAAGTAAAGCATAAACAGCAAAATATCATTGCCACATGGAACTACCCACCTGTAAACGACGAGGCGGTCGGTTTGGCATCAGTCCAGTCGAAACTTTATCAGAATCATTTTGTCCAAGCACAATATCAAACGCCACTGCTTTGGAAACTTGAGGCTGTGTGTTGTCACTGGGGTTCTCCTCTAGAGAAAGAAATAATAGCAGGTTGTTAACTTTGTATGAAATATCACTGTTTTTTTTTCGTCTTGTCACAAGCGTGGGAAAAAGAAAAAAAAAATTTTGAGCCCCATGAAGAATCGAACCTCAATTTTTTTTCTTTGTCCCACGCTCGTGACGAGACGAAAAACATCTTTCTATATTTCTTTACCGAGCTCAAAACTTACCATCTGTCTTATTCTATATATCACCATGTTTTTTCCTCCTCATCGTTTTGAATTGCTCATCTTTTTTAATTAAACTGAATAAATTATTGCGAATGTTACTGTGAGTACATAGGAGAGCGGAACATTTCGATTAAAAGCCAGCGAAATTTAGTTAGGAGTAAATATAAAACGTGATTACATCCGTGTTCGTAAGACGTGTTCAAGGAAAAATTTTCGTCGAAATGTTAAGGACTTAACGAATGTTCATCACAGTCTAAGTGCGGGTAATATGAACTTATTAAGCAATGTTATCCAACCGAAGAAACATTATTGTCTCAACATACACATATTATCCCAAATGACAGTTCATTGCAAGGCAAATAGTTCTTACCATAAAGAATTCACCGGCTAAGTACATAAGTATGTTTGCACTCAACGAAATATTCAAACAAATGTAATGGAAATGTGTAAAATTTGATTTCACAGGTGATGAATTTTAGATACACAAACATGAAAGTTGTTAAGTTGGATCGATCGCACAGCGGGTGTACAGCGTAATGTTTAATTAAATCAAACCCTCAAGGTATTTTTCACCACGAATTGTGATATATCAACAAATGGTAACTTGCATAGTTGCGTAGATAAAGCGCTTTCTGTTGTCATTTGCCTGAGTAAAAATTAAGACTAAAGGATTATGAGCTTAACTCTAGCTCCAGTATTTTATTAGGGCGCTTCAATTTGTTACTGTGATCTACTTACCGTTCTGAGAATGTTGTGGTTCTTGAGCGGGTTTGTTCAAAACGTCACCATTTGAATAATCAGTATCTTTTTTTACTAGTGAGTTGTGATTTACATCCCCGTTTTTCTCAGTATTTGCTAATCCTGTGGCAGTTGCCTTGCCATTAGGCAAGTGTGCATGCCCATTTGATAACGACTCATGTTTGTTGCGGTTTCGTCCGTTGGCGTGAAGTGGTTTATCTTCTTCGAATTCTTCAGTTTGTGGCGTTACTTTGGAAGCTCCGCAACCCATAGCTTTAAGCTACCAGAAGCTACTCTTTACCTGTAGTCGAATGAACCCATTACTGCCCAACTAATCAAATTGTAGACAGCTTCAAAACTTTACGTTGTGCTTTCACCACAAATATCAATCATAATTCGTCAAAATTCCACGCATGTTTCTGTTGGACCACAAAATCTTATTTCTTTCTTCCGCGAACTACCCTGTTTCCACGAAAATGCAGTCGTCGTAAATGTTACGTGTAGTAGCTTTTTGTAGCGTATTGCCTCTGTGGGAATCCGTAAATAAGACCGGCGTTAGAATGAACTACTTGGACAGTTGCTATGCAACAGTTGTAAACGATGTTTGTTCGTTCTCCCTCGGGAAATTGGGTCATAAGTCAAACACATTCAAACACGTGTGAATCATTAGCAACTGCGTAAATTGTTTAGTGGGTAAGCGCAAAAAGCTTAACGAGGCCTTATTAGAAAGCGTCAAAAAACAATTGAAATCGTCAGCGGGGAAGAATAGTTTGATTGATCACTAAACAAAACTGAAACAGTAAATTTTCCTCACAGATTTGAAGTTCGTTTTGGCATACGCGTTTTAGTTGCATGCTACGCGGGTTTATATATGCCCGGCAGTGAGAGTTTGCTCGGAAACATTCTTCAACTTTTTATCAGATATTTAGCTACAAATGTCAAGCGGTACCACATATTATCTTGGTATTTTTGCGGACGAATTTTCCGAGCTTGTGCATTCTGTAAAATCACTTGGTAAAAAACTGTTTATTTAGTGTGAAAAGAGAAAAGAAAAATAACTTTTTCGGCAAGCACAAGCTCGGAAAATTCGTCCCTCAAAGAGCTGTCGTAATTTTTGGAACTTCTTGACATTTCTAATCAAATATCTGATACTCTTAAGAAGTTTAAAAGAACCTTCCGCGCAAATTCTGTAAATATTTCTGACGGCTAAGGGCATTCGGTCCATTTAGGACCTTGACTGCGTCTGATGGACAACGAACGTGTTACCAGTGCTTTGGGTTTTTTAGAAGTCAGAGCGCACAGCTTCTTTTCCCAGGCTGAGTTACAACTTTTGGTTCCTTAAAACCGAAAAAGTCTGATCGAGAGGTATTGCAAGTTTTTGAAGTGAGTGGGAGGGGAGAGAGGTTAATGCTGGCCCCTCACATCGCCAGGTTGGCAGATATCTTTCTTTCCAATTTACGCTATCGCTTTGTCGATCTTTTGAAAATCACTCCCGTTTTAGGCCGTGCAAGAACTGAAGCAGATACAAGGTGACCACGGACATTTATTAGCGTCGAGAGGACTTTAATGATCTCTTTTACTAAGCTCTATGGACTACATTGAATCATTTCTGTTTCATGAACTTTCAACCTCTGACGCCCGCTGACCATGTGCTATCACTCCTCACATTTGTATCTGACCTGTTGATAAATGAAAAAATCACACTGTCAGCAGTTTCCAGCTTGATGGAAAAAAATGCAGTAGTTTAGGTCCTGCTGAACTCGATATCGAGGTACGGAGGGAAAAAAGGAGAGTTTAAAAATAAAATTGAGTTACTCTTACCTCAAGATACTTATATGTACCAACACAAGGATCCCCATAGATCCTATTTGATGCTGTCAAACGGCAGCTGCGTTTCCTCTGGCAGGATCTTTTCACTTTGTCGAGCGATCCCGCAGCTCCGCAGTTCGTAGTTCGTACTGATCCTCCACAGATGTGGCCACCAGTTAAACGGCCATAGTTTGCTGATACGATGTTGATCTTCGGTTTGCATGAAGGACACCTGATTGTCTGCGTGCGGTGCTCACAGATTCGCAGTAAAACTGAGTCTCGGACTTGTGATTTTGGTACGCACTCATACCTCACCTTTTAAAAAAAAATAAAATCAATACAGTGAAACTCTGATGAGAGAAAGATAAGGGGAGGAAATAGTTAATAATCTAGTTACCTAAATGTCGCTGAGTTCTGCAACCAAAAATAAGCGGGAAAAAATCAAAAATGAGAATGTTGAATTCCGGTTTTTTAGAAATCAGCAGAGCCATTGTTGTCTTTTTGTTTACACCACCCCCCCCCCATTCAGGCTTTTCGCACTTAATATCAAAATCGTGACTACTAGTTAGAATTAGTTTTATGACTTCTTTCCTGTGTAACACTTTTTAACGTTGCAACAACGTAAAAAAAAAGAATTGAGCCAACGCGAAAAAAAACATATATATTTAAGGTAATTTTTTGAAAATACAAGTTGTGACCTACTTCCAGATATTTGAAAGTGCCCACGCACGGGTCTCCAAAGGCTGAGTTTTTAGCGTGCAATGTGCACTTTGACTGTCCTTGGCACTCATATTTAGCGACCATCATGGATGTTCCAGCATGACAATTGGTGTTTCTATTATTTCTAAATCCACAAATTCCTCTCCGGGTGCGTCCGTAAGTAGCGCTTACGATGTTGATGACCTTCGAGCCGCAATTTAATGTCATCCGCTGATGTTCACAAACTCGACGAAAGAAACTTCCCTCTAAAAATACAAAAGAGGTTCCGTAAAAACAAATGCTCGGCTGAACTTCTTTTCTGAAGGTCTTAAAGAAATCTTATAAGCTCTTATATTCTGACTAAACCATAACACCCTAGCATCAAGATGCATATTCTCCATACTGTTCTCTATACATTTCCTAAGGTTTTGACAGGAAGAATTTGTTTAACAATCAAGAGCTTCTTCAATTGGGGATCATTTTCAGTGTGATTGATGTTAGGGTGTAAACACTATTGAAACTGACCAAGAGACACATTAACGCACCTGAACCACTTGATATCACAGCAAGGAGAAATAACACCAAAAAACGAGACATCTTTGCTTGTAATTTGAACCTAAAGGAAAGTTTAAATCAGGCATTCTGCTATGACTGTCATTTAGTAATCCTGGTTTATACAAATATGTTAAAAAAATTGCAATTGTCCTATATTTTACAGGAAGAGTCAAGTCTGATAAGAATTCTGATCGAAGTAATTACTTGGCCACGTAATCGTTTCGCCACGTCAGCACAAGCACTTTGATTGTTTGTGCATTTCACTTAATATCGCACCTATTTTTCTCAATCTTCATGGTACGTGTTTTTATTTTGTTGGAAACTAAGAAAGCTGGAGACTTTTTGCCTCAGTCCAAGTATGAAGATCTAAGACTACAGATTCACCTCAATTCACCTGTTGATTAACTAATTTTTACCGTATTCATTTAATCCTTATGACAACAAATGATTATTCAAATTACTCTGCCGGAAGAGTCCGCTATTCACAAATGAAAGAAGCTCAAGTTGATTATTTCAGTTTTTCGTGGTAAGCGCCACTTTTTTTTGAGAGCAATGCTACGGAGAACCATCTCGAAAAACTACTCTCTGCTTTTACACAAATGTTTGAATTGCCCTCAAAGAAACCGTGACTGGCGAAAGAATTTACTTCGAATACCCGACAACAGGAATTTAGCAATGGTCAATTAATTTTCCTTCTTTTGTATGGCTTTGTCAGCAATGGTTTTTTGATTTATTTAGGTATCCAAATTTAAAGAAGATATTGTGCATTCGTAATTATTAAGTTGACAAGTAGATGCTTCTTTTAAATATTTTCTTCTTGCGATCCGCCGATTTTCTTGGGGCACGAGAGATCAACATACTGCTTTCTCTCCAAAAACTATCGCTTTTCGTATAATACGCGAGCTGGTTGTTCAAAAAGCGGTGAGCATAAATCCAATTTGAGACGGTATTGCTTTTTCGGCGTGATGTAATATTAAGAAACAAACATGTGAGCTGTGACACCGTATAAACTGCATCAACGCTCGCCGTGGTTAGCGCGGCCCAAGGTTACACTTTACATATGACCGTTCTTATCTTGCTTACCTTTTCGCTTGTTTGCAAGTGCAATTCGTAGGAAAGAATTTATCCCAAGCCTTATCCTTAAGATATCTTTAAGATCAAAGCCTTAGCAACTTGCCGGCAACGTAACTTATAGACACTGGGGAAAGCGTGACAAGCTTTTGTTGGACTGGTGTTAACAACTGGACCTGTTTTTTGAACTCGTTGGTGATATTTTTTACGTATCCGTCTAGTTCGTAAAGCGGATGACGGCTCTGTTACAAACCGAATTACAAACTGCGTGGAAGAGTGATCAAAATTTCAACCCTGTAAAGGAGAAAACTTTCGATAAAAAGGAATAATTATGGTATCGAACAAGAAGATGGAGAAAATTTAAACGAATGAAATAAGTTCTGGTTACTACTACAAACAAACTTCGCTGTTAGAACTTCTTCATGTCACACTTTGATACAGCTTCCGTGAACGGTTACTAAGGAAGAATCGTCAATCAAGCGAGTGACACTATTAGAGTAAACTTCCCCCTCTTTCGAATACCTACTCCGAGTCATAGTTGATGTTTTTTTCTCTCTAAAAAGGCTCTCAATCAGCCAAAGCGGAATCTTACTTGAGATATGTGAGTTTCACGATTTGTTAATCAACTTCCTCAGTAAATTAAAGGGAGTAAGTTTCCAACTGTGCTGCGGCGTCGGAAGGAGGTCGACAATTTTCTTTTATCAACTGACATGATGTAAATTAGCCACCGTACATAATTTTTGAAGCCGACGTTTCAAGCGTTAGCCCTTCGTCCTGAGACTATCGCTTGAATCATCCGTGAAACAACCTTGTGAACTTTAAATTCATCAGGTATAATAAACCGATATGAATTATTTATGCTAGTGATAATAGTTTTTGTTATTTCAATCCGTAGATATCCTTACTCTAAACAACAAAATTCATTTTCCATATAACAAATCAAGTCATCGCATAAATCTGCTGGTATTATTTGATCAGTTTGTAGTTCAGATATGGAAAAATCTATTTTGGCTGAAAGTTATGTAATTCAACTGAGTTTCAAATTGTGATGTGTCCTTGTAAACAAATGAACGGAAATAAACTATATGCTTTTTTTAACATTACTGAACGCGTCTTTTAGGCTTGCTCGTTTTTTGTTTACTTAAATGTTTTCGATCACACGGGAAAGAAGACTGGATCCGAGAGAGCGATCAAAATCGGGCCTCAACCGACAGAGTATGTTTTCAAGTCTTCCTCTCTATTTTATCACAATCATTTTCAAATATTAACTTTAGGCTATTTTGATACCGAAAGCGAAATTTTAAAGCTACACTCGCCCACAGTTTCATATAAACTTCAATATGTCTTACTTCAAAGGTCCTCAAAGTCTCTTAGCAGACATTTACTAGCCAGGAAATCAATTTCCACACCTTGTTGTTTTATGTATTCCATATGGGTTTAGAAATATGAAAATATCCCTGAAAAACTAATAGTTATTTCAATTAAATTTAATTTTTCTAGATTTCCTTCTCTTGGATGTTGCCTTTCTCAAGAAAGATGTCCTATGTGTTCGTTCGTTGTCCTTTACAAGAAACATTTCCTTAGAATCTGTCTCATTCTTCCCGATACCGAAGAAGCTTGGGAACTCATTTCATTCACCGGTCTGAAACTAAAAACTTTAAATAAGATTTTATATTAAGAGTCACTGCTCACTGCTTTGTTCGAAGGTGGCATGTCCATATTCATTAAGATTCCTGAAAACTATCCGTGTCTAACAGCAATATACATTATCAGTTCTCGTGCTCCTTATCACCACTGTCTTGATTCGTGGTGCTCGAAAAGCGCTCCAGTCTACGCCGCCTTATTTCAGAGTTCTCGTCATTTGAGTTCAGTTCTGTTTGCGAAATGTCTTTATCTGTTGAAACTGCGGCTTTTGCCGCCGAGTATTCAGAAGCTGAAGAATCAGACTCTGCAGAAGGCCCAGGTGTAGGTGAAGATGACTTCCCTGCGGATAAGAATGTATTCGTTCCCGCTGTCTTTGTCGTTCCGCCGAGTACCGAAGATTGTGCGCCTCCTGACCCCAATTCCGAGGTACCATTTTCTGTCGTTCCTAATCCCGAGGGACCTGCTTCAGCGGTCCCATATCCTGAGGGTCCCGCTGAGGTCGACGGCTGAGGAACATTTAAGGGCGGTTGTCTGAAAGACAAATACGCAGTGTGAGAAGCAACATACATACATACATACATTCTTTATTTGATAAGTAGGTTGTGTGAAAGGCAGCCAAAGGGCTGATGTGGACCTACTATACTAAATATTAGGAATTACATATATATAAAAATTGCAATAATAACTTAGAACTACTATATACAAATAAAATGGTGTTCACTAAGACTAACATATAAATCTAAAAGTAAATGAAATGGTCCTTTCTGTTGGCAACTACTGTTGCCTCTTTCTCAAATGAAAAATTGTCAATAGTCTTAACATGTTTACGTAAGATTTGTTTAAAAGAATAAAAACTTTCAGGTACTTTAACTAATCTATTTACAAAATTCCAAATAACAGGACCTCTGTATCGTAGGGAGTTCCTGCCGGTCTCTGATCTAAATCTAATGACATTAAATTGGTTAGGAACACGAGAAGATCTAGAAGAAACTCTTTTAAAAAACAGTTCACATATCGACTGGGTCGTTGTTCCAAAATATACTTTGTGCAAGAGGAACAGTACAGATTTTTTATAGAAGTAAGAGATGGGCAGCCAGTCGGATTTCATGAGACATGTGTCATCTGCCATCGTTGAGTCGAGGTTATTCACAATACGAGCTGCTCTTGCATGAATATGGTTTAGAGAGTTCAGTGCGGAAGGAGAACAATTTCCCCATACCGAAATTCCATACGTTACACTGGGGATAATTGTTTTAAAGTATATTTCCTCGAGAACCTTCTTCGGAAGGATTCTCATTCTCTTCAACGCTCCAACCTTCTGCGTAAAAGATTTCTTCACTGAGTCAATGTGCACAGACCATGTCAGCTTATTGTCAATTTTAACTCCAAGACAAGTGGTGTAATTAACCAGGTCGATATGGCCAGTGTTAAAGTGGAGGGGAGGTATAGGCCCAACAAAAGAGGTTTTACTTAGTATCATTGCTTCAGTTTTAATTGGGTGGATGGTTAGCTGATTCTTAATGCTCCACAGGAGAACTTGCTCCAATGATTTATTTAGTGACAACATAACCTGGTCAACATTTGGTCCAATACAGTAAACTGTAGTGTCATCTGCATACATGTATAGATCTCCCGAGTCGATGTGGTCAGGGAGATCATTAACATATATGGTGTAGAGCCGGGGGCCAGAAGCGAGCCTTGAGGGACTCCATATCGCACATAGTCAGTGACCGACCTGCAATTATTAACTTCAGCAAATTGACATCTATCAGTAAGATAGCTCATTAGCCATTCATGAAGAGATCCTGATATTCCAATGGCGTGTAGTTTATGCGATAAAATATAATGGGGACAGTGTCAAAAGCTTTCTGGAAGTCAATAAAGACTGCTCCAACTGTCAGACCATTGTCAAATGCTGTCTTCCATCCTTCAGTCATAGAGGTAAGCATTCCTTCAGTCGATAGTCCCTTGCTAAACCCCCACTGTTTACAGCTTTTTATGCCACAGCTGTTCAGATGGGTATCAATTATGTTGCAGATCTGGCTTTCGAGCAGCTTGCTGGGGATATTTAAAAGTGATATTGGCCTATAATTTGAAACATCTGCTGGGTTTCCTTTTTTAAAGATTGCATTAACTTTTGCAATCTTCCATGTGTTAGGGAAGCTGGACTGAGCCATGCTGCTCTTGAAAACAGTTACAATGCCCTCTAGGGCGGATGTTCCTGCAATAGCTAAGCTACGAGAAGAGATGCCATCAGGACCAGATGCTTTGTTAATTTTAATTGTCTTGATATCAGTTTTGAGTTTGTTGATGTTGACCTCCAAGACCTGCACAGTGGGGGTAACTCTGTACATGAATTGATGGGGATCATCAACTTCGGGGAATTTTTCAGCTAGTTCCTTGCCAATATTTATGAAGTAAGAGTTAATCAGTTCAGCTTTCTCGTAGTCATTTGTGATTTCCTTATTTTCAGCATCTCTGAGGGGGCCAATATGTTTATTCTTAGGTTTTCCAGTGGCCTCGTTCACAGTTTTCCAGAAAGATTTTGAGTCCTTGGTCTCTGTAAATTTCTTTTTCCAATATTGAGCTTCAGCACGTCGTAGCATCTTAGATACTTTGTTCCTAGAGGATTTGTAATCAACCCAGAGTTTATTAGTAGCGGGTGTGCCATCACAGGCTTTCAGAAGTTTATATCTCTTATTCATCTCTTTCCGGATCTCACTGTTCATCCAAGGTAGTGAATTTTTTCTAACCTTGGCTTTACGTAAGGGAATGTGACTGCTTGCAATAATATTATACATGCAATTCCAAGCCCAAGTGATGTCATCCAAGTCCTCAAAGGTGGAACAGACCCACCAGGGAGCACTTTCCAGGTCATGTTTGAAGTCTTTCGGGTTTTCCAACACGTTCTTGAAGTTGTGGACATATTTAATAAAAAGGCTTTGGATTCCTGATCTTCAGCTTGTAGATAACGTAGATGAATTTGTGATCAGCTATGCAATACTCAATCACATCAGACTTTGAGACCTTTGAGGTATTGATAGTCAAAATCAGATCGATCAAAGTGTTAGAATGTGCTGAGGTTCTTGTGGGTGCTTTTATGATGTTACAAAAGTTATAAGATTGTAAGATGCGTTTGAATTTCGCACCATTTCCATTAGTAGCAAGCTGATCTGAATTGAAGTCACCAGCGATCACAACATTCCTGCGAGACATCCAAATTGTACTCAATACTTGGTTGAATTCATCAAAGAAAGATGTAACGTCAGGAGGTCTATATACACAACCCACAAGTAATCTTTGCGAGTGAGCTTTCAATTCAATCCAGAGAGCTTCAATGCCGTCGTTGTCATATTTGGATATACGTACACAATCTAGGCTAATGTTAAAGTAAATAGCGACTCCGCCTCCTACTTTGTGTGACCTATCTCTTCTCAGAATTCGGTATCCATCGATGTTTACTTCGTTATCGCTTATATCTTGTGTCAGATGCGTTTCAGAAATGGTTAGGATATCCAGGTTGGTATGCTGTAAAAGTATTTTCACTTCGGGGAGGTTCTTACGGAGGCCTCGCACGTTCGAGTGACCGATGGATACTCCTTGCTTTCCATTGTCTCTCACCACGTGAAGTATCAAACAGAGGGGAGCAGGCCCCGGGTTAGGACATATGTCGCCACATAGTTGTAAATATTCAAAGTTGAAGCTTGCATCGGAGTTGCTGTAGTAGTTGACTCTCGAATTCCTGAATCTGACTCGAGCTTTCCACACGAATCCAATATGGCGGATATTGAGTCGAAACAAAATGGAAGATATCGGTTTCAAAAACCAATGATTATCCCAGCTTTGCTTGTTTACTTTGACGAGGCGCATATCTAGTCCGATGTGTGCATCTTTGCCACTTAAACATGCCAATATGTACAGAGAAAAGCCAAAAAGAAACCAAAGTATAGGCGAACTAAAAATTTTGCTTCTTCCCGCCATGATGATTGTTATTTCACCCCATGATGATTGTTATTTCACCTGATGATTGTTATTTCGCAAAGAAAAGTCGGAGGTGATTTAGCAAATGGGTCTACTGTTTGTGGCAGGCAAGGAGGCTAGTCTGCCTCTCGAGGCAGTCACGTGAGGGGAATTACTGTGTTCAGTCAGTAAAACGACGCGCGATTGTAAACGGAGCAAAGGTAGTGGTGGAGTAGGTAGACTCCGTACCAGGCCTCCCTCTTTTCCGCTCTGTGGGTTACCAACTTGTGGTTAGTTTGAGCTTTGCATCCCACTGGTTGAGCAAAAAGCTCTGACTTTCTGAACCAACCACAAACTGGAATGAAGTTTTCCCACCAGGATCATTTAAAAATTGACCAAGAACACTAATTCAATAATAATTTTAAACGAAAGAAAATGTGATCAGATTCCTTTTCAGGAAAGAACCAATCATAAAGTGGATTGCAGCTTTCCCTTAAGGACCATTTAAAAATTGATCAAGAACATTAATTTAATCACAATTTTAATGATATGGATTCCTCTACAGGATTGAAGAACCCTCTAAACTGTGCCTTGCTCCTGACGTGTACCTGCCAAATAGTATCTGGGAAGCAGGAGTTCGAACCCTGTTGAAGCCTGATTTTATTTTTGATTTCTTCGCTGAAATTGCATAAATTCCAGCACACACACACGAATCATTGCTTTACGTGAACTTTCATTTACTTAACTTACCTCTGCGCATTTACCATCTGAGTGTATTGATTAAGCTGCACTATGGCAGCATCCAACAGGGCATGTACAGTCCGTAACATGTTTATCCTTGCTTCCACATTCTGTCTTTCCTGACCTTCAACAGCTACCAGCTGTTCAATATTTAGAGACAAAAAGTCCATGTTGGGAGGCATGCTGAGATCACCTAATGGGAAAAATAATCACACACACACCCAATTAACCCTGTACATCCTAACATCAGGGTGCAGATTCTCCATACTGTTTTTTATAGATTTCTTATGGCATTGACTAGGAGAATTTGCTTGATAATCATGAGCTTCTTAAATTGATGATCACTTCCTTTATTCTCACAGCCTTTACATTTGATTTAAGGCTAAGACTGTAAGGAGAAATTAACTGTTGGTCATTCTTAATGGTTAAAGGATTTTTGACATTTTCTGTGATCCATAACTGAACACAACCACGGCAACATCAAATCTATAAATTTGCACTGTATGATAAAAATGAAAATGATTTTTATTGTGACATCATCTATGGGTCTACTATCCATTAGATCATAAGGAAGAACCAATCAAAATTCTTCTCATATAAAAGCAATTGCATCTTATTTCATTGAGCAAATAAACCCTGACAACTTACCAAACATGAAAGGCGGCATCATGAAAGGTGGAGGAAACATAAATGGTGGAGGCATCCCAAATCCTGGCATCTGAAGAAGAGAAAATAAAAAATAACTGAGAACAGAAAGGAAACACAGCGTAAGTGTCTGTCTTTAAGTCTTTCATAATTCCTTTTGCCTGTGGTTCAACTAAAAAACTCAGAAGCTAATGATGTGTGATTTAAATCAGAGATCCACAAGCATACAATGAGTGACAAAAGCAGTTGGCATGCTTTTCCTTAGTAGTTGGTCAACAACCTTTCACTAAACTTAACAAATAGAAATCTTGAAATTCGTCTTGCAACTCCAAACAATAAAATATTCTGGCTTCAGTCATTCAAAGGCTGGATAACCCTAAACACCAGATAAATCTCTATCCGGTAGATAGCAATATCTGTCCTTTGAACAAATGGGTCCTGAACTTTACAATTAAAACTCAGTAAGACATATTGACTGAGTCTGATGCAAAAAGAGTTGAACCCTGGCAAATAAAATTTATTTCCACAGACTAAAACAAATAAATCACAGCTGTGTCTCATATTAGTTATTGATAGTGAAGTTAAAAGCACAACACCTGTGTTTGGCTGGCATCCTGAGCTGAACTTGGACCTGCCAGAAAAATACAAAAACATTAAATTCCTTCACACAAGACCAGAGATCTATGCCAAAGTTACATTAAAAACTTGCTTGTTCATCATGAAAATATCAATAACTGCACAGAAGTTTACATGAAATGTTAAAAAGAAATTTGTTTCTGGAATGACCCGCCACATTTCAATAGCAGTTACTGATAAAGGGTGAAATATGTTTTCTTTCTTGAGGGGCTGACATATAGTGTTGGTTTTGCAAAACAACTTAAAGAAATCTGCAGGATGGTTAATAGGATTGTGTTAATGTGTATTATGTGTATAATGTTCAATTATGTATAACACCTGTTACAACTGAGCTCACTTGATATCATATATTAAGTTCATGATATAGATTGCCGTTACATTACACCAGGTCACACATCCCACTGCTATGGGTGATATCTCCAACATAATGATTACTTCAAAACTTAGTGACAGCCTTGGATAAAGCGTCTCATGATTTATACAATAAAATGTGAAGAAAAAGATTACAAAAGGGCTGTGTTTATACCTGGTTGTGGAGGACTACTAGAACCAGTAGCAGAAGTAACACCAGGGGCAGGTGCTTGTGATGGGACAGGAGGTTGTTGTCCTGGTGGAAATGGAGGAACACCCATTGGTGGCCAACCAGGAAACATGACTGGAGGAGCTAAGAGTAACGACAAGACATTAACCCTTTATACCCAAACATCAGTTATCATATTCTCCACACTGTTCTCTATATATTTCCTAAAGTGCTGACAGGGAGAATTTGTCTAACAATCAAGAACTCCTTTAGTCACTCTTAGGGGTCAAAGGGTTAACATGTATCAAGTGATGTGAATTATATTCTTTCACTCTTTATCTCCCAGAAGTGATCAACATGTAACTTCTCCTTATAATATCCATACATTTTATCAGCAAACAGGAAATGAGAATTCTCAAACTTATCAGGTAGAAGTTGTTATCTTGATCTAACACCAAATTCTCATAACTAATTTACAAATAAATATGTAACAGAAAGAGAGGAGAATTAACAATCAGATCTTAGGGGTTGAGGGGTTAATAAGGGATGAGTTGAGAAAATGAAATGAGAATGAGCTTGAACAATTGATAGGAAAACTTTTGATAGAAGCACCATGTATATACATATTCCACTTCTCAGAGAAAGATTGGAACAGATACAATGATTGATGTGAAGCAGGTTTACAAAGCCTATTTGTATGATTCAACCAGTACAATTCTTGTAGTTTGGGTGCTGCAAACATCAGGCAAAAAGAAATAAAAAAACAACAAAAAAATCAGTTAAGGGAAGAAGGATGCAAGTTTTACAAAACACAACCATGAAGTTTTTACAGGCACAAATGAGTCTCATTTCTAACAAGTTCTTACCATTTTGTAGACCTTGGGGTGGTACCCCTGGGGTAGGGGGAATTCCCATAGGGGGAGGAGGAACCCCCATGGGATGGAAGCCAAAAGGGGGCTGAGGAGCTTGTGGGGGTGGCGGCTGCTGAGGCTGTGGTGGGGGCTGAGGTCTAAGTACATCCATTCTACATGTTGGACATGTTTGCTGCCTTTGAAACCAAGAGCGTAAGCAGCTTGTGTGGAATATGTGATTGCATGGTAATTTTTTACAGCCTGTGGTCATTTCTTCACGACATATAATGCATACATTGTCCCCTTGTTGGAGTTCTTCAGGTGTGGCATCTGGATAACTAGACAAGACACAAAGGAAAAAAAAATTACATCACAGCACTTGCCTTGATTAATAAGTAGACCAGTAAAATTCATCCTTTAACAGTTTCTATTTGACAAAGTTAACAGATCTCCAAGAAGAGAATCCTCTGGTTTGGAGAATAGACATTCACAAGCGATCAAACAAAGCCACAGTCTTAGCTGTCCTATGAGGTTGGCAAATGGGAAAGGGTTCCCAGAAATAAACATCTACTGGTACTCACAGTGTATTCATATTTGAAATAGCACGCCGAGACATAATAACATCACTAATACATTTCTTGAATCCCCTGCAATGAAACCAGAAAAAGGATTAAGCTCTGCACCTTAATTAACAAGAAGGCCTGAAAATGATGTTTAAGCATCAGCTTTCTTTTAACCCTTTAACTCCCAGAAGTGACTAACATTTAACTTCTTCCTATAATTTCCTCACTATTTTTAGCAAACAGTTAATGAGAATACTCAAACTTATCAGGTAGAAGTTCTTATCTTGATTGTACACCAAATTCTTGCCACTAATTTGCAAGTAGTTGTGTAGCAGCAAGAGGGGAAACTAAACAATCAGATCTTGGGAGTTAAAGGATTAAATTATTACATCATTGGATTGGAAATACAGCTAAAAGGTTAATGTGTTTGTTGTTTGGTTTATGCACTTCCCTAGGAAAATTTTCTTTGATTCCTATGCATACAAGGTAGTTGACTCAGTTTGGAGAAGTTTTCAATTCAATTCTTAAAGTTATCTCACATTATTTTGTTATTCCTTTTTTAACCTTAGTGATTGGTCTGAAAAATTTCCACCACTGTTTTTAAGGGACATTAATACACTGAAAACTAAACTATTATGATTTCTTAATGTTTACAATGATATTTTTCTTTCTTCTCATAAGTTGTTGCAAATAATTTGGTTTAACAACAATCAAATGAATTTTCCCCTAGTTACCAGTATATATTTGTGATAAAACAATGGTTCTTTGTGATGCAATGCTTGATTTAAGAAAAATCAAGAGACTTACCGTAACGTCAAGTACATGGGTCTAATGGCAAAAAGTGGGAATGTATGTACTTTGATCATGATGATCATAAAACAAATATAAAGAACACTCTTGATAAAACCTATGACAAAAGAAATAACAAGAAATAATCATGAAATGAATATGACCCACATGCACTTTTGTTAAAATATTTTAGACAAAAATCCTTGTATGAAGGTTGTATGCCATAACAAAAGAAAGAAAGAAAGTGAAACGGTGGAGGTGGTATTATAAATTGCTTATTGACTTATACCCCATTCACACCAGCAAAACATGTTTTGTTAAACTGGTTTTCATTGAATGAAAATTATAAACAGAGAACCGAAAAACTTGATTTTCCATTGGATTCAAGTACTTGCTAACTTGCATTTCCAATGTGCTACATTCAAGTCAAAAATATTCGGTTAAATAGTTTCTATGAAGAAAAAAAAAATTAAACTGTGTTTAACAAAACAACTTTTAAACATGTTTAAGCTTTGGTGTGAATGGGGCATAAGTCACAGCATGGGTTGGGTGACATTGGAAAATACTTTGCTCTATGTCATGCTGCATCCCTTCCATACTTCATGACCAAAACTTATTTTCCTAACAGATTCCCTTACTCAGTCAATAATTACATAATTGTGAATTGCAATGCACAGGATCAGAGAAAATCATCCAGTCAAAATCCTAGACCTCTTGAGCCAAACTTTGACACAAATATTGTTACACCTCCAAATATCTTGCTTTGCGACATTAACAGGGTTTGGTAAATAAAATAGAATCAGTGTTACCTGTAATTAATTCAGTATACAATAGATACACAGCTTTGTTATCCCATGGATTTTCACTTCGAAGGTCTACAATGTGCAGGATGTATTTCATCTGGATGGTTACTACTATCGTTAACAGAATGGCATACTGCAACAAAAATTGTGAAAAAAATTTAAATCAGGGGCCTAGATGAAGCTCACAGAGAGGTAAAAAAATTATTTTTGGTAAAGTTCTGCAAGTCACCACTTCAACACAGTTCATATTCCTGTTATAAATGACCATCATGTCTTGAATTATAAATCCTCATTTACTAACGCATGTGTCTGCATTATTTTCCTGCATAGAATTTGCACTTTTGTCCTGAGCTCATTCAGGTTTCAGCAGAATGAAACAACAAGGAAAGTTGCTTTTCCTCCTGAATGGGAAATTACCAAAGCACATTGCAAGTTACACCCCCCCCCCCCAACCCTCCTTCTCCAAACACTCTGTAAAAGTCCCTCTGAAAGATTTATGGCATGAGAGTAAAGTATTTTGCCAAAATGAACCTCACACCTGAACCTTTCAGTGCAAAATCCAGCAACCTAACCATTTCTCCACAGTAGGTAATGCAGGGGTAAGGTTAGATCAGGGAAGGAGAAGATCCTGAGATACTTATGACCTCTGCTTGTATTTCTGAGTCAATAACACTTTAAATCTTGTGATTCAGGTTTGAGAAAATGTACAAATCCCAAGAATCTGTCCAGTGTAAATATCCTCCTGGGATAAATACTCCATTTGCCAGTTCATCATCCCACATGATTAGAAGCTGATATAAGCCACTTCATGTAGGACATGCAGACGTTTATAATTAAAACCTCCCTCTTAATTAATCATAACCTCTCCCTCTCCTATAAAATACTATTCATGCCCTTGTTATTGATAATCAAAAGCTGTTTCAATCTCTATTCTAACCTCAAATCCAAAAACAAGTTGTACTGATGCTCCACTTTGCATAGTTGTATTATAAGCAACATGCACAAGAACTGCATCCACCATCCCCAGAAACATGAGAAGCAAAACTGCTCGGACATGGAATAACCATGTCAATACAGGACTTCTTTCCATGTAGTCAATCCTGTCTTCCGCCAACCAATGGAAGCATTTTAGAAACAACAACATTGTAAACTGAGCAACAAATCGAGGACTAAAGTCGTCACGGAAAACTGTAAATGCCAAGCAGGTTTCAGTGACTGCATACCATGATCTCTCTATCAAATGCTGAAAGAACGAAAAGAATGTGTTAAGATCAGTTTGTTTGAGAGTGCTTTTTGGGAAAGTGAACTAAAGGAAAGAATGAAATTTGAAATTGCAAACTAGACTGAGGAATTTATGGCACTTGAAAAGGGATATCAGAGTCAAAGCTTAAGACAAAGAGGAGATAAATCAATTAACCTCTCTTAAGGAAAGAGAGGTGAAATAATTTATTTGCAATTATAGCCTTATTTACTATGGTACCTCCAACAACTTACACTAGTCACAGAAACTCGATCGCTTGACAGTTTTATACACTCACTTTTAAGCAAAGAGACCAATTTTATCCCACTATTTGTGACCGAAAGATTAATTTGTAATGAAGAGTACTTTACCTCCATCTCAGCTGCTCGCAACTGTCCAAAGAATACCTTTCGCATCATTTTACCGAACAGAATAACAAGCACGAACGCTTGAATGTACAAAACCTACCGGAGAGAATGACAGAGTTCATGTCAAAACAAACGTAAGGCTTCATCATTTCAATACATAGCAGATGATCGGCTACATTCACCGACAAAAGACAGATTTCCTGATAAATTCATTCGGTCAAAACTAGCAGCTTACCGCCATACTTGGACTGGATTTAGTTAAGTACACGACAGAAGGGTAAAATTGATTCTTTTGGTAGTAGGCATTCGCAACAACAGCCCCAGTTAACGCCAAGCTGGCTGCAGTGAGAACCACTTCTCTCATCTTGTAGGCGGGTATTAGCGCTGAACTTGAGCTAATAAATTTAACACATAATCTTCAAAATCTGCCGGACCTGTATTAGCAATCGCTCTGTAAACACTAGGAAAAATTCCAAAATTCCGTGGCCAGTTTTAACTGGCTACCAGCTTCCTCTTTTGAAGGAACATAAAGTACACACGTCTGCACATACGGGAACTTGTGTTGTGTTTTGAAGAAATCCGCTGAATTTTAGGAACGGAGGCTCCATATGGCGGTGTTGGGAAATCCTTTGTCTTTCTGTTCAATATGACTCGTTTAATCAAAATCATGTAACTCTGACTTGTAATTTGTTTTATAATTGCCTGAATAATCCTTGAAAATTCTCTTTAATTTTTTTGTTTGACCATATGCCAAGTCCATGTGAGAAAATGTCCGAGGGAAACGAAACTGACGAAAAACAATGTATCCCGTTTTCCATATGGGAGAAAATTTGTTTAGTTTTCAGAACAGGCATATATTTTAGAGTGACAGATGAGAGCAGCTTGCGATTCTTCGCCTTCCTCATTACGAAATGACTTGTGTTTCAAGCTTGACTGAAGAAAACAAAAATTATTATAAAATAACAACCGGTCTTCAAGCTAAAAGATATTTTTCAGCCGAAATGTCAAGTAAGAATTTGTGGTGTAATGGAAAGGAGACGATCGAGTTATGTTCACTGCCAAGAGAAAGTAATATCCCACTTTTTTCTCTTGTTACTACTTAATAGCTATAAAATAAGGCTTGGACAAAATTCAAGCTTCAACCGCAGCGACACAGACTAAAAGGAAATGACTCGTGTTTCAAGCTTGACCGAAGAAAACAAAAATCTTTATAAAATAAAACTCGATCTGCAAGCTAAAATATGTTTTTCAACTGAAATGTCAAGTAAGAATTTGTAGTGTAATGGAAAAGAGACAATCGAGCTGTGTTCACCGCCAAGAGAAAGTAATATCCCATTTTTTTCTCCTGTCACTACTTAAGAGCTGTAAAATAAGGCTTGGACAAAATTCAAGCTTCAACCACAGCGACACAACCTAAAAGACGTCAAAAACCAATCCGTACTCCCTTCAGCGCATACCGGACAAAACCTCAGACTCGCTAAGCTGGTGACTTTATGCTCACAAGTAACCTCCTCCCCCAAACTGCGCACATTACTCGTCTGGTTTTTTTTTGAGAAGTCTCAAAACTTCACGTCAACTTGCTCCACATCAAGTATAAGCAGAAAATGGTAAGATGTTATTGGGAGTTTTTCGGGAGTGGCTTCCGGTGGGGAATTATGTAGGAAGTGTGTTACAAGTTTGTCAAGTGCCCCAACAGTGCCCAACTCATTATAACACTTCTTATTTGTTTTGCTATTTCTAGAAACTGGAGTAATTGAACCGAATACAACTGAAATACAGAAACTTCTCTTTCGATTTTCAGCTTAGATTGATGGCCTAACAGAAGGATTATGTAATTATGAAAGAACCTTGACCTCAGAATAAAATCTGACGTTTAAATGAAGTGATACAATGAAATATTTTCGGCTTCATTTGTTTGTTGTTCACAGTAACCAGGAAGAAAGGTCAGTACGTCTTTAATGATCAGAGAGAAGTCTATTTTATACACTGCTTGATTACGTCAAAGGGCATCTAATATTTGTTTCCTTTCTAAGGGTGCTTATTTTGCCTGCTTTGAGGAAACATCCCCATGTTTGGGCTTGTCTTAAAGAGTTCTTGATTGTTTTTCTTATTCCCCCATGCAAGAACTCTATCAGAATTAAAAGAAGTCAAAGCATTCACATGTTATTTCATGCTTCAGTAGTAGTTTTACCCTATTTATTTCATTTCCGGATCAACGCACTTGAACACGTGATCAAACCCTCAGGTGACACAGTCCGCCATATTGGTCCACCCACATTCTTTTTTGGAAAGCAAAGAAGCGACATAAAAGGCAACAGGTTTTCAAGTTGCGAACTCCATAAAAGGCCATCCTACAACAAGCACAATGCAGAGCGAAGATTCCACAACAACAACAGATGAACTAGACAACATGCATTACGGAGCTCAATCTCAAGGAAGCGGAGTTCTTGATCCGTCCTCTATTGAAGAAGGAGAATTCGAAGCAGCAATGGCTGGCGATCATGATGCACATGGATTGAAACGACCGACGGAAAGCGACGACGACGGTGACGCTGATTCTAACATGTTGGTGGAGGAAAGACCTAAGAAAAAGACCCGAGGACGTGTTAAAATCGAAATGAAGTTTATTGCCAACAAGTTGAGGAGGTACACGACGTTTAGCAAAAGAAAAACAGGGATTATGAAAAAGGTTCGTGCACACCTCTCGCAACTGGTATGCGAATTAAATATTTCGTTAGTAAATTTTAATGTTAAAAGAATGCTTTCTTGTAAAATTTACCCTATTATTTTATTTTATTTTTTATTTTAAAGGCCTACGAACTAAGCACCCTGACCGGAACGCAGGTGATGCTGTTGGTAGCTTCCGAAACAGGGCATGTTTACACCTTCGCCACAAGAAAACTTCAACCCATGATTACTTCAGAGAGCGGCAAAGCTCTCATTCAAACGTGCTTGAACTCTCCCGATCCTCCTGTTTCTCAGATTCCGAACCCAGACCAAAGGATGTCAGCGACGGGATACGAAGAAACAGATCTAACTTACACCGTGAACGAAAATGACGCCGAGAAGATGCAGGTAAGGTTTATAGTTTGAAGTAGACCGATCTTTTGAATAGTCTTTATTTTTCATTCATCGAATTATGCATACACAAGAGAACACAAAATGACACAGAGAGTATGACTGAAAATTTTGCTATTTTTGTATAAAATTTTTGGAGAATTTTCTTCAATGTTTTTTTTTCCTCTCCATGACCTGGCAGATCCAAACATAAGACAAATCTATTTCATCTCGCTCTCAAAGTACGGCAAAGAAAAATTGCTAGTAGGATATTTTCTTTGTAGGAGCATTTTTTGAGCGATTCGAAGCCATCAGCCTTGTGTTTTTGCGCAAAGCTTACATTTACCTTGCATTTTACCGTGTTTATATACAGCTCTCGCGGCAAAATGTTCGCGTAAAGTTTTCAAACTCCGCGTCCTTTAAAACATTCCAACCATATATGGCACCCGTTTCCTTCTTTGGTACGTTTCCTGCCCATTTTTGGAGACCAAAGTAAACCCTCTCGTTCGCCTTGTTTGGGGAATCCTCTTTCAGTCGCAAATACTTGCATTTCATAATGTGATCACAATAATTTAGGTGGAATTAATTTCCAAGACTCAGCGGTGAAAGTTTTCGTTTTTAATTTCGCTCGAGCGTTGTAATTTGATATTCTCATTATATGGATAATTTTCGGACAAGCTAGATTCCCACGCTCGTCATCGTATCGTCGAATTCAGAATTCTCTCAACAAAACGTATCATCGACTTTATTGTTGAAATCTCTAGTATACTGTGCACTTCTTAAGCTGAAATTCTTTATAAATCTCATACCGCGCTGACGTATTTTTATATTGTGTCTGAATAATTTCTGCGACATATTGTAAACCCTATTTGACGCCGTTCTATGCAAGTTTACAATATCTGTGCCTCTTAGAGAGAAGAATTAGGAGTTTAAATTTTGCATTGAAAATTTTCAATTACTACAATCATCTTTATGTCTTCTCTTTGTTCGATAGTAATTTTCCATTGCATTAACAGGTTACTGACAACATACCTGTCGCAAAACGTTGCAGATATTGTGGTTGAATTTTTAAAACAAAAATTACCATGTAGGGGAATACAAACCAGGAACTGATGGATAATAGAAAAACAATATCATGAATAAACAAATGGATTTAAATTTGTTTTTTAGTAAAATTAAAACCTCTTATCATAATATTTAAGTGGGGCATTTGCTAGTTTTATCAAAATATTTAGGTATGGTGTTTGGTAATTTTAGAATTTCAAGTCCGATTCTATTTTAGTGTTCTCATTTAGTAGAGGATTTATCTTTGACTATGTATCACTGACATTTTTATTAAGTTATTGATCGACTGACTGATGATGATTTTTCATAGATAAATTAATGAAAAAAGTATGTTAACTGTACATAAGGTTGGCTTCAATTTTATTGCATTATCTTGTAATGAATATATTATTTAAGTATCTTCCCAAGTTTGCAGGTTTTTCTTTTCAGTATGTATAAAATTGTAGGGTGGAAGAAACAAGTTTTCTTCATTCATACCCATGAATTTTATGTCTTTTCTCACAAGAAAATCTCTTAATTTTCCTAGGATAGAGGTGGCATTTTCACATCCCAACAAATAGACACTAATCAGGGACTGACAGTGGGTTCGTTATCAGGGGCAAGTGGATCCATGACAGGTATTACAGCATTGCCGGCAACAGGACATTCCTTCCCCATCACAACCTACATCCCACAATCTAACATCCAACAGCAAGGTGGTAACAAGAACACGTCCATTCAGTCTTCATATTCTGTGCAAGCTATGCCTGGAGGAGCTTTTACCACCATATTTGCTCCAGGGACTTCAGTCCAGTTGGGGCAAACACTTGCACAAGGACAGCAGCAAGGGTCTACAGTACAGGTATGCAATTGACACAAGTTTGTTCCTTTATTTTGCTGAGAAATTATCCATTATTACCTGCTTTATTAATATTTGCACTATTTTTATTCAGGAAAAATTGCAATATACATTTTGCAGGTGAAGTAAATGGGATTCACCTTGCCAGCAAATTAAGCATAGTTTTCAATGAGAATCAAGAACTGGCAAACTTAGATGCTATTGTTAATTCACTTCAATGTGTTACTGTTTTCTCTTCACTGAAAATGGGAACTTAAAGAATCAATTAGAACAACCATAAACTGCCTATTTTAAATTGAGATTTTGTCAGTTAATTGTTTTAAAGATTAGATTAACAATCACATCTTTCATGTATCACATACTACTATACTGCATTTCTGAATTCCTCTTCTCTGGCTCTCTAATCACCCTTTATTAGTCATACAATCATTTGCAAACAAGTAGCTGAACATTGTTAAGATTGAGGCAAATCTATTGTCAGAAACTGCTGTATGATTTGAGAATTAAACTGCATTTGATTATTACCAGACTGTAACAAATAATTATGTTTATCTGCCCACCAAAATCACTGGATTGAAAATAATTATGCAAGAATGGTCTCGTGGAAGATAAGGTTGAGTTCCATTTAACAAAAGTCAACATCAAGTTAGTCATGTTATGACAGTTTTGGTCAAAATATTTGTTGTTTTTTGAATGTCAGTACATTAATCATAAGGCAATAAAGTATGCAGAATGCTTTGTCATCTTACTCCTTATTCGGAGGTTAATAATTGGGCACAGTGGGACAGTTTGGTGTTTGGAATCTTAAGAGTTTAACATTTGTTTGTTTCATTCACTCTAAATTTTTGTGGTTTGTTCAAAGTAAAGTTCCCTTTTTTGGGTGGCCAACAAAATGATGTTTCCTACTGAGGGAAAAAGCTTACCATTTTCCATCATCAGATCATGGTATCAGAGTAGGAATCTCTAAACATATGTCTGCAGTTTCTCTCTCACTGAAATGTGAACATGGATTTCAAAGGAGGTTACAAAATACCAAACCTCTTTCAAGCTCAGGGTGACTTTGTTTTCAAATGTTATAATTTTTTGTACACATGCTGTGTATGTTTAGTTTGAGTTAAGGGATTGTTAAAGCAGCAAATTGTTAAATAAACCTGGTCATAGATTTATTGAAACTGAACTTGAAGTTGACAAAGAGTCATATGGATTGGTTATGAATCCTAAATATAATTAACTGTTTAACTCCCAAGATCTCATTATTAAACCCCCTTACTATCTCCCATACAGTTCTTGTGATGTTAGTTTGGAGAATTTGGTATTGGATCATCTTATAATCCTCAAACTGATATTTTTCTTCATTCTCATCACTTGTTGGCTTGATATCGCATTGATATTGTAAGGAGAAATTCTGTCCTGGTCACTCATGGGAGTTTAAAGGGTTAAGAGCATTTCTTAATTAGCATAATAAAAATGATTGAATGGTTTGTTACTTATATCAATTAACAAATTAGATTTAATATCATAACACATGTCATAAATTGTTAGTATGAAGGGTAATACTGATATTTTCAGTAACACAGCATCTTGTAATGTTGTTAACCAATACATAGTTTGGTTTGTTTTGGCAGTTACTTCAGTTTTGTATGTTCATGTGTGTAGAACTTTTGCTATCCACATGCTAGCTATATACTCCTACTTTTTTCATTCACACAGAAAGAAAGGATTTGTGTCCTATGTTGTACTCCAGGAAAAGTGCACTTAAGACTTTTATCATAATTTACTTGAGAGAGTTGAAAACAGGCTGAGTTAATTTATTGATAGCAGGATGCACTCTGCTAGTAGTTTTTAAGGCCCACTGAGGATAAGCTATTAATTGTTTCTTCAGTCTCTGCAAAGTATAAAGTGGGCCAGCCATAAATCTAGGCAAAAGTAAAAAAAAGGAAGTTTCCGTATCTTATAGTTCACACCAAGAAAACAAGGCTAGTAGGATATTTATTTTATCTCTGGGTTCAAGTAGAATGGGAATATTTCTGGTCAAACAAACTAATCAATTTAGCATGCCACAAAGTGAAATAGAGTCTGCCGAATTTACCAATCATAGTGCATGTACCAATTTAGGGGTTTGACAAGTAATTATTCTTGATGATATATTGAACAGTACATCTGGTCATAACAGGTGCTTGCACAGCCTGCTGTGCAGATCCAGCGAGTACAGCAGCCTCAGACTCAGACAGTGCAGGTTAACCCAGTGAACACCACAACAGCCTCAAACACCATCACCTTGCCAATTGTTCAGGATGCAGGCCAGACCCATGATAATAATGTTGACCAGTCGTCTGGCTCACAGGCCAACAACTTGCAGTCAGTTGGAACAGTCGTGGTCCCCATAGCAACCAATCAAGATGGGAGTGTCTCCCTTGGAAATGCCATCCCTTCTTCCATGATGCTGACATCTTCCCAAGCAAGCCAAATCCCAGTCATGTACAGTGTGTATGCATCACCTAACTCTGGGCTGGTGACTGTGTCTAACCTCTCAGAGAGTGGCACAGAACAAGGGTCAGGACACACCCATCTGTCTGGAGAGGCAAGTGATATAACACAGCAGGCTCTTCCTGGGTCTCTGTCCTTGGCTGCAGTTCAGGTGCACCAGGATATAAACTCTGGTGTGCATGCTTATGCAACACAAGCTGTTGTCACAGAGAGCAGTGGCACTCAAACTGCAGATGAAATGCATACTATGGTCAGTGATCATGGGAATTTAACCGTGGGTACAGAGTCAGACACAGGGATTGTGAAAAATGATATGTCAGTGTCTGTCAATTAAACTGCCTCTTTATCCCTTTCATGCTGATGATCTCATTAGTAATTCTCCTTACTATCTGCTGTACAACTTTAATGATGTTCTGAGAATTTGGTATTGGATCAAACAATGATCCCCCAATTGATTTTTTCTGTATTCTCATTATTAGTGTGATTGATGTTGTTTTGATATTGTTAGGAGAAATTCTGTCTTGATCACTGGAAGTTAAAGGGTAAAGCACCCTTCCAATTTCAGGCAAAGTTGCCAATGTTGTGTTTAAATTTAAGATTTGTTGAATTTATTGGGAGAAAGCATCATTATGTGTGTATAGCAGAAACAGGAGACAGCCATCTTGATTTATTTACCATAAGATATAATATGGAACATATTATATTGTATGGTAGTGCCTGTACAAGTGGAACAGATCATAAATACTTGCATGCGACCATCAAATTTCACTTGATTAAAAATGGAAGAAGCAAGAAAATTCTTACAAAAAAATAGCTGTTGTTTGTTTTTATTTCTTGTATAATTTATTAGAATTTGCTTCCCATTTTTTTAAACAAGTTGAAGTTTACCCAATATTTTCAACTATTTTACAGTTATTTGCTCAAGTGATGGAGTATCCTTAATTTGTTGCATATGGTTTTGTAAGGACAATTAATTATTTTTGAAAACCCTCACGTTTGAATGTTTGGTAATGAGTACACGAAAATGAAATATCTGTCGATGGTTATTTTGCTGTATTGCATTTTTGTGATCCTTCAAGTTCCTAATGACACAACAAAAATATCAGTATTGCACTTGAAATTTGATCCTTAAAAAAAAACTCAAAGAAATGGAACTGAACATGAAACAATTTCAGTAGATCAGCTGATGCAAGGTTAAGTAAGGCTTATGATATCCCCAAGACATAAAAAAATGTTGCAATGTATCAAAGTATAGGTGGCTACTGGTGGATATTTACTGAGCTGCAAAGCGATGAGACAAATATCCACAGCTAGCTACCAACACTGAGTTGAACTGTTGTTTTAGTGTAAACTTCAACAGTGAGATAATATAGCACAAGAATACAATTTTAACTCATTTATTCCTGCAATTATTACAATGTTTTCTGGCTAAAATCCTGCATGTGTGGCTGGGAGGTGAATAGCAGAGTATATTGGGAATTTGAGTTGCTAATCAGCGAGTGTGCCTTCAACACTATTATCTTTTGTAGTATATACTAATCATTATTAACTATTTCCCAAAATACTGACAGTAAATGTTTGATTTGTATTCAAAGAAAACTCTTCAAAGAGTAGCAACTTATAACTGACTCATAATTCAATCAGCCTTTTCTCTTGACTTTAGGCTACATTGAATGATGTTCTATTGACAGGTTACACTTATGATATAAAATGATATACAGTCCAGTTCAAATAGAGACAATTAAGATTTTGTACAATCATATACTAGTTGTAAACAGTCTTAACTGTTAATGATGTAAATATTTATAAATAGCTTGTACATTTTCATCTGATGGTCATTAAGGAGCATGAAAAAAAACACAAAGGTATTATATATCCTAAGAGACATTTGCTATGATTTTTTACATAGGTAACTTTTTTCTTAATATAGCTTTGAATATAAAATGAAAACATATTTACACTTGTCTCTTCTGATGACTATTTTTTGTTAGAAAGATACTTAATATAAAAAGTGAGAAATAATGGGCCGGTTATTTAAACAAAGTTTAGCCGTCGTTTAACAAAACCACGTTCTAAGCCATCTTCAATTTGGCTGAACCTTTTATCTAAGAATCAATTTTTTGTAAACAGTGTCAACAGGCCGAAACCTAAAAGTAGACGGACATCTATTTAAACGAAATCAACCCTCTTATGGAGAATCACCAAGGCCCACTGCTTGTGTAAAACCACGGTTTGGGTTAGATCTCGTTTAAATAAGCGGCCCAATGTCTTTACTGCTGGAATGTGAACCCTTTACACCCCAACATCAGTATGCACACTCTTCATGCTATTCTCTTTAATTTTCCTGAGGTGCTGACAAGAAAGTTTTTGTAAGAATCAAGAGAATCTTGACCATTTCCTTTATTCTCATTACCTTAATGTTTGATACAGGAGTAATTTTGTGAGGAGAAATTAGATGCTAGTCACTCTTGCATCATGAGAGCAAAGTGTTTGTGAATTCAAAATAATTGTTGCTGTAAGCAAATTATGGAATAGGGCTAAACATTTTCATGAAAATTCCTTGTGCCACATGAAGTAAACTGTTGTTTCCAAGGAGGTATTAACCTGTTAACTCTCCCCACTAGCTGCTACATATTGCCTTAAAAATTAGTTACCAGAATTTGGTGTTAGATCAAGATAAGTTTGAGTATTCTCATTATCTGTTTGCTGAATAATGTATGGATATTATACCTCAACCATCCCACATTACTCTTGCATGAGGAGCTCAATCTCTTCGAGTGGAGCATGCACTCTAATTTCCTTCTCAACCATTAAATCAACTATGTCTTGCAAATCATCTGGTAGAAGCTGTGCGGCATCCATGTACAAAGTCTGAAAAATGATAATTTATACAAATCTTGCCTTTGAAGTCTCTTATTATATTCCATAAGTAAAATCCACAGTGTTGAGTCACATATTCTAATCCCATACACTAGATGATCAGTTATAAAAAAAATATATATATATATTATGCTTTTCTGTATTGGGAGAGTTACAACAGACAAATATAATCATTATGATAACAAAAGATATTAAGAGTCACAAGCATTGACAATTTGAACCCCAGCCAATTCCAGATCTATGGTTAGGTGTTCTTCTAAGTGAGGTGCAGAACACAAGTTGGGACACTTGGTTCCTTCCTTGCCCTTCTACATGTTTGTTTCGAAATACTAGGTACAAACTGGCAATTGACAAGATTGGAAGGGGGAGACAGGTAACATAACAAAATGAGTGGCAATCCAAATAGGTCAAAAATTGGTCTGTACTTGAGTTAAGAGGCCCATCCAGCTAGAACTTATCCCATTTTCCTAAGCATGAAGTGATTAGGAGTATTACCACTCTGCCCTAGATGGGATGCCAGTTCATCACAACATTACCCACCAGCATTCCACACTGTAAGGGTTGTGTGTTTTCCCTAAGAAGACAACATAAAGACCTGGCCACATCCCAAACCCAGGCCTCTTGACCCAGAGTCCAGTGCATCAACCACTAGGCCACCCTGTCTCCCACTGAACCTAATAGGTGTCCCAACTAATTAAGAGAGAGTGATTCATACACTTGATTATTTTAAGTTTACTAGGTAATAACAAGATTTCGAGCGCAATTTGGTGTGAATAAGCACGAGTAAATTTTCAAAGACAACAAAATTGCACAACCCCGTAGTGCTTATTACACTATATTGCAAGAGAAATCATGTTATTTCTTTTTAATAGTATACATCACAGGAAGTCAAGACAGATGAATTTTTTTAAAGCATACATGTACTATTTGTAATTTGCACTAGTGTCACAACTTTGCACTTGCGTTACAACTTTGCCCTTGTTTTCAGGTAATCAGAGGCCCATCATTTTTTCATGGACATTATTATAAGAGATACTACATTTATTCAATAATGGTACTGCATGACTTAGTTTTATTTACCTTAGCCCAGGGACAGTTCTGTATGGCTTGATAGAACACTGACTTTACCTTCTCCTTTTGATGTTTTGCCTAGAAGAAATTTTAAAGAGTTTGCATTTAACAAGCTATCATTGTCTGGTTATGCCAAAACTACAACAGATTACTTTTAAGTTATTATATTTTTAAAGTATTATTCTACAAGTCAGTAACACAATCTTAATGCTATTGATTCTCAACCTAACAAAAGGATTTTGTATGTTGTCTTTTACTGATCCTGGGAACAATCAATAAATCTGCTGTTAGACTCAATAAAATCCCCCTTACACTGAACAAATCAAACTTGGACAATTGGTCATCTGACTGTAATATTTGACAAAACATTTATAAAACAAAGAGCAGTAGCTGCAAAACAGATGTTTCTACATGCCTCAAATTCCATGTACATCCTCCACAAAGCCACACAATGTCTTCCCGAGGAACTGCTCACTGCTCTTTCAAACAGTGCATACTGACGATGAACCACACCTGTAGCTGGAAGGGACGTCACAGCTGCAGCACCTAGAGAGGGTGAATCAGTACATTCCATGACAGAGACAAGGGACTCTGCACGGAACTGCTCATAATACAGTGCAAAAATCCAAGGCACTGGTGTCTCAGCTTTTAAGGTGGCTCTGTCAAGTGTCCTTCTCAATTCTCCAGTGAGAATAGACTTTGATTGTCTCTCAATGTAAAAAGACAAGAACTTGGGGTTATCCGGAAACCTTTCCAGCCCAAAAAGTGCAATGTGTCGTATGTCTTTCAGTGGAAGAGTTTGGCCCAATTTGCTGTGAAATTTAAACAATTTGACATAAAAAGTCAAGATGAGTTCAATGTCCATCTCTCTAAGACCAGATGGGCTTGATACACCACATGATATCAGTGAAATGAATTCATTACACATGGATAACAAACTTTGGATACCACTGCTCAAGTACTCAAACAAAGCGATGCAAGCTTCTAAATGCACTACATCACTTCCTGTGGCTTTACTATGCTCAGCCAATAACTCATTGCTGCCTTGGGGTCCAGTTGTTTCTAAGATGTTTTGCCGCAACTTCTGGTAGATTCTGCGAGCTTTCAGTAGTTGAACAGAAGATAGATCTGAAGTTGACACATCAGATGCAGACATTTTGATCCTTGCTCCTTCTGCAAATGAAGTCAAGATCTGTAATGCTTTCTTGCTTCCTTCACTTGACTGGTCTTCTTTTGAGTTCAATGTGATGCCAACTTCAAGCTCAACATAGGACCTAAAAAAAAAGGATGACAAAGAAGTTTGAATAAACTTCACAGAAAAATGAAAAAACATAGCTTCATTATTTAAATGTAACAGTTTTGTCAAACCTGACAAGAGGTACTAAAGCCATCCTTCTGCTCTGTTCCTCAGGAAACATTTCACCTGCCATCAAAAGAGTGGAGTCAAACACTCTGCGGGCTTCTTCTTTGTTGCCTGATAACCACTCTATCTCTGCAAAAACTTGCCACAGCTTCAGATCATTTCTGCAGTTAACCAAAAGTGGCATTTATGGTTATATAGCTTTTATTAAAACTACCTTAAAAACAAATCATATTCTTAAAATTCATTAACAAACCTGCTTTCTGGCTGTTTTAGAAGGCTCTTGGCCAATTTTCTGACATCTTTGCACCTCTTTTTACTTTGTTTTAACAATGGCTCTTTCTGAGTTAGACCAAACTCAAACCAGAGCCACAATACCATTAGGAAGCTCCTTGTTGGCCCTTCAAATACTGGCAAACTTTGTACAAAGATGTTCCTTATAAGATTCAAAGCCTCTGAAGATGGCCACTGAAGGTCACTTGTATTAGTAAAGGTGATCTCATCCCAATAGCATGACTGCCACAAACCAAGGCAGTGAGAAATGGCAGGTCTTTCAGTTTCTAGTAATTGTGACTTGTGCTCTATAGAAGTGTTCAAGCATTGATGTAAATCAGCATTTGTTGATGAGGTTATGCAAGGTACTGATACTCCAAGCAGATTCAAGAAAGTTAACACAAGCTTCAGCCTGTTCCCAGGATCAGAAATTTTGAACAAACTTGAACTAAAGTCATCAAACAAAACAAGTCTCTCAGCATCATCACAGTCCTCCTCTGTTTCCCCTGCTTCCTTATCTGGTTCCCATGGACACAAATGTCTCCTTTGCCTGTTTAATTCAAGTTGAAGCCAACTTCTCCACAGAGGCTGTTCCTTATCAATGGTAAAGTCATCATCATTATCATTATGAGAATCACTCTCATCTACTGCTTTACCAGAGCTTTCCTTGAAAGTCTTCTTGACATCAATAAATGTCACTTTAGATGAATCAGTGCTATTTCCTTGAGCCAACCATGACTTCCAACCACTTGCACCATCTTCCCCAAACCTACATTAAGGATTTCAAAAAATAGATTTAAATAGGAAAAAAAAACAAAAACAAAAATCAGAAACCCACAAGTTGAATTCTAAGACATGACTACTTGGGAAAAACAAAATAAATTCAATTGGTTGACAGAAAATTCCTGCTTAAATCAATAACAAATTGGAGATCTTGGAAAAAAATACCAACTTTCTTTGGAAATTAAATTCAAGGCTAAAATTTTTGACTATGTCAAAGCACCTTTTCAGAATATTGTTTTGTTTGTAGAACTTGCATAAATAAGAACGATTTTAGGTTACAATGCTGGGCAAGATGTAGTCTCCTCTTTAAGGCTCACCACTGGTGAGAAGTGACTCAGGTCAAACTGTTAATTCAAAATTAATGAGCATAATCTCTGGGAGTTTTTGTTAATCTTAATAAATATATCCTCTCAGAATAGTTGATACGATTTTGAAAACTTGTAGACCTTGATAAAAATAGATTGATGTTGAAGGACAATCCTCACTAATGTAATCCTTAGCAAGGAAGGAACAGCTAAGCCAGTCAATTTTTAATGTGAAAATTTGAGATTGATTCAGTAGACAAACTACACCTTGGCTGTCCACTGTCCCAAAATGTCTCCAAAAACGCCATCTGCCCAGTAATGGGGGTGTTCCTTTCCAATTCAGGTGAACAAAAACAATTCAGTTCCACCATGGCCTGCAGGCAGGCTACAGCCTTTTCTATGTGTCCTTCCAAAGAAAAATAGGAATGTAAGTATTTAGAAGCCTTGTAAGTAAATTGCGATTGATCTTATCACTTTTATTTGTTGCAAGATTGGATAGGGTTAGCCCTTAACACCCTAACATCAGTATAGATATTCTCATACTGGGCTGTGATGTTCAAAGCTGGGTTACGACAACCCAAGGTTGGTGTGAAATCTGTTTTCAGATCTGGAAACTTAAAAAGAAGATTCAGTTTAAATATTTTTGTCTACAATTTGGTTGGTTGCACTAAAAAGTATAGTGAAAATTGTCCTAAAAAGGCATTTGAGTGAAGAAATAAAGAAACCTGGATTTAAATTTAATCCTGAGTTAGTGCTTATGGCCTTTAGGACAACTGGACCTTGTTCTCTATACATTTCCTTGGGTGCAAAATCTGTTTGTTAATTCTCCACTCTAGCTACTATAAATTTCCTTTTACACCAGTTACAAGAATTTGGTGTTAGATCAAGATAACAACTTCTTCCTGATAAGTTTGAGTTTTCTCTTTACCCATTTGCTGGATAATGTATGGACATTGTAGGGAGAAGTTACTAGTTAATCACTTCTAGGAGTTATTAAGGGTTAACAAAAAGAAAGATATGGAGCTCCATTTTTCAAGTGTATACTGTAGCCATTTAACCTGCTTACCTGACTGCTTTGTAAATTGGCATTCCCTGATAAACAAGTCCACCATTTCACTCTCCAAGTCACCTTCAGCCTGGTGTGATGCAAAAGTTCCCTCCTTTATAGATGACAATGTACTTAAACATTTACCATACACTGCTGCTGTCTTACTAAATGAGAACACTGAGAATCTGGATTGCATAAAAAGTATATAGTTTTTCCATAACAGAGTATTGTTTGGGTGAACAAAACTGACTTTCTTCCATTTCTGAACCAATTCCTCAGTATCCAAGATCTCGTTACACAGATTTAAATGACCAACTATCAGTTCAACTGAGTTTGGATTTTTTTGCAAAGCTTTTTCAAGGACAGCAATTTTCTTTTCAATTATGATCCTAGTGGAAGCTTTTCTCCTTTCTCTACCAGTTGCTGTGAAACTTGATTTTACTGAGTCTTCTTGTCTTAAAACCTCTTCTTGAAGATCAACAAGAGATAGCCATGTTTGAATGTCATGTGGTTTGTCACGCAAGATCTTGTTTAGTTCTCCAGTCTTTTGCAAGACTTCAGATTCTCTAGAATCTCTATCAGCCACTGATGCCTCTTGTGAAGAAGTGTGACTGCTTTCCCTTTGGCTTATATCACCTTCATCAGGTAACTTGAGGGATATATAACTTCTACCATCACCCAAGTCAACTCTCTGGCTTGACATATCCACAGCACTTTGCAACATCACAGAAATGTTGTCAGTGTTCTCTGGTACCTGGAAGTCCTTTATACTCCAATATCTTACCATTTGATCCTGCTTCCTCTTTTTCTTACCTTTCTTTACAGACAGCTCAACAACTTGATGTTTACCAAGACCAAGACAAGTCGCATTTGACTTCAATTTATACAAAGCAATATCTAACCTACAGAGAGTGTCATACATTCGATTGGCCATATCAGGTTTTTTGTGAAGTCTAAAGGCTTTCTCAGGGACAAGTTGAGCTTCTTCGATCCAAATTGTGTCGGGTTTGCTTGCATCTTCATTAATACACTCTTTAGGCCCTGATTTTTCATGTCTATGTTTTCGTTTCTTTTTATGTTTGTGTTTCCTCTTGTCCTTGTGGTGCTTTCGTTCTTTATGATCAATATCAGAACCTTCTACTTTTATTTCCTTGCTGGAATGGAGTCCCCCTTCGTCATCTGAACTAGAAATGTCTGAATGTACACGTTTGCCCCCTTGGTCTGCAGGCTCATGTTGCTCTGTAAAAGTATTTCGATGCTCAATGACGGCTTTGTAGCTTTCATTTCGAAGCCAATTTGGTTGATTTACACCTGCAGAAAAAATACAGTTAATATTGTTTGCGTTTGATCATTATCCTTCATTTATAGGGACACAGGATACACGAACATATGATGTGTGTTCTTTATATAGGTCCATTTTTGAAAATTTCCTGCAGCCAGTTTTTCTTTCAGATAAGCGAAATAGCAGCTTTTCTCTAGCGTACATGCATTCGACCCACCTTTGACACCATCTTCAGCTACTTCTTTCCCTGAAACACAAGGGAAAAGGAGGCCATGGGAAGTCCCATCTGAATTTAGTTCAGATCGTTGTATTGGAAATAGAGTCTTTTTTGTAGGGTATGTGAGCGTTGAAGTCAACTCACTATCATCCGCCATGTTGGATTAGTAGGTACATCATATATGGTGATTATTCTGTATCCAAGTTTATCTTCCTCGCGCGCACCGCGGGAATTATAAAAGAGGCGGGAAACACTCGTCGTTTCGCACGCAACTTGCTTGCGCTGATTTATGAGCGCAGTTGCTATTCTTTTAATTTTAGTATAATTATGCGAAAAAATCGCTTTCCATGTCCTGAGAAAAAGCCAAAACGAGTCGAAAGGGAATCAGAAGAAGAACTTCAGAAATACCAGACAATGGGAGGTCATATTTCCACCAGATATCGCCAGATCGGGAGCTTTGAAGCTGATTCAGAGATTGCGAAATACAAGCATCCACGAACTGAAAAAATTGCAACAGCAAAGCCCGAGGCTGTAGTGCTCAAGCGAAGAAGAGCTTTCAGTGAATGTGAGAATTCACCAGCTGAGAGGCAGCGTTTGTGCAAGAAACTGAGGGTTAATCAGTTGTACACTGGATATTGCGGACGGAATTCATATATGGCAGCCTTTTTCAAGCTTCTTGGTGAGTTTATCAAGATCAAGTTCACTACACTTTTCGATATACTTTTTTATTTTGTCCTGCAATTTTTGATAGTCCCCTTCACATACATTACTCAACCATTTTGTATATTTACTAGGTGACAAATGCAAGATACTTTATTAATTTTTTCGTCAATAATACAGATGATGATGTCATTCAAGATTTTTTGTGGATGGACAGTTGTGCAATAATATCAGACAAGGTAAAATAAAGTGGGGGAGAGGTAGCTTCCTATTTTAACACAAATTTCAAATTCTTAAATTATCTTCAACTTTCTTCTTTCAGTATCTTCTGGCAATGGTTTACACCTATTTCAGGAGAGCGGAACTCGCTCGTCGAGAATTTAACAGAATGAATTTCTTCATAGCTCTGTGAGTAGATGGTTATTCAAAATTAAACAAGCTATTTACGTTTCCTTTCTACCACTCGCTTTTGAAAGAAGTCTCTTTTTGTATAGATACTTAGCAAACGATATGGAAGAAGACGAAGAAGAAGAAAAGTACGACATATTCCCGTGGGCTTTGGGAAAGAACTGGCGAGATATGTACCCTAGCTTCCTTCAAAAGAGGGACATGTTTTGGCGAAAGATTGGATACCGTGCTCTAGTCAGTAGATTAACTTGTGATGAGGTAATTTTCATCGTAAGGAGCATAAAAAGACTATCGCATAACTAGATTTAACATAAAATTTGATTATAAAAAAAGGACTATGCAAGAGGCGCACTTATTATGGAGGTGAATTTTGTTCATTGGAAGTCCCCTTCCTCGCAAAGGTGTTTGTCACAATGAAAGCAGCTGTAAGGTTTCGTGATACGAATGCACTCCCTTCACCCGACCTTGTCTTGCAGACTACGACCGGTTTTAAGTTTCAGCAAAATAGCCTCGCATTCACGGTTGAGGTTGTTACGTCCAATAAGGTGCTCTCTAGCCTTTTCCATAATATCTTACTATTGATACATCCAATTTACTTAATTTGTTTGTATTGTATCATATCTTGCATTTGTAAAAACTCACACGAAACGGAAGATAATTACAAAATACTTTTTTTTCCTTAAGATCATGTCTATAGTGTCCGACCACCCTATTTGGCAACGTAAAAGACGAAATCATCACGGAGGAGCATGGAGAGATTACATGAAGGACACAAGTAACGAGTGTACAAGTCCAAGGGGTCCTGGAACTGCCCCTTTTCAATGCTCTAAATGCCATGACCCAAGCAGCAAGGGGAATTCACCCATGGTGACATCTGACTATTACAGTTGTTCGTCGCAATCGTCATCGGAAGACGAGACTTTCAATTCAAGTTTCAACATGCAAGGTACATGTGGGAACTTGCGAAACTGTGGTTGACCGCTTGGCTGTCATAGCGAGTTTCATTTTCTTGCTGAGTTTACAGTCACTATCTCTAATTTTTTTATGGCATACACTTAATGGAAATTATTTTCTATGGTGCCAGTCAACTATTTGTAAAGATGCCTAAGTATGAAATAATAGTTAATATTTTCGAGCATACATCTAAACAGTCCGGGGAGGGATGGGGTACTCTCCTGTAAACTTTGCAAACTTGGTCGAAAACTAGTTAGGGCGTGAAACGGGGTGTTATTTGACCCTCAACATGTCCCGTAGTTTCAGTGATGACTTGAATGCTCCGAAAAGCCCCAGAACCCATCCCAGCTTTGACTGGTCCACCCCTTTCCCCATTCTTCGTTGGTCTTAACAAATATTTGCAAATCTCATGTTAGGCTAATTTTCACAGATTTGAAGAATGTACTTCAAAAGGGCAACAACAAAAGACACTGTTATGAAGAACGAAACGAATGTGGCAAGGTAACGGCTCGTCATGCGCTGCAGTAAAGACCTCGGATTGTCCCGCTGGTTCTATCTCTTCCGTACAGACAAGTTGCACTAGCTGAAACTTGTAATAAATTATTGCTATGTATAAAACATTCAAAGACAGGAAAACAATTACCGAGGCCTGGTTGTCGAATTTTTAATTCATAAGAAATAATGTATTGTATTGGGGAACATTATTTGAAATATTGCGCTGCGCGCTAAGCATCCTATAGCAAATTTTGTTTTCTCATCGCTGAAACAAATATGCAGGAATTTGTAAATTAAGAGAGCAAAATAAAAAATTCTGTATAGGGAAAATGGTTATGCCAATTCATAAAATTTTTATGCTTTTCATATTTAGACATGACATTATCTCTGAATACTTCTTGTAATTTTTTTTTATAAACAAATATCACAATTATTCTGTCATAACATGGGTGTGCATTCTGTCTTAATGAGACTGTTTTCAATTTATTCAATCTTTCTTGTTGTATGCGAGTTTGTCATGGGTCATTTTAATTATAAATTCCGACAGTAATAAAAAAAAGATGGGGTAGTGGTCAGTGGTTACATCCATACGATAGGGGGGCATTGGGTTTTTATGTTTTCGGTTCTGCTCGTGAGATCGGTTTTAAGTTTCTATACTCAAAATCTATGGTTTTGGTTTCCACTGCGGTTTTCAGCTATTTTTTTCGGTTTAAGGTTCTTGGTATTCATGAGTAAAAGAGGCGTTTTACTGGTCTTTGATTTGGGTCTTAATCCTCGGAGGTTATTTTTTCTTTTTTTTTTTTTTTCTTTTTCTTTTTTCTCTTTTTTGTTTTATATTTAATTTTTTTAGTGCTCTTTACTAAGTTTAGTCGGTTTCTTATAGGCCACAATGCCTCTCTGCTCGAGATGATAAACGAATTGTGAACAGTTTTTCATTTTCTCGATTTCTTACAACGGTAATGTCACCTTAAATGTCTAATTCAGATTCTTTCAACAATGACGATTCTGAAGCATTGTTTTTTGAGTTGCACTAATTGTATGCCCCGTTTCCGATATTCAAAACAATTAAAACACCATACTCTTCCGTTTTTGTATGGGTGAATAAACGAAAACGTAAGAAAAGTGTTGAAATGCATCATTTCATTTTTAACGTTCTTGTCAAGTGTTGATGTTTGACTAATTTGTGGTTCACTTGATCGACTGCGTTACTGTTGGTGTAACGCCTCTGTGACACTCCTTTCGTGACAACCGCTGGAGTTCACTTTAACCAGCGGTTAACGCCATGGAAAACAAAATTATGAAGGGCTATGAACCATCTTGAGTTCTTAAATTTTAAAATTTGTCTGTAAAATCTGTCTCTCAGGCATTGCGACGATCGAGATCAGCGGTGTAGGTTTAATCATCATGGTCTAGATGATTTGTAAACGTGACAAGGAGTTTCATTCAAGAAATGAGCCTGCTTTACTTTCCCAGCTGGTTGATCGTTGCGGCATTCTTTCTGGTTCCTTGTGTTTCCAAAGGGATGATTTTTGATATAAGACCATCAGTGGAAGAGTATCTTCCAAACTACGATTTCTACCATAATCTTTCCAGGATGAACCAGTGTCTTCATCATGTTTCCTCGAAATATTCCGAAATTTTGGACGTACAGATGCGTTACCGTTCACGTATGGGACTTACTCAGTTCGTTGTTCGAGTCTCGAACTTCTCTCTCGACTCTGTTTCTAAGAGCAAGTCAGACAACAGATCCAGAATTTTATTTTCCTATGGCGAACATGCCGCCGAATTCCTCCCCGTTCAAAGTATGTTCCACTTAATAGAAAATATAACTCAGGGTTATGACTTACTACGAGAAACTCATGGAGCAAAGTTTACCCGATATTTGCTTAACAATTTCGATCTTTTCATCTTGACCATCGTGAATCCAGATGGTCGTACAATCGTCGAAAGAACTAGAAACTATTGTTGGATGGGTACTGCAAACAACGCTGATCTGAACACCGATCTGACAGCGAATCTTAGACGCACCAGTAAAGGAACATATAGAATTATAGCGGGTTTGTTTACAGGTTTCTCTTATTTGTGCTGTTCAGTTGATTCTTTATGTGTGTTTGTGTTCTTTAGAACCTAATCAGGACATTAATTTTGAATGAGAGAATAAAATCACATCAAAATTAATTCTCCCCATGAAAGAGGATGCATCTTTTGTTTCCTTTTGTTATTCATTTATTTAAGGTGCCATCTGATGTACTGAGCTTGACAAAATGTGTTTACACTGTACAAATGAAGATTTTTTAGACCAATATATCTTTTGTAATGAGAAAATTCGGTCAATGATGAATTACCGGTTGATGTCAAATTAATAATTTATTTTTGGAATTTTCTGATTAACATAGTTATGTAATGCATGTTGCTAAAAAGCTGTCTTGACTACATTTGAGGTTGCAAATCTAAATATAATTTTCATTCCTCAGCAGAACCAGAATGTAGAGTTTTCAGAGAGCTGACCTCTAAACACAGTTTTGATGCTTTCTTCTCATTCCATTCAGGAAGTAGACAAATTCTTTATCCATTATCAGGTAAGTCTTCAACTTAAACAGCAGATTAGTAACAAATTTATTGAAAATTGCAACTTACTTTTCTCCCTAAGATTCAGGGTATAAATTTTTTTACATAGGAAGGCAATTAGCATAACTTTGTGTGAATTTTGCACATGTGTGCAAGGGTTATACACCCACTGTATTACTGGTATCACTTAACCCTCAACCCTTAAGATCTGATTGTTAATTCTCCCCTCTAACATCTAGTCACATTTCCTTGTACAGTAGTTAAAAGAATTTGGTGTCAGGTCAAGATGGCAACTTGAACCTGATGAGTTTTAGAATTCTCATTACTTACTTTCTGAATTATGTATAGATATATAGGGAGAGGTTACACGTTAGTTGCTTCAGGGAGTTTACAAGTTTAATTTTAATTATTGAAGTAAATGTAAATCTATCTCAACAGATAAAAATTCCAAAGGTTCTGGTGTTGATGTCCTCTACTTGGCATCTCTCATGTCCTCCTCTTTGAAGTCTGGCTTCAAGCTTGTTCCTGCAAATACCTCTTTATTTGATGCGGGCATTTTCACTTATGCAAACCAAGAGAAGAAGGTGAAAAATGAGATATTTTTTTTATATCAACCATCTCTATTCTATAACTTTGATTTTTTGTTAACAGTTTGAGCAATAAGATCATTTTCTGTGAGTCAGATTTGTTTGCAATATGAGAAATGTCACAACTCTGTGTGAGATATTGAAAGCATGAGACCTGTGAGAAAATTTCTCCCTTGGTAATACATAGTTTGTGGGTAATTCTGGAATAAGAGGAGGGTGGGAGATCACTAGACAAAAAATAAATTTTAGAAAATAAAAAATGATCATTAGTAAGAAATGAAGTTGGGAGATATATTTTGTATTCAGTGCTATAGAGTTACAAGAAATAGTGCCATATAAATACAGTATTATTGTTATTATTATTATTATTTTTTTATTATTAAATATTTTCTACATCTGGTTAAGAAATAGGGAGACCCTGTTTAAAATGTTTTCTTATGTTTCTTGTCAGATTCCATTTACATACAAAATTTCTCTGTGGGGAGGAAAAGAGATGAAATCTGATATTCCTGACAAAAACTGTTTTAGTACATTTAATCCACCTAGTGAGGATCTAAAGGTTAGTTATATATATTTTTAGATTTTGACCTTAATAGGGAGGAAGTGTGTATATATGATATAACTCAGGTTATATCTTTGTCTTTCATGCAGGCTGAGTTAGAGGTTATTCACCCACTATATCCAACCATCTTTAATTTTATACATAACTGGAAGCAAACACAGATTTTGATCATGGCTCAACAACAGGTTAGTGACAAGATAAAGATATATGAAAAAGGAATTTTTTTTCTAACAGGGCAGGTTAATGAATTTGGCAATCTGATTAATTCTCGTGTGTGCATTTTCCTACTTTTATATACCATCATGATAAAACTTTGATTTAAATCAAACAGCTTTGTTACATAGTAATAAAATGGTTTGATTTGTTGCATGGTAAGGAAAAAAATTGAAAAAGATCAAGCAAAACTTTTACACTTGTATCCTGCAGTGGCCTATGTAAATGGTTTATTGTTCTAAACTGTTGAATAGTTATTATTAATGATAATGACATTAATTCACTCTTTTCATTGTGTTCCTTTCTAGCGTTCTAAAACGGGTGGAGTGCCATTTAGTGTTAGTTTTTTCATCTTCATCTTAGGATGTACTTGTGTTCTTTTGCTTTGTAACATCCGAGTACCTTTCTCATGGAAAATATACTACAGACGACAAAGACGTATTGTCAGTTTAAGATCTTTAGGAACATTATTTGCTGTTATTTGTCCTTTAACATAAAAGCAGCTGGATTAAATGTATTAGATTTTAAATGGTGTAAAAATATGTTGGGGTACAATTTTTTTTAAGTTTAAAATTTTTTCAATCATGATCTGAATTAACAAGAAAGAAAAATTTAACCAGTTTGAAACAAGGAGAAATTTGAACTGCAAAAAATAAATGTTGGGTCAGAAGCAAATGATTTTACTACTTAATAGATTTAACATGTACAACTGTTGACATGGCTAATGTCTTTGATGTAATGAGACAAAAAAAATTCTGAAATATTTATGTGTACAACTTAAAGATAATTAACAGTAAAGGTAATTTTGTAAAAAGAATTGAGGAAAGTTTTTCTTGAAAAAAAATATAATTCATTCAATAGTTTTATTATTATTTAATGAGATATATTTTAATGACAGGGCAAGCTGTGAGAGTTACTTGACCTAAAATACCAAAAAAATGACCTGAGGTCCTTGTGCAAACTTGAACTTCTCAATGCAGAATATTTGTTATGGCTGTCTTTTCTCCCTCTTTTCATCAAAATAGATTTGCAAAATCCTTTTTAGACTTAATACTTTCTGCTGACTTGATAAAAGACTGTACTGTTAAAGCTGAAATTAAAAATATTTTCTAAATTTTTGTGCATATGTACTCTTTGTTTGAGATGTATAAATCAATATGCTAAGATGCACATTTACTAGATTCAGGCATGTTGCTAGGATTCCTAAGTGATTCTAGACAAGGACTTAAAGAGGTTAACACTACTTGAGTGTGTAATTTTTTTTTTTACTGTTGGTACTTAACAGGTCTGAAATACAAAGTAAACATCTGTTTTATGTGCAAAGGTACCATGAAGCCAATACCTTGGGATTATACATGAGATGTGTGGATAATTCTGTAAATTTTGAAGTCCTATGTAATTTGTGTAATAAGCTCAAATTATGTTATATTTAATGTTAATTTTCTGCCATGAGAATCAGGGATCAGAAAATAAATATTTTTTTAAAGATAAATTCATTTCAGTTTGGACTGTATAATGAGTTGAAAGGTATATAATGTCATAACACTGGAAGAATCCCTGCTGTAATAATTTCTTAATTCTCTGGTTGAATTTATTGGAAGTAAAATATTCATTTTAAAACTCAGTCTTACGCTCATGACGCTTAATAGGCCATTTTACAGTTGTGTACTTAGTTACCAAGGCTTTGATTTGGAGTGAGGCTGAAGGTGACCATGTTGTGATAGAGACCAATATCTAGTTAGCATGATAACAAAGTAATTTACATTTGAAAAGCAGCAACGTTTGTATCATAACAAGGTCAACCTTAACCTCACTTCTCTTCAAAGGCTTGGCAGACAAGCAGGCAACTGTAAAATGGACTATTCAGATCAGTGTATCATCTATCTTGCATCCAAATCATACTCACAATGTACTGCTAGAGCTGTTAGAATTATTTTTCCCCTAGACTGATGTACACCAACTGAAGTCATCTCAACCTTACACGAGGGTCCCCAATACTTTTTTGTGAAGCGTGATTGGGCAATTTTGTTTCTTGTGAATGGTGATTTAATTTTATTTATTTGTGAATTGCGATTAAAGATGATGGGATCTTTATATGTCCAAGAGAACAATTTATTATCATTTAAATGCAACCTTTGAATCATGAATTAAGAACCATTTTGTTTTGCATGGTGAATTTTTGGCCACTGTATTGTTTTGAAAATGTGTGTATTGTTCTCGAACAGGTGTGGTTAGGTTTTGACCAGGGTTTTGACAGGAGATGGACTTGAAGTAGATCTTTTAAAGTCATAAACCAGACCACTAATGGCTTTTGAACAAATAAGATCAGACATTCCATCATCTTTTGTTGCATAAGACTGGTCAAGACAAGAAAAGGAATCATAACTTTAATCATTGTCACTATTACAAGACTGGTGTATCATTTGTCTAATTCCTTACAAAGA